ATTTCTTGGATACGCCCCCACTTCTTAGCGTATCCACCATGTTCCTGAACATCAGTCGGGCTAAGGAATGGGGTGGGCATTTCCACCCACTCGCCCTCGAAAGTAATGGGGAAGGGAAGGGGAAAAGGAGTAAATCTTTCAAAGGTTCCTGGCTATGACGCTCTTTCCTGTTTCGACTAACCTGTTTTTATTTTCTTATTTTCTTTCTCATTTTTTCTTCTTTCTCTCCCGAATAGAGTCGTATTCAGCACCCATGTGTGTTCCTACACTATACCCCTGGTCACCGAGATCTGAGGTCATTGACCACCAAGAGATCGGATATCGGAACGGAAGAGTTCAATGCTCGGGGGCGCTTTTACACAAGTAGTGTAGAGGGATGATAGTTATGTGGGGGAGGGGGTCAACAGGATTCGATTTTTAATTTTGACAGGTCCGAAGGAAGGAGCTCTCTGCTGAATGGGGCCGATTTGTTCTTCCTCCGGACCAGTGTTACTTCGACTGAGATGGGCCTCAAAAGTTTTTGTTTTTCCATAGAGAACCCGAGCCGGCGCCAGGCTCGGGAACCAAAAGAAGCGCGGCGAGCTGTGCACGCGCACAAAGAACATTTTGTGCATCAGTTCACGTTGAGTGGAATTTCCATCGTATTATTGGGTTTGCAGGCGAGAGCGAGCGCCAGAAATAGTTCAGAGGCGATGGGTAGCATGGGCTAAAACCCTCCGGCATCCGAGGCCAGCCCAAAAGGAGGAAGCGCGAGTCCCAACTGGGCACGGAGCGCGACGCCCAAAGCAAAGAGAGGCTGTGTGGTGGTGGGATGGATGTCTCATCGGGACGCTACCATTACTGACCTATGCCGTACTGCCATCAATTGATCTGCTGGTGGCATCTCTACCGCTCGTATTTTGTTCGTTGGTCGCCTCACCCGCCCGAATGACCTTTGTTCAAGCCGTTCCCGAAGACCTTGCACACTCGCACGACACGAGAAGGAAATGGGGCACAAACCTATTGAACTTATTGTCGAACGTTCTGGGATTCCACCTCCGCTAAACGAACTGCCCGGTCTGCCTTGGGGAACGCCTTTACCAAAAGTACCCAGATGAAGAGTATTGATGAAAGAAAGAAACAAAATAAGAAAAAGAAAGAGAGAAAAACATGGAAATAGTGTAGAAATAGTGTAGGCTGAAGCGCGACTCGTTGTTTCTTGCCAGGACCCAGAAATCTTCAAAATATGTCTCTCCTTTGGGCTTTGTCTCGATGGGTCGCGTCGCGCCTCCCCAAAGATTCGACGCTTCGCCTCTCAACTAATACGGAACCTGCATTTACACATCCAATGTTCACAGCCTCTTCCCTTTCCAGCCGCACACTAATAGAAGCCATTCAAGATGAGCGACGGCGCATTTGGACGGAAAGGTGGGCGTGCATCCACCACCCATCCTACACGAGTGTAGGCAGTCCACTATTACGCTCCTTTGCCCGTCTTTTGCAGTCCCTTTTTCGGTCCTTATGCTTGAGGGGTGATGTGCAATAATTATGCCGACCCATCAAATGGGGAAAAAGGTGAAAATCATCTCGGAGGCGGGGCTCACGTTTCCCGGACCGAGTTGCTCATTACATTCAAAGGCTGGACCCCGGTGCACTTTTTCCCGGCACATTTCAGAAGATCCATCTGCGATGTGTTGAAGGAAGAGAAGGGGCCCGCAACGGGCTTGCTTGCTTCTCCAGTGCTCTATCCCAAGTATTGATTCATCTAGGATGAGTGTACTTTATCCAATGTTCGATGTCCTCTGCTTCAATCTCATTTCACCGACCTCTAACAGCGGGCTGGGAAGGGGGTGCGAAGACCTAAGCAAGACACCTGCAGCCCAAGTTTTGCTCTTCCTTTTCTTTTTCTGCCTTCTATTGTTCGTGAGCTGTTTCGCCCAATACGGACACATTATTTTCCCAGCCAAAGAAAGGTTCGTATGAAGTACCTCTCGGCTGGCCCTTGCTCCGTCCATTGTTGTTGGTGAGCTGGATAGGGCACTAGCGAAAGATGCCAATTTTAGCCCGGGCTGCCATCCACATAGGGAGGTGCATGCCCACCATCCACGCCCACAGCCTTATGGGAATTGTGGATGGAAAAAGAGAAGGAAAAGAAAAAGAAACAGGGGTATCAGAGGAGACAGAGGAGGCAGAGGAGAAGGGGGTAAATGGCAATATTGGTGCCTGCCCCGCCTCGAAAAGTCCGCAACTATTATTGTGCGCTTGCTCGATTTCTGTTACGACTTTTGTCCGCCTTGGGGAAATCGAAATCGAGCATGAGCATAATAAATACGAGGAGCGACCCTGATGGGAAACCCGTCTTGCCCGGACTATTACAAGGACGCCATAATGGGAGGCAAAAGAAGCAATGGCGAGACGCGAAGGGCTGCAGCACGGGCATAACGGTCTTCCTTCGGCAGACCTGGGGAGGGACATGCAGGCGAACTAGGGGGTGCGTCTGTGTGGTGTATGTTCCGCAAGGAAGGAAAAACAACGAACGAGGGACCACCCTTTTTCCCTTCCTTCCCTTCCCTCCACAACTTTAGCTTGTTTTGGAGGGTTGTTGCTTGGCATTTTTGAGACCCTGAGGCTGATGGGTGAACCCGAAAGAGCACTGTACATGAGAGGGCAGTTGGAGATAGATGAAGAGGTTGAAGAAGCTACTGGAGAGCATGCTGACAATGAAACGCGACACGAAGAAAAAGAGAAAAAAAGATAATTGGAGAGGATGAAGGCAGAAGAGGGTTGGGTATCATTATGTGGTCTCCAATGTAACGAGTACTCCCGGGGCTTGGTCGATCGCCTTTTGACTCCGAAATGAGGACTCAAATCTATCGAAAGAAGAGCTCCAGCGCTCCTTCTTTGCTCACAATGACCCCTGTTGGCTAACTGGAGTCGATGGGGGCTTACACTGTATCCCGGGCTGCCCTGTCGAGGTGGATCAAGACAAGCTCATTCTAACACTCAGCCATTGGTCTATTGCGAAGCCCCCAACGCCAATTTTTCTTCTTCCTTTTGTTCCCCTCCCCATTGTATTCTGTCCTCATTTGAGTATGGATATTGGTGCCCTGAGTTGAGGGCGAGATGTCTTCTTGGGCTGGCAATGCCTCTCTCTCTCCCACACTTGGGCGACTATGGGTCCTGCACGGATGGCGTCGCTGACCACGGCTGACATTTAGAAATTGGTCCAGGTCTGCTTGGTCAAATCGCGGGTCGCGGATTCAGTGTCACTGCATCAAAGAATTGGCCCCCGAGCCAGCCTGGGGTGGGATGGGATCGTTCAAATGCAATAATTGAACCACAGCCCGCTCGTGTCCGGTGTATCGACGCTCGGGGGTGAGCGCTGGCAGAGCGCATGACAACGAACGGGAATCGGGAATGTCACTCTGTGTCAGCTCTTATTCCTCCTCCTTTGCTCGTAATAATGGATCAGACACATCACCGCTCTAGTGTCTCCAGTTGGGTTGTTTTTGATACATTGCGACCCTGTCTCTCTAAGCGTTAGGAGCCCAGTCAATTAGAAACTAGGCTGGCTTTTGACCCTTCTGTCAGTGCTTTCATGTCTTCGGCTCTCGCACTCCCGTCCTCATTTGACCCAGCGTGTGGAACACAAAGAGAGAGAGAGGGCAAAAAGAAGAGGCTGTGGACGCTGTCTTCGAGATGCATCTTCAGACGCAGAAAACCACGCTGGCCATCGAGCGAGATACATACATACTTCGTACACGCACCCTCTGGTGCAAGCTTACCTGGGTGGCTGGCCAGCGCTTTGGAGAGCGACCGATTTATTAGCTTCCCTCTTATTATTAACTCTTCTCATGGAAGCTTGACGGGAACCATCAATTGAGTTGGGCCATTTTCGATCATCAAAGACTGAACTGCTTCTGTTCCCGGGTCCTGGATACAGTATCTCTCACTGGGAGCTCCACCCGTCTCACCGTCACTAGTACCTTTGTGGAGCCTCCCGAGCTGCCAACCAACGTCCCGCACAGCAAAAGGAAGAGGGATTGGAGGCCAGGCACTGGCCGTGGAAGAAGAGAGGAAAAAAGTGCCTGGATTGTGGCTGCCGTCCTACCCATGTACCCTTTATCAGCCTGAGCTAGTACTATCAGAGCGCTTGTTTGGGCGGTGGGTACCTCCGATGGTACCTTGCACGCCCCAGTTGCCGTTTTTCCCAAGAAAGCAAGAGTTGGTGCGCCCCTCACCCCCGTGTTTCCACCCCCTTCACTCCTTCCCTGCTGCGCCCCGTCATCTCTGGGAAAATCGGGTACTTGTCGTACACGCCTCGACACAACTCGCCGTCTCCTGGGTTTCCTGTTTGCTCGTGTCCGTCAGTCGAAAAGGCCCCGTTCCTTCGTTCCGCCATCTCGTCTTTGCCCTCTTCCTCCCCTTTTTCCCCCGTTCTCCTCTCTCCTCTCGCTCGCAATACGAACCCTCATTGTCGCAGACCGAGGATTGAAAGAATCGCCGGAAATATCTCCTCGGATCGACTCGTCCATTCGCTTTTTCTCTGTCTCTTTTAAACCAAAATACGTCTCCTGTCGAAAAGAAAAGACACAAAAACAACGGCAAAGCGGGCCTTTGGAGCTTTTGCACAGATACATTGATCAGTTGCTTTGCCGTTTCCCTGTTGCTTGGTCGAAGACACCCCCTCGCTTGGTCTTTCAAATTGCCAAGGCAGCAGAGACGCCAACCTTTCCAACCTTCCAACCAGTCTGACCAATTTGGCTAACCCGGCCCGCCACAACATCAATACTCGATATCGACATCATTACCAGATCTTTCCTTATTATCCATTTTCTGGATTTTTGCTCCCTTTGTCCTCGTCGCTCTCCACTTCCTACCTAGGCTTGCCTTGAACTACTACCGAATCGCATACGCCATTCCCGCCACTGTCGCTGCTTCTAGACCCTTTCACGCGCGCGCACGCCCCTCCCTCCCGTGCTTCTCTTCGTTGCCTTCCAAAAAGCCCCCGATAATAAACTATGTATGTGCGACCCGTCATAGGCCAGGTTCGTAGCACATAAGAAGATCGCCGTCCCAGCCGCGCTCCCGACACACAAGATTCACAATGCAGCGCCGTCATTACTACGATCAGACCCAACACCCCGAGTCTATCCCGCTCGACAACCCTTATACTAATCGAGGTCCCTCCCCGTCTACTACCCCGACCAGTCTCCCAACCCGGCTTCCCAAGGATATCAAGACCAGCCGTACGAGCGATCTTCGCCTGCTCGTGGTAACACCAACCCTTCCGACCCCAGTTATAACCAGGACCTCGCCGTTCCTTCGAGAGGCCCCTCCTCCCGCCACGATTACGCCGACCAAAGACAGTGGAAGAACTCGCCCCAACCCGTCGCCTCGGCCCAGAACCCACATGCTGTGAGCAACATCACCCCTGGTGCCGACAACTTTAGCAACGAAGCCGCGGGAGGCGTTGCCGGTATTGCCTACTCAGTCGCCGATTCCCACGCGAGAGAAAGCGGAGTCGAAGCCATGAGGGGACACCAGCAGCAGCCCGGTTACGGCGGGCCCTATCAGGGAGGCAACTTCCCCAACCCCATCAACAAGCCTACGGCCAATCCGGACCCTACGATACCGTGAACAACAACGCTGCTCCCGCCCAGAACCCCTTCGCTGGGGAAGCCACGATGGCTCGTCCCGCTCTAGCATGTCGGGCTACGGCCCCCAAGCGCCCCCTGCCGTTTACGAGACGTACGCGAACGACCCTTATTCGTACTCGCGCCCTGCCATACCCGCCCTCGGTGTCGTCGATCCCAATACCATTGCCGACGATGGCGATGACGGACTTGACTACAGGAGACCGGCGAGGAACTCGATGCTCAGTCTGAATAGCAATCGGAGTGGAGCACGCAATGCCGCGACTGGGGCCGCAGCGGCGGGTGCTGCTGGCGGCGCAGCCGCATCAGGTATGTTAAAACCTTGAACACGACAGCCGGTATCCCATCGGGTCTTGATTTTAGAACAAGTAAAGCTAACCGTTTATCCCCCCTTTCTTAGGCTTGTTCCGCGATGGCGCCTCTGCACCAACTGGTGGTCGCGCCGCAGATATCCTTGCCGAAAAGGAGTCGCCGTGGCTTAAGAAGCAGCATTCAGGGCGCAAACGCTGGAAGTGGGCCGTTATCGTTATTGTCTTCCTCATCGTCATCGGCGCCATTCTTGGAGGAGTCCTCGGGACGGTCCTTAAGAAGGGAGGTGGTAGTTCGCCTTCAAAACATGGCCAGTCGGCTGACGACGATACGGCCGAGAACGGCGATCTCAGCATCAACAGCGCCGAAATCAAGGCGCTCATGAACAACAAAAATCTCCATAAAGTGTTCCCCGGTATGGATTACACGCCCATCAACACGCAGTATCCAGAGTGTCTCCACGATCCGCCCTCGCAAAACAACATTACCCGCGACTTGGCCGTGATCAGCCAGTTGACCAACACTGTTCGCTTGTACGGTACCGATTGCAACCAAACCCAGATGGTTGTCCACGCTATCCAGCGTCTTAAGCTTGATGACACGATGAAGGTGTGGCTTGGCGTGTGGCAGGATAACAACGCAACCACCAACAGGCGCCAGCTCGATCAGATGTGGGACATCCTCGACGAGTATGGCGAAGATCCTTTTGCTGGTCTCATTGTCGCCAACGAAATTCTTTTCCGAGAACAAATGACCAATTCACAGCTCTCGCTTCTCCTCACCGATGTCAAGACGAACCTGACCGGGCGTGGCATCAGCCTGCCTGTAGCTACCTCGGACTTGGGCGACAAGCTGGCGTCCCCGTGACGGATGTCTCTGACTACATCATGGGCAACATCCATCCCTTTTTCTCAGGTGTCAACGCCAAGGGTGCCGCCGAGTGGACCATGAACTTTTGGGAGGATGTCAACGGCGTCGTGTGGAAGTCGGACAAGAAGAAGAACATCATTGCCGAGATTGGTTGGCCCAGCCAGGGTGGCACCAACTGTGGTGATGGCACAGCGACGGGCTGCCCCAACGCTTCGGTGGCGGGTGTGACAGAGCTTAACAAACTGCTCGAAGACTGGGTGTGTCCGGCCCTTAGCGACGGTACCCAGTACTTTTGGTTCTCCGCTTTCGACGAGCCGTGGAAGGTCAGCTTCAATGAGAAGAATAAAGAGTGGGAGGACCACTGGGGATTGTTTGATGTCAACAGGAACCTGAAGCAGGGCATCACGATACCAGACTGCGGCGGAAAGACGATATGATCTTGAGTCGTCTGCTTCTTTCAAGGAACCGTCTTTGGTCTCGGCCCCCTCTTTCTTTTTCTTCTTTACATACATCACTCATCTGCAGCGGGCATTCTGCTTTTCTTTTCCTTTTTCAGCTACCTTTCTTGCCTATTTTTTCTCTTTTCCCTTGTATGTACAATATTGCATCTGGTTGTGCGATCTTGTTGGGGGCTACCATCTCTGTTTTCTCACAGAAAATTTCCCGTTCATTTTCCCTTGATCACTCCTTCAACGTTTGTTCTTTCCTTTTATATTTTTCCTCCTTTATCATCATGCAGAAGACCCCGACGGGACACGTACGTTTTGGGACTGGAACGGAACGAAAACAAACCGCATGCAAGCCAGGAAGAGGGGCAGGGCAGGACAGGGTTAGGGTAGAGACGTTTTTTATATTTTGATATCCGGTCTGGTTCGCATCGGGAATGACTGTCACCTCGAGTCGGTCTCCTCCGAGAGGCGATGGCGGGTGAAGGACAAGAAAGGAGAAAAATCCGTCCTCGGGGCCTTTGGAGTAGAGAAGCCGGAGTTGGATTGCAAGAGGCTTGCAATTACGCCCCTCTTGGGCACATCTTTTCTGTTTTATATCTTGTTTCGATTTATGAGGCCTTTTCTCCTCCAACGTTGGTAATAGCGGGACGTTAATCTTGAAAATTTATCTTTTCTCTTTAAAGCTTGCTCTTATGTTGTCCTAGCCGCCGTTGAAAAACCTTGGCGATATCTTCTCTCGCACACGTTGCCCTTTTTTTTTTTTTTTTGGATCTTTTCATGTCTTTCTCTCCCTTTGCTGGCTGAGAGTCTGGTGATGATCGTAGATGATGTCCCCCAACTTGCGTAACCGACAGCATGGCGTCTTGGTCGCCTTCACATCATGCGCATGTAGACGGGCGTGTTGCAACATGCAAACCCTTAACATATCCATTAGGTACAATTTGCCCGTGACCGCGAAGATGGTATCGCGCTGACTGCGAGGAGACCGAGGGGAATTAGTGTCTTCGTCCAATTCTTTCAGAGTCTCTTTAAATTCTTCTATTTGTTCTTTACCTAGCTACTCATCAACCTCTGGCGGCCAAGACAAGAAGTCTCTAGCCAGCTCCTCTGATTTGCAACGTGCCACTCATGGCCAACAACATTCGCAGGTCCTCTTCCTGTGCTCCCCGCCCGTGTATGCCTCTCGCCTACATAGCGGCCCTCTCCACGGCGCCTGTCCCTAACGCATACACCCAAACCTCTCGCAAGCTCGCATTCGGTGTTTGGTGCATCGATTGCTCCTATTACCGCGCAAGGAGTAAGTCTGTCTAGGCCTCTGATCTACCTTGTCTTTCTCTTCTCGAAGTCCGTCCCAGCCCAAGATGATATCTATAACGATACGATGGTTATACAGTGCAAAGCTGTATCGCGAGAACTAGAGCGCGCAGATAAAGGCAAACGGAAAAACAGCAAAGTAAACAAACCAAAACAAGAAGCAACCAGGTTCCCATGCATCTCTAGAAACAAATGGCCCTTGATGACGAAAATAGACCCCCACCTGCGCCGTCTTCAGAAGAAGCAATCGAAAACAAAGAAAGTTGGGCCGGATCCTAAGCGCCTTCGCTGACAAAAAAACCGTCTGTTCTCTCTTTTTTTCTCTCGCCCCCGTGTTTTTTTCTTCCTCTACTTTTCTTTGGAAGAAATCCTTCGCAATATGTCCCATATGGTGTCCCCGTGTTGGAAGGGCTTTTTACTCTCGCTTGTCATGCGTTGGCGAAGTTGTTACCAGCTAAAAGAACCCTTCATGCCCCGACACCCATGGATAATCTCCACGAAGAGACACGCCACCTTCCCTCCTCCTGGAACGGTCCGATCGAAGGTCGCTGCTATTCTTGTGGCCGCTGCCGTTGCGCGGTGTGGTTGCCGTAGAGGTAGTGGTGCATGTCTGGGGCATGATTTCAGGTACGTCGGGGACGCTTGGCAACCATCGGTTCTCCCGAGGAGACTTGTGGCCCAGTCTGCGGACCGGGATTTCCTTATTTTCCTTGGTATCAACCAATGCTTGGCCGCGCTCGCGCCGTTTGCCGCAGTCGCCGCTGGGCATTGCGGGGTTTGCGCCTTGTGCCTTCGTGTCCTTCTAGTCCACGGTGCGCTCGGCGTTGGCACCGCCACGCCAGAGCCCGTAAAAGCCCTCACAGTTCTTCCACATCTTGATCGTGCCATCCTCTGAGCCGGTCGCGTAGAGTTTGCCATCAGGCGAGAAAGCAACCGACCAGATCGGACCGTGGTGGCCCTTGTGGGTATCTATTCATAGGAAGAAAAGAAGAGCATCATGTTAGTTATCCGTTTCATGGGGCGTATGTTCCAAAGCCCTCAAGGTGGGTACTTTAGCTACTTACCAAGCTCTTCGCCCGAATCATAGTCGATGACGCGCGCCCACGTACCGGGCTCTTGGCCGACAATCAACTTGCGGCCCTTGAGATCGAGGCCGACACTTGCAATGGTATATTTGAGCTCCATCCTCTTGACTTCATCCATGGCTTGCGGGCCACTCCATAGGTATACCGTCTTGCCGGCGGCAACAGCTAGAACGGGGAATCCACCTCCAATGTCGTCAGGAGAAGTATAGGCGGGTGCAAGGAAACCAACTCGCACGACCTAATCTCTCCGTCGAGGACCTCCTGGCGAATGCAGGCTCGCGAGGGCAGATCGAACCACCTCAGTGTTTTATCAGATGCCGTCACCATGGTGTTTGGGTCCTGAGTCCATGCGATGAACTTGATAGGCGCCGTATGCGTGCCCTCGCCGATTTCGAAGCCCCGGCTCGTCTCGATAACGGTTGGAGTACCGGGGGTGCTGTTTTGTGGCGGGTTTGCGTTTTCTGATAGGTCGAAGACACGGAGGATTTTCTCGTAGCCTCCAGTCGCGATCAACTCCGAGTTGTCAGGAGGGTAAGCTATGGCACGGACAATATGGTTGTGCTGGATGGTGTAGAGAGGCTCGCCGGTATGGGTGTCCCAAATCTTGCTGTTAAGAGTTAGCTTGCGCGTAGGGCAAGGAGTAGCCGCAACGGTGAGTTTGCGGCGGCGATAACGCGCAAACTTACCAAGTAAAGTCGGCGGAAGCGGTGGCGGCATTCGTTGCATTGGGACTGAGCCTGGCCTGCCATACGGCACCTTTGTGACCGATGAATGTTCCAATCCTGAAAGTGAGTTAGCAAGAGGTACTAGGTGCCAAGAGCCGCGTTGGTACAGGGGCTCGGCCCTTTCTTCGAGCAAGAGTAGAATGTGGTTTTCATACCAGTCGCCAGTTTGGCCGTCTCGGAGCATGGGATTTCCATCTAAGAAAGGGGGATACACGTCAGAAAGATGCGCCAGTCGAAACCTGAGCTTAGAAAGCTCTCTATAAGAAGCCAGGGCATTTAGTACCTTTGCAGGCAGAGATCAGGTAGTACATGTCATCCTTCTCAAGTGGTGAGAAGCTAATATGAGGCACGGGGCGCGAGTGGCCGTGGCAGGTAAGGGGCACGTATTGCCGGGGGTTCAGCAGCCATAGTTGGTTGTGTTTGGGAAGACGAAGGTTGAACTAAAGAAGGTCGGGTTCGCTGAGATCGTTGTGCGGGCGCGGAGAGGCGTCGTGAATTCTTGGAATATGGTCGTAACCTAGCAAGGACGGTTAACCTCGCGCCCAAGAGGATAGGCAAGAGGCAGTGGCTGGCAAGTTCATAGCAGTTGATCTAGGCTATGCCCTGGTCTTCAAGGAGATAACGAGCCAACGAAACAACAGGGCGCGGCGCGGCATGCCCTGAGGTTTGAAGAGCTCGACCAAGACTCGAGAGAACTGCCGGGAGAGAGAAACACACTTACGTTCGTGAGCAAGGGAAACCAACACACAAGCGAGCGTGGGGAAAGAAAAAGAGAGAAACAGGTAAGCACAGGAATAGTTGCAAATGTGAAGCTTAATGACGGTGCACAGGATCAGAGAAAATGTGAAAGAAGGCTATGAAGAAAGGCGGTCGGAGTCGAAAATTTCTGGTCGTCGTGTGAAAGGTGTGGAGGGCGTGAAGGGGGATTGGGGTGGAATTAAAGGGAGCAGGCAGGGGGAGGTAGGTTCTCAGGAGGTGAGGAAAGTGCGACTGCTATGATGGTGGGGCTCTGCTTCCAACGTTGGCTGCGCGGGGTGGGAGGGATCAATGGGGATGGGGTCGAGGCAAAAGTACCGAGGAAAAGGCAATTGGGACGGGGGACAAGGAAATATCGGTCAGGAGCCTAATTTCCTTGCTCTGCAGCTGTTGTAAACAGAGCCTGAGGAGAAAAAAGGGAGGATGGATACGTGGTTGTGTGCTGCGAGCTGGCGTTGTGCTTGGACCTTAGAAGAAGGGGGACGGATCTTAAGCAGCCTTAGCCTTGGGTTCTTTGCCTAGGACTTTGGCACCTTGGAGGGGAGGGGCGACTTGCGCTTCCTTCCGTCTCCCTCACACACACACCCACACGTCCACCTTCTTGGAAGCGCTTACCACGTGAAGCTACACGTGACTCTACAGGAACCCAAGCCCTTCATTCAATTGATCAAGAGCCTCAAGCTCCAACGATTCGCTTCATCTCAGGACGAGGAGACGGTGGTGAAGCTCGAGAGATACGTGAATGGAGCTTGATATTGGGTCAATTGACTTTCCGTCACTTGGCTGAATCGTATGAAAAGTGATTATACGTATAGCGGGACTCTGAGAAGCTATCTTGGGCTGCATCGCCGCCTCATCCATGGAGCCTCAAGAGGGGAAAGACGCACCCGGGAATGCGGGTTATTGTAGTGAATCTGCACATTGACATAGAACAGGATTCTTAACAATATGCCTGCTCTTGGCTCAATCTCTAAACAGCATAAATGCGGCGAGGAAGAGCAGAGAAGCTCTCGTCAACGCTGAGGTCGTGGTGGGCAGGGAACTTGGAATCACGTGATGAAGCTTGGTGATCCATCCCCAGCCATCGCAACGACAAGGGAGCTGCTCCCCTCTGAAGGACGAAGTCGCACTTGGAAATCATTCTTCCTGCGTCAATTGCTTCATGATTTAGCATTCTCAAGCTGCCTATTGGGATCGGCTGACTGATTCGACTAAATTCTGTAATCTTATTCTCCAGTCTCTTTTGTGTGTATAATATATAAACCGCCCGCCTCGGAGCGCCGCGCACCTCTTTGTGTTACCATTGAAGCTTAGTCGCCCTCTGTCATCCCAGGCCAGGCGCGTGCGCGCCATCCCACCCCACCCTCTTCGTCAAATACCCTTTACCAATCGCTCCGAAACGTATAAATATGAACAAAAATGGACGATGATGATAGAGGTACGCGCACTCCCGGATCCTCTTCACCGGCGTTTGCTTAATTCACCGACCCCTTCTATATATTTGGCGCTAACGCATTTGCCCCCGTCCAAAAGATTCCAATGCCAGCTCCGACAATGACCAAGATGAAGTCATGGAGGACGTGGACGACGGCGATGCCGACCCCGATCAGGATAATGACCCGGAGGGAGACGGCGACGTAGACGACGACGACAATGACGACAACGACAACGACAACGAGAACGACAACGATGGCGAGGACGACGACGAGGACGCTGACGAAGACGAGGACAATGCGGACCAGACCGGGACGCAAGGTGTTGGCGATGCCGCAGACGCTGATGCCGACGGCGACGGTGGGGACGCGACGGGCGGGCCCGAGATCAAAGTCGAGGACGTGGACGAAAAGATTGCTGATCGAGGTGTGGCGGGGACCGACGGCGCGGATGGCGGTGATGGCACGACCTCGCGTTCCAAATCGGGGACCCCGGACCTGCGCGGTGGAAACCTGATGTCCCCGCCGAGGTTTATTCAGCCAAAGTCTACGACATCATCCCCACCATGGCGGCGCCACAGGCCACGAGTATCAATGCTATGGCTATAACGCCCGACCTGAGGTACTGGGTGACGGGGGCTCGGACGGCTATATCCGCAAGTACAGCGGCTTCGAGACTATCAACGGCAAACAACTCCTTACCGTTGCCCAGAGGCACCCGTTCGTCGACAGCGTCGTCAAGGCTGGCGCGCTGGTATCGTACTGGGAGAACGAGGAGCCGCCTCAACTCTCAGCCAAGGGCGGGCCCGAGGAGCACGTCACATCGCCCGTCTACTCCCTAGCCATCCAGGCGCAGGCTCTGTGGTTGCTGTCCGGTCTCGAGTCCGGCTGCATCAACCTCCAGAGCGTGCGCCACGACGAGGGCAAGCGCATCCACTACCTCAAGCAACACACCAATGCCGTCAGCGTTCTAGCGTTGTCCCCCGACGAGACAACGGTTCTGAGCGGAAGCTGGGACAAGCAGATCCTCGACTGGGACCTGAACCAAGGCACCGTGAGCCGCTCTTTCACCGGCAGCGGTGGCCAGATCTCCGCTCTGGAACGGCGGCCCGCGCGGGGTGAGCCTTTCTCGGCCACCGCCGCCCACGAGCCCCTGCCTAGCGACACCTTTTCGACCGACGAGCGCCGCGGCCTATCCAACGGCGGCATGTTTTCCGCGGGTGGCGGCACGAGCGGCGTCTCAGGGACGGATATAGGCATGGGTTTGGGCAACGCCAACGGCGACGCCGGGGATGCCATTGGCGATGCGGCATCACCCGCCCATGAGTCGCTATTCGGCGGTAGCGATGCTGGATCGCTCTTTGGCGAGACTATGGGTGGAGGTTTCGGCGGGGGCGGGGGCGACGATGACGACGACGAGTTCTCACACGCCATTGGCATGTCCCTGGAGGGCGACTCCATGAATGCCGGCAACGCGGACGGCTCAGCGGACGTGACCATGACGGGGATCGACAGCAGCTTGGACATCACTGTCGACCCTCCAAGCCAAGACACGGCGGGAGCGATAACGGCGACAGATCGCCTAAGCGGAACCGAGCTGGAGAGCGCTTCTACCGCTGCCCCCTTTGGCGGAACGCAAGACACGACGTTGACCCTGGGCACACAAGACACATCCACATCCCTCCCCACCAGCGGCTCGCCCCGGCCGACAGACACGGCGACGTCGTTAGACGCGACGTTGCAAGATTCCTCCGCCACCTCCGCCACCCTCGTCGCCAGCGAACCCGCAGGAGACGGCGAGGACCCGGCCCCCCTTTCCGAAGCGCCGGGCCCCTCCAACCTCGTCTTCGCCAACGACCCTCCACCCTCGGCTGCCGAGCCCGGCCAGGTCTCCGACACGACCTTCTTCTCCGCCAGCATGGACGGCACGATACGGGTGTGGGACCGGCGGACGCCCGATCCGGTAGCGCGCATCTCGCCCCAGCGCGGGTACCCCCTGGTGCATGGGCGCGTGCTGGTCGCCCGACGGCAACCGCATCTACGCGGGACGGCGTAACGGCGTGGTGGAAGAGTTTGACATCCACAAGGCGCGGCACGGGTGGGCGCCCGAGCGGTCGCTCAAGTTTCCCGCGGGCAGCGGCGCCGTCAGCGCGGTGCGCGCGATGCCCAACGGGCGGCACCTCATCTGCGCGTCGCACGACATCCTGCGGCTCTACGACCTCGATCACACGGGATCGGGGGCTCCGGGCAAGCAGTCGGCCGTGCCGTTCCTTATCGTGCCGGGTCCGCCGAGGGCGGGCGTCATCTCGGCGCTGTGGGTGGACCCCACGTGTCGGTTCATGTTGAGCGCGGCGGGGACGAGGGGATGGGAGGGCACGTCGACCGAGGTCTTGATTGGGTACGAGATTAGCGTGCCGTCGGAGTCGTAAAAGGTGGGGAAGACAAAGCAAGGGGCGATGTGGAGAGACGCGGGGAATATCGAATAGGTGTTGGGAGTGGAAGGCGGCAAGCGAGTCAAGTTCTCTGTGTACCCTAAGGATAACCAATTCAGGAATGGGGGAAAAGGAAGGGTAATATATAGCGACTACTTTTATGCTTTTTTACTTGTGCTTTGCCATCACCAAGTGTATTCTACTTGTTCCCTGTTCACAACCCAGTCGCATGCCCCTCGCCGATAAACCAAAAGGCGCCCTTGATCCTCTTTCATACCCCCAAATTCCCTTTGCCCGTTTCCCACCCCTTTTTGTATGCCCCTCTGTTTTCTTGTTTCGTTCTCTTAGACTTTGTTGGTTTTGCGCCAGTAGATGCACGTCGACGAAAAAGTAGACAGGACCTCCTCCTCGGGAAAATCTTCCCTCTCGTACGTCTCGTGCATTTCCTTGAGGGCCGGGAGTTCCTCGCCTCGATTGATGCTACAAAATGAAAGGCTTTTCGTTAGCGGCTGCTCTTGCGATGATTAAAAAAAAAAAGAAAGACACTCACTCGTCCCAAGTATCCCACCCCGTCCCCACAAACACAGCGGGCAACGGCCCCTCCAGCGCCCTCTTATACACCGGCAAGTAAAGATGAACCCCAAACAACAGCGTAGATGATCCCTCCCCGCGCGCTTCTGTGTCGTTCTCGGCCCCCTCCTCGCCAGCCACCTGCTTCAGCGCCTCGAACGCTCCCGGATCATCCACGACGTCATGGCCCCTCCCCGCTAGGAACCGCCGATCCGCGCTCGTGAACACGGGGTCCTGGAGAATAGTTCGAACACCAGAGGGGTCGGGACGCTCCACTGGCGTTTCCTCTCCTTGCGCCTGTTTTCCCTCTTGTTTCTCGCTAGGCGCGGGGGTAAGTTCGCCCGCGACGCCCCTCGCCAGCGTCTCAAACGCAAACAGTTGCATCCACGCCCTCCTCTTTCCTTCCCACCCACCGCCTCCAGCTAGGCCTTCGAAGCTCCCTAGCCCCAGGCACACGACCTGCGTTAGCGGATAACTAGGTTCCTCCTTCTTCTCCGCCACCTTCCCCTCTCCCTCCTCTTCCCTTTGCTCGTATCGTCAGCTCCGTTGCCCTTCCCTCCCTCCTCCTCACTCTCCGGCGCATCCACCGCCAGCGACAACCGGCGCGAGGAAAGATCCATCCTCACTCTTCCCGCAATAGCCACCAACTCCCGCCTCCACGGAGACCCCTCCCACATATCCGCATACCGCCGAAAATCCCTCTCCAGGTCAGCAAGCCTCTCTTCCATCGTCCTCGCGTCGTCCTCTACTTCCCCGCCGGCGGCTGCGGCGATCTCGCCCTCTGCTTTGCTCCCTCCGGGGCCGTCATGCTTGGCGCGCGCCTGTTTCGTCCGCCGCCGCCTCGGGCGCATGGTTTTCCATTCCGTCTCTAGCGCTTCCGGTTTTGGTGTAGACTCTGCCATTCTGCTTAATTGTCTTCTTCTTTTCTTTCTTCCTTTGGCGAAGGTCGCTGAGATATTTCTTTTCTTTTTCCTCCTTAGATCAGTTGGATTCTTCCTTCCGAGTTGCTTGAGTTGTCGGTTCTCCTCTAGCCACGGAGAATTTTCAAGCAAGGTTTTTTTGTCTTGGCTTGGGATGCTGGTGGTTTTTGGGCACATCTATCCAAGACGTGTGGTTGGATTTAGGTTTTTAATTAGTTCGGGAGAAAAAAACCGGAGAACTAGCCAAATTGTGTCCACACAGCATCACCAAGCCCCACGACACAAGATCTGTGTTAGAGAGAAGTGCGCTTTTACTTTCAAATGTTCTATTTCGATATTGAAGTCTCTGATGTCAAGAGGAGGGACACACGACAAGAATAAAAGGAAATATAGATCTTCTTTTTACGTCGTTCATACAAGCGCAAACGAGGCAAACTTTTTTCTTTACGTTCTCTGCCCACTTCCTTTTGCCCGCACCTCTCATTAACTATCTAATGCTCTAAATCAAATGCATCTGTTCGTTGTAGAAAAATAAGGAAAACAAAAAGGGAAAAAAGGTCATCTCATGCCAGTTATCTGCCTTCATCCAGAGCATCGAGCGCCGATCTGCCCTTGCGTACAACTAGGCTCCTCAACATTGATGTAATCACCCTAGGAGGCTCAGTACTTCCTTGCCAACCCCCGTGATCCTATCCTCCTTGATCCTCTCAATCGCTCGCCGCACGACATCCTTGTCGATGCTTTCCGCGCCCGAGCTGTTTCCATACAGCCACGTGCCCAGAGCCACGAGGGCCCTATACACCACCTCGCCGTCCGTCTGCTCCGAGATGATACGCTCCACCACCCGCGTAAAGGTCTTCTTGCTATCCGCCTTGGCGAAACTCGCACCTACGCTCTTCCTAGCTAGCACAGCGTAGTTAAGGACGACAGTCGTCGCCGCAAGCAGCACGTTTCTATTGTGTCGCCCGACGCCGGGTCCGTTGAGGCCCACCACCCGCTCGAGCAGGCCAAGCACGCGGCTGGCGTCCGACGCTGCCACCTCTCGTCCCTTGGGCGTGGCAAAGACGTTGGCCACGGCGCGAAGGATCATCATGATGCAGTTTTCGTTGGGCGTCGCCGGTGCCTCATCCGTGTCCAAGTCCGTGCCGAGCGCCGCGTCTATGCCGAGCTGGATGGCGGAGCGGCCCTGGAGGTCGCGGAATGCAGCGACGGCTGCCGAGGGCGTCGCGCAGCGCAGGAGATCGAGGCCAGGCAAACGATCGCTATACGCCCACTTCGTCACAATGCGCATGATGAGCTCGAGGCCGGCGTCATCAATAGGTTTGCTCGCCTGCAGAGTGTACCGTAGCTCCTTGAGCTTTGTCTGATCTGCAGGGTTCAAGGCCGCATCTTTGCGACCGGCGGAAATCATGCTCGCATTTACGTTGATAATCTTGTTGACAATGGCTAGAAGAGAAGATGAGAGTAATTAGAAAAGACTTCCAATCTCGATGGAAGAAATGGACAAGCGCGAAATAGAAAAATAGCTGAAAAAAAAACAAAAGGAAACAAGGCAAAACTCACCCTCATGCTTGGCGGCCGTTATGCTCAAGTACTCTCCTTGAGGCAGCACCTTGGGAACCCTCGCCGCTTCATCGCTCGGCTTATACCTCGCATCTGATCCATAGGGGTCCGGTCCGCCGTCGTTCGACTCTCCCAGGGTGGCGCCCTTGGTATTCTGCTCGATAAACTGCACGACGTTGTCGAGGTACGAGATGGGGAGCTCGTTGTCCTCGAGGAACTTGCGTGCGCGGTCGTACGGGTTCTCCGAGAGGTTGAAGGGGAGCTTCAGAGGCGGCTTTCCGTCCTCGATATCCACGTCGAAGACGAAATCGTACGACTTGCCCTCGTACTCCACCTTGCGACCGGAGCTGCCGGCGGAGTCGACCACGGTTCCTACATTCACCCATTGTTGCGCGGCTGCAGTTTTACGCCTTGGTTAGCGGATACTCTAGTAAAATAAAGGGAAGATGGTCCGGGGGGCGGGATGTCATGTACCCATAGACCACGTGTAGGCGCTCACGGAGCCATTGTCCTCCTTAATCATCTGCACTTGACCTTCCTTGGTACCGGATCGAGTCGTCAAAAACTCGGTACCGGGCAGCTTCTCCTTGTTGATGCTTCCGACCTGCTGCTGGGGAATAGCCGAAGCCTTGACCGACTCCTCAAACGCGGCCAGGACGTCCGGTCCCGCCACCTTGTCCGGATTCCTGGTGAACACGCGAGCTAGACCGTCGCTCGCGCCCGACACAATATCGCCCGTATCCGGACACGCGGCAACGCACCAGACCGAAATGGCCGGGTGGGTAATGGTTTGGACGCACTCGAGATCCTTCCATACGCGCACCGTCCGGTCCTCAGCGCAGCTAACAATCTCGCCCGAGGGCAGCACCGCGAGGCCGTAGACGAAGGAGTCGTGGCCCCGGAGCTCCCCACCATCTGGCCGTTGAGTTTCCAGAAGCGCAGCACGCCGTCGTTGCTAGCGCTAACGATGTCACCACCCGTGGCATGGCCGGCGGGCACGCGCCCGACGGCGCGGATGATGTCGTCGGTGTAGATGGTGGACCGAGGCTGGACGTCTCCGGCGACGGCCTTGCGGAGGTCGTAGATGCGGATATTCTTGTCGGCGCAACCGGTGACGACGGTGTGCTCGTCGAGGAAGAGCACGGCCCACACGCTGAGCTCGTGGCCCGTCAGGACGAACTCGGTGTCCCACTTGGCGACGCTCCACACGCGGGCCTGGCTATCCCAGCCGCCCGAGACAATGTAGGTGCCCTTGGGCGACACGTCGAGCGTGCACACGTTGTGAGAGTGGCCAATGAGCAAGCGCTCGGCATTGTCGCCCGGTAAGGAGGTAGGCTTCCTCACGTCGATAATGGTATCGCGGCCGCCGGACACAACGAGGCCCTCGGGATACTCGGGGGTCGGGGAAGGTAGGTGATGGAGTTGACATAGTCGGAGCCTTGGTTCGCGACGTGGGCCTCGAAGGGGTTCGCGGAGGAAGGGTCGCCCTTGCGCTGCCACAGACGTACGGAACAATCGCGGGATGCTGACAGGACGGCGTCTGGGTTAGGGAAGACGACAGCTCGTACGTCGGCGTCGTGGCCGATGAGCTGGGCCGAGAGCTGGAAAGCGGGGAGGCCATTTGGCGGGGTTAGGTCGGGAAAAGGGGGAGAAGGGGTGGAGGGGGTCGGAGAAACCCTTGGATGCGTGTAACAATTCCTGAATGGAACGCGATAGGAGAGATGGAAGCAAACCACGAGGGTGAGAATAGGTCGATTGTGAGGAAGAAGCACCCAGTTCCTTGGTAAGGGTGAGCTTCGGTTGCTTGCGTTGTGTGGTGGGGAAGGTTGGAAGCTCAAGGTGGCGTGGCAAGTGCTATCATTGATGGGTGTCTTAGGTGTGGTGGGGTTGCTCGGCTTCTTCAGTTCTAATAGTCTAATGTCCGGAGGAAGATTGGGGGGACGATCCGAGCTTCAAGCTGCAAACAAACGACCAGACGTCACTGACTTCAATAGCTCCAAATCGCAACAATTCGAACCGACTGGCTCCTCGCAAAACTCAGTACATTAATTCAGATTGAAATCAACTTGCTAACTAGAGCAGGCAGCACCTAGCACGTAGTGCACGCAAGAGACGCACGAGGGGCCTGCTTGGTAATCGTGGCCACTGGTTCCTGATGGAACTTGGTAGAAGGTCCAATTCAGCTCGTCATTCAGTGGGTGCCTCGATGAAGTGCACCTTCCCTTCTCCACAAACAGCCCCGCAATTTCGGGAGCTTAAGGTGGAAACGCGGAAGGGGCAAACGACGTGTAAAGCAATGAGACGGACCCATTCTGGGGTGTCCCTTTTCTTTCCCATTGTCATTCTCGATAGACTGACAGAACACTACTAGCCTGGGGACGGCCCAACACTAGTGTGGAGGTCCGTAGGAGCAAATGGTTACCGCCTCCGATAAGCCATCAACTGCTCATTTTTGGAAAATCCCGGAGTAGCTGTGGGCAGCATGGCCTCGACTATTGGGTGCACATGCCTTGGCCTTCCAGACCTGCATCATTGATCGCAGAACCCGCATTTGTTCGTGCCCCGTAGGTTTTGCCTCGAGGCTTGTGAATAGTTTGGGGTTATTACATCAAGGTTGTCAAGAGTGCAAGGGGGCTGTTGTATGTTCTTTAACTCATTGTTTTTTTCATTGACTCTCATTAGAGAGGAAATAGGCCAACACATCATGTTGGCAATGATCGATCATGGCCGATCCCGGATCCTCCAATACCAAAGACCTTCAAAAGAAAAGGGAGAGAGATATGGCCCTCCTAAACGCCCATGTCTATGCAAGGAGAAAGAAAAGACAAAAAGAGGCCGACCTTCTACTGTCATCCTGTAGTACACCGCAGGGCGGGACATCGGGATGATGTGGAAGGCGGAAAAGAAAGAAGGGGAATAGAAAAGAAGAAAACAAAAAAGGTATCCAAAAATAACCAGAAGAAGGCTCGTACATTCTCACCAACCCTCCCTCACACCGACTTTGTCTCCCTCAAAAGCCGTGTCGTCCATCCAACCACAGCTCTCGCGCTCCGCGCTTACAGGAACATGACCAAGCCGCCGAGGATCGCGGGCCCGAAGCCCATCCACTTCCACGAGGACTGCTTCTTATGCCTCCCCCAGTACCAAAGGTCACCGTCTCCTCGGCGCCCGAGGTCTGCGCCAGCGCGTCGTCCCGGGCGGGCTCGCTCGTGGTGATGGTGTAAACGTCGGCGAAACCGAGCTCCTGGCTGTTGTAGCAGTTGGACTCGTTGACCTCGGCGATGCGCGCGTCTCCGGGCTCGGCAAAGATGATATCGACGCACTATAGGGAGAGAAAACACGACATTGTTAGCAATTACATGGTGACAGATGGATGGACGGGCAAGATGATAATGACAATGGGAAGAAACTTACCGAGTACAGAGCAGCACCGTGGCCGGCAAGCTCGACAACCTGGATCGTGGCCAAATCGCCAGCTTGGGGTTGAGAATCCTTGGGGAGGGGCACCTGGGGCAGGCATATCGTGCCCGGGTAGGGGTTGTTGGTGGGGCCGAGAAGCTGGAATGGGGGCACCATGGGGCTAGACATGTTCTTGGGACCGTCGAAAGGGCCGTCGGTGCCCCAGCCGATGTTGACGTAGATGAAAGCCGTCAGATGGCCCTGGAACCAACCGGGCTGGAAGGCGATAGCGCCTCCCGTCGTCGGCCAGTAGGTGCGGTTCTTGGTCGTCTGGATACCACCGCCTAGGTTTAGGGAAACACATATTGCGTTAGTCTAACTTTCTCATGGTACAGTGATGGTATGTCGAAATGAAAGCATGTCGGAAATAGAGGGAGAGGGTAAGGAGGGTAGGTTAAGGTGAGATTGGTGGTGGTGCGCTTACATGGATACTCCCATTGCATGCCGTATGGGAAGGTCTCGTTGGTGATGAGATTGTTTCCTCGCGATCCGGGATATGAGATGAGAATGTGTGCGGATGCCGTCGCGGCGGCCATGACGGCCGTTAGGAGAGTCGAACCGAGCATTTTGAGTGTTGGGTGTTCGCGCGTATGTGTGGGTGAGAACAAAATATGAATGTGTGAAGCCGTGAATGTGGCGGACGGGTGGGTGGTCGATCCGGTTCCCTGTTCAGCACCTCTAAAAATCGGAGCCGTCGGTCTTGGTTTCTCACCAAAACCTCTTCTCCGCCCGAGTTAATGTCGTCGCTGCGTCAGTTTCGAGGACGACTGGGTGTTCACGATGCCGATTACTCTAATTTTGCGCTTCGATTGTTCGAATATACCTCGAGTCCTGAAGGTTCCTAGGATATGGCCTTCTTTAGGGTCGCGGCGGGGATACGTGAAAGAAGAGGGACGGAGTGATTCTTCCTCGTTAAACGCGGAGGTTTCCAAAGATTATATTCTTGGATTCGACTCTTCAGGTTCTCTCTCAGCGAAGAAGGAGGACCCGGAAAAAAAAAAGGAAGTAAAGAATTCGAAGAAGAACAAACTACAATGGGGGCCGTTTGGAGAATTGAAAGGGAGGGGAGGGAAAATCAAGAACCGAAGCAAGGAGGAGGTGGACCAGCCCTTTTTACGATCCGAAAAGCCTCTGCTCTGCATCTCACCCACAGCCAGTTGAACGTTCGAGGGTCTAGTGTAGTACGTTCCACTGAATAAACAGGGTACCACCCCCTCCAAAAAAGAGACGGACAAGGTCATGGATCAATGTACTTGGATCTCAATGGCAAGGGGAGTACGCACCCACGCCTGGGAAATGCAGCAAGCGAACCCGCCGGTCTTCCGTGCCTCTGACCGGTTGCTCCAACCAGAAAATGGCGGGCGAGGGAGGGGGAGCCAGAGCAAGAGAGAGCAAGGAACACTGGGGGAGAAAAAGGAAAAGAGGAGAAGAGACGAGCAATGAGAATGCGGCAGCGCCTAGCGCAATGTGACTCGCCCTGCCGTTGGCCCCCAACGCACACACGAAGAGGCACATTCACAAGTCACACTCATACACCCCCTCCTCTCGCACACCCCCATCTCCACGCCTATTGATCCGCCCGCCGTGGCCCTTGTCTGTGTGCCTCTTTCTTTTTTGCTGGAAGCTGACGATTTTTTTGTCTTGTTCTCTTCTGGGGCGCACAAGGGAAAGGCTCGGAAATGGGGGCTTTGAACCAATCCTGAGGCGGGCCGTCGTCCTGTTGTGTGACGAGAGCCGTTCAGCAGCGGAACTTGGAAGTAAATCTCTGAGCGTAAACCGTGGGCTCGTTCAGTTTTCACCGAGCTGCACAAGCTGCACAAGCTTGGATTTCTCACGATGAGTTCAGTCAGCACTGGTCCCTTTTCCCCCTTTGCTGTCTTGTGTCTTCCTCGCAGACAAGGGGAGTTGGGGGAGGAAGGCAACATCTTTCTTGAATATCTTCCCTTTTCTTTTTCTTTCTTCTCCTTGAGGACGACCGTTAGGCCCGCAGGCGTGGCCACCCCTCGAGGTCAAACCCTCCATTCGATGCCATTCCCCACAAAGTTCGTGGCCAGGATATGTTTCCAGATGGCACCAAGGTCAGCCCAGAAGAGTTCCTTGTATACTTCTTGTCCTGTACTTTGTAGTGGAATCCGGTGTTCCTCTGTTCCTCAAGGAATGAAGGATGACCGACAAAAGGCCAGGAAAAAGAACCAATCCTCAGCTCTTGTCGAGAGCAGCAGCCACCCACTCAACCTCTCTCGCTCACAAGCAGGAAGCAAGGGGGCAGGCAAGAACAAAAAGACTGCAGGTGAAGAAACGAGCCAAGAGATAAGATTGGCCGCTTCCGTGCAACTTTTCCCTTCCCGCCACCTCCACAACGCGCACCCGCACGCCCTCCCCCTGCCACAATTTTGGCAAATGAGCCAATCACCCGCGCTCCGGCTTAGCCAGACGCCCAGGCTGCGCAGTGATGCTGGTGACAGCTCTGGCGTCTGCGCTCTGTGAATGGTCGAAGCCCTGGGGCCCGTGCAGATCTCTAAGCGCCGGTGCTGGACCAATCATGGCTTGGCAATCGCCGGGAGAGCGACGTGCTCAAGTGCTCTCTCACCAAAACTCGAGTGCTTTCCCCCTCCTTCAGCTCCATGTCCCCCAATCCAGTCGCCGTGATCAGCCAGACAAACCCTGGTTCGCAGCGGAGAAGAGTAATTGAGCCATCAATGCAATTCAAGGTGGTCATTGAGGGTGATGTGCAAACGAGGCCAATGATTGATCCATTGAAATCCAAGGTTCTGTCCTGGATCCGTGCTAGGGGACCGCTCTATCGACAAAGTTTCCTGTAGTGTCGCATAAAGTGACCCATATTGTATGGGCGAAGGGGAGAAAATGGATCAATCAATTAACTGTACTGCTCGTCTACCACTCCCTTGAAACTGACCAAGTCGAGAGCGGTTGAGAGGGAGGCAAGGGGAAGCACGAATTGATGTTTTCATGCAGGTATTGCTGGGACCCGTGCTTCCGCATCCCCACCCGCATAGATCGCTACTAGTGTAGTGCAACTCTGGAATACCGGCCAACAAAGACGACTGGACCAACTGGACCAACTGAACCAACTTGCAAAGGAAGACTGCTAGATATTGATATCTCCGGGCATGGATTTAGGCGACTCAACTTCCCAAACCGGCGCTCAATTGACCTTTCGCCCATTCACTCGCAGCTCGCATCTGCCATACATGTACATCTCTAAGTGCATTTGCGCACCTTGAAGAGGAATATCTTGAATAGAACACAAGAAGACACCCCCACACCCTTGTTCCATTCACAGAATCACACCACTCGACAAGCGCTGAAGCACCTCTTCCCAGAGAGTGGGACGTCGGTCAATATTCTTGAATGAACTGAACTTTGGTGACTATGATGGGGACTAGATCTGGCGAAGACTGATGAAACCCATCACCCGCCGCTGCACGCGCTGACATGGTTATTGCAACCGGAACGATGGGAGATGCAAAGGCATCACTGGCCGGACCTCCGTATCGGTCGAGTCAGTGGTAGAAAACGTATGTGTAGCAGCTAGGAAACATGGTTCGATCGGTCCTTCACAAGCGCTTCGATGAGGGCATTCACATCTCATCACGACCCTCATACTGTTAACGTTCCAGAACAACCACCATCTATGGATATCACTTCGATTCCCCCCTCCAAGAACATCAAACTATCCCCACCTTCCCACAGCGGCTCCGTCCAGTATGGCATTGAAGTATTGGTAACAGGGGGCGGACGTTGGTAGTGCGCGTAGGTTGGGCAGGTTCCTGCATCGGCCTCTCTTCAATCTTTGCTAGTTCCCGGTGACAATGAAGAAGAAAGAAAAAACCCCAAAACGGGACCTGAAGCCAAGCCTGCCAGGCGAGTGACACCTCCCACATTGCCTTCTATTCTTTTCCCCTTTCGTGATCGTCGCATTCTCCGAACCAGTTCCGGGCGCTTACCCACACGCCTCGAATGTTTCCCACCGCAGGAATGAACCTCCTCCCCGGGAGCCGGCCCACCACCCCCGGGTTCCATTTCGACGACCGTCACCCTAGCCCACTTCACATATGGCACATGGGCACCTTGAAGCCCTGGCTTGCCGCTTGGCTTGAGAAGGTCAAGCTGCAACGCGTGATTTGTGATTATGGCAAAAGGGCAAACCCCTGGTGTTTGAAAGCTTCACACTGAACTTCTTCACATATGTCGAGAACTAGTCATCCCGGTAGACGAACATGACCACAAAAGAAAGGGGATGACCGGCAAGGTCTGTATGAGATGAGCTACGCGCTGCAACCTTGACCTAATAAACCAAAAACCACGGCCGAGTCCATGTCTTTTTCTGACAGGGCCTTGTCGACACCTCGCCATGAGACACAAGGTGGATAAACGAACCCACAAAACCGACCAGCGAGGCCGGCGCCAAGCTATCCTCAAATCGAGTTATTTCCCTTCGTCCCTAGGCCCCATTTGCCAGCGGAAACCCTGCTCCATTCTGAAGAGCCGCCCGCCCTTCCCCAAGTCTTTCTTGGTGTTACTGGGACCCCCGAACTGAATCCGGGGTGGATCCCGCCAAGATACTTTCTGCCCCCAAATTTCGGCCCCGGCTATTCCTCCGTGTTGAGTCTCTCAATTGATGTCTGGCCTAGCCAAGCGGTTAGCCATCGTGATGGCCACCATGATCATTCACACAAATATATTTGACCTACATGTAAACTCGTGGGTGTAGACACAAGTGTACGTGAATACAGATCGGTTGAAACACAAGCACACAGACAGAGGCACACAGATATTCGTCCATCAGCACACATCAATATACACACTCACACTGATAGATGCACACTGATACACACACTCTACCCACCCATTTCCAACCTGCTTCCGACCCACCCGACAGAACGGCCGCTTCACAAAGTGCCACCCTCCCTCGTGAGACGAGCGCACCTTGCCACACGTCTAGTTTTTTTTTTCTTGCGCTGATGCAGTAAGCTTACATTCCATCCCTCTACAAAACCCCGGCAAAAAGGTCGTGGCCTCGCACACGATGTGGGATATTACCGGTTCTTTCTTCTTTTCTTATTTCTCGCGGCCGCCGCCATAGTGATAATCTTTGTCCGGCAAAACAAGAAGCTGGAAGCACGACAGGCATAGCCAGCAACTAGCATCTCACCGGAGAAGAGAGAAGGAGGCTCTTGTTTACGCGTCACTGGTGTAGAACAAGGAAGTGAAATTCATATCTGTCTGCTGTTGTAGTGTGTGTGTGTGTGTGTTGCATCTAGCTCCTCGATCATTGAGATGTGATGAGGTAGACATAGTTGATGCTGTCAGACCCCTTGCCAAAAGGACAAATTAAATAGCTTCTGCAACTACTGAAAACTACCGACGTGAAAAGTTCCTCCTCCCCGCATATCATCTCTAGGTATGCCTCTCTTTCTCCGTCTATTGTTTCACGAGATTCATTGTTCGTCCATCATGAAAGCCAAGGCTTGTCAGCTTCATCCCTCCTTCGCCTACGACTCGAGGATAGGCAGAAAACTGTCAGCTTGAGCCACTAGCGACGCACAAACTAAGGAGACACCCTCGACTTGCCAACCTTGTGATGAATGAGAGGGGAATCACCGACGAGGAGGCCGCGAGTTCAGTGGAAACCATCGGCATCTAAATCTAGGTCGTGATGTAACCTAGTCATCCATAGAGTCCGTCACTCGTCGAATGCAATCTTGTTCATCATTTCATTCCCCGGTGAAGGGATAGGAATCACGACGTGCTTTGTGCTCCTGCTCTAGACTGTCAGCATCGGCGGCGGAGAACGAGAAGCGGGTGAAAGAGGGAAGGAGTTGACAAGTCTTACTGTAGATGGTTCAAGTATTTGGCAAACTGTAACTTGTAAGAGAGATTCACAACAGGATCAAGTCGGAGGTCTCTGACAAGCTTCCCCTTCCCGGTCCGAGTCCGAGCCTTCTTCCTCATTCTCCGGTTCGTGCTCGTGCTTGTGCTCGTGCTCATACTCTTCCGAGGTCCTGTTGGTGCCCATCCGGTCGAGAAACTCATCGATTCCAACTATGCTCTCGGCTCTCTCGCTCATGGCCTCCTCCGAGCGAGCAGGTCCATCCTCTGTCGTGCATTCAGTTGTCCCATCCTGGATAAGTCGCCTCTGCGCTTGTTCGCCCACCTCGACCTGTGTAAAAGTATGCTCGATGACCGGGCCGTAACCAAGAGGCGAATCACCCAGCACGCTTTCCTCAGACGTCGTATTTCCCGCCCCAAACTCCCCGGCGAAACCTCTCGATCCGCCCATCGACCCCCAACAACCTCCGTCTGCGCAATCCCGCTATCAGAACCGCCGCTCCGGCCCTCATCCCCATCCGCACCACCCTCGTCGTCATCCTCCGAACTAGAGTCCTGGTCCTCGAAGAACTTGAGCTCCGCCCCGGGCAACCGCAAAGCCGACGCCTCAGGCTCCGGGGCGTATACCCTCATCCACTCATCAAGACTAGCAAACGTGTCCGACGTCCGCGCCTCCGGGCGAGGAACGTTGCGCGAGAGGTTGTTCCCCTTGCACTTGTTAGCGCACTCGCACTTGTTACCGCAGAGTTCGGAGCATTTGTGGCCGCAGGGTAAAAGGCGTGCGCAGGGGACTTGCACCCGAGTCTATCGTGGGAGGCCCTAGACCAAGAAGCACAAGAACCCAATAGTTAGCTACGTGTGAAGCGCCAAAAAAGACAGCCCATCCTAATAGCGTAAAAAGAAAAAGCGCCAGAAGGTAGAAGAACTTACGGGTGGCACAGCAACGTACACCTATGCCCACATCCAACATACACCTGATTACAAGGCTGCCGACACCCCCATGAATATGTCCCCAATCCGAAGGGGACCGAATCGCCGTCGTGTTCCCATGCCTCTGACACGTCACAGGAAGCCGCCCATGACACCGATCCTGCTCAATCATCGCCTCCGTAATCGGCTTCCACGCCGCCTTCGCCTCGTCACTCGCCTTGACCAAGTTCCAATAATTCCCAAACACGTACAACCCCTCCGCGCCCGACTCACAGCCACCACCGCCCTGTTCCGGTTCGCCACGAACCCGACGCCCGGCGGCTGCCCCGCCCGGGCTACGCACGAGCGAGAGCACCACGACGTCGTTCTCCTCCCCTGGTACCCGTCCACGGTGCAGACGTTGTACCGCCGCGTGGGGTGGAGGTTCCCGAGGATCCTGTCCTGGTGGAGGCGCTGGCGGATCCACGTCCGCTGGCCCCGGTAAAACGTGAGCACGGTGATCTTGTCGGGCGCCGTGCCGTTCTGCACCAGGTACCGCACGAAACCCGCCACCATGGCCGCCTCCTCGCGGTTGGCCTTGCTCTGGTTCGCCGTGGCGTGCTCGGGCCAGTCGTGGCAGAAGAAGTAGCTCCCGCGGAGCCCATGCCCGGGACGGGTGGGCGGAGCGTGCGGTCGAGGACGCTGGGGTGGTCGGTGAGTTTGGGGTAGATGGCGCGCAGGACGCATCGGATTTCGGGAATCATGCGCCTTTGCACGTTGAGCACGGTTTTGTCGATGCCTAGGTTGACGAGGCGCTCGAAGAGGGACACGCCGAGGTTGTAAGGGGGCCGGCGAGAGTCGGGACGTCGGTGCTCGGGGCGAGCTGTTGGTGGTCGCCTACTAGGATGAGCTGCTCGAGAGACTCGACGAGGGCCGATGAAATATTCGCCTCCCGCGTCTCGGCGGCTTCTTCAATCAGCAAGATTCTCGGCTTTAGTTTTCCGATGAGCTCCCGGTACTTTGTGAGCCCGGTCGTTGTGCACCCGACGATGGGGATCGAGAGGGACCTGATGAGCTTGGCGTCGGATTCGGCTTTTACCTTGAGCGACTCGGCGTCCACGTCTTTGCAGGCTTTCAAGAGCTCTTGCAACTCGAAAGTCCGGATGGCCAGGTATTTCCGGCGGAGATGGTGGTAAATCGCGCCGCGGTACTCGGGACGAACCCTGTATAAATCGGTACACTGCGCCAAAACTTCATCGAACGTGGCCCAGAGCCGTGGCTTGCGCAGCTTCGGGGCCACGTCTACTTCAAACTCTTGGGTGATGGGGATATACTGCCCCGTGAGGAGATCGCGCTCATCGTCGTCGAGAGAGCTCGCTCGGCCACCGCGGGCCTCTGGATCCTGCACGTCTTCCCACTGCGTGGCCGTGGGCACGAATCGCGGGGTTCGGCGGGAAAGATCAAGCCGCCAAGCCACGCTCTCAAAGGCTCGGTTGAGTGGTTATCATCGCCAGGTTCCCCGGCAAGATGAGCGAGTCGTACTGCTGCTGGGTAATGAGATTGCATTTAAGTAGCCCATCTGTTTTCAAAAGACTCCCTTCGGATACGCTGCGGATAAGAGCCTCAAGACTGGCGGCGTTTCTCTTGCGGCGGGATTCGATAATCTTGTGTCTCGCGCCAGAATTGCCCTTCCGCGAGTCCCGGCGCAGCCTGAACAAAGTATGATTGTTCACCACCTCGTTATTCGAGCGTCTCCCAAGGCGCACAAAGGGGACATCAGTCGCTTGGCGAATGTGATTGAGGAGCTGATCGAGAGCGTGGTTCGTATGGGCAGAGATGATGATGGGCGCATTGGCCTCGAGGGTCTGGAGCAAGATTTTGATCACGGCGACCGAGACAAAGGTCTTGCCGGTACCAGGTGGGCCCTGAATAATGGCAATCTCGGAAGATATCATGCGTCGAATCGCTTCGAGCTGAGACAAATCCATGCCGGTGACGGAGGGAGTGTTTTCCGGAAAAGGGGCGGTGATGTCGATGTGAACGGGGGCCGGTTTCCTAGCAGGGCCGCCAAATGTTGCTTCTGATGCCTGCACAGAAGCCGGCGTAGTCATGGGTCCCTGGTTACAGATGGAAGCAACGTTTACGCGATATCGAAGCTCTTTGAGGTATTGCGGAGATGTACTAGCATTCTTCTCGCCAGCAACGAGATATCGATCAAAGCGCGACCTGGAAAACTGTTAGTTTGGACCGATGGCGCCCATGGGTAACCACAAAGAATTTGTTTTTACACCTACTTTAGAAGAGAGGCGCTTTGCAGACCGAGCATCGCATATCTCACCGCCTCGTAAAACCCCGACTTGGCCTCAATCATGACCATTTCCTCAATAGGGTCCAGCACAGCATCACCAGCATGAGCCCACGAGATATCGATCCGGGGCGGAGTATGTTCATGTTCGCCCGCCTTGCTATCGGGCTCTAACCCCCAACGAGAAGCCTTTGAGCAACGACGGCAACTCTGCAGATGGTCCGAAAGCAGTCCTGGACGGGGGACAGCGCCACGAGGGCTCCGGGTGTGAGGCGGTTCGAGGCAGCCCATCGGATCCTCTTGTCAGCCCGGCTCGGGCAGAAGCTGATGCGGCAAAAGGTCCCGAGACGGGTGAGTTGGTATCCTCGGACGATGACCTATATCCATATGGTGGCACGTGTAAGACGGAGAAGGGACAAAGAAGGCTTTTTCGGTGGGGGACCTACCTGGGTATAGACAGCGGTATCGCACGACTCCCTCATCGTAGGCTTGGCGCGGAATTCGGCGATGGATTGACGAAGCAGTTCGAGGCCCTCGTGGCGAATCAGCGAATACTGGGTCGCGAGGTAGGTCTTTTTATCGCCGGCTGGCACGCGGATGTCGTTTTTAGGTAGGTTCGCAGGGTTCTTTGCGAGAAGCTCTTCTGCAAGGGGGAACTCTGGGAGCTCGTCCCAAGGGATTTCGTGCTGGAGGCGAGGCACAAGCAGGTTAGCGTGGCAAAGCAAAACCAAAAATCAGAGAAAGAAGAGTATGCGGAGAGAAGTAGATGGCGGCGCCGGGTATGGAACTTACTGTGGCCATGGCTCCTACTGTCTCATCTATTCTCTTCCTCCGATAGGGTCTTGGCTGAACTGGGACGAAAGAAGAAAGACCGTTGCTAAAGGGGAAGGGAAGTTGGATTTTGGAGGGATAGAGATGACAGGCTGGGAGTGAGAGAGGAGAAGAAGAGATTGTCAGAAGGGGGACAGATGCGGATGTGGCTAGATCTATGTGGTTTCGAACTTGGTAGGTAGGGATGAGGGCTCCGGGGCGAAGGGATTAGGTAGTGTAGCTGGCCCCTTCTCCTTTCCGGAAAGGCTCTGTCTGGGCTGTAAGGGAAAGGAAGTATGGTAATAGACAAGAGGTGTATTGTTGTGATGGGGAAGTTCGAAGACCTTTGTTCAAGTCAAGGTTAGAGTCCCAGAGGTGGGTGTGTTCACTATTGAAGTTTAAGAGAGAAAATCAATGTAGGATGGAGGTAGGTTGAGAAAACAGCGTAGAGAGTGCCTCATACTAGACATACTTAAAGCATCTTCAAACTCTCAAGTAATTATTAAAAAGGGAAGGAGCAGGGGAGCAATATCCCACATAGCAGGGGGATGAGTTGGTTCTGCGTCTGGCAGTGCCTTGGGATGAGGTGGACAAAAGGTTGGACATGGCCTGCGCTGGGAATCACTTGGATCCTAATATAAGAGGTTAGGGAAGTTTTACACACTAAAGGGTAGAGGCTCTATATACTAAGAGGGAATCCATAAGTAGTTCTATGGGTTATGTGTATATATCATGAAGGGTTAACAAGGTAAGGCTGAAATAGACAGCACTTCCTAAGGAAAGGACCATTTGGAAATAGTAGAAATTGGTCTTGGTCCTTGTCCATCAATAACTACATGTATTGATTGAATCAATATGATCAAGTGATCCATCCATCAACCAACAGCCAGGAGAAAAGAGCAATCAATAAGATGTGATTTGATGTTATCGGAACTAGAATTGGAAATCCAAGCATTTGCCCAATGCTCACCTGAAACCAGGAAAGAGCTTGGAAGAGCATCAAGATGAGAGGCCGCCATTTGATTGCTTGTGTATAGAGATTTTGCCATTTCAAAGATCTGCCTGTGTACATGCACACCCGCCTACCCGGATCCTGAAGTTTTAAGAATGCTCCACGTCTGACTGGATTCAAGGCGTGTTGCCCGCTTCCCTCTCGCTACCATCTCGCTTAGTACGCTGGTGCTACCAGTTGCGAATGTTGTGTTCCCGCCTGATTGCGACCAACTTGTGGAGTGTTCAAGATTTTGTCGCGTTCCCGCCTGCCTTGAGGCAATCCCCGGCGGTTTGGGTAGCCGTAACCGTAGCCGTAGTGGCGGACTTGTGTGCTCCTTGAAGACGTTGCAACGTACATGTAGAGTGAGCGTCGAGCAACGTTCTTGTGTGAATTATCAATAATTTGAGGATGTGCTGATATCACTGTATATGCTGAGCCCTGCCGGCGCGTTGAGCGGATGATGATAAACTTAGATGCTATTCTTAAATCCGCTATCAATTCACCAACGTTAAGCTACGTGTATTTATAAAGGCCGTTCCATTTCATGTGAGATTCAATCGACGTCGTTGCGTGTTTAAAGATACCAGCCTGAGACGACAGCCAAACACGGGAACTATCAAAACCAACACAGATTAGAGGAGAAAAAGGGAATCAATACATCTAAGTTCCAAAAGCAGGAAAACAAGGGAAGAAAAGAAATCAAGGGTCGATTTGTACGCCGTTGGAAAACCCCAAAGGAAAACCATCCACTTCAATGTTCTGTCCAAAGCTCGGGTCGTATGTGTTGTGTTCATCAATCATTCAAATCCGGCAGCCTTCATCCGACATCCTTCTGCACCACTTCTATCTCGCCCAACTGCCGCTTATTCTTCCTCGCCTCTTTTAATCACCAATTACCGAGATGAAGGACATCTTGGATAGAGTTGGTAGTGTGGCTGATCTAAGAGTCGGGAAGGGCAACGGGAATCGCTGACGAGCGGGTATTGATCACCTCGACTCTCTGAACTGCGAATTGGGACGTAGGCCTGACTCGGATCGAGCTGCCATCGGACTTCTGAATGTCCTTGAATTCCTTGAGGAACAGGACGAGCACGACGAGGATGGCAATTTGGAAGAGGAGGGAGATGAAGCTGATGATGGAGGGGATGATGGAAGAAGAAGAGCGCTTGGTGTCTGTCATCGTGGCTTGTTTGGTGGGGGTTTTGTGTAAGTCGGGTTTGTGTTTGCGTGGGCCGATGAGCCTTGGTGTAGATAAGTCTGGAACGACAAGAGTTGTAGAAACACGACCTTTTCCAAAAGCTTTGTGAGAAAAAGGATGATCAAGAAAGAGTAGAAGAAGAAGTCAGAGCCGAAGCGCACACGACCTGGCACTCTTATACGTTTATTGTTCTTCAAACCCAACATTGATCGTTAGATGGACTTCGTCCTGCGAGCCGCCTCTCTGGCATGCGCAGGAATGGAGTTGATCTAAGGATGCCGTCATCAAACCCTGAAAAAGAAAAAGATCAGACAGGCCGACTCCTTTTGAAAATCTCACCATGCCGAACTTCCAGAAACACCTCAAAAAATATCAATTACAAGGTGGTGGTTGGTTTGCGTCTATTGGGTGAGATGGCAAAGCCCTTGCCGTCTTACACGGTTGATGGTGGCACCTTGAATCATAGCTTGAATCCAATCAAGGTGTTAGCACCAAGGCTTATTCGTCCATCGGTTCTTCGTGCGGTTATCTTTTCCCTTTTCCCACCCTGCATCAGGATAACCCAAGTTCAGCCATCTCCGCTCTCTCGAAGCATCGAAGGTGGCGGAGACTGTCATAGATCCTAGGGGGATACACAGATAATCACAGAACTTCAGGATGCGGGCTGGTCCAGTGAAGAGAAAAGCGTGGGGAAAAAGTGTCAATTAACGATTACTTGGACCAATTCGAATTTGGCAAGCAAAACCTATCACGAAATGTCTGGGGAGGGCCGCACCATACTACACATATGTATCTCATCCACAATCAAGCCTCAGGTCTAACCCCAACAAACGTGCGTGATGTTCCGCATCCTTCCTTCACTACGACACAATGACACGAAGAGGATCAATGAGCGCATTCGTAACGCGAACCGTCTGCGTATCGGGAAACATGACAGGAACCGGCAGCGACCGCGAGTTTGTGATTTCGACCTTTTGGACCCCGTACTGGTCCGCCGTCCTGACCCGGACCGAGTTGCCGCCGGATTTCTGGACGCCTTTGATCTCCTTGAGGAGCAGGATGAGAACGATGAGGATGCCGATTTGCACGAGGACGGACACCAAGTTGATGAGGGAGGGGATGATGGAAGAGGAGCGTTTCGTTTGCGACATGGTGACTTTTGAGTGTCTGGCTTCCCGGTGTTGGTCCTGTGGGGGTGATGGAGTAATGTGGTTGCGGTGCGTGTGTGTGTTCGTCTGGGCGTTGGAGTTACAGCCGAGCGGCGGATTTATGGACGGGAATACGGGTTCGGAGGTGTTCGCGAGAGAGAAGAAGTGGCCGGGGCCGGAGGGCGTGAGACCGAGAAGATAATCTAACGTTCAAGGGTATCGAGACTGCTAGGGCATCACTCGTCCTCGACGACCTACATGTTGGGCGATGCACGTATATATAACCTCAACGACTAGCTCACTTTAAGCACAAAACAAAACCCCCTCCCTCATCTCGCCGTGACCAAACAAGGCAAAACATCAAGAAAAAGATCGGAAAAGAGGCTCGACAGGTCGATCCCTTTCAATTTCCAGCGCTCAGCCTTCCAGGAATAACCCGCACTAGCGGTTTCGAGCGTCGCGAGGTTGCATCCTTAGCGTCTGTTAGAGATCGCGGGGGTGGTTTTGTGCTTGCAATAATCGCGGCTTAAATTTTGGCCGAGCGTGTGGTTTGGCCCTGGAACTGCCCGGTATGATTGCGCCAAGAGTTTTGGCTTCCTTTTCCAAAAGAAAAAGTGGCTGAGACCTTGCCGACTCGACGCTAACCAGCGCCTTTTTCCGTCTTTCGCGTGGCTAGGTGGGCAAGTTGGCTTGGTTCGCAGCGGAAGCGGGATAGCGAGGGAGATCCTCATACGTCATGACAGGGGGTATGGATGGGTGGCGCGCTGGCAGGCTTCCTTCATCCAGCCCGATTCGTGCTGGGCTGCTTGTCGATCTCATCTCTGATGCGGGCGGGAGGTGACTACTACCTTGGAAAGGTGCGGAAGACGGAAAGGGAAGAAAAAAAAAGATTGATTCAATCTGTAGTTCGGAGAGGAGGTCTGAGAGTGTGTATCTAGCTTCAGCGGCACGCTCTTCCCATGGTATTCGGCTTACACTCAACCGCCATGGATATGTTGCTTTGCTTGTCGTATATCTAGAGACCAGAATCACTACCCTAGTAAACAGTCCATCTTATACATCTCCTATTGCCCACAAAACCCGCCGTGAAGCTTATTTCCCCAAACCCTCCATCTCCCTCTCATAATCCTCCTCGCAAACCTCAAACTCCCTCTCCACCCCCGCCAACGCCTGCTGCAGCGACCGCTCGCACATCTCCAACCCCCGCCGCACCGCGACGACCCGCCGCTCCAGATCCACGAGACACCGCCCGCAGTCCGCGTTATCGTGCACCGTCGCGCCCCCGGCCACGCCGCCCCGGCTGCGCGGGCAAACGTACTTGCAACCGGCCTGCGAGGACTTGACGACCGCGAGCTCCGCGCGGTAGGCGGCGAAGCACCGGTGGTCGTCGTGCAGGGCGCGCTGGGCGGCGCGGTAGGTCGGGTAGCACTGGTGGGAGGCGAGGATGCGCTCGTGCGAGGCGCGGTAGGAAGGGTACGGGTTGTGGATGGTGGGTGTGGAGGCGGGGACGGGGACGGTGGCGTTGTTGCGGGGGTGATTCTGTGGATGTTGGTGTTGGCTCTGGTGGTGCTGGTGATGTCGTGGAGCCAGGGGTGGGGGTCGGCGAGGCGGCCGATGGTGAGGATGCCGGGGATGGCGAAGAATACGGCGAGGGTGAAGACGAGGACTTTTAGGGCGGTGGAGATTCTTTCGGTCTCCGCGGCGATGGGGCCGGGAGGCGGGGTGCCGGGAGAGGGAGCGGATTCGCTTGTGGCGTTGGGGGTTTCCGAGTTGAAGAGTTCCACAAAGGTAAAGGATTCCGAGATTTCGGGGGCCATGTCCGTGATGGAAGGAGGTCGTCTTGGGTGCCGGGGTTCCGTAGGGACATCGGTCCCGGTGGACGTGGCTGGTTCCTTGGTGTCTATCCTCATCGTGTCACTCCAAGGTTTGAGATGATGGTTTGTAGAGGGAGGAAGGAGGGAGGAAGGAGTAAATATTGGATGTGGTAAGGATATTCCAAGTGTGGGAAGGGAAGATGAAAAGGCTCGACTGCGGCCTGTGGGAGAGCGGACTTTTATATAAGGCATTGGGTCCTCAAATCGATCCTCGTCTCCAGAGTGAAGCGTCGTGCCTCAATGCCATAAGTCTGGTGTAAATGACGCTCAAACTTTTCAAGCAAAGGTTTATCGTCTGGACCTCATAGCCCAACGTATATCGAGGCTCGCGCCCAACACCTCATCCTCGCATGTGACGCTGAACCCTCAAAACGCGAAACGCAACACCCTCTCCCCATCCAGCCCAATCTAGTTCCCATACCTCTACACAGGGCTTCCGACCCATTGATCACGCACCCTCCGTCCACCTACCTACTCCAACAAAAACAGCCCCAAAAGGAATCCATCGTCCCCCTCCCGCAGCGCCGCCCAATTCTCCTCCCCCTCAACTCCCCAACCCCATCCCCCGCCTTCCTCACATACCAAGCCCCCTTGGCCACCATCTTCCTCCGCGACTCATCGCCCCCGATCCACTCCCCTTTCGCCCGTACGCCACATTAATTAACTCCCTCCCGTGCCGAATCATCGTCTCCCGCAGCAGCGCGAACCTCGCCTCGACCTCCACTTCGCCCGGCGCGTTGAAATCCGCACCCTCCGCATACGCCCTCACCAGCCCGTCCACAAACGCTCTCCCCGCCCGGTACGACGCCGCCGGAACCACGTCCTCCACGCTCAGCATGTGAGCCCGGACCCCGGCGAGAAGCTGCGCAATATCGCCGTCGACCCCGGCCCGCCCCAGCCGCGCAAACTGCCAATCCACCACCGCCAACGGACGCGTCTCACCCGCCGCGTACGAGACCCCTCGCTCCACGGCTCGGCGAGAATGCACCCCGGGTGGAGATCGCCCAGCGAGAAGCGCGGAAGCGTGGGCGGCGCGCGATAGGCGTTGGTGATGCGCGCGTGCACGGTTTCGGCGTGGGGGATGGAGAACTCTTCGAGGCGGCTGAGGATGGGGACAATGGCGACTTGTGTTACTAGAGGCGGGGTTCGGTCGTCGTTGGTGAGGAGCGTTTTCGCGACTGCGGGGTCGTTGGCGAGTTTGGTGGACGTCTCTGCAGAGTGGACCCCGACGAAAAACCGGCCGATGCGCTCTCCGAGTCTTGAGAAAAAGGGACTGATGTCGGATTCTGGGATTTTGCTGCATGCGCTCGGAGAAAGGAGCTCCCAGAGGGTTAAAAGCGGACTTGTGTCCTGCGCCGTGCCGGTGGGAGGCCCTGGATCTTGTTCGTTGAGGGAAAGGACGGTGACTGGTCCTTGAGCCGGAAGGTGGGAAAGGACTCCGGTTGCGCCGAGCGCGTGTAGGGCTGCGTCCTCTGACTGGGCCATGGTTTCAAATTATAAAAGGAACAGGACGGATTTGAATTCTGCGGTGGGCTTTCATGTCTACATGGAAGCGTAGTGAGTCGGGTGCGTTGATGTGGTGCATGATGTAATTTCGAGATCGAGCGGACTTCCATTAGTCTGTTCATGTGATTGATTGACCGTACATGTAGTCACACAGCATCACCCAGCACCGCAAGTTGAGGACAAAGAGTCCTGATGGTACTTTGGAGACGAAGAGACAAACACACGAGCCTAATTTGATACAACCCAGTCAACATCTCCCTCATGGATCGTGGTTTGGGCTTTGGGCTACTCCGGGTCTGTTTTCATTGTTACATCCAAGTATACAATGGACATGTCGGCTCTTGTACTCGATTGATGAATGTCGCGTTGGGATTGTAGCTACATCCCTCCTTTGCACTAAGAAGGAAGATTAGGAAAAACAATGAAGATCTCGTTCGGGAGGAAGTGATGGACATAAAGATGAGCTTAGTAGGAGTGGCACAGGTCGAATTCATCTGTTGTACATGGATCCATGCGATTCTCCCGCGACCCAAGACTGAGACTAGAACAATGGAATTGTACTGGGAAGAAGTGCAGATAGGAGGGTCAATCATCATGAACCACAGGCTGCAAGCGCGGTAGGTTGTAGGAAGTGAAGTTGGAAGTCAGCTGTCGTCGCGTGCTATTGATGTCCTGTCGACTTTAGGAGCTTGACTATGCCCTCGTGGTCATTCTTATCTGCCCATGATAGCGGCGTGCGACCACTGTTATCCGTTGAATCGATATCGACGTTCTGTGTGTCTAGTAGTAGCTTGACGATGCCTTCGTGGCCATTCTTAGCTGCCCATGATAGCGGTGTCTGACCATATTCAGCATCCTTTGAATCGATATCGACGCTCTGTGTGTCTAGTAGTAGCTTGACGATGCCCTCGTGGCCATTCTCAGCTGCCCATGATAGCGGTGTCTGACTATATTTAGCATCCTTTGAATCGATATCGACGTTCTGTGTGTCTAGTAGTAGCTTGACGATGCCTTCGTGGCCATTCTTAGCTGCCCATGATAGCGGTGTCTGACCATATTCAGCATCCTTTGAATCGATATCGACGCTCTGTGTGTCTAGTAGTAGCTTGACGATGCCTTCGTGGCCATTCCTAGCTGCCCATGATAGCGGTGTCTGACTATATTCAGCATCCTTTGAATCGATATCGACGCTCTGTGTGTCTAGTAGTAGCTTGACGATGCCCTCGTGGCCATTCTCAGCTGCCCATGATAGCGGTGTGCGACTACTATTACATTTTGAATCGATATCGACGCTCTGTGTGTCTAGTAGTAGCTTGACGATGCCTTCGTGGCCATTCTCAGCTGCCCATGATAGCGGTGTCTGACTATATTCAGCATCCTTTGAATCGATATCGACGCTCTGTGTGTCTAGTAGTAGCTTGACGATGCCCTCGTGGCCATTCTCAGCTGCCCATGATAGCGGTGTGCGACTACTATTACATTTTGAATCGATATCGACGCTCTGTGTGTCTAGTAGTAGCTTGACGATGCCTTCGTGGCCATTCTCAGCTGCCCATGATAGCGGTGTCTGACTATATTTAGCATCCTTTGAATCGATATCGACGTTCTGTGTGTCTAGTAGTAGCTTGACGATGCCTTCGTGGCCATTCTCAGCTGCCCATGATAGCGGTGTCTGACTATATTCAGCATCCTTTGAATCGATATCGACGCTCTGTGTGTCTAGTAGTAGCTTGACGATGCCTTCGTGGCCATTCTCAGCTGCCCATGATAGCGGTGTGCGACTACTATTACATTTTGAATCGATATCGACGCTCTGTGTGTCTAGTAGTAGCTTGACGATGCCTTCGTGGCCATTCTCAGCTGCCCATGATAGCGGTGTGCGACTACTATTACATTTTGAATCGATATCGACGTTCTGTGTGTCTAGTAGTAGCTTGACGATGCCTTCGTGGCCATTCCCAGCTGCCCATGATAGCGGTGTGCGACTACTATTAATTTTTGAATCGATATCGACGTTCTGTGTGTCTAGTAGTAGCTTGACGATGCCTTCGTGGCCATTCTCAGCTGCCAATGACAGCGGCGTACGATTATCACCATCACTTTCGTCGTAGTCTAGCATTTCACCCCATCTATCTTTGATAGAGATCAGGGCCCGTAAGAGTCCAGACGCCGCCAGTATGTGAACTAGACCAGTTTCTAGAGAAGGGCAGTCATACCACCAACCCCACTGTGTATTGTAGATATCTACCCATTGCCCGATGAACCGGCTTGATGGTGCACCGAGGAGTTGGATAAGGTCATGCTGTTCGACGCCCATCTTCTCAACATGTATACAATGCTTTATCCAGCGAGTAGTAGCATACTCTAAGAAAGGATACTCAGAGGACTTATCATGCGCGGGCTTATGGATCTCCTCTAGATGGAGATATCGTATGCACACCATGGCTAACTGGCGATGGGCGGCTCCAGCGGCGTTTTCAGTAGAAGCCCACCGTTTGCCAAGCTCCAGTAAACCATTTTCACAGAAGTAGTCCTTGACGGATTGATGGATAAACTGGATCATGTCGTGATTTGCCGACGAGGAAACCTCAGCGAGACCATGGCTCAGCTCGTTGACTTGTGCCTTCATACTTTTACTGTCATAGATGCTTTCTGCGTCCTGATAGGCTTGGATCGATTCCATGTTGGAATCTGTGTCAATCGTCATTGCCCAGCACATTTCTTCGAGAGATAACGGCTTCTGGGCAAAACATATCCATCGAATAAGTTTTAGCGATTCTTCGTCCATGCCACTAATCATCTCTTGGTAGAGGGTGTCAAGGTCCTTGGGAATCTTTGAGATTTCGTTCTTGATCCTTTTAGACGGTAACCCTTCTGAGAAAGAAGCTTCGCCGTTTTAACCACGAGGCGAGCCCACAGGAACACTCCAGAAGCATGGCCGGAGATTAGCGCTTGTATCGAAGAATCAAGCGATCGAGATAGCCCTGAGAATTGGGTTCTAACATAAGTAGAGATATCGGACCCGTTCTCTTTCTCTAGGCAGATTTCGAAATCTGCAGAAAGGTGGAGGATAGGGTAGTGGCGACAAGTGACGAAGAGATGGAAGTGCGAGTCCTGAGGCTGGAGCGGGAGCAAGTCTTGTAACCATTCAAATAAATCTACCGCATTGCTCTCTCCACATTCATCTAAAGCGTCGACATAAAGCCATAGCGCGTAATCTTTAAGGACCCTAGGGAGAGATAGCTGGAAGAAGTTCTTCAACTCATTTTCATGCCACTCCCAATTTTCACCGTGGGGGCCGATCTGCCCCAGCCTTTTCTCAAAAGTTGAAATAAGCTCAGGTAATGCTGTAGGGGTCATGCTGACAACTTGATGGAGGATAGATCGAAGGAAACCGACAGGAGACTTCTGGAGAAGGTCGCCGCGGCCATGGAAGAAAAACTGCACGACCAAGTCCTTTGTCTGGGGGAGTAGCTGACCGACCGCATATTTCAGCAGTGTAGACTTTCCGGAACCTGGTTTTCCCTTGACCCATAGAAGCCCTTGATCGCGGTTGATCCAATCTTTATATGCTTGGTGTTGAACAAGCCATTCGAGAGTTCCATAGGTAGCAGTCTCGACGCCAATGAATCTGGAATCCATACCGGCGAAGGCGAGGGATTTCAGGCAGTCGTTCACGGCTTTAGATACCTCTTGAGGAGGTTGGGGCGGGTTTGAGACTTGAGAAAGTCAAAGTGTTAGTGGAATGACCTAATAGGTCACAAAATGTGCCAAGTGAGGCCGCCTTACCTATATCTGGTGTTGGCACAAGTGACAAGAGCTCCTTTGCATATGCCGCTGCAGTGGCAGCAGCATACCTTTGCCAGCTCTTATTCTTATGTGAGTCGGCATAGTCACAGATCCCACGGATTACCAGTGCCTGCTTCCCAGCCACGATACCAGCAGCTTCCATCTCAACGCAGAGTATGTTATAGTCTTTGTAAAGCTGGTCGCGCTTCTCGCTTGATTTTATAAGCGCATTGCCGGAGCCGATGGTCCCGTAGTGGATATGAGGTGTATCGGTAGTCCGAATTGCTCTAGTGCCCCGGTCCTCTCGTCGTTCTGATCGGGTCATGTCGCAGATCTTGTCGCAAGACTTTCTGAGATCTTCATGGTGATAGTTATTGGGGAAAAGGAAATCCCAACTTTCCCTGGATCAAAAAAGTCCTGCGAGCCGAGCGGTTGTATGTTTTGGCGGGCTTCACGTAGATATGTGGGGATGCTTGTTCCCGGGATTAGGTCGTGGTTAGCACGAAGATTGTTTACTGCGCTGAGAAGAGCAGAATCTGCATGAAGGGTATGGCCGGAATGCGAGAAATTGCCGTTCTCTTCGAACACGCCGTGCTCATAATGTATAGTCCCGCCTTCTCTCCACTCGGGGTAGCCGACAATGACATCGCCCAGGACAATCTGTTCCCGCAGATCCACACCATACCTGGGGACACCTCCCGCTATACCAACTACTAGATAGTATTTGATATTGGGAAAGGATCTGCCCAGGTTTTCGGATGTTGTAGCCGCCGGGTTGGTACCGATGCGTGGGCAGACAGCCACCGCGACCCAGTGATTATATATCTTCCCGACGTGATACATGACAGTATCTCCAGGTATTGAAACCTGGATACGCTCCTCAAGCATTGCAAGCACAGGCGTCAGTTCAATCGCCATAGGGGCAATCCATCCCACGGTCACCTTTGATGCAGGAGATGCCATTGTTGGGAATCGTGGGGAGGTAGTTTTGGTGTTGTGTTGTACGGCTTCCGCTCGAAAATCTTTGGGCTAGTTTCATAGAAACAACATAGGGACTGTGAGTACATATATCGTGACAAGAGCTAAGGAGCGGATTTTGAGATGAAAAAAGAGGCAGAGTGAAATGAGGGGTTGGATGTCAACCCCTCCCCTCATCCATCCAATGGATCGTTCTTGCAGCGCAGCCTTGCCATCGACTCACACTCGATATTGGTGGCAGCTGAGCCCTGCATGCAGCTTCGTGTACCACGTCGATGTATGGTAGCCCTGGTACATTGGGCACAGCCATGTGTGCCTAACAGAGACTTGGTGTCATAACGTGCATGGCGATACCAAAAGGTTGGCTTGATGATCGGAAATGGCCTCAATCATTCTCATGAGACAGCCTGACAACTCGCTTTGGATAGTTTTGTTCTATTTAGAACTAGTAGTAACATTGATAATCCTTGATCTACATGTACGGACCAGGTTCGTAGGGTATAAGAGGTTGAGGTCAGCCGCCAGGCGACGTGGAAACCCATAAGTGATGGCCTGTGAATGCCTTATCCATCGTAAGTGGTGCCTTATCACAAACCTGGGCTTCCTAGACCTGAGAAACCACGCTAGACAGAACTTGCAAAGCATGGAATCCATGGATAGTTTCGGGGAGGTATATTGATGGTGTAAGTTAGTCAAACGACCCCCATTAATAGATAAGTAGTGTTTGGAAAATACGCAGGTCCTTCGATTCTCAGCGGCATCATCCCCCTCACCTTCGACCGGCTTTGGAGTTTTGGAGGATGAGGGTTCATCAAGGAAAGCCCACGTGATAGCGTGCCTTGATTCATACACGTAGATGTACCGGACTGGGACAAGGCGGCCTGTCCCCAAGCCTGGGTCAGCGAGCTCAACTCGCCGCCCCGGGCCCTCTGGAGTATCAGTTTCACCTTGGCCCAGCAAAGAAGAACTGGAGAGGAATGTGACTGATCAGTTGGTTAAGCTCCTAGAAGCTTGTCAAGTATACTAAATAGAACAGCCGGACTTATTTACTATCCAACTGTGCCACGCTCAGAATTGACAGGCAAACCTATGCGGCTCGGGCAAAAGCTCGACGCCGGTTGCGACATTCATTCAATGATCATCTCTCCAGAGTTTCTTCCAAGGCGACGGGCCTGCTTCTGCGATCCCTTCACTTGGTGCGCACGGGTTCCGCTTTCCTTTGGCCCTGGGGTTCGTCTCAAGTTCAGGCCCGGCCCCACGAGAATGCTTTTTCTACTTCCCTTCCAATGGCAGGGTCGAAGACGAGGTTATGGCGCTAGCTCGGTGACTATCATGTATCACCTCGAAGAATGTCGAGGGCCTTTTCCGCCTTCCTCCTCTTTGCAGTCCCTGCTTGAGATGCGCGTGGGGTGCGGCTGAGGCCCTGGCGCGGCGTGGCGTGGCCGCCTTAGTTCAGGGACGTCTTCATGACAGGGGTTGAATTTAAGGTCGAAGAATTAATGGGAGAGGAAGAAAAGAAACCCTTCACTCATTCCCAGCCACGGTTCCTGAATGTGGTGGCAGTGCTTGACTTCTTCTCTCTTTGATAGAGGTTGAGCTTGCTGATGTGGAACGTGAAGAAGGGCATATCGTGTGCTGGGTTGGATGTCATTTGCGATTTACATCCATGTCAAGTGTATTACATCAATGTTTTGAGAAACCTTCCGCCCCACACAAACCAAGGATGGATGAAAGATCCATGGCAGCCCCGACAGCCAGCTTGCCGTCCGCCGCTCCTTCCTGAGTATTGATCTTGCTATTTGCTGTATAGGTTTCTTCACTGCTGGGCTTTGAACAAGCTAACGAAGCACCGAGAGTTGATGGGTTTAATCCACCACGAATATCAGGGAAGGCTCTGGGGAACGCGTCATCACCCTATATATGTCTTGAGAAGAAAAGGAAAAGGAGGCAAGAAGCTGATTCACAGAGTGGGAGAAGAGTGAATATTCCTGGCAGGGATTGATACAGGGCCTTCTGGCCAAGACGCACTTTGTGAAGACTAAGCGCAATCTGGCTGGCTCAACTTCAATTGATCCTGGATGGGTTCATGGCTACTGTAGCATCGAAGTTATGTTGATCGAAGGATATCGGACCAGGGACTGAAAGCTTCGATCCGAAGCAATGGGTCAGGAGGCAATCGCAGGCACGCCGGAGGCCGCCCGCCGCTAACCGTGATTGGGCCTCAGGGAAGGTAGGCAGCCGAATTGCCATTGCTGGCGCCCGTGCCTGGCAGGGTTAATTCTGGCTAGTGCGATTGATTACAACGGCGCCACGGCTGGTGTCTTGCGGCTGGGCTGAGTAATCAAGTGCAGCGCGATGGGGCTTGCGTGTTTCGTTCGACGCCGCATCTTGAACAAGCCTAGTTCTGGTCCCCTGCGCTGGTCTCGCGATCTGTGCATCTAATACCGGCGAGCCGGAACAGGAATGAGGGATTTTCTCGTCCTTTTTCCAATTCGCCTGCCTAGCTTATTGAAGGCTGGGAGGGATGGAAAATATGCCAAGGGGTTCCGCGGTGGAAGCGAACATTGGATGTTCAACATCTGGGATCTTGTCTTAAGAGGCATGGACACTCTCACGGCAAAAGTTGCGCTGAAATTGCTTTAAGAATGAGGCGGTGGCGGTGCGTTCGGCTCTCTACATTAAAATGTTGGGTCTAGATCCAAATCTCGCACTGGGTAGTTTGGGGAGAGAGAGAGAGAGAGATTTCAAGATGAGCAGTTGAAAAATTTGACCAATTGATACGTGGAGTTTGCTGTTTGTCCGACGCTGATCAATCCGCATTCGTCCCAATGGATCTCGTCTCAAGATGCGATGCATTCCAGTTGTCGTTGTCGGGTTCATCGCCAGCATGTGAGCCATCAACATTTTGGATCATCCACGCAGCTCTGGAGGGATCATAGGGAACATAGTGACCTCTCGTCTCCAGCTCGACGCTACCCCGCACTAGCACCAGCGAGACCCTGTTTCGGCAGCCCTAGGCACCAGGAATGGCACTGGAACCTGCATCTAGGTAGACACTCTCGCCGCCTCTGGTTGGCTAATCCCTTCCTGGAGGCGTGGCTTAGTTCAAGCTCTGTTCATGATATTGGCCCATGCCGGTTGAAGATGGAGATACGGTCGATATCGCAAGACCAAGCTTAAACTAAATCGTCCAGGGGGCTCTCTCTCTTCTCTCTCCCTCTTCTATAAAAGGACCGTCACTCTTCCCTTTTGCTTGAATCCAGGACTTATTCTTCTTTCCTCATCATCAACTTACACAAACAGTCGGCAGCCACACCAGACACCAGCTACATCATCTTGATACCCATCCATCTCTAACCGGCGAGAACTTGTTCCGAGTTAACGATTTGCCAAGAAAAGAGAGAAGCCGTTGCTATCTCTCATCCTCCCATCACGAATTTTTGTCTCTAACGCCATTACTTCGATCCCACCTCTCTTGCTTGAGTGAAGGAACACTATACCAAGTTGCACGTTGCCATTCTCCTTCCCCTCCTTCCATTTACACATCAACTCGCAAAACGACAAAACGACAAAACGACAAAACAAAATCACAATGGCGGGCATTTTCCCCACACCCACATCTGCGGCCTCTTCTACGTCGTCCACCATGTCCGGAAATTCATCCCCCAGGTCCAAATGGACGCCCACGTCTCCATCCTGTCCTCCGTCTCCAGAACCACCCTCACCCAGACCTTCACCACCGAGGGCCTATCGAGCGCGTTAACCGAGGTCAAGTACGCCTTCCCCATCTATGACGGAGTCAGCGTCGTCGCCTTCACCTGCACGATAGGCGACCGCGTGGTACGGGGCATCGTCAAGGAGAAGCAAAGGCCCGCGAAGTGTACGAACAGGCCCGCGATCGCGGCGAGGCCGCCGCCCTGCTCGAACAGGTCCCCGAGGCGGCCGACGTCTGGACCACCTCGGTGGGCAACATCCCCGCCAACACCAACGTCAAGGTCGAAATCTCCTACCTGGGCGAGCTGAAGCACGATGCCGAGGTCGACGGCATCCGGTACACCATCCCCGCCGTCATCGCCCCGCGCTACGGTCAGATGCCCGAGTCCATGCTCTCCACCAACAGCAGCCTCGGCGGCAAGGGCGGCCTCAAGATTGTCGTCGACGCCCAGGTCCCCGCCGGTTCCGTGATCAAGGCCGTTCAGTCCCCCAGCCACCCCATCTCCGTCGCCGTCGGCAACCTCTCCACCGCCCCCGACGCCGAGCCCTCGCTGCAAAAGCCTCGGCCACCCTCACCTCGGGGTCCACCGAGTTCGAAAAGGACTTTGTGCTCCACGTCATCGCCACCAACACTTCCAACCCCGTCGCCCTGCTCGAGAATCACCCCACCCTCCCCAACCAGAGGGCCCTGATGGCCACCCTCGTGCCCAGGTTCAACCTGCCCCCGGACAAGCCCGAGATCGTGTTCGTCTGCGACAGGAGCGGGAGCATGGGCTGGGGCAAGATCGAGAATCTCAAGGCCGCCTTGCACATCTTCCTCAAGTCGCTCCCCGTCGGCGTCAAGTTCAACATCTGCAGCTTCGGTTCCAGCTATTCTCTGCTCTGGGACCGGTCCAAGTCGTACGACAAGTCGAGCCTCGACGAGGCGTCCCGCCACATCGACACGTTCGACTCCAACATGGGCGGCACCGAGATGTGCCAGCCCATCAAGGCCGTCTTCGAGAAGCGGTACAAGGACATGAACCTCGAAGTCTTCCTCCTCACCGACGGCGACATCTGGGACCAGGACAAGCTTTTCGGCATCATCAACAGCGAGGTGGCCAGCAGCAAGGGCGCCATTCGCGTCTTCACCCTCGGAATCGGCACCGGCGCTAGTACGTCGCTCGTCGAGGGGCGGCTCGATGCGGAAACGGCTTCTCCCAGCTGGTCGGCGACAACGAGAAGATGAACAACAAGGTCGTCCGCATGCTCAAGGGTGCCCTGACCCCCACGTCAAGGATTACAGCCTCGAGATCAAGTACGCCGAGTCCAAGGGCGACGACAAGCCTCAAGCGGAGGAGGGCGACGATGCCGACGACTTTGAACTGGTGGAAAAGGTCCTCGACTGCCTCGTCGTCGACGACTCCCGAAGCGAGAAGACCTTGGTCTCCGGAGAGTCCGAGACCGCCAAGAAAAAGGTCATTCCACTCTTCAACTTCTTCGCCGAAAAGGGCCCCGCGCCCCCGAGCCCGAGCCCGAGACCCCGCCAGCCTCCAGCGGCACCGACGCCAAGTTCGACCACCTCCCGCCGTCAAGGAGCCCAAGCTCCTCCAAGCCCCCTTCGAGATCCCCGCTCTTCCCCTTCAACCGCACGAGCGTGTACGTGCTCATGTCCGACGAGACCGCCCGCCGGCCCGTCAAGTCGGTCGTGCTGCGCGGCACCTCGGTCCACGGGGCCCTCGAGCTCGAGATCCCCGTCACCACGCTGGACGAGCCCGGCGAGACGGTCCACCAGCTCGCCGCCCGCAAGGCCGTCAAGGAACTCGAGGAAGGAAAAGGGTGGATCCGGCACGCCAAGGACGCCGGCGACGAGCTCCTCAGCCGCAGGTACGACGGCAGGTTCTCCGACATGGTGGAGCGCGAGGCCGTGCGTCTCGGCGTGCGCTACCAGGTCGCCGGCCGGTGGTGCTCGTTTGTCGCTGTCGAGGAAAGGCCCGGCGAGGAGGCGGCGCGCCAGCTGTCCGCGCCCAAGGAGGGCGAGGAAGGCAGCGCGGCGAGCGAGGAGGAGGCCGTTCTCGAGAGCTACGCGGTGGCGCCCGCTTTCCAGGCGCAGCGATCGCGAAAGGGGGCATGGGCGGCGTGGTGGGCATGGCGCGGCGCATGGTGGCCCAACCGCCTCCTCCTCCGGCGCCGTGTGCCTCGGCCCCCATCCAACCCGCCGCGCGCATGGCGAGCACCAGCCTCTTCGGCGCGGCCCCTCCGGCGCCCGGCGGTTCCGCGCAGGTAGAGTCCGTCGCCTTGCGCGGCTACGCCATGGATTCGCTCGCCGACAAGTCGAACGACTTGGCCGCCCAATCCGCCCTGTTCGCGCAATCCTCCAAGGCGGCGGCGCCGCCGTCGCTCACGGACAAGGCGTTTAGCTTGTTCGGCTCCAAGAAGAAGAGGTCCGGGGACCCTCCTCCCGTGACTGCGTCGTCGTTCTCGTCTATGGAGAAGAAGAAGGAGAGCTCGGGCTTTGGCGGCGGAGGAGGCAGCGCCGGATTCCGGACGTCCACTACCTCTGCTTTTGGCGGGCACCTGGCGGCGCTGGATTCGGGACGTCCACCACCTCTGCTTTTGGCGGGGCGCCCGGCGGCGCTGGATTCGGTAGTTCTGGTAATTCCGGCACCTCGCTCTTTGGAGGGGCCCCACCCCCACCGGATACGGGCGTCCTCCTTCCGCCACGGCCCCTGGTTTGTTTGGAAGCGCGCCCAAGGCTGCACCGCCCCCGACTGACGAGGACGACTTGGAAGAGGACCAGGCCTTTTCCATCTCCTTTAGCGACAGTGCAGCGCCCCCTCCTCCCCTCCGCCAGCCGGCAACGCCCTGTTTAGCCAGGGACCCGCGCCCTTCCCGATCCTGCCCTCGCCCGTGAGCCAAACCCCGCGGCGGCGTTTGGCCAAATGCATCACCGAGCAAATTTGAGCGCCTCCGCCCGCAGCCACGGAGCCCATGCGGTCGCAGCCGTTGTACCCACCCCCGTGGCCCAGGACCCCATGACCGCCATCGTGGACCTGCAGACTTTCGAGGGCTTCTGGCCCGCCGCGTCCGCCGGCGAACTCTTGGCGGCCCTCGGCGGCACCAGCGACGAGAAGATTGTCGCCGCGCTGGAGGCGAGCACGGCCACTTGGGCGGCGGCGCTCAAGGGGAACGCGGACGCGCGGCTAACGGCGTTTGTGCTGGTGTACTTGGCCAAGAAGCTCGGGAGCGAGAGGGATGTGTGGGATATGATGGCCGAGAAGGCGTTGGATTGGTTGAGGGGGTGGTGGGTGGTGTGGAGCAGGATGAGTTGGAGGGGTTTTGGGGGCTTTTGTAAATGAGATGGGAAATGGGGAAGTTATTGGGATTAATTGGGTCATGATTATGAGGATGGGATGAGAATACCCCTTGAGGATGAATATGGAATAATATGAAGATATTTGGATCCTTTGGGTCTTTTTGATCTGTTTAGTGAACCTGTGTGTGATATTGTTTTTGTTCAAGATTGACTTATATCGTGTCTTCTTACCGCACCGCGACTTGTCTCGTTTGTAATACTGAAAAAGATATAAAATAAGTACAAGGTCTATGTTGTGCCTGTCCTATCACCTTGGCTAGCTAGTTTGTAGAGAATCGAACAAGTAACTTATGTCTGAACGCCTGACCGTCTCCAGGGTCCTCATCATCGTGAGTACATGTAGAAAGGAATGACGCCTCAACTGCGCTCGCCCCCGAACCTCGATTCCTCATCCCCTCACGTATATCCACGGCGGGAATGTTATCAGCTGGGATTTGTCACAAGAAATGGGTTAGCCCCCACTTTAGCCCTATGAGCATACCAGACCAGCCTGAAAGGTATCGTCTGTTTTCAAACCTTACACGCGGCCAATACCGATGATACCGCCCAGACCAAGACCAATGTCGAGAAGCACGTCGAGGTCCAGACCGAGAGACGCGCTGAGAGCAGCACCGAGAACGCTCTTGACTACGGCGTTGACGGAGGCGCCGACGCCGGCGAAGATGCCGTCGAGGCAGACGGTGAAGTCGCCAAAGGCCTCAAGAGCGGGCTTTACCTGTTCCTTGACACAGTCTGTTTTGTGTTCCGCGTTAGATTTTCCCATGTACTGGTTATCGCGGAGCGAATGTAGGACGACCCCGAAAAAACAAAATATAGAAAATAGGAAGGGGAAGAAGGAAGAGCATACCCTCGCCAAGACGATCAACGACCGTATCCACATCCTCGCAAAACTTCTTCGACTTGTCCACAATCACCTTTTCCGCGCAACCACGATCACACTCGCTAGCTCCGCCACCGACAACAACGTCAGCCTCGGCGGCGGCCTTGAGCTGGGCAGCGGCCTCGGCGAGCAGGCGGGCGCAGGCCTCGAGGTCGGCTTGGATCTGGGCGGCGATGGCTTCGCGGACCTCGAGGGCGGCGGAGACGTCGACGTCGGCTTCGATGCAGACGTTTACTGTGCGAAGTGCGGTGTCGTTAGTGACTTTCTTTTCAAGAAGGGAGATGGTTTGGGGGTTGGTTGTAAGTGGTTAGTGAAGGGGGATTGGGCGTACCGGCCGCAGAGGCGTGGGCGTCAACCTGGGCGAACAACTCGTCGAGGTCGGCGGTTCTCTTGACGATGCGGGTATCCTGAACGGTGGGGATGGCAAAGGCGGAGCTGAAGAGGCTGAGGGAGAGGATGGTAGAGGAGAACTTCATGGTGGCGGTGGGATGTAATGGGAGGATAGGTGGAGTATTTGCCCTTGTGGTTTACCGTTTGGTTGGGGGTTGAGGATCGTGAAGATAGATGAGGGTGAGAAGGCCCGGTGATCAGAGTCGTGTTGGTTTGGGATGCTTGATGAAGACTGTAGGTGGAATAAGATGAAGGGGGAGGTTATCGCTGCTATTTATACTTGTTGAAAGCGGTCCTAGAAGAATATATATTCTCTTTTCAACAGCTTGGGTGTCTCCAGATGCTCATACACCTACTGCGGGAACTGCCCAAGAAGACCCCTTTCCATGCTCATCCCATGCTCTCACATCTTTACGGTCCTTCCGGGAAAATCATAAGAATAGGAAACCGGAGCAAGACATGACATCATGAAAGGATCTTCGAGAGCCCACATCTGCCGCTCATGAACGGAGAATCCACTGATCGCCACCTCCAAGGGGAAGGGAATATAAAGGACGGGGAAAAGGAGAAACAGTGAGGTCAACAAGGCCCACGAGGGGGAGGGGAGCAAAAGAGAGGGAAGGGGGAGGGAAGAAGTGTGAGAGTGTGGAGAAAAGCGAGCCTAGATATTGATCTACTGTAACCCTCCGCCGGGCTGGGAACAACTGTGGGTGTGGTGTAGTTAAGCTTTCTCTTAAAGGGCGTTGTTGAGCTACGAGACCACGCACTGGAGTGCATGTAGACGGATGGAAGAAGGGGAAGGATAAGGAGAGCTCAGTGATCTTCAGTGGTATACTACCTCGCGTACGTTTGATCTTGAGAGCAGCGAGTGAGTTGTTCTTCACAGCCGGGCCGATGAGAGTTCTTTCTCGTCTATATCAAGTTCCGAGCAAGCTTGAGATGGCATCTCGCCCCGCTAGGGCCCGCGAGCTCTGTCAAAACGTCCCCGCCGCTGATCACTAGACGATTCATTTACCCAGGCAATGGGGAAGAATTCCGTAGAGTCGTGGATCTTCAAAGGCTAGGGAGTTCAAGGTCTGTGTTCTTAGGGAAACTCGTTGATCTCTATCCACTTGCATTTCTATTTACGAATCCATGTCCACAAAATATCCTACGCGGCTTGTCTGTCTGGTTAATAGATACCCAGACCCCAAGTCCCAGGAACAGTAAGCTCGACAGGGGCAAGCATTAATGAGAGCTTATTCGCGAAAGGCCTGATAATAGTGACCTGGCCCCTTTAGCTTATGGAAGGACCCTGAAGCGCCACTCGACAGAGTCGGCTAGTTCTGGCACCGATTCGTGGTTCCGCTGTTATCGAGTTGACTCGAGCCTCCCGGGCCGTTCTCCAGGGTTTCCATAATTAGAACCTCTAGGGAAAAAGGCGTATGGTCCGTCCTGCCGTCGATCCGTCACGCTGCCCATCGTCACCATACATCCATGTCCCACCTCTCTTCCCATCTCCCTTTGCCCTTCCGCTGCGGTGCGATGTCACTGAGCATGATCATAACCGCCAAAGGCAGCACTGCAGAGGAATCCACGTTCCAGGATTTACAAGAGATCGACGTCTCGATGACAGGTCAATCAATGCACGTGTATATAGAAGCGCGAAGGGAGGAGGAGGGACAGGAAACAAATCAAGAACGGACCACAGTATATGTGAAAAGTTCGCGCAGATCAGGCAGCGGATATTGAGATACATGCAAACGACGCCATTGTCCTACCTAGCCATGTTCGAGAAGGTGGAAGAAAAGAATCTCGTGGGGAAACTTTCCCTTTGCTTTTCTTCCAGTCTTTTTCGGATTATCTTCTCGTCGTCACGGACGATCATCACCACTCCAGAGCCCGTCGTGGGGTCATCCAATCAACCAAATCAAGGACCGGGAGAATCGGCTAATCTGCCCGCCGAGCGGCATGTAAGTGCCCGCCACGACTGCACCCCGCCCGCCTCATAGCTTTTCTAATCTTCGAAGCGGATCGGGGGTGGGGCGCAAGAGTTCAACGTTTGACAGACATAAATATGCAGACATGGAACGGGGCTCGGCAGGGGAATGTTCATCACTTGCTTCTCTGGTTGCGGAATGTGTGACTTGACTGGCGTCCGGGACGGCCTTTTGGAAGAGAGTTTCCATAAACGGACCGTAATGTTTTGCGCCCGGGGCCGGATCGCAGGGACCGGCGGGGCCGGATAGAAAGCGGGGCACAACTTGGATGCGAAACCCACTTGAGGAGAAAACAAAAGGTGAGATCAGAGAGGCAGAGACGATCCTTTCTGCAGGAAAGGGAGAAATGGAGGAATTCGACGGAACTGCGGACACTGTTTTCCCACGGGCAAAGGGCACCCGTGGCATTTGGCTAAAGAGTATGCTGCGATTCGATGGCCATTGAGCCCGCTGGCGGAGGGAATATCGAACCCACCCATGGTTTTTGTTCCTTGCATCTCCTCGTTTTGGAGACTGGAGACAGGCCCTGCATTTCTTTCTTCCCTTGGAGGAGGGTTTCACTGGTAACTGGAGGAAACAAGAGGTCGAAAAGAGTGCATCTCCGCGGACCTATTGGTTCCTGCGGACGGAGGCAAGCCACCCATGCCGGCATTGGTGAAGAGCGAAGATGATTTCCGTCCCTTCCATTGGTATCGATTGATCACTCATCTTCAAGGCCCGATGTGGACGAATGCTAGGGATCATTGTAAGCCGACGCGAGGGGACCCAGGACGCCACTGCCAAGAACGAGGCTCAAAATTGGAAACGTCAAAAGGCTCAACATCGTGGGAGTCGGTCCGGGGAAAAGAAAAAGGCGAGCGCAACCTGGCATCACGAGTCTACTGCTGCCAAGAGTAGAAAAAGAACGAAAGGGCAAGCTCCCCATGGAGGATTTCCGACTGGCTGGGCATCGCGCGCACTGGAAACCTAAGCTTTCCGCGAAAACCTCCAAAATGCAACCTTGCCCTAGCATACCTGAGCGATTCTGGCTACGGCATCGGAAGCTGGCGAGAAAGGTGGCTTGGAAAAAATGCCCTAGGTTTACCGCCAGACTAACGGATGTTACTAGCTCATGGCACGGTAGCTCAGTTGATATGGCGAAGCGATCAGCCGCAACGGCGTAACGACGAGGCTACCTGAGCCTCAGGTTTTACAATCCTCAACTTATCGTGGATGTCCCTGGCGACATAAGTCTCATCCAATAGAAATTTTCAGCCTCGACAGTCACTTAGATGAGTAGTCACTTATAGTTTACAAATGGCGCCATGAAGGCACCATACAAAAGAAAAAAGATATTGAGGAAAGGAGGAGAAGGGGAAGGAAAAAAGAAAAGAGGGAGGGCGGGCGGCAGAGCAAAAAGTTCCAGCGTCAAAGAGGGAGGCGGGGGAGGCTGCGCGGGGAGGGAATGTGATGTGGGGAGATGAGGGGCAAGCATCAATATCCCCGGGGAAGGTGGTGGGATGGACTCACTCTGGACGGGGCGGGCGGTGAAGCTGAGCTCTCAAGACCCCTGCGAAATGCGCTCAGTCGGTTGGCGGCGTCGCCTTGATGGCTTCGACTGCTTGGGCGGGGGAGGTGTGAAGCGAGTGCCTCAGAGGGCGCCGCCGCTCGACATTGTCCCGAGATCTAGGCCAATAAACACACACAAAACATTTGCTGGGCTGCTATCCGATTCACATACCCAACTGATCTCCTATTGCTACGGGTACAGGTGGAAGTGATCGATGACGTATATCGTCGAGGTCTTGAGGTTGCAGGAAACCCAGCAGTTCCGACTCCAGCTCGCTGGTGTGTAGGATGCGGAGAAAACATAGTGTCGGCTCGCTCCTTTTTTCTTGGCCTTTTTCTTTTCTTTTCTTTTTCTTGCCTTCCTTGCTTGCCTTCATCGTACCAGGCGAGCGTGCGTGATCGGGAAGCTCAGGCGAGTTCGCGTGCTCCTGCTTCTCCCTTCTGCATGGGCTAGCACATTGGTGATGGTGATGGGGAAAAGCCCAAGAGTGGGAAAGATTTCGAAAGGGGGGCGCCACATTGATCCTACAATAGGCCATGTTCTGCGTCGGGGTTGGCAGCACGAGCTCGCATTTTCGCACCAGCATTGCCGGGTGCAAGGATTCCCACCCTTCCCACCCTCTCCCCCACCAATTCGCAAGCAAGCACGATTGCTGGCGATGGTGGAACACTGGTCGGTGGCAGCCCCAAGCCTGGGAGCTTGGCGACATTGTCCCCGTGGGTGATTAGTCGTCTCGGCTGGAGGGGGTTCTAGACGCATCTCCCCGATCTCATGATCCTTTCTCCTGCCGATCGCTCTGTCTTTGGACCTTTTTCGTCCCCCTTCGAGTAGTGAGTGGGTTTGGGCTTCCCCCAACGGGCGCCAGCGACTTTTTCGCTGGTGGGTTGTTTGACCGCCCTTGATTCCTTCATGTTCCCGGAAAGCAGTCGACAAGAATAGCCACCCCTTTCTTACTTTCCCCTTCTTTTCCTTGTCTACTTCCATGGCTGGTCCAGCCAAGCCTAGCACTAACTGGTCCTTCGGCGACAGCGACGCCCCATGCCCCTTTGCCACTCATCCACGGGACCAAAGTCAAATCAAGGCGCCACGGCTTGTTACGGTTTATTACACGCCAGATTACCTTAGAAGGAGACAAGAAGAAGAAAAAACAATTCCTTCTCATTCTTGGCTGACATGTAGCCTTCTCGGTTCGAGGACCAGAATGAGCACTTGCGAAATGGAGCTGTCCAAAGTTTGCTTTTTCATTTCCTTGTTGCGCACCAGGCGCACGTGGGCTGTCTAAGACACACGAATGAACCAGTCGCGAAAGATAAGCTCGCCCGTCCTCGATCACTGCAGGAGCAACCAGAGACGTATTTGTGGCCAGTGGACTTGAGCACAGTCGATCAATAATCCTGTCATCAGTACTCGCTCCAGTGCAATTTGATCAGTCACCGCTCTGTCTGACGCGTAACCCCGTAACCCCCGCCCTCCCTCGCTGGTTGCTACTTGTACCCTTTGTGCTTGCATCAGGCAGCAGAATTACCAGCACCTTGAGAGCTCTCAATCATCCATGTTGAATCACGCCATCAGGCGTGACACTCGTTGAGACCATGGCTTTCGCTTTCGGCAACCAATGATGCGACGTCCGTGTCGGTGCGCCCAGCCCGCCTAATATCGAAGACAGGTGAACCGCTGAGTTCAAAATTATGTTTATTGAGAAGTTGTTGGCTGGCGGCTCCTTGACGAGGTAAAGAACAAGAGTCACACCAACTTTTCTTTCTTTTTCCTCAGGCGCCGCCAGTGCCGCAACTAGCATCCCACTGTACGTACCAATGAACCAACGAAGCCATGGGCTTGGGATCCCATTCGACAAAACTATCAGCTTTGTTTTTCCTGCTTTGTCTTTACGATTGCCATCTCGTGAGAAACCTTATGGCCGATCGAGTATCCTACCCCGGGTCCTTGCCCTCTTCCCTCCTTGACATGTATGCTTCGTAGATAGCTCCTTCCTTGAGCTCCTTCCTTGCTTAGATGGGCTTGGCCCGCGTCAATCACATGCATTTCTCGGTGGAGTGCAGCGCACCTCTTGGTGCCCCCTTGGCCCTTGGCGCCACCAACTGACCCTGATGTCCATGCAGCTCACCCTCGTCTTGGTGCGCTTCAATGTTCTCTTTGATGCTTCATCACCTCAGCGCTCTTGCCACTGTTGATGGCCATCTCTAACTCCGTACTTGGTGTCATCAAGCTCCCTCTCCTGTGTATCTTCTACCCTTTTATTTTATTTTTATTTTTTATTTTTATCCTATCCTTTCCAAAGCATCTCGATCGTAAACGAGAAGATGCTGTCGATGGATCGATTTGCTTTTGGAAGCGAGGCAGGTGGCTGGTGACTTGGCGCAGCGCAACGGCAGGACAGGTCCAATTGATCAATCTTGTTGACTTGGAAAGACACTGGAGCAAGTGACCCATGGGTCGGGGGATGGACTGGATCAATGTCGACGGGACCTGGGAATGTATACCCTGGTAAGAGCCCAGAGTCGGTTCGTGTTAGTGTACCCAGTGCACAGGGCAACTCCAATCCTTACATCCAGTACAACCCCACATAGCTAATCCAAGCTTAAACCCTGTCCTGTCCGATCCCCTCTCTCTTTGTCCGCCACCCCTCCATCCTTCCAGCTCCAATTGACCAAAGGGCCGTGGAAATCCCCTCCCTCGGAGCGGCCCTCAAAAATCGGCTCGCACCCCATCTTCTTTCCTTTCCACTCTCCACTTTCTTCTCCGCTGCTCGGGCTCCTCCTGGCTGTTCACTTCCAGCCTCATCTTCCTCCTCCCCTTCTCCCCTTCCTCCCTCCTCCCTCCTCCCCTTCTCTCCATCTGATTCCTTGTCCTGTCTAGACCCGCCTCGCCATGTCGTCAACGGTCGAGTCGGCGTCGCTCACCGCGACGCTGACGTCCGCGATCGCCAGCTCTACCGCGAACCGGGCTCCGCCCCAGGGCGGCGTGATCGAGGGCGCCAACCCTTCGGTCTACAACCCCAAGGATCCCATCATTATCTTTATCATTCAGGTTAGTTCATGACTTTGTTGTTGCTACTCTGTTTTTCCGATTGGGGGTTGGGACGGTATTCGCTAACACCGGCGCGGCGCCTCTTCAATAGGCCAGTCTCATCTTGATCGTTTGCCACATCTTGCACTGGCCTCTTTCCAAAATTCGACAGCCTCGAGTCATTGCCGAAGTCATTGGCGGCATTCTGCTTGGTCCCTCGGTTATGGGCCGTATCCCGGGCTTTAGACAGGCCATTTTCCCTACTGAATCGATTCCCAACCTCACGCTCGTCGCTCACCTTGGTCTTGTCCTATACCTCTTCGTTATCGGCTTGAGACCGACGTTCGATTCCTTCTCAGCAACTGGCGCGTCGCGACCTCGGTCGCATTCGGCGGTCTCGCCATTCCCTTCGCAGTGGGCTGCGGAATCGCCTGGGGCCTGTATAACCAATTCGGCGGTGACGAGGGCACCCTCCATATCCGATTCCCCGTCTTTATGCTCTTCGTCGGTGTAGCCATCGCCATCACCGCCTTCCCAGTGCTCTGCCGTATCTTGACCGAGCTGAAACTGCTCGATACGTCGGTCGGTATCATCACCCTCTCCGCCGGTGTCGCCAACGATGTCGTGGGATGGATCCTGCTCGCGCTGTGCGTCACCCTCGTGAACGCCGGCCAAGGACTCACTGCTTTATGGATCTTGCTTGCCTGTACTGGGTACATGTTGTTCCTCATCTACGCAGTCAAGCCCACCTTAGTTTGGGTCCTGCGCCGAACTGGGAGCCTGGAAAACGGCCCTTCCCAGGTCGCCATTGCCTTGATCCTCCTGGTCGCCCTCGCGTCCGCCTTCTTTACCGGCATCATTGGCGTGCATACCATTTTTGGCGGCTTCATGGTCGGCCTCATCATTCCCCGCGAAAACCGCTTCAACATTCACGTCATTGAGAAGCTCGAGGATCTAATCGGTGCTCTGTTTTTGCCTCTCTACTTCACGCTCTCCGGTCTCAACACCAACCTGGGCCTTCTCAACAGCGGTATCGCCTGGGCCTACGTCGTCGCCGTCACTTTGCTTGCTTTCTTCTCCAAGTTCATCAGCGCCTCGGTCGCTGCCCGACTCAACGGTTTGGTTTGGCGTGAGTCCTTCACCATTGGTGTGCTCATGAGTTGCAAGGGTCTCGTTGAGTTGATTGTCTTGGTATGTTTTTTCTTCTCTTTCCCGAATCCCCTTATGCCCACCTGATTCCCTCCCTTTCACGAGTGCTGACCCCCAGTAGAACATAGGACTTCAAGCAAAGATTCTCAGCCAGAGGACTTTTACCATCTTCGTCGTCATGGCTTTGATTACCACCTTCCTCTCGACTCCGCTCGCCTCCTATCTATACCCTCCCTGGTACCAGAAGAAGCTGGCGGCGTGGAAGAGGGGCGAGATTGACTGGGATACTGGTGCTCCTCTGATTCCCTCCGACACGAGCGGAAGCGGCTCCGGTGGAGAGCAAAGGTTGCTCACTCGAGAATCAACCGCCTTATGGTCTATCTTCGACTCGACAACCTACCAGCCGTCCTCGGATTCGTTTCGCTCTTTGGGGACCCGACTTCTACCGATCCCGCTGTCCACCACGCTAAGCGATCCTTGAACGCTTCCCAGGGCAGTTCCGACACGCGAGAAGCACCCAAGCGACCGGTTCGAGCTCATGGTATGCGCCTCGTCCCGTTGACGGATCGTGACTCCGCTTTCATGACGGTGGCCCAGGTCGAGGAGTACAGCAAGCACGACCCCGTTGTAAACACTTTCTGTACGGTTGGCCAGCTGCACCATTTGTCCGTCTCCGGAGAGGTAGCCATCATGACCGAAGATCGTTACGCCGAGGCCCTCGTAGCGAAATCCTCCAGTTCCTCCTCGGACCTCCTCATCGTCCCCTGGAGTGAGACGGGCGGAATTGGTGACTCGCAGATTCTAGCTCCCACGACCGTTGGCGAGAAGCTTGGCACGCAATATACGGGCTTCGTCAAATCCATCATTGATTCGGCAGAGAAGAACGTTGCCGTCTTCTTGGCGCAGAGCGACCAGGCTACGGGTCCCGCCTCCGCGGGCGAAGGATCATCTGGCGACAGGATGAAGCTATCCAGGGCGTACTCGTTCAGTGTCTCGCAGCAACCCATGCCGCCCCTCCCTCCGGCGCAGAGATCGTTCCACATATTTTTCCCCTTCATTGGCGGTGCTGATGATAGGCTCGCCTTGAGCCTTGTGCTGCAGCTCTGTGAGCGGTCCGAGGTCACGGCTACGCTTTTGCGTGTCTCAGTCTCCTCCGTCGACAGCGCTAGCAAGGAAGCAGACGATGCACACTTCGCCGCCGCTACTTCCCAGATCTCGGCGGAGACCGACCCGCGCGTCAAGGTCGAGACGGTCTCCGGTAACAGCACCGTCGAAGACCTCCTCGGCCTCGCCACGTCTGACCTTTTGGGTTCGAGCCGTGATCCAGCCCGCCGCGATATCATCATCGTCGGCAGGCACTTTGCTGCCAATCTCAACTTGGGCAAGGTCGGCCCGCTTGCGGCGGAGAACCGCGAGTGCCTTGGCGTCGTGGCGAGCCAGATCCTTGTCTCGACGCTCCAGGCCGACGTGTTGGTGGTTCAGGCGGCCAAGGAGTCTTCTACTACTGGAGGAGAGGCATCGACTCCCTGATAGGTCATTTTTGGCGTCTTTGGGTATCCAATCTACTTGGTTGTTACTTGTTTTTCTTGTTCTAGGTTGCATCGCAAATTACAGACGAGTTCGTCCATACATGATGTGGGGTTTTCCTTGGCTGGGTGGCAGATGAATAATGACTTTCTAGGATAGCCCTAGACCAGCTTGATACCATTATCTTAATTGATGATTTTGTGATTAAACATTCTATCTATCTATGGGCCCTAGGTTCATTTGTGAGGTGTTGCTGCGCTGTGGCGTAGAGCCGATGGTGGTGTGCATTGTAAGCCAGTAAGAGGCTTTCGAGGCCCAGCCTTATCTCCAATCCATTCCTCGCTGTGCCTTGATAGAGAAAGCCCGATTTGTAGGATCCATTCAATCCAACAAGTCATTTCGCTCCGATCCTAATCAGCTCGATCGCCGACGAATGGACGGCGTCGATCGAGGATATTCGCGAACCCCGCGACGGACGGTCCCCCAGGTTTAAAGTGGCTGCATAATATTTACCGACGGCAGAAGCGCGTTTTCACTGGCGTAGTGCACGTCATTTCGGGCAAGGTTTTGCTCCAGCCAGCCTGAAAGCGGGATAGCTCCGGCCGGCCGCCGGGCGAACATTTTCAGTGGAACACGCGCTGTAGCGCGAGGAGATAAGGCGATGTGCATGATTCGAAAGGCAAACCTTTTTTTTCTTCCTCTTTCGTCGGCTTAGAAGATTCTTGCCAAGAGCTCGTTCTAGACACCATGATGAACTGACAGGCGGGAACTTTACATGAGAGAACTGGCAGTCTCGTGTCTCTCCGCTCCAGTACCGCCTCCGGGCTGTTCCAGTGCATCACATGACCAGACACCTGACTTAGCGCGAAACGCGAACCCCGAATCGGGAAATTGGAGAAGGCGGTGACGGAGCGCGATAACGATGGAGGGGTAAAAAAAAAAAAATTGGTCCGGCCCCTCGCTCACTTGCTTCCTCTTCTTTTTCTGCTACTACTGCAGCTCAACAGCAGCCGTAGTCAACAAGAATCCGCCCTCACCTCTCCCCCGCCGCGATCTTTTTATACGACGTTTTTTAAGGATTCCCCGACTAGACCGCGCGTGGTTTATCTTTTTAGTTTCCTATTTTCTTGGAAGGTGTCTTGTTGCTTTATCCAATTGAAGTAGTCGAGATCGCCAATTTCTTCCACCCCGCCTCGATCCGATTTCGCCGTCACGATGAAGTACATTCTTGTTACCGGAGGTGCGTAACAGTTCTCTCTCCTCGCGTCTATACTTATACACGCGCGACATACATATCTTGGAGCAATGCTCGAGAATGTTGGGAGGCAATTGACAGTACTGACTGAGAAACAATGCAGGTGTCATTAGCGGCGTGGGAAAGGGCATCATTGGTATGACACCCCCGCACACCCCCATGAGATGAGAGGGACAGAAAGAAGAGCAATAAGGGAGAAGAGAAGAAGGATAACTCGAGTGATCGTGGCTAATACTTGTGTGGATGTAAAGCCTCTTCCACCGGCCTGCTTCTCAAGTCTCTCGGCTTGAAGGTTACGGTAGGTTTCTGTCACCGCTTCCCCTCCCTTGCACATTGTGATTTTTCTCTCTTTTTCTCTTTCCTTGCGCCCTATCCCTTCTTGCTCTGCTTTCCTTGTGTGACTCCTTGACTGATGTGATTCCACCCTGAGCCAGGCCATCAAAATTGATCCGTACATCAACCTGGACGCTGGAACCATGAAACCCACCGAGTACTGTGACCCTCCTCCTCGCCCTCCCTCTCCCATGACTCACTATCTTAACTTGCTGCCGCTCTTCCCCTCTTGACACGAAGCTACCCGCCCGTGAGGCCATACTAAATGGGACCTGCTTTGCTAACTCGAAGTGATTGCTTGTAGACACGGTGAATGTTTTGTTCTAGCGTGAGTTCTCGGTCGAATCGCCGTTTTATGCACATTTTCCTCGTTTTTGAATACGGGACATAAGCCGAATCTTTGTTCGTATTTTCTGACCTAAACCACTTGTAGTGATGGCGGTGAAGTCGATCTCGACATGGGAAACTACGAGCGATACCTCGCAGGTATCTCGCTGACGCGCGAGCACAATATCACGACTGGCCAGGTGTACAAGGAGGTGATCGATAGGGAGCGACGCGGCGACTACCTCGGCAAGACGGTGCAGATTGTGCCTCACGTAACCAATGCGATCCGTGAAAGGATCGAGAGGGTGGCCAGGATCCCTGTCGACGCCTCTGGAGAGGAGCCTGACGTGTGCATCGGTAAGCCTTAAAACCTGAGTGGCGGGAACGAGGACGGCCCTGCCTTGACACTTGGGACACGCGCTGACGTTTGGGGGTTAACACCACACAGTCGAACTCGGCGGAACGGTTGGTGATATCGAGTCCATGCCCTTTGTCGAAGCTATAACACAGCTCCGGTATCGCACTCCCAAGGACGATTTCTTCAGCATCCACGTTTCCTTCGTCCCCGAGATCCATGGCGAGCAAAAGACGAAGCCGACGCAGCACTCGGTCAAGACGGTCCGTAGCGCGGGCATCATCCCCGATCTTCTCGCTTGCCGATGCAACAAGCCCCTCGAAGCTAGCACGGTCTCCAAGATTGCGCTCCACTGCCAAGTCGAAGAGAGGCAGGTCCTCGTCGTGTACGACATGCCCAGCATCTACCAGGTGCCCATCCTCCTGGACGCGCAAGACCTCGTTTCCGTGCTCAACCCGGCGCTCAACCTCAACAAGATCCCCTCAACCCCACACGCGTGAAGAAGGGCTCCGAGATGTGGGAGCTTTGGAAGGATACCGTCGTTAGCCGCGACGATCCGCCCGTGACCATTGTCCTGGTGGGCAAGTACACGGAGCTCCACGACTCGTACCTATCGGTGCTCAAGTCTCTCGAGCACTCGGCCATGAAGGTCCGTCGCACGCTCGATTTGCAGTGGATCGACTCGGAGCTCCTCGAAGAGGGCGCCGACAAGGAGGCGTACGAGACGGCGTGGAAAAAGGTTCGCAGCGCCAACGGAGTTCTCGTGCCCGGCGGTTTCGGCCACCGAGGCACCGAGGGCATGATGGCGGCGGCTAAATACGCGCGCGAGAACAAGATTCCCTACCTCGGCATCTGCCTCGGTATGCAGGTTGCCGTGATTGAGTTTGCCCGCAACGTGGCCAACCTCAACGGCGCGACCTCGGAGGAGTTTGACGGCAACGCGGAGCACCAAGTCGTCATTTTCATGCCCGAGATCGACAAGACCAAGATGGGCGGCACGATGCGTCTTGGACTCCACGATACACACTTCCAGCCTGGCAGCGAGTGGAGCAGGCTCCGACAGGTATACGGCAACGCCGAGGTGGTCAGCGAGCGCCACAGGCACCGGTACGAAGTCAACCCGTCCTACGTCGACCGCCTACACGAGGCGGGACTCCACTTTTGGGCAAGGGCGACCGGGGCGAGAGGATGGAGATTATGGAGATCAAGGAGCACCCGTACTACGTGGGTGTGCAGTACCATCCCGAGTACACGAGCCGGGTTCTCGATGCCAGCAAGCCGTACCTCGGATTCGTTGCCGCGAGCGCCGGCTGTCTCGAGGGCATCATGAAGGAGATGGCCCAGCGGGGTACCAACGGAGCTGCGTAAACCAGAGGAGAAGAGTGAAAACAACGCAGGCGATATGACGCGGAACCGAAAGAAAATGGAGGTTTTCTCTTTCGTTAACTTTTCTCTTTTCACACAATCATCCTCTTTCTATATATCGAACGGGGCCGAAGAGAGGCCTTAGCCTCGACTATCGGCATCAAACAACAGAACGGACCGCAGCGGAAACCTGAAACGGGAACGCAAAGAGGAGGGACCGGTCGGGATGATTTTCGGGCTGGAGGTATAGAGAAGGGGAGAGAAAAAATAAACAGCCCCGGAAAGGGGGCAGGGCGAGGGAGGGTTTTAGTCCAGGTCAGGACTTGATGCATTTGATGGGAATTGTTTTTCCTTTTTTTCTTTTTCTTTTTCTCACTTTGGCCTTAACCATATTACGATTGCTCTAGAAATCCTCGATGAAATATGCTCTGGTTTGCATTGGAAAGCGCTCTTGTTTTTGTTGGAGAGGGCTAATTGTCGGACGCGGCAGTGGTGGGCGGTCGAGACGGTGTGTCTCCCCGCTCTCTGCCTCTTGTCCTTTTTTGGGTTATGGCGCTTTTTTGGAGGTCATGCATAGCCACCCTTTGGAAAAGAAAAAGCACACTGGGTGGCGATTGTATACAATGTAGATCTATACAGAAAATGCAAAGACGCTCGCGCGTCGACTCAAGTACGCTTAGTGGAGGGCCTGATACGCTCGGTGAGATTTTGGAGGATCGGACTAATACGAATGCTGGTCAGCCCGGGCTGACCGCCGCACAGATTCCGTGCATGAGCGGACGGACTGTGAAGGAAGAATTTTGCGAGATGGATAGAGTTTCACACAAAAATGATCAAGAAAAGAAGTTCTGTCTCTTAAGTAAGGATTGATGATGTTTGATTATTACATAGAAGATATTGCTCATAAGGCGTTAATGATACAGTGGAGGAAAAAGGGGATAAACCCCATCTATTGGATTGAACCCGCCTCAACCGCATCAGTCATCCTGAACACCGACCAACCTGCACGACTCCTCCCACAGCTTGGTAGCCTTTTGGACGTCAAACGCCCAAGGAGCGTAGCCATTGTCAGAGAAATCGAGAGGAGCGAGACCCTCGCGCACAGGGCCGGTCTCGAGGCAGTTATCGAGGTAGCGCCCGCCGCGGCCCTCCCACTCAGCGGAGACGGCTGCGTAGATGGAGGTGGAAGCGCCCTGGGCAGGGCTCTTCATGAAGTCGTTGAGGCCCTCAGCGGCCTTCCAGGACTCGATGACGTCGGCGCCCACGTGCTGCTGGAGATTACTCCAGATGCCGCCGGGGTGGAGGGAGAGGGCGTGTAACCGGGGGTTAGAGGAGCCGGAGCCGTAGCGGCGCTCAATCTCGTTGGCGAGGTAGATGTTGGCGGTCTTGGCCTGGCCGTAGGCGGTCCAGGGGTTATAGGACCCGGGCGCGTCGAAGGCGTAGTCGGGTCCGCCGTCGACGCCGTCGTGGAAGCGGATCTCGCTGCCGCGGTGGCCCATGGAGGAAACGGAGACGAAGCGGGAGTGGAACTCGGGCGAGCTCCCGGCGAGGAGGCGGTCCTTGAGAAGGTGGAAGAGGAGGAAGTGACCGAGGTGGTTGGTGCCGAATTGGGTTTCGAAGCCGTCGCGGGTGCGGCCTTCGGGGGTGGCCATGACGCCGGCGTTGGCGATGAAGATGGTGAGGGTGGGTTCTTTGGATAGGAATTCGTTGGCGGCGCGGCGGACGCTGGCGAGGGAGTCGAGTTCCATTTGGAGGACGTGGACGGGGGCGGAGGACGGCGTGGAACTGGAGGCGGAGGAGGCGAGGATGTCGAGGCGGGCGGCTTCGCCCTTAACGGGGTCGCGGGCGCCGAGGTAGACGGTCATGCCGGCGGCGTGGAGGGCGCGGGCGGATTCGAGGCCGATGCTGACGTTGGCGCCGGTGACGAGGGCGATTTTGCCGGTGAGTTTGCCGGCGAGGAGGTTTTCGTCTTGGATGATTTGGAGGGCGGTGGGGCGGGCGTCGCCGGGGCCGGAGGGGTTGGCGTGGAGTTGGGCGTAGCGGGACATGGTGGGAGGTTTTTTTCAAGAGGTTGCTTTCTTGGGGGAGTTGGATGGGGAATGGGATTAAGAAGGGGTTGTGGAGGAAGAGGAGGATGCTGATGATGAGGAGATTGGAGATGGATTAGGTTTTGAAGAGACTGGGTCTTGAGGATTTATATATTCATGAACTCTACTACTAGCTTGGCTTCACTATGGGTTTTCTATCAATGGTAAGGGTTAAGTGGTGGCCACTATCGCCGATGGGTAGTTTGCGTGGGTGTAAGTGGGCATCTGCGGATGTTGGCCATTGTCTCCCCTTTCTCCGGGGGTGGGGAGAACTAAAACTCTGAGAACCCGGTGTTAAACGCCCAAGGGAAAAAGAAGGACGTGGGCGGAATTCCACCCGAGTAGTCTAGAAGGGAATAGGTTGGTGGTGTAATAGTTCGCGGCTTAAAAGAACAAGAGGAAAACGAAGGAACAGCTTCGGTGCAATAGCGCTTCGGGAGCACGGTTCGAACCCTTTGTGCAGATGTTTTTAGGTTCTGACCTTAATTCCGGGACCCAGAGTTGCAGAGCTGGACTTAAACAGCGTGGCAGCACTCGAGCATGACAAATCTCGACGGACTTGGTCCTCTCCCAAAGAAAAGCTTAAAATCCTTCCCTTTTGCTACCCCCACGTCACTCCACAGGCCCGGACATAAAAGGGACTACAGAGTAAAATCCGACCTTTGCGCTGTTGTGTGCGTATGCGACCGGGGATATGGCGCTGCGTCCAAGAGTTTTTGTCATGCTTTTTGGTTCTTTTCATTATTATCCTCGATTCCCCGCAGAGTATTTCAAATCTTCTTTCTTGCATTGTTTCTTTTCCTTTTGGCCAACGGGTGAATACGAGGGTTCTCGCGACTTTCGGCATCAAGGCGAGCTTCGGGAATAGTGAAGTGGAAAAAGCGAGGGATGGCGGGGTTAGAGGGAAGTATCCGGACGACACCTTCCCCTTCCACTTTCCTCTCTCTTTCCCGCGACGAGACTGTCATTCTGAAGCACATTGAAGCTTCCTTCCTCCACTTTGCGGTGGCTCTTCTGCTAGGCCTTGATCATTCCTTCTCTTAACGTGGCAGTCTTTCAAGGCTGGTCACTATTTCCTTAACGTCAATCAATTTACCGGACTGTTTGCTAGAGAGCCATTTACCACTACTAATTTGAATAGGAGCTTTTCTCCCACTTCCTCTTATCTAACTTCTTTTCAACAAAGATTGTGAATCGCTACGTGTCTTGGGCCGTGTCCCGCCGGCTTAGGTTCGAGGGCTGCCAATCGCTCTTTGTACACTTTTTCTCATGAGGATGAGGCTTGGATTAAACACCCAACGTACCTACTCTCCCTGGCAACTTCCCTGCTTCCAAGTTCCAATGTTCTTAGGCGGCGCTGAATGGGCGCAGCCATGCGCTGTACTCGTCCAATGCGAATCGCCAATCGTGACCAGGGAGTCGCAGCTCAGCCCCTCCTTCCGAGCAGAGTCGAAGCTGTGTGACTCTTGAATTGTTTGGTTGTAATAGTAGTGCTCGATGCATCGCGCATCTCGACACACATGCCATTATCTAACCCTTCCATTTCTGCCTCTATTTCCTTTCTTCTCCCAAGAGATATTGCATCGTGTCAGCGCCGCTGCCATGTTTCGTTACCAGCCCCTCGATGCTGACCAGGAAGAAATTCGAATCGTGCGGTTCGTCCGCCCCTTTGACCCGGGCGCTCCTCTCGCTCTCGAATTACGGCACACGGCGCTCAAGGGCCCACGCGACCCCGAGCCATACTCGGCGCTCTCGTACGTCTGGGGCAGCGATCGCCATACCCGCGAGATCCTCATCAATGGCGAGCCCATCGCCATCACTTTCAACTTGCACGACGTCTTGGTTCAACTCCGCGAGAACGGCGTGACTGGGTGGCTATGGGCCGATTCGGTATGTATACAACAGGCGCACACGGCCGAGAAGGAGACGCAAGTCGGGTTTATGGGTCAGATTTTCCAAAGAGCCGGCCTCGTGTACATGTGGTTGGGTCGTAGCACCGACGAGATGTATCTTGCCATGAGCTTCCTCGACAGCTTCTCCCCAAACACGCCCCTGCGATCGTAACAAGCTTCCTGGACACCGTCTACACTACCACTGAGTCCGAACCCATGCAGCCATGGATCGCGCGAGGCCTCATCGCCATCCTCTTGGAAAACCCCGACGCGCCCTGGCGAGCTGCCCTTGAAAGGCTCATCGCCAATGACCCAAACCCCGCCCCGGCCCGCCCAAAGCTAGAGTTGTGTCGGCATTGGTGGCTTTGGTTACCGCCGAGTACTGGCACCGTCTTTGGATTATTCAAGAGGTCGCCCTTGCCACCGATGGCCTCGTCTTATGCGGCAGTGCATCCTTGCCTCTATCTGTTTTTGCTAAAGGAGTTATGCTGCTGGCCGTGGTGTCCAAGACCCTGGGCGCGTGCCTTTACAACGGGCCGCAAGAGTTTTGGGGGTGAATCCCGTCATTTTCACCAATGGAGCCCTATGGGCGTGCCGGGCGCGCTGTCTGAGAAGGGAAATCCTGCTCCACAAGATCCTCTGCAGCTACGCTTATCCGAACGGTATCCCGCATTATTCCGTCACAGACCCCCGTGACGTGGCCTTTGGCCTGTTGGGCGTCGCTTCCGATGGGCAGAAGCTGGGGCTCCCAGTGGACTACAGCAGGCCAGTCTCGGAGGTGTTTTGCGCGCTCACTCGAGCCTTGCTTGATCAGGGGATGAGGGTCGTCGGACCAGAAAAGAGCGGCGCTCGGTGTTGGATGCGTACATTTTGGGCTGCTGCGCCCCGAGAGCGCCGGGGACGAACCCGCACGACCTCCCGTCGTGGGTTCCTGATTGGGAAGCGGCTGGACGCCAGTGCTTCCAGCTCCCCATCAATCCCCTTGCTGGGTTCAACGCGTGCCCCGATAAGCAGCCGTTTGCGCCGTGGACGGATCCCAACGGGCCCCAAGGTGGCAGGTATGATCGTGTCGCCCGGCGGCTGGGATGCCGCATCGATGTCATCACCGACATGATGCGCATTCCCGAGTGGGCCGAACTACTACCGGACGGATCCAAGGATGTGGACTCGGGTAAGCTGATACCTCAAATTATCGACTACGTGGGGCTCCAGCCGCTGGGCGATGGCAACCCTTCCTCGCCGGGCGAAGACTACGTGTGGCGCACCCTGCTCTGCGGCGTCTCGGTCGCGGGCGTGCGCGAGTCCCAGGAGGACGTGGTCCGAAATTTTGATGCCATCGCGAGCCTTATCCGGCGTGCCATGCGCCTCGAGCCCATGGACGCGAGGTTCCTGACCGAGGCGGAAGCCAGCTATATTGACCAATACCGCCCGCTCGACATGGATCTTGCCATTAGCGGGGCCGAGATTCTCAGCCTCCCCGATCGGTTGTTGGCTGTGCGCTGCCAGATTACCAAGGATGTGGCGGGCCAGTGCGGTGGCAGGACGCTGTTCCGTACGGAAAAGGGGATGCTCGGCATGTGCTACCCGCAGGCGCAGGTGGGGGACGTGGTAGTCCTGCTGTGGGGGTCGACACGCCGGTGGTGCTCCGGGAGCTTCCGACCACGAGGGTCGGGGACCCGGCGGTAGTAGTAGCAGTAGCAACATTGGTGGAGGTGCTGGGTTTGAGTTTCTGGGGGATGCGTATGTGGATGGCATCATGTACGGGGAGTTTATGGCGACGGAGCCGAGGGAGGAGTGGTTTGCCATTTATTAGTGCTGACGTGGGAAGGATTTTTACTTATTGCTTACGGAGGAGTTGGAGTCTGGAAGCTTTTTCGTCTTGCTTTGTCTCTCTTTTTTATTAGATTTCTTTATGGCTATTGCTACTTGTAAGGAGAGAGGATATGATACCCGGGCTTCCGAGAACCAAGGTAGACGAGGGAGAGAAGGTCATTTTTACAAGTACACGAGGAATCATGAGGATGACATATTAGAAAGGGTGGAAGTGGGATTGATCTATTGGGTTAAGATTAGGTGAAACTGTTAGCGCGTAGCGTAAACGCTCGGGACTAGATAAGGGAATCAAGGTGATACCCGGCATTCGAGGCAAGGTTTAGAGAAAGATGATCAAGAGCGTATATGAACAGAGGTAAATCATACACAGTTACCATCCGTGGATGTCGATATGCATATATCTCGGAGGGCAAGGGACTTGATCAGAGTCCTCGATCTGGGACAGGGACTGGAGGTAACTTTACGAACAAGTAGCTGGTAAAGGATGGATACCTACTATGGCGTTTTGCATGATCAATTGGGATGCGTAGGTAATAAATACATGAAGACCGTGTGCTACTCCCTCTAGAGTATGTTTTCGCAAAAGCCACTGATTCGGCGTGTTAATTACGTGGCGGCGACTTACAGATGAGGAGATACCAAAAGTCTCCGAGCAACCAAGCCACTGGGTACATGTAACGATGGTATGGGTGGGCGTTTATGGAATGGCGAGAGTAGATAGAAGAAAGCGGTCAATTCGAGGGGCTTGCTGCGGACACTGAAACTGTTCCCCTGTTGAAGAAGAATAAGCCAAGAAACGTGAAGAAAAGACAAGAGTCGACACTTTGGTTGCATTTGGAAGGCGGAGGTGAGACCAGAGGTACATTGACCACATCACAGGAAATGGCAGGAAAGGGTAGTTGCGTCGATTGTTGGACCCCGAACTTGAAATCAGGCCACGCCTTTCCTTTTGGGACCCCTGAGGTCGTGCAGTGAGACATTGTCCACGGCGCCACTCGGACCGAAACCCACATCGTCAAGCGCTTGCAGAGCTTCAATTGCAACTCCCTTTTTTCTTCGTTAGGTTTCTGCTCTCTGGGGGTCGCCTTGGCCTTTTTCTCCCCACTTCCCTTTTTCTCCTTATTCCCTGTCTCTATTTCTTTGTTGCGAGACGCCAGCCTTTCCTCTTTCCACTTTAGTTGTGTCTCTTTCTTTTCTGCTACTGCCCTTTGATTCGCCATTTTTTCTTTCTGTCATCCGCCTCATCTCGGCGCCAAGCAAAAAGGGACACATGCGCGCGACCTCGAAGCGATGAATCTCAAGGCTGGGCTCGGCCACGACCAAGACGCCGACACCCACCACCGCCGCAACGACCACCACGACCGCGACGACGAGCACAATGACGAGGCCTACCCCATGCTGCGCCTGGCGGACGGCCAGGGCAACCACGACGACGACGATGACGACGACGACGATCGGTTCAGTCTAGATTCCGAAGACCCGCTGCGCGGTATAAGGAGGAGAGAAGGGGGGCCGTTCGTTGGCGGCCGGCCGGGCGAAAAAGGCGCCGCCTGCGCAGCGCTTGGCGATTGCGTTGTGCGGTGCGCTTGTTTGCTTGGTTGTTTTGGTGGTGCTCGTGATTGGGGGCGCTTCCTTGTTTTTGGGGTTCCGCCCTTCGGCGTGGTATCAGCAGAACCAGGGCGGCAAGGCGGCGGAAGGCAGCAGCGGTGGTAGCAGCAGCAGCAACCCCTCGTCAATGCCGCCGAGCTCGACCTGGCGACGGGCTTCGTCGTCTCACGCGACCCCACCGTCCGGTCCTACGAATTCGACGTCACACGGGGTCGGGCGCCCCCGATGGTGTGGCCAAGAACTCGGTCGTGCTCGTGAATGGTCGCTCGCCCGCGCCGCTCATCGAGGCTAATATCGGCGACGTCGTGCGCGTCACGGTCCGCAATTCGTTGCCCGTGGGCGAGACCACGTCGGTGCACTGGCACGGCATCGATCAGCGGGACTCGAATTGGATGGATGGCGTGCGTGGCGTCACGCAGTGCGGCGTGCCGTCGGGCGAGAGCTTCACGTACGAGTTTAATGTGACGGGGCAGAGGGGCACGTACTGGTATCATTCGCATGTGTCGATGCAGTATACGGATGGGTTTTATGGGCCTTTGGTGAGTTTCTTGTGGGGGAAGATAGGTGGGAGGGAGGTTGTTTTGTTCGGAGCTGACTTTTTCGAATGTCAAGATTATACATGACCCTGATGAAGAGATCCCGGCGGTGGACGATGACAAGATTATCATGTTTGGCGACTTGTTCCATGAGAATGCTGAAAAGGTACGCATTCGCTAAGATCAGGAATCCTCCTCTCCAAAAGCTCACTCTCAGCTCACCGTTTTCGCTCTCTTGACAGCTCAGCGCATTATACCTTGGGCCTGAACACCCTTGGGCCCCCATGATGCCCGGCATGGAGCCCCCGCCCGACAACCTCATCATGAATGGCGTCCACGTCTCCAACTGCACCAAACCCCCAGCGCCGATCTCTCGCCGTCCTCCGGCAAAGGCGTCGGTATCCTCACCGCCGTGGCGGAGCGTTGCGCCGGTGGCTCCATACACACCACCCGCGTCCGCAGCGGCGCCAACGTGCGCCTCCGGTTCATCAGCCACAGCACCTCGACCCCCTTTTGGCTCACCGTCGACAACCACACCCTCGCCATCGTCGAGATCGACGGCACCGAGATCGAGCCTCTCCCCACCACCCGCGTCTTCGTCAACCCGGGCCAGCGCTACTCCGTCCTTCTCGCCGCCAACCAGACGGTCGGCAACTACCTTATCCGCGCCTCCGCCGCCATGTCGTGCTTTCACCTCATGCGCGGTGGCGCCGACGCCCTGCAGAGCGTCGGGAATGAGGCCGTCGGCCTCCTCTCCTACGATGACGTTGATCCCGACGCGCCCCTCGCGGGCACGCCGTGGAAACTTACCGCCGAGTCTAACGAGGGCTTTGGTCGCGAGCCGTGGGTGGGGCCGTGCGATGACCTGCCATTTGACTTGGCGAAACCGGTGCGCAAGGAGAAGGCGTATGAGGTGGGCGAGCAGAATCATCACACGGCCTGGTTTGAGAGGCGGAACGTCAACGGCCGCATCAGCACTGTCGTCAACGAGGTATGTAACTACATCTTTTCCTTTCTCCCCTTTTTCTTTCAAGTAAGCATGCTAATACGTTGATCTGTAGACGGCGTACAAACTACTTGAAGACGATGCTGCCCTGTGGAGGATCGTTGACCAGCACGACAGCGGCACCTCCGATTCCAAGGTTGGCGTGAGCCCGCCTCGGCGCCACGGCCCGGCCGAGCTCGGCCAGCTTGTGCTTGTGTCGCAGGACGCGGGTGGTGCCGAGATTGTTCTCAATTCTCGCGCCATGATGTTGCACCCGTTCCATTTACAGTAAGATAACCTTTCTCTCTCCGTTTCCGAGCGCACCGGCTTGGGTATTCTTGTTTGTGTAATGCTAACCTTTTCTCCTTTAGTGGTAATACAAACCCCTCTTTCCTCGTCTCTGTCCTCTTCTTCTTTCATCGTGATGCGAGAGGAAAACCTCTCGCTAGGAGACCGAGGGCCTTTTCATGTCCTTTTCTTGTCTTTCATAGTCGACTAACTAATGTCTTCTCTCTCGCAGGTCAAAAATTCCAAATCGTCGGCTGGGGCGACGGCGAGTTCGGCCAGTCCAAGACGACGTGGAACCTGGACAACCCGCTGCGTCGGGACACCCTCACCATTGGCGGGTACGCGCACGTCGTGTTGCGCGTCCGTGGGGATAACCCGGGTGTGTGGGCACTGCATTGTCACATCTTGTGGCACGCCGAAGGTTCGTACCCTTTGTTCCTTGCTCTTCAATTTTTCTTTTCGCATATTCTCCTCCTACACAGAGCTAACACTCTTCGCGTTCTCCAGAGGGCATGGCCTTGTCTCTTGCCCAGAGGTTACCCGAGCTCGGGGAGCAGCTGAAGACGCTGGATGCTTCTTCCCTGACTTGCCGTTCACGCGACGGTTTTGCTCGGCGGGGTCGAGCGAGTGATGGAATTAAACAAAAGAAAGGAATCGGGATGGAAAGGCGTTGATGGTGTAGAGTCACATCATATATACGTGTACATTAGCACTGAGAGTCATCTTGCACTTATATCTTGGATTGTCAATGGATTATTATAGACTTGTGCCCTTCTTCTCAGCCTATCCCTTGCTTATTATATCTTTAACTGCGGTGATACGTAACTCCGTTTCCCTTCACTAGAGTAACGGTCTAGGCTTCCATGGCCTCCTCCTCGGCTTGACCCTCAACAGGAGAGAATGGGTACACCAGCTGCTGTACGTATGGGTGCTCTAGGGCATGCTGAGGATACGTGTGTGACCAGGTGTTTAAAATCCGATTCAGCACGCTGAACAGATCGCCTTCATTGGGCCACCCCTTATTCCACTGAAACACGTCTAGCCCCAGGGCGTATGCAATGGGGAAGGTTTTTGAGTCCGTCAAACGACTGGTGGAATACCGAGGAGAGAATGTGTACCGGATGCTGCCGTGTGCGCGCCGAAGATAGATTACGATACCAATGTACCCTCCGGAGAGACTGTTCCGTATGCCCAGTCTATCAATTTCCTCATTGATGGCGGCCCTCGTATCTTGCTTCAGCTTCGACGTCAGCTTGCACTCGTAGCGGCTCTCCACCTGGATCAGGATGGCGCCAGGCCCGTAAATGCCTCGAAAGGGGATGAGAGCATGGATTGTTTTCGACTGGGCGGGCATCAAAAGCCCTGCGCCGTGGGTGAAAGCCTTCTTGATGATATCCAGCGAAGGAGCTTCCGATACGTGAACAAAGTGGTTGAAGAACACGATAGGGGCAGTTGCAATATCTTGCCTGCAGATCCTGAGCGCGGCCCCCGAGCCGAAAACACTGTCCCAAAAGCTTTCAAGCGGTAGTGGCATTGGTAGATGGATTTGAGGGCAAAATGCATTGTCGAACGAAAACATAAGGATCATTATGACAATCTGCTCACCCACATCTCGAGAGATAACCGACCCAGCTGCCAGGCATGCCTCCCAACTTCTGAGAGCGTCGAGCCGGTTTTGAGGGTTCATAAGCAAACGCGAGGATACGTAGGCGAGAAGTGGCTCGCCAGGCTGCACGGTTACCGGAACGTTTCCTTGTCCAGTCAGGGGAATGTCGAAGCGGAAAGAGTTAGAAGTCATGTGTTCCGCAAGGGCCTGTTGGCTGACGTAGTGATCGGCTCGCATGCAGAGAAGGGCGAGCAGTTGTGAGTCTTTTGAGGCTGTCAGTGTCGGCGCAAGGAGCTTGTCCTTTACCATCTCTACTAAGGCCTCGATCGTCGATCCGGAGTCAAGGTAGGCGCCCCAGAGAGGGCGTCCTACACTAAAGAGTTTCGTCACAGCCTCGGCGCTGCCGTTCGGGTCGGGCAAATCGCCCTCCACAAAGCCCCCACGAATTGATCTGCCGAAGAGGCGGGAGTAGTTTCTTCCTTCGATCAACGTAACTAGGCATCCAAGGTGGGCAGAGACTGTTAACCTTGGATGTGTCGTCAATAAGGAGGATCATAAATTGTGTCCTGATATACTTTAGATTGTCAGATAACCGTCGTGCCGCGGAGCGAAAGGCGTTGAACCCAGAGATCCCAGAAGCAAATAACTCCTGTGCCCCATCGAAACATATCAAGGCTGGCATAGCCACCTCTTTCCGACACGGCCTGAGGGAACTACCGTTCGCGACAAGAATGTGTGCATATTTGCTCATGGTAGCGTCTAAAGCGCTGTCTTGGTTATCTGTCATCATACGGACCTCATCTAACTCCTGGCCAAATGCAGAGTAGATACCGCGAGTCATAAGTTGAAAAAGATCAGCAGAGGTTACTCCGTTCCGACCACTAGCTTGCAAGGCCTTTGAGCAGAAATCGAGAAAATCCTCCTAGGTCTTCTCGAGTTCCCAGCCACCGGTCGGCAGAGAAAGAGCTGATTTCAGGGGAAACCGGTAGCGCTCGATTGAAGGTTAAGATAAAACACTGCTACTTGGTACTGATCTGCCAGTTGCTTTACTGAAAAGGTCTTTCCAGTCCCCGATGGCCCGATAAGGCATATGTATGGAGCCAAGTAAAGATCTTCATGGTTCATATATTCACGGTACTGCCGCCGAATGTCGTGATATAAGGCGGCACTCGGACCTTCTTCGATACCCGCTGTTTGTTCGATAGCATCAAAGGCCTCCTCCGCAAGGACTGGGTCGGCTAGAGGCTCTGAAGAGGGGCCAAAGAGCAGCATCATGATAGGGAAGAGGCTCTTTGTTTTTCGGCGCTGGTTAGCGCGGTCATGCGCTCTGAGAGCACCACCAGCTCAATGAACCCATGGATCAGCCGATCTCCGGTGCTTTGGGAGAGCAACTTGTGTAGACTGGGGGCAGGGAGAGTTCCTCAACCATGTTGCATAGAAACTGCTTGATGATAGGAATGAGCGTATTGACGGGCTTCGTTGGCTGATGGAACATGGCGAAAGCCTTCGTAATGTCTTCGGGAAGGCGGGCTCGAGAAAGGAATTCCTGTACGCTCATGTCCTTCCACCAACACTGGCCGTCCTTGAACGGTGTAAATGCCAAGTCAGGGTCCATCGCAGTTACGCCTACTCCTACGCTCGATTGAGAAGAAGATAGTTGCCGACTTGAACCGCAAGAGCGCGAATGATAGATGGGGAGGGATGGTGTGGTGGCAGTATCTATTCCGGGTGGCGACATGGGGGATGGAGTTACTATACATAATTTAGCTCATGGATGGTGCAGCTCGTCCCTTCCCGCCGACCCTGGTCACTCCTTCCGGGATCAATCCTACTCTCGGTTGGTAGTTAAAGAATGTACCTTCCCTCCAGCAAGTGACTGATAACGACAGAACACCAGGAAAATGGAAATTATGAATTATCATTTTATCAAAGCTGAGCTCTTCTACCTCGGTAACGTTCGCTAAATGTTGCCCGCTCACACTCCATCTCCGTAGAAAACGAAGAACAGAAAACGAAATCCAAAGTAAAAAGATTTCATCGCTAGTAGAACCCCTCTCCTTCGAATTCAGGCGGCGTAGAAAAGTACTCCTCCATCGGAGAATCAAACCGCGAAGGCAACGCCACATCCCACGTCATGTACTGCCCAACCTCGGCCGCCATCCTCAGATACTCGGCCTGATCCATGTAGCGCGGCACAGTGACACCGAACCCCGCGCTGCTATCCCCATGCGAGGTAACGGGCTCCGTCGACACAAACTGCTCCAAGCTCGCCATGAACTGCGCGCCGGGCTCCACGACGCGGCCCGACCCGTCGCCGCCGAGGTTAGGGAGATGGTGGAGGTGATGGTGATGGTGATGGTCGCCGGGGATCCAGGCGCGGAAGGGTGAAGGGCCCAGGGGACCCGAGGCTCCGGGGGCTCGGACTCTTCGTCATCGATGCCCGCGGCGGCGGAGGACGAAGTGCGGGGGCTGGCGATGTCGCGGCGGCGGGCGAGGCGGAACGTGGCGATCTGGTTGAGGTAGGCGGTTTCGGGCGGGGCGGCGAAGAGGTCGTGGGTGAGGGCGTCGGAGGCGAGGCGGGAGGGGCGGTGGAGGAGGGTGTTTTGGTGGGATTCCCACTGTGTGGCGATATCGGAGAAGCCAAAGGTTTTGAGGAGGGGGATGAGGGCGGAGAGCTGCGTTGTGAAAGATTAGCATCCCCGAGTTTTGTTGAGGAAAGGAAAAAGAAAAAATTAGAGTGATGCGCAAAAGACTTACGTAGACGTTGGGCATGTCCGAGTACGGGTGCGTCTCGGTCAAAACCCTGAGGTTGGTGTTGATGTGGTCGATGCACTCCCCGTACGTGGACTGGTCCCCGCCCATCACGGTGGTCAGGTACACGACGTGCACTTTGGTCGACTCGAACGCCGCCGTGGGCGTGTAGTGATCGTCCAGGCGCCGGAGCCGCACTCGAGCGCGGCGGTGAGCAGCGTTGATACGCGGCAGGCGTGGCGGTGGGCGGTCGCGCGGTTCCGCGAAATAAAGTCGGCGGGGGCGTCGGCCAGGGCGGTGGCGAGGGGAAAAGAGTAGCCCGGGAGAGCGACGCGGGTGAGGTCGAAGACGCAGGCGTGGTACATGAGGTGGAGGAAAAATAGGAGCCCGGGGTGTGCTGCTCCTTGTGGATGTAGACGTTGATGTCGTTGAAGGTGAGGAAGTCGGGGAGTTCGCGGCACCAGGCTTCGACTTGGTTGAGGAGGGTCATGAAGGTGGAGTTTTCGTCCCAGGGCGGGGCGCGGGCGGGGTTTCCTGCCGTGTGGTCGCGGAGATGGCTAGGGGGAGAGAAGTGTCAGGGTAAGGTGTGGTTGTGGTTGACTGCTATGATGATTCAAGACAAGAGGGGCGGCGGGCTGTGGGACGAAGGGACTTTAGTCTGACTTACCGTAGAATCTGCGTGCGAATATACACGATACGACAAATATTCCCCTCAACCCCGTCGGCGTGAGCGAATGCAGCCGACGATCCACCTCCGCATAGACGGGCGGATTATTCGTCCGGTGGAGAAAATTCCGCTCGGAGCACGCGAGCGGGATATTCGGCAGATCCGTCGCCCAGCTCAAGTTGCCGTCGACGCCCGCGCCGACAAAGGAGTCGAGGATGTAGCACGACCACATGAGGCGGCGCTTGGACTCGCGGCGGGTCAGCGCCTCGCCGTGGATGTCGTCGTTGTCGTCGAGCAGGCCGTCGGATCGGCGCCTGTCCTCTTCGTCCATGCGGAGGAGGCGGCTCATGCGCGTGCAGCACCCGACGATCATGTAGACGAAGGCGTTGTCGCCGATGCGGAGGCCGTATTCGGCGTAGAGGACCATGGCCTGTTTGGTGGGTGGTGTTAGCGGAGCTCAAGGCTGTTTGGCCTGTGGTCTGAAAGGAGGGTACGCACCATGAGGTTTTGGACTGATGATATGCATGAGAGGCTTTTGACAAGCTTTCTGGCTTTGCGGCCCCATAGTCGGCCTGGTATCTCTGACGAGTAGCCGTCTTGGTATGCCTTGGGAGGGTTGCTGATGGTGCAGAAGAGTGGTTAGCAAATGGTTGGAGGGTGACGGCATACTGGAAGCAGGACAGGAAGAAGGTAGACCATACATGTACCTTGCGCCTAGGGCGCATACCAAGTAGAGAACCGCCTCGCCAAACTCGGTCGCCGTGGTCCCTTGGTCAATAGACCGTATAAACGTCGGCTTATGTATGAAGCCTAGATTCCGCAGCGAGTGGATATGGCTAAAATACGACTCGGCCAACAACTTAAGCCCAGCCTTATCAGGAAGCGCCGCCTGGCACAACCACCTCGACGAAGGACCCGCGTCCCCGCCATGCTCACTCGCCGACGAGTCCGGCCCTCGCAGACCACTACCCCCGCACCACCACCACCAACGACGACCCCACCGCTACTACTACTCCCGGGTCGTCGGCCGCTCCCGCCCAACCCCAGCCCCACCAGGCCCAACCCCCGGGTCCGAGGTGGGCCGCAGTCGCGGCCTCGGGCACGGAGAAATCCCGGGCGGACGGGCTCCGGGTATGCCGGTGGGACCCGGTCCCGCTGCTCGAGGCCGAGGCCGGGTAGTTGCAGGCAATATCGCGGGCCTCGCAGCGGCGGCAGCGGGGCTTGTTCTGGGAGCACTTGGCCTTGGCGGCGCGGCACTCGTGGCAGGCGCCGGCCTTTCGGCGCTCGAGCCCGGCGCGGCGGTAGATGTTGTCAATCTCCTCGGAGGCCTTGTCGATGCTCTGGGCGCGGTAGCCCGGGCATTGCACCCCACGCTGCGGCAGCGCGTGCAGCCAGAGGGTGCCTTGTCACATTTTACCTGGGCGCGCGGGGGACGGGGGGCCAATCAGCATGGGGTGCCGATCAAATGAACAATGGGATTTGTGTAAGAGAGAGAGAATGTGTGTGGAGGATTGGGGGAGGGAAGGGTGTGTGATGTAGAGAAGGGATAGAGGATAGGAAGGGATCGAGGAAGTGGAGAGATTCTGGGGACATTGGTTTTCACGAATTTTTGAATTTTTAAAAAGGGACTTACTTTGCGGGCTCGGCAGATGATGCAGGCTACCGACAAGTTAGAAGAACTCATGGTGTCAAGGCCGATGAGGAGCGAGGGAGAAACATGAAGGCAAAAGGAGGACGGTACAAAGAAGTTCAAACAAGAGAACCACTCCCAAAAAAGAAAGTAAGAAAGAAACAAAAAAAAAAGTGGAAGAAAAGAATTGGTGTGGCGGGAGTGGTTCGCCTGTGAATGCCCAAAAAGAACTGGAGATACTCACCGAAGAGCGGACGTTGAGAGTCTGCGTCGGGGTCCATTTCCACGTCAAGAACCAGTGAAAATCAAGCCCCCTGACGGAATGGCGTAATGGAGGGGGGAAAAGTAAAGAAAGAAATAAGGGAAAAAACAAGGGGCCCCGGAGAGGGGTCAGCCAGCCTGGACAGGGGGAGAAGCGAGAAAAGACTGAAAAGACAATGCGACAGCAAGCAGGCCTCAACTCGCTTCCAATCCAGCGTCTCCAAGAATTGAAAATGGCCTCTGTTTACACCTTTAATCGAGACATTGCACTCGCCCCGTAGACAATAAAAAAATACCAAGGGGCGGCGAATCCACCGTCTGCTTGCTTCGTGCGAGAGTCACACGGATACCGAGAGTATGGTATGGTAATTTGGCATCCAACTTTCTCGCAGCAGAAAAAAGCAACAGCGGAAAATCGGGTGATGGAGGGACAAGAGGAAGACAAAGGGAAATTCCTTGCTTGGGTTTTTTGTCTTTAGCGCCGGCAGCGCGGACGCTGGCAACTTTGTATATGTTCCTCGTGGGTCAGCGAAGTCGCAGGGGGAAAGAAATTAGTTGATTACTGATCATGTAAGCAATTGGCACCGACAGCTGGCAGATCACAGATGCGTCATTAGCTCCGAGCTAACGAGCGGAGAGGGAATCGAGCAGGGAAGCATTTGGCCGGCAGGGGAGAAAGAGAGAGAGAGCTTTTATCACGGGGGTGTGGCGTTGCCGGCTGGCTGCAGAGGAGGCATGGCACAATCCCTCTCGACAAGGGTTATTCTTGCGGTTTTCTTATCGCCTGACCCCATACAGCATAGAGCATATAAACAGACGGATGGCGTTATCCGCTTCTTCTTGGTTCCCGCGCATCGGTTGAGTCGCTCGACCCTCCCCTTCTGAACACCGACACCTAATCGAGGTGGTTTTCTGGAAATGACGCGATAGGGGATAGTGGGCACGGCACGGGTCAATGCTGGAAGTGTTTTCGGACATAGCAGAGGAGAGGGGAGAGAGTGATTTGTGCGCCCCGGCAGGCAAATGTACATTTTATGCATCCGGGCGAGGAGTATTGGAGTTGGGTTGCACATTGGCGTGTTGTCTTTTTATTTCTTTGTTTTTCTGTGGTCCGGGACTCCGATCGGCTCCGCCCGGCGTTTTCCGCACCAGAGACGAATGAGCGGTGTGGGCTCAAAAGAGAGCGGGTGAGGGTGAGAGTGTGAGAGAGAGACACGGAATAGAGAGCGAGAGATAGAGCGGCTCAGTCCGTCTACCCTCCGCTTGTTGGCCGACGCAGCTGTGGTCCCAACCGCCATGATCCAGTGAAAAAAGGTACAGTCCATCGTCTCCTGGCGATCGAACGATTCGTACTCGAACCTTGGACCCCGTTAGACCCCGTCAGACCCCGTTAGAGCCCGAGGTTTGAAGCCCTCGCGTGGCGTTCCTGTTACCGAGAATCAATAATCGCCGATCAACCCCACATGTTCTTGAACCCCCTTTTTTGTCGTTTCGTTCCAGCTCGCCGGGAGAGACGTCGCGCGACCTTTAACTACATGTGGCCAAAGTTTGCCAGGAGCACTTCCGATGCGAACGTTGACCGAAGAAGTCGGGGTTAATGTGCTTCATGTAGCCAAGACGTGAGGTCCCCGCTCGGACAAGTGTTCCGCTTTGTGCTCTCTCTCTTCAAGCCTGCTAGGTCGGAAACTGGAGTCAAGAGGTACGACCAACAGGCTTGATCTCGAAGAAATCGAAAGCCATGCGAGACTATGCATGTTTGATTTCCCATTTTGCTTCTTTTTCCTCGTGGACAGCTTTTCCAGAGGCCTGGTCAAGGAAAGTACATCATGCATGGACGGAGTAGCAAAACTAAACTAAAAACGAGAGGCACGAATTCCCACTAGCAAGCAAATACTTGATACTCAATTAATCTCCATGTACCCAAAGAACCCAGCTCATCGCGATGAGATCTTACACGTAAGTTGACGATGAAGACAAAAACCCGTCGTGAGGAGGGCAAGTGTCACCTTCCTAAAGAAAGCCAAGACTTCCCCCAGTTCGTGCGCGGACCATGAGAAATCAGCGGAGGTAATTTCCCATGTCCACCTTACCCCGCCCGGGACTCACCTCACCTGTGTCCAATCTTCAAGATTTTGAAGCCAGAGCAAAAATAAAAGACAAGCAAAGAAACCAGTAAAAACCAAAGAGAACCCCATATCGGAAGCCGTCATGATTCTCCTCGCCTGGCCCGTCGGAAACAGAAAAAGACGATGACCGCCCGAGGCCTCGAGTCCCTCCCCGTCCTCGTCATCGACTGCATCGGCCACCACCTCCCTCCATCCAAGACGTCAAGGCCCTACGCCTCGCCTGCCCCGCCATCGCCCACCTCCTCCTCCGCGCCCCGTCTTTTTCCCGCCGCGCCGCCCGCCAGGGGTGCGCCCTGACCCCGGACGGCGTCGCCCGCCTCGCGCGCATCGGGCGCGACGAGACCTTTGCCCGCTGCGTGCGCCTCATCACCTTCCAGGCCCTACCCACCTACACCGCCGTCGAGGCGGCCTGCGGCGGCTCTGGAGGGCACGAGCTCCTCGCGCCCCTGAGCGCCGCCCTCACCCGCTTCCCCGCGCCGTCGAGTTCGCCCTCGAGGTCGACCACTCCAACACCACCGTCTCCCAGATCCACCCGGACCTCGCCTACCTGCCCCGCGAGTACCTCTGCGCCTTTTGGCCCCCGGCCTACCACACCCTCCGCCTGCTCGTCCGCGCCATCCTCCAGAGCCGTATCCGCGCCGAGAGGTTCCATGTCAAGTTCCAGCAGTGGGCGCGCTGGTACGTCGACCTCTACCTCTTGCACACCATCGTCACCGGCCTCCCTGTGGAGAAGCTTGCCTTCTCCTACAGCAATCTCCGGTCCCTCACCATCGCCATTGGCCACGCTGGCCGCTATCTCGGCGCCCACGAGTCTTATTTTCGCGGCCTCGCCGCCGCCACCTCGACTTTTCCCGGGCCGGACCCCAACCCGGGTCTTCGCCACTTTCTCACGCACTGCGCGCACTGCCTCGAAGAGATGGAGCTGCACTGGGGCGTCGCTGCGAGGACCCATGACAAGAACCCTCCCGGCGAAGGCGGCCGCGCGTTTGCCGAGATGATTGGTCTCGGTTTCCCGCCCTCCGGCGTTGCGCCATCTCTGGGTTTTCCTTAGTCAAGGACGATTTGGTTGCCTTTTACGAGGCGCCCCGGCACTTCAGGATCTCGAGTTGTCCGAAATCACCCTCTATCCGCTGCAGAGCGTGGGTTCCACCTGGGGATCCGTTTTCGACTTGATCGTCGGCCCGCTGCGGCGTCTGGATTCCCTACGGAGGTTTTGTTTCGATTCCTCTATGCCGAGAACGGCGCCGTCGCGAATAACCCAGAGGATGGCTCTAGGCCAACGCTGTTTGATCTGGGGTTTCGCATCTTGCCGACGGGGAGTGCCAAGGCGACTTATGTCTGGCTTGAAAATAATCAACGGCATAAGCCGCGAGCACTCTTTTCTCGGTAAGGTGGCCGCTGTACTCTTTACATGTCTTTAGAGCCAACTCCTGACGCCCTTGCTTGTTCTTTGGTTTTGAGCCTTGGCAGCGTCCTATGCTACAAGCTATTCCTGGCCTTGGTCCTCTCTCCATCTCTCTCAGTTTGTGGTGATATAACCAGGTTTCACCCCACATTATCTATGTTGTGTTATCCATCACAATTCGCGCCAGTGTGTCAGTAAGGGAAGTGTCGGCTATATGGTTCAATCAAGCTGTATCCAGTTGCTACACCGAATTATCCAAAAGGGTTGATGGCACACCTCTCAGCTCAAGATGCGAAACCTGCCCCGGCGGTGTGGATGTCTAGTTTCGGTGCACCTACCGCACCGATCATCTCCCACGCTTCGACTATTCGCTCGGGACCCCAACTTTAGACCTTGGCTGCGATGGTTCTGGGGGAGGGGGTGGTTTCGAGCGTCTTGAGCGCCGTTCAACACGTTTGCCGCGCCAGTTACAGCTATGAAGCAAGCTAGCTATATTGGGAGAAGTAGCTTCCGCTCCAGCCCTAGGCTGGCAACAGTTGAGATGTTCTAGCTTCCATTCCAAGCACAGATGCGTGCTGAACGAGAAGTGGCACTCTAGTTCCCAAAATATCTCGCATAGGTCGGTCAAAGCGGAGCTGTCTGAGCTAGGCTATGAATAGCTGCTGCCTTACGTCCTCGAATTTGTAGCATTCCAGTCTCTTTGCTTGTATATATTCTCTCGCCATGGCTTCACTTTATAATTCGAAGAGCTCGTTGTTACGATGGCGTAACGGCAGGCGCGGAAATTGCACACGTGGACACCTACGGATTCCTTGTGAAAGCTAGGGCGAATATTTGGCCAAGGTAGACGGAAATGTAGCTGAGCTAGAGGTGGGTGACGCCGAGTGTAATGAGAAATAATCATATGTGATTTTGGGGTATCAATAGGAAGTGGCTAGGATGGAGGGATCGGTAATTTGCGGCCTTGCTTTTGCTACTCGAATAGCTAGTAGTTCATTAGCTGTTATGTACTAGATCAAAGCACGGATTAGGCATCTTCTGGATGTCGAATACGTGATGATAGTCTGCGCAGAGAAACCACCGCTCATAAATGAGTAAACGAGGCCCATGTGCATTGCTCTACACCCCCATTAGCCTTGCCGACAGAAGGGTTCCCGGATCGTGAGGCCAGCTTTACAAGAGCTCGTCTCCTCCATCTCTCTTCCTGTGTCCTCTAGGGCAGGCTAAGCGTGGCGGAACACAAACTGTGACGATGGCACCTGTTTGTCGGATACACGGTAATGATATTAACTCACGCTCTCCAGCCCGAGGGAGTGCGCTTTGCTCCTTTTGGAATTCTACGAGTCAAGTGTACATAGGGTTGCTTCAGTTCGTGCGTCTCGTCTGAAATTCTCTGTTTTACGTGATCTTGGACCATAAAGATCCCTAGGTTGGATGCCACCAACTCGCCGAGCAGAGGTTGGGTATGGCTTTATCTTTCGACCGCTTATCTTTAGCAGCACGCTCTCCTGGCGGTTAATGCTGAGAACGGATGCACACCTCTTGTGCCTGGCCTGGTTAGCTGGCTTGGCCAATATTTCCATCGCGACTGTTTCTCTGGGGACGGCCCGCACATAGATAGCAAGCGCCGAGGAGGCCATACAACAGCGCCCTTATCTTTGGAGGACGGCGAGGCAGAGAGGCCGTGGTAAATCTTCTGCTTCTCTAAGGCGCCAACCGGGGTGCTGTTAAAGCTGGGCTGAAGCCAGTGTATTACGACCGGCACATGGGTCAGAGGGTGAGGATAACGTTACCAGAGGAGCTATGTCCCCACCTTGCCACTTGATCATACATGTAGTAGAAAGAATCCTCATCATAGCTATGAATTGGCTCTATTGAGAAGAATGCTCTCGCTCTCACTACGCTCTTTATAACTCGCATAAAGCAAGCTCGGCATCCGTAGTTGTAACCCATAAGGTTGTATAGAACTATTGTGTAAACTAGGGTTATAGCTGATGCAATAAAATGACCTGTGTGGAAGGCGTGGACTAGCAAACCAGCTTGACCGCTGTGAGTTTAGTCCGGACCGTAAACTCTATGCGGAACCCGGAACAGTCCGCCAAGAGCGGACGGTGGAGATGACACTTGGATGACCAACGTCTCGTGTAAGTGGCAAATCTGGGGAGCACTCGGAATATTTGCGGGCCTTGTAGCCCGATAGCGGTATTCAAACAAAAGATGCAGATACAACGCAGAGTGGTGCAGGAGGTCGAATCCTACGCTTGGGCGCGGCAAGCGCTTGGCAACCCGTAGACGCCTCGTTGTCTCCCAGGGTGCACGTCCTTCCTGTGATTGAGAATTCACACATACAGGGTTTGATCGTGGGCTTCGTGACTGACACTATTGGAGAAGAAAGAAGAAAATTGGACTACTTGAACCGAGCTCGCTTCTCATGAGGCCTGGCCTTATGCAACGAGTATGCTCTTCACGACGCTGGTCTATCGTATAACAAAAGTTCGCGAATGCCACCGTCTAGGATCATGCCAGTCGCCTATTTAACGGACTGCAGTGGCTGTTTGCCGCGACATCGTGTACCAGATATAAGAGCCCGACTCCTAGATCATACAGTGCTGTTCAGCCAAGGGCATCGTTCTGGAGACACCGTCGCAGTGAATGGGGTCACCAAGCCGTGTCTTTTTCTAAACACGTCCAGAAATTTGGCTCGGCCGAGTGTTACGTTTCGTCGCATGATTCATGTCTCGCTACACCTACGTCTGCAGCGAACGATGCATTTCGAGAGGCCGTGCTTCGCGCAGCGAATCGGGCAAGAAAAATGATATCGTGGGGCCTCTTTTCTCGTCTTCCCTTTTCAAATACTTTGTCGAATGGATGAGCTTGGGGGTATCCTGAGGGACGTCCTCGCGAAATCTCTCGACTATATCGGTGCATGAAGCTCACCATATATTTTCCCGGCTATACAGCGACAGACGAGGCGCATGCCACGTCCCGTCGTGGTAAATGGGGTCCGTTTCCTAATGCAGCGGACCATTCTCGTATTCCCGGGCCCAACCTCCCCTTTCGAGTATGAGGACCGTCCCCGTTAATCTATTTTGTTTTTTAATCTATCTGGGACTTTTCCATGGGGAGTCCCAGCGTCCATGATTTCTCTTGTCTCCCGTTTTCTTCAATCGGGGTTATTTTCCCCACTCTGGTGAGGGCGCGTGCGTGGTATTGTTATTTTCTTCTTTCTTATTTCGCCTCTGGTCGATCGTTCTCGTATTCAACCATGTTATTCTCGCAGGGAGACGAAAACAGTGGGCAAAGTGGAGGGAAACAATGACCCAGCATCAATTGATGGACCGAAGATACGGGGTTGCAAGGGAGACTGGCGGGTCCGCGACTAGGAAAGGCTAGACCGATCGCCCTTTGGCAAAGCCGCCCATTCAGGACCCGCATGCCGATCGTCGACTTGCCGTCATCGATGCGACCTTGCAGCCAGAACAAAAACTGTTGAAGGGAACAAAGTCCCCGACAATGACCAGCGGGTCGCTGAACTTCGCCTCGCTCGTGTTCACATAATGTCAGCCCAGAGAAGGGGCCCAGTGGGACAAGACCCTCCCGCCGTCATAGGATCCCTCCCTCGATGGGGACCCTCGCGAGTGATCAATTGGCGACTGGACATGGGCTTTGTCTGGACTGGTTGTTTGTGGGGCAATTCTTGGCGGGACGGCGAACCCGGTAGGGCCGAACGAGGGATGAAGGACAAAAAGAACCGCCAGAAGCTTAAGCTTGGCCGTTGCATCATGCCAGTGTCCGCTCTGCCGCCTGCCGAGTGGGTGTGACCCGCGCTGCCATTGAATACATGTACTTTGGGATCGTGCACCTGGTCGTCGTCATCTACTTAGATTGCCGTCAGTGATATAAAGCTCCCTTCCTTTCCCGCCCTTTAGCCTCTTGAGTAGTTTTTACCATCTTCACCTTCATCACTAAAGTCAATTCGAGGCACATACATTCCACACATCTCGCCGTCGCTCTTACACACACTCTTTCTTCCTCACATATTCCTTCACAATGCAGTTGCGCACCGCCCTTTTCTCCCTCGCCGGCCTTGCCGCCGCCGCTATCGAGGACGGTACTCCCTTCAACCTCATGGCCCTTCGTTCCGCCAGCGACATCCACTTCGCCCCTTTCAACGCCGCGCTTAACAGCATTCTTCTCCGCCTACCTTCGCAAAACGCCAACTGCGGATGCGGCGTCCCCTCCAACAGCAGCGCTGCTTTCTACCTCGAGGAGGGTGGTCTCTACCTCTACACCGGCGACGACAGCACCCCGCAGCAGCTCTTCGTCGACCGTTCCGGCATGGGTGAGTCGTCGTTCGCCCCTCTCCATGTTACTACTTTTTGTTTGAATCAGGTTGCTAAACTCTTGCCCCGTTACATAGGTCAAGGAAAGCTCGGCTACACCACTGGTGACCAAGCTGGCCCCGCAACGGCGAGCGTGACGTCTTCGAGCTCGACGAGTACGATGACCTCACCTTCAACGGCTCCGGCTTCCTCGCCTGCCCTGGCAGCATCGACGATGCCTGGAGCGTCTGGGTCAGCGCTGGTGTCGCCAACCCTGGTGGCCACACCGACTGCCTCGGTCTCGTTGCTCGTGCTGTCGAGAATGACGACGCCGCCCCGTGCCTCTACACTAATTAAGCCGCTACCTTTTACGTCAAGTGGCTTGTATGCGAGTGCGAAAAGCGAGGGGTCCTATTATGTCGATACGAATCTGTCCATGTAAATACTATAGAACAAGAATATAATTTAATCAAGCTTTTGTGAAAACACCATCGAAGCCCGCGCCCCTCGATCCTGATGCAATTGATCAAATCCAACCTGGAAGGTGCCGCCTGCCGTGAACAAGAGCGTGATCACGTGTAGTCCTGCATTCCAGGCTGCAGCTTTCGTCCAGCCAAAATTCAATTCACTCGCTCAGCGGGTGGCTATGTTCTAACTGCGGTTGGGCTGCGACTGTTGGCCGAAAGTGTGGACAAGATGTCATCACACACCAGGCTCCGCTCCTAACCCCTCAACGCGAGCATGAGCATGGGGTAGCGGCTCGGCCCAAATGAAACTTGACTCCCTCTGTTTGCATTGACATCCGCACAGGTATAGACTTGGATCCTAGCCGTGAGAAAGGAGCCACCGAAACTTTATCCTTCATTTGTTTCGTCTTTTCCGTCTCTCCCTTCGCATATATAATCTCAGCGTTGCATACCATGAGTTTTGGTTTCAGTGTCGGCGATTTCATCACCGTTTACCAACTCGTCAACCGTCTCCGCAAGTCCTTTGCCCAAGCCCCCGAGCAGTTCAAAGCCATCGACCAAGACCTGCGCAGCCTCTCCATTGTCCTGCAAGATGCCGAGGTGCGGAGCGATACTTTGTCCGAGGCACAGGCGCAGAGGCTCACCAATCTCGTAGACGGTTGCCGAGCGCTCCTCATCGAGCTGCAGACCGCCCTTGACAGCTGCACCGAACTCGAAGCCCCTGCCAAGGGCCACGCCCTCCGGCGTATACGGAAGAGGTTCAAGTGGGACCCTCAGGACGCCCGGGACTTTCGCGCTCGCATCGCCACCCAGGTGACGCTGCTTGGCGCCTTTGAGACGCTCACTGTCGTCGAGGCCGTTGGCAAGCAAAAGCACCACGCGCTTCTGGAATGGGTCAGCCCGATCGACTACAATGCTCAACACGGCGACCTCCTCCGGCGGCACCAGCCCGGGTCGAGAAGGTGGCTGTTTGCGTCGCCGCAGTACAGGGACTGGAAGCAAACCGGCGGCGCGATTCTCGTATGCCCCGGCATTCCTGGCGCGGGGAAAACCATCACCATGGCCATGATCACGGAAGCCCTCCAGGCGGAGACCGAAAATGGTGCTGATAGGCTCGTAGTTAATGTTTACTGCTCCTATCAGCACCGCGATCAAGGGCTCGTTGGCGTTCTCTGCGGGCTCCTGAGGGCTGCGCTTCAGCGGACGACGAATATCCCAGCCGGCCTTATGAAGCTCTACGAGGAATACTCTTCGCAAAATAAAGACCTATCGCGGGACGAGGTTTTGGGATTCATCCGGGCCATTCTCTCGCGCTCACCTAACACGTTTGTGCTCGTCGACGCGCTCGACGAACTATCACCCCGATTCGCAGGTCCCTCATCTGGGAGCTCTTGGAACTGCGGGCCAAGTGCGGCATCAGTCTACTTTTAACCATGAGGGATATTCCAGAAATTCAAAAGCCCTTTCAGGACCGCGGCGCGACACGCCTCGAAATTCGGGCAAGCGACGAGGACGTCCGGCAATACCTAAAAGATAATTTGGCCCAGCTCCCGGGGTGCGTATCGAGGGACCAGAAACTCCAAGGTGACATCGTTGATGCCATCGCACAAGCCAGCTCCGGAATGTATGTAACGCCTCCTATATCCTTTTATGGTGTTTTATCGGGCGGGCCACTAACACTGGAGAGAGAGAACAGGTTCCTACTTGCGGAGCTTCACCTGCAAGGCCTGATTGATAAAAAGACAAAGAAGGCCGTACGTCTAACCCTCAAAGGATTGGCAACGGGGTCAGAGGCCTACGAGGAGGCCTACCGGACGGCGGTTGCTCGAATCCAATCCCAGGGTCCTGACTCCGAGGCTCTTGCCATGCAGGCTCTGCGAATCATCACATGCGCGCGCCGGCCCCTCAGCGTGGACGAACTGACTACCGCTTTGGCCATCGACGAAGAAGACGTATTTGATATGGATAACGTCCCTGACATCGACGACGTCGTTGGGGTCTGCTTTGGTCTAGTCACCGTGGACCTTGAAACCAACGTCGTTCGGCTCGTTCATAAATCCACGCAAGAATATTTCGACCGGCATAAGCGAGACGTGCTTTCGAATGCCGACGCAGTCATGGCGCAGCTATGTGTCCGTTGTGCGTCCATCAGAACGCCCCTGACGGAACCCGATACCATAGCGGAAGAGGGACTGGCCCCGATACGCGCGCACCCGGATGATGTGGCATTCTCCGCATATGCTAGAGCCCATTGGGGGTATCACTACCACGTGGCTGAATCTGGGTGTGGAAGCGACGCTTCAATACCTGAGGGGAGGTCGGGACTCGAAGGCGGAGGGACGGGACCGCCTCGTTCCGGCCTAATTAATTTGCAGGGATTGCCTGACGTGAAGAGAACAATCCTAGCAGCATGCCGAGATGGCCACCAATCCATGTTGGAGATATTACTGAGTTTTAGCAAGTATGACATCAATGCCCGTCCACAGACGAAGACGAGTAACTACGCGTATGGCCTGGTGCGCGACAAAGTCCATCTCGGGACAGCAAGCCCCGTCATCATTATCCAAAAAGTCGTCTCCAGACCAGTGGTGAAGATGATGAGGAAACACTCCTGATCGAGGCCGTAATGAAGGGATACACGCAGGTGGTGGAGCTGCTTTTGTCGAGGGGCGCGGACCCAAACATGGTCGGGTCCCAAGGGGCCACAGCGCTGTACCACGCCGCTAAGATGGGCCACGCCGAGATTGTGGCCCTGCTCATGGACCACGGCGATATACAACTTGATGCGCTTAGCCTCGACTCCCAATGCTGGGAGCCGGAGGGGGAGGAATTACTCGAGGCCAATATCGGGGGTGGGAGTGGGCGGGATCATCCGACGCCAGATGCATGGTCAACTTTTCGACGGCACTGCAAGCCGCGGCGAGAAATGGTCAGTCCAAGTGCGTCTCGCTACTGGTAGAGCGGGCGAACCGAACAGTCGTTGACGAACTCGAAAGAAGTGCCCTGTGGTATGGGGCGCTCCGTGGATGCTACGAGTCAGTCTCTGCGCTGTGGGAGTGGCCCGACGTGAGGGCCGCTCAACGTGAGGCGAGGGCGTGCAGGATGGTACACTATGCCGCAATTCAAGGAGAAAAACAGGCCATTATTGACTTACTTTTTCCAAAAGAAGGAAATGTCAGGCGACCCATGGTTTTCCACCATCCCAGGTGGGAAGCTCATGGTAATAATGGATGTATGCGAAGAATTTTGGGGCACTACGCACTACTTGCCCCAGATTTCGAAGACGACACACACGACCTTAATATGAGGGAGACATATTCGAGTTTTATGGCAGCAGTTCGCTTTGGCATTGTAGAAAGGGTGATAGCAATGCTTCCGTCCGCGCATTTTCAGCAGAGGGTCGGGCCCGAACGCTACACTGCCCTCCACCTAGCAGCCTTCTTCGATGATCCTGAGATGGCGAGGGCACTTTTGAGGCACAAGGGGTTCGACGTCAACGCCAAGGATGTATTCGGGCGGACGCCTTTTCACCTCTGCATTAACCTTGGCGCGCTGAGGGTGCTCGAAATCCTCACCCAGGACCTGGACCTGGAGTCCCTCCGCGTGACCGACATGGGGATGGACGCCTTTCAAAGGGTGCAAATTAACGAATGTGGCCTCGAGGTTCTTCAAGTTTTGCTACGGACCCCTGGGCTAGATGTCAACTGGTCCTCCAAGGACTGCATGCCGATTTTAGCAGCTGTTTGCTATTGGAAGCCGCATCGTGTTCCTAGCAGCAGAGGAGCAGATAGATCGAAAGCGCGGCTACAGCATTCCAGAATAAAAGAACAGATGGCAGTGCGTTCCAAGTTTGTCAAGCTGCTCCTCGAGCAGCCCGTCATCAATGCGAATACACGCACCAAGTGGAGGACCCCTGTTGAGTCGGCGCTCCGATGTTTTATCCCGGGGATATTACACCTATTTCTCGAGCGAGAAGGTCAGGCATTGGATCTACGAGACGCAAAGGGCAATCACCTCCTATTCCTCGTCATAGATCGGTTCGCTAAATTGCCGGCTGTGTATCCCATCGAAGCCTGGACGGAGCAGGCGAACGAAGAGTTCAAATTGCTGCTTAATCACGTGGGGGAGGTCTGCGAGCTCGAGAAAAGCGGGAAGAGCATCCTGCGCGTGGCGAGCTCTAAGGGGACGGGGGTGATGCTGCGGGCCTTGATGGAAGGGAAGTGGTGGGAGAAGCTGCTGTCGAAGAACTGGGAGGATCGGGAGCGGATTTACGCGCTTGCGAGAAATAATAAGCTCCTGGATCAGTCAGACACGGACATGTTGAGATCTCTACTACAAATATGATCGATACAAGTTTGGCATGCTTATATTGAATGCCACGGAGCGCTCTTCGACTTATCACGCTAGTGACGAAAGCCCATGTAACACGTTTCATCGCCTTCAATTCATAACGGAGCCTTTGAACTGGTCAACATTTCTCTTCTCCTGGTCGCCAAGTTGGCCGACCTCGTCAAAAAGCAAACACTATTGACGAATAATTGGGGTATCCAGAGGCTTCTTCATGTTGTAGTTGCCAGGGGCCTCAAAACTTTTCGACAAAGGGCCGGATATCTAGTTCTTGCGTGAAAGCCGACCTATGCTGCGTGTGAAGGTGCCAGTACGTCTCGCCAATCTACACGATCGTTAACTTCCTTACTTCCCCAAACGAAACTAGCAGCATAAACTTACCGCTTCAGGCTCGAGCTTCCCGTGCTCGACGCCGTTGTTCACCTGCCACTCCTTGGTACGCGGGAGCTCGATGACGCCGTCGACGACGACGAGGGCGATGTGGACGCCGCGGGGCCAAACTCCCGGGCGAGGGACTGGCCCAGGGCGCGGGAGGCGAAGGAGCCGGCGGCGAAGACGGCGAAATTGGCGGATCCCTTGACGGAGGCGGTGGCGCCGGTGATGAGGAGGCTGGGGGTGGGGGAGGTGGGGACGGATTCGAGGAGAGAGGGGAGGAGCTTTTGGGCGAAGAGGAAGAGACCGCGGCTGTGATGCAACGCAAAAGGGTCAGTGAGATAGATGCGTGAGAGGAAGAAAATGGCAAACATACGGGCCTGAGTGGAAAGATTTGTCGAGTTCCTCCGCCTTGAGGTCAAGGAAGGGCTTTCTCGCGAACCCGGCGCCAATATTGTAGATGGCGGCGGCGGCGGTGGCGCCGGGGAGCTTCTGCTTCACTGTTTCCAAGGCGGACGTGAGCGAGCTCTCATCTGTCGCGTCGGCGGTGATGCCGAATGCGCGTCCGCCGGCGCTCTCGATCTCCTGGACGATGCTGGTGTAGTTGTCCGGGTTGCGGGAGAGCAGGACGACGGGGTACGTCTTGGAGAATCTTAGGGCAGTGGCGCGGCCTGGAGAAGATATGTGTCAATGTATGTGCGAGACGCTGAGACGGATATGCGTGACGGTGCGAGTGAATGCGAGAGAGGGTGTGAGTTGATTAAGGAGGGGGTTACCTATGCCGGGGCCGACGCCGGCAATGATGGCGAAGAAGGCGTTTTTAGACATGATGGTTATAATAGGTGAGTATGGACAATGTAAGTGCTTAAACGTTATGGGCTGGTTCAAGTTAGATGTTAGGAAAGACTAAATGGTGAATTCAGACAGGATGCCTTTCATATTCCGTCAAGCAGGGCGCAGATATATAGTCGGGAATATCTCCTCGGCGCGAGGGGCCCGATTTGAAATCAGAAACAGGCAGATTAAGTAAGCCCATCACAACATCATCAGAACAGGCAATGATGCAATTGAAGCGGTACACGAGGTTGCACAGAATATGAGAAGCATGGGCGTTTCTCCTCACTATTTCTGTTATGCTTTGTTCGGGTATGCTTCGTAATGGCGAGAGGAGCTGGAAATCATTCGCGTTTAAAGGTGAGGTGATGCTGGGGTGGGTAGAGTTATTCCGGATTATCCGGCGTTGTGTTCGACGACCAACCGGCGGAGCTGGGATTGGGCTATCGACCACCAATATCATTAGGATGCGCGTCAGAATTTATGTTGTTCCATTTCTATATTTAATGAAGATGTGATTGAGGGTTTCATGTAGAATATGAGATTCGATGACCTGCTCTGGAATTATTCATCGACACGGCTCCCGGATTATCTCGACGCGACCTCTTGTTCCAGTACCTCTTGCCTGCATGTACTTTGGAAAGACGATAGCGACCAAAGTATCTTAACGAACTCTTATACGTACATAATTTGCGGCGATGAGAAGGCGGGCGAGCTCCTCGCCGCGCTGAAACAGAGGACGCGGTGCTTGTACTGGTCCCGGGGTTGTCATCAACAAAATCTGCGTGGGCCCCGCGATAGGTTTCTCCGGTCTCTTGCAGGTCAAATATATACGGAAGCTACGATACTTTCCGAGTTTGGTCAGTCATTGAAGAGTTGGGGAGGGAAGGCTCAACTGAGGGCAAGCTGTGAGAGATATCTATGGATATGGAAGCGTATAGTATAAACATAAGGAAGTTGTAGACACTATCTATCAGTATAGATATATACACAGCTAATGATTTTTCCTATATATTTTGTTTTATATTGATCTCTAGATATTTACACTATATAAAACCTGGGATTTTCAAGCTTGGTTTTATTAAAGAAGCGAGATCTAGGTTATCAAGGATTCTTTAAAACATGCTCCAGTGTTGAATTTATTTGAATTCAGAAATAAAGACTAAAGCTGAATAGAGCATCACTACAAGTTACTAGCTATTAAGGAAATACATGTATATCTACTTGATCATTATATAAGCCCACCTTTCAATAATGAGTATGATGATTCACATTGCTCCAGGTTGTGCGTTGCTCCAGCCTGTGCTTAGTGACAACCCTCGATCACCTGGCCCAGGATATTGATACATAACCATCGTTCTCCCCCTTTCCTCCCTGCTTCCTCTCCTCTCCCTCTTCTCAACAAACAACCCTTCTACCAAATCCCTCTTAACCATCCCACCATTCCAAACAACATCACCCTCACAAATAGCAACAATGAGCCATACTATCCCTAATCTGTACAGCACCGAATACTACGCCGTCACGTTCTCCGACGGCAAGGTGTACGACGTCATCTAGGAAGGACGAGTACTCCCTGTCGCGAGCGACATCACCCTCACCATTGAGCACGACGGCAGCCTCGGCTGGACTATGGCCGGCTCGCCCCCGGCTATTTTGAGCCCACCGGCCGCAAGCCCGAGCCGCACAACAAGAACCCCCTGCCCTATGCGGTTGACTACAGGGCTGAGGGTCCCGCCATGACTGGCTATTCCTACTAAAGTGGGCCCAAAAGCCTTTCTTTTCTTCCCTTGCCTTTCTTTCGTCTCCCGGGAAATCATGCCATTGGCTGCAGAGGACACGAGAGCGGGCGCCAGTCCACATCGGGTAAAGTTGGATGGATGGAGAAATCAGTCTCGAACTCAGTCTCCGCATCGTAAAGGTCCCAGGTAAGCATGTCGACGTTTGGCCACTCTTCAAGTCGCAGCAGGAATATCTAATCACATTGCTTTAGTTGATATCAAACTCAAGAAAGGAAGAACAAGATAAGGGATGGAAGAAAAGACGCTACGTAGGGGAAAGCAGTGATATGACAAGAGAAAAGGATAAGATTGTACCCGAGGCATAGTGACTAGGAACTCAGAGGTAGCAGTGTAGCCAAGAACAATTCTTTTCTTAATTCTTTCCGTTTGAGATATATATGTGATGCCATTTCTTTTAACTCGCCAGACCCGTTTAAACACGCAAATGCAAACAAAAAAAAAACAAAAAAACAAATCCTCCTCCTTCCTGCCTCCAAAAAGGAGGTCTAAATCCCAAACAAAGCTTTCCATTTTCTTACCCATATCAAAAGCAAAAACCAATCAAACCCACCCCTTTAACCAACCCACTTCCTCGCGTTCAAAAACATCCTAAACCAAGGTCCATACTGGTTCTCCCTCAGCCCATCCTTGATCCACGAGCCTACAGGGCCCATGATCGTCCTCTCCGGGTGCGGCATCATGGCCACCACCCTGCCGTCCTTGCTGCGCACGCCCGCCACGCCCGCCGGCGAGCCGTTGGGGTTGGCCGGGTACTGCTCCGTCGCCTCGCCACGGTGGTTGTCCACGTAGCGCATGGGCGCGAGACCGCCGTCCACGACGGCGCGCAGGTCCGCCTCGGACGCGAACTCGGCGCGGCCTTCGCCGTGCGAGACCACGATGGGGAACGAGGAGCCCGACATGTCGGAGAAGAAGACGGAATCGGGCGTGTCTTGGAGCTTGACCATGGAGACGCGGCCCTCGAACTGCGAGCTGGTGTTTTCGACTATGGAGCCAGATTAGTTAGCGACCGAACTTCTTCACTCTTCTCCCACAAACCAAAGAAAAAGGAAACTTACCAAAGTTGGGCCAGTTCTCCGCACCGGGAATCAGCTCCTTCAACCTCGCAATCATCTGACAGCCATTACACACGCCCAACGTAAAGGTATCCCGCCTGTTGAAGAAGGCCTCAAAGATCCTGCGCGCCCCGTCGTGCATGAGCACCGATTGCGCCCAGCCGATACCCGCGCCCAAGACGTCACCGTACGAGAACCCACCGCACGCCGCCAGACCGCGGAAACCGTCAAGCGTGAGTCCGTTGAGAATGTCCGACATGTGCACGTCCACGGCGTCGAAGCCGGCAGCGCGGAAAGCAAAGGCCATTTCGGCGTGGCCGTTGACACCCTGTTCTCGGAGAATGGCAACTTTTCAATCAGTTAGAATGATTCAGCGTTGCGAAAGCCGAAACGGCAGGCAAATGAAGGGAAAAAAGACTTACCCCTTGGCCTCGAAACCAAGCCCTTGAGGGTAATCATAGCCGGAAGGCTCACATCCGCCGGATCAAACGTCAACTTATAATCCATCCCAGGATCCCTATCATCCCGCACCGCATCAAACTCAGCCTGCGCGCAAGCGGGGTTATCCCTCAACTTCTGCATCTCGTACGAGGTGCTCGTCCACCAGCCCTGGATCTCCGCGCGGGGAGGTCCGCCACCGTCTGGGAGAGGTACTTGACGACGAGGGACTGGCTCGACGCCGCGCGCACGAAACCGACCGTCTTGACGAGACCGGCCGGCGGGCCGCACGTGGCAAAGGCCTTGATGAAGCGGCCCTCGTCGGCCTTGCGCACCTGGAAGACGGCACCGAGCTCCTCGTTGAACAGGGCATCGAGGACATCGGCCTCGGAGGCAGCGAGGTCCGACACATCGAGCTCGGCACCGCACCGGCCCGCAAACATCATCTCCGCCACCGTGGTCAGGAGACCGCCATCCGAGCGGTCGTGGTAGGCCAGCACCACACCATCCTGGTGCAGCTGCCACACGGCATCGAAGAAATCACGCATCAGCTCCACGTCACGCACGTCGGGCGCCTCGTCGCCCACCTGGCCGAGAGTCTGCGCCAGCGCCGAGCCGCCCATGGCCTTCTTGCCGAGGGCGAGGTCGACGAAGATGAGCACGCTCTCGCCCACCTCCTCCACACGGCGCAGCTGCGGGGTCCACGTCTTGCGCACGTCCTCGACCAAGCTAAAGGCCGAGATGACGAGCGAGACGGGCGCGGTCACGCTCTTGGCCTCGCCCGACTCGCGGTCCTTCCACGAGGCCTTCATCGAGGTCGAGTCCTTGCCCACGGGGATCGAGATGCCGAGCTTGGGGCACAGCTCCATGCCGATGGCGTGCACGGCCTCGTAGAGCTCGGCGCCCTCGCCCGCGTGGTTGACGGCCGCCATCCAGTTGGCCGAGAGCTTGACGCGCTTCAGGTCGCCGTTGATGGAGCCGGCTTTGATGTCGGCGGCGCCTAGGTTCATGAGGGACTCGGCGACGGCCATGCGCGCAGAGGCGGCGGCGGAGATGAGCGCAAGAGTAGGCTTTTCACCCCTGTTCAGAAAATAAATCATGGTTAGCAGGGGTTCTTCAAAATCTTTTAGGGGATTGGACAAGGAAACGCGGGGTTCTTTGGGTTCATCTTACATCGCCATGGCCTCGCCAGAGTGCGCCTTGGCCTCAAGACTAAAGCTGTTAAGCGTGACGGCAACATCCGCCACGGGGTCTGCCAAGGTCCAACCATCTGGTCGCGGACGGACAAGCCACCAACCGACCGATCACCGATAGTGATGAGGAAGGACTTGGAGCCGACAGAAGGCAGCTGGAACACGAGCTCGGTGGCCTTGACGACCTGCTCCTTGAGGGTGGAGGCGCCAAACTTTTCGCGGAGGCTCGTAGCGGCATTGAAGGGCTTGAGGGCCTTCTTGGCAGTCTGAACGTTCTTGGAGATGCGCCTGCCGGGGAAGAGAACATCCATAGGCAAGTTAATGGGGTCGATGGCGGGCTGGAGGGTAGGCTCGCGGTCGGTGAGGACGAGGGTAGCATCCCCGTTGGCATCCTTGCCGACAGCGGTACCCACAACAGAGAATCCGCAACGCTCCCTCCGGCAGATGCTAGTAAAGCGGTTAAGACCATCCCTGTTCACGAGGAGAACATAGCGCTCCTGGGCCTCATTACACCAGATCTGAAGCGGAGACATGGAATTATCCGCGCTCTCGACCTGCCGCAGCTCAAACTTGCCGCCGAAGCCCGCGTCCTTGACGAGCTCGGGCAGGGCGTTGGACAGGCCGCCGGCGCCGACGTCGTGGATGAAGGCGATGGGGCTCTCCTGGCCGAGGGCGACGCAGGTGTTGATCACCATCTGGGCGCGGCGCTCCATCTCGGGGTTGCCGCGCTGCACGCTGTCGAAGTCGAGGTCGGCGGTGGCTTCGGTGCCCGTGTTGGACGAGGCCGCGCCGCCGCCGAGGCCGATGAGCATGGCGGGGCCGCCGAGCACGATGACGTGGGCGCCGTCGTGGACGTACGAGGGGTCCTTGAGGGCGTGCTGGGGTCGGACGCTACCGACACCTCCGGCAATCTAGAGGGAGAACATCGAGTCAGATCCTAGATATCTAACGCGCAAGGCTGGAAAGGGTGCGATGTGGACCTACCATGATGGGCTTGTGGTAACCCCTATACTCGGAAGCCTCCGTCTCGGTATCGTTGGTCAACAAGGTCCTAAACGTACCCGTGAGCGCAGGCCGTCCAAACTCGTTGTTGAACCTAGCCGAACCGATGGGCGCCTCAATCATGATATCCAAGCTCGACGCGTAGTGCGCCGGCTTGCCGATATCGACCTCCCAGGGCTGCGTCTTGCCGGGGATGAGCATGTCCGAGACCCAGAAGCCGCAAAGACCCGCCTTGGGCGTGGAGCCGCGGCCGACGGCGCCCTCGTCTCGGATCTCGCCGCCGCTGCCGGTCGCGGCGCCGGGGAAGGGGAGATGGCGGTGGGGTGGTTGTGGGTTTCGACCTTGATGAGGGGCTGGACGACTTCCTTGGTGAGTTTCCAGGAGCCGGTGGAGTAGTCGGGGGCCCAGTGGTGGCCTTCGTCGCCGTCCATGCTGCGGAACTTAAGGGTTAGCGCTCCACTCGCCCTAGACGGGGAAAAGAAAAACAAAGGGAGGGTTCTCGTTGTTCTTACACGGCGGCGTTATCCGAGTAGGCGCTAATGACAAAGTCGGGGGTGGTCTTGTGGGTGTTTTTGATCATGCCGAAGAGGCTGTGGTCCTTGGCCTCGCCGTCAATGGTCCAGGTGGCGTTGAAAACGTGGTGGCGGCAGTGCTCCGAGTTGACTTGGGCAAACATGAAGAGCTCGACGTCGTTCTAAGAGACGAGGAAACAAGGTCAGCGAAACCAGGGCTACCAAGAAAAAAGGTGGCAACGTGTCAACCCTTTCACCCATCAACGGTTGCCAAGAGAAACGGGGTTCAAGCATACAGGAGACCTTCCCAACGCCTTGTACCGATCCACGAGATACTCCATGTTGGGCTGATCCAACCCCAGACCCATCTTCTTATTATAGTCCTGCAGAGCAGGCAGCGGACCCCTCGCGTCGGCAAAGATATCCACGACGACGAGCGGTCCCCGCGCACCCTCGGCAAACAGGGAGACGGGCTCGGGCAGGGTCTCGGTAATAGACTCGGTCATGCGGTCGTGGAGGATGTCGCGGAAGGACTCGATATCGGCAGGGGCGGAACCCTCGAACTCAATGGTGACGACGCGGCCCCTCTCGACGCGGGCCTGGACGCCGCACACCTGGGCGATGTTGGTAGCCTGGGAGCTCCATGGCGACGGGTGGTGCGCGGGGTGATGAAGATCTTGATGGAGTCGGACGAGGCGGCAGCGGCGGCCTCGTTCTTGGGGAAGGACTCGGCCTGGACGAGCTTCTTGATGGCGTCGAGGTTGGACTGGAACTCGGCAAAGTACACCCACTGGCCCGAGATGCGCTTGACGGGGCGGGGCCCTTGTCGGTGATGCGATCGGAGAGCTTCTGGGCGGCGGAGGCGGTATAGCACGACCCGCCGATCAAGACCTCGTGGCCCATGATGACAAGGTGATGGGTAGGAGGAGGTGGGAGGGTATTGCTCGTCTGGAGACGGAAAGACCTCCGAGAAAAGAAGAAGCAGACGCTAGTTCTACTTCTCTTCAAAGCAAATGTTCAATGAATTGGAAACGGGGCAGATGGGAATTGAGGTGTTTGCCAATCCGTCCACCGGCGGGGAAAATTTCTCGTCCAAGACGCGGGGCGGGGTCCTCTTTTTTTCTCTTTCTTTTTTTCGTTAGTATTCACTCACTCAGTTTTCTTTTTTTTCTTTTTCCCGTTCCTTATCGTTATCGGAAGGAGGGGCACCATGCATGATGAGTCAAGGGTGTAAAAAGGAAGGAGGGGCTATTATCACGTGTTTACAGGGGCTAAACCTTATTTCGCCAAGTGAATTGGTTCAGTCTCAGTGAGTCCAGACTGGCTCACAACTGAATTGGTCACTCAAGGAGTCTCAACTCTGCTCATCCACAGAGTTGACCACTCATGCAAACGTAGCGCCGCTTTTCACCACTCACCAAGCGGAAAGTCTCCAGTTACCTTTCACAACGGTCATTGAAGTCAAATGAGAAAAATATTTGTGATAGTTCTAGATTCCATAGATAGTCCAGACCAATGCCCAGAATGCCAAATGTCAGCCCAACCGATATGCGCCCTTGCATTTGTCTCAAATGCATATGCTCAATCCGAGGAGTCCCGCTCGATGTACCGAGATATCCCATGCTACAATAGAAACCCCATGATAAAACGCCCAAGCACGCAGGTCCAGCCCGCTCTTACATGTTGAAACCAATAATCCCCTCCGCCACGAGCCGCCTATCGCTCACAGGGGACGTGGAGTACAATGATACGCGGCGCCCGATGATGCCCTCGCTGCTCACCTCGAGGGAAACGGGCCGAGACAGCGCGACGTCAAACTCGGGGGTTCCGGGAGGAGACTGTAGGGGAAATTCGCAAAAGTGACCACACTCCCCGCACCGCGGGATAGATCACCCATTTTGCTGCAAGAGGGTTCCATGTTAGCGTATTGAAAACTCGGAGCCTGCCCAGAGGGATAGGGCATTTGAAGAGGGACAAGTCTTACTGGATGACCACGACGTAGTTTTGAAAGTAATCATCGTCGGAGACGCTGGTAGAGGGTGAGGCGCATGTGCGTCGCCGTCACGCTCCGGGGCTTCCGGGAGAGTGGAACACTAGGTCACCTTGGACGGCTTGTCCGTCGTGGCGAATGGGTGTGTTGAGGGCGGCGAGGGCGCCGCCTCTAGGCTTGTGGGTGATTTCGTGGCCGCACATGATGAATGAGTAGACGTAGGCGTAGAGAGAGCGAGATGAAACGTGTTGAGTAAGGGTTAATGGTTGACGGGCAACAAGTTTATTCTTTGTTCGAAGGACGCAGATAGATTCAGATAGACGAAGTTAACTCATCAAAAGAATATAACCCTTCCACCACGATAGAGCGCAGCATGCTCCTTAAGTAATGACCAGTTCAACCCCCAGCTCTATCATCTATCAAGGTTGAGAAGATTAGAGCTCGTTCCACCAAGAATCTGCAACAACCCAAAAGCCACAGGACCGGACACCCCCGTTGACCGTTGCGCGTGTTCCTGAAATCGCCCGCAAAACGGAGTTTCGTCTGGGATCCAAACCCACCCAAAAGCAACCAATAAGACGGACCGACTTGACCCAGATCTTACCCAAACCGGAAATTTGCGGCCCCAGATATGAGCAAGTTCAAGCAGATTAATGAGGTAGTTTTCCTCCCTCCATAACGAAGCACCTACAGAAGGAAGGCGTGGGAGAAAAAAAACGGAGACGTCGGAGAGTTGCTCCGTACGTGAAAAACGATAACGAGCAAGTTTGCGCTCAAATTATGGCGCTAGGCGATAGCGAGAGGCTCCCCTTGTTTCGGTCGATTGGAGCACGAGCACGATAAGGAATTGGCAAGGTCTTGGATTGATCTGTCCGATTGCGCTACTAGATCTGCGTTCGACTCCGTTTCGATCGGGCTCCCACTCCTATCAACAGACCAACCCCATGTGCAGATAATCAATTTGAGAAGTGAAGCTATCCGTTCCACCTGGATGGCCTCTAGCACCCTGATGGTGTTGTCTCACAGAGCAAGGACATTTTGCATCGCATCCAATTCCCACCCTGATGGCCACCAAACGGCCGTCTTGTGAGCCCCTACGTCATGAATTTAATTACAAAGAGGCCTTGAGTACGGCAAACACATCTTCACGCGATCCAGTAAATCGCTTCTCGCACGTCTGCCAGTTGATGACCTTCCAGATGTTTTCCACGTATGCTGCCTTACCATTCAAATACTGTAAAACCAGGGAAGAAATTCCACGTTAGCCTGCATGTCACAGAGACAAAAAAAAAAAACTGTAAAAAAGGAAAAGGGTCAAAGGACAGGGAATGATCCATACCTGAAGGTAATACGCATGCTCCCACATATCCACCCCCAGAATCGGCACCTCACCCCCACCACAGGATCCTGGTCCTTGGTCGTCACCACGCTCAACCTCCCCTTCCCGTCCTTGACGAGCCACCCCCACCCGCTACCCTGGATACCGAGCAGCGCGGCGGTGAACTCCTTCTTGAACCCCTCCACGCCGTCCGCCCACGTCTTGCCTATCTCGGCCACGAGCGCGGGCGCGGCGGAGACCTGGGCCTCGGCGGACCCCGCCGGCGTGAGGTTCTCCCAGAAGAGGGAGTGGTTGATGTGCCCGCCGCCGTGGAAGCGGATCGCGGCTTGCAGGGCGATGCGGGCGGGCACGTCGGACGAGGAGGTGGCGGCGGAGTAGGTCTGGAGAGCGGCGTTGAGATTGGTTATGTAGGCTTGGTGGTGCTTGCTGTGGTGGAGCTCCATGATCTGGGCCGAGATGCTGGGCTCCAAGGCCTGGGTAGGTGGAAAACGGGTCAACATTGGTAGCCCCGTGGGAGCTTCATACCGCATGCAATAAGAAAAAGGTAGGGCAAGGTATGGCGGGACTTACATCGTAGGCGTAGGGGAGGCTGGGGAGGGAGTACTGCTCTACAGACATGGCTGGCGAAGGAAGCGAACTGGAGGACAAGGGTTGTATCAAAGGTGAATTGTGTATACGGGATTGGACTGGATATGGAGGCTAGGATTGGAGATTGACAAAGGCAAAAAGCTTGTGCGAATAGTGTGGGAAATGGAAGATGGGCATATGAAGAGAGGCACGAGTACCCCTTTGGACAGCTCGGAGCTTTGTATTATCAATCAGCCTGTGACCAAGGTGCAGGAAAAGCTGCACACCTAATACTGCGGTTTCTATCCGCAGTCGCTCTTGAGCAAGATATTAGCTCATCCCGCGCAGGCCCCGGCCTTGTTCTGCAAATCCTAAGAGCCGAATCGTAACCGGGAGACGCGGGTCAGAAAAACGGAGCTGTCCTTCCACCAAGCTTCAAGGAACATGATTGGCCCATTCTCTCTTCTCTTGGCTATAGGATGCAGCGTTTATGCGTGAGCTTTGTTGGTTGCACAGCAAGATACACTACGTCAGCTTTGAGATGAAGAGAATTACGACTACATACTAATTCCATTATCATTTCGGGTTGAAATAAGATGGGCCTTCAGCGAAAAAGTCATCCAAGGTATATATTCTTACAATCATGGCTTTGCAGACCTACCCAGAAACCCATCTCGTCAAATCTTGGGCTTCACTCTCGTCGTACTGTCCATCCTCACACCCTCGTCATCCTCCTCCGCCACCGTCAGGTCCGGCAGCTTGGCGGGCATGATGCGCCGGGGTTTCGCGCCGGGGATTAGGCTGTACTTGTCAAAATCCGTGAAGCCCCTCTCGCGGAGAAAGTCTTCGTCTAGCTCGAGGCGACCGCTGATCTCGGCGGCGGGGGTCCTCAGCATCTCGAGGATGGCGTCGGAGTATATGGTCTGGGTAAACTCGGTTAGTCATAGGAGAGGACCTAGGGGGATCATGAGTTTTCTCTTTGGGGCTACTCACTGCTTTGCGGAGATCCTTTTGGATCTCTGCCTCGGGCGTGGCCGCGGATTGGATCGCCTTGCAAGTCGTTAGCATTGTGCACGTTCTCTGCAGGAACGCTTGAAAAAAGGTATCAAGGGGTAGGGAAGAGTAAAAACGGTAAGAGTAAAAGCAAGAGAAAAAACGTACGACAGCCGGCCAGATACTCGTAATCGCCATTTCCGTCTTCCCCTCCCTCTTCCAATCCACCGCCAACCCCTTGGTCAACACAGACATGGCCACCTTGCCCATCGCATACGCCGTCTTCCCCGGAAAAAGCGCTGATAGATGGGCGGGCTCACGACGATCACGCGGCCCCTCCACCCGTTCCTCTCAAAATGCGGCAGCGCAGCCTGCACGGTGGCGTACAAGCCCTCGACGTTGACCTGCTGCATCAGCCGGAACCGCTTCATCGGGGTCTTGGCCACCGACGACCACCAGATGGCGCCCGAGTTGTACACGATCACGTCGATGCGCCCAAACTCGCGCGCGACGGCGTCCAGCATCGCCACCACGCTCTCCTCGCTGCGCGTGTCCACCTGCACGGCGAGGGCCTCGCCGCCGGCTTCGCGAATCTCCCGCTCCACCGTGTTGATGGTGGACGCGGACGAGTTGGGGTCCGGCGGGAAGGGGACACGGCGGACGCGTCCGATGTGCTCTTGGCGGCGACGGCGACTAGGTTCCCATGAGGGTTAGTGGGGCTTTCATATTTATCAATGGATTGCGTGGTGTCCTTGTTGCGATGGATGGCGGGCTGGGAAACACAGGTAGGGATGAGGGGGCGTGTGTTTCCTTGCGAGTGGTGTGCATCGAATCACGTTGTGTTGGTTGTTTTACATGCTTCAATGTTCACCAAGTCGGACAAGCCGGGCAAAAACTAACCTCGATAGCCATTCTTGGCCAGGTCGACGGCGACTTGTCGACCGATGCCGCGGGATGCGCCGACGACGAGGGCGACGGGGACTTCGTTGGAGGACATGATTGACTGACCCGTTTCTCGCAAGTGGTTTATTTTTAAAACTCTAGGTTACATGAGTTTCGGGGCCAGCGAAATTAAATGCTTGCATGTAGGCAATGCACAAGTTAAATGGTTGCCTCACGATGCTGCGCGATCAAAGGTGCCGTCGCGTGCGGTGCGGGAACTGTGCTAAGCTCCGGCAGAGATGCCTCGGCTCGCTCACGTTGTCGGGTGGTGATGAGTAATCGTTGATCACTAATTGAATTCGTTCTGGTGGGGGACAGAGAATAGAGGGAATTTGAAGCTTGGGAGCTGGCAGTGAGCGGAACTGAGCTGAGCTACAAATTGATCCATTGCTTTGCGCCATGCGCTGGACAGGACAGGACAAGCGCCAAAACACAAGTGGTTTCCGGCAATGGCTGGGCTCGTTCATCCACCACATCACAAGGTTCAATGTTTCTCTTTAGCTCTTGCTTTCGCAACCCCAGTCCGGGCCAAATAGCCTGCCAGTAGCCAGAGTATAAAGTAGCGCTAGCCATCAATTGAGTCTGGAAGCTGAAATGGGCCCATGAGAGCTCGTACGAATCTTAGTCCACTCACGCTTTGAAATGGCAGTACCTGTTTGATTGAATTGAAGGACAGGCAGGGAGAAAGTAGGGATACGGGGAAGAGGGGATTATAGAATAATTTCTGCCCACCTTGCCTCTCGCTGCCTACCGAGCATCACAGGCGAGATGGACGCCTCGAGGTGGGTGGGCCCTACAAGCACGGATTTCGCACAGGGACGTCATGCCGAACGGGCCGGACGGCGAAACGGGGCGACCGAGGCAGCACGGGATTAGAGTCCGACCCTGATCCTTGATTTTGTTTCCTTTTCATTTTGGCTGGCTGCCAGAACAACATGCACGCATGCCCGCGTGCATGGCAGATGGCATGTGTCCGACGGGTTTCGCGCCCACCCAGAGCTCCGCATACTCCCCACAGGCAAAATTGAACTAACAATGGACATTGAGGTCATCATCCAAATCCTTATTGGGCGCTTTCCCGCAACGCAAAGACTACAGAGCTGGGGTCTCTTGCCGATCAGCAACAAACCCCGCTCGTCGTAAGCTTTCCCAACGGACCAAGCAGCCCTGGCCCGGGGCGTGGCTTTCAACACCAAGCAGCAACGAGTTAGTCCGACTCCGTAGCCCCGTGTCTCTGCTGAAGAGCATGCCCGCGGACTATCGACGCCACAAACTATCGGAGAGATTATCGAGACCGTTCTTCCACCTCCGACGGGCCCATGTATCATTCTAGCCCTATTCGACCCACTTTTGTCGTGTCTCTTTTTCTTCGTCTCGGGGCTGGGCTGAGGGAACACGCGTGCATGTTAGCAGAACTTATCAAGAACACTTTTGGGGGGGTTCTTTTTCTTCTCTCCGGATGATTGGCGGTGACGGCCTGTCCTATCCAGACTAGGGACCGCGCGGAGGGTGGGGACTAGGCATGATCGCACTTTGCAGCTTAGCCCTCCATTCTCATGCCTCGGACAATAAGAGGGGACAACGCGAGGATGCATGGCCCAAGGCCCCAATCAGAAGATTATATTGAGAGCAGGGGAGAGTTTCAAACGATATTGGGTTCTTTTGCCCTTCGGCATGCTATCAAAGTTAGCTCCATTTTTCTTTGCCCTTTTCTTCCACCGCATCGTTCTCGGTGACGCCTCCTGTACGGCGATGGAGAGACATCACGCCAGGGCGTCGTGGCTGTTTCTTTGACACGTTGCGGATGGGACTGACAGCGGATAGGAGGAGGCGTCTCGCCGGGTTCCCTGTTTTCCATTCCCCATTGACATTGTGCGCGCGCCGAGTCTGGCACATGGGAAAAAGTAACCTTGTGCCTCCCTGTCAAAGTAGAAGGTTCAAGTTTATTGTATATATAAGAAGCTCAGGGCCGGTTCCCCTCCCCTCGACGCATATACTTTGCTCTCTCTTCTCTTCGTTCTTTTCCCCTTCTTCCCCCTTTCCCTCATACTAGCCTGTACCTAACCATCTTCGGGAACAAGAGACGCACACACACACACTCACGATGCCTGAGCCCGTCGAGGAAACCGTTCCCATCCCGGAGCCTCAGGGCCTCCCCTTGCTAGGCCATGTCCGGTCCATTAACCCCGACTTCCCACTTGGGTCCATGGTAGGGTTCTCCAAGCAATTCGGTCTGCTTATCCGCCGCCTTCCATATCGCTAGCCCAACCCACCTCGCCTTTTCCATTATCACCCTGCTGACCACGCGCATCGCAAAGGCGAAATCTACCGACTCAACTTTGCCGGCTCAACAACAGTCGTCGTCTCCACCCACGAGCTCGTCAACGAAACATGCGACGAGAAGCGGTTCCAAAAGACAATTAGCAAAACCCTCCAAGTAAAGCACACCTTCCCCTTCTTCTTTGTATCAAAGCTACACAACCCGCTAACCAACGTCCCACCGAACAGCAAGTCCGCAACGGCGTCCACGACGGCCTCTTCACCGCCCACAACAACTCGGAAGAATGGGCCATCGCGCACCGCATCCTCATGCCCGCTTTCGGTCCCCTATCCATCCGCAACATGTACCCGGAAATGCACGACGTCGCCGCCCAGCTCGCCATGAAGTGGGCTCGCCACGGACCCTCCGCCCCCATCCACGTCACCGACGACTTCACCCGCCTGACCCTCGACACCATTGCCCTATGCTCCATGGATTTCCGCTTCAACAGCTTCTACTCGCCCCAGCTGCACCCCTTTGTCGAAGCCATGGGCGACTTCCTCAAGGAGTGCGGCGCCCGCGCCCAGCGCCTGCCTTTACTCCCCGCCGGCCTACTCCACCGCGCCCGCGACCAAAAGTACGAGCGCGACATCGAGGTCCTCCGCTCCACCGCCCAGTCCGTGCTCGACGCCCGCCGCGCCGAGCGCAGCAGCAACGACCGCAAGGACTTGCTCAGCGCCATGCTCCGCGGCGTGGACCCCAAGACGGGCCGTCGCATGAGCGACGACTCCATCATGGACAACCTCATCACCTTCCTCATCGCCGGCCACGAGACCACCTCGGGCACGTTATCCTTTGCCTTTTACCAACTCCTCCGCCACCCGGACGCCTACGCCAAGGCCCAGCAAGAGGTCGGCTCCGTCGTCGGCACGGGCCCCATCCACGTCGACCACCTGTCCAGGCTGCCCTTCCTCAACGCCGTGCTGCGCGAGACCCTGCGCGTCAACGCCCCCATCCCCATGTTCGCCGTCGAGGCCAAGGAGGACACCCTCCTGCTGGGCAAGTACCCGGTCAAGAAGGGCGAGCCCATCGTCAACCTGCTTGCCCGCGCCCACGTGGACCCGGCCGTCTTTGGCGAGGACGCCGACGAGTTCAAGCCCGAGCGCATGCTCGACGCCAACTTTGACCGCCTCAACAACGAGTTCCCCAACTGCTGGAAACCCTTTGGCAACGGCGCCCGCGGCTGCATCGGACGCCCCTTTGCCTGGCAGGAGGCTCTCCTCGTCATGGCCATGCTTTTGCAAAACTTCAACTTTGTGCTCGACCCCAAGTACACCCTCGGCATCAAGCAGACCCTCACCATCAAGCCCGCCGACATGCACTTCCGCGCCATCCTGCGCGACGGCCTCACCCCACCACCCTCGAGCACAGGCTGTCCGGTCGAGGGGCGACTCTTCCGACGCAAACGGCTCCTCGACCAATGGCAAGGCCAAGGCGTCAAACGGCCAACACGCCAACGGAGGCGAGCCCGCTGCCGCCACCACCACCGGCATCCCCATGACGATCCTCTACGGCTCCAACAGCGGAACATGCGAGGCCCTCGCGCAGCGCGTCGCCGCCGACGCCTCGACGCACGGCTTCCGCGTCGATAAGCTCGACTGCCTCGACAGCGCCAACGGCAAACTCCCCGCAACCAACCCGTCGTCATCGTCACCTCCTCCTACGAGGGCCAGCCCCCGACAACGCCGGCCACTTTGTCGCCTGGCTCGAGGGCCTCGGCACCAAGACAACCGAATCAGCAGCGTCGCCGCCGCCCCTCGAAGGCGTCACGTACGCCGTTTTCGGCTGCGGCCACCGCGACTGGACCCAAACGTTCCACCGCGTGCCCAAGCTCGTCGATTGCACCCTCGCCGACCGCGGCGCGGACCGCCTCGTCGATATTGGTTTGTCCGACGTCTCCGCCGCCGCCACCTTTTCCGACTTTGAGACCTGGGAGGACGACAAGCTGTGGCCGGCCCTCAAGGAACGCTTCAAGCCCGAGGCGGATGGTCGGCCTGGGTCCTCGGCAGGTTCCGCGACGACGGCGCTTAAAGTGCAGGTGCTCAACCCGCGGACGTCGGCGCTGCGGCAGGATGTCAAGGAGGCTGTTGTAGTAGAGGCCAGGACACTAACCAGCGGGTCTCAGGAGAAGAGGCACATCGAGATCAAGCTGCCCGAAGGTATGACGTACTCGGCGGGCGACTATCTCGCCGTGCTTCCCAGCAATCCCGAACAAACGGTGAGGAGGGTCATGCGGAGGTTCAAGTTGCAGTGGGACGCCCAAATCTTGATCGAGTCAGAGATCCACACCTCGCTGCCCGTGAACACGGCCGTCCCGGCGAATTACGTATTCGGATCCTACGTTGAGCTGTCGCAGCCTGCCAGCAAAAGGTATGTTTTTCGCGTTCTCCTCCCTTTTCTTTGAGTTGTTTTTACTAAACTTCCTGGTATGCAGAACGTCCTCGTCCTAGCCGATGCTGCCGTGGACGACAAGACAAAGGCGGAACTAACCCGCCTCGCCAACGATGGCTTCGACAAGGAAGTCACTGGCAAACGCTGCTCTGTTCTCGATCTCCTCGAGCGGTTCCCTACCGTTGAATTGGACGTTGGCACATTCTTGTCCATGATGCCCCCGATCCGCGTCCGACAATAGTAAGTTACATCCTCAAAACCAGCCAAAAATGCGTATACTAACAACTCCTAAAGCTCCATCTCCTCCTCCCCGCTCTGGAAACCCGACCACGTCACAATCACCTACTCCGTCGTGCACGCCCTCCCTCTCCGGCCAAGGCTCCTTCTTTGGCGTCGCCTCCTCCTACCTCGCCTCCCTCTCCGCCGGCGACCACCTCGCCGTATCCGTACGCCCCTCCGCCGCACCCTTCAGCCTCCCCGCAGATCCGGAGCAGACGCCCATCGTATGCGTTTGCGCCGGCACGGGCCTCGCCCCCTTTCGCGCCTTTGCCCAAGAGCGAGCCGCCATGATCCGCAGCGGGCGCCGACTCGCCCCCGCCATGCTCTTCTTCGGCTGCCGATCCCCGAGACCGACGATCTGTACCGCGAAGAATTCGACGAGTGGGAGCGCCTCGGCGCCGTCGAGGTGCGCAGGGCCTACAGCCAAGCCGGGGCCGGGGCCGAGGCGGGCCACGTCCAGGACCGCCTGTGGGCCGACAGGTACGACGTCATCCCGCTGTGGGTCGAGGGCGCCAAGGTGTACATGTGCGGCGCGCGCAAGGTGTCGGACGCCGTGCGCGACGTCTGGGTCAAGGTGCGCGAGGAGTACCTGCGCAAGGAGGGCAAGACGGAGGGAGAGGACGAGGCGAGGACCTGGTTCGAGGGGCTGAGGAATGTTCGATATGTGATGGACGTGTTTGATTGATGTCAGCTGCTCGTACGCGGCAGGGTGCAAGGGAAACGTGGGAGTCTAAGATTTGATTTTCTTTTAGGGTTTTCAATGTTCGTGTTTGCTTCCGGACGGCTGTTAGTGTGTTTCGTGTTAAGCTACCTGAGGAAGAGGATTGCTTTGTTAGTTCTAAGCCTCTGCTTTTCAACCCATACCATCATGGATTTTCTATTTCGAGACATTTTCTTGGCCGTGTCTGCTAGTTGAATCTATTCGTGTCCAGGCTACCGCGCGCGCTAGCTAGATCTCTTCCTAGCGGCATCGGGGAAGAATGAAGGCACCACGTTCACTTGTTTCGGCTAAGGGTGTTGTCTTGGGCTCCGATCCTCAGCTCTTCCGCCCGTGAGGCCGGATCGCCGATGTTCCAGATCGCGAAGAAATATGCAACCTGGGGTTGGCCTCGATCTTGAACAGATGGATTAGCGTTGCGATTTGAATAGTAACCTGTCTACCGCATTTTATTGTTTGCCAAGACTAGAGATCCACTTCAGGCCTCGTGTGTCGAGTGAGCCGATTTGATACCAAGATCACGATGTCTTGGACGGCTTCATACGTCCCCCGCGCTGCACATAAATATGTCCGCCGCTAGTAAAAATTTCTCGGCGATTATGGATGCAAGAGCACTTATTGGCAGCTATGGAGTCGTCTCGCAACGGATTCTCACAAAATGGGGAAAGAGAAAAGAGAAAAACGAACAAAAGAGGGGGAGAAGATAACAGGCGTGTAGGGTGGCTGACGGAGTGAAGAAAACCCGGATCTGGGGTAACAGGGTCCTCATCTTTTCACGTTGTCAAAAGGGAGACCGAGGACACGTCAGCTCTAGTATGTGGCGCCGGTCAATCGTTTTGATGTTGTGTTGGCCATCAATACTGATCCAAGGGCGGACAACTGAGCTTCGCAGGATGGAACACGGCGGGCATCACGTTCCATTCCGGACGGAACGGCACGGGACATGGCTCGATACGTCCTGTCCCTGGTGAGCACGCTTGATGTACGGCTGAGCCAGGACAACAAGCAGCGCTACTCAAATAACGACACATTAAATAGACAGATTCAAATCCTTAGGAAAAATGGAAGACACCGAAAAAGCAAAACAACCCTTATTTGGGCAGGCTAACTACAAGGGACCCGAAGCCCATTTGCTTCGCCATGCTCAACACCCACCAGTTAAGGATGTGGGATAATGCTTTTGCGAGAATTAAACTCATCTTATCGGGATGCCTCAATACTTTTCCCGCGTGTATAGTCCGTCTCGCAAGAGTCTTACACCAGCTGCCCAATTCCGTATCTCAAAGAGCGAAATATTGGGACGGAAGAAGAGCCCTTTCTAGGGTTCTCTTCAACGGCGGCTACATAGCTACCGTCTGCTGTCGAAGCAAATAAAAATAACTATATATAGTGGGTAAAACCTAATCAAAACGTATAGCCCTTCTCTTTCAAGAGCTACTCACTTTCCTTTGCATATTCATTCGTCTCTCTCGCCCATTCCCTCCTTCAACTATTACCAGGCACCCAACCATGATGAAGAAAGCCCTCATCGCCCTCGCGGGCCTCGGCGGACTCAGGCCGTTATGGCAGGACGACCGGCCGCGAAGGAGTGCTGCCATCTCGCTGGTTGTCAAAGAGGTACGTTCAGCTACTAAGAGAATGGATGATCAGAAGACACCTGGATAGGATGAAGGAACAATAGCATCTCGCGATAAGGTGACCACGTATACACTAACACGTTTCCTCTTCTTTCCAGCTATTGCCGAGGCTCCCATGGTCAACGGCATTGAGCAATGTGGCTGGAACCAAGCTGTTACTGTCACAGACAGCGTGTAAGTTGAAGTTCACAAGATGAAGCGGCCCATCCTCCCCAAGCAAGTTGTACACACAACTAACGTCCCCCACAGCACCTTGACCCAGGCCTCAACCATCACCGCCAGCGTGTCAGAGGCCCCCGTCGAGACGACCCGCATCACCGTGACCGAGACGATTACAGCCGACATCGGTACCCTGACGAGCGTGATCATTGATACTGAGACCGCCGAGGCTGTCACCGTCACCAGCACCAGCACCACCTACGCGCCAAACCCGGTGGACCCGTTGAACCCGGTCGAGCCGGAGGATCCCGACCCGGTCCCCGAGATCCGTCGCAACGCCCGCCGCGGCGCACAGCACTCCTCCTCCACCAACGTTCCCGCCCCGACGACCACTGACGAAGTCCCGTCCTACCTCGGCGATGCGTGCGCCTCCTGGGGCGACTACCTCGCCGCCTGCAGCTGCCTCGGCGCTACGCCTTCAACCATCACCGTCACGGCCACCGCGTCGACCGAAGTGCAAACCGTCACCGTCACGCCTACCGCCGGCAGCGCATCCACCACGACCGAAACCGTGACCACGTATGTATCCGTCACGGGAAGCACCACTGACCTCATCACCACCGTTGTCACCGTCACGCCTACCACGACAACGCTAAGCATCGTCACCACTTGTGCGCCCCTCGGCTATACCTGCGACCCCGAAATCCCCCAAAGTAGAGATGCTTGCTGTTTTGATTGCTGTCCGTCAAATGATGGATACGAATGCTGTGAGGCTGTGCCAATGTAAGACAGCGCAGGTGTACGAGATGCCGTCTTCCATCCGGCGTTTCTCCCTTGGGACAGGGCTAAGGGCTTATATGTAAACATCAATGTATGTGGTTCGCACTCTCTGCACTAAAAAGGCGCTCTCGTGGTAATAGCCGCTATCACCCTATGGGAAGCCCGCTTCGTCTGTATTCTTATTGTCGCCCTAGTAACATGTATGGATCTATCTGATTTGAGACATATTTTGACGCTTCGCGCCAAACCTTGGGCTAAAGCCTTACTCCAGTACCTATAGCCATTGCTGCGCCTTGTCAGGGCGGCCTCGGTGTTGAACTTCCTCCAGTGACGGAAATGATCGACCCAGATAGAGCGATGCAATCAGGAATAAAAGAACCCGTAGTTCTCAAACAAAGACTAACAAGAGCTAGCTCGACGCTTACGTATCTTAGAAAATGGGAAGAATTCAAATACAATTTCCAATCTGCTGGGCGGAGGCACTCGTTTGGCGATCATGTCGGGGTTTGAAGAAAAGTCAAGGCGCGAAAAGCCGTAAGGCTTTCCTCAAGTATACATGTACTGTACTGCTGGGTCGTAGCTCGTGAAGGAAAAAGAGTGCTTCTCGTCACCTCGCCTCTGCGTTTATTGCGCCAGAATGAGATAGCCATGATCCTCGAAGGATACTCTGCCTGTCGTTTGCTAGTCACGGTACATTTGGACTTTGTGAAATAATGGTAGGCTCCTCAGTTGTCTCGTTGCAAGCTAGAAGCTCGACGGAACGGGCAAAAAGGTTGTGTAAGATTGGAATACTCCTGGTTAAATCCCATATGTGAGGATGGGGATCTGATATTGCATCACGTTGACCAAGTTGCGCGTACATGTATTTTCAAGGCATACGTATGACAGCTCAACAAGCATCTATCTTCGGACAGAGAAGATCATGGCATCGGGGAAAGCATGCAGTTTCTTATAAGACATCATGGATGTACGTAGTACGAAATCCCACGGACCAAGGACAAACGTTGAAGCCGCGTAAGAGCAGCATTGAACTAGCCACCCTTTGCGCGCAAGGGTCCCACCTCCGTATGTCCATAGAAAAGTGGCAATATTATTGAAAACAAAGGCAAGATAAGTCGACGAAGACAAAGCGTGTGCGTTTACGTGACCGAGAGCAGCCTATTTTGATCTGCCTTTGCTGGTATTGCCAAAACATTCGTTCACAAATATGGAGATCGAGACAGAGGGAAGAACTACGAGCTTCAAGACATTGATGGATCAGTCCTCATTCCCACATTCTCAGATAGTGAAAAAGGCGATGAAAAACTAGTTGGGCTTTTCTCGAGAAGAATGGGAGGAAAGAATGAAAAGAAGACCACTCGGTGCGGGCGACAAGCCGCGATGAATCTAAAAACCAGGCGGTGACGAGTTCACAGTTGCGGCAACCCTTGCGCTCCCCACATGTATCTAGAGATATACAAGGTCTTTACAGGAAACGCCCGACCAAGAAGGCCCCGGACCTAATAACGGCGACAGAAAAAAGGTAGTCAACGGGGGCAAGGAAAAAAGGTTCTAGCGCATCGAGGTGCATCAAGAACGGGGAAAGGGTCAACGGGATGGGGTAGATTCTGAGAATAAGGGTTCACGCCGATGCTTTTTTCCCACACAACAGTTCCGACCTCTTGAGACAAAAGACCATTGAACCGTCTGCGAGCTTCTCCTTCGGTCCCGTCTCAGACTATATAGTGCACAGTGTTTCTTGATGTAGTTGGCCGCCCTCTCGACGCTGAGCAATATCTGAGACAGATCGAGCGATGAGACATGGCAATAATCCATCATCTCCCCTTCGCCTACCTATGGAAATGTAGCCTCGGAAGGTCTATAGCCGTGTGAGCATAGCCGCGTAGAGATATTGGTGCGCAAACCAGTTGCAGCCGTTATCTTGGTCGCCAGTTTAAATACATTGATGTAAGGTATGAGAAAAGATTGTTTTACAAAAACATGAAAAAAATGCACAAAAGACGACGGGACAAAGATGCTTTCTGAGGTGTGAACCACTAGACCAAGTGCAAAAATAGGATTATATTACCCATAGTCTTATACCTGAATATGTGGTATTTATAGGGTAAAACCCCTTTCAACAGAAGTACATGTGTAAAGTTTATGGATCGTCGAGCGTCCCTAGACTTGGTGGAGAGAAGGTTCATGGCATGGCTCAGAACACAAGACCAGTCGCAGGGGATCGGGATTGCTGGTTTACAAGGGGTGAAGGAGAAGGAAAGACACCATGACTGTGGCCATCGAGGATCGTACACAGCATTCGAAGCCATATACGTAGGCATTTTCTTCTTTGGATATCCAACTCTCGATCTCTTCCAACATGCTCGTCAAGAAAAACATTGCAGCCTGAGAGACACCAACCTCACCGGCTACGCGTTCACTCAACCTTATTCTAGTCTCGAAAGTTCGAAGAATAATAAACTAAGGCGCGTTTGAGAGCTAAGATCTGGCATTACGGCGGAGCATTTAACGATGCCTATGCCCGGCCAAGCCCCGACACGATAGCAAGGAAGAATCCTCCATATTCACCCTCACTTACAATCCAACTTTGGTCACTCTCTCCACCTTTTCTTTTTTATCGGACTCCGTTGCTCCTCTCCGCAATCATGAAGAAGGCGCTCATCGTACTCAGCGCCCTCGGCTGGCTCCAAGCCGCCATGGCCGGCGGCACCGGCGACAGTTCTTGGAAGGGAAAGGACGATGGCTGGCTTGAGGGCGGCCATCACGAACGCCCTGGTGGCGGCGTCTGCTGCCACAACGTGCCTTGCCAGCAGGGTAAGTTGAACTCGGCAATTTCTATCCCTTACCCAAAGCATCTCCCTAGATATCCTCCTCAGTAGCCTCTCCGGCTACTAGCAGGGACGAGACACATCGTTGTGACTAGGCTAACATGGCATCCCTCCATCTCCTTGCAGCCATCGCCGATGCTTCCAACTTTGAGGGCTACATCGAGTGTGGTTGGAACCTTGGAACCTTGCCAAGAAAGTCTATGAGCCCAGGTAAGTTTGCATTGCTAGTCAGATTCCACAATGAACTACGGACACCCTACGAGGCCAAGGTGATATTCTGACTCTTTTGTGGAACAGCACAACAACCTCTACTACCGTCGTCCAGAGCACCACCTCCACCGTGGAAACTCGCATCCTGGGCACCATTACCGAAATCTTTTGTTCCAGACCGTCGCAACCTCAACCTCGGTGGTTTCCTCCACCACCACCCTCACCATCACCCTGGAAGATGGCGACGGGAAGAAGAAGCGCGACACCGGCGAGGCGGCCAATCCCACCGGCGGCGGCACCGGAGGCCAAGTCCCCGACTACGCTGCCGAGGCGTGCGGATCCTGGGAAAAGTACCTCCTCGGCTGCAAGTGCCTCGGTGCCGAGCCCTCTACCATCACCCTCTACTCGCCCACCTACACCACCGTCGTCACCTCCACCTCCGTCCTGACCGTCTCCCGAGTTCTAGTGGACTACAAAACTGTCACCACCACGAAACCCATAACTGCTGTCGTCACCTCCACCACGATCGCCACCGTGACTACTACAGTGATCCCCGATCCGGTCGAAAATAATAACGACGATGGCGCTGCTGATGATGCTGCCCCCACTTTCTAAACTCGCCAACGCAAGGCGTGAAGTGGCACGGCATTGCCAACTCGCCGTCACTCCCCTAAATTGCCCAGCACTTGTCTACGGGAGTGGCGGGGGCCCGGCACCTGCTTCGTCACCCTCCGTGGCCACGATGCCGCGATCTCAGCTCGGTCCACTTTTAAGGGGAGAAACTGCTTAGTTGTCATTGTTATGGTCGAAGACCGGATATGCTTGAATGAAGTGAAAAGACCCGCCCGGCTCACGAGAAATGATGGCGATGTAGTTAGCTTTTGGAAGTTTGGATAATGCCTATTGTGACCTACGCTTAGACACAAAAGAAGTCGTGGCCTTCGCGTGACAGATGATGCGAAGCAGAAGCCCAAGTGCGGAAAAGAGAGATGGACGCTAAGCGAAATTAGAAATTCTCACCATGGGCGCACTCGTCGAGCGGGTGTCGTAGACGCAGATCCTGCAGGGTTGCGCTGTCGTGTGTAACGTTGAACCGTCTTGAAGTACATGTAGGGCTCAGCGCCAGTCGACCGTCACTCCCACATTACCGGCCAAGACCTGCATAATATCGGCGGTGTCATGAAGCTGAACTGACGCTTGGCTTCAATTGACGCGGTAACAGGCGTCCATATATTGTTTTACCCTCAACTCCCCTACCACATTCTTGAGCGCTAGCCAGTCGTTGGAGACAGGCACTCGGTCCACGCATAGCGAGCTGAATGGTGTCCAACACGGTCTAAACCACTTATCTCCACACACAGGTTCAAAATCCGAGTGTGGTCCCAATATAATCAACCTTATCCTTTACTGCACCCGAGAACGGAATTCCAAAACGATTTGGTGCCGATACATGGTACTGCCACCATAACCGAAGCGATCTCGTTTGCCCTCGACTATCGCCTTGGATGTGACACCGCTTTGAACGGAAAGGGATATTTTCGAGCAGTGCTGATTTCGAACACGCATAACCGAAAGCATTTGTACACACTCCTAGGGCCACCGAGTGCCAACACCCATAATAAGGGTTGCCGAGATGTATGCTTGGCGGCTACATCCAAGGGAGAACTGCGGTACGTGGTGTTTCTCCATCAACGTAACGGCAAGCTCAGCTCGTCTTCTCTGCTCAGCGACGCGTTCAAGATGGATAGCAGAGAAGAAGTGATTGCTAAACATACGCACCAAGGGACTCGCAAAACCTATATAAGCTAGACCTCGTTCTCCATAAATCACAAATCTTGAGGAAATCTTAACCACCGGCCATCACTCGCTTCTTCTTTCGCCTTCCTTTTATGTGCCTTGCGCTCCGACCCCTTTACACTCGTTTCCAAACCTACTTCACTCGTTATATCTTATCAACGCCATGAAATTCTTCTCTCCCTTGCTCATCAGCCTCGGCTGGCTTCAAGTCGTCGCGGCCGGCCGGTTCCCCGTCTCGCCGCCGATGACCTGCTGCGCTCTCGTTTCCTGCCAAATTGGTAAGTCCTGATGCGGGTCAAACCGCGGAACGACAAGCAAGCTTCCCTCCTTCTGTCAGTCAGGTAGGCTGGAAAATGTCCCAAAGTCCACTGCTTACAGGATGGGTTTTAGCGATCGGAATAGCTCCCTCCTCGGCAGGGTTCGACGACTGCAGGAACAACCTTGTCAAGACCAAGGTCGAAACGGCCAAGTAAGATACTTTTCCGTACCCGCCCCTGTCCATTCTGCCACCCTCTGGCCTTGGTGAGGATGGGAGGTAGTGCCCGCATGATCAATGGGGGTCGTAGACGCTGATTCTTCGTAACTAATACCTTCTGTGTTCTCCCAAAGGGTGACGTCAACTGTCGAGGTGGCCTCAGTGGTAGATTGGACGACCACCTCGGTCGCCACTGTTGCCGTTCCTATCGCTGTCGATTTGCCGGCCGACACTATAACCGTATTGTCCACAGTTTATAGAACTTTGACGCGGGGAAACCCCGTCTACGTCACCAAGACAGTCACAGCCGTGCGCGGCAGAAGTCCCCGCGACGAGCCGCCGCCAACGCCCCTGCCAGCGCTGGTGCAAGCTCGAGGGGTCAACCCATCCGCCGTCCCCGCGTATGCGGAACCTTCGTGTAACTCGTGGGAAAAATATACCGCAGCCTGCAAGTGTCTTGGTATCCAGCCTGGTCTCTTCACCTCGACGCAGGCGGAAACGGAGTTCGAATATGTTAATGTGCCATCGACCAACACGGTGGTAGAGCACTCGACGGTAACGATGGAAGTCCAAGTGTTTGCCAGTGTCGCACCGGTTACCACGACAATGACCACTTATGTCCAAGTTACAGTGCGCCCGACTATTACAAGGACTCATACCGTCCAGTCTAACCCTGGTCGTGACCGGGGCGGCGGCCGCTAATGGCACTACCCGTGGCTTTGAGCTCTAGGTAAAGCTATCATTGGCGCTGCGAAGTATAAGTGTCTCAAGAGCCGACAAGGGGTGGAGATGCTACTATGTCTCTCGCGAACGGTATAGGTCAGGGTTCGGCTGGCGGAATTTGGTTCGATTCTAATGTGAGATGCTAGTAAGCGGTATACTGCTGATGTCGGAATGCTTGACGATGGAAGCTGGGATCTGGTTCCTGCTGGACCCCCTTCAAATTTTGCCATCATCCTGGACTTCATTGGGAGGATATCGCGGCAAAGCAATATTTATGTAGATCTTTAATATGAGAGAATATGTCGCTGTTTCCCTTCTCCGCTGACATGAACGTGAGCGTATTCACGAAGTCTACATGTACGGTACATTTAAGCCTACGCGCGCCACACAAAAGAGCAGGGTGGAAATGCAGATTCGTTTGGTGCCCGCCCGAATATGGCGGTTCAGGCCTGGGGTAAACTAAAAACATTAAAGCTGCAGAGGTGATAGGAAAATTCAAGTCCCTTGTTGGGTACTGTCTATATTAGTGAAAATGGCATGGGTATCTAGAATGAAAGTTCTATAGCCGATCTAAGTGAAATTTTGTTTGAGTAAGAACAGGTCGAGAACCGTTCCGCTGGCTCTCCCCAACTACCCCATCAACCTCCCTACTATGCTAAAAACATGCGCATTTGTCTTATTATCCAATGAATTAGAAGCCATAAGATCCAACCGGAAATGGTCTGAAATAGGCCGCAAGATAAAAAATCTCGCTAGTCGACTTAATCCTCAAACGAGCCCGGCTCCGCAGGCCACACAAGCCACGACACGACGATCAAGAGCTTCAAGATGGCCGCCGTCCACAGCGCCCAGACGATTCCGAGACCGTAATGCCTGTAGACGCCGCCAAACAGCGCACCGATTAAGAGAAGAAGCGGGGCCGCCAGCCGGCGATTGCGCTCCGAGTTGCGCAGGGAGAAGAGCTCGGCGTCGGAGAAGAGATCGCAGTAGATACTGGTCAAGACGACACTCGTAAGACTGTTGAACTTGAGGGCGCGGCTGGTGACGGCCTGGCCGCAGCTCTGGAAGGACACGAGGGCGATGGGGAGGAGATCGCTCCACTTGATCTCCTCGGCGCTCGGGGCGGGGCCGAGGGTGACGGCGAGGGCGGCGACGACGGTGATGAGCATCTGCAGGGCAAAGGAGGCGCAGAGGACCCAGCGGCGCTTGGGGGAGAAGAAGCGGTGGAAGCGCGAGAATACAAAGGAGCCGACGCAAAGGAGGCGACGGACACGCCGGACTTGATCCAGCGCGTCGACTCGTGGGGCGTGACGACGCCGAGGCCGAGGTAGACGGTGTTTCCTGTAAGGGGGAGTTGATGAATATTTTTCTTCTCCTTCTGTCTCGGCTAAAAATAGAGAGGAACAGGAAGAAGAGACAAATCCACCGATGAAAAATATCGCATACCTGTTTGCATAGAGACGAAAGAATTCCATGTGCTGATGGACTGGCTGTCGAGGAGGCCAGTGATGACATAGCACAGCAGGAGGATCAGGTCACCCCTTTTGCGATCGACGTCGGCAGTCAGATAACTCTGCCACCGTGGGACCTTGGGCCTGGTCGGCAGCAGAGCCGCTTCCCGATCTGCAAATGCATCCGCATCTGCGGTACCGTTACTCTGGGGCACGGAAGGGCTGGTGGTGCCATACGGGGTGCCTTTGGATGCCGACATTGTTTCAAGGCACGCTCTCTCTCCTGTGTCCTTGATGATAAGATGCTGCCAATTAGAGCCAACCTTTTCTTTTCAACGACGATACCCGGGCAGAAAGCGAGCGATAAAAATTTTCTGAAAGAAGCGGAAGAAGAGGATTTCTCAACAGCCTCGTAGGGCGACGGATCTATTCTTCTAATTCTGGAGCCAGTCCTCATTCCCAAGCACCAGGGCGCGGAAGGAGTCACACACCTTTGGAGAGCGGACAGAAAAAATGTAATGTCTACAACGTCCCCCTGTCGAGAGTCATCAGCTAATCCGCGCTAAACTTACGTCATGCGTTGATCAGGAAAGATTTTTCGTCCTTATCATTGGCTTGCAGGGGTGACAGAACCCAAAGGGCCCAGTTCGATCAGCGCAAGCTAATCTCCTCCCCGGTGCCGAGTATCCAAATTTAAGGCTTGGCTGGAGCGGTGGAGCTATAAGGCAGGCGAGACAATAGTTCTCAACCCCCACAGCGCACCGAGCCCTTAGTCCATGTTTTGAAGGCACTATTACGAAGTCGATAGTAAAGCTTCCTGGAATCGATATGTATTGAGAGCATGCCTCTATACGACGAGATCAATAACCATGCGAAAACTGGTCCTGGAACGTCTTTACCCAATCACAGCTCTCAATCGCGCAAGCTACAGTTACAAGCTCTCCCACGAAGAGCGAACTATCGCGATTCTAGTTGTGGAGCTAATCTAACCTGGAGCGTGCGTATAACGAAGGATTTGGCGGTGACGAATCACATAATGAAGGACCAGCAGAAGTTCCTCTTTCGCCATACCAGCAGAACGACGGAGTGAAAGAAGAGAAAAAGCATACATAACGTTCGATGCAACGCCACGATGTAGTGGGTGAAGTGGATATAGCATTACGTATTCCTGCCTTGCAACTGAGATCAATTGATGCACGGGTGAGCACGTGTACGGAACACCGTGCAGACAATAGGGCCGTATTGAATTTTCGTAGTTCGCATCAGCCTTGGAGAAGGTATTCAATGTCCATTCCACAATAGGTTTTCTTTTTTTCGCCCTGTGGTGTAGATCACCCGCGCATCTGTTGAGAGAATGAGAGATCAGCCATGCCACAGCTCACCTAAGAGGAATCGGGAGGAAACCCGGGCTCCGTCTACATCTCGTCCGTTTCCCCACTTTCACCGAGCTCTGACTGCTAGAGCTATCAACGTCCTCCTCATCCTGTTCCGAGGAGTTCTGGGCCCGACAGATGTGCTTCGCCGCAATCTCGCCGTCAACTCCGCATGAACCCCATATTAACGGCCCGCGCCTGTCCGGCCACGGCGGATCAATAAAAGCAGTAGGTGCACAGTAGCAGGCAGTACGTCAGCCGCTCGGCCCCTCGCCACTATATACGCCACTATCACCGCCGGATGTACGAACGGGCGAGCCCAAACAGAAACAATAACTTGGAGAGTCCCGCAGATCAGCTCTCCGCACGCAGCCAAACACATTTAGCGATCACACTGGCATCCCGAGATTACAAGCTTATAGAGCCTGTGCGATCCTTCTTCCGCCCAAGCAGCGGTAGGATTTACAAAACAAAAACGAATGTTTGAAAGGCGGGCGGGGAGAGGAGAGCGCCAAGTCACATGCGATGTCAGATAGTAGATTGCTGCGCATATATTGAAATGAAGACCTGAACCCGCCGATGGATGACAAAATCAGAACACGAGGGACGCGTCCCGCTCCCTTGGCCGCACCCCAGAGCATCGAAGCGAGGGCACGAGATCGAATAGGCTCCCGACACTGCGTGCGAGATAATCAATCGCAAAGCCCGAATGGCGCCCTCCTTCGGTGTGCAGAAGGATGCAAAGGGATTCGAATAGGCAAGTGAGAATTTCATTGCTGACGCTTCAATACGATTGATAAATAGAGCGGATTGACCTCTTGTTTTATTTTCCTCCTCTTGAGGATTTTCTACGGCAAGCAAAAAGCGGAATCCCTAAAGAGGAGCGTTACTTATCTGTTGCGCTTGCCACCTCTTTCTTCGTTCCTAATCTGCTCTCGGCTCTTGGTTCTGTTTCAATTCCCTTCGACTTCACCCGCTCGCCAAACCATCACCATGAACATCGTCGCAATCGCGTCCACCTGGGCCACCCTCGCCCTGCTCGCTTCGGCGCAGAGCCCGGGCCCCGACTGGCCCCGCTGCGCCGCCACGTCCGAGACGCACCACGCGGGGTGGGAAATCATCGATCTCATATTCACGCCTCCCGACCCGAGCTACGACGACTCCGCGTCCTTGTATCTCCTGGTGCGGAATATCGCCGACGGGTCCCGCACGGATTGCCAGCTCAAGCACGATAGCGTCATGGGCGAGGGCGGGTCGTCGGATACGACGATGGACATTGTCCTCACGAACATGCAGGGCACCTGCTTGACGTATTGGGCCGAGTCGAGCGAATTGACTCCCAAGGTCAAGGCCGAGGAGGCGAAGGTGACGTTTGACGTTACGAGTCTGGAGTTGACGATTGAGCAAAGCTGGCGGTGCAGCGACTCCAAGGACGAGTATGTAAAACCGCGCCCCTCTTTTTTTCTGCCAACGGGAAGAGAAAGATGGATGAAGCGAAAAGAAACAGCAGTCGATGGGGAAGAAGAAGAGAAGGAGACGAAGGAGATGAGAGAGAAACAGGGAGACAGAAGAATGATAAACGACGAGTGCTAATCCTCTCTATTTTTGCTAGTGTCACGTACAAGGCCAGCGCATCTCGAAGCGTCCTATTCACCTGCAGCGGAGGCCGCGAGGGCGAGCGCATGGTCTGCACCCCGAAGAACTGTACAGGATCGGCCAGCCCCCATGTACGTCGGCCCCGCGCAGGTGACCGGCACCTCCTCACCTCCTCCACCACCACGACGTACCCCATCGCCAAGCACGAAGACTGCGACAACCTGCCCTCGGCCTTTGCCGGCTGGCAAATCACCCGCATGAACTTTTGGGAGGGCGTCCAAGCCTCCCAGACCGTCCCCTCGGCCAGCCTGAGCCTCGACCTGCGCAACCTCAACGACGGCTCCCTCACGACGTGCCGCCTATTCGCCGACAACGTGGACGAGGAGGCCGGCGTCACCCTCGCGAACAAGGGCGCCACGCTCGGCCAAGGCACGGACAATTACGACAACGGGTGCGGGACGGGCTGGTTCGAGCTCGAGGACGACCGCGGCGGCGTGCGGCAGCGGTGGGCGTGGTACCCGACGGCCAACGTCACCTTTGACACGGCGACGCACGAGCTCGAAATCACGCAGAATTGGCCCTGCGGCGGCGTCGCGGGCGCGTTCGAGGCGTACGTCGTGCAGAAGATCGCGCTGGACTGCACCCCGCTGGAGGGCTCGCTCTTTCCGACGGGGTGCACCGCGCGGAGGCGCTGGTCAATTTCGAGGGCCCGCCGGTGATTGTCGAGGGCGTGCTGCCAGACTTTTGCGTCCGCCGACCGTGTAATCGCTGAGGGTGCGAGTCAATGGAAACCCACCTACCTTTTTTTTTTGTGGCGAAGCGCTTCGTCCTTCTCCTTTGCATGTTATATTGCTGCCGTGAACGTTGTTCAGAGTTTCTTGTCCTGGTTGTCCTTCCCTCCCTTCTCAAAGTAGGCCATGGCTGATCTGACCTTGACGGGAAGCCAAGACTGGCCGAAAGAAAAACTCATGATTCGAACATTGTGGGCAGTTGTCAGACCATCTTGGCCTCGTCATCACCGCATAGATAAAACCCTCACCAGATGCGGGTACATGCGTCTGTGTTGAAGTGGCAAAGACGACATATCAAGGTCCATTTCTCCAACCCCCGGACGGCTACCCACATGTCTATTAATGTATGCATTTTGCGCCACCATTGCACTTTCTCTCCCCCTTTGACTTTTTCTTGCCTTTCGCGACATCACCGCCAACCCCACCGCATGCCAGCATCCCGCGAACATGAGGCAGCCAAGGAGCTAGGCGAAAAAGCGAATATCTTGCGCAAACTCCTGGGGGTACCTCCTCCCCATCCCAATTGAACGGCGAACTACGATTTGCTGGGGAGGGGAAGAGCCCCAGCATGATATGGAGAGGATTAGCGAGTATTATTCTAGTGTGGTGGTGTGTGTAGCCTAGATAAGAAGGAAGAGGAGGTGTGGTACCGCCCGGAAGGCGTGATGGCATTTTATTTTGTCCTTTCTGTCTTTGGAGCGTGTATCGCACGGGACGTCTGTTTTTGTAAAGGAGCCATAGGCATTAGGCTAGGCTTTCTCCATTGCCGTGTTTCCCCCATTCTCTTTGATAATCCCCACCCGCCCCTGGCAAATACTGCCGGGACGGGCGGAGCTATGGCGAGGAAGAGAGGAGGGCGGGGGGATAAAAAGGGCCCCCAAGAAGACGGAGAGTCAATAATACCTTTATTTTGTTTCTTGGCAACCCGGGCCTGCACGTCGGTTATTTACCAAAGTGCCCTCCCTCCTCCTCTTCCTCTTCCTCCCTCCCCGCCCCCGACGCTATTCCTTCTCCTCCCCATTTTTCCCCCAAAAGAAACGGATGACGGGGATAGATGCGGGGATGGGGGAACTAGGTGGAATGAGTGCCCACCGCCGCATATAAATGGGCTGTGCGGAATCACGCTCAATCAAAAATCGTGCCCTTGTCTGGCGTTATACATGCCGGGGCGCATGCGGCGCACTATCGCTGTCGCGGGCGAGATTGAAGATGGAGAGGGGCGCCCGGAGACAAGTGTCATGCCACACAATTCCGCCCGCGTCGCATCGGCGGCGACAAAGCCTCGAACTTCTTGTTGTTGTATTTTTCTTGTCGGCTCACCGATCATTGGCATTCAATCAGGTGATTTATACAAGGATGGGGAGGTGAAAACACGGAAAATAACCCGTAAAACAGAACAAAAATCAATAGAAACATTCTCCATGCGCCGCCGCGGCCCGGAGGCATGGCACGAAATTCTACAGGAGCCGAGGCAGGTGAGATAAATTAACAAGACCTAAGATGGCCGTGACAGGTACAGTCCTTTCTCCATGCTAAGGCGCAGTCCAAATAGGCAATATTGCGCTGGAGACAATTGAGTCCCGATGACGTGAAGCTAGCTTACCCACGTTTCTTCGCCGTGCAGCAGCAGGAAACCCCGTACCTGCGCCGCCCGGGGTTTGGTTTGAGTGCCTGTCAACGAACATTGAAATTACTCTCCGCTTGGGGTTTGCCGCTCCCCGGACGACCATAGCGCAGGGAGAACGGAAGAGACGGGTCGGGTGGGAGAGAAGGGCGAGAGCACAAAGGAGCATTTTTGTTTGTGAGAGAGAGAGAGAGGACATTGGAAAAGGGAACAAATGGTGTGCGTATATCCCTGAGAGGGGAAGCTTGCTATCAACAATTCATCTACGCTCGAATCGGTTGATTTCGTTAATCTACCGAGTACTTTGTAAGGCCAAGATGGGATGGGGCATCGAATCAAATCATCGCAATAGACGGCACAATGCTCGTCGCATTCGAATTTGCCAGCGCGGGTCATAACGCGACTTTTGTTCTGTTTCTTTTGTCGTTTTTTTTTACTTGCTCTTTAATGTTCCTTGTTCCGTTTTTGTTCTACTATAGCGACACTAATACCCAGCGAAGAAGAAAAAAAGAAAAGAAAGAAAAGAAAAGAAAAAAGACCCAGCTCCGTCTCCCCTCGCCTAAATCGGGCCCCGGCATGAGCAATGACGCTGTGAGCAATAAGACCAAGAGAGGGGACCTTGTCCACCTCGTGCTTTCCCGCTATTATTCTCCTTTGCTGAATCGCTTGTGTTCGAGCATCTCCCTGCGCAAAACCTCCGCTCGCTTTTCCATCGCGCGGGATTTCACGCACCCGTCAACCAGAGTATTAGTAGATCCGGGAATCGCTTCGTTCCGTTTCTCACTCTTCCCACTTCCTTTTTTTCCCTTATTTCTTCCTCTCCCAAGTCACTCTTTTTTGTCTTTCTTCTTTTTCTCTCCTGTCGCACACTCGATCATTACCCCCGCCATGCAGCTCCTCCACGCCGGGCTCCTCTCCGCCCTCCTCGCCCTCCCCGCGACGGCCCAAAGCCCCGGCCCGAGCTGGCCCGCCTGCGCCGCCACCTCGACCGGCTTCCACCCGGGCTGGGAGGTCGAGTACCTCGAGCTCACCGAGCGCCCCGGCGAAAAAGTTGACATCCTCTTCTCCATGCGCAACTGGGCCGACGGTTCCGTCACGAGCTGCCAGTTGCAAAGGCGTCGCCCAAGACTGGCGAGACGTTCCGGATCACCGAGGACGACGGCGAGTGCTTCACCACTTGGACGAGAGATGAGAAGCCCGCGCCGGGTGTGACGACCAAGGTGGACTTTATCCTGGATGTGCTCGAGCTGTACTTTTACTTTGAGCAGAGCTGGACTTGCGCCGGCGACGAAGGGTAAGACCTCAACTTTGTGTTCTATAACACAACCCCCTCACGTCACGAGAACCAGATCGAAACAGATACTTTTTGCTTATGCTAACGTCAACTTCTCTCTTCTTCGTTTGCTCCAATCTAGCCTCCAGTACACCGGCTCCGCAGTGAAAAGTCCCCCTCGCCTGCGAACTCGACCAGATCTGCAACCCCCTCGGCCCCTGCCAAGTCATCGGCCAGCACTGCTCCATCTCCGACGCCACCCGCGCCAACCCCGTCTTCGTCGGCCCCGCCAAGGTCGAGAGCCACTCCACCGACGCCGAGGCCGACGCGCCCGGCACCACGTACGCGACGCCCACCGAGCAGGCCTGCAGCGCGTCCTTCCCCGGCTGGCAGGTCCTCGACTTCACCTTTTGCCTGCCACGGACCGCGAGGGCCTCAACACGAGCTACCCCAACTCGTACCTCTTCTTCGAGCTCAGGAACCTCGCCGACGACTCCATCACCCAGTGCTACTTTGAGTCCTTTGACTACGAGGCAAGCCAGGACGGCCTCGTCTTCGGTAATGAGTGGGCCGGCCTCGACGCCAAGGGCCGCGGCTGCCGCACCGGACGCAACGTTCTCGTCACGCGCGAGGAGGGTTGGGTCCCAGACGGCTGGGAGGAGCTCGGGTCCCCTGTCGGCCAGGACTGGCACTGGGACGCTACCCCCGCTAGCATCTCGTTCGATACGGGGAGCTACGAGCTCTCCCTCGAGCAGATGTGGCCGTGTGGTGACGTCGAGCAGGCCTTTTACGGCACGACCGTCCTGCGACTACACCTCGACTGCCAGGGTGTCGTGGATGAGAAGACGCCCGAGGAGTGCAAACCCCTCAATGCGCTGTACAACAGCGCGGGTGCCCCTATCTTCTCACCGGCTTCATCAACGATTTGAGGCCCTAAGGTGCTCCACCCTTTTTCTGTTTCTTACGGATGAATGTGGTGTTCGGAGACATCAAATGATGTGGTTAGAGGAGAACGGTAGAGTAGGGACTTTTAGAGGGGGTATTTGCGAAGGGTGGAGGCGAAGACCACCGATTTCTTTGTTTAATGTAATTATGCGGGGCAGTTTTTGAGATTTTTTCGATTCAGACGCAACATTAGTCGACATTTATATATTTACACATATATTTCTCTTTTTATTGGGATTTCTAGACTTGAAAGCCTCGCTAGCTCTTGTGATCAATCCCGGCCTCTGCGTTGATCAGTCTGTGACTCGAAACCAACCACTCCCTAGAGTCCGGCCTGTTGGAACCTCCTTCGGACTATTAACATCAATTAATGACTGCTCTGTCTGTTGCTGGTAAAATGCTCCCAAAACCGCTATTTACCTTGTCACCTCCCAGCCAACCGAGGAAAGCACCCTCAAACCAAATGCCAACGCGTCAACATGCCCTATTGGCTGGAAAGGGTCGCGGGCTGTAACTGATAGGGCTGCAAAGTGGAGGTGATACCGCTGTCGCACCATGTGCATCTGCGTGGATGTCTTGGGTGTTAAACCACAAGGTTAGACCTTCGCTATTCCTCCGTAGGCCTATTCCTACTTACTGCCCTAAATATTGGGTGAACTGGTCTACTAGTGGAAGAGAAGATGTCTTTCTTCGGGATGACAGATGTAGGTTCAAACCTTTGGTTCTCCAGGGCCTGGTCTGTAGGACATTCTCTACCGCAAGGGTCGGGTCCCTAGCATAGCAGGGGGTATTGTGCTGGGAAGGACATGACTAAAGCTGGGTGCTTCATGGCCTGGCCCATCGTCAAATGACGACGGCCTCATACTCCATGCTTCGCACTCCATGAGCGACGGTGTAATATTTAACAAAGCCAAGGGCTCTCTGTGCCCGACTGGAGATGGCTCAGACTGGCAATGCGATCCCCGTCACGGACCTCGGCCCCGCTTCCCGGCGCATGCCGAACTCTTGTGCAGGCGTCACTGAGTTATGACGAACATCTTACTTACCGTGACAGATTCACCGGGAAGACACAGAGTTTTACACAACTATTTCGCTGGTGGTCGTGGCCGAGGATGTTGCGAGGAAATTCTTCGCTTCAACTCTCCCCATGGGGGCACTCGGTATGCAAGCCTCTGGGACCCCCTGAATCCCCACGTTGCCCCACCGGATCAGATGATGCTATTGCCGGCATTTTCGGGCAACCCTCCCGGTCGTTTCCCCTTGGTTTTACCGACCACGGATGGGAGCAAACAGCACGAAGCCCGTTTCTATGCAACTCGACGATCCTCCCTCTCCTCTTTCCTTTTGGTCCCTACATGTACATATATAAAAACCAGGTTTTCCGCCCAATTTCTTTCTTCGAGCCTCCATGGTGGAAGACTGCGCCCTCCAGCCTGCAGCATCTCGGCACTAGGAATCTTGTAAATTGAAAACACCCTCGCAGACATGGCGACCACAACCATGACCCAAACTCGCACGGAGGAGGTGCCCATGGTGGAGCTCAAACCATCCGCGAGGCCCGCGACGCCGGAAACACCGCCTTCGGTGAGGGATGCCGGTTCGGACCACGAGGTGAAGGTTGGCTCGCGAGTCATGCTTCGCGTCATGAGCGCCGGCTTTGCCTTTTTCGTCAGCGGCGTGAGCGATGGCAGCATAGGCACAATCATCCCGTACGCCATCCGCGAGTACGACATCACCACCACAACCATGTCGAGCGTGTAAGTCCCCAAACGCTGCCTTTTGCTCACAGTCTCTCTTTCTCACTTTCTTTTGCTTCATCTTCTACTACCTACTTTCCCTGTCCTTGTTACTTGGACTAACGCCTGGCCTCCTTTTTTTCTCGCCGGCCCCACGCAATAGCTTCGGTGCAAATTTCGTCGGCTGGCTCGCCGCCGCCGTGACCAACGCCTACCTCTCCGAATACCTCGATCTCGGCGCCATGCTCGCTCTCGGCGCCGTCATGCAGATCCTCGGCTCTGCCCTGCGTACCTTCCGCACCCCTTTGCCTTTTGGGCCTGCACCTTCTTCCTCGTCAGCCTCGGCCAGGCCTACCAGGACACCCACTGCAACACGTTTGTGGCGACCGTCCGCCCCTCACACCGCTGGCTGGGATTCATCCACGCCATGTACGCCCTCGGCACCCTCGTAAGCCCTTTCGCCTCCAACGCTGTCGCTTCCGCCTCGACCCCGTCGCCGTGGAATCTGTTTTACGTCGTACCCCTTGCCATCGGCCTAGTGAATTTAGGTCTTTCTCTGTACGCCTTTGGGACACTGTCCGCCTCAAGAAGAAAGGCGCACCCGCTACCACGGCAGCCACAACCGCTCCTGCCGCCGCGGGTACAGATGAAACGCACACCGCGGAGACGCCTCACATCACAGAACCCAAATCCAACTCTGCCAACGCGCTGATGAAGAGGGCCCTCAGCATCCCAGGTCTCTGGGTCCTCAGTCTCTTCTTCTTCTTTTACATGGGTGCCGTCCTCACAGCCAGCGGCTGGATCGTGGAGTACCTCGTCGTCGTGCGCGATGGCGACCTGGCCAAGATGGGCTACGTGCCGGCCGGTTTTAGCGGCGGCTCTTTCCTGGGCCGTCTTTTGCTTCCCGAGGTTACGCATCGCTTCGGAGAGAGGCGCATGGTGTTTTTGTACTGCGCGCTCTGCCTGGGGCTCCAACTAACGTTTTGGCTGTAAGTAAGACCTGATCTAGTTTTGGTGGGAAGACCGTGACTTGGAAACTTACGCGTACTAGGGTTCCCAACATTATTTCCGCATCCATTGCCATCACATTTTTCGGTTTCTTTTCCGGTCCTCTATTTGCTGCGGTATGCTCTCACCTCTTCCCTTCTTCTCCTCTTTATATGCCCAATCAAGGCGAAACCTTGGCTTTCCCCGCTGACATTCCGTCTTGTTCCTGTCGCGCAGGGTATGACGCTGGGTTCCAAACTCTTCACTCCAGAGACCCATTCCACCGCCTTGGCGCTAGTCTTCGTCTTCGCCCAGATGGGCGGCTGCTTCTTCCCCATCATCACCGGCGTGCTGGCTGCGAGCAAGGGCGTCGCTGTCTTGCAGCCTATGCTGGCCGGACTCATCGCGGCTGCGGGTATTTCTTGGCTGCTGATACCCCGACCCAAGAGCGTTGGGAACCCAGCCCTTCACCAGGAGTAAGGGGTTCTGTAGAGCGCTGAAAAAGGTGGCATAGAAGGGCAGAGGCGGATGGCAAAGACGGCTACACCCGCAAAATGAGTAGCTGATGTCCATGTAGTTATCATCTCGGAGTTGTCATCTATAACCAGAATCTGAGTGAAGTCTAAGAATGCAAGCCCGATATTAAGGCCTGGACTTAACCTAAGCATAAACATTAGAACTTTCATGCCCTCTTTTCTCCTAGATCTAGTATGGGCTTTAAGGGAGAGGCTGCGGCATCGTTGTAAAAGGGCTCTACACTTCGGACCTAATCCGCGGCTCTGGAGGACAAGTGACTACCAGTCATCTTTCCACCATTTCCTCGCAAGACAAGTACCTCTCCCGTCACGAGGACACCAGTCCCCTATCAGGGAGAAGGTCCCGAGCGCTCAGCTTTCCGCTGGCGGCAGACTCGTCCAGGCCGCGCAAGGCGGATCGAGTCAATCGCGCGGCGTGATAGGCTGGTGGGTGCGCATGCCATTAATGTTGCTCATGAGGCCTGGCTTTCGTCGAACTTTCGGTCGCCGGTTTTACTTGCTTTGATCTTTGCCGCAAATTGAAGGGGGTGCAGGCCCTCGTGGCGTTGCGGAGGACTGGAAATACTGAATGCAAGGCGGTTCAATCGGAGGATAAGGTGTGTCTGGAGGGGTAAGCAGACATCGGGGCGCACTGGAGATAAGTTGGAAATAAGCTGGGAATAAGGTGGGCATGGACTGGAATTAAGCGGGAGATAAAACAAACACGGCAACAGAAGGAAAAAGGTGAGATTGATAATCGACGAATTCCAAAATGAGGGGAGGTCGAAGATATTGCGCCATCGGATATTCAGCTCCGTCCTTTTCGTCCGGCGGCCGGTCTCATGGCGATGGGATGACAAATGAACGGCCTAAAAGTCCAATACTCGGGGCAAACATTCGCCGGCTTGGGAATGGCTTTCGGTTCTGCAGTCGAGACTGGAGTTCGAAGGATCCTGCGCGGATCGAGAGGTGGCTTGTTTTCAAATGGATGGGGAAACTTCGTGGGCGGAATTCCACGCAGGGGTGGTCGCCAAAGAAAAGCACCGCTACTTTCACCAGAACATACATCAATTGATTGATCCTAGACGGGTCTATGTAGCCACTAGCATTAATAATGTGCATTTCTAGGGGATCGTGGTATTGAAACAACGAGGAGTCGTCAATTTACACACAAGCTTCAAGGACAGTAAATATATATATTGGTCTTGGCTTCGACTACCAAAACCTGTGGACATGATGCATCCATCCCTCGCACTCAGCTTCTCACCTTTACGAATCCATACTACTCAAGATCCATATAAATCTACACGTACACCGCTACCATGTCCAAACTCTTCGTCGTCTTTGGCGCCACTGGCCAACAAGGAGGCTCCCTCGTCGACTATTTGCTCAACAACCCCACCTTTTCTAAACAGTACAAGGTCCGAGGGTGACTCGGGATTCTACCAAGCCCGCCGCCCAGAAATTAGCTGAGCGGGGCGTCGAGATTGTTCAGGTATCACCGGCCACCGTTCCCCTGACCCCGTCGTGTCGTGTGCTTGTCGCTGACTCTAATTATATCTAGGCGGACCTGAGCAAGCCGGAAACCTTACCAGCCGCCGTGGAGGGCGCCGATGTTGTGTTTTCTGTCACAAACTGTACGTGAATATAAGCCGCGCTCACTCTTAAGTGGAGTTTTCCTAGCTAATAGCACAACGGCGACTAGATTGGGACACCGCGAGCGGTGAAGCTGAAGAAGCCCAAGGCAACGCTGTAGCCGATGCGGCACGCGCCGCCGGTGTCTCGCAATTCATCTGGTCTTCGCTTCCGAGCATCGCAAAAGATAGCAATGGAAGAGTGACAGACGTTGACCATTTCGAGAGCAAGGCGAGGGTAGAGGAGTATACCAAGACACTTGGTTTTCCCTTCACCGCGTTCTTCCATGCCGGATGGTATATGCAGAATGCCAAGAGCGCCGGTCTCCCTCCAGTAACTCCGGTATCACTCTCTCCCTTCCCCAACCCACCAAACGGCGCGCCGCGTGTTTATTGCCTCCAGCCGTGCTAACTCCCCTCTCATCCACCAGCTCCCCGACGGAACCGCCATTTTCCCCTTCGCATGGCCAGACGAGCTGGAGTTGCCGTACATTGACATCACCGACATTGGAAAGTACCTCGCCCCGGCCCTGCGGGACCCCGAGGGCTGGAACGGCAAGCGCATCTACGGCGCCACCGCCATCTACACGTGCAAGGAAATCGCCGACACCATGACCCGCGTCACGGGCAGGAAGGTGCGCTACGCGACCTTGGCGGAGTTGCCCCCTTCTACGGGGAGCTGGCCCGAGGAGAACGTGCTTAGGCCTAGTCCGTTTATGCTGCAGGGCAGCTTCTTCGGCAAGAACGGACCCGCGGAGCTCAAGTCGCTGCACGCGCAGATGGACGAAGCGCCTACTACTTGGGAGGAATATGTGAAGAAGAGTAGCCCTTGGTTCTGATCTTATTTTGTGAAAATTTCGCACGCTGTACACGAGCACCTAGCTCGAGATCACTTGGAAATAAGCTTGGGATTGCATGTTAGTTGATGCTTTATATAAACACGAGTCTCTTATACTTAGCGCCGTGCCGATAGCCTTGATCACCTGCTCAGCCGCCACATCCTCAGTCTTCTACTGCGAGCCGCTTTAACTTTTCTGTCATGAGGTCGCTTCTATCGCGACTTCGCGTTTGCAAGAGACGGCCGATATGTGCTGATTAATCTGTCTCGTGTAGCCCCGGGACGGGACAGCACCGGCCCTGGCGCATAACGGGACGCCGAGATGCGAATCGCGAGCGGGCCAATCAAGTCGTCGCGCCACCCTCATTTCGGGGACCCGGCAACCCGGCAAGCACCACTACATCGCGGACGGAGCAGAAGACACGCGCAAGGTAGAATCTTCAATGTCCATCACGATTGAATTATTAATATACATTTTCAAAGGCGTTCACCTACACTCAATGCTTAGGACTCTAGAAACACACGAGGGATGGGCTTCTCGGGCGTCTCGGGCTCTTCGCTATGCTAACAAGATATCAAGGCTATTGATTTCTAATGCTCCTTGTAGCATTTCATCACGTCTATTCAATGTAGACAAACGAATTCATTGTTTTCAAAAGTTTGGTGGTTGACCAGTGAAGTATAAATTGCCCAGAATGGAAGAATCATATCCTCTATCTCGAGAAGAGCTTCATAGATGCCTTTTTCTCAGACGAACGATCAAGACAAAAGCGCAAATTCAGAGTAAAAACCTCCATCCCTTCGACAATGGCTCACCAACTAAACGCCCTCCCCGCGGGCTCAACAATCCTCATCACGGGTGTCAACGGTTACATTGGCTCCCACATCGCCAACATTCTGCTAGGCATGGGCTTTCGAGTGCGGGGTGCCGTTCGCGCGCCCAAGCCCTGGCTTAATGAGATGTTCGATGCACGGTACGGCAAAGGGGTCTTTGAGACCTTCCTACTTAGCGCGTTCGATGACGTCCCAGTGTTGAAGAGAGCAATGGAAGATGTTGCTGGAGTGTTGCATGTGGTATGGCCCTCAACCGTAGCACGGATACTTCTACTTGGCTGACGACTTAATAGGCAACAGACTTAACCTTTGGAGGAAACCCCGAAGCCACGATCCCCTGGGTCATCAAGGCCTCTCTAAATATGCTTGAGGCTGCTGCGTCGACACCCACCGTCAAGCGCTTCGTATTGACCTCGTCCTCTACGGCCGTCATCATTCCCGTTGCGGATCGGGTTGGGGTCCGTGTGACTGAAGGTATGTGGTGTAGGAGGAGACGCTAAGAAGCACTCATGCTCAACACGTATGTGTCAACATTTGCTAACACTGACAACAAGACACGTACAATGAGTCCGCCGTTAAGATTGCCTGGGACCCCGCCGTCCCCGAAGACTCCAAGGCTGTCGAAGTATACGCCGCATCCAAGGTGCAGGGGAGCAAGCGTCCTGGGACTGGGTCAGGAAGAACAGGCCACCCTTCATCTTCAACACCGTCGTTCCTAGCTTCAACGTAAGACCCTCGCACGTACCTCATGGAACGCTCCTGAGGCTAACTCGTTCTAGGCGGGAGAGATTCTCCACCCCGAGATCCCCGGATCCACGATGGGGTGGGTCCGTCTCCTTCTCAAGGGAGACAAGCTACTTTTACGCGTTTCCCACCCGGTAAGCTAGACTGCCCGGTCCACTAGATCCAAAAGTTCTAACCTCCTAGTAGAACATGCCGTCGACGTCAAAGACACTGCACGGCTCCACGTGATCGGTATCCTCGCACCTGAGGTTCAGGCACAGAGATTGTTCTCCTGGGGACATCCCACCAACCTGACAGAAATCGTCACGTCTCTCAAAAGCCTGAGGCCCGATAACAAGCTAATCCCTGACCCGCCCGACAACGACGGAGAGGACTTGACGGAGGTAGTGCCCCTGGCGACGTCTCTGCATTTGCTGAAGAAGTATTTCGGGCAAGAGGGATGGATCCCATTCTCTGAAAGCTTGGCAGAGGGCATAGAGGGCCTGTAGATTGGACCAGCGATGCATAGGGCTCGAGTGAGATCGGACAATAGAGAGAGCTGCTGTTAGCTGCCAATGGTATTTAAAGACGATATAAGTTTGAAGCACCTGGCTCGCCCAGTTTGGCTGCTTCCGCCTTTGTGCTCAACGAATGAACGTTTTCCCTTGGATCAAGTCCGTCCCACTGCCATGTCCCCCCCGTAATGACTAGAGTCCACCCCAAAGTGGTAAGAACACCTTGTGCTCCGGGTAGTTCCAATGCGCCTACCGCGAACCAGGCCCACGGCTGGATGCCGCTCGTGAACTGCAGGGAAATCAGGGAAATAGTATCAAGTATATCTTGTTCATCTAATCGAAATATTTTATTGACCCTCATCAAGATCACATCTTCCAGGGTGACCCGCTAATGGTACGCCTCATCGATGAATGATTCAATTATTCGGAGTACGCCGCTCGCTTCGCATAGAGGCCAAACCAAGTATACAACACCCACAATCGTCAACCACCAGAATAGCCAAACCGCGGGGCCTATTAGAACATCGGCGGAGATGTTGTATGCTAAGAAAATGAGCACCCCTGACAAGAGAAAGGTGACTACACCCCTTATTGCGTTCGCAAAGGTATTGAGCTTCGGTATTCGAAGGATTGATATCTCCACTACCGCACATATCAACCCTAGCAAGCACACGGCCACACTCCATCTAGGCTTAATGAGGTCAAGGTCCCTGATACCGACTAATACCAAGACTACGATGACCGGTACTATCGAGAGCAGAGTGATGAAAAATCTTGACGGCACGACTGTTGCCAGCGGTCCGGAAGATCCAAGCGGTAGCCTGGTGGAGGCTGAAAGGCGAATAAGGGATATACCACCCGCAAGAGCCAGGATGATGAGTGCGTCGATGAGGAATGTATCTGCCAACTCGCTTATAGATACATACGCATAGAAAAATTCAGTCAGCTGGGTGCCGGTGAGGACGACTAAGATTATGAACCGCAGAAAATCCGCCGTCCAGCAATGGGCGTAACGAATCTTGGTTAATGATAGGTTGGCCAAGATCCAAGAGATCTGGATGATAGGATCGATGAAAAGTAGAGCCTGGATAAGATTTATAAAGGGAACAACGAAGCCGACAGGGTTGTCAACCACTATGTAAAGTGCAGACTGAAGATATGAGAGTATGGCAAGTATCAAAATCCCTTGGAAGACGGCCGAATTTTGAGTATAGCTGCTATACTTCTGCTCGACTCCTTCGCGTGGATCCTCTAGTTCGAGAGGGTCGGCGTACGGGGTGGGCGTCGCAGTTCGTTCGAGGGGAATAGGCTCTTGTTCGCCATCTTGGGTATTCGTGTCCCGTTTGGGCTCGTTTTGGTTTGTTGGTGGTGGTATAGTGAGGTCTCCGTCCGCAGATAGTCTTGGAGTTCCCTGGGTCGCCTTGGTTGAAACATCTGTCACTCCAGAAAAGCTCTTCACCATCGAGGTAAGTGGTGCCGCGACGAGGATGAGTGGGAACACCTGACCGAAGGTCCAGTCATTTTCTTCACTAGGGCCTTGCTGTCTAGTATATGTAAGACGACGGGTTCCCCATGCAGCGGATATCGCCAACCAATACACCTGTGTGCGCGAATCAGTATAGCTTTCCGCCGTAGATGTTGGGCAGCAGCATTGTCTCAGACTGACCTCGGCGAAGAATGATGTGAACAAGTCAATATGAACCTGCAAAAGCGAAGGATGGCTATCCATACGACTTTGTTCAAGAGTCGGAAATATCGCCTCATCCTGGAGCTTTCATCCGACTGCTTCTTTGATTCATCGGAAAAAGACCTCAAAGCACACCCCTTCGCAGCAGCCCGAAGACGCGAGTCGAAGCCGGGCCACATCTTAGCTACGCGGATCGTGTAGCCGTAAGCTAGAATCAGAAGCGTAACTAGCATGGACTCAAAAGCTTCTGATTTCCTGTTTATGCTAACGCGTCGGTAACAATCGGCATACTGTGAGGGCCCGTTATCATCCGTGTCCCAGTCGAAGTGGCCGCTGATGCCGAATCCGGCCATCAGCATCACGGCCAACACCAACGTGAAAAAGATCCGTATCCACATTTCTAGGGGACGGTTTTTGAGGTAGTTGCGCAAGAACGAGAGCATGGAAAGGTGGGTAAGGGATGAAAACCACGCCAACTGAACAACGATCTGCCAGTGATAAGATGACAGGCCGCGAGGGAGCATGGCAAATCCACTTATGAGAATGGCGAGACCGGTGAAGATCTGAATATCCGCAAACCCGATTACACACTACACCATCCGTTAGACTCAATAGGCGCGACAAACCAACACCGTTCAGTCGTACCTTGTTCAACGCTGACTCCATGGCGTCTCGTTTCAACCCCTCGGTTGATCGCAGCCATTCAAGACGCTTCCACTTGCACAGAAAGTCTAGAACCGACCTGCCGACGCGGCGTATAAACCCCAGAATTACCAAATCAACTGGATTTGGGACATTACAAGCCTTCTGAACGTCATTTGCACTTGGAGAACGGAATGGGTCCAAGCGAGGGTCAAATGCCGAACAATAATAAACGATCAGTAGCACAACAATTACCCAGCCAGTGATAAGAAAACTGTACACGACCTAAAGGATCGGAGTTAGTGCTTGTAGACTTGAAACATAAAATCCTCAATCAAGTCCAAGGTACGTACGCCAGGGCCTGCGATGTCTCCATATGGTGGAATGCCACGGGGGCGCAGAGCAATTGAAAGACGCCGCCATGACGATTGTAGCCTATGGACGCCCGTGTCCCATCCGGATGGCTTCGACAAGCTTCTTCTCAAAGAGAACATTGAACGAGACGATTCCAAGCTCATATATATTCCCCCACAGATGCCGCCAAGGGACCCCGCCACTCGACATGGATCTTAACCGCCAGGCTACGGCTGATGCTTCAGCCACCACCACCCGTCAATTATCGGCATCCTGCAGCGGCAAAGGCTTGATTCTTGTTCACTGACAGAGACATGTGCATATTCAAGCGTCTTCCCACCAATAAAGATAACCAATAGATCAATGGGATGGGGAGGTCGCACGAAAATTCTGTCACCCAGTTGCACGATGCCCAACCCACCCTTGCAACCTCCCCATCTGTAATGTGCGACACGCAATTCATGCTCACAGACAGAAAATTCGTTTAAGGTAGGAGCAGCACAATTGGGAGCCGAGGGCGAGTCACGGAACAGATTTTGATGGTATTCTATCCATTCTTTCTTTGTTTTTCTCACTGGAAGTTGCTACGTCTGGCCTTCGTCTTTCCAAGCAACACAATGACATGGAGTGGCATCTGTTTGCGCCGATGCTAGGGCTCCTAGCTATCGGCGCAGGGAGAGAACCGACTGTTACCTATCTATTCACAACAAGTGCACGATTTCGGCGCTTACTCACCGTGATTACCGGTAGTTTCACACGTCCGGTAGGCCGGTTTTTGACCTTGCGATGATAGGGAGTTGCCAGCTGTCTTGGCTGGCGAATAATGCCCGGAACCTAGGCCCATTGCACGTTCACCCTGAAGTCAACGGTATCAATACGTGCGTCATAATGGGCAATACGACATCCGAAGCAGATCCATTTATTGATGTAGACTTGGCTTTACTGTTTAGAGCGGGTCTTACGGGGTGTAATGGTAGTTGATGCTTCCGTGAGAGCGTTCTATTCTTCGAGTTTTTCTTGTCAGACGGTGTGAACCACTAGACCAAGTGCAAAAATAGGATAATATTACCCATATTCTTATACCAGAATATGTGATATTTATAGGGTAAAACCCACTTCAACGTTTCTATCCTCGGAGAAGAGGACGGTGAGAGTGTAGGTGGAGCCAGTCCTTCTAGTGCAGTTCGCCGGGGAAGCTTGCTTGAGCTAGCATTCGCACGCCATGCTCGCTTCTCTCGAATCAGATGCTCTGTAAGGCCTATTCGGACGACAACTTGGCGCGCCATAGGGTCACACGTGGTGTGAAGGCAAGCCGAGGTGGCGAGTGGATCCAAATAGATGAAGCACTTGACGCTTGTTCAGTGCAAGGTGGAGTTCTATTCTAGAGCACAGTGCTGAAGACACCAAAAGGCGGCTGAGTCATCAGGGACCAGGGATCCAATTTCGTGCCGCCCCACATGACAATCGCGCTTCACACAAGCAAGGCAAGTCCGTCCTTCAGCCACTTCGCCATTTTTTTCAGCTGAATGTCAATTTGGCTTGCCTTGCTCATCATTACACGAGCCGGTTAGCAATTTCGGAAGAAGAGGCTAGAAAAGGGAACCAGAAGTTCAAGAAGGGTGGTCGGTCTTGTAGCCAACGAAGGTGTTGAGACTCAAAGACAACCCGTCGCGGCCATGCCGTCTTTCGACAAACTTCCCAACGAACTCGTTCTGCTTCTCGCGGAGCAGATCATGAGCGAGCATGACCTCAACTCGTTATGCCAAGTGAACTCTCGCTATTATAATCTTATCAACCCCTATCTCCGCCGGTTTCACGTTGACGTCAGTCGCAGCGTGGTGGGTCTGAGTTACGCCGTCATGGACAACTCTTTGACGGCTGTGCGCGCATGGTTAGCAATGGATGGTATCCACGTCAACGGTGGCTGGGACGAACCGGTGCCTCTGATACTCGCGAGCAGGCACGAGGATCTTGAAATCTTCCGCCTACTTCTCGCCCACCCGCAAATTGATCCTAGTTATAATCCAGAAGAACAACCCTGCCCTCTAGCAGTCGCGGCCCGCGATGGCAACGTTGAGGCTGTCCGGATTCTCCTTTCTCATGAGCGCATCAAACCGTCCCTATGTGACGTTTGGGGCAAGACACCGTTGATGTGCGCTGCAGGGCGACTACAAAATTTTGAAGTGGTCAAGTTGCTCCTTGACGATGGGCGAAGCGACATCAACGCCACCAATGATAATGGGGTAACCGCGATGCACATAGCCGCAGGGGTCGGCGACAGGGAGACCATAATGCTCCTCTGGGAGCGCGGAGCTGATCCCATGGCCAGGACTGCAGTTGGCGTAACGCCGCTAGGGTACGCAGTGGCCAAGCACCGCGTTGAGGGGGTTTCTGCGTTGCTGGCCATCCCAGAGGTTAACCCCAACACTGAAAATCGACACGGAGGCTGCCCGCTCCTCGATGCGGTTACCATCGATCCCAGGGTTCCCATTCTCAAGATGCTTCTAGCGGATGAAAGGATAGACCCCAACTTTCACACCAGAGGGGGCCTGCCCTTAGTAACTGCCAGCTCAATGGGCCTGCATGATAGCATGCGACAGCTACTCGCGCACAAGGATATCAACGTGAACGCCCTGGGCTGTGGCGAATTGCCGCTCTGCGAAGCTATAAAATCCACAATATGGGGTACGACTGAGATTCTCCTCGCAGATCACCGAATCGACCCTTTGGCGGTAGATGGCAACGGGTGGACGGCTGTCATGTGGGCCGCGGCATCACACGCGACAACAGACCTAGAACTATTACACAAAGATGGAAGGTTCTCACTACATGCCAGGAATGCTGATCACGGGACAGCGTTATCAATAGCAAGAAAAAAGGGTTTCAAGGAAGTAATTGAATTTTTACAAAGTATCGGTGTTGAGGAGTAGTTATCACGCTGCTGTCAATAAAGTCTACATACCCAAACTCACTAGCTCACACTATTTAGGAGGCGTTGATCGCAGCAAGCCGCTTTGCTACAGTCATCCTTACCCTCTCTTAGGTAGCATGCTTTGCTACACGCAATCTTGCGGTCATGACGTTGGCATTCAATGAGGCTGCCAGGACCATGAGAATCCCAAGATCCAGGCAAAGGATCTATCGTCCCAGGCCTCGATAACAATGAAGATGCACCACTGCATTTGCGCTACTCGAGTGCATCAGGTGGAGGATTTTCCTTGGAGCCCCGCCCAGCACAGGCAGATGACTAAAGACGAAAACCCTCTCCAGCCATGTCCAGAGCATGGAGCTTCAGTGCAGCGCTCCTACCACGAAAGCAAACTGAGAAGCTGAGCTACTCTTCAGCAGCTTCCTTGAAATCATTCAAGGCGGATGCAGTTTCCTTCTGGCCGGCTTCGTTCAGGGCGCTAGTGAGGGGCATTCGGGAGAAACCTGGCTAATAGTGGGAGAATAGTGGGACAGTCTTACCCCTCGTGATCGCGGAACTCGGGTAAGTGCCCCGGCGACTCCTGCCGAAATATTCGCGACGGGAAAGCCGCCCCTCAATGGCCGCTCAGTCATCCGTGTCCGGGGTCTGCACTTTCCTGGCGCCAACAGTGGGGTTACGAGAGGGGCCGAGTGCACCTTGGCTCCTTCCAGATTACAAAACCAGGGAAAGAAGGGGCCATTGAGAGCTTATTCTTGATGGTGGGGACCCTCCTCTAGATCTATAAAGCTATCGTCGGTCCCCAGCTCCGTTTTGCAGATCGAGTAGCTGACTCGCCTGGGCCCATATCTCCGTTTATTCCCTTGACTTGAATCGACCTCACTTCTAAGACTCTGGCCCTTTCAACCTCATACTTTTGCCCGCCGCCGCAATTTTTCGACATGGCCAGCACCGAGAGAAACCCCGAGATCATTGCGCAGGCCAAGGAGCTCGCAAACATCCCTTGGTGCGATGATTACGAGAAAATGATTTCCGGTCAGCTGTACGTAGTGTTCTCTGCTTGTTTTTACATCCACAAGACACTTTTTCTAAGAAAATTTGTAGGTACAACGCCCAAGCTACGAAATTGGTCGACGGTCGCTTCCGCGCGAGGCAGTTTATGCACAAATATAACAACCATTTCCCCGATGATGCCACACCTGCGTCTCTCTCCGCCGATCGGGAAAAGTTGTTGAAGGGGATTTTGGGAAAGCTTGGTGAAGACTGCTTCATCGAGCCTCCGGTCAACATCGACTACGGCTGCAATATTTCCATCGGAGATAGGTTTTATTCCAACTTCAAGTATGCTTCCTCCCCTCCTGCCCTCCAAGGCGTCCACGCCCCATTCTTTCTGTCAGCTCTTCTTTTGTCTATCCGGAACTTCAGGTTTTAACTAAAATCCTGCAGCCTTGTTATACTCGACTGCGGAATGGTAACAATTGGGAACCGGGTGATGTTTGGGCCTTTCGTGTCAATCTTTGCTGCCACCCACGAGGTTGGAGTCCAGTCGAGGCGGGATGAGATTGAGTACGCCAAGCCTGTTACGATTGGAGATGACTGCTGGATCGGCGGAAACACCACAATCATGCCCGGGGTAACGATTGGGAAGGGGTGCACCATTGGAGCGGGCAGCATAGTCACGAAGGACATCCCCGATTTTTCCGTCGCTATTGGCTCACCCGCCAAGGTGATTAAGACGGTAGATCCCGTGCCTGATTTGTAGAGAGGAAGGACTAGGATTGCCCAGCTTAACTCGCCTGCCAAACCATCTTAATGCACGAGGTAGTGTCTAATTGTAATGGCGCGGGCAAGGCAGGTAATGATCTCTTTTTTCGTGGCCTACATAGTAGTAAGCTCAAGTACTCTCTCTCAGAAGCCAATAAACCCCGCAACTCGTTTAGAGTACTGTTGTCCGGGAAAACCACTTGGGTGATAATCGTAGACCTTGACACCGTCAGCCCGCTCCGATTCAACCCACCGCTCGAGGTCGAATTTCTACCTCCATACAAAGCTTCCAAATATTCATCATTGTCGATATTTATCGCGCAGCTATCCATCACTAAAATCCCATGGTCGACATTGCCTGAGTTCTCCAATGACCACTTGTCAGAATAAAGCTTTGTATCTAGATCCCAGTACTCTAGGGAATCGTTCTGAAATAAAGCTTCAAATTCCCTCCTTGCACGGGTTTGCAGCGACGGAGGAGAGTCTTCCGTTTCGTATCGAAACGGAGAGATATCGCGACATGTCCATCGCATGGGACGCCACGAGGTTGAATCTTGGAGCTCTACAACGAAAAGAAATGCATATTGCCGGCCTTTAAACCGAGCTGATTGTGTCTTGGGGGTCCAAACTCAATCGCACCATACGCAAAACCAGGTCTGTCCGAAACACTCCCGAGGCTGAGCAGTGTCCTCGGATCTTCATCGCTGGGCACGGGGAATCTTGCACATTCTTGCCTTTCGTCGGTGATGAGTCGTGCCGGGAAGGTAAGCAGTATGGTGACTGGCGAATCAAGCTTTTCGGCGCCTTTTGGGGATAACTTGGCCGCCTGCTCTGTATATATTGGAAGGGTAAAATCTGTTGAAGGCACGGAAAATCCAATGTCGGCGACTCGGACTGTTGCAAGTGGAAAAATTACCCTCCGCCGTGTGTTTTCGCCGTGTGATTCGAGGGCCATCCACAGCGCCTTGCCGTCTTGCGTGTACGGCAACACGGCAAATGAAAAACGAGGACTTAGAGTATCAACAAGTGGCAGTTTCAATCTTAGCCCCATATTACTAGCCGTCATTGAATACAAGGGCCCATTCGCTGAGTCCTTGGTTTGGTATTGGATAGCTTTGGCCGTTGGCACCGCTCCTGATACCTTTTTCTTAATTCCCGCACAATCAAAAAAGAATCTGGGTAGTTTGTTAGTGTTGGGATATTCTCGATATTCCATGCCTTCTCGGACCAAATTTCGACCTCGGGCTTTCTCCGCCATAGAAGAAGTGTCATATCAGGCGACCTTTGGATGATCTCCAGCTGTAGTCTCCTGAAGGCGTTGTCCCTTTCGCCGTAGAGAAGCGGCATACTGATTTCAACAAGTCCCAGGATGCAATACGCCTTGTCCTCTAGCCTGGTTGTTTGTCGATGCGCGAGCCAGTTTATGATGGTGGCGGCATGAGGCCGCTCCCGCATAGAGAAAAAGCCGTGAATGAGTCTTGCAAGCACTTCCGGTTGATACCGGTTATGCTCTTAATTGCAGACGCAAACTCGACCCTAGTCCCTAGGTATATCCATTCCTTATTATAGAATGACACGATCCAAGGTGTGAGGAGCTCTTGAAGCGTCCAGCCTCGCTGAAACCACCGACTCTGGTAAAATTCGCTGCCTTTTGCAGAACACGATTGCCGTGTTGTGAGCGAGACATCCACAAGGTACGCAAAGCATTCGTCCGCCTTCTCGTACCAAGAAAACATAGAGTTGATGGCCTCACTGAGCTCGGCGGAGCTAGTCTTGTCGATGCACACCGTATCCACCCAGACCCATTCCAGCCCCGGGAGCGCGCTAGCCGAGCCGCATCCTGTATCTTGAGATATCCTGAAGTCTTTTTCAGGTCCGCGATTTCATTGTCGTCGTATACCATGCGTCCCCGGTTGTTGCGATTCGTTTGTCTATGGATGTACAGCCAGTCTTGGAAGGAAAGCTCCTCGTCGCCCCATGCGTGGGAGAGAATAGCGTATCCGGGGACTGCTGTATCGTGGAATTCGCGCAGCTCCAAAGTTAGAGTATTGATGAGACGCATTGGAAGCCGTCTGTCTCTCTCCACGATAAGTAAACCGGCATTCAAAGCGAAAGCGAAAACAACTTGATGCGGACTAGTAAGGTCCCCATCTCCACGCTCCTGGATTCTACGCCCCTTTTGAGGCAGCTTCAGAGAGGCAACTCATCAGCATGATGCGGGGTGGCGGCTACGGATCGAATAATGGGATCCAATCATTGGCAATGCTGCGTCCCGTTCATGCGGTTGGTTGTGTACTCGCCCATTTGGAGGCCGCGGTTTCAAGGTGTTGGATGGGGGTTGTGGGCTACTTTTTCCATTTCCGAAGGTTTCAAATAGGATAAAAGTGGCGAAGGGAGGAATCGAAGAGAACATGAAGGATCGAAAGGAATGATTCGACCTTGTTCCTGGTTTTTTGTTCTCAGTGACCCAGCTGTTTATCGATGATGCTGATAATGTGCGACCTCGCCAAACGCTGAAGGATCCACGACCCATGCAGTATGCACCAGCGCATTTCAAGCCCGATGCTGCCTAAAGCGGCTATGATGAACACTTTGTCAAGTCCTGTCTGTATAACCCCAAGTATTCGGTCATAAGCCTGCTCGTTTCTCGAGAATATATGGGTACATGTGGTGTTTTTAAGTGCTCGTCCTTCCTTTCTTTCAAGTCAAAGACGATTAACACCACCACACTGGATCCATTGATGGATGGGCGAAGAGGTGGCTCCACAGTTCGAGACGACTTTACAGCAGGATTTAGCGCGTAGCTTACCAATAACAAGGGCGCATGGTTTAGTGGTATAATTCCTCTTTAGCATAGAGGCGGTCCCTGGTTCGATTCCTGGTGTGTCCAACTTGTTTTTTTGTCGCTTCCAATGCCTCTCCCAATTCCGCCATGACTTTTTGTCGCGTTCTGTATTCATAAGGCCATTGGTGGATGGTGTATTTCTTTTGGCTCCCTACAATCTGGCGTTTTTCGAAGGAAGAATGCTAGAGCCACCCCAATTCAATGCGGAAATGCTCAGCAGATTTGGGTGGTTCACCCGCTGCCTGATGGGGTTCGCAGCATACAACCGCCAGTTCGACTGTTGACACTGCAGCGCAACCTCTCTAAATTACCTCGCACACGTTTGATGACCCGCACCAATGGCTGCCACAACTCCCCACATTGCGGAGCGCCGGGGCTCCATCAAAAACAGTAGCAGCCGCAAGGTCCCACCGACTGCCGGTTCTCGCCGTTATCCCCGCGAATAGGCGACCCGGCTGAACACAATGTCGGTTACAGTGACGGTTCCTCAAAACGATTCGCGCGTTTAAAGACTACTAGAAGAGAGAGAGACGAGATTGTTGCCAATTAGTTTGCTTCGTCTCAACTTTGGTAGGCGTGAATAATGGGTCGTCAAATGGTATATAAGATGGCGTCAATCCGCCTAGGTCCGTGATGCTTGAAAGAGTAGCAATACAGCCCCAGCACTGGATGCGGTTTCCACAGAACTCCGGGTCTTTTGGGGCCCTCCCTATCCTAGCTCTGAATCTTTTATCTCGCTCGGCTTTGGCTCAGGTAGTGCCGCCAGCAGGCAACGAGACTGGAGTCCTCGCTCATGCGTTCGAGCTCGGTTCCTTGACTCTGGCCGACAGTCGCTGGGGTGACAACCAGAACCGAACTCTTACTTACCTCCTCTGGCTTGACCCGGACAGGTTGCTGTACAACTTCCGCGCCAATCATGGCCTTTCTACCCAGGGCGCCGCGCCGCACGGAGGGTGGGATGCGCCCGACTTTCCTTTCCGGACGCACTTCCAAGGGCACATTCTCACAGCCTGGGCCTACTGCTTCTCGACGCTGAGTGAGCCTGCCTGTCGCGAGAAAGCCGAGTACTTTGTTGCGGAGCTGGCCAAGTGCCAGGAGAACAATGGCCAGAAGGGGTACACGGCAGGGTACCTCTCCGGGTTTCCAGAGTCTGAGATTGAGGCGGTGGAAAGACGAACACTAAGTAACGGCAATGTGCCTTACTACGCCGTCCACAAAACTATGGCGGGTCTCCTAGACGCATGGAGGTTCCTCGGCGACGAGAAGGCGCGCGACGTGCTCTTTGGCATGGCCGAGTGGGTGGATGCACGCACGAGCAAGCTCAGCCGAACCCAGATCCAAAACATGCTGCAAACCGAGTTCGGCGGGATGAACGATGTCCTCGCTGACGTCGCGCACCAGACGGGTGACGCGCGGTGGCTGTCCGTCGCGCAGCGATTCGACCACGAAGCCGTCATGGCACCCCTCGAGCGGGGGAAGACAAACTGAGCGGCCTGCACGCCAACACGCAGGTAGCCAAGTGGATCGGTGCAGCGCGGGAGTACAAGGCATCAGGCGAGACGCGATACCTTGAAGCGGCGCGCAACGCCTGGCGCATGACCGTACAGGACCACACGTACGCCATCGGGGGCAACAGCCGCAGCGAGCACTTTGGCGCGCCCGACGCCATCGCGGCGCACCTGGCCGGCGACACGTGCGAGGCGTGCAACACGTACAACATGCTCAAGCTGACGCGGGAGCTCTGGGCACTGGAGCCCGACGAGGCGGCCTACTTTGACTTTTACGAGAGCGCGCTCCTGAACCACCTCCTAGGCGCGCAGGACCCGCACTCGGCCCACGGACACATTACGTACTTTACGCCGCTGAGCCCGGGCGGTCGGAGGGTGTGGGCCCCGCGTGGGGCGGGGGACGTGGAGCACGGACGATGACTCGTTTTGGTGCTGCCAGGGGACGCAGGTGGAGACGAACTCGAAGCTGGCGGACTCGGTGTTTTTCCGCGACGGGGAGGGGGCACGCTCTACGTCAACTTGTTTATTCCTTCGACGCTGAGCTGGGCGGATAAGGGCGTGCAGGTGCGACAGGAGACGGAATTCCCGCGGGTGAGTCGTCTCGGCTGACGGTGGCGGTCACCGCGGGAGGAGAAGCGGCTCCCGAGTTCGCCCTTCGCGTGCGCATTCCATCCTGGGCGGCTGGCGCGTCGATCTCAGTGAATGAGGAGGAGGAAGTGGTTTCTCCACCGGCTGGCTCTTATGCTGAGTTGTCGGCAAGGGCGTGGGCGGATGGCGATGTCATTGATATCTCTCTCCCCATGGCTCTCCGAACCGTTGCCGCGAATGACGATCCCCAGGTGGCAGCAGCAGCGTATGGGCCCGTAGTTCTGTGCGGAAACTACGGCGAGGGGACGTTGGCTGGCGTTCCGGAGCTTGATGTCGAGAGCATAACTCGACAGGAGGGCGGCTTGAAGTTCCGAGGGAAGTCGGGGGATCAGGTAGTTGATTTGGTTCCTTTCTACGAGGCGCACGGGTTTAACTACAACGTGTACTGGAAGATTTAAGGATGTGGAATGCTGAGCGACGGTAGATTTGCTATTATGCGGCCCCAGTCAGAAGATTTACTCAAGGCACATCTCATAATGACGACCTTTACTCCTTGATCTTGTCCGTAGATACACGATGTCTTTCTTTCACCTCGTATGATCGTCGAGCATCACTTGGTGTTTCCCAAAGTACTCGGTCCTCACCCAATATTCACCAATAGCGGTGACCATAACTCCACAGCGAGTGGTAGGAAGTGAAGTAGGATGTAAACAAGATAATCTATTTGCCTGGCAGACAACAACAGTCTGGTTTCGGTGGATCGCTATCCTGCTATCCTTTCTCTTTATCTATTTCTCTATTAAAGGGCTCCAGTCGCAGGAATAGGCCATTTACTGATATCTTATGAGGACATCAAGATCTGAGGTTTGGGCCACCCGACCTTGTTAGTTATCTGAAGTCACGGGACGCTTGAGAGATTGAAATTCGGCCACCAAGTTAGGCCACGATCTTGCTTTGTTCAGACAGCAATTGACTTTTCATCGTGATCCTATGGCTATTGTCGCGCTTAGCAACGAGTCCCATATGAATCCTGACAGGGAGAGCACAACTACGGAAGCATATGTTATGGTTACCCCGCCGTGCCGAGATTAGCTCACAGCGTTGCCAAGGATGCTGATTCAAGGTCAGGGTCTGCGAACTACTCTTAAAACTCAGCTCCGTGCCCAGTTCTTCCTTTTACAACGCGCGGGTCGCGAGACATGCATGGAAGCAACGCAGAAACCAAGGATCTAGTACTGAAGCTTCAAGTGGTGATCAAGCCACATTCCGGGGAAAATCAATACAAAAGAAAACACAATGACAACATGGAGCGACTAGAGAATGAGCTCTTTACCGGATCGGGATTTTGGGCGATCGGAGCGCGGTTGGAATGCGCCATGTCCTGGTACGTATATAACCTGATGATGAGGATGGCGGTCGGTCGGTGACGGGAGATCGGAGGGTGGGTGTAGTGGGGCGGACTCAAAAATCGGATGAGGCCGACCCCTCTTGATTAAAAGTGAAATAGGAGATAGGGCGGGGAATGACGAAACGAAATTACGGGGTGGGCAGTAAAGCAAGTGCGGCGGTCAAGATGACTGTGCGTCGACGATGTTTGTCTCTCTTCATATCCTCCATGCCAGTGCCAAAGCATCGGGAGACTCTCTTGAGGAACGGTTTGCACGGTCGACGATGAAGAGCATCAAGACCAGCAACTACCTCGGTACCGGGTCGCGTAAACAGTCTTGTCGACCCGCTCAACTCTGAGCAGTAGGGTTCCTCCTTCAACCTGGATGTCTTGGTTATCGCATTGGATGGTCATTAGGACGTTCCACGCGCAGCCGGCAGCAGGCGACTGCCGACATCCCGGAGCAAAGAGAACTGACTTTCTGTAAAGCCCACACACACACGCACACAGACTGCCCACACCATTCCTCTTCCATGCTAATTGATCTATGGATGCGAGCAGGGTAAATGGGGGTTAAGGGGAGAGGACTATGAGTGATTTGTAACCCAAAACAAGTGAAGGCGTTAACATTGATCCTCTGGCAGCCGGGCTAACTCGCTTCAAAACCCTCCTGAGGGGAGTTTCATCAGGCCACCGGCCGGACTGCTTGGATAGTGTAGCCCTGTGGGGAAAATGTATGAGTGAATCCAAGGAAAGAGAGGGGAAAGTGACGGGAACCCGTCGAGCACTCGCTCGGCTTGAAACCTCACCAGCGCCGGCCGTACAGCAGCTACCATGTAGTTGGTGAAAAAGTCGGTTTTACGTAGCGGCAATGCCGCGCAGCTCTTCTTGCGTCAATTCTTTTTTCGCCTTCGACACATTCTTCCTGGATTTAGGAGTGCGCCGACACCGACGCTGCGGAGCAAGGAGGAGGTCGGCGGACTTTTTCCCGATGAGGCAATTTTCAAACATGCGACCGAAGACGCCAGCGGCGACAGGGGATCGAAATTGCCGGGTTTGGCGCCGGACGCCAATGACACGGGGCAGAGCTCCGACGACTCGTAAACTTCAACATCACGGCACCTCGAGCTGCAAGAATCGCTTTCGCAAAATTCCTCCTTTGGACTTTATTGTCCTTGTGATCATTTTCTAGGTCTTAGGCGGCTAGCCTTTGTACTAGAAAGTCTTTGCACAGGTGGCTTTGCGACTTCTAGACATCCGTACAAAGACATGAGACGAAAGATGAACCTGACACACGAACAGGGAACGAGAGTTTGGAACCCGACTCGATGCACTCCCCTTGAAAAATCTAAACGGTGCGTCCAAGGCCGAAAAACTTAAAACCCCTAATCAGTCGATACATATGCCTTGGTAGGACAAACCAAGATGTTTGGAGACTGGCGGCGAACTGTCACCCCATCTCTCCCTCACTCCTCTCCGCGCCCCGGCTTTCTTGTTTTTGTCGTTCTAGGTTTTTTCCCTTCTTTCCATCATCCCCTCCCCGTACTTTCCTGACGGAGAGGCGTCCGGCGCTTTACACCATAGATAACAAGACAAATGGAGACCACCAGCGCGATGGATCGGGGCATTACGTCAAGTCAACATGAACTCTTTCCCTAGTTGTTCTTCTCCTGGACGAACCTCGGGACGGAGAAAACAAAAAGTAAAAGTGGGAAGGCACGAACGAGCCCTGGCGTGGAAAAGAAGGAAACTCTTTCCCCGTCGCTTCCTTAATTGATACCCAATTTTTTTCTTTCTTTCCTTTCGAAGAAGGCGCAATTGATCCGTACATCTGCCGCTCTATCCCTGGGCAACTCGTGGCCGTTGTCCCACTGCCCACTCCACCGCTCCACGATCGGACCGAAGTGAATTTTTCCCCTTTTGCACCTTGCGGTTCTATCTTTTACCGCCATTTGCACCATCGAACGCGAAGAATAAAAAGAAACAGAAGGAAGGGCCATAATGGATGCCGATTCGGCTTGCAATGTGAAATACAATTTCCTCCCATGTAACACACCAGGTGCCTCCTCTCCCATCCATGACGAGGGGCGAACAATGGTGATGCAAGTTCCTGACCGAAGATTATCACCACCAAATCATCATGAATCCAAGCTCCGGATAGTGGAGGGGAGTGGTGGGGTGGTGGGGGTGCGAGGAAAGGAGATCGGGCGGTCCTAGGGGGTGTGGGATTGAGTGCGTGTCGTTGAAATGTCCTCACAAGGCGCGCATTGAATTTTTCTTTCTTCGGGAGCCCTAGAGTGGCCAAGCTCAGCGCTCGAAGGAGGGTGTGCGGCGGACACCCCACGCTAATCCGCTCCGGGTTTGGGAGAGACGGGGTCCACCCGAAAGCGCCGAACGGGGACTGAGCGAAGCAAGCAAGAGGGCGGTGAAAATCGGTAGAGGGACACCACGCAGCTTTGTACGCTTAACCCTCCGGCGGCGGGAGGACAGTTTAATTGAGTCTCTTTTCTCTTTTCTTCTCCCACTTCAGGGAACCCATCCGACACTTGGGATAAGGGAGAGAAATGGCGCGCCGAAACTTGATTCTGATGACTCAGGACAGGCATATCATATTCGTAAAGGACTCGGCTGAAATTGGAAGGCACAGACACGAGTAAAGCAAACAGGAAGAAGGAACATGTGTCTCGCCCCTTCTCTGCCCCATCACAGAGAATTTTCGCACGCGCACACACATACAGACACGCTCATATACGTACACACATCACCCACGCACATAGCTACTTCACCGCGGCACGGCTAGCGTTCCCCGTACGTCATTCGAGACTGGAGGGAAAGAGCTAGGCGAGGAAGCCAGCCGCAAGCTGGTATTCGCCGCCTTCCCTCCTTTCCCATCTTCCTCCCCACACACACGCACATCAAGTCACGGCATTCAGGGTCCATTGTCAGACACACACACCTCTTTTCCTCCGGCTCCCCCAGTCTCCTCGGGTGCGTCGGAGACCTGCGTCAAGCTTGAGCAACGATGTGGAGATGGCAACAAGCCGGATCGGGCAAAGGCAAGATGGGAAAATCTGCCATGTCCAGATGATCGCCCCTCCTCTCGGGGAGCTCTTGTCCCGCGTAGGGGATAGCCGTGGACCTAGGATGGGCGTGCACACGCCCAATCCCGCTTTTTCTTCTTCACTCTTGTTGCGCGGGAGCCCCTGATAGGTTCCTTAGCTCCGTATCTTCCTCTTTTTAGTCTCTTTCTTTTGGCCCTTTTCTTCTCATGTCAGTCGACCATGGGGCCAGTCGCACCACGATAATACGACTCCTGTCCATCGTCCGTTGAAGCTCAGGTGGAGCTTAGTTCTAAACGGGTCCCCTTTTATCTTGTCCTTTCCCATGTCTTTCCTCTCGCCTTCTTTCCTTCTTTTCTCTTTCTCTTTTCTTCTTCCTTCCCACCCCCAATGTCCCGAGAGGATATATCCATGGATCCTTTTATTTTCCACTTCACCCCACCAATAGAGAGAAACATTCACCACGAACCTTGGCTTGGACCCTCACAACCACCCCCAACCGTCTGAACCACTCATCAAGAGAAATCTCGCCCAGAGCTGTACACCACATCGTTGATCCTATTCATCTTCGCCCAACATGGGTCGAGCATCAACAGAAGGAGTGGACAACTATGGCAACGGGGTGCAAGAGCCCCCGGTAGTTGACGCAGACGTCGTCAGGAAGGAGCAAAAGGTTACCTTTAAGGCTTGCTTGCTCGGCGGTGTTGCTAGTATAGGTGGTTTCATGTTCGGCTATGTCAGGTAAGCTTTCCCTCGGTAGGCCGTTTTGCTGCAGCTTCTCCTTGTGGGGAAGCCAGCGTCAGTTCCCCTTACCGGCCAAACAAAATCTCACGAAAAAACCTCCCATCATAGTGGTCAAATCTCCGGTTTCTTCCTCATGCAGGATTACGGCCACCGCTTCGGCGAGGCCGACGCCGGCGGCGGCTTCTATTTCAGCGCTGCCCGCCAGGGCGCCATCGTCGGTCTCCTCAGTGTTGGATGTCTGTTCGGCTCTCTCCTCTCCGGTAAGATGGCCGATATCATCGGTCGCAAGCTCTCCATTTCCATCGCCGCGCTGTGGGCGTGTGGGAACCATTATCGAAATCTCGTCAAGCCACCACTGGGTCCAGTTCGCCATGGGCCGCTTCGTGACCGGTATCAGCATTGGCGCCCTGTCCGTGCTCGTGCCCATGTATCAGTCCGAATGCAGTCCGGCCATCATCCGCGGTATCCTCGTTGCCTCGTACCAGCTCTTCGTCACCCTCGGTATCTGGACCGCCGAAATGGTCAACTGGGGCACCGAGTCGCGCACCAACTCGGCGTCGTGGCGCATTCCCAACGGTCTCACCTTTCTCTGGGCCCTCCTCCTCGGCGCCGGCATCATGTTCCTGCCCGAGAGCCCCGCTACGCCTACCGCAAAGGTCGTCGTGACGAGGCCCGCCTCACCATGGCCAAGCTCGCGGGCGCGGACCCCCACGCCGCCAGTATCAACAAGGAGGTCGCCGAGATCCAGGAAAAGCTTGATGCTGAAAAGGATGCCAGCGACACCCACTGGCACGAGATCTTTACCGGCCCGCGCATGTTCTACCGCACTGCGCTCGGCATGGTCCTGCAGGCTGGCCAGCAGCTCACCGGTGTCAACTACTTCTTCTACTACGGCACCACTGCCTTCCAGTCGACCGGTATCAGCAACAGTTATACCACTCAGCTTATCCTTGGTTCCGTCAACGTCGTCTGCACCATCGCCGGCCTGTGGGTTGTAGCCAACGTTGGCCGTAGGAAGGCGCTTATGGCCGGCGCGGCCTGGATGATGGTGTGCTTCTTGATCTACGCCTTTGTCGGACACTTTGCCCTCGACCGCGCAAACCCCATGAACACCCCGGACCAGGTGGTGTCCTCATCGCGTTCTCGTGTCTTGCCATTGCCGCTTTTGCCTCCACCTGGGGTCCCCTCGTCTGGGCTGTCGTCGCCGAGCTGTACCCTGGGCAGTACCGTGGTCGCTGCTTGGCCTTGGCTACCGCGTCTAACTGGTTCTGGAACTTTATGATTTCCTTTTGTAAGTGTTTGCCCCCTTCTTCTTTTTCTTCTCGTGGGTATGGATCGTGGACTAACTCGACCTCCTCTCTCCCCTCCCTCAGCACCCGTTTCATCACTGACGCCATTGACTACCTTTACGGTCTCGTCTTTGCCGGCTGTTGTGCTGCCCTCGTACTCATCGTCTTCTTCTTTGTCATCGAGTCCAAGGACCGCTCCTCGAGGAAATCGACACCATGTACATTGAGCATGTCAATCCCATTAAGTCAAGCAAGTGGAAGCCCTCTCAACGCAAGCCACACCCCACTACTAGCGAATTGATGGAGCATAATTAAAGAAAAGAAAGGATGGAAAAAGAAAGGCTACCCTGTTGGTGTTGGGGGTTACTCCATATCTCCCGGACCCAAAACCGTTCCTTCTGTTTCCAAAGCAAGCCCCGATACTTCGAAGAGCCTCTCGCTCTGCCATTTTCCAAGGCAATGATTGAGGGGACTTGAGATGCTATGGAGGTTATTATCCGGGGAGGTGAGAAGGATCAGGTGAAGCTACACTCCGGAATGAGCGTGGCGGAGTATTATTATCAGTTGAGGGATCGGATTATGTTTTTTTTTATGGTTATTTTCCCCTGGTAGGATTTGACCGGCTGGAATTTCCTTGGGTTTGGGCATCGCATACATCAATAATACATCATTGGATAATCAACACGTGGATTTGTTTACGACCTAGAGTTTGGCGCGATTCTGAGTGTGGACGGCAATGGACGGGTGAGTGTGTGTGTGTGTCTTCTGCCATTGTCTTGACTCGAGGTCATTGGCTCAGGGTTATTTTGCCATCGTGAGATGCCATCTATGGATCGTGGCGGAGTCGAGCGAACAGGCTTTTTATCTGCGGGACCGTGGAACAATAGAACCTCGTATTGGGCATCTGCTAGGCTCCGTCCGGAGTCTCTCGGCCGTTTCCTTGGCATTCCTGGGGACCTCAAAATCTTTGTTCGCATCGTTCGTCCGCTGCTGAAATCCATCAAGCGACTGTCCCTTTCACTGTCTCGAACGACCTTTCCTGTCGGCGATTAATAGGCAGGGCCCAACATCTCCGATTACCATCTCAAACACTGCCAAAAATAAAGCCAGGAGGTCCACCTGCACCCACGGGGACCACATCGATCTCGGCGGCCCGACGACTCGATCTTGTGGGCGGGCGTTCCCTTGGGCGGGGCGGGGCATGACGAAGGTTGCAAGCCATTCTTCCCGTGGGGTTCAAGCATAAAATGGGATTTCATCTGAAGTGTTAATAGAGCCCGCGAAAGCGTATTTCGTCTCTGGCTTCATTTGATTGAGAGGATTGAAGCGAGCGGCCGCCCGGATCAATGCCAAGGCCCCAGTGGGCGGTTTTGCGGGTTAGCATGATGGGGATGTGACCTCAAAATGAAGACAAAAAATCCAAGGGCAAAGCTGGGGGACTTTTGGGAAATTGCCAACAGCAGAAAAAGACTCCTGGAAGGATTGGACGGATCGGTCCCAAGAAAGAAAATAAAGGGGCTCCACCGACGATTTCTTGGTCGGGGATTTGGACTTTATTTTAAGATTATCGAATCGCCCCCATTTTTATCCATCGTGACTCTCGTCTCTCCTTCTTTCCTTTCTCTGTGTGTCATACTTCCGACCCCAGTCACTCGCTTGCACAACGATCAAAACCCGATTTCAATTTTTAGTAGAAGACGAGCGATCGATTCTACAGAAGAAAAATACAAGGTTTAATTCAATAAAAAAACAATCCAATCAGAGAAGAACAACGCTCGTTTCAGTCACCATGCTTTCCTCCGTCTCGCGCCTGTTGGCCGCCGCTCTGGTGCCGGCCGCCGTCCTCGCCGCGGACCAGTACCCCGCCAACTTTGGCGTCGACTTCGTCTTCCCCGCCACGACTCCACGTACAAGCGCGCGTTCCCGCTCCCCGTCGTGCTCGCCATCCACGGCGCGCCCGCCATCTGGCCCGAGGACATGTCCATCAAGCTCGAGCTCCTGCGCTCCCTGACGGGCGGCACCGCCGCCACGCCCTACGAGACGGTGTACATCAACTCGTCGAGCCTCGTCGGCAGCGGCGGCGCGGACGGCACGACGTACGCCGTGGTGGGCATGCTCGAGACGGGCTCGCCCACGCGCGACAACTTTTGCGCTACGCCGTCAACTTCCCGCAGGACTGCGCCGAGGGCGGCGAAGCGGCGCGTCGCATCGCCGAGGACACCGACATTGAGTTCTCGAACCGCCAGTCCTCGTCGCTGTACTTCAAGTTCGACGACGACAAGGGCGGCGCGTACGACATCTTGCCGGCGGCCGGGTCCGAGGACGCCGAGGACTTTGCCCCACGCACCTGCTCAGCTTGGCTATCGAGGCGCGCGAGAGGGAAAACTGCCTGCTGCTGGGCACGCCCGACTACGAGGCCATCAACGCCAAGTGCCGCACCACGTTTCCCGAGGACTTTGTGAAGCAGGTCGAGGCCAAGGTGGCGGAGATTTACGAGTGCGCGAACGAGGTGAACCCCCTACGGCGGAGCATGATGCATTTTGTAATAGTAAGCCGTTCCTCGGGGACGAGGAGGAGAAGAAGGACGATGACGAGGAGGGCTCGGGGTCCGGCTCGGGTTCGGGATCCGGTTCGGGCTCTGGATCGGGTGGAAGCGGTAGCGGTGGTGAGTCGCAGGGTGGAAGTGGTGGGGACTCCTTTGCTGGGAAGATGGGTGTCCCCAAGACGATGATGTCTGTTGGCTTCCTCGCCTTGGCTGCCGCTACTCTCTGGTAAAGGAGGTAGAGAAAAGAATGGGGGATATGGGCCGAAGTTTTGACGTTAAGCGTTTATGTATATATACTATGACGAGACAAAGTAATGATAATTCACTTCATCTGATCCCCCACCACGTGGCACCCGTGTTCCCTCGACGAAGAAGGAAGAAACGCAAGAGGTCCACGCACGCCCCTTCGCCGCCGCTAGTATCCCAGAGACTATCTGGCTTGAGAGGTGCTAGCGATGCATGAATGCAAAATGGTACTAGCAGGAAAGACTTCCTTTCCATGAAAACAGATATAGTTCCTAAACTAGACGGGCATCATGCATGCTCTACGCTGTGTAGCCGTGTTGCGTTCCTTCGTTCCAACTTAGCCCATGATGTCAAGACTTCTAGGTATTGTGAAAAGAGAAAAGAAAAAAAAACAAGATGTATAGTTCATCATGAAGAAGTTGAAGAAGTGAATGCCAGAGGGAATAGTGTGCATAAAAAAGGAAAGGAACAGAAAAGAAGGCCTCTTGAAACAGAGGTGAAAAGTCGTAGCCCAGTCGTGTCCAAAACAAAGCAAAACTAACCAGCCATTATCCCGTCTTGGGAGGGAACCAAAAGGCACATAATGAAACCAAAAGAAGAAAAAAAGACCAATCCTCCCCGATACCTGAAGAACTTTGTATCATCGATACCGCCTTTCCCCTTCCTATATATACAGTCAAAGCGTATCTCTCCCTTGCCTCAGCAACTACACTTCCTCTCCCTCGGCGGGTACCCCGGATCAAGAGCAGGGCATGATCTTTCTTATATTGTCTCCGCAGTAAATAGCGAGACGAGGGAACGAGTCGCTCGCCTCCTTGCGGAACCTCTCTTGGCAAAAGTAGCCGGTACCGTTTTTCTTGTCCTCGCAAAAGGTGATGCAGCAGTTGCGATCGCCGGGAAGCCAGACGTAGCTCCAGGCCTCGAAGCCAAAGTCGAAGAAGCCCTCGTCGATGTAGATGTCGGTCGCGTCGCCGCCGTAGTTGAGCTCGGAGTAGGCCTGGAAGGCGAAGCCGCTGGTGCGCGCGGTGCCGTTGTTGAGGAAGGTGGCGGTGGGGGTGGCGCTCGTGGTGGTGGAGGAGGACGAGGTGGTTTCGGACTCGGTCGGCGTGGGTCTGGCGAGCTTCTTGTTAGCCAACAGGACATGAAACAAAAGAAATTGAACAAAAAAAAGGGTTTCGAGTTCAGAGTGTTGGGGCTGGGTACATACTCATCCTGGCTCTCTTCCCCGTCTTGTCCGGCGGTGTTGGAACCCTTTGACTTTTTCGCCAGCCCTCCGCCGAGACCGCCGCCCAGCGCGGCGGCGAGAACGACGAGAGCGACGATGAAGATGATGAAAGTCTTTCTCTTGAGGCCCAAGATCCTCTTCTCCTCCTTGATGGGGCTCGCCGGGGTTCCGTGGGGCTCCGCGCAAGACCTTGCTCCGCGACCTCGGGCGACCGCGCCTCCCAGGGTATCGTCGTGTTGGGGCTCACGCTCACGGGCACGGCGCCCACCGTCTCGGGGCTGCCGTACGGATCGATGGCCTGCTTGGGCACGTCTTCGGGGAGGACGGGGTATTTGGGGTCCTTCTCGCCCAGGTGCGCTTCGTACTGTGGCGCGGCTTCTTTGGGGAGGGCTTGCGGGGACTGGTCGGGCACGACCTCGGGGAGGTGCTCGTCTGGCGGGAGGTTTGACCGATCCATGGTTTTTGGGAGCGGGTGGATTTACTGAGTCTATATGTTTCTTTTCTCCTCGTTTTCTCCTTCTACCCTTGGTGAGATTTAGTTCGGACTAAGAGATTGTGGCGCGAATCGGATCGAATATGGCCCGTGGGGAAAGCTTCAAGGAGGATGATTGTGTAAGAATCGGAGAAGAGGAAATCTCAACGGCGTCGATTCGAGAGGTTTTTCGAGGGTGGTCAATGTGTTTTTTCCCGGAGCTTGGCGAGCAAGGTCGGTCGGCTTGATTGTGGAGGAAAATGACGATCGCAACTAGGTAGTAGTGCCGGGGTATCTTTGTACGGGTAGATGTATTCAAGCCAGCTCGAGCCTGGCGTCGTTCCTATTTTGGATTTTTCTTTTGGACCGGCCGGGGAGAATTCTCGCAGGGGGAGGGGCCGTCGTGGGTTATAAACGGATAGATGGCTCTAGCTATCAACTTTTTTCTTACCTCTCGGATCGAGACGTCCGAGGTACCATCTGGCGCAGGGCTGGTCGCATCAGAAGAGAAGGTCGAACGAACCATGCAAGGTCTTTAATAAACAGCCATACGTGGTTCTCGCAAGGGGTGCGGGACCGGATTGGAGAGTGTGTGCCAGCCACACACGCGAAGAGAACAAAAATAGCTCGAGGGGGACAGGAGGGAAGGAAACGGTTGGAGCACGGCAGAGCAAAAAACCAATGTGTTGCGCTTCTTTTTGGCCCCCGGACCCTTGCATTATAGGTGCGATTGGACTTTTTATATATATCATTGATCCATAGGTAAAATACATTCTATCTCATTATGATTCGGCGACTACAGCTCCCCGGGCGAAATGGGGCGGGCTCGCTTTTCTCGCGTCTGCTGGGACGTACGTCTCCTACACACAGGGATAATCTGTGTCTGTATCTCTACCCTTCTGTCTTTTGATGGCCAGGCAGGGTACAGCTTGGATTTCTGCTTTTGAGGTTCCATGTCACGTTGGACGAGACGGGATAAAAGCCGGTCCAAACGTGGGCCTGGTTGGACATGAAGAAACAGCCAGACGAGATTGCCAATCAGATCCTGTTTTCTTCCTTTCTTTGTTTTTTCGTTCCTCTTTTTCGACTCATTCGTCCTCGGCGGTGAAAGTGTCCCCGTCCCCGATTTCTCTACTCTCCACGGTCGCGGGCTCCAGAAGGATTGGAACATTGAACAGAGGCCGGACGACAAGGAGTCTTTCGCTGCGTTGTGACTCCACGAATGATACCTCGGGGCACGTTGCCCAAAACGGGCCCCGCCGGCTTGAGTGAGGGGGAAGATGAGAGGCCAAGAGGATCAATTGGAGCTACATGCAAAAATAAGACGGCGTGATTTTAGTCCTGTTCTTGGCCCCTCTTTGCTCGTTTCGCTTCCACTTTTTTGGGTCAACCTCTTTCTTTTCTTCCTTTCCTTTTTGGCGCACTGCTCGTTTCTCGAATGGAACTGCCCCCGTTTCCCGCTTTCGCAATTGGACGGGCGGGTATATTGGGTCCAGCGAGACTTTAAATTATCCCGCTGCAACGCAACCGCACGCCTCTGGGTCGCGATGAGGGGGCAAGGCAAGACAGGCAGGCTCTAGCAGTCGTTATCTTGGTTCGGGGTGCTGTATCTCCATTGTCTCCCCGATTTAAAAGAGGGGACCAGCAGCTATGGGAACCTGGAAATCTCCAAAAGGAAGGCAAAAGAGGAGCCATGGAGCGATAGGAGCAACAGCAGTACAGGTACCGAGAAATTGAGCTACAAGTATTATATCGGGAATCTTCTGGGCGGTGCGCTCGCCAGCAAAATGTACCAATTGCTCCAAATCACTGCTGCCTTTTTCACTTTTTGTTTGAGGTTGAAGTCCACCCGAGTCACGAATTGATCAACCTGCCCAACGCCAGGGATCAGGCCAGGGTACCTTTGTTGTGGCGCAGGATCCTCAACAGGGGTACGTGATTGACATGAGAGAAAGAGAGGGTACAGAGGTACTTTTTCCATGACCTCGCAGCGGAGGGAGCGTGGGAATTCTCCATGGGTCAAATTTTGTCAGTCCAGCGAGTTGATCCCAGCGCCATTCGAAGATGTTCTTTTCACAGCAGCCCTATTACAAGCACAGTCCTAAAGAGAAAATAGTGCCTCCCACGATCCAGAGCCATCCATCTTACCCACGGACGCTAGGCAAGTCAAGCGGTGGCGTCCGGGGGTGGGATGGCTGGATTGATGGCACGAGGAACCAATAATGCTTCGCCAGCGACCTACTCCCCTTTGGGAGAAGGGAGCATCCCGTCTTAAAAGCTCAAAGAAGACGAAGCGGAGAAAGAAGAAGGGAAGAAAAAGGCCCCCAAGCGTCAGCAACGAGCAAGAGAAACGGGCTAGGAAGAAAAGGGTTGAGCGGCGTCCACACCATCTCATGGCGCCTCCTCGGCACCATGCAGAGCTCTTTTGAACTACGTCTACGTACCTCCTGTAAGCAAAAAAAAAACGAGAGGAGGAACGCCGTGGACTTTCTCTATTGAGCTTGCCAAACCAGAGTTGGCTTTTGGCTGTTCTCCCGAGGCGCGGGTGCCGAGAAATACCCAGCCGACACGGGCAACCAAATTGTGCATGTAGATGGAAGAAGCGGATACTGAAAGCAGCAAATTCGAGAGGCGCCTGGTTTGGACCTGGCCCGAGAAAAGGCTGGCTCCCAAATGCCCGTTGCTGATGCTTGATCGACATATCCACCGCAAACGCAACACACCATACCGTACCATACTTGCGTACGCCTCCGGGAGACACCACTGCCACTTGGTTTTGTTTCTTCTTCTCCATGTTTGTGCCCTTCGGCCCCACTGCGTATTGCTCGCATTGCATTCCCCAAACAAGGACGCCAAACCTATAGAAAAAGTGAGGAGTGGCAGAGGATCAACAGCCACCGCCCCATCAGCTGGAGTCGTGAGTCTTGAATTCTTTTCCCAAGCCTACATGTATATCCCCTCGTCTCCCGCCTATGATTTTCAACTTGTCTGTATGACGAAAAGGTTAGGAATACATGTCAACATGTCGACTGTGGCTGACCGTGTGCGTTTCCGGTTACCGAGATCGTATTAATCTGGGTAGATATGCGAAATCACCCACCTCGTCGCGAGAACCGGAGACGCAGAGATAGAAACACTGGGTCTTTTCAACGGGTTCCGGCCTTTATCTACTTGTAATTACCTTGCCTCCCCAGATTGAGGCCGTCGGCTAGGCGAAGGCGCTCCCTGAATCCACCCCTCCCTTGCCCGTAAGACGTCTAATTGATACTTTAACCCTTTGACACTCGGGCCCTTGGCCCCTCCCCGATGCCGAACCAGGCTTGGCGCGCTGGCACTTGACGGGTGGCGTGTATCGTGTATCCACTCGACCCAGACTACTTTGAGAATTTCTTTTTTGCTTTTCCTGCTCTGCACTTCAAAGTGGCCCCCGAACTGCTTTACTTCGCGTCATCGACCCCGCAGATATCGGAGGCGATTCCTAGAATCAGAGCTTAGCTAGCCGTCATTGCTCATTTGAGGTGAGCTTGGATGAGGCATCGGATGTTTGGTTGGTCTTGAGATGCCTGGTCCGCCTTCCTTGTTCCATTGCGAGCGTTTGCACTTAGTAGCAGGACACTGCTTCCTTTCGAGAAAGAGGAGTCGTGGCTTTAAGACGAGCCGCTGGTCTCATCCCAAGCTGAACCCTTCTATAATATGTTGGGTTTGTTTCGTCTAATACTCCAAGGCCAACGCCTTATCCGCCAAGTGATTACTTGTGTTCAGAAGTTCGTTTCATCCCGCGGTAGGGCACCTGCTGTATGGATCTATGTATGATAACATCTGACCTAGCTCGAAGAAGGTTCTTGATAGGACTTGACTCGATATCTGCTTGAAAACCGCTTTTGTCTTACCTGCTCGCCGCAGTTGTAACTTTGATCCCATATGATTCTAGCATGTGCCCTTCCTAGCATAGCTGGAAGCATATACCTATCCGGTATTTCTCCCAATCTCAGAGCTTGCGCCCCCAGAGCCTTCTTAGAACGACTTAGAATTGGCGAGATGAGTTTGCGTGGAAACGATCATCTCTTTGACTCTTTCTTTGTTCGTATGATGAGAAGATCCAGGCAGACTACCATCAAACTGCAAGGTCCATGTTAGGCTCCCAAGAGCGACGATGGACACGTGGAAGAGGGAGTAGTATCCAAAGCTTCCATGAAGAGCTAGAAATTGATGAGCCGTCAATAAAATGGCCATCTCCCGCGACACGAAACAACGCATCTGTTGTATCTTCTATCGTCACTCTCCCTCAAGATACCCATCTCACATCTCTCTGCCAACATGAGCGCACAACCTTCTCAAACCCCTCCCGATGCTTCTCGCTCGCAGGAGATTGTAGTCGGGACCATGCACCCCGCCAGTGTTTCCTTGGTCAATAGCAAGCCGGGAAACTTGGTGATCCCTTTGCCAGGCACCCAAAACCAGTACTTGGTCACATCCAAGGACTTTTAGAAGAGCAATCGCCGACTCTTTACAGTAGCGTCTACACTACGACGCTCTTTTCCTTCTCCGACGGTTCAGAGGGCAGCAACACCGTCTACTCGGTAGTTCAGTTGCTGGGCCGCCGCGTTGACATTTCCGAAAACATACTAATCGGAATTCACGCCCTCGCCGGGGAATGTCGGGGGCTTGGCTGTGTCCCGTTGAACGCGCAGACGGAGTGGATCGATTGGCGCGCAGAATTATTAGCCTTCGATATCTCAGCCGCGAAGCTACTCGCGCCATGGGCAGAATTGTGGTTCGAGAGCTATAAAAATGGGGGCCTCCAGGCTCCCACACGCGATGATAGCCACGATTTCCCTTTCTCTTCCTAGTTTTGCGTCAGCTGGGAGAGGCGATTAACGTAGACTACATCCTAGCCAGCGTCGAGGTAACCCCATCGAGTTGGTTCCTTCGTTTGGGGGACAACAGCTTGGACGACATGTTCGGACCCGAAGCAGGTAAGTTTCTCTCCATGCGTTTGGCTTCCCTGATATCCCTCCGACGATTTTCAGGGGCAAGCTCGCTCAGAAGCCGCTGACTGGTATCCCGTGGCCCGGAAAAAACCCACTAGGGTGGATGGCTGCTATTGTGTCAAGAGGCCTCAACATAATCCAGTTCTACTTGGATTCCGTTGAGGCCGGGCTTCTCTGTAGTAGGATCTCTTCGTCGACGACAGGCGAAGAAGACATCTTCGGTGACTGCACATCGCGCACCCGAATGCTCGCGTTCTGCTCCATGAGAAAGGAACAGAACCTTGATTCCCCACTGCGCACGTCTGATTTTACCTTTGGGGAGATACGAAAACGGGTCGCCGAGGTTGCCAAGGGATGCGAGCATGGGTGTGGGAACTGCCAATGCGACTTGATGCCCAAACTGCGCGAGCTTTGCGAGCAAGTGGAAAAGGTTATTGACCACGTCGGGCAAAGGCTGATAGAAGAGTTTGAGGCGTGTGACATTTGTGGCCAATCCATGATATGAATATAGAATCAGACAAAACGCCTTCTTCCCATGCAGCGCACCAGCTAGTGGTGATGACGACCTAGGTAGTGCTAGCTCTATACGCAAGACAGGAAACTCATATACCGAAGCAACCTTGTGTGTTCATATTCCTTTCTTACGCTTATTTTTAGGATATTATGCGTGCCTAGATTCGGCGGTGCTGGCTCACGTCTCCTTGGTTTGGGTTGCCCGCTCAAAAGTAGCAAGGGCTGTTTTGGTGAATCAAGTGATGTGTTGAAAAGAGGCCACAGACTGGCTTTCGATAGATAGTAGGCCATGGCTGGCAAAAGGAAGAGTCTTCCTCACGTCAAACTTGTCTAATTCCCCTGCAAGGTGTTCACCCGTTTCATCAGCAACGAGACTTCTCAGCCTCTTGTCCTCCACCTTTGAAATTTCTACCCAGAGCCTCAAGGAGCTATGCGGCATTTCTCCTCGGGAGAAAGTTGGGCTGGCGTCGCCACGCATCATTGTCCCGATCTCTCTCGAGCTTGCGCTACAGTGCTTGGGATGCTCTCCGCTAGTTTTGACAGCGTTGACTGAAAGTATGAAGGAATGTTCTGGATGCTGATCCCCACAAAACCTCTCTGGGGGAATCAGGCTTCTGTTATGCCGCCAGGCTGTTCGGAAATCATACATGTAGGGTCTGGCAGCTGGATTTGTCAACCAAGAGCTATGTTAACTAGCTCTATTTCTAACTCTCTCATGAAATGGGACAAGCGCAGAAACTTTACTACACCGCCGCTAGAATTGGACCCTGGAGGTCCGAGTACATCCAAGCTCCGTTGTGAGGCTCTCCATAACCATCAGTTCATACGAGCCGTGGGCGAGTTCATTCCGTATATTTCTACCCTTTTTAAACTCGAGACTTATGGCTCTATTCATCCTAACATATGGACGACTTGGTGCTAGGTTTCCATAAGTTGACAGAAGCTTGTATGTATACTAATTAGCGCAGGTGAGAACGGGTGCGAGTATTATGAAAACTCTGAATATGTATATTGAACGTTGATGACGGATGGTCCGGCCGTCCTGCGCTAGATCATTGGTGTATACATATACCCTCCGTTAAGAGGGCGTGATAAGTTAGAGTATGTTTAGGTTGAAAAGCCTGGCCTCCAGATACCATTTATAGAGTTGGATTAGACTATATGCGCGCCTCCGTTCACCGGCTTTTCTCTCGCTTGAACTAGTACTTCGCTATTGCTCCCGAACACTGGGCTTGTTGGGCGCTGATGATGTAAAGTTGTACTTTCTTGCCGAATAACACGAATAACATATCAATCAGTTATGAGAATACGGATGTGCCTCCCTATATGCCCCTGCACTGCTGAGAGCGATGGGTCTTTGAGGGACGGCCTATTTCAAAGAAGTGGTTTCCTTCAAAGCGCGGATAAGCTGTGCAACTAGTATTTCAAGTGCGTCCGTCCAGGGTCTACCTTTGAGTGGTTGAGTAGGCCACCCTGGCTAGTCTAGTTGACGTGTGGTGTGTGAAGTTGCCTGCCGCGTTTTCCCCACCCGCCAAATTGGGCACTTGAAGCACTTGTGAACCTCCGCGGAGCTCGCCCACAGCACTGGGTCCAATTAGACAACGGCACGGAGCGGAGAATACTTGTGTAACTGCCGGTTGCCAGACTCCGAAAATAACTCCAGGCCTCCGTGTAGCCTCCGAACTCTGATGGGCCCTGCTCCGCTTCATACACGCGCGCGCGCGCAGCGGTAGGGCGATCTTCCTACTCTTTCAAAGGCGTAAAATTCTCTGCCCTTCTCTGCCCCCGGATGCTGTGGGTCGGTTATCCCCGTTTTAGGGACAGCGTCCCCCTTTTTTACTAATCTTGCCCGTGCCATTTGTCTGCCATTGAAAATTTTCGCCCCCTTTCCCGTCCCAACCTGACAGAGCTGAACCCGAGAGCCGAAAGACAAAAGTCAACGCGCGCGCGCCCGGTGACTAATAGCTCCATGGAAGCAAAAGCGATCTCGGCTCAGCGCCAAGGAAGAAGAAAAAGTTGACTCACACTAACGCCGATTCGAGTATAATATGGAGCTAGACATGGGGAACATGATGATTTTTGCAAGCCACTTACTGCCGGACTAAAATAATTCCGAAGCAAAGGCCTGTCGCAACTCGGTGAGGAAAAGGTGCAAGGGAGTCCAAGTCACAAGGTCATAAGGAGCTGCGAAGTCCGCTTTTCCGACTTGTTCACTAATCATCCGAGCTTGTCGACTACCACACACCATCATCGCATCACTAATTCCTTTGGCGACACCAAACGGCTTTAAGCCTGCCAAATTGTCCACCACTTTCTTGTACAGACACCGCACATACCGTTATCTAAGATGTCGGCGGTAATGACAGAAACCGCTCCGCGGAGAAGCAGCCGGGGACGTGCCAGAATGTTGAGAATCAGGGGCAGGTGAGGCCGTGCAAGTTGGAGACGGGATGGCGCAGGATTGTGCGAAACTTCACACCTTCGTAAGTGAAAACCCATTATACTCATTGATTGACCCATTCCATCGGAGAGGATGTATGCAAGGCTAGAAGGGGGTTGTCTATTAGCGAGGGCGCCTCACTTTGCAGCTGGGCAATTTATCCTACCCGGCCCTGCAGCCTGTAATACGCATTAATTACGGTCGCTAACGCACTCATTTCTCCATCATAGATGGTTCGCCGTGAACATGGGCACGGGCATCGTCTCGATTCTGTTGCACGAGTTCCCGTACAATGCCCAGTGGCTGCAGTACGTGTCCGAGGTCATCTTTGGCCTCAACGTCTTGCTGTTTACGGTATTCTTGGGGTTGACGGTCTCTCGATACGTGCTGTACCCGGAGATCTGGGTGGCCATGATTGCGCATCCGGGACAGTCTCTGTTTTTGGGATGCTTTCCCATGGCGCTGGCAAGTACGTCGTACCATTTCTTTTTTGTTTTATCTTTCTCTTTCCATCCTTGAAAAGGCACATTGGACGTACCTGGGGATGAGCGGTATCTTTCTGTACTCCCCAGATGTGTGCATATATAACGAGCAACGATCACTAACATGGCCCCTAGCCATCATCAACATGATGATTCTCAGCTGTAAGCACTGGGGCGACTGGCTCATCTACACCGCGTGGGCGCTCTGGTGGGTCGACGTCTGGTTCTCCATCGCCACCTGCATCAGCATGCCCTTCATCGTCATGCACCGCCACCGGCCCAACCTCGAAAACATCACCGCCGCCCTCCTCCTCCCCATCGTCCCCTCCATCGTCGCGTCCGCCTCGGGCGGCATCGTCGCCGAAGCCCTCCCCAACGTCGGCCACGCCGTCACCACCCTCGTCACCTCGTACATCCTCTGGGGCATCGGCGAGTTCTTCACCGCCTGCGTCCTCGCGCTCTACTTCCACCGCCTCACCATCCACTCCACCCCGCCCAAGGAGGTCATCGTCTCCGTGTTTTTGCCCATCGGGCCCCTCGGCCAGGGCGGCTTCGGCATCCAGCAGCTCGGCAAGGTCGCCGCCCTCGTGTTGCCCCAGACTTCCATGTTCAATGTTATTGAGAATGGGGGCACGCGCGCGGGTGACACGCTCTACGTGCTGGGCGTGTTCTTGGCCGTTACGATGTGGGGCTTCGGGCTCGTGTGGATGTCGCTCGCCTTCACTACCATCTTTACGATGAAGAAGTTTCCCTTCAACATGGGTTGGTGGGGGTTCACTTTCCCGCTGGGCGTCTTGGGGACTTGTACGGGTGCGCTGGCCGAGAATCTCGATAGCGAGTTCTTCAAGGTCACCAATGCGGTAAGTTTTTAGCGCCCGCCCCGCCTTTTTCGTTTTTGTTTCCTGTTGTCTCGCTGGTGCAAGGGGACCGTCTTGGCTAATGCATCGTTCTAGATCCTTTCTCTCGTCGTGGTAATACTGTGGCTCATGGTGAGCGTTAGGACCATCAAGTTGGCCTTGACGGGCGAGATGTTCCATGCGCCTTGCCTCCAGACCATCAAGAAGTGCCAACAGCAGCAGCAGTAAACATGCATCTTTTTCTTCTCTTCGGTTTGGAGAGTCTCATGTTGTCTTTGATTTCTTTTTGCATTGCTTCAACGCATTCAGCATTTGGCGCTTTTGGGTTGCAACTGTTTAGATTTCTTTTAAAAGTGCAGATTTTTACTTTGGAGAACTTGGTGCATTTGATAGAAGTTACAAGAAAGTTTCGCGACGAGGTGGTCGAGGATAAGACCGCGGGGGATGTGCAAAAAGAAAAGAAGTTTAAAGGACTGATGGTCCTACATGTAGATTTCCATGATGGTAGACAGCTTGGAACCTCGGGATCAACTCCCGAGCCTGCATATTGACGAAATAATATTATTGAATCATGGCAAATCCGTTATCCCCACTTCCTGATATTGAAAGATTCAATGTTGAAACCGGTGTGTCTTTTTACAAGGTGTTGAGATGCACTGATCTGCCACTTGGTTTTAACTCAACAGGCCAAAGAACGTCGCAGCGCCGTCATTTGTCGTCGACGCCTTTTTCACATGCCCCCAGGTCCACCCGCGACGTCATCATTAGTCGCCCTCGACAGCATGAAATATCAATTGATGCCACATTGCCCGCTCACAATTGGCTTCACTTTATATGCATTGTCGATGCCATCCATTGATGTCTCCTGATACGAGAAATCAGACCATACATGTACTTTACAGTCCACCATCTAGTCAAGTTCAAGACCTTTTATCGACCTTATTAACCACCCCTTTCCACGGCATCTATTCCACAATACACCACCAACCAAACCCACACATTGAACTTGTTCACCATGGACCCCCTACCGCAAACAGACCCCACCAAAATGGCCGAGGCCAGCGTGCCCGACACCTTCCGCATCATGAACACCGTCGTAGCCCCAACCCTCGCCAAAGGCGTCATCAAGCGCCGCCCCTCGGTCGAAGCCCTCGCCCAACACCGCGGGCTCGACACCAAGGCCGTCGAGCTCCTTCAGGACCTGCGCGAAAAGTACGGCGGGGGCCCCTTGCTCCTCCGGTTTCCCTTCCGCTCGCAGATCCTGCTCCTCGACCCGGAGCACGTGGCGCAAGTGCTCTCGGAGACCCCCTCGCCTTTCACGGCCGCCACCAAGGAGAAGAAGACGGCGCTCGCCCACCTCGAGCCCGAAAACGTGCTCATCGCCGGGGAGGCTAGGCGAGAGGAGCTGAGGCCGGTACACGAGCACGCGCTGGCCACGGACCAGAGGGTGCACCCGCTCGCGAAGCACTTTAAAGACATTATCCACGCCGAGGCCGAGTCTCTCCTCCCCGCGCCGGGGATGGCACGGGAACCGAGGGCGACGCCTCGGAGACGGTGGTGGACTGGGACAAGTTCGCGCACGCGTGGTTCAGGGTCGTGCGGCGCATCGTGCTCGGCGACGCGGCGACCGAGGACGAGAGCATCTCCAACGACCTGAGCGACATCCGCGGGCGCGGCAACTGGGGCTTCGCGGCCTCAACAAACAAGAGCAAGCTCGAGAGCTTCCAGAAGCAGCTGGGCCAGTACCTCGACAAAGGCGAGGAGGGCAGCCTGGTGTCTCGCCTACCCAGGGACTCGGACCTCGACCTGGAGAGCCAGGTGGCGCACTGGCTCTTCGCCTTTGACCCCGCGGGCATGGTGACTTTCCGCGCGCTGGCCCTGCTGGGTGTCAGCCCGCGCAGCAGGCCGAGGCGGCGCGGGAGGCGACGACGACGACGGCCGCGGGATCTGGTGGTGGCGGGGAGGATCACCCGTTTACGCGGGGCGTGTTTCTGGAGGCTGTGCGTCTGTGGCCGACCACGCCGGTGATTCTACGCGAGGCGACCGAGGACTGCGAGGTGGGCGGGTTTACCGTGGCCAAGGGCACGGGCGTCATCATCTTTGAGCCGTTTTTCCACCGCGACGGCCAGAGGCTCAATTTCGCCCATCACATGTCGCCCGAGAACTGGGCCAAGGGGACGCCGTCATGGCGTCGGGTCTCGTGCCGTTTAGCGCGGGGCCGGCCATGTGTCCCGCGCACAACCTCGTGCCGCTGGTGGGGAGCTTGATGATGGATGAGGTGTTGGCGAGGGCCGAGGTGGAGCTTGTGGAGCCCAGGATGGATCCGGAGGAGTTGCCGGGGACGTTGGATCATTTTGAGGTGAAGTTGAGGCTTTCGAATCGTGGGGTGGCTGTAGCGTAGATGGGGATTAGAAGAATAAATACTTGATGGACTTGTTTGACTTATGTGTTTTTGTATGACTGGAAATTGGGTGTAACTTAGGGCGATTGTGCGACGAATAGCTTATTCAACAAAACTAAATCATTCAAACTGATCTCATTGCCTTGGGTGATTGTACGAGCATGTAGAGGTTATATGGATCTCTGGTTGACGAAAATAGTAGTGTAGATATGTAATTGAATAAATGTGTAAAAAGGAAGGTATATATGTACAAGAAATTGCATCATGGGCCATGTACGAGAAGACAGCATACACACTAGAGGAACTAATCACGTTCCGCCTCTCTCCAAACTCCGATCTACACCCTCATAAATCATCACCTGTCGTGCTATATCGCTCCAATCAGTTCTTCCCATTTTCTTTGGGAATGCGCATCTCCATTCTCACTTCTCTCGCTTATTTCCAGTTGCTAGCGACGGTAGCGGTCGTCGAGCAGGTCTTGGGAACGGTGTACGACCTGTTGGGATCGCTCTCCCAGGTCACAGCACCAGAGGAGGCGACGTTGATAAACTTGTACTCAAAGGTAGTGCCGGCGGGGAGGTTGAGGGTGACGGTCCACAGGTTGTTGGAGGAAGTATACTTGGAGGCATCAAGGGCTAGGGCGTTGGCGGTGTTCCAGCTGCCGAGCTGGGCGATGGAGCCGACGAGCTTGATGGTCTGGCCGTACTGGGTGGTGACGACCTCGTTGAAGGTGACGGCGACCGTGCTGGCGGTGGTGCAAGCGCCGCTGGTCTGGGTGGCAGTGGCGGTGGCAGTCTTGGTGCTCGCGGTGGTGGGCGTGCCGCCGGTGCCGTCGCTGATGGCGATGTCGGCGCAGGAGAGGTAGATTTGACCGGTCTGGAACGAGTTCCACTTGAAGGAGAGCAGGGTGTGGTTAGAGACGTACTCGGGGATCTTGATCTTCTTGGACACGGTGTAGCCGCCGGCAATAGTAGTGAAGCAAGAACCGAGCGGAGCGTTGTCGACGCCCTTGCAAGAGCCGGCGCCGAACTGGTTGCAGGTGAACCAGTCGTTCCTCCAGCACGCCTGGCCGGCCGAGCAGTCGGGGCTGTAGTTGCAGTTCTGGCCCGAGACGTCGGTGCAGCTGAGGGTGCCACGCTCGAAGCAGTCGTCGGCGGCCTGCTTCTCGGCCTCGGTGGGGAGGTAACCGGGCGTGGTGAACTTGTCGACGAGGGCCTGGTCCTGGCAGATGCGGTAGGTGAACATGCCGCCGTGGTCGCCGTTGTGGTCGACGCACCACTGCACGTCGACGACTTGGCCGGGGTGTACACGGCCACGGGGCCGGAGCCCCAGCTGCTGCCGGGCTGGTTGTAGTCGACGCTCACGCGGGCGTTGTAGCCGCAGGGGCCGCTGCGGCCGACGGGGGCGACGTTGAGGTCGGGCCAGGAGGAGACGGGCTCGAGAATGGTGCACTCGGGGCACGTGTCGATGCCGGACTATTTTTGCAAGTTTGGTTAGTTTTGTTCTCACAGAGAAAGAGAGAGCCTGATAAGAGGAGAAAAAAGAGACTCACCTCGGCGCCGAGCCTGGTTCGGCTCTTGGGGATGGTTAGGTATCCGTGTCCGTAGACGGAGGGGAGAAGGGCTGCGAGAGCCAGAGAAGCGTAGTACTTCATCTTTGGAGATGTGTTGAGGGGGTGGACCTGGGGTGTGGGGACGGGGAAGAACTGATGAATGCAAGAAACCGTGTTTTGGAGCCGGAAGGATTGAGTTTGACAGCTTGGCAGACTAACGGATCAAGATGAGCAAAGTTTCGGGGAACCCTTGCCAACTTTATAGTCGCGGGTTTCGCGATGCTATGGCACGAGCCGAGGAGGAGCCAAGCTATCGCGACGGTCACACTCTACCAGGTCGAGCTTGTGACGTCCATTCTCCATACCGACTGTCCGTCTAGCAGCAAACATACACACCCCCTCTCTCCCTCTCCCCGCAGCTTTTTATCTCTCCATGTTGAATAGCCCCGGAGCGGAGCGGCTTAGCGCAAAAACCAAGCTTCTTTCTTGCTTCGCCCGACACTCCGACCAAGGCTCAGAAAATTCAAGGTACCAGCTAACCAGCCCTTTTCTTTTTCTCCCCCAGCGTCAGTCATTTCAAAGTTGTCTTTAGCTCCACACCGTCGGGTCCTTTTTTCTTTCCCCTTTGGCAACGCGCACCCCAAGGTAGTGTCGCCGAGCCAGATAAATGTGGCCGAAGGCGACGCAACTGGCCGGAGGGGAGGGGGCCAAAATAGCGCCGGAGTACTTCCACATGCATAAGCCGGCTTCTAGTGAGCCAATCTAGCCGTGTGTTCTTGTTCTGCCCGCCCCCGGCGTCTCTTCTTCCCAGGATACTCCACACGCCCGAAAGAAAATTTGCGGGGTCCCCGCAGCGGGGAGGGGGAAGGGCTGTCAGACATCAATGCCAGGAACGGGATGAGGGAGAAGTAGTAGACCCAGGCCCAGCATTGTAGAAAAACCGCGCTACGACTCGAAGAGGCTACGGAGAGCTCGGTGATAAGACAAAGCAGTGTTCGAGGGCTGTCAAACTTGGATGGTGGCGCCCTCTTTTTCAATGCGAGTGATCCCTTCTTCTCTAGCGCGCATTTCCATCATGGCACTTGTGCGGGAGGGATTCCGCATCCGGTGGGTAGTGCCCGACTGGGGGTGCTTTCCCTATTTCGCTATTTCGCCCCGCACGCTTCTCGAAGAAGAAGCTCTCGATTCTTGATCGACATCAGCTTTTTTTCTTTCTTCTTTTTCCTTTTCGGAGAGAAGAGGGGAAAAGTATTCGCACCAAGTCGACCTACCTGCCGAGGAGCATGAAAATCATGGCCCATCAGCAAGCAGCTACTTCTTTTTTCTTTTCTTGCCTCTCTCCGTCTCTCTCTCTCTCCCCAAAACGGACCGATTTTTTAGGTCGTTTGAGGGAGCGTGCCCCGGCGCGATGCAACCGTGCGAGGGCCCCTCGGTGTGACGTCGCCCCACACTTTTGTCGGCGATGGGGGCGGACAGGTTGACAGGGCGCACGTGCGTTTGGTGCGCGGCAGCTGTCCTGGTTTGGGAGCGATGAAGCGAAGAGGTAGAAGGGGAAGAATGAAGGACATGGCGGAGAATGACTATCCCTGTTCTGTGGCGGCTGAGTGGAGGGTCGTGGTCGGGAGATGGAGGCAGGGAAGGAGATGAAGTGTGGAGGTGCCAAAGCCGCTTGGAGAACGGGCCCCGGAAAGGTTGGGGGAAGGGGAACGCCCCGCCAAGAATCTGGTCCAAGTCGCATGATGGCCAAATATTCTCATGGTCCGGATGCCGCTAATTCTAGAACAAGCTTGCTTGGAAGTTTAGATTATCGGGGGTGGCTCTGCCACAGGGGACCATGCTGCGACAAGTACTTGTATGGCAAGGCCACATCCGTCTATACAAGGATCGGATCGACAAATCAATTTCTGAAATAAGCCTCAAGGTTAGATCCAGTGGCGAGCTTCCCCTCTCGTAGCTTCTCCATCTTGGAGGTAGAGGCTCTGATTGACCGTCCTGAGGCAATCCGTAGTGAGGTGATGACCTCCTTGACAGCTAGATGCTCTAGCTTTCCTGTACCCCAACCATACCCCATCTATGCTAGTAAGCAATCACTCCCTCCTCTGTAGCTTGCCTCTTTCTCGCTAACCCGACTTGGAACCAGGTGCGCGTCTAGACTAAACCGCACGCCAGCACGTTCAAGCTCGGCGGCATGTTCGGACCAACACTCTGTCGCGCCATGTACAGTAGTATAATAGTGTGCATAGTTGGTATTGCCATGACACTCTAGGTGGGGCCGTGTCCTGTCAACGCCACATCTTTCTCTTCTCCGCTCCCAGCCGGTTTCGTTGCACGCATACTCGCTTACATGCTTCCCTCCAAGAAGTTTGCTCTAGAGCCGGCATGGGGCCCCGTGGGGATCATAATCTTCATCTTTGGTTTTCTTGCCTCCTCGGCCCTTCTCCGGGTGGGGGACGGGTTGGCAAATATTTTTATGACATACCTTACCTGGCTTTGACGGTTTAGTTCTGCTCACGCCTGACGGAAGAGAAGGAAACACCAAGATGAGGCATCCACAAGACAGCCTAGATGTAGAGTCAAGAACGCGTGGTCTTGATCTTGGCGCTACCCAAATACCGGCTGGGGGTAGAGCTGAGCCTAACTTTCACTTCGTGTCTATCTGGTGGCGATGCATAAAGGAGCGCGGGCGACATCCTCATGCGTGCGTCTTGCCGGACCGATTGGACTAGGCGTCTACGGTACCTACGGCGTGTCCGGTTCTTATTTCATCACTACTGCCGTGGCGATATCGTGGAGGCCTCGTGAGCTTGGTGTTCAACCCAGAATCGCCAGTCCCCCAGACCAAGCCTCGGGATTACTGCAATTTGGTGGTTTGGGGATTTGGTGGTTTGGGGACAAAAGCCGAGTTCCAGTGACTGGGAACTCAGACTGAGAACTTGAAGACCCTCGGATGGCACTGAGCCCCCGTTGAACTGAGCAAGGGCTTTGTCATTCGTGTGTCAACGCCAAATTGGAAAAGCAAGAGCTAATCTGTACTGCTTGTTCGGCTACTAACAGACGGCTGATACAGCAACAAGCTCGATTTCAGATTTGAGAAGTTTAGCGCCTCAAGAGATGGGGAGGCTCACAGAGAAGAGGAGGCCATCCGCAGAGTAAGTGTTGGCCAAGCAGACGCGGTTTAAACAGTCTGTAAGTCACTACGTGGCAGCGGCATTGGTAGGCTAGGGGAGGTATTTCGAGTGCTGTTAGCAGTGCTTCACTTGGTTTGGTGGTGGCAAAAACGGGACACGAGGGTTGGTAGCTTCTCTTGCTGGCCCAGGACTTGACATGCAGTCTCATGCTGTCCGACTAAATGCGAATGAGGCCCGCCCACTACGACCGATAGGTTTGCTTGAGCTCGGGGCTCTTCTCCCTAACAAACGATGGTGGACGTGTTCTGAAGGCAAACTCCATGGACCACTCCTAGAGCATCCATGCGTGGATGCGTGGGACAGTGGTCCAAGTAGTTTGTCTTTGGGAGCATTGAGTTTCTACCCCTACGCCGGGATATATGACGCAACCCCGCTTGGTGATGTTAGTGACTGCGGCAGTGCCCCTTGAGAAGTAATCTTTGTTGTTTATGCCATCTATGAATCTCTATGCGGTCCATCCCATCAGTTGCCTTCAAGTTATTAACCTGCCTGTTCCTTGTTTTTCTCCCTTGCAGTCGTTACTTGCTAGATGTATGCAGGTGTCATCTGAATAGCTGTCTGGAGTCTGGAGTCTGGAGTCAAATCGGGCCGTGAAACCTCGACATGTCTTGTGATCTGATTACACGAAGCTACCCTGATACAACATGTAAGGATTTGACGTAACATGACTTTGTCAGATCGTGTGGATATATTCTTTACTATCATCGTAGTGTTATTTGTCTCTTGTGCACGGAATAAATATGTCCCTCATCTTCTTAACACTTCCGACCATCAGAGCGCTCCGCGCTAACTCCCAATTTGAGAAATTAGAACGCTCACTCGTGTAGAGCAGAGATCTCCTTCAAGTCGTACTTGGAGAAGTCAACTCCTCTGATTCCGAATTAAGCCAGAAGGGATTCACAGCAATCGTGGTAACCGACGAGAATGTATGCACAGATTTCCCTCATCGACTACACCGGGTCTCTACCACGGCGGAAAGGAACATGTACGGTAAATGGCGGTAACTTGAGTTGTCTTCTTCAAAGAAATGGTGTGTTTTCTCTCCTCCTTCCCGATCACAGCAGCAGCGGTGTCGAAGACGTCAATTTCTAGAGTTCTTTGATTGGGCAGTAACACCAAAGCTGCCCTGAGTCTGGAGTCCATTCACATGCTGACTTTATTCATCTAGAAAACTCTCTCCCTCTCTCTCTACATAAATATCTCCCTCGATATATTGTAACCGTCGGCAGTTCTTCTCAGCTACACTCGGTTATGCGAGACCTACCTCGACTCACGGGCGACGGGTGCTTGCTTCTTCTCAAAGAAAAAGTCCAGCAGCCTTATTTCCACTTCGAGAATAATACAAGCAGTTCACACTTGGTAACGACATAGCCCATGACAAAAGTCCACCAAGATATTGCTTCTTCTTGCACGCTCTCCCAACCTAGAGAACTCATTGTCCATTACTCGTTTCTTTACACCGTCAAGGCGTCCGTTTCTCCTTCCGGTAGACAGACATGGTGGGCCATCCGTGCAGGCGGTCGAAATTCTATGCTGTAGATGCCATCCTTTCTAAATACACGGGGAGGTCTCTCCATATGATGTCCGACAGTCATGGATTGTAAAATATCCTGTGATGATGCAGACACTCATTCTTCAAAACTTCATAGAAATCCGGAATGATCCACGTCTCCAGTTGGCGCCAAATCTCTCCTCTGGGAAGATATCCGCTAGCTGGTCGCCGCCTCCATCCTCTCTTCCTACACCACCATGAGCCGGTCCCTCTTCGCCCTTCACGTTATCATCGAAATAACAGAAGTCTAGTCGCCCTTCTCAGTACTCGATAAGGTTTATACAGTTCTCTCGAAGATAACTTTTAAACAGGCTACCCGATGGACAATTCCAAATTCAACGTCTAGAATAGATTGGGGTCCTAGTGGCTGCCGCACGCGAGACCAAAGACGTTGTAGGACTGACTAAAGCCCTGCATCAAGGTTGTTAAGTTACATCACATGGCATGCGGCCCCTTGTCTTCAATGTTGTCTTGTTCCACTACGCTCATATTCTACATGGAAACCGGCAAGTTGGGTGTGACAAACAATGTTATGATAAACAACATGTATTTTCCATGCATACATCCATGTATAATATGGGAACTGGCTGGAAAAAGGTCACAAAGGTGGTCACTGACTTGACTTACCTGGCATCAAGTCAATCAGCAGAGGCCCTCCTGTTGCCCTGATATTCTCAACCAAAACACTCAACTGGCTTATGAAGATGGTCAATGATAAAGAAAGAAGGAAAGGTGAAGAGAGAGGCCTAAAATAGCGGATTTCAATGTTGTCTTCCGGTCTGCCTTCAATGCATACTCCAGTTGCCTCGGCAGATTCTCTTTCAATTTAGTGATCATTGATCCTTCTTGAACGGCTTCTGACTTATTTAGCTGACTTGAAAGTCAATTTGATTGGCTTCTATTTTGGCAGTCAATCGCCCCTGATTTATAGTGTACACGCTAGACTCTATTAGGAACGAGTCAATTCGCAGGCGATCGATTGACTCCTGATTGGTTTTTCCCTAACCCTGGTTCCTATGCAAAGGGACTTTGAAGGAGCCATCCTAGGGCCGTCGGGAGGCACTCGCCGGATTCAATCTCCGAAAACTGGTTGTTTAATTTTAGGACGACGGAAGGATTGAGGCCTCACACTCTCTCCTTGCCCCTCTTCCGCGCCAGTTGATGATCCCAGCCGCGAACGAACTGCATTCTTAGTTGCGAGCTTTGCTTCTTCTTTTTTCTTTTTCTCCTCCCTTTTTCCGTTCATCGCGATCCTCTCTTTCGACACACTCCTTTGCCTTCCCTTTTTCTGTCATTCCTTCACGACCGTTGGCTTTGCCCAAAAACACGCCAAGACCATGCAGTTCAAAACAATCCTCGGCGGAGCCGCGATGCTCTCCTTGTCCACCAGCGCCGCTGCCAAGTTCGGACCCGGCCTCCCCGCCGCGACCAACGCCCTCCACGAACGCCAAGCGCCGACCACCGTGCAAAAGGCGGCCAAAACAGGGGAAGACCCCTGGCAGTGCGCGACGGAGGACATCTCGCAGTACCTTGACAACGTCCCGACTCCTACCGGCAACGTCGAGGAGGCAATCAACAACTACGGCCAGTCGGTCGGCGTTGAGCCGTGCATGGCCACCGCAAAGGGCGAGGACATCTTGCGTTGCTCGATTTCCGACCCTGCGCGGTGGTGCGGCTTCACTACGGCTGCGAGTCCCGATGTTCTTTCCAGCTATTCCACCTACCTCTCCGAGGCCGTCTCGTACTGGACCGCCAACAGCGAGTCCATCTCCGCCGTGGCTACCGACTGCCCTGTTGCGTGGGGTTCGGCTGACCTGGCTGCGCAAGAATGGATCAAGATTGCCAAGGCTCATGCGGAGTGCTATCTCTCGGGCGATTCCGTGACTAAGACCGGATCGGGCACCGGGCCTACGGGGACCGGGCAGACTACCGATTCTGCGCCGACGTCGACATCGACCGATAGCGGAGCCATCTCTCCCCGCCATCAAACATTGGGAGCTCTCGCGTTGATGGGTGCTGGCCTTGCCTTGCTCGCCAATGCGGTCTAAGGAAGCGTCTCGGCCGAAAGCTCGGCATCTATCCAGAAGTGCGATATCGATACCATGCATCAAGCAACAGGCGTCTTGGGGAACACAACTGTCAACAGCTTATACTATTTAGTAAAAACGCATATTATAATGACCCGCTGCAACCGCTCATGGGAGCACTTTTCTGGATCACAAATTGTCAAAAAGCCCGCAAGTGAACAATGTTCCTCTTTCTCGAAAGGACTGGCCAGTGCCGAAGTGTGCAAGTGCAATGCGAAATGCCATAAAGACGCAATTAGAAATTGTTGCGCCTTGTGGAGCAAAACGCACGGCCCTCGAATCCCTCGCAGGGATGAGACTTGTTGGCGCGGGAACTCAAAAACTCAACGTCGATGCCTACATATGGATCGCGTGCAAAAATAGGCATGTTTCCCATGTAAAATATCACTCATGGGTAATAATAGCCGAGGACGGAGACGGGCAACCAAACTATCCCGCTAATACAATTCCGGGACGTCACGATCCTGATCCTAGAGTTAGGATCGGGGAGCCCAATCTGAGGTGGTCACAGTGAGTGTTGAGTGCCAAAGGAAGGTAGGATTGCGGGCCATCACGACCAATGGTTGCACTCCAACGGCGTCGGGCGAGCGAGTGCGAGTGGGAGAGACGAAGGACATGGAGGAGGATGGGCACAGCTTAGAATATTCAGCAGATGAGACCCGAGAATAAGCAATACATGCATGGTCTGCAAGAAGACTGTTGCCAAATCTAGTCCTGTCAATTTTGATATCATGGTCAGGGGCTTTATATGTCGAGCCCATTTCTTTAAACGGTGCAGCACCTGAACAGATTGGCCAGCCCATGCCTGGATCCATCCACATCTGAGCGGGCAAAGGGGTGTTCCATTCCGGCAAGCTGTGATGGCATCGGTTGCCTGCCCGGGAACCCCTTTTCTCCCAGCTGTTGTCATGCACGGACCGAGTGTTATCTGGCCTGAACCAAAGGGGTAATAGTTGAATTGCTGTCAATAGTTCTGCATTCGGGTGCTTCCCTGGTTGACTTGGACCCTATGTTACAGGGTTCAACTGGCAACTCCCCTTACATATGTTTTGTTAGTTGCCATGTTGGGTTGATTGGTGTGACCAAGCCAAGACTTTATTTGTACCCCCACGTCAAGGTTCGATGCCTGCCTGGATTTCATCCTCACAAAAGAACATCGATTTGATTGTGCGATAATGAATTCGACCTCAAGACTGAATTGCAGCGTGTAAGGCAGGCTCGAAGACTGTGGCTGATGAATGGACTTTTAGTACAAATGAGCGGGCTTACGGCGGCAGGTTATACGTTTTGCGACTGACGAGATTAGCATAGATCCATGGATCATTGTACGTGGAAATTGCAAGCCAGAAACTTATATAGCGCTCAGACTATGCCTGTGACTCTTGCAATATGATTACAACTCGCATCCCAGCATACCGCTGCGCTTAACTTGCGTTTCCGGCAACAAGATCGAGATCTACATAGGTTGGGCCGATGGTATCTGTTGATGGCAGCGCATTCACGATAGGGTGACGATGCACCGTGTGCGAAGTCGGAGATTGACGCAACTCAGCGGTGGCGAGTAAAACTTAAAAGATCGGTTTTGGAGGAAGTGGCTTGGGACAAGAACATCATGACGTCAGGGGAATAAGCCAACTATCAGAACTGGCGAGATATCACCTTTTCAACGAGGAGAACACCGCACCTCTTTGCAAAGAAGCAAGAGCCGAAAGTCCAAGAAACAGTAGAGAACCGAAGCAATCGAGAAAACAATGGTCGAGACACGAAGTCATCAATACGGTGGCACCGATGCCCAAGAGGCTTCAAGGCCCAAAAGCCCACCCTCAAAGAAAGCCACGGACAAACGCGAGAGCGAAATGCCGCAAAAGCGATCGCTACCAGACGCAGGAGCGCGGGAGGATGGCAAAGTGAACACCGATGAAAAGGGGGTTCACCGAAACGGAGGAGGCGAAGTAGTGGTGGCGGCCACAAAAAGCTGCAAGAGACACACTCTGAATCTACGGGCGCCGGAGACTTGAAAGAGCTTGCGAACCGGGTCCTGGACAAGTATGGGGACAAGCCACTTGAGGACCTCGTGGACGAGGGCTGGCCTGAGGGCAAGATGGTCATGGCGCACATTCTCAACGCCATGCTCTCGTCGGCGCGCATCTCCCACGATATCGCGAGGTCTTCGCTCAAGGCACTGCTCGATGCGGGATACGAAGACCTCGAGACGCTACATAAGTCGACGTGGGAGGAGAGGACCGAGGTGTTGACGAAGGGGGCTACAAGAGGTATCGTGAGAGGATGGCGAATTTTCTAGGAGACTTGATGGAGCTGATGAAGGAAAAATATGGTAGAGTGATCTGCTTCGCTTCACCTAAACCTTTACTATAAGTCAGAGACTAACGGTACTTTCAATTCTAGATGACGATGCGGCGCGAATCCTCCCTTCAAAAGGGGACAAGGAGGAGACGAAGCCGTGAAACCAGACCTCGCTGCGGAGCTAAAGGAGATCAAGGGACTAGGCCCACTCGGCGTCGACATTTGCATGGGCTCGATGCAAGGCTACTTTCCCGAGGTGGCGCCGTTCCTGGACCAGCGTAGCCTCGAGACGGCGAGGAAGGTCGGGTTGGGGGATGACGTGGAGGCCATGTTTGAGGCGCTGGGGTCCGATGCGCAGGCCATGGCCCGGTTAGAGGTTGGGCTGACTACGGTTCGGTTCGAGAAGAGGGAGGGGAATTCGCGCCGGTGGGGGCCTGAAAGGGCGAGGAAGTCCCCTTGGCAATGTAGGTGACAGGGGTTGATGGGGGTTGTTTAGTCCATGTGTGGGCTTCAGCCCTACGGGGACGGGCGTGCTTGCCACCGTCGATGTCACCATGTTGAAAAAGAGATTGTACTGGTCAGGCCTAAACCGGCCGGGCCGACGCTTGAGGTTCTTCCTTTCCCGCGCGCCTCTTTCATAGGCCAACCGCTGGATGGCAACCGCTGATGGCAACCGCTGATGGCTGCACATTAATGACCCGTCACTATTTTCCACATGTTCCTGCAGGGTCCTACGGCAGTTACCCGGTTGAAACCACTATAAACAGGATAGATACAGCCGGTGAGATCTGTGTCACTAGTCTTGCACAGTGAGTCTAGAGCCTTGAGCGGTCGGCACCTTGCGGCGCTTTAGGTTCCAAGCACTCCATCCAGTACATGGACGAGGTGCTGGCTTCCACTTGGTTGGGGCGTTGGTCCCAAGTACCGGGGAACGCGCCGCACATCTCGACGCCTCTAAACCCGCCGACCACGACGAGAGGGCAAACACAATCAACGCCCCGAGAGAAAAGTTAGAATTCTTCTCGAAGGGAGCATGGTCCTAGAACCTCGGAAACGTTCCTTCTTTGCTTCTAGTGCGTGTACGCTACCGTTCGGGGCGGGCGTGAAGTAAACTTTGCCACGCGTGAGGTCAAGTGAGACAAGGGTACAAATCTAACTAGGGAGGTCTCTGCCATTGGTTCGTACGAGACCCCTTTTCGAAGAAAAGATACATCAATGTATTTGAGAAAGGATGAAGGACAGGAAAGAGGGAAAAAAGAAAAAGGTACGCTTGGTCTCCGTCATACTGTGCCTCTGTGTGACGCCCATATACATCAAGGCCTCGTACCTTTTTCGAGACCCTTCGACGGCAGGGTTCAGATTACCCCACATAATAACGCCACATGGAAAGCGGAAAGCGCGCAGGGAGGAAAACCTTGTTCGCCACATTCTGGACCGAGTATTTTCTCTCTGGCTCTGGCGCTGACTGAACTCCTTCTTTTCGCCCTCCTCGAATAACGAGGCACGGGGGTTAGCACGCAGCCACGCCCTGGAATGGCCAAGCGCGTGTACTTGCTGTATCTAGACGAGGAGAAGCAGGTGATGTGGCGTTCCGCCGGTTCCGGACTCCCTCATTAGGGGTCTTGTGCGAGGGAGTGTGGGTGAAGTGGAGGGTGGAAGGGTGGAAGGGGGGACAAAGGAAGGAAGACGGAAGGGCAAAGGGCCCAGGGGGTCGCGTAGCTTCCCCTACGACCCTTCCCAGCTCTGGTGGGGCCATGGGGATAAACGCGCCGAGAAGGACCGTTGGTTGTGGCTTGCTGACGGCGGCGGTAGGGCTGGAAGGTTTATGCAACGCGCCATTGAGGTCAAGGGCCCTGCATTTTCGTACGTCTTGTCACCTGAGGGGAGCTTGCTAAAGGGGATCGAATCGTGACTATTGCTTCCATGGGGTCCCTTCCGTCACCGCCATGCCGGATTCTATGTCTTTTGAGCAGGCCATGGAGGCGGAAAGGAGCGGAGATGGGGGTTGAACGGGCTGAGATGGAAAGGGGGAGGGGAATCCCGTGTTCACGATGGCTTCAAATTTGCCCCCTCTTTTGCGATTGTGCATGGTTACTACATGTATGCCCGTCCCCTCTTTGATCCATCCTAATCTCCGTCTTTCCTATCACAAGGGCTGATAAAAAGAGCAAGAGAAAGAAAGGGAGGCGACACAAGGCAAATGTCATCATGGCACGCGCGTGGGGCTTCTTGACATAGGTATTACTCAACACCGTGACCCTGGGCCAAAGTCGCATGCAGGTCGACACCCCACGCAGGGATATATTAGTTTCTCCATCGTGATCCTGGTCACCTTGGACGAATGGGTGGCGGCAAGTTGAGACCCATGGGGAAAGCAACAGAAAATTCAACAGGAGGCACAGACAACTAATTCTTTTTTCTCTTTTTCGCTGGGAGCAAGTAGCAGGCACACGACGGCAACGTTGGATCAAGCGCGAGTGGGGATGAACCCGGGAACTTGGGCGGGTCCGAGGAAGAAGTTTGCCAAGAGGGGGAGCAGGGGAGCTAGGTGGCTAGAGGAGGCGAAACGCAAATAACATCATGGTTTCGATGAAGCCGTGAGAAATATGGGGCTCCCGGGGAATTTCGCGGCTTGAAACATGTCACTTTTACATGTGGGTTGGGTGGCGGAGGTACTAGTTGAAGGTCTTGGAGGGGGGCTGGTACCAAGCTCCGGGTCTAGAGCTCTTTGGGTGCCGCCGCGGTCGAAGGTGGCTTGCTGGGCGAGCTCCGAGGGGTTTCGGCGTGCAGGCTAGAGACGGACAAGAGGCAGAAGATGAAGAGGGAAAAAATGAAGGAAGGAGGGGCAATGGAAAGAAGACGAGGGCAAACTACAGAAAGGAATGGCACAAAACGAGTGGTAGAAAAAGCGAGGGAGATAGGCGGAAAAGATTCGTATGGTTGTTTGGCCGGAGTAATTATCGGAGGCCGGCAACTGACGTCACATCTCCGTGGGCCGGTGGTTTCGCCGCAGGCAAGTGGGAATGTATCTTTTTATCAATAGCTTGGAAATAAACCCCCACTCTCGGTTTAGCAAAGTGAAATGGAAAAAAAAAAAAAGAAAACTAGAAAAGAAAGAAAAGGAACATGGGAAGGATGCCAGTAAAGAGAAAAAGAAAAAGACGGGCAGTGAGTGTACTCCGTGGATGGGGCACCGCTTCATACCGTCATATCACGATATCAGACAAAAGCCCGGTTGTGGAGGGACAGTGACGGAGCAAGCGGTCGTAGCCCAGCACCAACAAGGTCAAGGAACAGGGATACAGACGGAAGAGTCACCCCACCTGACCCGACCCGGGACCAGGTACCGAGCCACAATGTACTCCGCACCCCGACAATCCTTGCGTCAAGGCACGTAAGAGACGAGGGCAAACCAAGACAAAGTAACTGGACAGACGGGACAAAAAGAAACGGAAAGAAAAAAAGAAAAAAGTTAGCGGCGCCGACGGGCGCTTGCTAGAGTGTGGTGCCCAGACTCAAGTTGTGCGCCCCCGTAACTAATTAGTCACGTACTTGTATCGTACCTTTCTCGGGAAAGGATCCTCGGCCAGACACTAAAGGGCAAAAGGAGGGAGGAGGATTGTGGGTGGCGTCGTCGAGTCGTCGACAATGGCCGGCGGTGGAGCGCCCCCTGCTCGGATCCTCCGTTTTAAAAAGGGCTCCGACGAAGCTCCCGGCTTGAGCTCGAGGACCCTGGATTCTTTGACCAAGACCATTTTTCTTTCCTTTTTCATCTTGTTTCCCTGTCCCCTTTTTTTATTGGAGAAACATCGCAAACGTGTACGCGACAAAACACACGGAAATTCCTTTACCGTTACCCACCCCCGCCACCAACACCCCTCTTCCGTTGCTTGTGGCACCCACGAAGCAGAGTATATAACTCGCTGCCCCTCCTCTCTCCCTTTCTTTGCTGGTCGCACCGCGAGCTCGAGTCTCTGTTTTTTCCCTTCCTCCCTTTCGACTCGCTTCCGCTACCTTACGGCCTAGCTTATACCACGAGTCTCGCGAGTTCCTCCCCCTCCGCGGCTCGCACCGTTTCTTCTTCCCCCCTCGTTCTCTACCCCTCACACATCACAAAAACCACCATACACCATGACGCAAACCGCCCACCTCTCCAACGGCACCAACGGTGTCGCCAACGGCACCAACGGTGTCGCCAACGGCACCAATGGCGCGAACGGAAGCAACGGCGTCGCGCAAGCCGCCAGCGGCGTAGCGGATAGCATCGCCAACGGCTTTTCCGACTTCGCCAACAGCGTCGCCAACGGCGTATCCAACGTCGCCAACAACAACAAGCCCCGCGCCAACAGCCTCACGGCCGACGGCAGCATCGTAATATCGGCAGCCGACCGCACCTGGTGGAAAGAAGCCGTGATTTACCAAATCTACCCTTCCTCGTTTTGCGACACCGACGGCGACGGCATCGGCAACATCAACGGCGTGACGTCCAAGCTCGACTACCTCAAGGAGCTGGGCGTCGACGTGGTGTGGCTGACGCCCATCTACGAGAGCCCGCAAAAGGACATGGGCTACGACATCTCCAACTACCGCGCCATCCACAAGCCCTACGGCACCATGGAAGACGTGGAGAACCTCATCGCCGAGCTTAAGAAGCGCGAGATGCGCCTCATCATGGACCTCGTCGTCAACCACACCTCGGACCAGCACCCCTTCTTCGTCGAGTCCCGCTCCTCCACCGACAACCCCAAGCGCGACTGGTACATTTGGCGCAAGCCCCGCTACGACGCCCAGGGCGTGCCCCGTCCCCCAACAACTGGGCCTGCATCCTCGACGAGGCCAACTCCGCCTGGACCTACGACGAGACCACCCAGCAGTACTACCTCTCCCTCTTCACCCCGTTCCAGCCCGATCTCAACTGGGAGAACCCCGCCGTGCGCCGCGGCGTGCACGACATCCTGCGCTTCTGGATCGACAAGGGCGTCGGCGGCTTCCGCATGGACGTCATCAACCTCATCTCCAAGAACCAGGATTTCGCCGACGCCGACATCGTCTACCCCGCCCGCCCTTACCAGTGCGGCAGCAAGCACTTCGCCACGGGGCCTCGCCTCACCGAGTACCTGCAGGAGATGAAGCGCGAGGTCCTGTCCAAGCACGACCTGCTCACCGTGGGCGAGATGCCCTTCATCAAGGACGAGAACCAGATTCTCGAAATCGTCAAGGCCGAGGAGGGCTCCTAAACATGATCTTCACCTTTGACCTCATGTCCCTCGACGACGTGCCCGGCGAGACCAAGTTCTCCTACCGGCCGTGGAACGTGCGCGATCTCAGCCAAATCATCGAAAAGATGCGCCGCGTCATCACCCGCCGCGGCTGGAAGACGCTGTACCTCGAGAACCACGACCAGCCCCGCTCCGTCTCGCGCTTCTGCGACGACTCGGACGAGCACCGCCTCGCCGGCACCAAGCTCCTCTGCATCATGCAAACCACCCTCACGGGCACCCTCTACGTCTACCAGGGCGAGGAGCTCGGCATGCGCAACGTGCCCGCCTCGTGGCCCGCCGAGGAGTACAAGGACATCGAGTCCGTCAACTACTGGAAGTACATCACCCACAAGTACCCCGAGGGTGCTCCCGAGCGCGAGCGCGCCCGCCTCTTCATGCGCCGCAAGGCCGCGACAACTCCCGCACCCCCATGCAGTGGGATTCCACGGCGCCCAACGCCGGCTTCTGTCCCCGACGTCAAGCCCTGGATGCGCGTCAACGACGACTACCCCGAGTTCAACGCCGAGGTCCAGCGCCGGCCTGAGCCCGCCACCGACGCTTGCAACAACGTGTCCCCCTACCGCTTCTGGCAGCGCGCTCTGCAGATCCGCAAGGAGCACGTCGAGCTCTTCTTCTACGGCGAGTTCGACGTCATCAAGAATACCCACCCCAACGTCTTTGCCTTTAAGCGCAAGGGCGGCGATGAGGTCTCCGTCACCATTCTCAACTTTAGCGGTGGTGAGGCCGAGTTCAAGTTCCCCGATGGTTTCGTTATTCATACCTGGTTGCTCGGAAGCTACGATGCCGAGTCTACCAAGAAGGCTAAGAAGGGCACCATTATCCTCAAGCCTTGGGAGGGTCTGCTCGGTGTTGGAAGGTGGGATGCGCAGCAATAAGCACAGTGGTATCCTGGGAAATATGAGTGATGTCTTTTCTTTTTCTTATTCTTTCTCGCATCTTTTTCTGGGTTTGAGTATGTTGGTCATGGTATATTTGCGATGTGTATGGAAACTCCATCCAAATTGTCACGGAAATGCTTTTTTATTTCTTTACGATTTTTCTTTGCAGAAAAGAAAAAAAGGGGAGCATATCATAGACTGGGTTGCATTTCTTTAAAAAAAAATTTCACACAAGTCCAATTGATGGTCCAAATTATTTCATAGCTTTAATTCTCTTATCGCTAATATGTGCGATGACGTCTTGCGTGACATATCCCCTTGTCCCCTTGCCATGTCCAAGTCTACAATACCTCAATCGATACGGGCGCATCGCCGTCAATGCTTCGGCCCGCCTCAGAAATTGTAAAATCGCCCTTCAACACCAAAGTCCCCGTGACTTTACCATCCGCGTCCACAACCAACTCTCCCAGGGCCTCGCCCTCGTTGCTGACCACGGCGGCCTTGGCTCCCGGCTGCGTCTGGTACAGGCACACCTCGACATCCTCGGCGTAGTCGTACCCCACGCCCGAGACGCCGCGCTTGCCGAGGACGAGGACGGTGTTCTCGCGGACGTACAGCGGGAGGGAGCCAAAGTCGTGCCTCTCCCGGAACCAGCCCGGGCCCGATTTCACCTCGTTGGTGAAGAACGAGGTCCAGCGGCCCCGGGGCAGGTAGAAGTCGACCTCGCCCGACTCCTCGAACACGGGCGCCGCCAGCAGCTGGGACCCGAGCATGAACTGGCGGTCGAGGTACCACGCCGTCGGGTCCTCGGGGAACTCGAGGGCAACGGCGCGCAGCGACAGCGGGATACCGCCGGCGACGGACTCCTCGGCCTGCGCCATGATGTAAGGCATCAGCCGGTTCTTGAGCGCCGCCCACTTGGCCAGCGTCCGCGAGCACCCTTGCTCCCCGGCGTCGTCCTCGTCCACGAGCCAGGGCACGCGGTACGAGTTGCTCCCGTGCAAGCGGCTGTGGCTGCACAGCAGACCCATGGCCACCCACCGCTTGTAGATCCAGGGCGGCGGGTAGCCCTCGAAGCCGCCAATGTCGCAGCTCCAAAGGAAAACCCGCTCACGCCGAGGGACAGGCCGCCGCGCACGCTCTCGGCGAGGGCCTCGGGCGTGGACTCGCAGTCGCCGCCCCACTGCAGGGGAAACCGCTGGCAGCCGGCGGTGGCGGACCGCGCGAAGACGACGGCCTGCTCGGGGCCGAAGCGCGCCTGCAGGGCCTCGTACACGATGCGGTTGTACTCGAACGAGTACCAGTTGTGCATCTTGTCCGGGTCGACGGCGGCGTCGAACCACTGCACGTCTTGCGTGGGGATGCGCTCGCCGAAATCGGTCTTGAGCGCGTCGACGCCCTTGTCGAACAGGCCGTTGAGGCAGCCCACGTACCACGCCACGGCGTCCGGGTTGGTGATGTCCACGAGGCCCATGCCCGCCTGCCAGAGGTCCCACTGCCACACGTCGCCGTTCTTGCGCTTGAGGAGGTAGCCCCGGGCCGCGGCGTGGGCGAAGGCGGCGCCGTGCTGCGCGATGTAGGGGTTGATCCAGACGCATACTTTCTTGCAGAGCCCGCTGGCCTTGAGGCGGCTGATTTGGCCCTGCGGGTCCGGGAACCGCTCCGAGTCGAAGACGAAGTCGGTCCAGGCGAACGCCTTCATCCAGAAGCAGTCGTAGTGGAACACGTCGACGGGTGCGCCGCGGTCCCGCATGCCCTCGAGAAACGAGTTGACCGTCGCCTCGTCGTAGTTGGTCGTGAAGCTCGTCGTCAGCCACAAGCCGAAACTCCAGCTGGGCACGCGGTTCGCCCGCCCCGTGAGCACGGCGTACCGCGCCAGCACGTCCTTGGGCCGCGGCCCGTAGATGATGTACATCTTCAGTCGCTGGCTGCGCACCGTCGTCTGCACGCGGCAGCACCGCTCGCTGCCGACTTCCATCTCCACGCGGCCCGTCGTGTCGATGAAGACGCCGTACCCCTTGCTGCTGAGCCAAAACGGCACGTTCTTATACGCCTGGTCGCTCGACGTGCCCCCGTCCGCGTTCCACAGCGTCACGGCCTGGCCGACTTTATTCCACGCCCCGAACCGCTCGCCCAGCCCGTGCACCGACTCGCCGACCGCGAGGTTCGTCTGCAAAAACATGTAGTGCGCAAAGTCCCGCATGTCGCCCGTCTGCATCGGCGTGCTCGGCGCGGGCGTGTACGCGAACCCCGCGCTGCGGTGGCCCAGGCTCGTCACCTGCCGCGCGGGGTCCGCGGCGCTGTGGAATCGCAGGTCAAACGTGTGCGGGTCCGGGTGCACCGTCACCGCGAGCGCGCCCGAGGCCAGCGTCGTGCCCGCGGGGCCGCGCGTGATCGTGCCGACGGTGTCCGCGGCCGCGTCGGGCCTGCCCGCGGGGAAGAGGTCGAAGTGGGGGCCCTTGTTCTGCGCGCCGGCCCAGTGCGTGGCCTCGACGGAGATGACGCCGTCGAACTCGGCGCGCAGGTCCACCGTCACCGTCGGCTGGTTGAGGGTGTCGCCCCGGCTCTTGATGTTCTTGGTCGGGCACAGTAGGCTGAGGGCGCGCTGGTCCTCGCTGGGCGTGATCTCGTACACGTTTTCGGCGTACTCGACGCGAAAGTTTTCGGCCGTGAGCCACATGCCATCTCGGAGGCGGACCATGGCTTCGGATATCTTCTGGTTCGTCTTCTTCTTTCCTTTGGGTCGCGTTTGTCGTGCGGCTCTTGCACTTAATATGAGGGGACAAGGTGTGTAGTGTAGCTATATTAATTGGATGAGACGGCACGGTAGTTTAAAAAAGCTTGACTTATCCGTCCTTTTTCGACCTTTCGTCAAAGCTATTCCCCAAGACAAAGACGAACCAAATTTGGAGAAAAATAGTATATATACGCTCTCGAAATGATACACCCTTGTCTCGTTTCCCCTCACTAGCTCAAGGATCACGGAGCACACTGCACCGTTACCGTTTTGTTTTATTTTACAAGCGCACCAGTCGCTGGCGTTGCTCTCCAACGTGCGTGGGGAAGACACTGGAAAACTAGCGGCCTTGCTACTGCAGCGAACCCCCGCATGCTAAGTGGACCTTGAGCGGGGATTATGGCCGATCACGTCCCCGGATTCCGGTCCGGCGTGCCGTTTTTTGTTCACGCCTGCCTCGGTGATCGGGATCATGCAGCACGCCGAAAGGAGGTAAGCAAGGGAAACGACACTCCGGATATCTTCACTTGGTTAAGGTAGGGATGATAAGAGATAGTGTGGGGCTTATCGCTCTCATCGGTGTTAAAGGGTCGAGGTCAATCAGTATACTGCTGTGGGAATCGTACGTCGCAACATAACAACGTATACATTTATGAGAATACCAGTAACAAAAGGACGACATGTCCTCAAGTGCGGTACGTACAATCGCCGGGCCTGCCACGGCTACTCCTTGTGCTCTGGAGGTCTCAAGTCGCCGCCCTGCGTCATGAGCCAATCCCGCTCGTCATTCTCCACAAGCTTCTGCTCGACTACCTCAACCTTGTCAGCCGCCTTAATCTTCAGCCCGGCGCACCGCGCAATGAACTCGCACAACATCTCCTCGGCTTCCATCGGATTCTGCATCAGGGCGTGGTTGTCGCCCTCGAACAAGTGAATCTTCCTATCGCCCTCCTCACCGTACGCATAGTACAGCTGCTGGGAGCACCGCGGGCTCAACGTACGGTCCGCCGTTCCGTGCAACAGCAGCAGGGGCCGTGGGGCGAGGTGTCGGATACCTTTCGTCTCTGCCGTTTGGCTCGCGACGGTGGCGCACGCAATAACGCTGCGGCCGTACTCGTCGTCGGCGCCGGAAACTGTGAAGACGGGGGCGCCGCCAAAGGACCAACCAACCAGGATAAACCTCTCGATGCCGTACATGTCGCGCAAGAAGGCCATGGCGGCGCGCACGTCCTCCACGCAGTACCTATTATAGGCAGGGAAGCGGTAGTCGAGGCGCAAGATCGGCACGCCCTCACCCAGGGTGGCGAGCTTGCACGCGAGGAAAGGTAGATGCCGCTCGGACCCGTGAGCCCGCCGCCCGCGCCCGAAAGGAGGATGGCAGCGACGCGGTGGTGCGTGGTCGGGGTGTGCACGAAGCTCGGAGGAAGGTGCAGGAATGCGGGGCGGTGCCGTCGTCGCCGACTTGGATGCTAAGGGGCTCGACGTGGGCTTCTCGCTTCGCGCCGGACTTGAGGCGGTTGAGATGCGGTGGGTGGACAACGTCGGGGTAGGCCTCGATGGAGGTGGGATGGGCGTCGGGCGGGGCCGGCCGGCCGCGGAGAGGGATGAGTGGATCGTCATAGTTTGACAGGAGCAAGAGAGCCTTAAAGGTTCGGTGTGAGAAAGGACCGGAGCTATGGAGTCACTAGAGGAATGCAATATTGGGGAAAGAGTGAGGAATTGGCCACCTTGAATTTTCACGGTGAAAAGTGTAGGGCCTTGGTGCCTTTAGACAGTGATGCCTGCTCGACGTAACTCGTCAATGCCCGTGTCACCATCCATATGTCATAGCCAGACGCGGAGTGCACAAGACGTCTGGTATGCCATGGAGTGTAACTTTGGCATTTGTTGCCACCAAATCTGGATGGAAATATACATCCATGGCCACAGCCTGCCTACTCACATAGCCAGACCAGGCTCCCACTTCCCCCGCTTTGTGGCTGGGCAGCGCTGCCAAACTTCCATGGGCTTTCATGCTTCTGTCAAACTCCGCATGGTGCGCCAAGGTATACGACCTCGGTGGGCTACAGTTTAGAAGTTGGTTGGCTTGTATGTTCAAATCGCTGGAGATTGCTCTCACCTTGATTCAGTCGCATGGACGATATGAGCAGAGAATGGTATGGATAACGGCGACGCCGGCGATGCCAGCATGAAAAAAGCCACTATATAAATAATATTGAAGCCATTTATTACCATTCCCAACGCTTCATGCCTGTATTCTCGGAATTCCGGTTGGATCTCAAGCAGGGCTCCACGGTAGGCTTAGCGCAAGCGTAAGGGGTAAGAAGTCTCCCCTTGGCCAAAGAAAGCGGCAGTTGCCGTTCTCTATTACCTTGACTCGTAGACTCTCTCTCTCAAGCCATTTCGACCCGCGAATCAAAGCAAGAACAAACCTGATCATGTCGGTGTGGGGGATGGCGGGGTTCATGATAACCTCCTTCATGACATATTGGTTTGGTCCTATTCGCCAACTAAGAAACTCAAACATATCTTCCCCAAACACATGTCTTGGTCGCAGCAGAAATTGTTAGTCTTCCCTAGAAGAATTCATACACGCCCCTGAGACATAAGAACGATGGGGCCAGTCTCGTCTGATTGAACTGATTGACGTCACAAATTGTCCGACGCAGCTTTCTTCACTCACTCCTGCTTGACCATGCGCAACTATCAGCTAGCGAGTTACTTGCCTCTTGGATATATTCCATTGTGATGGTAAGCTCCCCATGTCTCCCACTGTCTGCATGAGAGTAAAAAGCCTCAATTTTGTCGGAGTTGCCCAAAGTCACGTCCCTCGTCTCTCCTGGTCATCATCTTCTACTATCCGCGGGTTCGTTGGCAGGGCCCTTCTCCCATATCCCTACGATCCTCAGACTCGCGTAACAGTAGAGTACCCGCCAGCCCATCAAAAGCGAGGCCTTGCCACAATGTGTTCCCACGCCAATCTCAAACACCAGCCCGTCGAGGCGCTGCTCACACGCTCGGCCACCTTTCTTGTCCTCACAATCACCGACAAACCCGAAGCGATCGATACCGTGCGTTCGACCCTATCAGGCTTAGATAGCCTTTTGAAGAACGTCTCCATGCGCGACCCTGGTGCGGCGCTCACCTGCATCGTCGGTATCGGCAGCAACGCCTGGGACAAGGTGACGGGTCTTCCACGACCTGCGGAACTGCATCCCTTCAAAGAGTTTGAAGGTGCCAAGCACAAGGCCATATCCACCCCCGGCGACCTACTCTTCCACATACGATCCGAGCGCAGGGATATCTGCTTCGAGTTCGAGAGGCAGCTGCTCGCGAAACTGGGCGACGCGACCAAGGTGGAGGACGAAACAGTAGGATTTCGATACTTTGACCTACGAGACCTCTTGGGCTTTGTTGATGGGACGGCGAACCCCGTGGGCTCCGTTGTGGACGAGTCTGTCCTCGTCGCCGAAGAGGATCCCAAAGCCATCGGTGGAAGCTACATCGTGGTGCAAAAGTACACACATGACCTGAAAACATGGGGCGAGCTCTCCACCGAGGCGCAGGAGGCCATCATTGGTCGTACGAAGCTGGAAAACATTGAGCTTGACGACGCCGAATCCGGCCAGCGGTCGCACAAAACGTTGTCGACGATTGAGACGGAGGACGGGGAAGAGTTTGACATCCTGCGCGATAATATGCCGTTTGGGTCACCCGGCTCCGGAGAGTTTGGAACGTACTTTATCGGATACTCGAGGAGGCTATGGGTCATTGAGAAAATGATGGAGAGAATGTTTGTCGGCGAGCCTCCTGGTCTGCACGACCAAATATTGGATTATTCGACGCCCAAAACGGGGACCACGTTTTTCGCTCCCTCTACCAAGATTTTACAAAGTCTATAGATTACATGTATCTACGGTTCGGAGTCGCTGTGTGATTTCTAATACAGTAATGGTATACTTGAGAGAGAGTACCGGTATCAACTTTCTAGTCGTAGACGCGATATTGAAAACGTAAAGCCTTTTGAACTAATAGTGAGCTAAAAATTACCATTACATACACAAACAAAGGAAACAGAAACAAAAACAGAAAAAGAAATGAGATACATGATGAAAAATTGACAAAGGAAAGACGAAATCAACAGGGCCGCATTCCGAGTAGCATACATCAATAATATGAAAACAAATCCATCAAGTCATGACACGACACATCATAATCTCATACTGAATTCTTCTCTTACTCCTTCTTCTTTCCGTTTCGGGTCTTGCCCGTCAAGGCATCGACGACGCCGCCGATTCCAAGGCCCTTGAGGACGTTGGTCAAGCCGAGACCGCCGAGGATGTTGTGCACGAGACCACCGAGGCCGAGGCCGCTGAGGAGGCGACCCACGAGCTCGAGGACACCGTTGAGGAGCAGGCCGACGGCCGCCAGGATCTGGAAGAGAGGCTCGGTAAGGAGGCCCCAGAGGGGTTGAGCTCCTTCTTGGCGTGAGGCATGCCCTCGATCTTGCGCTTGGCGTTGTCGATGCATTCGGTGACGGTGCCAGTGAGCTGTGAAACATGTTAGTATAGGTACTATCTTGGAAAGAAGGGGAAAACTCTTGAAAAAGCTTACCTCCTTGAGAACATCGGCAAGGTGGAACTCTTCGGGAGAGGCGTCACGGGTAGCAGACTTGTGCTTGGCGTTGGCCTGGATATGGCCATCGGGGTCGAGGCCACGGATGATGCCGTTGGCCTCCTGGAGGATAGCGTGGCCCTCCTCGATCAAAGGCTTGACCTCCTTGACCAGGCCCTCCTCATCAAGGTCCTCCTTGGGGGTGCGCTCGGCCGCCTCGATCTTTTGGGTAATCATCTTGCAGATGGGCTTGATCCTGTCGAGGCACTGCGTGAGGCACGCCGCCATCTGCTTGGCGAGCTTCTTGTCCTTTGCGTCCTCCTCGCGCTTCTGCTTCTCCTCGGGCGACTCGGTCTCGACCGGCTCGGGCTCGGGCTCGGCAGGGATATCCTCGAGCAGAGAAACGTGTCCAATGGTGCGGCCCTTGCTGTCGACGACATCGCCGTCGCCATCAATCTCCTTGCCCGAGCAAATGCTCAGCTCGCCCGACGTGAGCTTGCCGATGATGTTGCCGTCGGTGTCGACGACGTTGCCCTCGCGGTTGACCTTGCGGCCCTCGAGCGGGTTCTTGGTCTTTTCGACCTCGGGCTCCTCCCAGCGCTCGGCCTTGCCGAGGCTGTTGCCGTTGCGGTCGAGCACGTCGCCGTCCTCGTCGACACTGCGGCCAAAGAGCGTCTTGGCGTCGCCCTTGATCAGGCGGCCGACCACGTCGCCGCCGGGCGTCACGACCTTGCCCTCCTTGGTCACGGTGCAGCCGGGGAGCTCGGCAAAGGGGCCCTCCTTGAGACCCTCGCGCTCGCCCTCGGGCACGAGCTCGGCGCGACCAATGATGTCGCCCGCCTCGCTGCGCACGTTGCCCTCCTTGTCGCACATGCGACCCGCGAGGCCCTTGGCGTCGCCCTCGACGAGTCGGCCAAAGATGGTGCCGCTCGTGTCGACCACGTTGCCGAGCTTGTTGACGCGCTTGCCCGCGAGGGCGGAGCGGTCGATGATTTTCTCGGGCTCGGGCTCGGGCTCCTCTTCCTCCCAGCGCTCGGCCTTGCCGAGCACGTTGCCGGAGCTGTCGAGGATCTCGCCGTCGGGGTCGACCTTCTTGCCCTTGAGCTTCTTGGCGTCGCCCTCGATCAGGCGGCCCACGGTCTCGCCGTTGGAAGTGACGATGCCCTTGGGTCCGACGATGGCGTCGGGGAAGTCCTCGAAGGGCGAGGGCTCCTTGACGTCTTCGGGATCCACGGGCTCGGCCTTGCCGATGACCTTGCCGGCGTCGTTCCAGATCTCGCCGTTCTCATCCGTCTTGCGGCCGATGAGGTGGCGAAGAGCGCCCTCGATGACGTGACCCACTACTCGACCGCGGTGGTCCACGACATTGCCGAGCTTGTTGACCTTGGCGTCCTTGAGAGCGGAAAAGTCGACCTTCTCGGGCTCAGCCTCGGGCTCGGGCTCGTCACCCTCCCAACGCTCGGCCTTGCCGATCACGTTACCGGAGCGGTCGAGGATATCACCGTCCTCGTCTACCTTCTTGCCCGCGAGCTTCTTGGCATCTCCCTCGATCACGCGACCGATGAGCTTGCCCTCAAAGGTGATGGTGCCGTCGGATTCAACGACCGCATCGGGGAAGTCCTCAAAGGGGAGGGTTCCTTGGTCTCCTCGGGATCACTGGGCTCGGCGCGGCCAATGATCTTGCCGGAGTCGTTCCAGATCTCGCCGTTGTCGTCAATCTTGCGGCCGACGAGGTTCTTGAGAGCACCCTCGACAATGTGGCCAACTACGCGGCCGCGGTCGTCGACCACGTTGCCGATCTTGTTGACCTTGGCGCCCTTGAGAACCGACAGGTCGACCTTCTCGGGCTCGGCCTCAGGCTCGGGCTCATCACCCTCCCAGCGCTCGGCCTTGCCAATGTTGTTTCCAGAGCGATCAAGGATGTCGCCGTCCTTGTCGACCTTCTTTCCCGCCAGCTTCTTCGCGTCGCCCTCGATCACGCGGCCGACGAGCCTGCCCTCAAAGGTGACGGTGCCGTCACTCTCCACCACGGCATCGGGGAAGTCGTCAAAGGGGCCGGATTCTTCCTCCTCCTCTACGGCCTCGTTGGGCTCGACGCGGCCAATGACCTTGCCCGAGTCGTTCCAGACATCGCCGTTCTCGTCAATCTTGCGGCCGATGAGGCTCTTGATGGAACCTTCAATCACGTGGCCCACAACGCTGCCGCTCTCGTCCACGACGTTTCCGCCCTTGTTGACCTTGCCACCCTTGAGGAGCGAAAAGTCGAGCTTCTTGCCCTCGCCTTCCACGGCGTCGGTGGCGGCGTCGGTGGGGGCATCAGTGGGAGCATCAGTGGGGGCATCGCTGGCAGCGACGCCCGGCTTGGCGTTGGTGGCAGAATCTGAGGGCGATATGCTGCCGGCATCCGTCACAGCGTCGGCAGGCTTGTCACCGAGATCCGAAGAGGGCTTCTCGGTAGTTTCAGAAGGAGCAGTCTTCTGGGAGGTCTCGTCAACGTTATCCAATTCCGTTTCGGTGGGCTTTTCGGTTGTTTCCGACACAGCGGGCTTTTCGGACGTTTCCGATGCAGCAGGCTTCTCGGACGTTTCCGACGCAGTGGGCTTCTCAGAAATAATAGAAGAAGCAGCCTCTTTGGACACATCGGCAGGCTTATCCGAGGTCACGGAGGGCGCAGCCTTCTCGTCGGACTGATCAGAAGGCGGGGTGATGTCGCCCTTGGAGACGTCGGACTGAGTCTTGTCGGATGGTACGTCGTCGTCGTCATCCTTGATAGGCTCCGGCTCCACTTCTGCCAGCTTGTCGTCGACCTTGTCGTCGGCCTTGTCGTCGACCTTGTTGTCGGGCTTCTCATCCGCCTTCTCGCCTAGGGTCTCGGTCTCGTCGGCGAACTTGACGCCCTTGGAGCTCTGGGACCCCGTCTCTTCCACGTCGCTAGTGGCGTCGGCGGCCTTTGTGGAACCGACCTCGCTCTCGGTCTTGGCCTTCTCAATCAGCTGTTCGACCTTTTCCTTGTCCTCGGGCTGCTGCTCCTGGTCATCGTCCTCTCCGAGGATCTCGGCCTTGCCGACGACGCTGCCCGTCGAGCTGAGGATGTCGCCCGTGGACGAGACGATGCTGCCGACCAGATCCGACGACTCGCCCTCGACGACCTTGGCGACGGGCTTGCCCGACGCGTCAAACACCCTTCCTCGCTCTCCGACGATGCCGGCTGCTAGTTCGCGGTTTTGGTTTTCTGAAAGCGGGGAATCTGTGGCGTTAACTCAGTTCGCATTAGGCTCCAGGACTTTGTCCAAATGAATGGAGGAAGGGGCAAATGGAAGAGAAGGTTGGGGGAAGAGTGATTCAATGTTCTTACCTTGAGCACTGGGGGACGACGCGCTAACGTCCTTGGTCCAGCCTCCCGGGATGGGAAGATTTAGTCTTGAAGTAAGCATGTTGTCTTGTGGTTTATTATGGTGGTATTGCCTTTTCCGTATACATAGAAAAAGACTCTGAATGGGGAAGAAAGAGGCATTGATCGTGGACCGGGACCCTGGACCGACAACCATCTTCTTATACTAGGCCGGCGCATCAAGCAAGGAAACTACGAGGCCTCCCTCATCCCAAGTTTTTTGTTTTAAGCTCTGCCCGTTTACGTCAAGACGTCGTCGCATCTTGTTGGTAGGACAAAAACCTTTGCCCTTCCCTCCCTGTCCTTCATCTACTACCCACCATGCGAGAACCACTCACACAGCCGCATATATCGCCTAGCGAGTAAGAAGCGGGTATGCATACAATGACTTCACCGGTTGGGATGCGTCGTTCGATTCGATCGAGAGCAAGTCCGGGCTCGATCCAATGACGCAAGTCGCATAAATCCAGCCCGCGCTATACACATTGGCAAGCACGCACATACTTACATACACACACACACACACGCACACGCAGCCTACAGCACACCCACCACGAAGGATGCGCCCTCCTAGGCCGTCCCCATAATGCCTGTTGTTGTGCTCCAGATTTAAAGTAACGCATGTTGCGGGTATGCCGACTCTGACGTATACGGGGCAAAAATGACTGCATAAAAGATGGTGTAGGGCTCCTACTGCAAGGGGGTCGGGGTTGGAAGGGGGTGGTGGAGAATCATTAAAGAGGGCGAGACCCAGGATGCCGTCATAAAAACTGGAGAGATTGAGTGGTTGGACAAGTTGACAAGAAAGTCGAGTGAGAGCCGCAGCCTTTTCTCTTTAGGGCCTTTTCAATTTCGACTTCGCTTCTCGGCCGTGAGAGAACAAAGCTGGCCCCGCTCACTACCGTCGCTGGTTCACGTCCACTCGGCTGTCATCCCGTGCGATCCCGCCCGCCGAGAGCAGAGACAGGGGAAGGGAGGTCTGCCTTAGTATCATCGGTTTGACCAGTTCCACTTCTTCTCGCTCGCTTCGGGAGAGGGAAGCGAAGGCACCAGTTGACGGGTGTGGCACCAATGTGCGTCTAGAGTGGAGGGTCGTCAGAAGTGCGTTGGTGTAGGGGGCCTTGACGTGATGGCAGACTCCTCCTTCATTCGTACCGCCGCCTTTGCCGTCTCAGAAGTCGCCATTAGCGTCCCTTGACAAAGTAGGCGGGACGCGTGGAAAATGGATCTGATGCTGCCCGTCTCGATCTGGCAATGATTATCGGGAATTGCGGCATTTCATTGGCCATCTTTACATTTCCACAAAATGGAGGGGATGTGGACATGGGAGGTTTGGTGGCGAATCGACGTCATCGCGCGATGGCCGGCAAAGGTATAGCCAGGGCGGAATGCGGCGGAATAGGACAAGCACGCCAAGCAGGCAACACGTGTATTTCAAGATTGAAGAAACGGTTCTCGCCGGGGAAAAAAAGGAAAAGAAAGGCGTGGAATTTAATTGCGGCTGAATTCACGAGAGTTTAGTCTTGTTTTATCCTTTTTGCTTCTTTCCCTGGACCTGTCATGTTGTTGCAAGATGAAGCATTGCGCGGTTCACGATGCCGAGAGCCATCTTGTCGAGCCCATGATCGGAGCACACGGCGTAAATCGAATCGATCGCTCAATTGAAAGCATGGCAGCGAGAAAACTTACGTAGCACGGAAGAAAACGGTACTTTGAACAGATCATGGCAAACAGATTCAATGCACGAACAATAATTATCATTAGTCAAAGATATAGCGTAGGAAAGACGATATGAGATGTTGATAATAGATGAAACAAAATAGATAAAACAAACCCGCGAAGGGGAGCGAAAACTGCGGGAGACAAGAGCAAAGGAAACACAAGAATCAACGTGAACTAATGCAACGCTTGATGCTAGGGCCAAAATGTGACCCATGTCTTACAACCCAGCCAGCTTCTTCAACCGTTCCTCCAGGCCCTGCATTTTGCATGACCGTACCGATGCTATGTGTGCGCCATTCCCCACTGTCTTGCACACTTTCCCTAGAGATCGCATTTACTCGTTACAAATGCCACGCGGGGTGGGCAATTCCGCTCCTACCCGCGATGAGCGTGGCCACCGCCAAGATGGTCGAGCCTCCAAGAATCTCAAACACGCCCACCTCCGCCTTGAACTGCTTCGTGATCCACTTCTGAATCTCCATGCCCAGGATGGAGTCCACTCCGTACGTGTGCAGAGGCTTATGTAGGTCTACCTCGATGCCGTCCATGGCCGAAACGGACTTGGACAACATCTTGACCATGGCCTCCGCGATGATGTTACCGGCATCTACCAGGGATGCCGAAAGGGCCAACCTTTCAATGTAGTTGGTCTTGTCGTCTTCGCTCTCTTCTTCTTCCGGCCCCGTCTCCTGGTCCAGCATTTGCAGGAACATGGGGTGGGAGAGGTCGGCCGCCTCAAGGCCGTGGGCGCGCCGAGTGGCGAGACCAATGATGACCTGGCTCTCCGGCGGCGTTGCGAGCGCGCGCGCCGGGTCGCAGAAGTAGTCCAGCATGGCCAGGAACTGTTTCCTGGTGACGGGATCGAGGGTACCGTAGCCGAGAAGTCGCTTGAGGAGTTCGGGGTTCTCAGCAAGCACGCCGTCTTCGACCATGGCGCCGAGGTCGATGCAAGTAGCTTTACCGCCGCGTGAGACGCGATACCGTGCTAGGGCATCTTGATACGCGTTGCCGGCGTTGTAGTTGGTCTGTCCACGGAGACCGACAAGACCCGAACCAGACGAGAAGAGGATGAAGAAATCGAGGTCAGGGAAGATCTGGTGCAAATTCCAGGAGCCGGTAGTCTTGCACTCTGTTCCGGTCTTGTACCCTTCAAAGGGCATATTGCTAAGTAGGTCATCCTAGAGGTAAGATTGGTTAGCAACAACGGGGTCGTTATTACAAAAGGAGGGAGACGAATAGCAAGACTTACCCTGATCACGGTGGAGGCTTGAATACAGCCCTTGACAGGCGGCAAGCTGGCGAGGTCTTCGTAAAAGACCTTTCTCAACGCCTCGAGGTCCGTGACGTCGCAGGCCGGCGTCTCCACACGAACACCCTGCCCTGTGAGCTCAGCGACAAACTCGTGCGCTGCCTCGTTGCGAGGTCCCGACCGCGACAGCAAGACCAGGTTCTTGGCACCTCGGCCAATCATCCAGCGGGCCGTGCTCCTTCCCAGCCCACCCAACCCGCCAGCAATCACGTACGAAGCCTCGGGGTCAAAGTCAAACGTCGTCTTCATGTCCAACGTGACGGGGACCTTGGACTCGGGAGTCACCGACATGACAATCTTTCCGACGGCCTTACCGTCCTGCCTAAGGCGGAAAGCATCCTCCACGCGGGAAATATCGTACGTCTGCATCAAACGGGGCGCGCGCAACGTCTTGTCCGCAAAGAGCGGCACGACCTGCTCCAGCGACTGCCGAAGCTCGTCGGGCCTCTCCTTGTACCACGCCGGGACGTCGAACCCGACGAAGAAAGCGTTGTTGCGAACGGGGAGCATGGGGGTCTCGGAGTGAGCGGGGCCATCCTCGTGCCGAAGATGGATGAGACGGCCGTAGCGGGCCACGCACTCCCAGGACGCGGCGAGGGCCTCTCCGGCGAGGGAGTTGACGACCACGTCGACGCCCCGTCCGTTGGTGATGCGCTTAATGCTCGTCACGTAGCCCGAGTCTCCGCCGTAGAGGACGTGATCTTCCGGGATGGCATATTCTTCCACGAGGAGGCTCTTGTGCTGCGCCGACGTCGCCGTCACGAAGATGGTGGCCTCGAGATGCTTGGCGACCTGCACAATGGCCTGGCCTATCTCGCTGGCGGCCGCGTGCACCAAGATGCTGTCACCCCGACGCAAGCGCGCCAGCTCGCACACCACCTGCCACGCCGCACCAAAGCTCTCCTGGATCTGTGCGGCTTCTTCAAATGACAGGGTGTCGGGGATCCTGCACACCGTCGACGACTGGCACCGCGTGTACGTGGCGATGGGAGCAATCGCCATAACTCTATCACCCTCCTGCAGGCCACTGCCCTCTCCTGAACGCACCACGTAGCCGGAGCACTCGCCCAGGATGAGAGACGAAGCGTCTAGGTGGCCGAGGTCGCCGCTGGGGTTGATCCCGACGGCGCACGTGCGGATCTCCACCTCGCCCGCCGCCAAGGGCTCAGAGGCTCGCGTGTCCTCGACGAAGCGAGGCAGCTCGGCCTTCTCCAGGGTGCCGGCAGACAGGGCGAGCGGAGGGGCGTCCTTGATGGCGAGCTGGGTAGCCCTCTTGCCTACCGAGCGGGCGTGAACCTCGTTGCTGATTTCTGTATTCTCAATGACGCGGCCAACGGTAAGAGTCTCGCCAATCTCGACAAACTCGGGCTCGAACATGGCTTCGTCGAGAATATAATTCTTGCAGACGACTTGGCTAATCCTCGACAGCTGTCCGTCTGAAAGCGCGTCATCCTGAGCCTCGAGCTGCAGCGTCGTGATGCGGTGGTCGTCGTACTCGTTGCGCACCACCCTCGTGATACCCTTGACGATCTCGAACTCGGGCAGGCAGGGCTCCGCGCCGCCGCCGCGGTTCACCCACAAGAGCTCCTTGGCGTTCACCATGAATTTCTGGAAAGCAGGGTACTGCGCCTCGGACAGGTCGAATAGGTAGGCCGAGGAAAGCTCGACGAGGACGACGAAGACGGTGGACTCGACTGCCGTGTACGAGGCGGCTTCTTCCACGGAGAGGCGCGTAAATTGCAGACCCTCGCCCTTGGTGGCCTCCGCCAAGCGTGACTGGAGCCTGTCGGCGAGGGCCTGCTGGCTCTCGCTGGCCACGTCCAAAACGAGTGCGACGTGCGTGATTCCTCGTCTAGCCGTGGTAGGCACGTTGTTCTGCGCGAGCATGATCCTCTTCTTGGCGTAGCCCTCCGCCTGGGTGTCGGTATCGAAGTCGATCAGGGACTTCATGGCACCCGCCTCCACCATGCCGAGGAGGGCCGTGGACATTTGTCCGATCCCAGCGGATCCGATCTGGATGTCTTCCTGAACCGCCAGCCACCCAGACGGCTTGAGGAATCGACGCACGACGTCCAGCTCGGCGGGGATGAGCTCGTCTGTGCTCGTGATGATGAGGTCAAGGGACGCCTCCTCGAACCCTAGGTCGGGGAGGACATATGTGCCCTCGATGGCGTGGTACGCGACGTTTTTGAAGCCCTTGAACACGCTGTGCGCGACATCCAGCGCAAAGTGGGAAGTGGTCATGTACGTGAATTGTCCGTAGCGCGGCTTCGTGGGCACTCGCGTGTCCGTCCCTCCGGACGTCGAGAGCGCGTTGAGGATGCGTAGACCTAAGCCTTGCGACGGCTCTGTCATGCGGTCCATCTCTAGGATGGATAAGTCTGGTCGCTTGTGACCAATCGCGTCAATGTAGCGGATAAAATCGGCAAAGGGATCGCCACCCTTCAACGGCGTAGCCAAAGGCGGAAGCGGCCCAAAGGTTGGATCTGCCATTTGTTCCAAGTTGTAGCAGATTTGGCGGATAGGACCGTTGCTAGTCGCCTGGTCGGTATTATCCGAGATGATGGTCATCCGCAAGCCCTCGTACGTCGCCAAAACCTTGTCTTGGCCAGGCGACAACACGGAGCAGTCGTACACACGCCCTCGGCTGTCTTGGCCCGTCATCCAACCGCACGCCTTCACGCTCGAGTTGGACGGCGCGGACAGGCCGTCGGCGCTCACCCAGAGCTTCCGCAGGGCGGTCGGGATCATGGTGGGGACCGCCTTGGTCCCGCCCTCGGAGGCGCCCGCGATGGAAAAGTGAATGAGGCCGTCCAGGGACGTCGGGTGGATGACGTGGGCTTGGGGGAACTGCGAGGCCGGCCAGTCGAACAACTTGATGTCGACGGCGGACAGGCCCCGGGACCGGTGAAACCACCCAGAACCGTGCGGAACGAGGGGCCGAATTCGAACCCGTTCTCGTGGAGGCCCTGGTACAGCACCGCGGGGTCAAAGGAGGATGTGCAAACTTGCTCCGTCTCCTTTTGCAAGGCTTGCGCGGCGCCCAGGCCGTCGCGGTCCGATCGGCCGCTGTCGATCTCGTTCTTGTCGGTAGACGCGTAGTCTACGCGGATGTAACCGCTGCAGCACTCGTGCCACTCCTCGTTTTCGAAGACGCACAGGCGACCGGCGGACCACGGGTCGCTGGCGGTTTGAGGGGCACGTAGCGTGAACTGGACTTCGACACCATCCGAGTTCTGGGGGATGTCGAGGGCCTTTTGAAGGTGAAGTTCTTTAGCTCGAAGCCCTTGATGGTGCGGGAAGGGTCTGCGAGCTGCTTCGCGGCTTCAATTGCCATCACTAGCATACCGGCGCCCGGGTATACCAAGCTCTTGTTGATCTATCATAGCGGAATAGTTAGCCAAAAGGGAAAGGCCCTCAATGAATACGATTGTCCCAAAAGGGATTGCCCAAAAAAGGTGGACGACTTACCACGTGGTCTTCGACCCAAGGCATCTCCGAGACACGAATGACATGACGCCACCTAGCCTCAAGAGGATTCCAGTCGGGAACAGGCTTGCCCAAAAGATCCCATTTGTTCTGGGGGTGCGTCCTGTACGACTTGACAACACGCGATTCGTGCCAGTACGACCTCGAATGATCAAACGAATAGCCCGGTAGATCAACCAAAATAACGGGGTTGGATGGCGCTTTGCCAGCCGGGTAGTTTGCTCGGACGAGGTCCACGGGGTATCCGAGAGACCGGAGCTGTCCCATGGACTCGAGCAGAGCCTGCCTCCCAGACACCTTGCGCACCATTGTGGACGCGTAGGTGATGTTCTTGGCGTTGGGAAGTTGAGCAAGGATATCCCGAATAGGTCCCTGCAGGGCCGCGTGGGGGCCCACCTCAAGGAGGTTGTTGATGTGGAAGTGCGCCTTGTGGCTAAGGTCCAACTTCTTACGGATCTTCTTGGTCGAGTTGCTAAACAGATGGCTGACGGCATCGACAAATCTGACGGGCGACACCATGTTGGCGACCCAGTACTCGGCGCTGGCGAGCTCGGCACGCGTCGCCCTGCCGGCCGTGACGGACGAAATCATGACGGCTTTCATGACGCCCGGATCCGCGCACAACTCCACATCCCCGAGAAGCTCACGGTACTCGCCAGCGACCTGCGCCATGTGCGGAGAGTGGTACGCCACGTCGACCTTGAGCTTCCGCGCAAACACGGACTCACCCTCGAGGATGCCGCGAAGATGGTCGACCTGGTCCGCGTCGCCCGAGATGGTCACGTTCTTGGGGCTGTTGATGCACGCGACCGTCAGCCCAGCGGTGCCAAAGTGGGCGGCCACGCGTTCGAGGTACGGCACAGCATCGGCCTCGGAAAGGCCCACCGCCATCATGGCCCCGGCTACAGTGCCGACGGGGTGCGTGGCGAGCTTCTCGGCGCAGACGCCCCGGAAATAGGCCACCTTCCACGCGGTTTCCGCGGAGAGGGCGCCGGACGCGTAGGCCGCGGCAATCTCGCCCGACGAGTGGCCGACCACGGCGGTGGGGCGGATGCCGAGCGAGAGGAGGAGATCGACGAGGGCGATCTGCAGGGCGGTGCACAGCGGCTGGCTTAGGCCCGGGCGGTTGATGAGCGAGGAGGCGCTGTCGTCGAAGAGCTCCTCGCGGAGGTTCCAGGGCGAGCCAAGAGTCTTGAGATACACCTCCGCCTCCAAGAGCCGCTTGGCGAAGATAGGGTAAGCCATGAGCTCTCGGCCCATGCCGGCCCATTGTGCGCCCTGGCCGGTGAAAACCATGGCTAGGGAAGGGTCGGCCAAAGACCTCTGGGCGGGGCCCACGAGGGTTTTCATATCCTTGAGGTTATCCGCCGTTTTGACGACGGCAAAGGATTTCCACGGGAGGGATGTCCTACGGAAGTTGAGCGTGTGAGACAGATTCTCGAGGTAGGTCTTGCCCTCGGCCTCTTGCCACGATTTCTTGTCGAAAAACGTAGAGTAATTGGCGGCTTGGCGGGCGGTACCCTTTTCGTCAAAAGAGGAAAGCATAATCAGACGAGGGTCCTCGGGCCGTCTGCGGGAGAATCCGTTGACGACGGGGCCGTGGCCGTTGGTCTTGTGGCCGTTGGTCGACGGCAGCACCAAGCCATTCATTCCGCTTAGTTGCGGTGGCTGCTCTGGTTCGGAGTTGACGCCATTGGCATGATCCAGCCCGTTGGTCGAGTGGCCGTTAGTCAGGGCGGCACCATTTGTGTGAGTGCCGTTGATGCCGGGATTAGCGTGGCCATTGACGCCGTTGATACCATGGCCGTTGACGCCATTAGTTCCATTGACTCCGTTAGTACCACTAGTACCATTTACGCCATTGGCGCCGTTGACACCATTGACACCGTTGACATGGGTGCCATTGGAGATGGTGCCGTTAACTCGAGAGCCATTGGTGAGGGAGCCGCTGTCGCCGTTAACGCCATTGACGCCATTGACGCCATTGGCACCGTTGGCGTGGTACCCATTGACACCATGGTGGCCGTTCACCCCATTAGTCCCGTTAACCCCGTTGGTTTCAGCGACTCCGTTTGCTCGACGGTAATCATAGCCGTTGCTCTCAGCCGCCGAATAGTGACCATTTACACCATTCACGCCATTCACGCCATTGACGAGGCTCTCTACAACATTTCCATCGCCATCTAGATCGGGCGGGTCTTCCACCGTCGTATGATTTCCCACCAAGAAGTGCTCCTTCAAAAAGTGAAACACGTCATCCAGCACGACGTGCGCATTTGTCCCGCCGAACCCAAACGAGTTGACGCTCGCGCGACGCAGGCCCCTGGTCGGCCACGGCATGGCGCCAGCGGCAGCTTGATGCGCAGGTACTCTGTGTCGATCTTGGGGTTCAACTTTTCAAAGTTGGTGTTGGGCGGGATCACGGCCTTTTGCAGGATGAGCAGGGTCTTGATGACGCCCGCGATGCCCGCCGCGCCCTCCAGATGGCCGATATTTGATTTGACCGCGCCCACGATGAGGGGTCTTCGGGGGTGCGCGTCTGCCTAAACGCGGCACCGAGCGCCGAAGCCTCGACGGGGTCGCCGGCCTGGGTACCGGTACCGTGGGCCTCGAAGAAACGAGTGGGCTCCATGCTCAGCCCGGCCTTTTCGTACGTGTCCCGGATGAGGGCCTCTTGGGACACGGAGCTCGGCATGGTGATGCCGGGGTGTTACCGTCTTGATTGCACCCCGTGCTGCGGACGATGCCTTGGATGGTGTTACCGTCGCGCAGGGCGTCGGTGAGGCGCTTCAGGACGAGGACGCCGAATCCTTCTCCGCGGGAGTAGCCGTTGCCCCTGTGGTCGAAGCTATAGCACTTGCTGGTGGGGGACAGCATGTTCATCCTGCATAGGGTGTGCATCATGTCTGGCGAAAAGACGAGATTGCAACCCGCCACAATACTCTACAACAACCCAGTTCATTGGTTAATTTTTTTCTGTTCATGGTGGGTAGGGTTCTGCTGGGGGAAGGAGAGGGGGAAAAAACTCTCCGCTGCAAGGGATAGGAAGTAAGGAAGAGGGGGTATCTGCAGGTACGGCATGGGCAAATTTTCGAAAGCAAACAAGCAAACCAGCAGGCATCCACAACAGGAAAAGAAAAAGAAGAAATAAGAAAATGAGGGGAAAGAGTCACAGGGAGCGCGCAAGGGGGGGAGGGTGAACACATACCATGCTCGCGTCACCGGTAATAAGGCCCGCACATCCAAGGTCAAGACACACCAAACTGCTGGAACACGCCGTATCCACATTGCAGCTGTTGCCGTTGAAGTCGAAAAACCAACTTATTCGGTTGGCATTGATACACGGCTGTGTACCCAGGGCAGCGGTGGCTCCTGCTTGCTCGGCGTCCTTGAGCTGGATATGCTGCCAGTCCTTTGTGAAGCAACCAACGTAAACCGAGGTCTTGGTCCCCGTTACTCTTTCGATGGGGAGACCAGCTATTGCACGCCCCCAAGTCTCACGCGTCAGCAAATTACAGGTTCTCGTTTTGCAGTTCTCGGGCTACACCTGGCCCTAGGGGCGAGAGTGCATCACCATGACGTTGCGTGACTGACCATTTTCTAACGCTAGATACGTATGTTCTAGCAGACCGCGTTGTTGAGGGTCCATAGACGACGCCTCATCCGGCGTGATAGAGAAGAACGGAGCATCAAATTTGGAGATGTCCTGATCTAAAAGTGACCGCCCCTCGCAGACACCTTGAACCATGCGTAAAAAGGTAACGGTAAGTCAGCCGGCGAAAGTCCGTCGAGAAGAAGAAGGGTGGGGGGTTTGTAACACAACCACGCAAGCAAACACGTCACACTAAGAACAAGAAAACTCACCTGTCCTTTCCTATTAGGATCCGGATGGTAGATCTGGTCAATGTTGAGGCGGCTAGCGGGAAAGTCTTGAGAAGCGTTTCGCTTCTCCATCATCATTTTCCAGAACGTGTCCGACGTTGTGGCCCCGCCGGGAGGCCAAACGAGACGCCGACGATGGCGATGGGGTCACGCCTGTCCTGGTCCATGATGTCGACTTGCGAGGTGTGCGATGCGGGGAGGAATCAAGGTGAGAGAAAGGTGAAGGAGGAGAGGAGAGTGACTCGGAGAGGGTCGGATGGGAGTGGTTTTAATGGGAAAATGGTGTGTGGTGTGGGTAGGATAATGCGTTCTGTATGTGGATGGGTGCGTGTGCGTGTGCGTGTGCGTGATGTGTTGGGTGTTTGGTGGGTGTGCGCTGCTCCCTCTGTATGTATGTGTGTATGTGTATGTGTGTGTGTATGTGTGTGTATGTGTGTGTATGCGTCTGTGTATGTGTATGTGAGGGTCGGTGGGGAAAAAATAGATGGGTTGGGGAAGGAGAGAGGGAGGGAAGGAGGAATGTTTGTCAAATGAAAAGGCGGACAGATGTGTGTGAAAGGACTCTTCCAATGCACGTCGAGGTCATGCAGAAGAGAGGGCCCCTCTGGAGGTATAAAGACATGAGAGGTCAAGGTATTTGCCCCGACCCAGCAGAACGGGTAGGATCACGCAACATGACATTCGACAGACGCTCACGAGAAAGCGAACCCTTGCTCGCCATCACTCGCCTCGAGCCTAGGCCGCGATACGGGCCGCAGTGCAAAGTCTCACTCCCCATCCGAGGGAGAGGGGGTGAGGCGAGTGGGGAGGGAGGGAGGAGCAGGAGGATACTGGAGCAGGAGGTACTGGAGCAGCGCAGGGACCGGACGAGGTGGGGTGACGAGAGGGCAAAAAGACGATAGGGATAGCTCAAAGGGAACGGCGGCAAAGGGAAGCAGCGAGCCAAGGGCGCGTGGGGAGCAGACCAGAACGAAAGGAGACAGATAGCAGACGCAAAAGAGGAAAAGGTGCCGAGAACTGGAGCTTCAGGGGACTAAGGAAAAAAACAGATGGTGATCCAATAGTCAAACAACGGCTTCTTCTCTCGTTCGATCCGGGAAAGCCACCTGCATCCACGAGGGAAAAGGGAGAAGGCAAGGGCGCGCATTCCGTCCCATCCTCCAACGATAAACGACAAATCTACCCGAACTTCACATGCACAGGTAACCCCACCACCGTTCCAGACTCTTCCAGCCGAAAAGAGTAAAAGGGGAGCAAGGAAAAAGAGGGTCATATGCCTCCCGCCTACGCGCTCCTCTCGAGGGGTTGGAAAAGGAAGAAAACGAATACAAAAAGGAAAAAAAGAAAAAAGACACACACACCCCCTCCCACTATACCTCTACCTCCGCGATACGCCTACTATACTTGCCCTTTGCCCAGCCCTTCCTGCGTTCGATAGCGACAAACGATGCCGCCACGTCATTGGACCCGAGGGAGAGTATAATAGCATGCATTAGCCTCAACCAAAAACGGGGTCCCACACGAGACTGTGAGGTAAGAATTGGGCTCTGTGACGCCGCAACCCACCCCGGCGGGCGGCGTATTCGATCCTCATAGTGTGGCCGAGCTAGACTGAAACGAGCAGTGGTCCTCGACAGAAAGGGTATTCCTCCGCGGGTGGTCAAAGTAAGATACGTGAAATAGCCCTGTCTATAGCCGTCGAGTCAAGCGTGACCCGCACCTTGTTCACCGAGGCGCATGGGTACCCTCCTCCCCGGAGTAACGCTTCCAGGATTCGACTACCGGCAGAGGGTATCTTTCTTTGCCTTCCCCTTCCTTGCCCCCCCCCTATCCCTCCTTCGCCGCCGCCGCGGCCGGCGCCCCTCCCCTCCGCTCTCATGTCCTCGGCCAGACTATGCAAACCTTCACGCCGGCCACGCCGTTCCAGTGGCGGAGCTGATAGTGGGGGGGAGGGGGAGGGGCTGGAGGATCTCGATGGTTTCGACGGCCTCGCTCGCGAGGAAAGCCAATCATGCCCCGGGCTCGGTCCCTCGGAAGCCATCAGACCACGAAAGATACCCGGAATTGGAGTGGGGTAGGACAGCCCTCCTTTCCCATCTTCATCTCTCCGAGGAATGAAGAAGGGGCGGGGCAGGAGCGGGGGGAACTCTTTTCTTCTCTTCCTGGCTGAGATGGGCTAGCGTAAGGTGACGAGCCCAGGTGATGTGATGAAGTGATGATACTCGCTCGCCTCACTTGGGGCCCTCCGCCCATAACCGCGCGCAAGCCACCAAACCTTGACCTTTAGCCTTGGCATATCGGCAACCTGATACTCGTCGACTACCCCTATAGGGCAAGGACAAGCAAAGGGTGGGGAGAGGGAGAGGGGGCGCGAGTAGAGAGGGAGAGTGGTGGGGAGAGGAGAGAGGAGGGAGGGGGGTTTAGTCTCGATGCCTCTTGCTCGCCCGGCAAACCATGGCTAGCCCGGGCGGCCGGCCGTCGATACCGCCTAGGGCTAGAGCAAGCTTGAGCATGTGCAAGTTTTTGCGTTTGCTCGTGCCCAGGAGACGAACATGTGTGTTTTCCCTTGATTGCGTAAAGGGTGGCACATCGTGGCTTTTTCGCCTTTTCTTTCGACGAACGCGGGGGATGTTTGTGTTAGGGAAGCACACAAGGACGGTGAGAAGGAGGAGCGATTTTGAGACGAACGGAAAGCCAAAAAAAAAAAGCGCCGCTGCCCACCGCCGAACCGCTCGGGGCCCACCACCGTTCGCGTGGTTAATGACCGCTGTCCATTTGCGGACTAGCTAGGCTTGCACACGCCCCCACCACCTTTCTTGACTTGCAGAAGCTGTTCCAGTAGAAAAAGAAAGTAGGCCAGCCCCCCTCCTACTCGTACTCCTAAATGGTGTCTCCCCAATTCCTAGGCTGTCAGGCAGGTAATTTGAAACAGACAACAACAGCGTTTGGGTAGACTATTCTAGTGCGCGTTCAAACTCAACCGCCACTTAATCTTCTTTTCTCGTTGATCGCCCTCAGGAGCCGTTGTTTCCGTTCTCGACCATTCCGCTAAGACACCCAAAAAAGGGGAGAAGGATTAAGACGCAAAAAAATAAAATAAAACAAAAGACAAAAGAAGGGGACCAAGAGGACAAGTAGTGGGGTGGGGAGCCCCGGGGGCGTGCTTGCAAAGACGTTTGACGTCGCCCATCGGGAGGGATCGTATAAACGGTCCCACATCGAACATTGGTTTTTGGTCTTTCCTTGCTTGCCGCACATATCGACGCATCAACCATCTTCTCCAGACTCGCGCCGCCTTACCCTCACGGAGAGACCCCCGCTTCCCTTTTTTTTTCTTTTTCTTTTGGTCGTTGGTCCCTCGCTAACCTGCGAATAATACTAGGTCATACTTTTAAGCACCGAGCGCACCCGATGCGGGGATCCTGCATCCCATCATAATATCGGATGTATTATCATCGCCGCACCCCTCCCTACTGTCTCCCCTTTCCCACCCCCAAACCCACTACCTTGAACAGCGACGACTCTGATTGTCGCTCACTTCAACGCGGCCAACCTCTTTGTCCTACGCCTATCCACTAGCTGCATATAGTGGGATAGGGAGGCAAAGCAGAGCGCCAAATCAAACAATAACACCACACACACACATTGGGGAGACCCGCCGGCCCCTCCCCGTAGAAAAAAGTTCACAAGAAAAAAGAATTAAAATAAAATAAAATAAAAGAATCCAAGACCATGAGCGGGAAACCCGGAGGGACACGCGCGCGAATAGACCCCGTCTCACATGCCAGCTCCAAGTGGATCGCGAGGGATGCGCCGAGCCCCAATCAGTCGGACATGGCGCCCCACGGAAAGAGGCGGTAAAGCCCGACATGGACAAAACCCACTGCGGTAGATAAGCAGGCACGGCCGGAAAGGGCAGAGGCGGGTGGATTCGAGGACGAAAGACGAGGGAAAAGGAGACTACGTAGTGTAGAACGATAGAAAAAGGTCTAGGGAGAAAAACAAAAAAAGGATCACGCTCCGCCCAAAAGCAGGGCAATACTGCGGTATTACAGGCCAGGTCCATTTTCCAAGCTGAAGAGGTGAGGTGAGGGGGAGGGAAGGCGCACAGCAAATGGTCCGAATGGAAACATATGGCCCGGAAGGGCACCCCATTTCGGGAAACATGGGGCTTTTACACCAGCCAACGAGAACGACGTCTGGCAGCCCACATGTTCACATCACGGTGTGGAGCGTGGACGTGATTTGCGCGAGGTGAGCGTGCTAGGCGTGCTGGGCGAGTTGAACCCAAGTGTGACGATGTGTGATGTGTGACGCGAAATTCCTCCTTGGATCCTCTCTGCTCTTTTTTTTTTTTGGGAGGGATGGTGGAGGGGGCGCTTTTCCTTTCCTTCGTTTTTCGGTCGGAGAACGCCATGTCCTCTGGGACAGAGGCCGTGATCGGCATGCCCAATGTGGGATTCCGCCCTCCATCCACGAGGGGAGAGAGAGAGAGAGAGAGAGGAGGTGATAATAATTCAGCTAAATATACACACACACATGGATAATAGCTTGATGCACTAAAGGGATTGGCCTCCTTCCCCCGCGCTGGATTCCCTCAAACCGGGATTGTGGAATAGGGCCAGGGCCAATCGCTACGCTTCCCTCTCCCAAAGATTGGAACATCTTCAAGGCAAGGAGGGTCATTTGGGCCTGAAGAAGGAGGGATGGAGGGAATAAGGAATTTTTGTCTCTGGCGAGCGAAACCGGTTCAGGTTAGGGTAGGGTCAGGGCTCCCGGGGTTATGCTTGTGGTTGGGTGGGGGAGGGAGAGAGCAGGGAAGGCCAGGACAATCACGGTGGGCACAAGACTGCTCCAGTGATGGCACATTCCAGCTTGGATTGGACGCAAACCATCTTGTCAGCAACCCCAGGCAAGCCACATGGGTGTGTGGTAATGGCATGCACCATCGACACACGGAACACACACATGGCATTCGTTCTGTTCGGTCATTTTTTGGGGTTCCTTTTCTTTCCTTTTCTTTTTCTTCCCTCTCTCGATTCCCCCTTGTTTGCATCTCCTGCGACATCGATCTGTCGGGCATATGGTTGTCCCGCTTGGGCAAGCAATAGCGAGAGGGTAGTGTACCACGTCCTGTTCCACACAATCACTGCATGAAGGATACGTGGCTAGCTCTGCTGTCTTCCATTGGATTTCTAATGAATTATTTTTTTGTCTTCCCACTACTTTGCGCCCCTGTTGGTCGCCGTTCCCGCAGCCCCGGCCGATGCGGAAAGGCGACAGAGTTCTTCCGCGTCCATGACAAGTACGAAGTACCAAGCAGAGGACTAAAACAAGGGAGGACCCGAGGGAAAGTGGAGAAGCGAAAAGAAAAGAAAAAAACCTCCAACGAAAAGGCAAGGTTGTTGTCTAGTATCGCAGGGTCGTAAACACGCTGGATGATGATGTTGGTCCCAACTGAACGTGGGGACCTGAGCGAGACAACAAAAAGACTAGAGAAAAACAAGCTGGCAACTGGTGGGTGGGTAGCAGCGCATGGTACGATGGTTACGCAGAGCGTCTGACAGGTCGCAAGTTCACACCTCTTGCGGTCTGGTTCGGACCCGACGCTCTGGGTCGAGCAAAGACCAACGCCCTGAAGACTGAGCTTCGCCGGGGGTAATCAAGGATAATCCTGTTGCGCTGCTCGACCAAGACGGACGGGGACAGACAGGGTGACGTGACAGGAAACAGAAGAACCCTGGTTCGCCAACGCCGTCTCAGCTTGGACGGGGTTTTTCTTCTTCTTTACTATACATGTACAACATTGAAGTATTACAAAAAATCGCAATCAGGCTGAGTGGCTCTCCCCTTGTATCTCCACCTACCTCGTGTAACAAAGATCCAAAGAGTGGTAGAAAGAAAAGGGGGAACGGACCACAGGCCAAGTTGAGCGAATCTTTTGCTCCGTGGCCCCCATTTCTTCCCGCCCCTCCCGCTGCCCCGGATCTTTGATCCCCGTCCCCCGTCCAAGCCACTGAACCGTTGAATGCCCCTCCCTCCCCGTCCGCCCTCATGATTCGGAGATATGGGGTGAGGGGGCGTGGACAGTCGACACCGGTGATGAATTGGTCATCGAGGGGGGCAAGGGGGACGACGGGACTATCGCGTCAGCGAAGTACGGCCGGGAATGTAACAGAAATCGGGGACATGTGAGAAGGGCGCCATGGGGGAAGGGAGAAAATGGGGGCTTGCAGGCGGGCGAGGTGAGCGAGAAGAGGGACGTCCCGAGGGTGGCGATCCCTGTTGCGGTACGGGTTGGGATGCAACATGGAGCCTTGGAGGATGGGGTTATTACTCGCTGCTCAACGGCCCTTTCGCCGTGGCCTGGCGAGGGAAAGGGGGTGCTGACCACATTGCCCCAAAGATCCGTCAATGCACGGAGGGGGCGACCGGTCTACTGACCTTTTCGAGGACGGATTGGCCCTGTCCAGCGTGGGAGAAGACGCCGAAACAGGGCAGGGAAAAACCATGGGCAAGGGACAAGGCAGACACGAGAGGAGCGAAAAGGGAAACGAACAGGACTACACTACGAAGTCTCTCTCTTCCGATCCTCGGTCGACGGAAGGGCCGGCGATGACAAGACATAGACCGACAGGGAGCCTGCCCTCCCATCAGCCGAGAGAAAGAGAGAGGGAGAGAGGAGTAGTCGTAAGCCAAGCCATCCCCGGACCCAATCATGGGGTGCCATCTGGGTCGCGGCCCATTCCGCGCGGAGAGAACCAGGTCTTGTTTCTTCGTGGATTCGGGAGTGTTCCTTCGGCTCTTTCTTTTTGCCATGATTTGCCAATAGTAGAATCGGTAAATGAAAGAAAAGAAAAAGAAAAAAAGAAAAGGAAACAAAAGTTGATTGCCTTGCCTCGGCAAATGATAGAGAAAAGAAAAAGCAAAGAAAAGGAGGGACGGGGACAACAGGAAGGGGAACGTCGAGGACGGGAAGGCGGGAAAGAAGGAAAAAGCAAAAGATCAATTGATTGCCAGGCCTCGACCCGTCGTTCGCGGCTCCCAATTTGTTACTCTTTCCCCCAGCGACGGTATCAATTGATGTACTCTTTCTCCGCCCGGAGGTTGGCGGTGGGGGCGGTGGGAAATGGGAGGAGAAGGGGAAGAGAGGAGGGGCCTAGCCTGGCCAGCCAGAACTGCACCAGCTCCAGGGCTTCGAGACCGCCCGCGATTCCCAAGTTGATATTCCCAAGCCTGAAAATAGCGTGGGAAGCGAGCCCAACCAGTGGGCTGGCTCTGGAGCATTGGGACACTGGAGCAATTGAAGTGGTTGGACCCATTGGGCCCTGGTTTCAACTACCTAAGCCTCTCGAGCCCGCGCGCGTGAGAGACCACCTACTGCATACCTCCACACCCCCCTCTCTTAGTTACCATGCCACCCCCTCTTTTTGGTTCACTTGCTAGTCCCCACGCCCTTCATCGTCATTTGCCCGCACGGACAAACGGCATGCGGCCTCTGGGTTTCGAGTCCGCTGCTCGCTTGTGTTTCTGTGCCAAGAAGGGCCAAGGTCCAAGGTCGGGGGCAAGTGGCCCTCGGTATCATGCCAGTGGAGCTGGCTGTCATCGAGACGACGGAAAAAGGGAGAGAAAGAGAGAGAGATAGCGGAGCGGAGAGGGGGACGGTGGACAGGGAGGCACGAGGCGGCGTCCAGCTCTGGCCTGGCTCTTGGCTCGGAGGGGGCAAGGGAAAAGGAAGGATGAAAAGGAAATAAAAAAGTAAACTAAAGTGCCAAAGCCGGGTAGGGGAAGAGGGGGTGGGGGTGGAATGGGAAGCGTAACAAGGGTCGCGAGGTCGAAGGGGGTTAACCCGGACGGAGTTTGACTTTTGGAGTGATGAAGTGGGCACTTTGATTTGTGACGCCACGGCGAGTGATTCGATGGGCTGAGTATTATTGAAAGACGATCTAGTTTGGGCCTCGTTATCGGCGACCTCGAAGGGGTCAGGAGGGACAGAGAGAGACAAGAGACAAGACTGAGAGACAGAGACTGAGAGATAGGGCGGGGGCGGTTTCCAAACAGGGCAAGGGGGCAAATCGGGAGTAAGCGCCAGGGACAAATTCGTGCTGCTTGTATAGGTTCACGAGCAGGACGAGGCCGGGGACCGAGGAGCACGGGAAAGGCGAGAGGGAAAACAAGAGTGAGAGAGAGACAGAGAGCTAGGTCATAGGGGTTCGAGAGCAATCTAACGAGGAAAAGAAAAAGTATCAAAGAGGCATCTCTAGATAACCAAACAACAGAAAAGGCGACGGATTGTTGCTTCTTTCGCTTCCATCGGATTTTCCCCTCTTCCCCTCCAACGCTTCTTCTTCTTCTCCAACAGAAACCAGACCTTCTAGCCAACTTCTTTTTCTTCCATCACCCCCTTCTCCACCTTCCCGTCTTCACCGACACGCAAACAGCACGACCACCTGTGACAACATTGAACCCCCTCGAAAACCACAAATCCAAGACACGCCGGGAGCCTCTCCTCGAGATCGACATTGACGGTTCCGCCCGTAGCCCCTGTTCTTGGTTTCCTTCTAGACTTGCGCCCGGCAGCACCAAGCCGCAATGAGGTTTCTCTGCTTACACGGGATCGGCACCAACAGCCAGGTGGGTACTGACCGAGGAGCCGATATTCCCCATCATCGAGAGACATGAATGAAACATGCAAAAGCGGACGACAAGGGGAAGAAAAATTCAGTGTCAACGCAGCGTTCAAAAAAAATTATCATTTGAAGACACAAAAACATCAAGGGCTACGCAGACTAACTTTTGGGTGTGACATATTTTCCTGTTTTTCCCTCTCCCTGCAGGTCTTTGAAACACAAATAGGTGAGCTGTCTTTTTTCTCTTATTGTCAACTCCGTAATCCGTCTCAATTCGTTTTTTTACCCTTGTTTCCAGGGTTCCAAATGGTCAAACCTTCGCTAACCGGAAGACCGAAAAAACAACAGCCAACATCATTTATGAGCTCGAGGGAAACCACGAGTACGAATTCGTAGAGGGCACGCTGCCCGCGCCCATGGCCACCGAGATCCAGGGCTTCTTCCCGCCACGGACGAGTACTTCAACTACTTCGACCCCTCATCCGCAGACAGCCTCAGCGCGGCGCTGGACCAGCTCGAGGCGTACATCCGCTCCGAGGGCCCGTTCGACGGCGTCATCGGCTTCTCGCAGGGCGCCGCCCTCGCGGCCACCTACCTGATCCGCACCGCCCAGCGCCATCCCGCCTCCGCGCTGCCCTTCCGTCTCGCCATCTTCTTCTCCGGCGGCCGGCCCCTAGATCCCCGGTCCCTCGCCGAGGGACGCCTCCTGTTCCTCGACCCAGCGCAGGCAGCCGCCGATTCTGTTGTCGCCCTGCCCGCCGCCAATATCTGGGGTCGCAACGACACGCTGTGGCCCGGTACCAGCGAGGTCCTGTACGCGCTCTGCGATCCCGCGGGCCGCAGCTCCTTTATCCACGAAGAGGGTCACGATATCCCCGGTGCCAGGGCCAAGGACGCCATCATTGGGTCGGTCAAGGCGATCCGGAGGGCGATTGATAGCGCGACGTTGGTTCATTAAAGAATGGCGTGGGTGGGCATTGCATACGTGTAATTTGGGCTTTTCCTTTTTGTTTTCTTCTTTTCCTTCATTTTACCAATAGTCGCAGTTTCTTTCTCATTGTCAGTTCCAGTTCAATGTTCTCCTTGTTCCCCATCTGGATTCGCTGCACATCATCGCCCCGCTCTTTTTCCTCTCTTGCATGTATGTTAATGGCTTTGGTCACCGCATTTTTCGGGGTTCCTGTCGGTTCGTGTTCGCGTCAACGGAGGTTCGAATGCAATGCACGAGTTTTTGCCTCGTTGGTCCGCGCATTTCTTTTCGGAGAAGGGGGCTGGGGGTTCGTTGAGAGCCAGGTCCGGAATTTTGGTGAGAAGGGCGATCGTCTCCTGGGTATTTGTAGATGGCCAAGAGAGGTGGGAAGAGAGAAGAAGACTGAAATAATATACCAAAAAAGAAGATAAATCAAAGAAAACAATACCAAAGTAAAAAAGGACGTGAAGCTTAGAGACGGCATCTGAGGCTCAAAATGCAGTCATGTTTGCTGTGCCGTCGTCTGACATCTCAATCCGTCAATCACACACGCACGCAATCAATCCAAAATTAAAAGCTTTCCCCAACCACGCACACGCGCACACCCTCCCTACCCCAATCTCCCCCTCTGTTTCTTTTTCCGTTCTCGATTCTTCAGGGTGCCTGGCGAATTGGAAATTTCCGAAATATGCGGTTGGTTCAAGAGCCCGTTTGCTGGAATTCGAGCCCGTCCCTTTGGACGGGTTTCCTTCGTGTGACGAAAAAGCGTGAGACGCACAGCACAGGATCTCCGAAGGATTCGTTTGCTCCCATTTCCTCGGGTTTCAATGTTTGGGGGAAGAGCAAAGCCCATGTCAATGCCGATTTCTGTAAATCACACTTTTGGAGGGGAAGAACCGGTCGGTCGGTCTCAACGTTGAAAAATCTCCAATTCCACGCCGTCCACCGCTCCGTGTCTCCGTCTCGTTGTGTATTGATCGGCCCCGGAGAATGGGCAATTGATACAACGGATCCCGTCCACTGTATTTTTCTTTTCTTTTTTGGCTGTCCGCGCCAGCCTGCTTTTCAAGTTCAATCCCTCTTCCTATTTCCCTGTCCCTCCTCCTCCCCGAGTGGTCGTTCCCCCCTGCTACTCCTGCTGCTACTCCTGCTACTCCTGCTGCTGCTACGGTCCAGTCGCTGTTCGCTCGCAGATCCCCATGCCGTGCCACGTAGGTCAGCGAGCTCAGTCGGGAAAAGGCTGTCTTTGTCGTGGACCAACCACGCGCGACTTCTAGAAACCCTCGCACGAATCCCGAATGGGCGATCCATGCATCCCGTCCTCTCCCCCTCCCTCCACCCTCATCCCTCCCCACCTTCCACCTTGACCTTGTCGCCCTTTGCCCTCTCTCTTCCGTCCTCCCTCCAACCCTCCAACCCTCCACTCCCCACTCTGGTTCCAACCCACCCCTCTTTCAATCCCTCTCATTGCTCGCCCTCTTTACCCTTTTGTCGCGCGTGGCCCGACCTTAATCCTTCTCATATTGCTAGTGGTCCCTAGGTCCCTAGGTCCCTCGTCCCTTAGTCCCTAGTCCCCTTCGTCCCTGCCACGCTATTAATAACAAAACGCCCCCCTCCGCTCCGCTCAGCACTGAGGGTACTTTCTTGGAACGACATGTGGACACACAACGGACCACCTCTTGTCCGATGCACCCCCTCCTGTCCCCTCTTCTCCCCTTTTCTCCCACGCCCCCTCTTCGCTGCTCAAAGCACCCTCTCCACCGCCATCACCACCGACCACCGACCACTGACCAACTACTCCAAATGGAGCGTGGGCTCGCACGTCCACGTACGTTGTCCACATACCACCCACTATCATTATCCGCCATGGCATCCGTCTCCTCTTCGTCGTCTCCTCTTCCCACGCATCACCGCCTATTGGCGCCTTTTTTTTCTTTACTTTACTTTGACTTTTCGGGCATTGCTCAGCACTTCTGTGCTGCGACACCGCGGCTTAGCCGAATTGTTACCGCATGTCTGGTCTATCTCTTTTTCGACTCTGCTTCCTCTTTTTTCCCACCCTGCGCCCTCTAGCTCTTGCTCTTTTTATCTTGCATCTTTTATTGGAGGACGTGCAGTAGAAGGACGGGCTCCTCGCTGATTCCCTTTTTCTTTTTCTTTACTTTTACTCCATCTTCCCTGCATCCGACTTCTATCTTTATCTCTCGCCGGGCTTTGCTTTGCTTCTGGTTCCCTACCCGCCGCCCACCCCCATACACACACCCCCACCTCTTCCGCTTGTCTTTGCCCTCGTCCCGCCTTCCTGCCGCGCCCCCTCCTCCTGCCCATGATCTCGAATATGCCTGCGTCTTGTTTCCCAGATTAGGTGAAGCCCCGAGATAAAAAGAAACGCATAAGAAAGAAAGAAACAAGAGACTCCAAAAGACGACGAGGTGTGGGAAAGAACCAAAGAAAAGGATCGAGAAAGGCGAGCCGGGCTGTATCGGTATCGACACGCCTTGCCCCGAGAGAGAGGAGTACAACGTAACACTGAGGGAACACCAAGTCAGAGAAGCACAACGTCAAGAGTACGGAGAAAGACGGGGGAAGACAAGGAGCATCCAAAGCCATTCCACCATACAATCCCATCCTCTTCTGTCCCCCCCTCCTTCGCTCTCCTTCACCCCCTCCTCGTCCTACTCCTCCTCCCCCACACACCCAATCATGGCTAGGACCACACAGCGCTCAGAGAAGCGCCGCCAAGACAGGAGCTCCGAGGCAGACGAAAAGGCCACTGCCTCACTCTCCAGTGCTGGTGTCATGTCTCCCGGCAGCGGCGATGAGGATGTCGACACACGTGTGCCCTCACCAACGACACGCCAGCCGCCGATATCGTCGTCCTCCTCCTCCTCGTCTGAGCCTTCGTCCTCGCGGCCGGGCGCTGCGGGGACCGAGGGTGCTGAACCTCTAGCCACCACTTTCCTCACGGGATGGAGGCTCGTGGTGGGAATAACAGGGTCCGTCAAAGCTCCATAACCAACCCTCCCCCGTTCCTGTCCCCGCTCTTCCGTTGGATCCGGCCTTTTTAGTGCTGACTTGCTTTTGTGCGCTTGCCGGCTGTAGACTTCTGCTATGTCTCTATCTTGTAAACCTCGAGGTGACCATCGTGAGCACGTCCCTGGTCAGCATCACCAATGATCTGTCCGGGTTCGAAAAGACCAACTGGGTGATGACCGGCTATCTCATCACCTACACAGGTTGGTAGCCCTCTCTCTCTCTCTCTCTCTCTCTCTCTCTCCATCCAGAAGAACAGAGGTGATCAACTAACTTGTATCCGTATCACGTAGGCACCGTCATCATATGGACCAAACTCAGCGATGTCGTCGGTCTCAAGGCCGCCCTCATCTCCACCATGGTCTTCTTCACTGCCTTTTCCGGCGGTTGCGGCGCGGCCAAGACCATTGACCAACTGTGAGTAAAAGAGTCGCCATTCTTGTTGAACTCTCGTCTGTTTTCTTTGAAGATTAACCAGAATCGCCCGCCAGAATCATCTTCCGAGCGCTGCAAGGCGTCGGCGCAGCGGGTGCCTACTCCCTGTCGATCCTCGGCCTCTATGAAGTCATGCCCAGGGAGAAACTCGCGCTGGGAAGTTCCTTGGTCGCTCTTTCCATTGCGCTGGCCACCCTCAGCGGCCCGCTCTTCGGCGGCGTCATCAACATGCGCACGACGTGGAGATGGGTATTCTACGTAAAGTGAGTTCCAACCGCCGTGTACTCCTAGCTGTTCACTACCCCGATGCAAAAAATGAAATGCATCTCCCATTCGTTTGTTGCTAACACATGTATTCCCCACGGCCAGCGTCCCCGCCGGAATCCTCGCCATCGCCATGGTCGCAGCCACCCTACGCACACGCGTCCAAACCTCCCCTACCACCCGAGACAACAGCAGAAGCAGCAGCAGCAGCAGCAACGCCTGGGCCAGCCTCAAGCGCCTCGACTTCCTCGGCGCCTTCCTCCTCCTCTCCGGTTCCCTCCTCCTCGTCACCGCCGTCCAAGAGACCGCCCTCGAGTTCTCGTGGTCCTCCCCGCCATCATCGCCATGCTCGTGCTCGCCGCCGTCAGCTGGGTCGCCTTCTTCGCCTGGGAGCGCCACGTCACCGCCCGCTCCGAGAGCGGCGCCTGGTCCGTCGAGCCCATGTTCCCCTGGCGCCTCGTCCGCAACCGCCCCTGGATGGGCATGCTCATCACCACTTTCGTCATCGGCGCCCCCTTCAACGTCGCCATCGTCTCCCTGCCCCAGCGCTTCCAGGTCGTCTCTGGCGTGTCCGCCCTCGGCGCCGGCGTGCGCCTCATCCCCTTTTCCGTCAGCAGCGCCCTCAGCGCCGCCGTCGCCAACTTCGTCTGCAGCGTCGCCCGCATCCCCCGGCCTACTTTGTCCTGCTCGGCGCCATTCTCGATTTCGTCGGCGTCGGCCTCTTGTCCACCCTCCCCATCTACTCTACCGCCTTTCCCGGCGTCGGCTACTTTTACGAGGTGCTCACCGCCGTCGGGCTCGGCATCAATATCGGCATCCTCATCCTCGCCACCCCTACATGATTGAGGCGCGCGACATCGCCGTCGCCACCGGAGCCATCGTCCAGTTCCGTTTCCTCGGCGGCGCCATCGGGCTCAGCATCGCCGCCAACATTCTCAACTCCGCCCTCAAGCGTGATCTAAAGGACATCCTCGATCCCAGCCAGCTGGCGTCCCTGCTCGTCAATATTGGCGTCATGGGCAATTTCTCCGACGCCCAGCAAGATGCGGTGCGGTCCGTTGTGGCGAGCCCACCGGACGCAGTTTCAGGCAATGCTGGCCTTTACTGCCGTCCAACTTTTTCCGCCCTCATGGTTTTCAAGCGAGGCGAGCAGATTCGGACGGTGGAGAAAAAGTAAGCGGTTGGGCTGGCAACTTATGAAATTACGACGGGACGAGACAGGCTCTCGAGGTTGATGACGATAATCACAACCACGATAATGACGTTGATGATGGATTATAATGATGGGTGGTAATCATCAAACCACCCTTGGTCAAGGACTCACGGAACTATCTAACGACTTTTATATATATATATGATATGTATATGTGCATGTGGAAAATACCTAATGACATATGTATATACATAATACACGCAAACACTGGTGCCCTCTCTTATCTTGAACTCTATAGATATGTACCGGCCATGTCACTCAGTTCCATCCATCCATGGATGATTCTATGGCGGATGTGTAGATGTCATTCTCTCCCTTCCCACACACCCCCGCTTCCTTACCCGCGGATATGTAGGGCTGAAGGAGAGGAACCCACTCACACACCAAAATCAACTTGTCCACTCCGCGAGGCTTGGCTTGTTTATTTTGGGGGACGCCATGGCTGCGTGGCGAACAATGGGAGACTTGGCTTCCCGTCCGTGCGACAGTGTCCACCTCCCGCCGCTGGTCCCTTCTGCCATGATCAAATGAGGTTTAGCGCGACGGGTTTAGGCCGGTTTCGAAGATAAGGGGATTTTGTTTGAATACAACCACCCGAGTGTCCCCTCGAAGGGGCCTAGCGGACTTCGTATCGCGTTTGTCAAATTTTACTCGGCTTTATAAGAAAATGGAGAAGAGAGAGGGCGGGAAAAAAGCACTAACATGGGTGAGATTCAGCTGAGGCTCGTATCTGTTTGTGTCCGTGATCCATACCTCTCTCTCTAGGCGAGCACACCAGATAGAAGTGGTTTTGGACACCAGTCATCTTACCGTAATCTTTTTCAGTCATTTCAGTCATCCATCGTATATCCCAAGACTTCACGTTTGGTTGTTTGATGTGATTCGAGGAGTGGCTTTTGGGAACGGAATAACAGCAGGTACTTCAGGAACAGATATCGTTAATTATTGAACATTGTAATTGTGCCTATGTATAGAGGAAAAGGAAATATCAAAACGACCGTCCAAGACTCTAGGAAATATCATTATTCATACATGGACCCTGAACAGCGGGCCCGGCTACTCCGTCGTGCCTTCTCTCACTCCCACCACACGACGCGAATATCCCGCAAGGTATTGGATCTGCTGTGTACGCCCCTGCCATCGACGTGATGGTTCGCGAGATCATCCACGTACGAGACATTCAGGCCCGCCTTGGCGTAGGCCTTCTCCACCTCCTTGTCAAACGCGTATGCACCGTTTATCATGGGGCCCCAAGGCTTCGAGCACACGTACGTGTCGCCGAGGACCACGCCGCTGATGGCGAACGGACTAAAGGCGACGAGGTGCCTTTCGCCCTTGACAAGCGGAGAAATCTCGGCGGGGAGTCCTCCGTCTGGAATGGGGAGGGCGAAGTCCGCATCTTTATAGAGAGAGGGCACTCGAATTACATCCTTTCCGCTGAGGGGTATCTCGGCAAGGAGGATCTTGAGGTTCGCTTCAATGTGTTTCTGGGCGTATTCGTTCGCTTCGATAAACGTCAAGTTCGAAAGGGCGTCCGAGATGGTCATCCGGGGATTTCGGTGGCTCGCATGGCTATCTGCCTGGCTGATGGCGAGCGTATCCCCGTAACCACCGTCCCTCGCGCGACGCAGGATGTCCAGTCCAGACGCGGGATCGGCGACGGCAATGGTGAAGCCTAGGCTGTTGGTGAAGGGCACAAATTGCACGAATTCGTCCACGTGGCCGAGGGCCAACCAGCCCGCCTCGAGCATCAAGGGCGTCTGGACGCCTTGCGCTCGCAAGAAATCCAGTATCACGCGGGCGGGCTCCCGGTGGAAATGTTTCCCCACGACGATGCGTCCGGCGTTGTACTCGACGCCCTTGCGCGATGTATACGGGGGTATGGTCTCGAGGTTTCCCAAGCTATCGATCTCGCGGCTGCCGAAACCCGAATCCGTCCCGCTGGGGGTTGAAACCCGCCCACGCCCGGTCCCCGCAGCTGCTCAAACACCTGTCGTCCGCTCGCACGGGTGGACTGCGCCGAGCGAAGCATCACGCGGATCGCCACGGGACCGCGGGGGCCCGGCATGCTCGCGTAGGCGGGCTCGAAGAAGTCCTGCGCCCAGACGTCGCTCGACTGGTTGAGGAGGAGCAAGGGGTTTCGGATGCCGGCGGCCACGCGCGCGGCGTCGAGTTTCTGGACAAAGGCCTCTTGCCCGGGGTGCGCCGCATCGGGCGCGGTGCTGACGATGGTCTCGACGGCCTGGAGGTTGTGGTGCGTGAGAACGGGCGCCATCTTCAGGGCCACTTCGTCCGAGACGCTCCGGGCCCCGTCCACGACGTCGAAGCGGACGGTCACGGACCCGTCCCACACGGCGGCATCGGCTACGATTTCCCGTCCGTCGATGCGGAGCGTGATGCCCTCCCGCAGGCGCGCGGCATCAAAGGCGAACTCTGAGTCCACGAGCGTCCACGAATCGGTGTCGTCGGGCTTGGCGGGGTTGTGGAGGAGGAAGATGCGTACCCGGTCGCGCGGCGCGCGGCGTGGCGTAGATGCGGGCGTGCGCGGCGTCCGAGACGCCCGTCATGGGTACCGTCCGCAGGGGGCGGCGTACTCGGGCGCGAGGAGGAGGTGGCCCGATGCGTCGTGGCAGGAGGCGAGCTCGTCGTTGCTTAGGGGTTTCCGACGGCGTCGTGGGTGCGGCACCGGTAGTACTTGTCGCCGACGTTGGGGAGGAAGATGGCGCCGCGCCGCGCCGTCCAGATGGCTTTGGTCGCGGAATCGTGCGAGGTGCTCGTGATGTCGACGACGCCGTCCCGGTTGGTGTCGGCGCGAATGTCGGGCCGGAGAGCGGCGGCAGCTTCCGGGTCGGTGTTGCCTAGGCTCGAGAGGGAGAAGATGCCCAGGGGCACTCGAGGCCTTTCCGCCGTGAGGAATCCCGTCGTTGCCGTGGAGGATATTAGTTTGATCAAGACGACGGCGCAGAGGAGGAATACGCAAAGGACAACGTCCTCGTTACGGGGCGGCGTACTCGTTCCATGCCGTACATGATGATATTGGCGGCGATGAGAGATGGCTCCGGTGTAAGAGGTGGTTAAAGGAGGGTCCCAAAGAGGGATTTTCGTCGTCCTTTTGATGTTTGCCGGCTTGCCTTGCTCTACCACTTTAGGAAATGTGTCAAGCGGTCTTTGCAAGACAATGGGTGGGACACGCCTCACCCTCCTGACTGTGATCGGCAGATGTGTCTCGCAAAAAAGAAAAGAAAAGGAAAAAAGTCTTGTCAAAGTGTCAAAGTTGTAAATTGATGGCCTTCTTGCGATCTCAATGGATTTTGTCGGACACTCTCCCGCAGCATCCACCGCGACTACCGTCCTCCTTGAAAAACCGGGGGGCAGGGACGCCATCGGGGGCGGCCCTTTTGCCCTCTCGCATTATTATCGTGAAAGTGGGCGTTTCCCGTTCCACAAGCATCGTGCACAAAAAGGGGCGGTGCACTGAAAGGGGACTTTCTTCCAATTTTTCCCCAATCGGGTTTAGCTGCGTCCCTGAGGGCCTCTGGTTCCATTCCCGGATTCGGTCACAAAATCGGGCGAGAAAGCGCGCCCACCTCCGCCCTTATTTTCCCCTAAGCTCTCCATTTGCAATACGAGAACCAACTGTCGCTTGCGGAGATGAGCTGGTTTTTTGTTTCCTTCCTTTTTTCTCTTTTTAGTTTCATCCACCCGTTCAGGCCCAGGGGTCTTTCCTCTCCGCCCTTGACCTGCGTCGGCACATGTTGGCTTGCCCCAGCTACGCAACTAGTGTAGTCACGATCGAGCAATACGAAAAAAACAGGGAAATTATGGATGACCAAAAAGAAGAGGAAACAAGCGACGAGCGACGGCAGGTAAATAGAGTCCAAGACACGATGGGAAAGTAACTCAGACCCATTTGACAGACGTCAATAGACAGGCCTTTTGAGAATGTGTTCCACGGAGGTTTCGGCCGCTCCAACACTGAAACCCGTTGTGGGCAAATTGCCTGTCTTCAAAACTCTCTCACCATTTATTCCCCTTCCCCTTCCCCTTCCCCTTCTCACTGCCCAGTCCCAGCCCTACATGCCCCAATTAGAGTTGTGCCTGTGATAGACATCCGGGGTTGCGGCCATCGATCGATGGACGGGGATCCAGGATCTCTAGGCAACTCTCCAGGCCAAGAACCGCCCGTGGACGTCCGTCCCCTCCCCTGACAGGTGCCGAGGTCCACTCGATGGAGCGAAAACTATAATAGGAACAGGCATTGACCTCGATTGGATAAGACCATGCATCGGCGCCCTTCGCCGGGAAATTGCGTCTTCTTTGCTATGCCCCCTCCCTGACTGCGTTGGCCATGATCTGATACACGTGGGTTGCGAGACACGGTTTTAAAAGGACAGATTTGGCTCCACGGCAATGCCCTCGGTTGCTCGAGGCCACCGCCTCCTCATGCGAGAGAATCGAGGCATCTCCTCGGCGAAGGCAACTTGAGTTGCACGAGCACATGGTGAGGAACGAACGATCGTGTGGAGACATGCCTGGTGGCACACTCGAATCGAGGTGACCCCCAAGGCAAAATTGTAAGCAGACTCATCTGTGCCTGACGTGTAGATCACTTGGAAGCTAGACTGTACTCGGCCTAAGAAAAGGAAAGAAAGAAAAAGGAACAAAAAAGAAACAGGGCCACACTCGCGCAAGAGTTGCTTCTTTCTGGCCAATGCTCTCTGCTCCACTCCAAGTGCTGCAACCCCTTTCCGATCTAGCATTCGAAGCTGGCCTTGGAAAAGAATACCCGCCCTCATGTCCCGGGAGATGCTGTGATCTTGCATGAGAAAAGTTTATGTGGATTCGGGTGGGAACAAGCCTCGATGCTCGAATCGCCCAGATACCCTGGATTAATAATAATAATAGGAAACAGATCAGGAAGAAAAAAATGGACCTGCTGTCAAACCTACGATCCTGGCTATGAATGCTACATGTAGTCGGTGAAAGGCAGAATTGCTTCGCATTGAGACTCCTTCCCCATGATCCTACCTTGATCCTTGCGCTAAAGCTCCGGCGCGAGTGTCTTTTGCGTTACCACTCCACGCCCGAAAATCCATCAGCTCCGTGCACGCGCCACGGGATCATGCGCGTCTCGTATTCCCATTCTCACCAATGGCTTGGCGACGATAGCTTGGCTAAACGGGATCCTTTTCTCGTTGTACGAAGAATGGCCCCGGGATTCGCCCTCTCCCCCGGTCTCGCAAAAAGTGTGGAATGTCGACTACAAGCCAATTCTGCACACGACAGTTGGGGGAAAAAACCCTTGTCCCCTGCCAATTCTGGCAACCGTCGCTTCGGCCAAACAATACGATACGATGCCATCAAGTCATGGACCCTGGTTGGTTTTGGTAATGTATTACAGCTTGCTCACTTGCAGATGTCGACTTTGGCGTTCTCGGCCAACCCTAGCTTCAGCTCGCTCGCTTGCCCCCATCATCACCCAATGTTCATATCACTCATTGTCATCAATTCGTTAACAAGCCCAAACTCTCAAAAAACTCCCTCACAGCATCATCGTCATTTCCGACACACGGCCACAATCGCCCTCATCGGGATTCCCATCCCATCCCTGCCGTCCGGCATCGTATACGGCACGCTCGTCTTCCTCACCAGGTTCCCCACCGTCTTGACAAACTTCTTCTTCTCGTGTTCCGGCCAGTCGTGGTACAGCATCTGGAACGAGAGAATCAGCATCTGCGTCAGGTCCTCCTCGTCGGGCGCCCCGTAGTGCACCGTCCTCTCCGCCATCTCCACGTCGCCGAACCCGCCCCTCCGCATCACCTCCTCCACAAAGTCGGGCTGGAACCACGCTGCGGAGATGGGCAGCTTGAACACCGGGTCGCACGGCCGGATGAGCCTCTGCGCGGGGTGGATCACCCGCGTGAGATAGCCCAGCTCCGCCCACGTCGTCACCACAGCGACCCCGCCGGGCGCGAGGGTACGGTAAATCTCCTTGGCCCCCTCGTCCTCGTCGGAAAAGAACAGGATCCCGAGGTTGGTGATGCTGTGCGTGAAGGATTCGCTCTCGAATAGGTCCAGACTCTCGCCCGGCGCCGCCGCAAACGAAAGCCGGGCGGCGTGCCGACTATCCCTAAACTTGGCCCGCGCCAAATCAACCATGTTCTCCGCCGCATCGACGGCCGCGATCTCCGGCACCGCGGTACCCTCGTTTTCGCATCGCCGGATAATTTCCTCGGCCACGAACGCCGTGCCGCAGGCGTTATCAGGATCCTGGCCCCGGGTACGGTAATGGATTGAAGATCGGGAAGATCGAGAAGGTCGCGCGCGAGTTCCCAGGTGCAACCGCCCGTCGATCGCTCGTACTGGGAGGCCGTCGAATTAAAATGCTCCGCCGCAGTTTTGGGGGACTGGCGGCCCGGCGAGGAAGGCGAGGATGGCGAAGACATGTGTTCCTGTTTTAAGCCTCCCTCGCAGCGATCGGGTCTCTGGTGGCGTTACAAGGGTTGTTCGGTGATAAGGAGGGTATCGATAAAGCTACAAGGAAATAGAACAGGGGAAGGAAGAAAGGAAAAAAAGAAGGAGGGATGCGAGATAATGCGAGGTTCCCCACGATTTTGCGATAGGTAAGAAAAAGGTTTCGCCTCCCCCTTCCTTTCCCTTTCCCCCTTGACGGTCTGCGTCGGTGTGGGCGGACTACCGACGCGATGCGAACGCATGACACGTGCTTTTGACAAAGCGAAATGACTTGCGATAATCTGAGAACCAGAAGGCAAAAAGGCCGCTAGTGGCCGGCAAGCAGACGACAGCTGCAGCCCGACTAGTGGAAAAGCTGACCCGCGAATAACCCCGTGAATAAGCCCGCTTAATCCCGAACCAGAACGCGGCCGTCCCGACACTAAAAGGAGCTGGAGGCATTGATGGGATGCCAAGAAGCCTGACACGACAGTTTTATATAATGGAAAATCCAATCAAGCGTAGCATCCACGAAGAAGAGAGGTCCGATATCACAGACCAGACGGGAGCCCCCATCATCGCTTGGGTTTATTCTCTTTCCCGTTTGCATTTTTGCCAAACTGCTCCGCGGCTCTCTCATCCCACGCTAGGCTTAGCGCAAACCTTCTTAAGCATTTTGGCTGTGTTGGGTTGCTTCTGAGAGAGTGCAAAGAACATCATTGATGCTAGCTTGAAGCGGGGTACCTGCGCCATTCGGCCTGCCCCTCACTTTTCACTGCCCAGTGTCAACTCGTCGCCCACGAATCAGTGAACTTTCCTGCCCAAGGAGACACTTGGGCGGTAGCCCAACGTTTTGAAATTTCCGATTCATCGAGAAGATCTAAATGGACGCCGGTGACCACCTAGCTATCCCTCCACGTCTTCAATAGCAAACAGAATCCGTAAATAGATTTTTAAAGTGGGGGTAGGCTAATCGAGATCCTCACTTAACTGGTGAACCCCCTTGACCCCCATTTCCACCATGAATAACCTTAACCCTAAACTGGGGGCAAGCGAAGGGTCAAAGCGTCCGCCGAGCCAACTCCTGTCCATTGCAACCATGGCTAATTGCGAGTGATATATGGCTGAGGAAAAGCTATAGCTTGGTGATCAAGGTATGCCTGGTATCACACCCATGATAACTTTCTTCTGATGAGTGAACCGGTGCTGCATTTCATGAATAGGCTGTCCGTCTCTTGTATTATTGCAGCCCCCACCTGGACAATTTGAACTTTGTCGAGGCCCAAGATGCCTTGGCTGCTGGAAGCCCGAGATGTCCGAGATATTTGGACTGCCTGCTCGACATATGCCACGGGAGTCGATGTCACTCAAAAGGAAGATGTTTAGTAGGCTAACATTGGATAATAGAGGGAGAAAATTGGGGCCATGAGATGATGTAATCTCGGTGGTCGTCTTGTGAGGCACTCGGAGTGTTGGCCCATCCACTGGCCCACCATCCTCGGTGCCGATGACATCATCATCGACAGCGTCACTTCTTGTTTGCCCCCTCCCCTCGGAACATTCTAGGGAAAGAATCGACACAGTTAACAAAAATATTACCATACAATGACGCTTCTTCGGGAAAAACGAGGGTGCTCGGTTATTTACGTAGCATACAAAATCTCTAGCGTCCACGAAAATCACAGCTTCCTACTTGATTCCACCACCACCTAACAAGCCCATACCACGATAGCATCAAATCACTCCATCCGAAGCGAACACGAAGCGAGAGCAAAAAGGACTACTTGCCAAGAATCAAGAAAGCAAGATGCTTGTCGATACGAAAGACAGAAATGAGGAGGAAATCTACGAGGGCGACCGAGTTTGGACGCGATACCGCGGCGAGATCCACGAAGGTGTTGTCGAGAAAGTCGTCGTAACGGAGGAGGAAGCACGTAGGGAAGGAGTAAAGCTTCCACCCAAGGTGAGACTTGTACCAAGCGGAGTGTAAGAGGGGACGGATGGAAACGGTCGCTAACTTTGATTGCGCGTAGGTCATATACACCGATCAGCACGGAAATAAAATGGCACATGGTCCGAGAATGCTTCAGCATGCCGAGGGAGAGGGCGAAGCGAAGAATCGCAAGGCAACGACGGACTCGACGCTAGAGAGAATCAAATAAATAATGTATAGGCGAACGAGCGAGTCAGGGGACGACGGGTCAAAATAAATCAACCTGATAGGAGGAACATTGCGATTTTTTACAACCAAGCGATATTTTAGTTTAATGAAGCCCATGTGTACATGTAGCGTTTGAGAGTCCAGGCGGTTTACATGTCTTCACAGGGAGCAGGAAGGAACACTGAAATCGAAGAAAGAAATATGATAGAACGAGACGTTGATATAAACACAATGTAACAAAGAATTCTATTCTATCCCATAAACTCCTGTGCGCGTATCAGACCGACCATAGCGGATCGTGATAGCAATGGTATCCTAGACGACAAAAAATGCAAATATGAGGCAGAAAAGCCAAGCCAAAATGAATCTGTTGTTCAGCTTTCCGTTGCGCAATAGCCTTATTGTCGCGAGGATTCTACGCCCTCCTCCCTTGAGAGCGACTGCGCACACGACGATGAGATCGATGAGGGTGTCGTCAGCCTCCACGAAGATCTCCAAGTCCCTGTTGCCCCACGATATCGAAGAGGTGTTGTATCGCGCTAGTGTCCGTCGCTGGCTATCCTTCAACACCATGGCCTCGCCAATGATGCCTGTGGGTGCCCAGTACATCTGACCCATGTGCGTCCTGACGAAGACGCGGTACTCGGCGCCGTACCACTGCCGGGAGAAGCTGAGTTCCCAGTCGCCGACCCAGACGTGGGTGACGCCGCGAACACTGGAGATTTCGATGGTCCCGATGGGTGTGCGCTTGCCTTCGGGAAGGATGCGGTAGATCTTCCTCTCGTTCTTGAGCTTGTCGATGATGTAGCGCGGGGTCTTTCCGCCCTGCGCGTCTTTGGTGTATACGGTGTTGTTTTCAGGCCCGTTGAGGGTGATGAAAGGACCGCCCTGGGGTCGAGATCGGAAGAGCGAGCACATTGTGGAAGTTGGAAGAAAAGAGGGTATTTGTTGGTTAGGGACTAAGTGTAAAGGGGTTGGTTGTTGAGCTTTCAATGTTGAATATGATGGATGTGTGCACTGATTGAGTTTGCAGGATCGAGATTCTGTCTCTTGAGTTGTTTTATTGAGTGAATGTTCTGCCCTTTGAATTATTTTCTCGACTGGCGGAACACGATCTTTAAATACTGCTCAAGACGCCTCAAGACGTCGATTGTCGCAAGGTCCCGTCACCATCTTCAATCCGCTCCTGAGAGGCGGTGCGCCTGTCGATCATCACGAAAAACTTCCTTTAGGGCCTGTATTTCGTCGCCGCCCCGGGAGTCGCGCGCGACTTCTTATTTCCTAATTAGGAAAAACTCAGCGCTGCCACACAGCCCGCCGTCCGTCGCTCAACTCTCACACGCGCTCGTGTGTGGGGAGGAATTTCAAAGTTTCTCGGGGTTTTCGGGCCTGGCCAGTCACGGGCTGCCTAGGCCCACCCAAGCCCGCCGATCCGATGACGTGAATGCGGGCCGTTTCTGTTTCGTCTGCCACGGTGACTGGAGAACCTGGGGTTGGGGCATACCAGCGCGCTTCTTAGCCGCTTCTCGAAAAGATTCTTGCCTCATCGGTCGGGAAGATTGGAAAAGTTCAAAGAATACTCTTGAAGTGAATCAGAGTGACTCATACGAGCATATAACATATCGGGGTTGAATACGAACCCACTTCTTCCAAGTGGTGGCGATCCCACGACATGTCTGGTAATAGTTGGGCTATGCTCGGAGAAGCAAAATACTTCGTGCCGATTGTGAATATCGCACGTCAATTTCTTAGGACAAGGGCGACAGACCGTTCGGTCCCATCATTTTTTATCTAAGCTGACACTCGTCGGCAGGGGCGATGATAGTTACTTGGCGAACTTGGCTACCAGTCACCGGGCCTGTCGCCAGACTTCAACGGCTTGATGGCAGTGCTAGCAGCAAGATAGATCGGACTGGAGACAATTTGAACTTGGCAGCCCATGCACATATCGAGCATCGCTCCCTATGGCCTGACTTAGGAGACGTATATGGTACGCCGTAGAGTATGCAGCCTCAAGGTGTTGCATCGCGGTGCTATCACCCTGTTCTATGTGTACGCGGCGGGGAGGCTTCTCTCTCCTCGAGGAGACAATATTGCATGTTGCCGCAGGTTGGCCATTTAACGTTGGGATTGGTCTGGTCAACATGGAAGGGCCGCCCTGTGAGTGGAGGGATATTAGCTGGACGTTCTAGATATGACCTCCATCTCGTGGTGAGATACGTAGAGCAAGGGGAGGAATAGGTAAAGTACAACCTCAACAGAGAGCTTCAGTGTGCAGCTGCCAAAGAGAACGCATGGGTGTCTTGGGTAGCAGGAAGTACGATCCCTTGATCTTCGACATGTATGAAAGTTGCATGGTCAGCACCCATAGGAAGCTTCTCAAATTTTGGAGAGATCTAGCACGCCGGATACTTGTCAAGGAGGCAGTTGCCCTTCAGCTATTGACAAGAGAAGGAGCTCGAAATCGACCTCGAGGTTCGGCCGAGGTAAACGGGGAGGCAGTATACGCAATTCACCTGGCCGAATGCACAAGGGGATCTCGATAACCAGGGCTTCGGGTTCCTTGGACTCCGGTGCAGGCATAGGGATGAACGTGAGATTACAGTAATGCACTTAAGACAAGGCAGGAGGGGATTGCCACAAGTCCCTGACTCAGAAACCGGAAACTCCAGTCACCCAAATCTTGATTTCTAAGAAATCGCGGCATCCGTACAATCCCACATGCCAAACACATCCGGTGGAGTTTGATCAAAATAAACCCCTCGAGTAAGTGGAGAAATCATTGTAATTTCCATCTTCTATCCCTCTTTCGCCTCGATTGAGCATCACGCTGAGGAGGCGTTGTCCTGTATGGCGGAAGTTACGAGAAAGGGCCATCTACGCTAAATACGGAAAAGTGCTTCTATTTCTTGTTTTTCTTCTTCTTCCTCCCTCTTTCCATCTTGCTCTTTTTCTTCGTGTTCTCAAGGTGAAGGCTGGTGAAATCGTCCGGGTGGTGAGCTGGCGTAGCCAAGTGGAGCACTTTCGACGATGCCCCGGCTCGAGAGACGGAGGCTTGGTGATAATCTTAGCCCGCGATGTTCGCCCCCTCCCCACAAAAGGAAGCACGCCAGCCCCTGGCCCCACCGAAAGAAGGTCAATGCGTTCTTGAAGGCGACGCATGTTTATGGTTAGAACAGGCGAGCTTTTAGGCTCAGCAGGCGAATCGACGATAACTAGGCTAGGGGAGTGAGGCCAAAAAAAAAAAAAGAAAAGAAAAAGGAGATGGAGTAAACGCTTCCCGTAGACAAACCCTTAGATAAAGCGAAGATACCGGACCAGCGTATATCACTGGGTAGCATAATACAATTTTGCCAAGTCTGAGAGCTCCACGTCGATGCTCCTCCCGTCAAAAGATCAAGATCACCTGGGATCGGGGATGTTGAGAACATCAAGGCAGTCCGGCGGGAGGATCTTTTTGCCCAGAGTCAGGTGCGTCTGAAACAAGGATATCGATATTAGTGGGCGCGAGCATGCAACGATGTGTTCGAGGATATTGCCTGCTCCTTTTCTGTCAAAGAGGGTGTATGCAGGGAAACCGAAGGATCGTAGAGAGTGTCTCCATTCCAAGCATTCGCAGGATTGACTAGTGGTGCTTAGCTGGAGGCTCCGCTTTTATGGCGATGTAGGTGCGCCCATTCCGGGAACCTGGGTCCTCTCGGGAGAAAGGGAAAGAGTAGAGAATGGAGATGCAGAGGAGGATCCCGTGTGTTTTTGTGAATCATGTAGGGTATTGTCTTTTTCTCTCTCTCTCTGGTGACTCCAAAAGTTAACAAAGGCTTCAACATACCCGCCTCCTCTACCTCGGTACATGGAATCAAACATTTAGATGGCTAGGCGGCCAGGCAGACCGTGAGTTAGAGTGGCGCCCATTGCGTGGACGGCTAGCCGGCTGGGCTTGTATCGGGCGGCGGGCCCCCTCGGCAGATCGTGCGCACGCCTGGTCCGCGCTCCTCGGTGATCGACCGCTATCGCAACCCGATCGTGGCTGGCACAAAAGAAGAGGGGAAAAAAAGAATAGAGGGGATCCTGAACGATGAGCGGTATGGGATCCGTCCAATGGCTGTCTATTGCTGGCCAAAGGTAGCGTCAAATGGGGCCTTGTGCCAGGAAAAAAATTTAATTAAAAAAGTAGAGGGTAGCAGCAGCATAAAGGAGAAACGGCAACGGCCTTCAAAGTGCATTCGCTTCATTTGGTCGTGATGGGAATAGTTCCTTCCAATCTCAATGGTGCGTGCTTAGCAGTCCCGGCGAATCCACGTTCAGCGTAGCATGGCAGCGATGGGTTCGAACCGGCGTAGACTACTCATATTCCACTAGATGGCACACGCAAAGTCAATTGCGCCTTGGCACAGGGGAATCTCTCCATGTGATGTGGTGGTGATGGGGAGTGCCTCTCTGTTCCCCGCCGCCGAGTGGCTTCAGGTCCAGTCCGTGCGATTTTGCTGTCCTCCGACCCGATCTTCCGGCAGGCGACCACTAAGCTTGGACAATTGGGTTAACAAGGCAGAAGGGGGACAAGATCTAATCCTGCCTCGCCCACATCCCGGCTAGCACGCCAGATGTTGGTTAGGACGCCAAGAGAGCGGTGGCGTCAGGAACTATCCGGGACGCTTCCGAGATGGCTGCTGGTGTTATTTGGATGATGTGCTTCAGAATGTCTATTGCTATTGGTGAGCAATTTCATCTTATCCTCGCCGATTGTTCGTTCGCAAAAACAGAGGCATGCCATGTCAATTCCGAAAGGACAAGAGCATGGAAAATAGACCAAAACTCGCCCGGAGCATATCAGAGCCAAGGAAGGCTTCAGTCGTGGTGGAGACTAGGAACCGAGAGAGGAGGTTCAGCCCCAGTTCTAAGATTGGAGAATGAGACGCTGTCCACCAGCTCCTGTTATCGTGGCTAGTGACGTCCAGGTCTACCAGGCCACACTCAAGTCCAGGCCTAATAATAATACTCCCATTGCTGCGAGTCGATCATTCCACTTGCTCTCCGTTCCCCAGGGGCTGATGAGCTTGGCGGGTGGAGTGCGACGAGGATCTTCACGGCGAATACTACCCTACCATGAAGATTATCAACTGATGCGGCAAATATAGATACATCAATTGATGTCGCAGCAAGGGAAGTGGGAACATTAAGTTGAAGTGCATGGGACATCCCGGAGTCGGAATGCAACGCTGCCTCCATCGAGTACCGCATCCTGATGCATCCATAGGAAGGAGGCAAGCAATCATCACACCATTACGACAAACAAATTTCAGATTCGGGAAGATTTTGAATCGCTTCGCACCCCTCGACAAGGAAAAGACTGCCCGAGATTATCTCCATAGACGTAGCTCGTGATCAGTCGGCATATACAGTGCGCATGGCGGCCTTTGTGTCGACCTAGATACTCATACATAACGGATGTAGACTCACTGATACAAGTAGCAAAGGGCTTCATACACCATGAAACTTTAAGCCATACGTGACATGGAAAACACCTGGCTAGCTCGACGTGGGTTTCAAGTGTGACTTTGAGGGAGAAAGGAGAGGCAAAACATGCACCATATCAACATGGCATGAAGAACAGCGGAGCAGGCGTCTAGACTATACGTGTAGACAGACGATGTGGAAAAAAGAGGAGGGATCCGGCAACTTGGTCTTTGGATCACCCTCTTCTTCGACGGTCCCGAACAAAAATTTAACGTTTGATTGGTCTTTTTCGGGCTTCTTTTAGGGGCCTTTTCGTGCCTGCAGGCCAAGCATTCGAGAGCTTCAATGTTCCGAAAAAGAAATCTGGCTTTCAGTCTATTTTGATCTTGGCGTTTCTCCATCTCAGCCACACCACAAGGCGAACACCTTGAGAGAAAGGGACTGTCCACTTTTCATTCCTGGGTTCGTGCTAAGCATCGGATCCATCTTTCCGTCATTCGTCAGGGTGCGATATTTACTCGTCGTCGTATCTCTTGGTACCTATGCCAACGACGAAAGCCGGTCCCGTACAAGCAAAGAACTAAAATACCAAGAACAAGGATAGCAAGGTCTAAATACACAGTCTACAAGCGAAATTCCGCCCTCTTAGCTCCCAATTCTAACCCAATGCAACCAGTGGGCGCGGTTTCAAAAAAGTTGGCCTCGATTTTACTTTAATCGCCTTCCTGTTTGGGCTTTGGCGTAGCCCTGCACCTCTTCACAAATCTGGAATCAAAGTATTGATTGGGCCTTGGCAGCTTCCTTATGGAGACTAGAAAACCTAGCACAGACTCACCAAGTTGTATGATGAACACGACACAGCAAGGGTGAAGAGACAGATCAGAGGCAAATCGAGAGCCTGCTTGGACGAAAAAGAAGATGGCCCTTGAGCACCCCTCCCTAATCACCATATTTTCGAGATCGGCTTGAGGTGTTTGCTTGGGCCCCCTGCTGGCATGAAGCATACGCGGTCCAGGGCTAAAGATGGCGATATCAAGGCGATACTGGGGTGCAAAACAGCCTGCAAACCTATCTGCAGACCTCCCCAAATTACCCGGTACAGGAAGGAGAGAAGCAAGAGGCATTCATCTATGCATTCGATCCCCTGTTGCGAATAGCCCTGGACTCTTTACCCCAAGCCAGAGCATCGCGTAGGAACAAAAGAGTTGGCTCAAGGATGGAGCTGCCCTGCATGCGGGCGGCATGCCTTCGTTGACACCACCGTGATTACCCCATCTTCCACGTCCGTCAACACACTCTGATCGACGGGGCGCCGCTGATCGCTGACGATCTTTCCCCGTGCGGACACACCAAGGCAAGGGGTGGAGGGGAGGAGGAGGAGGAGTGGAAAGGCCACCAGGGGCACATCCTCCCGCGACGGAACGGAACCTGTGCCGCAGACGAGCGAAACGTCCCAACGAGGTAAAGGGCATCATCTCGCTTTGATAGAAAGTAAGCACCAAAACAACAAAAACCACACACTCAAGGGCGAATCGGCATAGCTCGGCGTGTTTCTCCTCTGGTCAGGGCTCTTGCTTACTTGCTACGTCCGGCACCTCTTCGCCCCCAGTGCATATCTCGTGAACTAAGGTTGCCGAGCCGCCGGGTGACCGGCCACTCCGCCCCCAACCCTCCCTGACTGCCTCCCCTCCCTCTATTATCCCCCGTTTTTCTTTAGAAGCAACGAGTAAATTAAACAATAGGCTATGAAGATAATTTTTCTTCAGTTCGCGCACGTCTTCCGCCCTACTACTATCTACTTCTTTAAGCTGGCCTCTCGTGAACTGCCGCGGACAATGGCTTTTGTGGGCCAGCGATTACACCAACGAAGCTAGTGGCGCCAGGCCGGACGCCGCCCTCCCCAAGCTCGCATCAACACCAACCACGGGTCGCCCACTCCCCAGTTCCGCGTCCCTCCCTCTCTTTCCCAGTGCATGGGATCCTAGGACTCGAACCGCCGCGCGCGCGCCACCTGCGTACGGCGTCTAGCCCTTTTTCCCCCGACCCACACACAGCGGTACGTATTGTTCTGTTTCCTGGCATCCCTAGATGTATACAGTTCAGTTGTTCCTCACACACACACCCTCCTGGCCTCTGACATGCCTTGTTGGCTTGGCCATGGCAGAAGGGGATGGCGTCTCTCGAGTTTCGCCCCTTCCCCCTCCTCCCTAGAATCTTTTGGGCAATATTCCGCCGGTCTAGCTAAAGCCCTGCTCTCTCCTCGATCCTCCTTCCCTTCACGTCTCTCCCCCTTGAAACCATTGATTTCTTGTTTTCCTTTCTGTTTAGGCCCTTTCCAAGGGTCCCCTAATCCCACGCCGCTCGCTCCAATTACGGTTTCCTGGGAATGCTACACCACGAGTGACTGGAATACGACACGTCGCTTTTCTTCCCCGGATTCTCTGCTTTCAGCGGGCCTGGAACATTTATTAGTCTACTCTTCTTTGGGCTACTCTATTCAGCGGAGCCCCATCCACCCCTGGCGGCCTTGGACCTTGCCCTCTCTCGCCGATCCTAGATTCCGTACTTAAAGCAAGGCCCATCCGCCGGCTTATCTGAATCCCTTCCTTCCCGCCAAACGCACTGTCCCAGCATTGGCTCGCCATCCAGCGCCCAGACGTCTCCGGGCCGCCCCTCTCTTATCTCTTCGCGGACTCATAAAGGGTGCCTCTGCGTGCCATATAACCCCAGAGCGTCCCTCATCCTTTTGATTCGACGCCCAAGCCCCGACGCAGCGGATCCATCAACCCCGCAACCAGCACCGACAACAGTCAAAAGCGAAGAGAGATTGACAGAACTATCGTGCCTAGGCACGCTTTAGCGAAGCAGAGGAGAGTTGCTCGACACGTCCCAACCATGCCGGGCGTCGTGAACGGTGTCGTGACCCCTCTGGAGGCCCCGGAGGGATGGGTAGTCAACTTCGATAACCCCGTGCGCCAGGCCGTACCCGCCGCGTTCTGGGTCTCCGGGTTCGGGCTATTCTTTAGCATAACGTTCATGGCCCAGAGGATGTACACCAAGATATTCCTCTCCGGGGGCTCCAGGTTGATGACTGGCTCCTAATCGCCGCGTTCGCCACTGCCATGTCGGCCATGGGCATCACGATACGTAAGTTTACCTCGAGAGTCTTGCGGATGGTGAAAGAGACGGAGGCGCCGCCTGCATCCGCGCCACCCCGTCCGGGCTTGAGCTGACTTGAACTTCCCGATCGATAGACATGTTTGCAAGCGGTGTCGGAGGCGTCCACGGCTGGGAGATAACGATGGATCAGTTTGCCCAGTGGGCCATTGACGTCTACGTAGCCGCGCCGTTGTACATGCTCTGCGGTTCTTTCGCAAAGCTGTCTCTCTTGGTCTTCTACCTCCGTCTCACCCCGCAGAGGTGGTTCCGCTATAGCGTCTGGGCCATCATGGCACTCATCATTGCCTACACCATCGCCATTGCCGTACCCCTCATCTTCTCTTGCAAGCCCATCTCGAAAGCCTGGGATATTTACATGACTGAAGGCGAATGTCTCAATACACCTGTCTTGTACTACGCCACTGCGATTTCCAACATTGCCTCCGATATCGTCCTCTTCTTCCTACCGCTTCCCATCTTGATCAAGTTGCAGATTCCTTTGCAACAAAAGGTCGGCTTGTTCATCATCTTCTCCATCGGATCAATGTAAGCCAAACTTACCCTCCTACATTCGTGTCCCCGATGTCGTTCTCTAGAATGGGAAGGCTGACTTGAGAATCAGGACAATTGTAACCTCGGTCATCCGTTTGGTCTTGCTTCCGAGGCTCGTAAATCCCACCGACCCAACCTGGGACATTGGCTACATCAGCTTGTGGATGTAAGTGGTTTTCCCCGTTTCTTCTAAAAGCTCGACTCGATTTTCCATAAGGCGCTAACAGCAGCTGGATAAAGTCTGGTCGAGGGCAACTTGCTCATCATGTGCGCCGCTCTCCCCACTTTCCGCAAGTTCTTCCGCCACGTCGCCCCGCGCATCATCGGAGAAAGCACGTACGGCAAGGGCCGGTCCTCGGGCCGCACTTCTGGCCGCACGGGAACCGGAGGCATCGGCACCCACACTCGCTACGGCTACGGCTCGCGTCTCGCGTCCCGCGTGCGCGAACGTGCCGAGGACGACGACTACGCTCGATTCCGTAACGAAGGCGACGCCTACGTCATGACAAACGTGCAAGGCGGCGTAGGAAAGGGTGGCGAGGGCGACTCTAGTAAGGGTGTCTCTTGGAACGACGACGACTCGGAAAAAGCCATTGTCGCGGGATCGAAGGATATCATCCAGACTACGACCATTGCGGTGGAGTTCTCCCGCGAGGGCGACGATCGGCGAGGTGGGAGCGCCAGCACATAAGGATCGCAGGCCTTGGTCTTTTTTTTTTCTCTTCTTTTCCAACGATCAAAATTATGTAATATGAACCCCGGGTCAAGCGGACAGGGAGTGTACACCTGTATAGAGAATCCGTCATTCGCTTGGCTATTAGATTATTTAATGATACACCGGGCGGGCGAGAACTTTCGTTATGGCTTGCCCGCCCACGCCCTCGCAGTGGATACAACCTGTCTGGACCTTCGTCTACCAGGCACTGCTTGAATGAAACGAGAAATGAACACATTCACGTACCATGGGAGATCATTTGTATACCACACATGCATTGAAGGGTTATTCTTAAGCGTCATGGCCCGCTATTTTACCGTTGTCTGATAACCAACGTCGTGTCAGCTGTGAAGTAAGAACATTGAATCGATTGATGACATTTAGGCAGCGAACTACAGACGCCAGCCTAGACCAAAGTGTTCTATATGGCTCACCCAAGACTCGAGTAACTGTGCGTCGCTTGGAGGGTCGCGATGATTCGTGTAAGACCGAATATTTGACTCTTGGTTGAGCCATTCCCACGCCTCGTATTTAAACCCTGTCAAAGCGCAACTTATAGTGTCCGCGTAGTTTGGGTGCTATTCAACAGCACATGGTATCTATTGGCCAACGTCCGATATCAAAGCTGCCTCCTCTCTCCCGCTTATGGTTATTTCTTTTGAATAAAACCTTTCCCTCAGCCACCACGAGATTTCAATGGTATGTTGGAGCACAGTCAGGACCGTCATGACACCAATTTCGAAGCCTCACGGCCCGCAGCAGTGGACGGGGAAGATATGGCTGCACGGCTCGTTTGAGCGACTTTGAGCATGTCGATTGGTTCGTGTGCGAAGGAAAGCGCCTTGAATAGGCCTTGGCTTCATTTAAGAAGCACAAATTCTGGGGCTGTTCAAGTCGGTGCGATCACATTCTGATCCCGCATCTGACATCAGAGTTTACCACACCACTTCCATGCATACGTGGGTGCCACAAAATATTGAACAGTATTCACAATCTGACTGCTCCACAAGACACACGCTGACGATTTCATATCTAGGATGGCTTGGCAGAGGGGGCGGTATCTCGAGGGTATACACTCGATGATGAAGGAGTAGCCTGATAAGTGCGGGTATAAAAGGCCAAACCCCGTTATGTTGAGAATCAGACCCGACAGTCTCATTCATATTTGCACTAAACTCGGAGAACGGTGAAGAAACCGAGCACTACTCCAAAGCTTGTACTCCAGTTACCACTTCCTCCCTCAACCTCGCTCGCCAAAATGCATCCCTCCGCGTTCATAACCCTTCTAGTCGTAGGCATCGCTAGCGCTGGTTCCTTGGACAGGCGCGACTCTTTTGACTGTGCTGGAAGCGGCTTGTGCGGCTCCGCGGTCAACTTTGTTCGGGACTGCGATATTGCCGTCAACACAGTTCTGATCCGAAACGACGATATCAACTACGGCGCTGCCGGGTATGTATCTCGAGTTCCCCTGCTGCCTTGTCTCCTTCTTCGCTTTGGTTTCTACTCGCGTCACTGACAGCACGCCGCTGTATGTTGAAAGAGAAAATTACTAACTCCGCTTCTAGAAGCAACAAAGCGGACGGTGCGCAGCGTGGTCGCTGCAAGATTTTTATCGCTGGTCCTCGCGACTGCCAGCGATCGGGGAACCAGATGTGGCAGGATTACCAGGAAATTCGGGGACATGGATGTGCCCGTTGCGGCAGCAAGCATTGGGGTCAGGATAACGCCTGTCGAACAACGGTCAACTACGTTGCATGAAGGAGTACAGCACATATTCTGTAGATACACTCTTGATCTTTTGAAGTATAAGCCGACTCCGCGGTACCACGTTGGGATCTATGTGAAGCGTTGACAGACTACTCGACCGAGGTACGTCAAGGGACTAAGCCAGGCTTACCTGTACTTACATGTACTGCAAGCCATCGCATCGAAGTCAAAGATTAGATACGGCCGATTCAACAATTAGAAATAATCAGAGGCGATTTTGAGAATTTCAATCAAACAAGACATATGGAGTTAAATGTGTCAATAGATTGTGTGGGCAACCAGCCCATTAACGGCGTTGAAAAGTGCTGGTGCAACCAGTATTCTCAGCAACCAAGGTCGGTTAGCTCAGTTGGTTAGAGCGTGGTACTAATAAACTATCCGGTTTATCAAGTAAATGCCAAGGTCATGAGTTCGACCCTCATACTGACCATTACCGTATTTCTTTTTCGATTTTTTGAGACTTGCTCATATTTTTTGTTCAGTGCTGGCTGGATGTGTCTATATTCCACTTCTTTTTCTACGTATAGTCGCAATTGATAACCGACAAAAGCAAAGACAACCTTGAATCCAGATAATCAAGTTTAGTTGACCGCCAAGCTTATCTTCAACCGGGGCCATCAATAGTTGTATGTCCCTGGGAACGAGATTGCGGATCCCGAGTCAGCGTTCCGGATACCGAGGCCAAGTCATTTTATCTACTTTCTCTTGCGGCTTTGAGTAAAGTTGATAATCTTGAAGCCCTTCTGCAGAAGCCGCAGATGATTCTTGGGCCCGCATCATATCAGGCAGCAGGAGGGATCTGCCAATGCATCCCCATCCATTGCAAACCTGGTTGCGGCGCAGCAGCATCGCAACGCCAAGGAACCAATCAAAACCACGACGGAAGCAGCAGGTCAATTTCAAGTGGGCAATTCCCCATTGAATCCCTTGAGAAAATCCGGGGACTACACACCAATTCTTCCTTCTCACCACCTTCATCGGTCGAGGCGGCCAAATCATCGCTAAATCAAGAAACCAAAAGGACCGTGGAAGAGGCGTACGAGAGAAGGAAAAACAGAATGAACATGGACATCGATGGATCAACAATCAATTTCAATGACTTCGCATCAGCGACAACCCCTTGGGTTGCCCCAGACCAGTGCTCCGAAATATGGGACATGACGACACTGAGGGTCCCGGGGGCACGGCGGTCCCCGCGCTGTGGAACGACCCACTTGACGAGCGGTTCGAGTCGTGCACGCCGAAACACCAAAACACCTTAGCAGGGGAAAACATTTTCGTGTTCGCGCCAGCGGTCTGCCCTGATGGGTGGACAACGGCTACGATGGGAACTGCAGCGCTCAATACGCTTGGATACGGCGATACCATTACGGTAGCTGTATGTTGCTCAAGGTGAGTGGGACCGCCTGTTTGTCGTTGCCCCTCTTCCAACCTGGGCCTCTCCTTCTCTCAACTTGGACTGACTATCGCAGCGGATTCGAACCTATGTACTCTCCGAGGGTGACTTTCGCAGTTCTAGCGTGTACCTCTACCACGGAGGGTCCCATATCAGGGCCTACAGACCATGGGAGCGGACCGATCGTCACGGCTACCGAAGGGTGGTGGCGCACCCGGTATGGGTGATCGTCTGGCGGAAATCTGATGCTGCGAAACTCACACCTAGCCCACCTCAAGTAACGGGCGAACTGACGGGCCTGGTGACTACTGAGCCGATAGAGACAACGACGGCTGGGGAACGTGGAGCATCTCCGACTACAACAGCCGGCGAAGGATCGGGGTCCCTTCCTCGCAAGGCGGATTTGGCAAAGTTGGCCGCTGTTGGCTTCTTGGTAATTTCAGCCTTACTGTAGCCGTAAGGCCATTGTCCGGACTTTCATAATCATCGCTACGATAGCGCTTATCGGCGACAGAAAAAGGTCTCTTTTGGTGGCTCTCCAGGCGAGTCGCGGAACAGGATGACTGAATTCATTACATGTGGCCATGCCATGATCCAAGACTATCAATGGTGTTCGGGAACGGTCACCTGGCTACTTATGAGGAAAAAGGACTAAACAACCTACATTCATTGGTGCTTTTATGCGTCGGGATCAAAGTTCGTTCTGCTGGATGGCTCGCGCCTAAACCGCAGGTTTTGATATTAAATCCAGGCTCCCAATCGCGAGCGCCACAATTTGGGGTACCTGAGCTAGGGGCGGACCGTTACACTACCTATAATTAGCTTTTTATCAGCGGTCCATTGTCCGCATTTGCCTTGAGCTTTATTGAATCTATTCTGCGCTTGTGTGGTTTGACGACCCTCTCAAATCTTAACTCAATTGCTCCTCATGTCTAGTGTACGAGTTAGAAGCCCCCAATCGTTAACCGACGAGTCATGGAAGCTGCTCTCGTCCTGTAGCCTCGATAAACATGGCCAACGCGCTGGCTTCCGTGTGGCTGATGAGGTGCAGCAAGCAACAGGGGCACCAACTGCATGTGGTTGGAAATCGACTTTTTCCTCCCTCTCTTTTGGCTTCTCCCTTCGTGCGGAAATTTGATGTAACCTTGTAAATGTTCCTCTTCAGCGCAAGAGACCTGCACGCGCTCCATGAAGGATGGGAAGGATCGCTGGATTTTGACAACTGAGAGCGTGGTGGTGGAGAAACCGGGAAACCGCCCTTGTACCGAACAGGCAACAAGTCCGATCTTCCACTCATCTCCCATCTGCATCATAAGAAGTGGAGAATGACAGTTTATGGTGCGGCACGGCCTGCATCTTTGTTGGATTCATGGACGCTTGAGAAGAGCCTGGAGGTCAATTTTTTTCACTCTCTGTCTCTCTCTGTCACTCTCTGTATTATCTCTCTTCGTTCACATATAGTGTAGCGTACATGTATTGCCTGCGTGCCCACTCCCACCGACCAGGGTTCGGACGGTTGTGGCTTGAGAACGAGACTGCTGTCCCAGCCAAGTGCGCCATATCCGCCCCATCGAGGACTACCCACCAGGCTAGCCATAGAAACACCCATTCCGTCGATTACCACTCTCCCAAGGAAACAGAGCGGGAGACAGGCGAACCGGATTTCTGGAGCCCACTCAATTGATCCACCACCCGTTGGCACACACAGACAAAACCCCGCAGAGGAGGAAAGGGGTCCATATTTCCAATTTAACCTTGTTTTTGATCTCGTCTCCTTTTCACCTCTTCCCCAATTGCCTTTGATTCCGCGAGACTCTACCGTTCCTGCCGGTGTCTTGGCTTCACGGTTTCCACCCACCAAGACAGACCCAAGTATGGCTTATTACCGCGCGGACGAAAACCTCCCAGAGGTGGTGCCGGATGCCTCGCCCGAAGCCATCCCCAAACACGCCGCGGCGCAGTACCCGAACCACCTCCACGACCATAATGCCAAGTATCCCGTCATCCTCGACGACTCTCCCAAGTTTGTGGGCGCGCCAAATCCATCCCCGCCGCCCTTTTCCGCCGTCAGCCCGTACACCGAGACCCTCGTACCCGGAAGTCCCTTTGGCGGCCCACCTCCCGCAGAATCACAGGCCCCGGCCAAGACGATATGTGGGCTGAGGAAGAAGAATTTCTGGATCCTGTTTGTGCTCGTTTTAGTCGTGCTCGCTGCGGCGCTCGGAGGCGGTATAGGAGGAGGCCTAGCCGCGAACAAGGGCTCCAAGGCAGCCGCTTCCGCCGGCTCCGATGGTGCTGATCAAGGTGAAGAAACAGCAAGGTATGCTATGACTACCGGTCAAGTCCCTGAAACCCAACACCCCCATCCTCCGTCCCATTCTCAATGCGGACGTGAGAAATCCAACGAGTTGTACTTGTCAGACGGGAATGCTAACCAAACGGCGCCTTGTGCCTTTTTCTTCTTTCAGCAGCGAATCTCCAACAGAAACCGGCCAAGATGCCGAAGCCACCCACACAGCCGCATCCACGCAAACAAAGTCAAGCACATCATCGGCACCCGACCCTTCCGAGACGATTCGCTTCCTTAACGAAACCATCCCGACCGACACGTTCGCCTTCCAGGCGTGGTCCAAGAAGAATTTCCAGGGCGAGGTATCGCCCATCTACCGCACCGAGGGCCTTTTCAAGTTTGGCTTCGAAGCCGTCAGCTACATATGGCTGCCCAACTCGACGGCGTGCTGCGTCACCTTTGCGACGACCTTAGCGTGCGGTGCAAAGAATTTTACCGCTACGAGTCGAGCGGACCGTTTCCTAGCGTCTTCATCAACTGCGACGGGTCGCAAAAGGCGCATTCTTGCACAGAGTGATTTTGAAATTCGATTCGAGAAAAAGCCTACATGACCAATAGAGGAGGAAAAGAAATTGTTCAATGTAATGTGATAAATGGTGAAATGTAATTCTAGTTCCGCGATAAATTATACCCCCTTCAATATATACATGGAGCGCCAAGAGGCGCGTTTTGACGCACCTTGCTTGATTACCCTGGTCAACCTGATATCTCGTCGTGTTTTCCCGGGGCCGGGTCGCGGAAGCCTCCCTTGTGCAACCTGGGCCTGCATCCAATGGCTGGCCCTATAAGGCTACACTAATTAAGCCCCTTGAAGGCACGAAAAGGGTTCAAAATAAGCATTCGTGGGCCAAGCTACAAGTAAGCAGGCAAGAGTAAGCATCGGTGCGGCGGCATAACGTCAAGTCATCTGGCCAAGGATAAGGAACGCTTGACGATGACGGCTTGGCACTCTCCATCTCCAAGAGCCTCAGTCACCCCCGAGGGATGTCAACTTTTGTTGTTCTTCCCTCGCACGCGGACACCAAGTCTGCTCATGCTTCCGGTCCACATGTATGCAACGACGTTGAGGTAGGACGGGGAGATATTAAGCCGTGATATGCAAAGTTGAGGCTGGACACTCTCCCCGCCGTCATACCATCACATACAGACCCCTTGCAGCACTTGCCGGTGGCTGGCCAAAAGCCTTCAACGTGGTCGCCTGGTTGGCACATGTTGCAGACGACGGGAAAGAATGATGTGCGTGATGACGCTCTCAGCACCCTTCCGCCCATGCACTTTGGCACCCCTAGCGCCACAACCAGATTGGATACCGAGGCCCCAGAAAGCAGATTGAAATCTGGGGGAGGGTATTATTATCTCGTTGCCATCTTGCAGATGAATTCTTCATCTTCTGGAGATAAACCTAGGGTGGTATTGGAGCCTATTTTTGGAAAAACTGGAAAAGACTCGCGGGTCCCGCCCAATGGCGCAACAGCCCACGACCCAAAAACAACTTGGAATGAGACGCGGGATAACAAACTACCGCTGCTTATTCCTTCCCGTCCACCGAGCATCGCCACTCATGCAGCGCTAGCTCCGACCACAACCACACGATGTGCCTCATGGCACCATTGATACGTTATAGCTCGCCAATGGCCAGAACTTTTCAGATGGCAACCAACGCAAACTTCGAGAGACGTGGAGGAGGGCAGGCACGCGACATCTGCAGCGGGACTATTATTTAATCCGTCCTACCCCATCCTAACCCGTTGCACCCTAGCACCACCTTCTTCTCTTCTAACCTACCTTTTCTCATAACCAAATTGAGAAGACGAGCAGGGAGGAAAAAAAACAAAATGAGGCTCCGAAATCTCTTTACCCTTCTCCTATCGGCAACTGCCGTCACGGCCGCAGACCCGGCCAACTGCAACACGTCCGACAAGAAGCGGACCGGCTCCGACTTCGTGCTCCGCGAGAAGCCCGTCAACGGCAATGTAGCATCCCTCTCCAGCTACTTCAAGGCCCAGGGCAAGATCGTCAGCGTAGCCGACGTGTTCGACGACGGCAACCACCAGATGACGACCAACTCGGCCGGGCACAGGGTGTGGGAGAGCAAGCCCGACTTCGACGACCTCAACACCGCCAAGTGGGTGCCCCAGGGCATCTCGTCCACCGCCGACGCGCTCGACGTCGGCATCTACCAGGGCAAGGACGGGTGGGTCGTCAGCTGGCACAACGCCGACGACACGAGCGCGCGCGTCACCTTTGTCGACAAGGCGACGGGCAAGTACCGCCACGTGCTGCTCGTGTACCCGCACGCCGCCGACGACTTCCGCCCAGTGCCCGTGCACGCGGGCGGCATCGTGTGGTACGGCAACACGCTGTGGGTGGTGGACACCAAGAACGGGATCCGCATCTTTGACCTCGACAACGTGTGGCGCGTGGATGACGGCGACGACGTCGGTAAGAAGAGCGGGGGCGGGTACTCGGCCGCCGGGTACCGATACGTCATCCCGCAGCTGCTGTGGTACGAATGGACCCCGAGCTTCAACTTTCAGTTCTCCTACGTCTCGCTGGACCGGAGCAGCACGCCCGACAGCATTCTCGTCGGCGAGTACCGAGCCGACAGCGACGCCTACCCCATCCGTATGGCTAAGTGGGACCTTGACTACACGACGCGGCGGCTCAAGACCGATTCGGCCAACTTGGCCAAGGCGACGTGGGCCTACTGCGTCAACATTGAGCGTATGCAGGGCGCTGCCGCTGTGGACGGAAAGATCTTCATCTCCAGGAGCAATGGTGCCAGCGGCAACGGCGACATCTGGGGATGGACGCCGGGTGGCGCCGCGACGCTCAACGCCGGGAAGCTGCCCCCGGCCCGGAGGACTTTAGCTACGATAAGAGAACCAAGGAGATGTATACGGCGACGGAGCACGTTGGAAAGCGGTACATTGTCAAGTTTAAGGCGAGCAGCGTCAACTTTTAGTCGCCCGTTGACTAGTAGCTCACCAGGCCTACCTGTGTGGGAGGTAGTCAGCGGCCATCTCTCTCTCAAATTATAATAAAACCATTGAAGCCCACTCGGCTCTGGAATGACTTTTTGCAACGTGACGATGCTTGTTTCGGGTTGGCGGTGATCCCCAGACCACTTAATGTTTCATTTCATTCGAGAAGCCAGCTTTGACAAAGCGTCGATGAGATATTTTCTTCTTTTCTCCCGTCCCCCATACTTTGTCATTGTCACCCTTATGATTGCGGCCCGTTTACCCGGCAAAACAGGATCGACCAACTCTATGGATATGACGATCCGAATCAAGCGATCATTTATCCGCCCTAGATTCGATACCGCAGCTTGGGCGGCGCAATTCGTCGAACCCCACCATTAATCACGGCGCGTTGCCATGATTTGACAGAGCTGGCCACGCACCCCGGACGCCGACTCCGCGAGAACCAGATTGAGCTGTTGCGGTTAGCACGGAACGGAAGTAAGCTTCCTCTGCCCTCCTGCTTTTTGATGAGGTTTATGTTTAATTTATCGTGACCTTTGCGGGTTTCCTTTCTCCTCACGCGGGACCCAAAGAAAAAAAAAAAAAAAAGCCAGTTGAAAGCTTGGCTCATCCCCCTTCACCATCTCCCCATACTTTTCGTTTTGTCTTCTTCCTCGCGAGATCTCCAATTCTTCCTAGCCATTCTCCAACTCGTTCTAGCCTTTCTTTCTTTTCGGTCGCTCGCTGTTCGCGCCTTCGTTACGTCTGATCTGGTTCCGCTCATCCTTTGGGGAATCGTGTTGTGCCAGCCTTTTGCCCTCTCCGTTAGAACAGTAAACCGACACCCAACCGGACCAAAAGAAAAGAACAAAATGGCCGCCCGTTTCCTTCTCGCCGCGCTCTCCATCGGCGCCGCCACCGTAGCCGTGGCCGAGGACCTCGAGTGGTGCGGCAACGCCCGCTACTTCCCGTCCGAGTACACGTGCTTCGACGACTCCTTCATGTGTCCCATCAGCTTCGGCCTGCCCAACCTCCCCTGCAACGGGGCTGCTTCGCCGACCAGATGTACCGCTGCGACGACGGCGCGCTGAACCTCCGCGGACCTCAGAAGACGCCCTTCATCCTCAAGACCGCCTCGGCTAGCGCGCACGTCGACGGGCTCGTCATCCGCGCGTGCGGTGGTTACCTTGCCATTGGCGCGGGAGCGAGGGAGTGCCACGGGTGCCAGGACGCAGATGGCGTGGACTGCGAGGAGTACGGAAACCAGGTGGTTTTGCTGCCCAACGGTGAAATGGTAAGTGGAAAATTGAAAAAGTAGACGGGCGAGCCAACGAAACCGAGGGGGAAAAGATGGATTTGAAATACGAGGTGCTAACTGCTACTAGGCTGTGGATGTTGAGGGAGGCCAGGAGTGGTACATCCGCCCCAGCGACGGAACTCTGTCCTACACCAGGCCGGAGGACACGACTACCGAGGGCGAAGGCCTTGGCGGAGAGGGAGTTTCTAGTAAGTCATTCTCCATGGTCTTTAAAGAAATAGCTGGGATGGCTGGGATCACGCGCGGTAGGAGCATGCGGACTAACAACGCTCTGCTCCACAGTCTTCGAGGACGGCTTCTTCGCCCCCAAGAGCCATCCTTACTGGTTGTCTTGCCTCCGTACTCTTCCCGGCGGCACCCCGGGCACGACAAGGAGCTACAGGCTCTACTCCCCGAGCGCCCCAGGCGTCGCCGACCTCAAGTGCGACCAGGTCAAGCTCGTCGCCTCCTCGGCGGATAAGAAGGATGGCGCCTTCCAATGGCACTAAATGGCAACGCGGGCTAAGACGTGGCTACGTGAGTGGGATGAAGAGGTGTTTCACATGTACATATTCTCGCAGTGATGGGGTTCGTTAAAAGGGCTACGAGGTGACGAAGATGCGGCTCGTTCGCCTAGATACCACTGCATAGCACATGATGTGACAATAATAATATCTTTTGCTAGAACATATTGAAAAGTTTACCTACCTTAGTTAAATCGTCTTATTTCTTTTTCTTTAATGCCGGATTTTGAAGAAATTGGTTGTGCAGTTCGTCTAAAGGCCCAACGATGCCGAGACGGCAACAACAGGCCAACCCTCGGGCTTGCATCAAGTCAACATGAAGCTCCTCATCCTCGATTCTTGCGACGCTTTGTGGACTCTATGGTTTCATTCCTGGCCCCTAACGAGTTAAGTGACATCAATAGGGAGCAAGGACCATACGCATAGTTTCTTCGCAACTTTGGGGCTAGAACCGCACTAGCCCGCGACCAGAGCGAGCGGTGAGGAGGAAAATGCCTCTCGCCCCGCCTTCGCCCGCCCCCACGATACTTGGTGCCGGCTTCGAGGTCCCGCTTCAACGAGAAACGGGTAAGATGGCCGAGCGGTCTAAGGCGCCAGGTTAAGGTTAGCTTAACGAATAATTCCTGGTCCAGGTAACTGGGCGTGAGTTCGAATCTCACTCTTATCAATCTTTTGAGTCTCGCGTCTTTTTTATTACCTTTTGGGGGAGATGTATTCTTTTTCTCGAGGTGAAAACGAGGTTGACTAGAGGATACGTAGGGTAAAGCGAGAAGAGCGATGGTGTGTCCCTCGTTGAATACAACTGGGACCCCCGAGCAGTGTATATCATCTAGTCTTTTTCATCGTAATCCACAACTAGACACGTATTGAATATGGCTCACGCGATGAGTAATCTGGGCCAACGGTTACCGAATGTCTACCTGGATGTTTGCGATGCATGTTACCTCAGGATTCTAGAGGTGGGCAAGGTGCGTCTTAGATGGCACGGAGAACGAGCGGGTTGGATCTTGTGTAGGCCGTGAAGGAAGCGGCATAGTTCCGTGACAAGATAGCAGTGAAGCACGGGCAATTTTTGACTGGCAACGGGAACACACAACCTTGGATGGGGTATACGTCAAGCTGCCGCTTGCAGATTTGTGAGGTCAGTGAGGAACAGAGTCTTGGTGAGTAGTCTCGGATGGAATCATATCAAGGGTTCCCAGTCGATTTATCAGTAGGCGCGCAGCGAACGGGGAACAGCAGTTTCGCATCAGCGGTATGCGGAGTCCGGGTATGGGAGTGACTGGGACGAGGAGACGTGGGGAACGGCGAGATATCGTGGCATGCTTGTTGTTGAGGGAGAGTTGACAATGAAACCGGTGATACATCTCGGATCGTTATGTATATGCGAGTTGCGGCATGGTGTTCTCTTCCTCGTAAAGCCAGCGAGCAACTATTCGGGATAGCCTGAAGCATAACAGTGGACGAGGCCAGTCGAGCTGAGCTCAATGGCCGTGAAGGCACGGTTCTCGCCATGGATGTTAGCGACTCCCATTGCCAAGAGGAGGGATATGAGGCCGGAAGTCGAGAACTGAGTGTGCCACAGAGTCAAACGGGGCTTTGGTCATATCACACGCTTCGCTCCTGCTCGGTCAGCGAACCTAGTGGAGGGAGCACGCTCACAACCACAACACCGGAAGCGAGGTGGAGATTCGAAGGACTCGATGATAGCCGACGGAGAGTTGAAACGAGCACAAGGGGAGAGCGAAGCTCTCAATTGATTGAGCTTTCATCATACATGGAGGTTCTTTAATGGAACAACCGTATATTGTGATATCAAGGCCGACATTGGGACCTCCAGAACTTGTCTGGAGAAGAAGAAGCGGAGAGAGAAGGCCCCGTCCCCCTTCATACTTTCGTAGCCCTCACGTTTGGACGTCTACGCTTACATTCCAACAACTACATGTAACAATACGAGCGACCCACCCGTCCAATCGTAGCTACAGCTTCAGCAATTTGCGAGAAGAACGCAACTTAACTCAACTGATTACGAAAGAAAATTCCCAGAACAGGATAAAAAGATGGGGGTGGATAAGGCCGGGGAAAAAGGGGAAGGGGGACCGATATCCAGCCCCGATGAGAGATAGGAGACGGGATGATATCCGGGTCGTACTTCGTAGTATCTCTCTTCAATGTTCAGATCGAGCGACGAGAAATTGGGGGCTGGAAAGCAAATTCATCCAAAGTTAATTTTCCATTCTCGCCTAGAGGACCCCGGGCGCTTCACGGGACTGGCTCTCATCGACCCACAGCAGGCCGGGTGTCGACCTCCGTATCTTTCATCGCGACTTCCGGCCAGAGTGTACCAGGCGGATACATACCAAAGTAGTGGGCGTGAGCGTGGGCCGGGGCCGGGGCTCAAATTTCCCACGCGAGCTGGTTTTTGGTGTTTGCACTGCCACCACCACGTCTTATCGCCTCGGTCTGTGGATCTCGACTAGCCTGCGCGAGAAAAACGCGCGAGTGGTGATTTTGCGCTGAGCTCGGGCCGGGGCTTTGGGAAAATGGCTGGCCACGACGGCCGCGGGGATTCCATCCGAGAATCAATTGGTGTCAAGTGTCTTCGGAGTGCTTCAGGGGGGCAAGCCAGGCCAGGGAGAGATGGGTCAAAGAAAGCAAGTGCACGCCGATCGACCTGAAAGCAATCAATAAAACCGGGCGCTGGACGATGCAGGTGATTTTCGACCGACACCCGCTGGCGAGCAGCATCCCATGCCGTTCTTGGTGTAGTCTGGCAACTTGGGATGGTTTGGATCGTGGCCATTGGCACGCCGAAAGGGGGCAGTGCAAAATGTTTTGCTGGAGGTGGCATTTTCTGGGGGGCCCAAGTTGGGGAAATGAGGAAATGAAGGGGGACCAGGGAAGCGAACAAACCACGGAAGGGGAGACGCACAATGAGGGGAGGGGACATGGACACGATGTTCGAGGGGACAATAACACACCACTCTCCATGCATGCAGTCAATCGTGGTTGATACCCTACACGATGTATTACAGTATTACTACCGTGGCCACGAATGAGCCGACGATCAAGATCAAGAGAGCGAGGGAAATCACAACCCAATCATTTCAATATTCCCTCCTCAATCATCCCCTCTCGCTCAGACATGCACACACACCTAGTAGACGAGACACAATACACCCACACTCTTGACACCACGCCATGGAATGTTTTTCTTTTCTTTTGAAAGGATGTGGCACTTCTAAAAGCTTATTTTCCGCTCTGGTATTGGGTGATGCCCAAGATTTGTTCGGCAATCTCCCGCCCCTGGGCTGTTTCAGTGCCCCTCCTTTCCCGAACGAGATTTGGTCGCGTGCTCTATTGGCCTCTAGACCAGATTCGTCTTGGCTTTGTCTTGCACGAACTGTGACAGCAGCCACCAATGCCAGCTGAGCTGTGACAGGGGAATGGTCTGTGTTGGCCTGCCCGACCCTGGCTCCCTCGAGCGGCTCGCTGCGTGGTTGGACAGCACGATGAACACCATTCGACCGAGTCCTGTCGAGACTCCCTGTTTCTTTCGGATTTTCTTTTCTTTTTCTTTTTCTCCGCCGGTGGGTGGGGGAGGATCGAGCGAGATTGTGGAGGGTCATTGCGACAGCAGCTGAATGGGGAAGGGGGGCTAATAATAAGAATAAAGTATTGAGATTGATATCTTCCGTGCTCGTGTGCGTAGGTCTGTCCCGTAAAACCCCCAACGGAAGCTGTTTCGCCCTTCACATGCATTGATGCGTGTCGAGTGACGATCCTGTCCCTGGTCCATTGCCGATTTTTATTTTATTTTCCCCTTCTTAGCTGCTGGAGCTCCCTTGCCTTGTATTCTTCTCGTTGACCTTCTTCAGTCCGTTTCATCCCCTTTTCTTTCTTCGTTGCTTACTCTTTCCTTTTCCTTCACTCTTAATTGTCCTTGTATTACCTGTATACCGAGATTCCGAGGCATTTGACGAGCAAAGTCATCATCATGAGCGACGCTGGCGGAGATGCGCCCCGGTAGTGGCAGCTACTACTGCGGCCAACGGCGGCGATGGACACGATCACGGCCACGAGGCCATCCTCCCCGTCGAGAAGCGAGATCCCAGGGTCAACCAGTACGAGGGCCCTCTGTCGCCGGACTTCCCACCGGGCTCGAACCCCATAACTCGTCGCGCGACCAGCCTCGACCTCGACGACTACTTCGTATGCCCTCGCCTTTTTTTCTTCTTCTTCTCACGGCGCCCCCACTCGTTCCCCGTCGTTCCCTTTGCTGACTTGTCGTAGAAAGGACCGCGCGATATCGACAGGCACTCGAAATGGCCTCTTTTCCTGCGCGTGCACGGCAGTATCCTGCCCAAGATGATCATTCCCCTCCTTTGGGTCGGTGCCTGGGCTACTGCCATCACCGTGATCTCGAAATATGTCTATGACTGCAAGTGACTCTGTTTCCTCCCCCACCCCCCTTTCTGACAGAAAAAAAGAAATCCCGTAAGAATTTCCTCAACTAACAAGCTTCATTATGTTCTAGTGAGTGTAAGCTCTGTGCTTCTCACGATTACCGGTTTCGTCGTCGGTCTGGGTCTGTCCTTCCGAGGATCGACGGCTTATGAGCGGTATAGCGAGGGCCGAAAGTACTGGGCCCAAGTGAACCTGGCTTCGCAGAATCTCGGCAGGATCTTCTGGGTCCACTCAAGGAGAAGAACCCGGAGTTGAGGAAGCATCACCTCTTGCACGCCATGTAAGTTTTAGCCAACGAGGAAAGTGGGCATACCGAGGGGCGGGGGAGCAACCGCAGCCGTCGTGACGTAGGGAGAGAGACGCTTCTAAAGAAGACACGAACTGACGAGTGGAATCTATTTCTCCTCGCTAGGACCGCCTCGAACCTCGTCGTAGCGTTCGCCATCGCCCTCAAGCACAAGCTCCGCTTCCAGCCGTACGCCGGCTACGACGACATCAGCCAGCTCGTCGCCCACCTCCACACCTTTGCCGGCCAGGCCAGCAGGGAGGACCCTTCCAAGTCCGTCATCCCCAAGAAGACGTGGTTCAAGGAGGTGGGAGAGTACCTCGGCCTCTCGTTCGCCGCGAGCAACCCCCGCAAGACCTTGAAGAAGGCGGACGCGCCCTTTGGCAACCTGCCGCTCGAGATTCTCAACTACCTTGGCGCCTACATGGACAAGCTGATTGCCGACGGAAAGCTCACCGTCTCTATCCAGCAGACCATTGCCTGTAAGTTTTCATTCTGGATGCGGGAGGCCGATTTACTGCAGGGCTCCGTGACTAATGTTGATAATGCACCTCTAGTTAACAACTTGGCCTCCCTCAACGACGCCTTGACGGGAACCGAGCGCGTTCTCTCCACCCCTCTCCCCATCGCCTACACCATCGCCTTCAGCCAAATCACCTGGGTCTACGTCATGCTCCTCCCCTTCCAGCTCTTCGCGACCCTCGACTGGATCACCATCCCCGCCACCCTCGCCGCCTCCTACATCATCCTCGGCCTACTCTTCATCGGTCGCGAGATCGAGAACCCCTTTGGCGAGGATGTCAACGATTGCCCCTCGAGGCCTACTGCTCGCAAATCGCCGCCAATATGGACATCATCGCCGCCCAGTCCCTCGAGCTCGAGAACCTGCTCTCCCACGTCGAAGGGCCCGATAACCTGGTCCTGTTCCCCTCGAGCTCCGCCCCCTTTAGCACCTGGATGCAGAGGAGCGAGGAACATGTCCGGCAGACGATCAAGAGCCGACCGTCGTCTGGTTTTGATTCTACCTTGCATCATCGCGCGAGGCGGGGTAAGGAGGCTAAGTCGAGCGAGGAAATTGTGTAAGATGGGAGCGAATATGGGTTCAGCATCCCAGATCTTGAAAAGGATCTTTCCTCATCGTCGCGGTGGAGAACAAAAGGATTGTTGGCAACCTTTAATATCACATAGCGAAACATCCTAGATTGCCTGAATTGAAAATAATTTCTTTCATTTTGTAAATTAAATACACTCTTTCCCCTTGGCTCAACTACACTTCTCTTAACTACAATGGTATCATCCTCCAAAATATCCCCCGAATACCAGCATCGACGTGCTCACCAGCGCACGAGGGTCTTAAGTGGAGACGGAAGTTGAGGTGGCCTTGGCCTCCACCTTCTTCTCCGAAGAGGCAGCATCATCGCCCGAGTGCTCTGCGGTAGCAAGAGCGACTGTGTGCTTGGGGGCTTCTTTCCGGTAAAGATCGCCTTGGTCGTGTAGATGATGGTTTCGCGGCTTTCCCAGAGAGGGAGGAGGCCGACGAGGATAATGGAGACGAAGATCCAGATGATGGCGACCGAGACCCAGCCTGTGAAGAAGGACTTGCTGAAGACATACTTTGAGCCGTACATGGGCAGGGGCCACAGGACAAGAAGGGCAATGGTCCTGCGTAGAAAGTGAAATAAAGAGTTAGCCAGGTGGACTTTTTGAAGCGTGTCCATGGATTTTTAAAATCTGGATTGCGTCACTTACATGAAGACGGTGGTAGAGACCGAAATCTTGAGAGCTTTCTTGAGAGACTTTTGTTCGGCCTCATGCTCCGCCGCGGTATCGACATGACCGTCGGGAACATCCTCGAGGTCCACGCCCGCTTGGTCCGCGACGTCGTGGTCGTCGGCCTTGCGGATGTTGGCCATGGACAGCCAGTCGTACTTGTCAAGGCCAAAGATGAGGGTGAAGATGGGGATGAGGACGACAGGGACAAGCAGGGCGGTGACGTTTCCCGCGAGCATGGGGTCGTTGGAGCCAGTGCACTCAATATCGAGCTTTCCGCACGTCTTCTTGGCGGTCACGAGCCAGGCAACGATGGCGAGAGCGGTACCGATGGGCGGGGTGAGGGCGGCAGCCCACTTATTCTGGCCCTTCCAGAGGAGAGTCAGGGTGGCGGGGAGCACGGCTGCGGAGATGAGGACGCCCATGAGGACGTAGATGTAGCCCATGGAGATGCCGTTGTAGTAGAGGCCCACGGAGGCGGAGGCGATGATGAGGGCGTAGCAGACGACGGAGATGTGGGACACGGCGATGAGGCGGCGGCCGCTGGCGTTGGGGTTGATGTAGGTGCGGTAGATGTCGTAGGTGAATATGGAGGAGACGGCGATGAGCTCGGCGCTGGAGGCGCTGGTGACGGCCATGAAGACCATGAGGAGGGTGGCAACGGCGCCGCCCTTGCCGAGGAGGGCGACGGCGGCGTAGGGGAGGGCCAGACCGGCGGAGACTTCGGCGTCGGGGATGCGGTTGGGGTAGGTGGGGAAGGAGGGGCTGGACTCGAGGGCGAGGGCGGTGAGGCCCATGGTGGTGGCTGTGAGGAACGGGACGGGGAACCAGGAGATCTAAAGCAGGGAGTGGATTAGTTTCTTTTGTGTTTAGTACATGACCAGGGACAACGCAATAGGCAGCATTGAAGTAAATGAGGAAGGGTTTCCTTACACCGCCAATGAGGTAGCCGGGGAGGGCGTGGACTGGGCTGGCGGCAATGGCCTTGTTGTAGTAGCCGTTGTCGAGGAAGACGGTTCCAAAGTTGCCCACTAAATTGTATCAGATTAGCGCAATCTCTTGGAGGGTCTAGCCGAGCGTTCGGCTTTTACCCTTGAGTGGGCGAGGAGAAACGTACCAATGTTGATGACGAAAAACTTGATGCCATCGCTCGACCTCATTGTGAGGTAGCTGCCGTCCTGGTTTCCGGCGACGGGGTGCCTCTCTGTAGCTTCCTGGAGAAGCTCAAACATCCTGCTCGGGCTGCCGATGATGTCGGAGGTGGAGTAGGCGGTGAGGAGAACATGGCGATGATGATGAGCAGGATCAGAGTGTGGATGTAATCGGTGAGGAAGGTCGCCTTGAGACCGCCAAAGAGAGTATACATGGTGACTCCGAGCGGGAGGAGGTAGATTGCGGCGACGGTGGGCATGCCCGTGAGCGCATTGACGGTAGCGCTACCGCCGGCGAGGAGCATCATGGTGACCAAGATGTCTGTCCCTCATCATTAGCACAATTAAAGGGATAGTGTGTGAAGAAAGGGCGCATGTGCATGAAGCGTCCTCGAGACGTCCATGGAAGAGGGAGAGAGCAGGACGTACTGGTCATGAGACCGAAGACGATGAAGACGATGTGAGCGACGGTGCCGTACCGCGCCTTGATCACCTCGAGGAAAGTATGGGCGTTGGGCGCGCGTCTCTTGAGCTCAATGGCCAAGGTGGCGAAGAGCAGGATTTGAACAGTCGCGCCGGACGCGTACCAAAAGGGCCCGGACACGCCGTATCGGTAGCAGATACCGGAACTTTGGAGCAGCGTGGCAGCCCACGTCCACGACGAGACCACGGCTGATCCCACGAGACCGCTCTTGACTGTTCGGCCGGCGGTGGTGAACATTTCCGAGGTCTGCACCTCCCTCTTGTATCGTTTGAGGACATAAGTGGCGGCCATCTACGGTTTGGTGTTCAGCATGCGTTAGTGAATCAACTTTCCCTCTTCTTCCCCCATTGTACCAGTTGAAGGTTTCCCCCAAGGGAAAGGTATCAAGTCTTCCTCTATTCACAAGCCACATTAACCGAACTGTTGGGGCCATCACATACCATGCCAAAGGCGAAGAGAAATCCAACGCCAAGGACGATGCCATATCCGACGGACTGGTCCAGAGCCGGGGCCATCTTGGCAAAAGCTTAGCCAGGAGCTAAGACCGCAGCGCAACACAAAAGAAGTGGGCGAAAAATGTGGAGGAGCTCTTGGCGTGCCGCGTATGGATCAGCGGATGTCCAAAAAAGGAAAGAAAGGAAGCAATAGAAGAAAGGTAGGCTTGGGATTGATCGGCCAACGGTTTTTACTTGGCGACTTGGCGGCGGCGCATCCAGACACAAATCGTGGAGGAAGCTGTCGGATCTGCGACTGTCTGCCGAGAGTGGAGCCCCCGAGGAATTATAAATATTTGACATCTTGATAGCTTCGTTCGGTCCCGGCCTGCTTGACCTTGGACGGATAGCTAATCGGTTGCACGAGGTTTCCTTCACAGAAAGGGTGCACAGGTGGGAAGCATTATCGGGTGAACATGATAGGCCCGAGCTGGGTTGCAGAGATACGCTTCACCTCTCGTCGGTGTTTGGGAGTCAGGGATCAAACGCCACCGTTTTCTTTTTCTATTTCTTTCCCCATCTCCTACTCCATCTAATACATCTGTAGGAGAACCATACATACACTGGGAATCAACCACGGCCCTTCACTAGCCTAGGTGGTCACGGTGTCGCGCGGATTGGATTTTTGTTGGTGGCTGGCCAATGGACGGGCCGGTGTTATCAGAGCTCTCGATATCAATCAAGCAAAGCTCCCAACTCCCAATGGCCGTCGCCGAGAAGCGGCGGTGCGCCCCCACCCTCAGTGACACTTTGGGCGCACAGGTTGACAGGGATGATTCGCAGAGCTCGTGTGCCTCACCTCGCCGTCCCCCACAGGCCCTCGAAATTTCCCCGCAACCGGCAGGAAAAGCTTATCAGCGACAGGTAGGGGCCTTTTTCTGTTTCTCGAGGCGTTGGAATTGAAACCGGACACTCGTCTTTGTTATCTTATCTCCAAGCCAATTCGAGGTCGAGATACGGAAGTGAGGAGGTGTGGGGAGAGCAAACCCACCCCTAGCTGTCGTTTTCTTTCCCTCTTCCTTTTTCTATCATTCTTCTTTTCTCTGTTTGTGTTACTCAGAACGAGGCACGAGACCATGGACTCGGGGACGGGCCAGGATCAGGGAATGCTGTTAAGCCGTTATCCCAAGTTTGTGCTTGTGCAGCAATTATGTTGAGGAGGGGGTCGCGCGATTTGACAGAACCCTCGAGCCGCGATTGGGATCTGATGTGGGGTGAAGTTGTAATGTCTTTATCGACCAGAAGCCATTGAAACCCCCAAAGATGCAGTGAAGTGCCGTATCTCCGATCGGGCCAGCTGCCGTCCATAAGTTGCATGAATGGTACGCCGAGTAGCACCGCACCCAAGACGGACACGAACTCTTTTGTCTACAAATTCAACAGTTTCATGGCAACACTCCGGTATTTGCAGTATTGTTCTATGGAGACGGAAATAGTGGGAAGAGGAAGAGAAAATGAAATTTAAACAGAGTAGCTTATAACAAACATCCGTAGTAGTTCTGGATAAGCGAGGGTTGGTACGCGTATTGGTGGACGACGTGACCAAATTCCATCAACCTCACCAACCCTCGTGGCCAAATTCAACCCAACAACACAAGGAACATACCACAGCGCTCGATAAATGGCGTCAATCATCAGTGATAACCCGCGTCGCTTCATATTCCACCCCGCCGATGGGCCCTTTCTGGCCTGTTACGTCCAAAGACTTTCTCAAGGGCCCTTCGGACGACGAAAACGCCCGTTCAACATACTCGGACTCTTCTTCTCCACCACAATACTTTGGCGCCTCTGCCTTTTCACTTCGGCTTGGGCAACTTCGGTTTGCTCCGGGAACAGGGCTTTTCCCTCGATGAAGCAGGTGTACGTCTCGCCCTCCGTGAGGAGGATCAAAAGTGGCCAGACTGGCAGCGTGGGTCTCGGCGAGAGCTGACTCGGCGAGGCTCGGCCCTTTCCTTTGCCGTTGACCTGTGGCGAGTCGGCGGGTGCCTTGGGTTTATGACCGGCATCACCATTCTCGGAGTTGTTGGGCTTTGTGGGAGAACCCCCTATCGCCATCGATCAGCTCCCATTTTTCATAATCGAGATCCATAAGAGCTTCGTAGTATGGCTGGGCGTGCTGAATCAGGTTCCAGGCTTCGGTCGCTTCCTCACACAACTTCGATACGCTCTGTCTAAACTCATCATACTCCGAGGATACCAATAGCGGCCCAAGGGTGCTAGTCACTGACTCCACAGCCTGGGTTGTTGAGCGAATGATATCCTCTTTCCCATACCCTGGTAAATAGCGAAGAATCCCAAGCAGCGACGAGCGGCAGTGAGCCTCATCATCTGGCTTTGCTATGGCCAGCTTGAGCATTAGCTTTCTCATGCTCTTGTCGAACCCGAATTTAAGAAAGATGTGCGTGACAAAAGCATTGCTTATGATGGTTATGGCGATGATGGTGCGTATCCTGCGGGCAGGCCCTGAATTAGACACGGGGATAGGAACCTTTGTCAATAAGGGATTATCCTGAAGCTGCTCCCAGATCTTGGGCTGCCCGAGTAGTTGTTCGTTGCAGGCGCCGCCGAAATACTTTTCGGCTAGCTGTGTCGTAGAAGAATAGAGCTGTGCCCACTGTTCACGGCTAGGTTGACAGAAGCAGGTTAGCTGGATCGATAATACGTCGACGCGTAGGGGCCTCTCACATCATGAAGGGCTTCGTTTGGAGTTCCACCCGATACTTGCTGAGTGTGTTCACTCTCTTGTTCTCATCGCCGAGTTGTCTTTCTAACTTGGTCTTGATAGCCTCGGCCTCACCAGCCTGCTTTTGAAAATAGCCAGATTCTTCTGAGTGTCAGCTAGATTATCATTTAGGGTCTTCAACTTTTGTTTGTCGCCTTCCATTTCGTCCAACCTGTCCTTCATTTTCCCCGTTAGGAGGTCTATAGCCGTGTCTTGATCTTGGACCTTGGCTTGGAGCCGGGCAAGCTCGTTGACATAGTTGGTTAATTGTTGAAATCCATCTTGCGTCGTCAAAGTCTTTAGGTCTTGCAATACGCGCGGCAGAATCTCCTGTACCGACGGTTGTGCATGCATTGCAGCCATGATTGTGCTAGTCTTCCTAGGAAATGGTAATGGCGCTTGACTAGCATAATTAAATAAATAAAAAACGAGAAAGCTGGAATCAGGTTGTGTTAAATATATCACGGCCGTTCCATGAAAAAAGGGCTACTCAGGAGTGAACATCTCAACTTCTGCCTAGATCCATCAATATCAGAAAAATTACGTTCGCAAAGCACTGGGATGGGAGCACAACACCTGCAGTGGACCGAATACGGGTGGGAGATTCTCCAAGTGTTGGACATTGTAATGCACACGCAGCAAATCAAGCGTTGCGGGCCTCCTCGTTTCCGGCCCGGGACGCGTCTGATGTGGATGGGCCACGTCGTTGTACCGCGAGGCGCGCTGCGCGAGTCCGCTCCCGAAGCGCGGGGCTGCCACATCTTGAAGGCCGGCTAGCGATCGTAGTACAGATGGAGTCACACGGATGAGAAAAACAGCTGCGTCTGCGCAAAACCGGTTCGTTGGAGTACATGGAGGGGGCCTTCGCGGTTGGTGTGGGATGATGTTGCGCGGGATGGTGAAATGCCTCGGCCTCTCGCCCCATCTCCGCTGCCACAGGCCAACCGCGATGGCATTCCATTGGGTGAAGCATCAACGATGGACTGAGTCATGGTTGTCGTTTCCTTTCGCTACCAAGCTGTCGGGACCGAGCGGGGTCAGGCTGGATGGGGAGGGGGAGGGGGCATCTTGGCCCTGCAGCCGGCCAACCATGGATGCCCAATCCTCACCAACAGGTTGGAGAAAAGAAAGACTCGGCACTTACGTGAAGCGACTGCCCGGGAATTTTGGGAGGCCGGGCAAGAGGGATTCATTTTGGTTCGCGGCCCAGTGGTGGATTGGGAAATACCCGCATCCTCCAGCAAAAGGGTAAACGGACAGGCTTATATCTGGCATTTAGATGACGAGCAGAATGGAGACTGTGGGGAGCACAATATCGCAATTCTTCGGACAGGGAATTTGGGTCATTCTCTTCACCCCCAACCCTCTTTACAGAGCTAGGATACATGTACGCATTAACCACATGCTTGCCCTCCTTGACATTTTAACACGTCTCAAGCATTCTTCTCTCCCACTTCCTCAGTTTTGTCCGACTCGTTGCTCACATTTCTCCGTCTCAAATTGCCGGCTTCATCATGCTCCGCATCCCAGGTAGCCAATTCGTCCTTTGGGATCCGAATCAGGCGGTGTGTCGACGCGCCGTTGTTGTCCACGTCAACGATCTCTGCACGAATGGCGTAACCCTCCACCGGGGATAATGTAAATCCAGCTGACATAGTAGATGCCGCAGAGAATGAAACTAGCAGCGCCTTGCGTCAGTATATGCGGACCGGTGCGAGGATCCGATGTACGGGACTTGTACTTACATGGCGATGCCGACGACGCAATACGTGGCGTACCAGAAACTGACGTCTCCAGCGTACGCGCCGCCCTTTGGCGGCCACCACGGCATCACAGCGATAAAGAGCTGTACGAGGATGAAGAAGATGACGAGCACGTCCCAGGCCCGGAAGTCGGTCTCGGTATGGCCCACGCGCTTGTGGCGGTAGCGTACGACGTAGAGGCCGATCGCGAGCAGGACGTGGAAAATGGCGTCGGGGTATACCTTGAGGCTGACGACTATTTAAAAATCGGTTAGTATACTGGATGAAGGTGGTGTTCTCTCCAAGCATCTTGTGATGGAGCGAAAGACATACCGAACTGGAAAGCATCACCGGCGGGGGCGCGACGATCATGAGGAAAGTCATCCCCCACTTGAGGAGGTACGGGCCCAGAGGAGTGCCGAAGGGCTTGGTGGAGACCCAGAAATTGGTGAAGGGGAGAACGCCTTGTCTAACATAGGAGTGCGTCGTTAGTGACTTGGTTTCCGCGTCAAAGAGAAAAGTAGGCTTCTACTGACCTGCCAACCTCCCTAATCAACCGCGAATGCCCGATCAAGACGGCCAACAAGTTTCCAAAAGCACTCATGAGGACGAGCACGTTGAGCGCAATCTCGGCCCCGCGCGTCTTGAAGACGGTCTTGAAAAAGACTGCAGCCGCGATCTCGGCCGACTTGGAGAACTCGTCCTTTGGCACTATGGGAGTAAAGAAATACGTGTCAGTCATTGATCGGGGAGGCATGTACTGCATTGCACTTTCTATTGGATTGCGTTGGTCTTACCGGCAGCAAAGTATGCGATGTTGCAGAAAATATAAAGGATGGCGACGAGGAGTACGGAAATGATGCCGTTCTTCCTGATGACGGGGATGGGTCTCTGAATCTCGTTGACGACGTTGAAGGCGTTTGCGTAGCCCGAGTAGGAGAAGACAATGTTGACAAGAGCTCCTGCGAGGTCATTTCCGTTGTCTGTCGTGCCGGCAAAGGCGTCGCGGTAGTTCAAGCCCGGGTCCGGGATATGGTCGACGTTCTTTCCGAGAACGACGAAACCTGTGATGCTGATGCTATATGGGAGAAAGGATTCGTTAGCGACTGAACTTGCTTGATAAGGGGACCTGTCCTGAGAAGTATGGACGGGGGTAAGCCTCACAAGATGAGAGTCAAGATTTTGATGGTGCCAAAGACATTCACAGCCCAGAGGGAGTATTTGTTGTGAGCGATCACACCTATTCGGGTTAGTTATTTTCACGCAATCTAGGTCTGGGTGTAAATAAACCGGTAGGGAAACCTACAAATAACGGCGAATGTATATGCGGCGATGGCAACGCCTTTCATCTGCCAAGCCGTGGGTGTTTGGCCTGCGATGCGCCACAGATATCTCGAGAGCACTGGTATACGGAGAAAGAGCATGAATTAGTATTTTCCTGTGTTTGCCTTTTCATCACCCAAGAAGTAACGAGCGACGGCCGCTTGATGTCCTGGTATTGCCCGGCGGCTTCATGTTCTTACCGATGGCGTTACTGCTGCTGAAGGACAGGATCACGGTCTGGACGGCAAACGCGATGGGGAAAAGTGGCGGGGGCGCGGATACGCCTGTTCGAGATAGACGACTTCGGAGCCGCTTCGGTTGGGAAAGTAGCTGGCGAATTCGAGGTATGTCGCGAAGCCGGCAACGGCCATGATGAAGCCGATGACCCAGTAGATGAGGGCGAGGCCCACCGATCCGGTGTTTTTCAAAATCGTGCCCGCTGTGTCCAGTCGTAAGAACAAATCGAATCGTCAGTCAAAACATAGGTACCAACGGGTGGCGACGGGGAAAGAAATCGAAACTCACGCGTTGAGAAGATACCGCTGCCAATCATCTGGTTGACGTTGAGGAAGATGACGGTCGCCCACCCGACATCGTAACCCAGCGGCGATAAACCCTCCACGGGCGCGCCAACGGCCTCCTGGTACGATGGCAACGATCCATTGCCGCCCTTGACGCGGACGTAGGCAAGATCGCCGTCGCGGAGGACGGACGCTTCAGAGTCGGACTGCTCGCCAGTGGTGGCTTCGGCCGGGTAGGCGTGCCGGGGCTGGGATTCCGCGGAGCCGCCCCCGCCGCCACCAAGGCGGGCTTTCAGCTGGGAGAGCACCATTCGAATTTAGCGCACGTTAGCGTCTCGGCAGTGGTTTTTGGCTGGCCGGGGATGTTAAGCTCGGAGAATATTATAGTATTATCTTGGGGGCTTGATTCGCGCGCTCAGAAAAGGGGGGATAAAATAAACGACGCGCTTCCCTAGGGGCACCAAAAGTTGATCTGGCGCGGGAGACAAAAGCAAGAAAAAGCTCCAAGTCGAGGCAGGAAAATCCGACTAATCTTCGCGCCCACCAAAATGCGAAAGAAATCCCGAAAAACAAAAGGCGGCGAAAAGATCCCGTGTCATATCAGATAAATGCTTCAAACTAAACATGGAATGTCACTAGCAGTTCCTCTTGCGCCATCGCCGTAACCAAACTCGACATTCGGGCCAAGCCCGCGGATTCGATCCCTCCTGAACCTGCGGCCTGGATATTGTTGGCTGGGCGGTCGGGACTTGGCGGGTTCGGGATCGCAGGTTGACCTGCCCGATGCGGGTGGGAAGGGAGGGTTCAATGTTGTCTATTTCCCGACGCATGGGGCCCGGCGAGCACGCAATGCTTCCTCGGAGCACGACGACCCGCCCACTGGCTGCAGTACCATGGGTATTTACGGTACCAAACGTTACACAGGAAGGGGGCGGGGGTTGATATTGGAACTTTTCCATCATAAGCGCCAAGAGAAGGAAGATGAATCTGCGAGGTGGGAGCTTTGAATACCACGATATCACCCGCGATTATACACTCTAAAGGATGGCGCGCGGACTTGGTGGCATGGGGGTCATTGATTTTTACGGTTTGCGTTGCCTCCACCGAGTCGCGATGCGATGAGATTCGACCAAAGAAAAATAAGATAAAAAGTACTTGACCCCACAAGAAAGGGTTTTATTACTATTTCATGACAAGGATTCGCTACCAACTCCCTGGGCTGCATGGGATATGGGATGGGAAACAGAAGAAAAATAGAAACTAGCTTGTGTGGGGAGCTACTCCGTTTGTGACAGGTCGGATCAAACGGTCTCCCCATCCCCGGCGGATTTCAAGTGCTAGCTGTCTTGGCTTGGACGGAACTTTCGCTTCGTATGTAGGGTTCGAGAGGGAACACCTGGGACTCTGGCGTGATTTCATCGTACAGGAACGACCAACGCTCCTGGAGAGGTTCGGGGTCACCCAAGCATGTTCAGGGTCGCGCAGCCAATGCCTCACCAGGTGGCGTCTGCTTGCGTTAGCATCGTGGTCGGTGACGTTATCCACATGGAGAAACCCTCGGAGAAATGAAAACGAAGGCACAGAGAGAAAAAAAAAAAAAGGAAAGAAGCTACAGGAAGAAGGGGCAGAGAGAGGGTGGTGCTTACTGTTTCGTATCCGAGTCGCGATATCCGTCCCGCGCGTGGAAAACAGCCAAGTTGTTGACGTATTGTATGTCCCCCTTTTCGAACCCCGTCGACACGCAAAACTTCTCCCCAAAAGTGTAGCGCGTCGAGCGCCTCGGCCTGCGCCTCCGTGATGGGCGGGATCGCGGCACTTCGCGGCAGCGCCCCGAACCCGACGAATTGGCGACGGGCGTACTGCAAGACGACGCGCTCGGGGGCGGACCCGGACGCGGGCTGGTGGTAGAGAAGGGGGCGGGAGACGAACCAGCGGCCCTTGTTGCCAAAGATTTCCACGTTCCAGGGCTCGGCGAGCGTGCGCACGAGGTCGGGCCTCGTGGCGGCGAGCTGGTTGTACACCCGCCACGTGCTGGCGAGCTTGCTGGCGCCGCCCTCGTGCGCCGTCTCGAGCGCGAAAAGGAGACGATATCGCCCGAGTCGGTGTGGAAGACTTGCCGGTCCGTGGTGTAGGCCGGGCTGCCGATGACGCCGTCAGTGCCGGGGTGCTGAGGTTCTTGATGTGCGTGACCACGACGGCGGCGGGCTTGCCCTGGTAGAGGGAGTCTTGGCGGCCTCGGATCGCAGCGATGTGGGCGGAGACGCCGGCGTAGATGATGAGGTTGTCTTGGCGCGTGTGCTTGTCGACTTGGATGCCGCGGATGACGAAGAAGCCGTGGCCGTTGTGGAGCTCGTTTGAGAGGCGGCGGAGCTCCAGTCTTAGGGTTGGGAGCGGGAAGGTCTCGGCCGAGACGTGGCCAAGCTGTAGATCGAGCGCTGAGAGACTCCCTATCGTGTCAGCCATGTCTAATTCTCACATGTTCTAGAGAGCAACGAGGTCTTGATATGGACTCACATTTAAAATGCCTCAGAGCCTCATCAATTTCCACGAGCTGCTCAGCACTAAGAACATAGGTCCAATCGTACGTCTGCGAGAGGGTCTCGCCCTCCCAGACCAAATCCCCGTGAGCTTCTCGGGGAAACCCTCTGGCAGCGTGGATGCCAAGCCACCCTGGCCCAATCGCGCGGCGGCCCGGGCCTGATACTTGGCAAAGTCGGGGGCGTAAGTAATGTCAGGCTGACCAGGGGCCCCGGTCGGAGGGCGGCGGGCGTCGTGTGGCTAAGAACGGCTGCAGACATGTCGGGCGTTGGCGTGTGGCGTTCTCTAGGCGCGACGTCTTGGGACTGGCGGGCGGGAGGTTGGTGGTGGTGGTGGTAAAGACGGCGCAGCGCCTGCCTGGTCCGGGACAGGACTTCCCGGGGCTTTTGAGAGCCTTGGGCCATGACTTATACGTTCGGGACGCGGCGTCAGGCGGGGACGACGGAGGACTTGCGTGGACGCATGGAGCAATTATGTCGCGGGCTTGCGTGATGTGGGGAAAGTCAGACGGGTTGGGTGGGCGCCTTGATGCACACCACATCGGGACAAGGACAAGCTGGCTATGCATTGATCGTCCCTCGAATTTGCCCCGGATTTTGGACCATTCAGCTCAGTCGTCGAGTGTCATGCGCTAAACCGGGTTGGGGCGGTGCACTGTGGAGCAATTGCTCCTCATTCTCTCTCACGAGCTTCAATGTTGAACAAAGAGGATTTTGAAAAAGGTCGAGCTCCCTATTTCAGAAACGTTCATATATCTATTAGAATTTTACATAATTGAGGCTGGCTACCTACTCACCTTACAAGTATGGTTTGCTGCATCTTCATTAAAACAAACCGAAATCTTAAGAAATACAAGAAAAGCATCAATCCGACCGACTATGCGTTGCGCTGAGCGGTGGTGTTGTCGGCTTCGGCCCAAGTAGATTCCGCTTGAATACGCCTCGAATTGTGAACAAGGCGCAGATGATCCAGATGATGGCTAGAGCTGTGGCCATAATGGTTGACCATACCCTGAATACTACCGAGTCCGTAATTTTACCTAGCTGCACGGCAGCATTGGCGTACACTCCCTGGTTGCGACAGTCTCTCGTCAGCGAATTGTCACAACGTTCTGTGATGGAGATGGGATGAGAAAAGGAATACACACCCATGGGAACACCACAGACCAGTTGGTGAGCGTAAAAGTAAACTTGGGTCCCCTCTTCCACAAGAGAGCGTGGACGATACCGATACAAGCAAAGAACCACCAGAATAACGACGCACCCCAACACACGAGCCCGAAGAATAGGCTTCCATACCCAACAACGCGGGCGGCATCATGCGTCAGCAGGACACCATGGTTCTTGTCAAATGCGCCATTCAATAATGCGTTGCCCAGACCCTGCATCGCGAAGCTCCCTGGCCCCAAGGTCCGCACAGGATCATCTCGACGTAGACTTGGCGCTTGGGCAAGCTTAAACCGTCGTTGACGCCGACCCACGGCAAGTACTGCCGGGCCCAGAATAAGGTGTCTAGTGCCAGGGCAATGGGTATGCCTATGCCGATCTGCAGATACCCGACGATGATCATCGGCACTTTCTGCTCCGGGCTTAGCATGGCGTACTGACAGAGGGTCCCCGCGCCGGCGGCGGAGGTCAGCACCGCGATGATGGGCAGTTGGGTCACGGGGGTGAAGGAACGCTGTAAACCACCTTCGGCGTGCAGCGTCTTGATGAACATGGGGAGAAGCACGAAGCAGGCAGACACGGCCATGGCCGTGTTGATCCACCAAAGTATGTACGCCGCTTTCTCCCAGCCAGGGCCGCCCCAGCTAGGGACTACAACCATGCAGAGCATCTGGATCGCCGAGGTGAACGATATGCTAATGGACGAGAGGCACGCGGCCTCGACGGTGTTGTGCGTGATCGCGTGGCCCGTCTGGCGCGGACACAGCACCACCTTGAGAACGTAGACGATGAAAAAGGCGAAGAGGGTGATGAAGGCGATGAACCATAATATGACGGAGATTGTGTCCAGGCCACGGAATTGGTATTCTAGCTGGTGCAGGGTCGCCGCGAGGATGCCCGTGCCCTGTGGGATGAGGAAGGCTTGCGAGGGAATTGGGCGAGCCTGCCCCGCCATCCGTGCGGCTTCGTGTCCGACTTGAAGCGTGAGGGCATCGTGGGCTCGGCGGTTTGGGCTCGACCGGTTTTTCATGTGAAAAGGAAGAGGATGGTTCAATGGTTTCTCCGCGGACTTCATCCACCATTGGGTGTATCACCTCCTTGGTTGGCAGGTACATGGAAACAATGACTAAAATGTATTAGATCCATTCGACTGTGTGTGCGCCTAGTCTTTTTCAGCGGTAGAAGACTGGAGCTTAGCCGTTCGATCCATAGCAAATTGTGGGAAGACGCGCGAAACAATTGGCACGTTCAATCGCGTTGCTTCTCTCTAGCGTATCAACCCGGGGTAAACTTTAAGCCCAGTTTTGAGTCTTGGGCTGCGTTCTTCGCTTCAATGTTGGCTTGGTCCGGTTGGGTCGGCACGTTCTAGTGATCAAATTCATCATTTTCGGCCATTCCTCTCCGGCTTCCGCCAAGTGAGACCAGTGTAATGGGGAGATGGCCACTCATGATGGGTCATGACATCACACGATGGTCAGGAACAACGCTTCCGATCACCAATCAAAGCGTAAATCCAACCTACAATCAGAGGATGTGACGGACAAAAAAATAACACATAACGGAGGGTGTTCTCCTGATACTACTAGGCGTTTAGAGAATATATAATCCTCTGATCACTTGTTGGTTGAACAACTTGGGTTAGTATTCTCAGTTCAATTGCAGCCAAAAGATAAAGAAAGGTGAGAGAAGGGAAATTCGTAGGATCGGGAAGTCGGCAGCCAAGCAGAATCTGAAAATTCCACCAAGTCCTTCACGATGCCTCGGAAACCGTGGGTTGTCCGGGCCAAGGAGCACCCCGGTGCGACCTTTGACGAGATCCAGGACGAGCCCGCCTGGGAGAGCGGTCACAACCACCGCGTCGGCTTTCGCAACAAAGAGAATCGATTCGCCGGATTTACCCATGGCATGAAGCCCCTGTCCCTCGAAGAAGAGGAACGCATCATCAAAGAAGCTAGGAAAAAGTGGAAGACGATCCAGGATAAGCAGGACAAAGGCGACCTGGTCAACTGGCGCGACATTGTCGGAGGTCTGCACGACTTCCACCTCGTCCATCCGGAACAGCGACCCCACGGTTGGCGGTACGTCTTGGAGGCGCAGGAGGACTGGGTCAAGTTTGGTCAGCCCTGGCCGGCCAACGCGAAGCTGGTGGAGCAGGCCAAGAAGGACCTGGCGGAAAAGGAAAAGGAAAAGGGCAAGACGGGGACCGGCGACGGCAGCGAGAAGGGGAGCGATAGCGGATACGACGACAAAGATAGCAGCGGCGACGAAGCGTCTCGGGCTAAACGCACGCCAGCCATCGAGGCGTTGTGGAGGGAAAAGGAGTACATTTCCAACCTAGGCTTGGACAACGGCCTGCATGACTCTCCGCTCGCCGACGCGGGAAAGGACCGCGACGTCGGCATCAGCAACGACGATCAAATGTGTCCCGATAACTGGATTCCCCGAAACCCCGACCTCATCCGCTTGACAGGAAAACACCCCTCAACGCCCAGCCCGCGCCCGAGGCTCTTCTCGACGCCGGCTTAATCACCCCCAACGAGCTGCACTACGTACGCAACCACGGCGCGGTACCGCGCATCCTCTGGGAGTTCCACCAGCTCGACATCCAAGTCGACGGCGGGGCCAAGATGGTGCTGTCCATGGACGACCTCGTGAGCCAGTTCCGCACCATCAACATCCCCGTCCTTCTCGGGTGCGACGGCAACCGCCGCGGGGAGATGAACCGCATCAGAAAGTCCAAGGGTTTCACCTGGGGCCCTGCCGGCGTGAGCTGCGCTTACTGGAGGGGCCCTTTGCTCAGGGACGTGCTTCTCGAGGCCGGGCAGCCGGACCCGTTCGGCCCCGACGCCGACCCCAACTCGGAACGAAAGCTGTGGGTGCACTTCCGGGGTACCGACGAGCTAGCCGAGGGAAAATACGAAACATGCATCCCCTCGAACACGCCATGGACCCGACCAACGACGTGATCCTCGCCTTCGAGATGAACAACGAGCCCCTACCCGCGGACCACGGCTACCCCGTGCGCGTCGTCATCCCCGGGTTCGTGGGCGGCCGGTGCGTCAAGTGGCTCAGCAAAATCTGGGTCAGCGACCGGGAAAACGAGAGCTACTACCACATCTTCGACAACCGCGTGCTGCCGAGCCACATCACCGACAACGGGAGCGACGAGGCAAAAGCCATGTACCACAACCCGGACACGGCGTGCAACGAGCAGGTGCTCAACTCCGTCATCGCCAAGCCCGCGCACGGCGAGCGGCTCCCGCTCAAGAGCCTCCGCCGGGGCGACACCTACCGCGTCGAGGGCTTCGCCTTTAGCGGCGGCGGCCACGCCGTGCAGCGCGTCGAGCTCTCCCTCGACGGGGGCGAGACGTGGCGCTACTGCGAGCGGCGGTTCCCCGACCGACCCCTCAGGCACGGGCGCAAGGCCTGGGCCTGGGTGTTTTGGCACGCGGACGTGCCCGTGTCCGAGCTCGCGGGCGCCCACGCGCTGGCCGTGCGCGCCTGGAACGCGCTCAAGTGCACGCAGCCCGAGAGGCCGACGTGGAACATCATGGGCATGATGAACAACTGCTGGTACCAGGTCAAGCCCGAGATCACGAGCAGCGACGACGCCGAGGAGCCGTACGTGCTCTTTCGCCACCCCGTCGAGCTCGAGTCCAAGGAGCCCGGTTGGATGCGGTCGAGCGCCGAGAGCCGCGTGGAGGCGGCCAAGATCGCGCCCGCCGACGACCAGAAGCGCATCACGCGCCAGGAGGTGGAGAAGCATGATAAGCAAAACGACTGCTGGATCGTGGTCGAGGGCAACGTCTACGATGCCACGTCGGTGCTGTCGTGGCACCCCGGTGGCAAGGCGACTATTCTCTCGCACGGCGGCAAGGTGCACCAGGAAACGACGGACGAGTTTGACACTATCCACGATAATTTTGCGCGCAAAAAGCTGCAGGGTACGGTCCTCCCATGTTCACTCCCTTCTCCCCGGTTCTTTTACATTTCACTAGTATTCAAGATTTTGGCACTACCAACGTGATCACACATGCTAACGTATTTTGAACCAACTTGCAGAATGCCTCGTTGGTAGGCTAACGGACAAGGCGATAAAGTACATTGAAGAGAACGCCAACGGAAAGAAAAAGACGTCGGCAAGCTTCAAGGCGATGTAGGCCTCCAAAGGACATGTGGCGCCCGGCCAAGCTACTCCACCGAAAAGAGATCAGCGGGGACACCAGAGCGTACACGTTCCAGCTCCCGGAAGGCAAGATGAAGCTGGGGATGAACACGTGCCAGCACGTCGAGGTCGGGTTCCACCTGCTGGACAAGATGGTGACGAGGCAGTACACGCCCACCCGACCGTTCCTACCGGCGCCGGACGGCGTCTACAGCAAGGGCCACGACCTCGGCCGGGACTACGACGGCAATGGCACGTTTGAGCTGACGGTCAAGACGTATTTCCCCAACGAGAACCAGCCGGGCGGCGCCATGTCCAACATCCTCGACCTCATCCCCGTGGGCGAGGAGATTGAGATCCGCGGACCGCTTGGCGAGATCGAGTACCACGGACACGGGCGTTTCAAGATTGAGGGGAAGATAGACGGTTCAAGCGGGTGTCCCTCGTGGTGGGCGGCTCGGGCGTGACGCCGGCGTACTCTCTCATCTCGCGCGTGTGCGCTACTGAAGATGACAAGACCGAGATCCGCCTCGTGGATGCGAATAATACCGAGTCGGACATACTCATGCGCGAGGAACTCGAACGGTTCCAGGAGAAGAGTGGTGGCAAGTTCAAGTTGGCGTACGTCCTCTCAAAGGCCAGCGAGGAGTGGGCGGGTTACAAGAGCTATATCAATGGTGATATCATCCGCGAGAACCTCTTTGCCCCAGATAAGGATAGCATCGTCATTGTGTGCGGGCCGCCGGCGATGATTGCCAAGGCGGTCTTGCCAGCACTAACAGGTAAGTTCCTCCATCCCCTAACCTCCACTATGGACCACTTCTAACAACGAGCACTACAGAATGGGGCTACGTTGAAGAGCAGAATCTTTATGGATTCTAAACTACAGGAAGTACATGTAGGTATAAATTACATGTAGATAGACATTCGACTAGGAAAGGGCAGGGTGGTAACCGGAACCGGGGTAGCGGCGTACAATTCGTTTAGTAAAACCAGCCAGGCACTCAGAACAGGACAATGAAAATCCACATAGGATCGAACTTGGATATTTGCATGTGATGAATAGTTCTACTCGCCCAGCAAAAATGAAATCAATAGATGTATCATGCCATCATTGTCACACAATGGTCCCGCAAGCGAAATTCTCTGCTTCGTATCAAACTAGATATGAACAAGTATTTAGTCATTAAATCAGGACGAGATCATCCTCCCTTCCCACCCGTGCGGCTCCAGGGAAAAAAACCACGTTGCTGGTTTGAAAAAAATCCCGGAGCACCATACTACAAAGAACAAAAGGGAGGGCTACTTAAATTGATATCCTTTCACGATTTGAAACATTCGAAGCCCCTTGAAGAATGCGCGCTTGTAGTTGTCATGAGCTAGAACCGAGCATCGGACCCCAAGCTAACTTCCCCAAGGTCTCATTTCTCTGTCGGCCTCAAACCTTTTAAATGGCAGGCTCGGGCAGGTGGCATACAGCCTCAATGTTGTTGCCGGCGGGGTCCCTGACGAAGGCGCCATAGTAGTTGGGATGGTACATAGGCCTCAAGCCCGGTGCGCCGTTGTCCGTGCCGCCAGCCTCGACGGCAGCCTTGTGGAATTCGTCGACGAGAGCGCGGGCTGAGGGCGAAATCATGAAATGATTAGCAACCAAAGTTTCTACCAGACTTTATTGTGGCGCGATATCCTCATCTACTTGAGAAAACCCCTACGGGGATGGCGGAAACTTACTCTGGACCGAAAAGGCATGGTGGGTGCCGGTGTTGGTGGTCTGCTGGCACGCCACCCACCAGTCGGCGCGTCCCTTGCCCTCGCCGAAACCGACGGCGACCTTGTGGTCGATGGTCTTGCTGTAGCCGATGGGCTTGAGGGCGTTTTCATACCAAGTGACCGTCTTTTCGAAGAGGTCCTTGTTGACAATGACACCAGTATGATCGAGAGGCATGTTGGTGAGGAGAGAAGGTTGGACAAGGGGAGAAGAGTCGAGTTATGAGGAAGAAACAAGAGAATACTGGTGCTAGTAAAATCGATGCAAAGGATGTCGGTGGGTTGTTGGTCTGGAGAAGAGTTTGTGATGATATCGGATCCAATTCTCCCTCTTCGACGGGCGGCGGCGCCGTCTTAAATATTGCACATCGAGCCCCTATTCCCATCAATTCGTGAGCAAGCCAAGGAGCAACCAAACAAAGGCAGGCTGCATCGAGGCGCAATTCAGGTCGGAAAGTTCGGAATCCTAAAGGACTAGAAAATAATGCTTGAATCAATTGCTGGTGCGTTCATATGCTGTGTTCAACGTTGACCTTGGTGCGGTAGATCACAGCTCATCACCGGAATTGGAGGGCGTTGCGTGAACGGGGTCATGAAACCCCACCAAAACCTCGCACGGAACGGCCACAGCACGGCCGATACCCCGACCTCCCGCGCCACATTCTCCCCGCCGAACGGGCTCCGACACCGACCTCGATAATGGGATATGTGTGATCAGTTTGCAGAATCTCTTGTCCTTGCGTCGCCATTTACCAATCCTTGTAAGTCGAATTCGGTCGATCTTTGCCCCGTTCCCCTTCCAAGGAATTCATCCTCATGTCGCCGATGCCGTCTTGCTTCATGCCATTACCAAGAGGATCCGAGAAGCGATTGGATCGCTGGAGCAGGATGATGGTCTGTCAATAATCTACAACTATCGGGAAGTAGGCGGTGCATTCAAAGGCCCAGACCCGTACTTTGCACGATGAACTGAGAGACGCGCACACTTGAGGGATAGACGCATGGATGGTTTAATGGTGAAGGCGGGGGGATCAAGGGCTCATCCGGAAGAAACCCATCTCCCCACCGCTCTTTTCCGCAGGCCGTTACTCGCCGAGGGTCTCTGCCACCTCCTCCAACAAGTCGAGTATCTTCCACCGCAACCTGTGCTCGCCTTCAAACGCCATCCAGCAAGTAAACACGACTGCTTCCTCCAACAAGTCTCCCGAGTGCGGCCCGTCCAAGTTGAGAATCTTGTCTGGTTTCTCTGCCTTCTTCTTCTTGGGCTCTTGCGTTATTAGACTCTCTTCGTTTGATTGATTCAGGTGCTCCGTCGAGCCGCCGTCCTTGGCGACTACTGTCGTCGTGTCTACGGCCCTTGCCGCTGCAGATACTGGGTTGGGTTGCGACGGCAGGAAGGTGGTCAACGTCCCGAGAAACTTTCTACGTTTGTTGGGCGGCGCGCCGACCTTTTCCGCGCGTTTAAACGATGCCCATCTGTCCTTCTCATACGTCGCGATGATGGCTCCGTGTGAGTCGACGAGCTACAAGGGTAATACGGTTAGCTATGAGTGCATACACAGGAGCTTGATGGGTAACTGTGTGCTCTGTTGAACTGTTGTAGCGCTTACCTTGAAGTCGTGAGAGATACCTCGCCACCCCTTGACACGCGCGGGCAAGAACTGCCTCGTCCCCTTCCACGTGTACTGCTCTCCGCCAAGCGACCACTTCAACGATCTCCCCATGCCCTTGGGCCGCTTCATGGTCAGCGACATGACCAAGTCCGTCACCACCTTCTCCTCCTCGAGGGGGTTCTTGGGCGGAGTCGGCTTCATCCGGAACCACCTGCGCATCTTCTGGCCCCTCTCGTACGCCCTCTTCTTCGCCCGCCTCTGGTCGTTGAGAAGCACCTCTTGCATGCCGTCCCCAGGTGGATCTTAAACGAGTTCCAGAACCCCGTCCGCCGCGCCTTGCCGATGCGCGCGCTCTCCGGGCAGTACTTGGGGTTGTCCCCCTCCACAGCACGGGCTTCCACGTGCTCGCGTGCTTTTGCGGTACGGGGTTGAACACCCAGTAGCGGCCGGGGCCCTCGGCCTCGGTGAAGATGTGCTTGGAGCCAAAGGGCCCGCGGCGGTGGGCGTGGAAGGTCTTGGCGAGCGCGGCGTCGGGCGCGGCTTGGCGGTGCAGGTCCGGGGCGAGAATGGCTGCGCTGTCCGCTTGGGTGTCGTCGGTGCCGACGATGATGTGCTCTGTCGCCATTGTTTTTCTGCGGGGGATTGAGTGCGGGGGCTTGCTGTTGATTGTTCAATGCCAGAGAGATCGACGAATGGGTGTGGAAGCAAGAGCTGAGGAATTTAGAGCATCCCGAGGAATGGCCCGTTTTACATTATATACGAAGAAACCATCGTATCTTCCATTTATTCCTACCAGTGTCGTATTTCTTTTTGCTCGCGGATTGAAACTCGAAGAACAATGCGACGATGCTCGCCTCATCGTCCGGCTTCGTTATCTAGGCGGCACATGCCCCCTTTTCCATCGGAAGCGGTACCCTCAGCTCAGGGAGCAGAGGTGGCACGGTACCACCCATTAATCGATCCTGCCCCCATACAAATCGAAGTAGCTGCCCCTTGTCACACGGCCCGAGTGTGGTTTCTAGACATCCTGGAGCACCAGGCCGTTCAAGCCCAGCAAGTAACATTGACATAATTTAAGGTAGGTGAGCGGCCAGGGGTAGTGGCGCTATTCCCAACAGAGCGCTATGTCGCGACGTCAACCCGAATTTCGCAGGGCAAAGTCCAGCCGTTTGGGTCACCGACGGACACCTTCTTTTTAGTGCCTGGACTCCCTGATTGGCGATCCTCGGGAACACGTGGGATGCTGTTTGACCTGTGCAGACCTCCAACGAAGCTATCGTGAGGTGGCTGTGCCACGCCTGGCCATCGCTCGATGACGACGAGATTAGGCAAAAAAGAGGGTCTTCCATGCAAACAGAAAAGCACGCAAACAGCAAAACATGAAATTTATCGAGGGTCGACCGCAAGGTAAAATGAGCTTCTTTTCTTGAAGCTGTCGCGGCCTCCGTTTGGCACCGCCTCAATTTTCTCAAGGATCAAAGCCTATGTGGGCTTAAGCGAGTGTCACGTCCCGCTTTTCCCCCAATGAATCATGATCTTTGCGAACAATCTAGAAGCCTTTGGATTTCCCGGCTGATATCGTGACAAGCGGGAAAAAAAGGAAGATGCCAAAGGAGAAAAAAGAAAGACAAAAAGAGACAAAAACATACAACACCGGGGATTCGCTGGTCGTCACCGACCCAACTACTAGTCCGGCGCTTCGCAGCTTGTGTACAGGGGAGCGGACGGGACCCTCAATTATCTGCGAGCTATGGTCGTATGTATTATGGATGGCGTTAATCGTTTCCTATAAAGAAAACGCCCAGGTCGGGGACGAAAGCCTTTGGGGAGGGTGGCATTGGATTGTCCGCTCAGGCTCAGGTGTTGTTCTCAATTAGCACTGAGCACACCCATCAATCCGCGGTACATTGACGCAGCCCCGAGTTGGAGTGCATGATGACAACGTCCTGCGCGACAATTTACAATTGACACTGAAGAAAAGCATTAGCGCTGTGTGGATGCATGGGTGCCATTCAAACTCACAGATGTCAAGAAGGAGGTGTCTGAAGCTGGGACCAGTGATCGTAGGGGTTGCTGCTGAAACAATCCATAGATCCCTCGAGTTCGATACATCCATGGATGGATAGATCCAGATGTAGCTTACGCCGCACGTCTGACGAGTCAAAGGATTCCGCCCTACAGCTGCAGTCACAACGCGGGGTCAAGAGAAGACTGCATAGATGGTTTCCAAGTTCTTTCTTTGAATTTTTTTCCAGTCTTCATTGCAAGACGCATGGCCTTGTCTCTTTTTATATATAAACAACGCCCAAGAGCCTCTTATCTACCCGAGGTCTTTGTCGCGTGACAAGCCGTAGCTCACGAGCCAAAATGAGACTCTTGCTTGGCACCCTCCACAGGCGCGGCATAAGGAACACGGTCCTTGCAGTAAAACTCCACGGCGATCTTGTTTCCAAGAGCGGCACCGCCGTTGTCCAGTCCACCGGCCTTGATCACGACCATGCCCTCCATGACATCGAGCTTGGTATACAGGCTGGAGCCGCACGTCGAGCAGAAGAAGTGGCGGTTGTTCTTGCCGGAGGCGCCCGTTACATCGTAGTGAGTGGGGGTTCCTATAGTACATCACACGGTCAGATACCATCCAGTACAGGCCCCTCCAATACCCAGGTCATATGCATCAGGATCGGGCTGGGGTAAGAGGATGAAACCAGAACCCGAAGAGGGCCTAGACGTTGGAATCGTGCTTACCTTGAGTGACCTGGAAGGAATCGGCGGGGACTACGGCGTTGGAGGTGTAAGGGCCTCCAGTCCACTAGGGAGGAGTTAGTGTGAACTGGGAGATGAAGAAGAAGATTGCATGTAGGGTAGGAGTCCTTACCTTTTGGCAATCTGTGCAGTGGCAAAGAGCAGTGACGGCAGGGTCGCCTGTGATATGACATATTAGCAACGATGCGCCGAGACGCCTTTGTGGTGATTCCGGTAGAAAAGAGTTCCAAAATTGCTGGAGGGTGGGGAAGGCCGGATGCGGCGGGGGCGAGGTGGAGTGACCATCGACAGAACAAGAGGACTCACTGCTGCTTTCGTACTTGATCGCACCGCACATGCAACTTCCGGCGAGAGGCATCTTGTGGTATTAGACGGGGAATAAATAAATGGATAAAATTGGATGGAATTGGAGAAAGAAGGTCGTGGCCGACGAAAAGGACAGACTGGTATTTTAGCTGCGAGGATAGTCAAGGGTGATGATGACGGAGGAGGTAGTGTTTGTGTGTTTAGTGAACACTTTCAAGTTTAAATATATAAAAGCGTGGTCGGAAAATACTCCTCAAAGCTCGGAGACTTTGAGTAATCAGGAAATCAATCACCGGCCCAAAGGGAGGAGATCCGTGTCTCGGGAAACCCCACACTCATGTCGAATAGCTTCTGTTTACCCAATAGCTTCTGTTTCCATTTCTTGTAGTCCCAAAGGAGCTCGGCATGATCAGCTTAAGCGGGGTCGAAAAGGGGGTCGACTCTGCTGTGTTTTCGTTAGTCGTTTTTGGGTTTTGAGGGTGACGAGCTACCCCGCGTTCGAGCTTTGATTCAAGTCTGACTCTGAGGTGGGGGGGTTTGGAAGCGGGACGGAGTGGACAGGGCCAAGGGGGAGAGGGCAGTCCCGCGGAGAAGGCGGAAAAGTTCCCACAGAATACTAGAAGTGTTGGGACTGATTTGTAAACTGGACCGAAGGGAAGAAGCAAGCAATCTAGAGCTACCGAGGTAGTCCACGCGCGAAGAAGGCGAGAAGCCCAGGGTGAAAGAAAAATGAAGCAAATGATCGGAGCTTAGCGGACAGATGGTCCCCGATCACGGTCGCAGCCGAGATGCCCGAAACTGCCCCCCTTCCCCCTCGTGCATGTTTCGTTTTACGCCCACTTCCCCAGGAAGCTCATCAGAGCCATGCCCGAAACGAGCGCCGCCAAGCCCAGGCCCGCCACCAGCCTGGACGCGTGCGCCATGCACCCGCCGAGCATCCAGTCCCCCGCCCACATCTCCACGATGCCGACCCACACCAGGATCCCCGCCGAGAACGCGTCCAGGGAGCCAATGGCCCAGATGGTCGCCGGGTCGTTTCCGTTGAACCGGTGGAGCGCGCAGATGCCAATCGCCATGCCCAGCGGCGTCACGAGAGCGAACCCGCTCGCGAGGAGGAGCTTCTTGCGTAGGGGGACGGGAGAGCTCGCGGGATCTGACGCCGTGGTGTTTGTTCGCGCGTCTTCGTCCGACCATGTGTCGCTGCTGCTGCTGGTGGCGTGGAAATGGTGGGAGTGGGAGTGGCCGTGGGCGTGGGTTGTGTGTGGGGCGGGGCGTCCGAGGGACGCGATGCAGCTTCCGAGGGCGATGCCTTCAAAGGCTTGGTGGAAGACGATGACGATGGAAAGCGTGATGAAAATGCGTCTCCGGTAACGACGAGCGTTAATCCGATGACTGGTGGCGACGGTCAGCACAAGGTTGGTACACCTCACCTCCCCCAGGGTTGAAGTTTTTGATGGAAAGTGAGTGAAACCTACGCAACGAGTGAAACAGAATTCCGGCTTCCATCACGGAGAGGTTGATCATCTGCCGGCTTAACATTGAACTCCCTTCCGTGGCACCCTTTGTAGGCATGTACTTGTCGGCTATGCGGTGGGCGGCATACTCGATGAAGAAGGACACGAAGAGACCTGCCATCAGGATCGCGGCGGCGGTCCCTTCGTAAGACAGTTCCCCGATGCACGGATTCGAAAACATGAGGCTTGCGTGGGTGTATAGCTATTGAGGACATGAGCATCGGACCTAAGACCATGGCTGGTACGTCAAAAGGGGAGTTGCCGCGGGAATTACTCACATGAACAAAAGCAGTGGATATCACTACACCTGTGCCAAACTGTTTAAGCAGGCCTAGAATGATATTGAACCGTGGCGGCAGATATAATGAAAGGAAAATTGGCCCAAAAACACCTATCACGGCAGATTCAGTTAGCTCTCCAATTTTAAAGATAGGCTGAGGTGTGGGAAAGATGAACGGCGATACCTATCGCGCTGGTGACAAAGATGATGAACAGAAATATCACGCGCAACGGGACGTTGAATTCCCGGTGCACTCGTTCGCAGTCGCGGTCTGCTGATCCTCCCTCCCCTCGCCAACTTCGACGCAGTGCCTAGAGAAGGTGGAAGTTAGCCTTTTGGATAGTGATAGATATACAACAAGTTCCGACGTACTCAACACCAGCATGGAAGTGGCAATGCCGCTCTGGGGTTCTGAACCAGAGTCAGAATGGCCACTCTTGGAACCCGGTGCATTCCCTGGAAGCAATACTTCCACCTCGTCACCGTCAGGGGTAAGACAAAACCTAGGCCGTTCATTAGCGTGGGTCGTGGCGCAACAGGGCCAATGCTTGAAGGGGCAGCTTACAAGTTGGCGCCATGCTGGTGGCATCCGGTCAGCGAGGAGATGGGCTTTGGTATCGCTGTATGAGTAACGGGTGGAATCGGGGGTGGTCCGAAATGACGGACTGGTGCTGCGACTCTGGTAGAGGTAGCGCGTGGTGCGAAAGATGCCAGCCTTGAACAAGGCTATCGTGGATATGATGGCGAACACGGTCAGCATGATGGTCCGCTTGAATTTGGTCGCCATACTGAGGAATTCGATGGTCGAATGAACCCAACGCGCGACCATGCCCCTAACTATATACGCTTTTTCGGAAGCCATCAACGATGCTGCTCCTTTGAATGAACGGCCGATGGGTATGTTTTGTTGTGACGCGTATGATGGCTTTCACGCCAGCTACCCCTCAAGGTGTAGGAATGAAAGGGGTGGAAGCGAACGAGGACAATGAACAAAAGTGGTGTCGGCGTGTAGAGGGACAGCAAGGTGGATTTTAAACAATGGAGTTGCGTGACCCTGATGGCCAGTCTAGTCCTGCCACACAGTTCATATGAAATAGGTAACAGGGATAAGGATTGCCCGCATCTATGCGCTTGCACAAGGAAATAAGGACACAAAAAGATCAAGAATAGCAAACAAACCCAGCAGACCCTATTTTGAGGGGTTCCTGAAGGCCTAAACTTAGGACAGCGATTAGATATTCTAGGTTCGGGAAGGTGACTGTTAACCTTGGCCTCGGCTCTCAAACCCGTCGTTGAAATAAGGTTGGATAACCAGCGGAGGCGAGTTTTGTCCGGCCCTCGCTCGTTTCGCGAACCACGGGAAGATTTATAGATTGGAGCAACTAAAAAAGAAAAGAAACAAAAGGGGGTTTTGTGTGAGTGTGCAACAGGTCTTGCAACCCCTGGGACATACATATACACGAGACTCTTTTCCACCCCACAGCAGGCCAGGCCATCAGGGTGCTTCCTCTTCGGGCCTCAGCCCACCCTCAACCTTTAAGACCTGGGGATTTTCCAGTTGTGCGTACGCCGTAGGTGATACATCATACATGATCTCTATGGGTATTTCTCTATTGCTTACTATCTAGCTCCTAGACGCGACGCGGCTTGGTATCACATAGGACTTATCGATACCATCATCGAGATAGTCCGGACTCCCATGCATGTTGACCCCCATTAATGCAGGCTTCATCTCCGGCGTGACCGCCGCAAACTGGCGCGCCCTATCCCAAAGATATTGATGGATCCACACCTTTCGCTCGGCGTCCGCAAACTCGGAAGCCATGCACACGGCGTAGCCTACGCGGTACGGCCCCATGAACCCCTTGCCCGTATGCTCGAACGACTTGAAGATGCTCTCGAGCAGCTGCTCGTCCGTCTCCGGGAAGTCCGTCTCCTGCCACTCGGCGAGGACGTGCTGGAGCAGGAGCAGGCTCGACCAGTAGCCTATGAATAGCGTCCCCGCCCACTCGGACACGAACAGGTACATGGTGGGCGTGGGGAAGTAAGGGTCTTCGCTGGGGACTTCGGTCGGTAAGGGAATGTATCGCGTCGTTGTGGTGAACCAGCGCATGAGCTTGTCGCGCAACTCGGTCGTCTGCCGGATGACGGCGTCTATTTCTTCTTGGGTCGCGCCTTGGGGCGAATAATTCTTTTTGCGGAGAGCTCGCGCGTGTTTGAGGACGCGTGGGCAGAGGGCTAGATAGTACCAAAACTCTTCCACCAGTTCCTCCTCTGGTGTGTGAGCTCCCGTAGCCCACACGTCTCTCCACTCCTTTCGGGCTAGGAAGCAGTCCTCGCCGGTGAAGAACGCATGCATCATCTGGTAGGATAAACTGGTTAAAACGGATCCAGAGGGAAAATGGGGAGGTTGGGGGATTAAAGAGCCACATAAAAAGTTACGTACGCTGAGGCCTCGAAAGATTGTAATCATGGACAAGTCCCAGTCGTTAAGGTGTGCGTTGGGTCCTCGGGCGAGCATTAGACACCCAACACCCCTCGCATGGTTCATCCAGTTCCTCGCATTTGTCGTCCCTGCAAAGGACTATGGCCGAAGAATAGGCGTAAGTATGCAAAAAGATACGTAGAGTTAAGAAAAAAGGTGGAAAAAGAAAGTCTACGACGACTCAAGTATGGAGACAGCTGTTTGTTTACTCACCTCGTACAGGCAGAGAAGAATGGCGGAACACAAGGTTTCGCTCGACTTCCACTCAATCGGATGGTTCAACGCTTGCTGTAGAGCGCCCAGCGCGCGAAGATACGACGTCCTAGCCCTGGCAACAAGCTCGTCCTTGTCCATCTGCTTCCCCTTGATGTGAAGAATGAGCGCGCAAGAGGCGCTGTCCAGCGTCGGCTTCTCGCCGAGCCGATCCGGGATACCCTCGAGAAATGGCCAAAAGTGCAGAAACTCAATGTCGCTCGTCATCGAGCAGATGCCCTGCCCCAGCGGCGCGAGGATCTGGATCCGGCTCGGCTTCAGCTCAAATCGGAGCACGCCCGCCCGCTGCATGGCGCCCGACCACACAGGCGCCACCTGCGAGCCCGTCTCGCTTGGCGGCGTCTCGCTGTCGTCCGACGGGGTCAGCCGGCCGGTTGGGTTGTCGTGGATGAACTTGAGCGGTCGATTATAGCCGGGACACTCGGCGCCGTATTTTATGCAGCGCTCGCAGGCCGGGCGGCCCTCGTCGCACTTGACCCGGCGCTTGACGCACAGCTTGCACCCCTTGCTGCGGGCGACGCCAACCATGTTTCTGGCCGGCGAATGCTGTTTTACCGCAAGAGAAATGCGACGCGATCTAGGCTGGCCTCTTTGGTTCGAGCTCTACGGTTTAATCTGTGCATGCTGGCCTCCTTTTTGTCTTGAGATTCACAGCTGGACTTGCGGTGACGTGTGACGTGACGGACTTTCTCCCCTTGGCTCTCCGATCATGCTGCGCCACTGCGAAGATGGGGCTTAGTCAGGACTCAGAAGCCACCACTAGGCTGCCTCACGATGATTGTGGTGATGATCCTTTGAGCACGTAAACCTGCGATTGGCCAGAAAACGACCCGTCCATGAGCCCTGATTTCATTGAATTTGGTAACCGCGTTGCAACATTTGCCCGAGCGTCTTCAATATTAGATAGAGATGTTGACCAGGTTCCCTATGATTACACCGTTCAATGTGTTTTTGTTTTTTTGCCAAGCTCGGTGGGCACATCTTCTTCGTTGCACTCTCATATCCATGGGGTACATACACTACGACTCGTCCACTGACCCGTCTCTCCTACCGAGCTTAAAAATCGGGCGGAGGCGCTGATTCATAGCCAGGAACAAATGTGAAAGGGTAAGGCCGGCATCGGGTCGTTAACTTCACCGAGCACGCGCCACGGACCGGCGCCCACACACACGCAGCCGGCTGATCCAGAATCTCGTCGACGGGAGTTAGCGCATCCGCCTGTGGGACCGGGGCGACGATGTACGGAGACTTGCTCCACCTTACCCCGACTCCCGCTTTCCGCAGGGACCGTTCCATCTCCGCCATCCCCGCTAGCAAGATTAGTTTTGGTTTTAGGAGCGGATGGGCAAGGCTCAAATGAAGGAGCCGGAGGGATCGAAACGTAGTCTGCTTCCCGACTAACAATTCTTGCATTTCGCATGCAAATGACTGGTAGATGAAGAGGATGTGCAGCTGGTTGATGGTGGCTGGGAGAAATGTGGCCATGTCGTACCACGTCGGGTGCCGTCTATAACGCGTCATTGCCAAGGCAGCTTGGTCTATGACGAGCGTATGCAAGTTGCTAAAAGTTTGAAAACTTCGGATCGGATGGGGCATTGTTTTCTGCCTCGCGTTCTCTGGCTCGAACTCGATACGGCCCCATGTGAGGGCCACCTTCCTTAGAGCGACGCGGGACGGTTCCAGCGCGTCCATCAGCTCTTCGTAGTCGGGGCTCTCCTCCGAGGCGGGTAAAAGGATAAAAAGAACTCCTTCGGGGACGATCCGTCGCCACCCATCGAGCGGATGTCGCCGAGCGTGGCCCCGTTTACCATGATGTGGCGGAGCCTGAACGACGCAAAGGGTCCCCCTTCCCAGCTGATGCGCTCCCGGCCACGGACATGATCGAGGCATCCCTCGGAGAAAAGGGTGTGCAACTTGGGGGCGATGAGTAGCATGTCGCCCGCGAGCCCGAGGACCCGATCCGGCCCGGCAGAGCTAGAGTTGCGCAGGCACAACACCTCGAGAGGCAATTTCATCCCCATCATCCTGAAGCGCGCGAGTTTGTCAAAGTACGCCATCCACTCCCGGCTGGCCAGCAGGGTATGGAGCCTGGGAAGCGCCATGATGAGTAGTTCTTGCAGCTGCTGGTGAGCAAGTTCTCGAGTCCGGAGTTGCGGGCTCCACCACCGCGACGGTATCCTGAGTGGCCCGTTCCAATCGTGCACGGATTTCATGTATTCGTCAGGGTCCAGACCTCGGGCCTTGATTGCGTGATAAAGGCCAGGCAGGACTTTGAGGTCGGTGAGCTTCAGCACCCAGCTCTGCGTGACTTGCAGCGAGACCACGTGCTGGGCGAGGTCCGGGTATCGGAGCACGGTGTGGGTGAAGCTCACGAGCTTGTCGTCCTCCGGTTTCCAGTCCGCCGGGCGCATGCGGTGGGAATAGTAGTTTCCCGTCGCGAAATAGTGGTATAATACCGGGTTGGCGATCTTGTAGAGCGTCCTGCACGTTCGGGCGAAGTAGGCGAGGGCCCGCTTCTCGCGAATTGTCGCGGGGTTGGCGTCGTGGAAGGCGAAGCGGTCTCTGCAGTGGGCGCAGAGCTGCTGGCATATCATCAAGATGATCTCCTTCGATAACATCCGCAGCGGGGTTTTGGTGTGTGCGAAATGAGGCATGTGCGGACGGGGTCCTATGTACAAAATAGGACCATGACCGCTAGAGGGGACGCCATGCCTTTCCTGCTTCTGCTGGCCGTCCATGGTCTGCAAGTTTTGTGTTCAGGGCGGCTCAAAGCCCCGCTCCTTTTCAGCAGCGGAAGTTCCTGTCTATTGCTGAGCCGTGGCGCTTTCTGGTTCTTGTCTGGCCTTGGTGGTTTCTGGTCCCGGTCCACGTTGTTCACAAAGATTGCATCAAGTGTCCGCACATCGTGTCGGAAATGAAGACACTGATCTGAAGTATGGCAGAGGGCTAACTATAGTCTGTTATATGTAAGGCCCTCCCTCGTTAGGCAATAATTGCTAGTGTGTGTCGTTGTCAAGTGGTACCTGAAGACGGCATTGAAAGCAAGGGCCGGCTCCAGCAGGACAAAGAATAGCCATTTGGCGGAATATCTCAGTAATGGATGCCTGTTGCCACAACACCAGCTTTCAAGAGACTACGAAGAAGGCCCACCGCTGCAGACAAGCCCACTTCGGTTCTTTAGAAGCCACAAGCATAAGAATGGAAACGCCCATCGCTTACAGGGCCCTACCTTGTACGTTTAGGCGGCGGATACAGCCCCTTGTTTTGAACAGAATACATCGAAGCAGATAATAAAAACCGATAGACAAGGATGAATGAGCGAGAATTGCGTAGATTGAGTTGGGAGAGGGAAGAGGCTAATCGGCTCTAAGCATACTAGCCTAGGGGTATCTATATATACATGGTGAACCTAGAAGACTCGAGCCGTCCCGACCGACCTCTTCTACGGCTTGGAGTCTTCGCACGACTTCTTTGCGGCCTCATCCTGGTGTTCATGCACCGAGCCCTCCGCAAGGTCCTTTTCCTCCTGCGCCTTGGCGAGGTCGACGTTCTTCATGGCAAACATGATGAAAATCATCGGGGCTAGGCCGGCGGTGGCGGCGATGGCGAGCTTCTGCTGGGTCTCGCGGTAGGCCTGGTTGATGGCGTCGCGAGCGGGGTGCCCATCTCGTATTTTTGCGCGGTGACGATGGACTTGTAAATGGCCTGCGCCATGCTCTTAGTGGAGTCGGGGAGGTATTGCGAGAGTTTAGATGGTAGAAGGCTGTTCCAAATGGCACCTCCGACACTAGATATGGGGAAGACACGGGGGAACGTCAGCAGTCCATCCGGGCCTATTCGCTTAGAGTGTTTGCGGGCTATGTCTGCTTACCTGGTTCCAATGGCACCTCCGACGCTCATAGCAGCGTAGTACACGCCAGTGACGACGGGTACGTCCTCACGATCGACGATGGCCTGGATGGACACCTGCGCGGCAGTTTGGTAAAAAGCGCGACCGACACCGACGAGGGTCTTGGCGGTGATGAAGCACACCTCGCTGGCGGGACCGTCACCGTTCTTGTTGACGAAGTAAATTTGAAGACCCTGGCCGAGAACCACGAGGGGAACGCCAATCAAGACGAACATGTGGGACCTTTTCGTGAACTTCATCAACAGGCCCACGAGGACCGAAGCAATCTGGAAGGATACGCGCAGGGCGTTGCTGTGGGGGTAGGTGGTAGCGGTTAGTAAACAGGATGTATCTAATCAACTTCGGCAAGGTCATGTTGTTTGCTTACTCTATGCGACTGGCGTGACCGGGCGAATACCCTCCGACGACTTGAAGATAGCTGGGGAAGAAGAGAGTAAAGGTGGAGTAGTGGAAAAAGTCGAGAAGCGAAAGCAGGCAGGCGGCGATAACGGTCTTCTCGCGAATCATGCGGAACGGTACAAACGGAGTCTTGGCGAATCTAGTATCCCATACCAGGAAAACGCAGAGCACAACAATGCCAACGACAAGCATGGCGATCGTGGAACCCTCCTTCCACCGTTGGCTGTTCTTGGAGCCGGTCAGGGACAGCGGGATCAGGGCGAGGCCGAGCCCGATGACCATGAGCACGGCACCCACGATATCGAGATCGATCCAGACGAGCCTGATGATGCGCTTGTGAAGCGGCAGCGCGGCCGTCTCGCCGGTCCAGATGCTCTTGCGGATGAAGCCGTTCTTCGTGGCACGCCGCTGCAGGACGTACATGGTGACGATGAGGGCGCGGCGGCGAAGGGGAGGATAATGGCCCACATGCCGTAACCCCAGCGCCAGCTCGACTTGACTAGCACCTCGTCGGCCACGATGGTGCCGAGGTACAGAGTGGGGATGGAGGCGACGGACTCTGGTAGGGAGGCCCAGAAGCCACGGTTGATGAGGCTGGTTGTGTCCGCGATGAAGATTTGCTGCATGATGGTGAAGCCGGTATCGCCGATAGATTCGAAGATACCTCCGGCCTAAGGAAGACGAGGGAGTCAGAACGGGTGAAGAGTACGCGAACACATGCGTTGTCAAGGGGGCGCTAGAAAGAATCCAAGTAGAAGAAGGAGGCTGGGGTAACTTTACAATATACGTTCCAATGTCTTGGCAGGCAGCGTACAAGACCATGGAAAGGGTCATGAAGAAGATGGCGAAGAAGAAACCCTGCGGCCGGCCAAACACGTTGGAAAGCTTGGCCATGATGGGGTACGTCACCAAAGAGGTGATGGTGTACACGATGTTGGCGGTCGTGAGGGCGGAATGCTTGGAGAAGGCGCTCGTGGCGTAGGCATCGTAGACTTTGGTAGAGTACTTGACGAACGAACAGACGAACGAGGTTGCGAAAAGACTGCGTCAGGTAGTCTCTAACGTTAAATTCAAGTTCGTGCTATGGATGGCACATAACTTCACACAATATTCGAGCCAATGACACTTACCCGGCAAAGGCGATTATCATGGCCTTTTTAGACCATGACCGCTGCAGGATCTCGACATCGGTCATAGGGCGCATCTGCACATTAGCGGGAGCTTTTTCCAGGTCGTGTAGCTCAGGTGTGCTCGCGCCATCCTGGATGACCTGCACATCCTCTTTGCTACCACTGGCCATTGTGGAGGGGGATGGTGGGATGCGGAAAGTGGACTAAAGAGACGGAAACGAAGTCTCTGGTTGGGGACGACGAGTGTGACGGCCCGTTGGCGAAGATCGATATGTCTCTCCACCCTCTTTTGCGTTCTGCAACTAGGAGGGGCGACCAGTCTACTTGTATCATGGGCGAGTCCTCATCATTCCGCGATTTACAGCACGCGAGGCCACTTTGGAGTGAAGACCCCATCCCGAGATCGGCACTCGGCACGCGGCCGATGGGATGTATGGTCCTGTTTCCACAACCACATGGCCCGAGGAGGAGAGGAGGTTTTCCTTTTGTTCGTCTTTCTTTGAACAGCCCAATGTTGCTTGCGCGCCCTCATCTGCGGATCTCATCTTATCTGATCGGCATGATTATGTGGACAAGGTGGAGGATCCGGGTGGAGACGGCGGCGTAGAAAGGCTCGCCATTCGACGGCTTGGCGATCCTCGAATGCAACGTCCTCACGCTACGGAAAGTGGATGGGGAGCTTCCAAACATGGCACGATGGAAAAGAAAGGGAAAAAAATGCCTGGAATCCACTGGTTGCATACGTCGCCGGTGGGGGACGGTGGGGGACGGTGGGCCCGGATGCTAAGCTGAGAAGGGTAGAAAAGCCTACTTCGTACATGGAGTGACAACTTGAGTAGATTCCCCTCATGCGGAATGCCAACGGTTCCCGCCGCCACAGATTTTCAATGTTCCAACCCGGAAAACGACAAAAACGAAATAGAATCTATTTCCGACGACGACGTTAGCGCGGTGGAGACCTCACCCGACTTTTTCTTTTTGCCAAGCCTTGGACGACGTCTGTGGTGCCGTTGCCGTTTGCGTAAATACCGGCATGACATGGCAGACGCAGCATGGATCAAGCCTTCGGCTAGCGGATGTCCATCGTGCTCGTTTAACCTAACAGGTGATTTTCTCTTCTTGCGTTTAATAGCTGCTACGACGAGTTGAAATGGCCAAGAACGTCAATGTGCATTCGGCCAAGCGGACCATCAAACGATGTTTACTCATAAGCACGCGACAGCCCAAGCAAACAATTGCAGAGAATGGAACGTCGGCAAGCCCCAATCTACCGACTTCCGAGGGTTAGCACAAGATTGATAAGATCCATTAGATGGATTTCCATGATCCCCGTCCATCAAGGTCTCCATAAAAGAGTAGAAAATTTTCTTGGTCTCCCACACGACACGACAGGAAGAGAGTGGGAGGAGAGAAAAAAAGAGTCACTTCTCCATCTCAACCCCACGCTTCACTCTCCGCTTTCGGGGATCTCTACCATTTCTCTCAATCATGCCCGAGCCTAAACGTGAGGCCCGGCCTAGTCCGACGTGCCCCACCGAGAACTCGTCCAAACTCGTCACGGAATTTGTGCTCATGCGGAGAACTGAACGCCAGAGCTGGTCCGTCGCCTCTGTATGACGGATCTTGGCAGCGCTTGCATAAACTGACGGGAGGACGTTCATTTGGTAAAGTGCACATGCAGCAAAAAGATGAAAGACAACTTGATGGGTTCCCACCACCCCACCCCCAACGACGTGGGTGGGACTTGATTACGCCAGGCGATGCTTAAACGTCTGATCGGGAGACTTTCCGCGCCCGTGACTGGTCTTCAATGATACTCACACTATATCGACGCTCTCAACACGTAGATTCGAGATGGCAACTGTCCTAGGATAGTCTTCTAGGCCCAGTGCCATGGTCTTACACTCGCCCTCGTAACAAGGCGGCCAACCTAGCACCCGTCGCAACAGTTATGGAAAACCCATGAGATTCGGATCTCCTGCAACAATCGAAGCTGTCTCTGATATCTATTCATTGGCACTCTGAGGTTGGACATCGAGCTTGGACGGGGATGCCATGATGAGACCCTGAGGGGCCCCAAATTAACCCAAGGCCCCAACTTGAATTACATGTGGGCGATATGGCCGGGCGCAGATAATCAGTCTCCGACACGTCCACTTACTCGAAGGCACCCCGTTCACTTGGAAGTTTCCTCCATTATTCCTGCGAGAAATGACTAGAGTATGCCATATGCACACTTTGGACGCATACCGATGTCGTAGAACCACATTATACTTCACGGAATTGAGGCAACAGCTCAACTAGGCTGGGGACCAACTTGCTTCCTCCCCCACAATTACTTGTTCTACCTATACAGTTCCAGTGTCTTCGTTAGGCGCGCCGGCGATCTGCTATTTTCTTTTCTTCACCCATCTTCAGGCGTCTTTCTTTGTCCATCTTGATCCGACCTTCGTCCATAGCCATCCTTTTCAAGTTTCTTTGACTGCGAGACGCCCCATCGATTAGCCAAAGTCCGACTGCCTGGCGTTTCACGACCAACTTAGAACCGCCCGTTGGCAAAATAACGCTTCTTTATTAATTGAGACCCTTCCTCCAGTCCTTCGTGTCTTGAGTCGTTCTCGGAGCCAAATCAAAAGCCAAAGCCAGCCACAATGATAAACTGTTTGGTTTGTTTCGAGTCCTGCCAACCTTCATTGGTGGCCTCTGCGTGTGTTCATCCTCCGCAGATATGTCAACCCTGCATTCAACAACACATTTCCCTCCGCGTCAAGGACCGCTGGAGAGAGGTCCAATGCCCGGACCCAGACTGCACTGAGATATTGACACACGATGATATCAAGCTTCTGGCAGATGCCGAGACTTTGGCAAGGTGAGGCGATATCCCCCTCCCGACCTAACCACCCCCACCCTCTTAATGCCTCGGCGTTCTACCTGGGCGCTAGCCGACCCCTGCGACACCTGCGAGGAAATTGACAAAGCAAGATACCTCAGGATCCCGTCCTCTAGAAGGCCGAGACGCGCCACGAAGAAGAGGGCGGCTACGGCAGAAAAGCACCAAGATCGCGACCGGGACGCGCGGCGACAGCAGCGTCACCGACGGAGTACCAAACTTGAAAGACGCAAGCAAGAGGAAACGGCGAGTTTGAAAGAGATTAAGAGGATTGCTAAACCGTGCCCTGGCTGCCGGTCGCTGATCGAGAAAGAAGGCGGTTGCAACGATATGTATTGTAAGTGTGATCTTTCCCTTGCAACAGTGTGGCCCCTTGGATAGGGAAGGCGAACTCGTACGGCCTGCGTATAGTTCTCTGTGTTTGGATTCACATCGCTACACCGTTATCCATTCCACCGCACACCCCAATCTACTGCTTTTAGGGTTGTTAACAGGAAACCACGTGTAGGTACTCGATGTGAATATCAGTTTTGCTGGGTTTGCCTGGCGCCCTGGGACGACTATCATGTCCTGAGCTGCGGGCATTAGATGCACTGAATCATTCCCTGCGACAAGATTGAAGGGACTCGGAGAGATGGGACTCTCCTGCAACATGTAAGGTTAGAGCTCCATATAGAGGCAGAATCTAAGTACAAATTCTGCCGATTGCCTTGCAGATATGAAGCCCTTTTATGTGCAAGAGAATGAATCCCGTACTCCTTGATGTAGTGTCCATGGCACTAGAATACACTTCTATCACATATTACATGTACAGACATGTCATGACGCCAACCTGAACTTTACCCAGTTCCCGCGAGTTTCCATTCTCGCACTGAGCCTATATGTAGGCAGCGACGGCTACATGCACATCCCCATTTAGCAAATCTCACGTACCATTGCCTTTGATATCACGAGGCAGCGACGCAGGATCAACACGACTGCGACGTTCATTATTCAATTAACTAATACCAAAACAGGTGTAGAGAATACTGACGTCTACAACACCTCGGAGCCACATGCTACTATCAATTACACCGTTAATCCCACACGTCTTCCGAGATACAATGAGGCCCTATTGATACATAGCGACATATCTTCCCTTGTGACATCAGGATCTTCATCCAGCACAACTCGCTTAGTTCGATATCAAAATACCTTGCCGGCCATCTCAATTACCAAAGGCTGAGAGCCGGTAAGCGGGGATTCGCCTTGAGATGGTGAAAGTGCCAACTTAGGCCCGGGAAGAAGGATGAGAGGAGGCCGCAGGGTTGTTGACAGTGTCTCACCGCGAAACTAGTACGTGGACCGCCAAATCAAATGTGACATTAAATACGTTCTTTCTAGAGAGTTTTTATCGATTCAATAGACATCTATTTACCTACACTTCTTCCGGATCAAAGCCGATCATCATTGGAGGGAACTCCGCTGTATCAAATCCAACATCTTTCTCCGAGAAGATATCCTTGAGGTTCTGAAGTTGGGCTGACTCAAATGGTCCATAAATTCCAACGTGTTTGAGGTTAGGAATTTCTCCGGGCCTGCTAAGGCGAGTACGGCTAGAGAAGATGCCAGGCGATCCGCCGATGGGCCATTATAACCCTTCCAAATCAGAAGAGATTGTATGGACTCCGGTAGTAGGTTGACCAACAGCATTTCGGAAAGTTGTGATTCATCATCGAATGCATGGTCAGTCCGGATCATCTGGCCGTCAGGGCCTCTAAAGTAGCTCGTGCCAAAAGGATCCCTGTGGGGTATCAAGCAGCGGGTATCGAGCACTAAATCTTGGAGATGTTGGAGGCTCTGCAAAGAGCAGATATATTCATCGAGATCTGTAGTCTCGTGGAGAAGAGCTTCAGTGAAGTCCAAATGTAGACGGAGCAAGCCGGGTGCACTACGAAGTGCATTTTGGGCCTCACGCGGCGTGAACTGCTCATCACAGACTGTGGAACCACCGGCTTCAAACGTAAAGTCCTCCAGTCGTGGAAACGTCTGAAGAACATTGTGGAGAGAGTCGGCATCCATCCCACTATGAGCGAGCTTCAATTCTGTGACGTTGGCAAATGTAAATCCGGGTGGTCCGGATGATGCAAGTGACGTGCAGTACAGCTTGGCCAGCTTCGGCGCGGCTTCGGCAAGAGGCCAAAACGCGTTCAGATGCATTCCCATCTCTGTGTCAGAATGGCCAACTTCGACATGCTTGAGCTTGCGTAGGGAGCCTGGCTGTGCAGGGAAAAAGTCTTCGTTATAACCTAGCTTTGCGTCCAGCTTCTCCAATTTCGGGCACAACGTCGCCATCACCACCATGGCAGATAGTTCGGACGCAAAGGGTTCATCATCGTCTCCCTCATCTCGTTCCTCCCAACCCGGGTTATCCTGCGCGTGTGCCTCCATCTCTTCTTTGTAGATCGCCAACAAGGTTGGATAAAGTTCCGGGTCTTTGGATTCGTCAAACGTATCCCAGGAACAACCACAAAGATGTTTGATATGCCGGCATAAATCATCTCGGGCAAGCAACGTTCTGGCCAAAAGCCACCATTTCCGAGTAGCCGGGTGATGGTACAGGCGTGAAGTAGAAATTTCGTGGAGGGCCTTTGAAGTGAGGCAGAGGGAAGCCAGCGCAGCAGAATATTCACGCTCCTCACGAGTGTCGAACATGTGGAGGGCGTGTGTGTGATAAGAGGCTCTTGAAGCAGGCACGCAGTGCAAGCATAGAGCCTCTACAATGTTGAGTAGAGGGAGAGTAAGGAGCGAAGGCATAGTGAGAAGCAAAGGCTGGCACACGCTCACGACAAGGCTGGAAGATGAAAATAACTATTATTTTAACAGAAAGAGAGTCGAAGGTGTTGACAGGATATATTTAGAGGCTTATCTTCCTGTCAACAGAAGGATGCGGAATCCTAAGTAGGCAGCAGCAAGTATTTACCCCACTTTTCTTTCTTTACATAATATCGTCAGTCTGACCACGGATAAGTAGTACTATCTAAGCATACCTCGGTAGCGTATTCTTTATTTCAGACGAAGCATCATGTTTGGCAGTTCCATTCGACGATTTTGTGACCTGCCGCTTTCATGGGTGGATGAGGTTGGACAATACCATCCCACCACTGGACAGCAATCTTCAGTGGAGACTTGGTAGGGTATCCAAGGGGCAGGTCTTGGTACTGGTCCTAACCGCCAGGGCTCGGCAGCGCAATAGCAACAGAGCTGCATAACAAGTGCTAAAGAGTCTCGATCGGTAGCCATGGAGCCAGATGTGGACTGCATTGACTCCTTGCCAAGCATATGAGAGGTTGGAAGCCGTTGGGCTGATAGCCTGGTAAGTTGACATCAGCGACATGCGGTCACAAGGGATACCTGACTGCGTCAAACTCTTGGTTCACTTGCTTAAATCCATGAATTCCGCAATGAGATGCTGGGATCCGGATGTTTCCTCCCATCGCATCTGCTAACCCCTATTCTTGTCAGCTCATCGTTCTCCAAAGAAAGCCATGGGTATAGCGCAATAAGCGTACCAGACGGCTAGGCGTTAAGAGCCGATCAAGGGACCCGGCGTCAGATCTTCGTTATATGGGCTCACAGTTCGGCCATATATCTTTATATTCGTTTCAAGGTATATGATTGACTGCGGTTTTGTAGTTGGTGCGAAATAGACACAGTCGGCGTCCCAGAGTATGGGCAGGGAGTCAAGATATCATGCACCCTCAATTGTAGCGTCCCACGTTAACTTTGTGCGATAGTTGCTCGCTCCCTACGCAAGGACAGCGCGTCGGAGAGAGGTTCGAGTTAACTCTTCGGACAAGAGTTTGCGGTTACGAAGGTTCGTAAGTAGTTCATTGACATAATAGCTCTCGGTGAGCTCCAATTCGTGTGAAGCGAGAACCATGCTCAGGAGACCCTGGGAGCCTCATGGTAAGACCATGAAGAAGACCGCTCAACGGAGGTTGAACTTTAGCGACGGAGTCCTCGCGTTCCGTCCTTGCAGGGGCTTTAGCGCGCGAGCAAAGGTCAACAATAAGACGGCCAGTCTTGGCTCGGCCTAACTTCTAATCAATCGGGGTAAATTTTCCCCGCAAAAGACGGTGCCGTAGGTCCCGTCCAATGCCTGATCCGCGGAGGACGGTACAATGCATCACCAAGAAAATAAACGAAGAAGGCGCTTCTTGGCGGTGGCTTGACCAGCAAGGGTGCCCCGCCTGTTAGCGGCCCGTGAAGGGAATCATATGGATTTCGGGGACAGCATTCACGACGGTTCTCGCGCGCGCTAGCACCCGGGCTCCGAACGCTTCAACCTTTAATTCAAGAGATGGATGTATCAACGAAGTTCAAATGTTCATAAATATCGTGCTCGATAGCGACCAGAGCAGTTTGAGATCCTCTCCCTCATCATCCGCCTTCTCCATATAATTGATATAGATCCTGTCCCGCTGAATAGGTCCGCATCTATCGTACGAATCCCTTTTCATTGACACGCGCTTTTGCAACTTTTGCCCCTCTAATACTCACATTCCACCGACGATTCCCATCATCAACCAACCATCCTTATCTTGCCTCAAACATGGCCACCGCTGCTCCCCCACCTTCTTCCTCAACATCCACACCAAGGACCTCGCCGCCGCCACCGCCTTCTTCCAGGCCATCGGCTTCACCCACCTCACCCACTGGTCCGACGACAAGTCATCCAGCTTCACCCTACCCGCCCCCAACCAGAATGTTGCCCTCATGATCCACACCCACGCGCGCTACAAGGATTTTATCCGCCCCGGCAACACGCTCGCCGACCCCAAGACGTCGAGCCAGGCCCTCTTCAGCATCGGCGCCAAGACCAAGGAGGAGGTCGACGAGGCGCTGCAAAGGCCGTGGACGCCGGCGGCGAGAAGGATCCGTTCGTTATGGAGGGTACGGTGAGAAGCATGGCATGTACACGAGGAGCTGGACCGACCTCGACGGAAATGTCTGGGAAACTGTAGCTACCTTGGGCTGCCCTTAAGTTGGGCGAGGGTGTAGCATTAGGGAATGAAACGCTAATGCGAATGTGTTGACCTCGTGCGTGTAACACATGGAGTCATGTTAAAGGAGATGGATGACTTGGGTAGTTAAATTGTCGCTTTCGCTGTGCGAAGCTCTTAGGAAACAAGATACATCGATCTCGGCAGCCTCAATGATTTGTCAATTACTACTATCCGTTTAACTAGGCACTATGCCTGGTTCCTTGCTGATGAATCGTGCGCATCTTCGCCGCTCCCGACCTGATACTCATCCCTCTCTTGGACCTTATTCTTCGTACCGATCGTAGGTAGGTCATCAGTAGGCTGGTTTGTCAATTTCTCGACGCGCTTAGATAGGCCGCCTTGCTTTCCGGCGTCAATCGTCTCACCAACATTGGCATCAGCATTGCCACCGTAGTTGCTCTTGGTTTCATCGATGATGTTTCTAGACCACAAACATTAGTTAGAAGACTAGGCGTAAAAGGGTAGACGATTAACGCACTGGGACTGCCCGTGTTGGTTCGAGCCAAGGGGCGCGGGCTGGGCGCCTCGGTCATTCATATCTGAGTGTGGAGGAGCTGCCATTGCTTAATCTTCTTCCTGGTGAAATGCACAAACTTCAATTGCCAAGGGGAGAAAAGGAATTGGTGAAGAGTGGGAAATCAATTCGTTTTGTAGGGTTGAGAGTCCCTTGCTGGCTGGAAGGACACTTTGACGTCACCATGACCCTGGCGTGGATGCGGCGAATCGCGATACCTACGATAAGGACTTTCAAACCGGTCAACGCACCAAGACCGCCCAGGGATGTGTAGCTTAGGTTCATAAAGGCTTGCGGTCATTACTAGCTATCTTACATAAGAATAGTTTCCAGAGTAGAGAAGCAACTTGAAGGTTGCCAGGCTAGATGCATCAATAATTGATTTGCGTCGGGTATTTGGGTTAAACTTAGACAAACTGAATATCTTCCAGCTGAGCCCCCATCGTCAGTATCTCACCATCCATCATCCTGCTCAAATATGCGTCTCCAATCAGCTCAAAGCGGCAACCGCCTATTCGTCTCGCAACAAGAGGAATCTCCCCTCCCGGAAGAATCAAGAACTCGTCTCCAGGCTTCGCCTCATCGGGACACAAGGCCAGCCGTCCGTCCCTCGTCGACGCGAACCGCCGAAACCCGTTACTACTCAGGTTAACGTCCATCGTGGGCGCGAGTGGCATGTACGCCTCCACCGCCTTGGCAGCCACCTCCGCGTCTTCGGTGGAGAAAAGGGTCTGTAGTCCCGTGAAGAACTTGCGCATGGGGGCCGAATAGTCCACCGAAGGGTCAACCCTATCTAGGAGGAAGAGCCGCCCCGTCGTGATTGTCTTCCAAAAGTCGTCGAAGCGCTCCTCGCTCATGTCGGATATCTCGGCGCCGCTGCCTGGGCTGGATGCGCACGCGAGCCGCGCGCAATCACGGTACCACGCGATCTGGCGCAAGGCGTCTCTGAACGTGTCTTGGTTGATGCTCGCCAAGTGCGGGGGTTGAATATCTGGTGCCGGCGGCTTGGGGTGACGACCAGGCAGTCGATCGTGTCTGCGACAACGTCCACGGCCCACCCGCGGCAAGAAAAGACGTTGCCTGCAATCTGGTATTTTCCCGGACCGAGATCGCGGCCTCCTGCGTCAAAGTGAAACATCTTCATGCTATGGCTCGACAGCACGTCCACCTTTTGTCGTCGGAGGTCGGGAACCCATGAGGGCAAGGCAAGGTGGGGGACCTCGGGAATACTCATCTCCTTGGCGAAAGATGGGGAAAGTCACAGTGGGGGCCATGGAGAGAAACCCCAGGTCACCGTTCTCCAGGTTGTACTTGCAGAACCTGGCGAAAACTTCAGCGGGGGTATGTCGTACATGTCATCCCGCTGCAAGATCTTGATCGCGCTATTCGGCGCGGTCGCGTCTCGCGCGTCATTTTCCGGCGAAAGCGCGAGCGTAGCGTAGACGTGATCTTCTGGTCTCGTGCACCGGAATTGGCGCGTCATCTTCACCGTGTCCAGGAAGGTGAGCTGCCGTTTTTCCCGGAAGTGGGCGAGCCCACGGATATGGGTCAGGTTGTACAAACGAATACCCAACGTCATGCCATCCGGCAGAAGCCCGCGGAAAACCGGGAGCGCGTAGAACCCGTGGCCCACCAGCAAGCTAGCCATGTCCGCCAACATCCCTAGGGGAGGACGAGGCCGCCGATCATGACCAGGGCGTTCTTCGCCAGCGCGGCCTCCTGGACGATCCACTTGCGGTCGAACCAAGGGCTACTAAAAGCAAGCGCAGGGGCACCCAGTCCATCTTTTCCAGCTGCGCAATCTGCGGCGCCATGGACGCCAGGCTCGACGCGTGCATGGCGTTGGGGTCGTCGATGGAGATGGCGGGCAGCAAGGCCTTGGTCTCTTCGATCATGCCCAAGGCGCGCAGCGCGAAATCTTTCTCCTCCTCCGGGGTCGCGCCGAACGGCACCCCGAGCCATACGAGCACGTTCTTCGCCCTGCTGTAAATCTCCGCCATGAGCGCCACCTGCCGCGCCTTTTCCGTGTTGCTGCTCTGGTTGATGCAGACCGAGTCCGCCCAGATGTATAGGGGCCCTCGACGATGGATCCGTCCCCGCGGCGGAAACCCGTGCGCTGGAGGCATTGGAGGAACGCGAGCAAATTGCGCGGCACGTTGCTGATTGTGTGGCCGTCGCAGACGAGGTGTGTGCGGTTCTCGGGGACGTCGGCCTCCCAAACGTACGAGAGCGCGTCGTAGGTGAATGCACCGCCGGTATCTGTTGGCTGGTCCTTACTACCCCCGGCAGCAGGTATATTCTTGTCGAGGAATAGGGTATTAGCCGTAAAGTGAGGTCCTCATACTCTCGACGGGGGCGATAGATTGCGAGAATTCGGATCCCGCGCGGCCCGAGCGGGGAGTATTCGTACGGCGGGGGCAAGGGCCGGAGCCTTGATAACGCCCGGTAGAGGAGCGAATCGAAAAAGCCCGAAGTCTCAGCGGCAAGGACGACAAGCCCCTCAGGCGGGTGAGGATCGCTCCCATCTTGGGAATTATATGCGCGAAATGCTCTCTGGCCCGTCCGTGGTGTCGAGTTGAAAATGAGCCTCAGCCCCAGGCCCCCTCACAATGTTCAAGTCTGCAGGGATTGCCAAGCCTCTCCCATCTCTTGTCAGCAACTCATGCTGGGATCGCTGGCTCAGGGTAACACAGCATATCAATACCTTCCCACCAGCCAATAGATGCCATGCATGACCCATGGTCTCACGTTTTGTCCTCGAGCTTTCATGTCCACATCGGTACGTGCATGCAGACGTGGGCTTTACATTTCACCCTCGCTCCCTAACACATGAGTCTGCAACGGCCTTTGTCGGCCATTTTGCGACCTCTCTAGTCACTAGGCTCACGGAGAGAATAGCAAAACGATCACCGCCACAGCAAGAGCCACAGTCTACTTTGGCAACAGTCAATAAGAGAGAGGCACAAGGCTCAATCCGAATACAGCCCCTTCAAGATAAACTGCGATAGGTTTGCCAGGTAGGAAATGATACCTAAACCCTATCAAAGATGGCAAGATGGAAACGGGGCAGGGCGAAAAAGTCTCGAGATCCGGCGCTCGCGATAAAATGCGAACCCACACGTTGCTGAACCTTGGGTCCCGGACGAGCCACTCATCGCCACACAGCAATGGGTTGGTTTTAGGGCACACTCACATGACTCAAGAAGAAATGCCCACGACAGTCTCGACATCATCCAAGCATCGGGCGAACATGTAATCCCTCAAAGCTTGTCTCGAGGCCTCAGAATCTGCTAATACCCCGCCCGCCGTATAAAACCCCTCAACCGAACATGGGGAGTGCGGCCCCCAAAGCACCACCCAGTCTATCTTCTCCACGGCTCGGTCGGGCTCTCACATCCCAGAGATTCCGAATACTCTTCCAAAAAGTCCCCCTTCAGTAAACCTCTTGACGTCAAAAACCCCCAACTCTTGCAGCCATGGTTGATAGTATAACCGTCTTCTACATCGTCTCAATCCTCGGCCCACTGGTACTCCACGTTTGCCTTCCGTTCCTCGATACCTCCCAAGGCAACAGTGAGACTGGACCTGCGCCTAGCGGCTTGGCGATGACTTGTGTTCGCCTAGCCGCTCATGCGCTCACGGCCAGCGTCTTCTTAGCGATCGCCACTCACGACGACGATGGTGCCGCAAAAGTGGCGCGTCGCTCCTAGCAACCTACCATTTCTTCATAGCCATTCACGGAATCTTCTTTGTGCTTTTGTGTACCACTAAGCGCTTTGACCCCTACTACAGCTTTCTCAGCTACCTTAAACACACGACCCTTGAGACGGCAATCCTCGACCTCGTGCTGTTTGTTGGCCTTATTGTCAAGAATCGTGTGGCAGAACCAGTACGCTGGATGATTCCACGTAAGTATTGCTCTCCCCTTGACTGAGACCACCCCTTGCCCGATCCCCAAGATACTAACAGCTCGAGGGGGCCTAACAGTGGGAGCATTGCTTGGGACCTTGGCGTTAGTCTACGGCTTGACCTTTTGGAAATTAGTTTATAGTGACAAGAAACGCGCCAAAGCAGAGGCTGCCGCTATGGAACTTCACACTGTCAGGCCTACATGATAAGCCAGGCTCTAAAACTACGGTGACGATTCAAGTAGGGGGAGCTGGGCGTTCATCATCGTGTCATTATACTCTATTTCCATATTTTAACAATTCAAGTCAACGCTAGCTATGAGTTCCTGCTCTACCACATCGTATGCTGCCCTGAGAGCTTGAACGGCAATTTCTAGCTCATCTTTAGTAACCGTAAACGGAGGCGCTAACAGGATGTGGTCCCGATCTGACCCAGCACTCGTAACGGGGCTCGGATACACCGCAACGCCCATCTCGAAAGCGACCATTTGCACCTTGGACGCGAACAAAAGCTGGGTGGCAGCGATCGCTTAGTTGCTTTGTCAAGCACAAATTCTACCGATTGGAAAAGGCCCTGGCCTCGTATATCACCAACGTAAGCGCAACCGCTGAATGATTGCCGAAGGAGTTGCTGTAGCTTACGACCCATCTCCGCAGACCGCTGCACGAGTCCGTCCCGTTGGATGATTCGTTGCACCGCGAGTGCTGTGGCACACGAGACGGGGTGCGCCTGATAAGTGTGGCCGTGGTTGAAGCTGCCCGTACCAGCCCTGAGAACATCAACAACCTTTTTGCTCATCAAGATTCCCGCGATCGGGGCGTAACCACCACCCAGCCCTTTTCCAATCGTTACCATGTCGGGTTGGATATCCTCTTGCTCAAAGGCGAAATAAGTCCCAGTGCGGCCCATGCCGCACATGACCTCATCGAGGACTAGCAAGATCCCATATTTATCGCACAGGGATCGCACCTGCTGGAAATAGCCCCTTGGCGCTGCTAGGGAACCACACATTGCTCCCACCACCGTCTCTGCGAAAAAGGCCGCAACCCTCGTCGTTCCAATCCTCTTAAATTCCCCATCAAGTTCGGCGATCAGACGTGCAACGTAACACTCCTCGGTTTCGCTTGGGGCCCGGTCACGATAGGAGTACGCCGGCGATACGTGGGACACGTTGGGCAGGGTAATTGAGTCCTCGTAAGGTATCTTCCTAGCCGGATTGGTTGAGATGGACATGGCCGCGAGTGTGTTGCCGTGATACCCCCTCTGCCGGCTTACAAAGTGTACCCTCTGCGTCTCGCCTTTTTCCCAAAAGTACTGCCTCACCATTTTCATCGCCCCTTCGTTCGCTTCGCTCCCGCTGTTGATGAAGAAGGCTTTCTCAAGACCGTGCCGAGGGTTTGGCGGATAGGATAAAATGCATCGCGCGAGTTCTTCTGCGGAGTCGGTTGTATAGGCGGCTGTATGGACGTACGATACGCGTCTCATCTGGTCGACCGTGGCGTCAAGCACCTCTTCGTTTCCGTGGCCGATGACAGCCACGGCTGCGCCACCGCAAGCATCGAGAATCTTGCGGCCATCTAAGAGTGTGAGATAGCAGCCTTGCGCGCTGGTCACGTTGTGCGGTTCTTCATGAAGGGTTCGATGGAGCAGGCCTGGACTGGACTTTTAAAGCCTCTCGGCGTAAATGTGGCTTCGTTGCCGCGTTCGTTTTCCAAGACACTGGTAGGAGCCATGGTTGTGATATATACGGTGGTAATTGGTATGAATGGATGTTGAACTTTGGTCGTGGCTCAGTCTCGTTGCTGGATGCCAGCCCAGCCATGGACTACCCCCGTATTATAGCCCCATGCCAACCCTCTTTTCCTTCGTTTTCAAGCCCTCGAGTTTAATTCAAGGATTTGACGTATCCACCCGGTCTACCACCACGCTTGCGCCGGGGCGTTATCTTGATGCCGACTCTCATTCCGATCGGTATGCCGGGTATCATGACTAGCGCTATCCCAAGGCCGCTAACATCAGAGAAGGAGGAAAACTGCCGAATATAAACTCACTAGCCAAATTTGGCTTGGTCAGGGCAATACCTTCTACGCAACATTTCATCCGTGTTCACAGTTGGAAGATAATCCATTTCTTCTGTCTTTTCAAGTCGTCATGTTTTAAACGTTCCATGATAGCCAATATTGAAGTCTGTCCTCCTTTATTCCCTCTCTTTCGGCCTACATCGTATCTGACCAGTCATGGGATGGATGGAACATATCTGCCGTCTGCATGGGATTAAGCGGATCGCCAACATTTTGCCCGATGAAATTTGAGAATCCCCAGACCCCCAATAATCCATAAAATTACTATTTAGATCATCTCCAAACCGTCCCCCTCCTTCGGGTTGCATAACTGTCTCTTCCTGCGGCGCTTGAGAAGCGTCATCCATCTCGCGGGATCGATAGGGTTCCACTTCGTCAGCGCCGTGATAGACGAGAGGTGGATGCAGATGGATTGCCCTATGGCTGCTGATACCAGGCTCAGACTGCGGTGATGATGCCCCGCCATTATCGCTTTCTTGTTCGTTCGTGCTGGCTCGGCGAGACTCTTGAATAGTGCCATACTGCTCCATGGTTCGTATTAGGTGGACAAACTTTTGCGAGTCTTTCCACGTGTAGTTTCCGCAGTTTACCTGCTGATACAGCTTCTCGGTTTGCTGAGTAACTTGGAGCTATATGGGACATTATTAGTACCATCATCAAAATCTCTCCTTATGCGTAGCCTATCATGGTTGAACGTACCCATGGCCGTCCTAGGGGCCACACGTCTGTAAATCTTGTCAAAAGTCCAAATCCCGCCGCTTCAGCTCCGTAGCATCTGGTCGTCTCGCGTTACCGGGGTCAGCCCAAGGAAACGCCGAGCGGTACACGTTCATGCTGGCAGCGGAGAATACGCAATACCCGGTATGCGGTGTCAGAAGAGAGATGTGGGCATCCTCAAGCTCTGTGATGATCTGGGTAATGCGTGTGGAGGAGTCGAACAGGATGTCGTAGTACTCCTGCCACCAACCCTGAGGCGCTTGCCTGAGGAGTAGCGGCGGTTGGATGGGGCCGCAGATCACCTCATTGCGGTCTTTGGGTACAAATGGAAGATACTCTCGATAAATCATGAGGATACTGGACAAATAGTCAGCTACCAGCCGATCTCCGATATACGAGCGAGTAAAGCTCATGGTGGGGCTCACTCACCTTAGATAGTGGATCAGATTGATAAAGGCGAATGACTCAGCTTGACGCCGGCGAACATAAACTGCCACCGGTGTTTGCGGGTATTTAATGCTGCTGTCCAACATCCTCCGCCACTCAAAGATCTCGGTCTTGATCTGGTGCCATTCTGAATCCGTCTCCCATGGACAACTATTCACAACCGACGACTTGCGGCGGCCCCCTTCCGCCACCCACTTGCAGGCACGGAACCAGATATCTCCACTTCTCACGATGACGGCACTATGGTCGGCAATGGTGAATTTTCTCCCTAGGCTCTCGGCATTCGTACTCAGAAGCTGGGAGTACGTGAGAGGGTTTGCAGCCGGCACACCAAGGTCAAATTCGTCATCGGTACATGGCAGATTGATCTTGAGCGACGCACGATCGAGGCTGCTGGGGCGCCCTTCCCCGCAACTCATGGCCATATCCATGACAAAGCACGCCCATGTAGTGCGCCATTGGACTTCGCGCCGCCATATGCATTCCCTGGCTTGCCCCGACTGTGGTGATTCGCGGGGGCATGCCGGGGTCGTGTTGATACCGCCTGAAGGCCTTGCAGCATGCGAACAGCCATCCCTGTAGAAAATTCTTGTTAGTACCGGTTATCCACGAATGTTGGTCGACCAAGGGCACCGGCTCACCCGAATACATCCAAGCTGCGAAGCCATTGCCATCTCCCCACTCGTACTGCGCAGTGAGCAGCAGACAGTGCATGGTATCCGTGTCCGGCTCCTGCACCAGCCCTGGCCATAGATTTTGCTGCGTATAGGCCGAGAGCTGTTGGCTAAGGCATCGCGAGCGCTTGGGATCCGCGAGGAGCGACGGGCTGATTCTAGCAGCGAGAGCAAGAATCGAAGCGAGCTTCAGCACGACGATGCGCTTTCGCGAGGTCCGGAGCTGGTGGATAAAATCGGCGACGTGGATAAAGCTCAAGTCAGGAAACACGCGAGGTATAATTTCTACGGCTTCCATGATTGCGACTTCGGGAATGTCCTGTAGCAGGGTCTCTTGCCTGTAAAGGGGTACGTGCGGGGATGCCCGGAAGTTTTCGCGGGTCTCCCGTGACAGCGACAACGGTCGGAGCGCCGTTGTCGGTGATACCGAAGCGATTGGTGTTCCCAGGGCAGGCACGGGCGAAGATTTCATCGGCGATATACCGCCCGGTCTCACCGTGCGACGTGGCCGCGGAGGAGTTTCTCCAAAACGCACTGGTCTTTGGAGCGCCCGGCCCGGAGGCAAAGCCGGCACGGGTTCTCGCCATCATGCTGGGAGCATTTCACTTTGGATTTCCTGCGTACCACATAGACACATATTCCATCAGTTTTCAGTTATCCTATTGCCTCGCTAGGTGGACTCTGCCGCTCAAGGGCTGTCGCGATATAAAGGTGAGGAACCTACCTGCACCAGTGGCAAGACGGGGTCGATCGCATCTCGCCGAGCTGGCTGCGCCCGGAATAAAATCCGCTGCAGAAGACCACAACTACCAGCTGCGAATCAAAAATCCCGTCGGAAAAAAAGAAGAAAAAAGCAGCAAAACAGGAATGCAAGCCCCGACCAGTTACCAGGTGGCTCGATGAGGGTGGAGGTTGTGTGGTGGTTTGCGAGAAAAAGTATTTTCGGGATCGGCATGAAGGGTGACGCCAGTAATTCATTCCGAGACTCGGGATTCAAGTTTTGACTTCCTCGGCACAACGTACACAACTGTCGCCAGCTTTCTGCCACTGGCAGCCATCTGCTCACCATTCCGAGATGACTTAGGAGCTCTATAAACGCTTCCGCGAAGCCACGAGAAGAACGCGAAATCTTCGTTTTCACACTAAGGATTCGGTATGTGGTATATAAAAACATCTGCTCAATTCCATCTTACTGAGCTCATATGATGAAGGAAAGAAATTGGAATCTTTCCTCGATAAAGTTCTCTCTGTCTTACTCTTCGGCTGCCTATCTTGATACCTTTGGATTCAACGGTTAGCATCAAGAGGGCTAGGATCAAGAGAAAATTAAAGGTCGTACACTATCCCAATACCTTTGGCCAGTATCAAAGTGCAATTCGAATTTCGTTCTCATCCATTCTCTCCTCCATCCAAGAGTGGAGGAGCGATCGTGGTCCATCCGAGTGTCTGAGTACTCGTGGCCCCGGCCGTGCTCCTCGAGGCTTCATTGAAAGGTATCACGTATCGTTTTGAGGACCTCAGTGTTGAGCTTATTTTTCATGTCGTCAATAATCCACCCTGGCCGGCCTAGCTTCGGCGGGAAGCTGACGGTCAGAAAGATTTCATTGTGGCTCATGGGCACGACGAAATGTATCCTTGGCCCTCTCCAACCTTGCCTTCAGCGCGTTAGCTCGACTTGAGGCCATGTCGACGCCATGAGGCGGAAAACAGCCTCACTTTCACCCCCTTGTTGACCTTTTGTACCGGGGTAATAGAAGTCTATTCTCCGGTTCTAGATCCTCCGGACTCGATGTCAAAAGCTGTTCACATCGGGCATACACACGCGGTGTGATAAAGAGATTCTTGGCCTGCCGCATCGCATCGCAACCGTTTTCCAATAGCACCTCAGCAACTCGCGGACGCCAAGTTGGTAATCCAATCCGGCGGATTCCGAGGATTTCTTTGATAAAAGCGGTTTGTCTTCTTCCCTTGGATTTGTTTACCCGCTGTTTCTAGAGTCTGCCGGCTTTCCTCCATATAGGTTCTCGGATCCCCTCCTCGGCGTCGCCCGAGAAGCACAACCTGTCGAATTTTCTGATCATCGCCTCTTCATTCCGTTTCGCCTAATACCGATGCCTACGTCTTCAAGCTAATACGCGCTAGCCGTTTCAACAGAATCTCCAGATTACCCGCTACAGCCTGACCCAACCTAGAGCACTAAGTACGCTTGTGGATGGAGAACCAGTCTCGCTGATGAACCGCATTTGTCAACCCACTTTATTAAATCTTTCCCTAGCCAAGTTCAAGAGGAAATCGTTGAGCGGTATGGACAGGGCTTGTCAAAGGGTGGGGAGTGATGTAGCAGCGCCTGGGTGAGAGGCACAAGCAAGTGTTGATGAAACAGCTGCTGATTACCAAATGTCGGGTTAATCCTCTCAAGCTTCGTCGGGTCTAATATATGTCTGGTCTACCGAGGTAGAATAGACCTGCTGGGGTATTCTCAGGTCCCAACTTGTTTCTTCATCCCGTTTTCTTCATATTTCTTTTCGAATTTTATCATGTATGTGGTTTATGGTGGTTGGTTTAGTCACGATGTTTACCTTGTTCCTTGTCCTGACCGATTGTGAGTGGAACCTTACAGCATCGAACAAGGGCAGGTAATTCGTGGATCCGAGGATCAATTTTAAGCTTCATTAATATAAGCTTGCTTTTATCCATTTACGGAGGATCCTCTCCATTCGTCCACCGGTACTTGGTCCCAAGACATGCACAAAGGGGAGAAAAATCATTTCAGACATGGTCTGTGACCCGCTTGGCATTCGCGGTATTTCCGCACTTCAACCCTACGGCGGTCGAGTAAGAGTTAGGATGGCCTGAAAGAGCGAGATCATGAAAAAAATGGCTTTTCGTTGGTCCTTTTCCGCCCATGCCTGGAATGGAATGTGGCCCAGCGAGCTCTGCCAAGAGCGCTAGGCCTGCAATATATTGGAACGAACAAGTTTAGGGCGAATGAGAAGCGGGCTTCCCAAACGAAGGGTTGCAAGCAAAGGGTGCAATGGGCATGTGGTTTGGGATGAAGGAGGCTCAGCCGCAAACCTCGCCACTGAACTAGAGTCTGGCCAAGACCTCTGGCGCGGAATGCCCAACACCCGCGTCCCAAGGTTCACGTCCATTTTCATTCCGCTCTCCCTCCTCTCGCACCATTCTGACAGGACAGGGCACAGTCTACTTCTGAGACCTTTTTCTCGATCAAGAGGGACAAAAACTCAAATCCCTGTTCTCCCAAGAGAGAATCAAAGACCGGAAAGGAGGAAAACAAGCGTGCGACAGGGTCGAGAGACGGAAAAGCCCAAACGCCTGTAGCGGAAGAAAAGGTTAATTTCCAGACCGGCACTTCCCCCTGCACTTCCTCGCTCAAGGGCTTTCGGGTGTGGCTGGGTTTGTCGAGTGCCCTCCGCTAGCTGAATGCAGGCGTTCCCGTTCGGGTCTTCGTCAATGCACACGGCGGTGGCTGGTCACGGTTTGACTTTCAAACGAGCAATTCAGCAAACCCAGCTGAGATGTTCCATTGGTTGCGCCCAAGACTCGTCTTGCTCAACCCAATGCACATGTGGGTTCTCGAGCATGGACCAGGCCCTGAAGGGGTCTAGTTCTCGTCGGGGGCATAAATCGTGTAAATGACGGGAAGAGCGCCCCTCCCCTTCGATGTATGTTCTATAAGAAGCGGAGAGAGGCCAGCCTCAGTTCTTTCAGCTGATTCCATCCTCGAAAAGTCCGTTCTTGCGAGTCGAGTCGAGCATCGTCACCTCGCTGGCTTATGAGACATACACCATGAAGCTCCTATCTTTCTTATTAGTCTTTTCCCTCACTCCACAGGTGGTGCTATCCGCCGATGCGATTGAGGGAGTGTGCAACGGCATTAAGAGCATCTACGACTGCAAGGCCATCATCACGATCCCTACCGGAGCCAAAGTGAAAACGTGCAAGAACAAGTTTTTCGAGGTTCGTTCGACAGCCCACAGAAAGCGGTCGACAAGTTAGGTGATATCGGCATCTCCTCAAGACTAACCTGTTTCTCTTCTCTCCTTCTACAGACTGATCCGTGCAAAACGAAATTCGAGTACAACTATCCTTGCCCAACATGGCGGAAACCCGGGCGGACTTGTAAAGGGTGGACATGCGCTCCCGGTATGTTTTCTTTTATGAGTAGGAGGTGAATCGGGGAGGGCAGTGGACTGGCCAAAGAGAGGAGGCTTCTAACAATACACGTACTGCTCAGGGACGAGAGAGACTTGGATCGACACGCCATGCGGCCTCACCATCACCACGAAAAAGCTCGACATCTGCCAGACAGTACGCGGGGCCATGGGCAACGTCGGAAAGCAGTACATCAACACCATCGGCGCCGTGTGCAACTGCCTTCCCAAATTCTTCGAAATGGCTGGCAGAGACCTCTTCAAGTCCGTCTCTTCCGGCTCCGCGCTGACGGGTGCCGCGTCGGCCATGATCGGCGAGATTATGCAACTGCAAAAGGTACATCTAACAAAACCATTCCACGCCGCCCGTATCTTAAACTAGAGGCTAGTGATAAAAGAAAACTTACTAATCTTGGACTGCCAGTGCGCGATCGATAACGGCTTCAACGTCAAAGACAACAAAGAAGAAGTTATGCGTGGCGACCTTGCGTCCACCGACGGCTGGACAGTCATTCAAGCCACAGAGGTAATACTATGACGAAATCTCCATCAAACCATACAAGTTCCGCGCTCTGGAGGAGAATACTGACTTGTGGCCCGTTTCTCAATAGATCGATCTAGCGACCTACGGTGAATTGGCTGCGGCCATCGGCGCGTGCGTGCTCGGAAGCTGCGACACGATCGGCACCTTTTTCGTGCGCTACCTCGAAAAGTCCAAGGAAGTCATGGAGAAGCAGATCACCACCGCACTCAACCAGTGGATCAACGTCTTCGACAAGATCGAGGAGCAGATCAAGAAAATCGGCGCGTCGGTTGAGGTGTTGGTCAGCAGGCTCGACGGACTACCTGCCAAGATCAAGGCTATCGAGGAGAAGGCCTGCAAGTCGGGCAACTGCGTGGTTGGAGAGGTCACGTCGTTTATGCAGCAAGGTGAGTACAGTAACCTGGTCACGCACCGGGCTTGATTTTTCCCGGCTCCCTCATAGCCCCAACCTGCACGCCCGGGCAGACGCTGCTTGGCGGAGAACAAAGCTAACAAAACGGCCAAAAACTAGTATCCGAAGCCGCCGCCGGTATCCAAATCTTCAAAGACGCAAAAAGGCCGCCACCGACGGCGCCGCCGCCGTCGAGAGCATGATCGACATCACCCGCGCCACCATCGAGGTCGCCAAGTCTATCCCCGACAGCGAGACCATCATCCAGCTCATTGTTTCCGGCCAGATTACCGAGATTCAGGACATCATCGAGTCGATCAAGATCACCAAGGAGTTGCCTGCCGCAGCGAAAAGCTCAATCCAGCATCGGCCCCGTCGTCCGCCTCGTGAACAAGTACGACAGCGTCGCCAAGTCCTCGAGCGCCATCGTCGAAGGCCTCCTTGCCAAGGATTGGTCCAACGTCGGCAGCCTCTCGCCGCCCGTGGCCGCCGGACTCCAGGAGATCCAGGACCTTCTCAGGACCGAGATCTCCGAGCCCCTCCGCGATGTCACGAACACCCTCCAGGGCCTCGGGGCCGTGCTCAACGCCTTCCCCATCAAGGACGGCAGGTTCAGCTTCAAGAGCGGTGTGTCCAGCTACCGCCGGTGGAGCACCGTCTCGATGAGCGTGCCCTGCAGTCGCCAGAAGACGCAGCGCTACGAGATATCCGGCTTCAAGGGCTCCTTTTCGTATCCAGAGTTTTACTCGTGTCCCTATGGGCCCAAGGAGCTGCCCTGGCCGAACCACCATATTCCCTACTTCAAGTTCAAGGTCGGTTAAGTAGTGCAAGGAGGTTCAGTGAATCCGAATCCGAAGAATACCTAAGAGAGGAATGGGGAGTGCGCATTTTTGTCAAGGAACGGTAATAATGAAAGCTCGGCATGCATAGCGAATCCAATTTTGTACCTTATACAAAATAATCATGAATAGAAACGATACCCAAACTCGAAGGCACATACCCTATCGTGGAAGTCCTACATGTAGACTAAGTGATATCCTCTTCGCCGACATGGCCATGTTCGGGTTAGGCCCCGGTTCTCCACATTTGATCCCGCCAATTAAGAAACTTCCGATACCCCTTTACCGATCAAAAACCTTTTCAAAATATCCCCAAATGGGAGGTGTTTCGCGAGATTTCGACATGACTCCTTCCGTCCCTGCTCCCAATTTCCACGCATCGGTATGAATATGAGGCCTTGTGGTGATCCCGCTGCCAAGGAACAAACGTCTTCAAGACAAGGGCCGATGGTCTAGTGGTATGATTCTCGCTTAGGGTAACACCCTCTGCTAAGTTGCGAGAGGTCCCGGGTTCAATCCCCGGTTGGCCCCCATTTGTTTCTTTTTGCGAATGCCGAAAACGCTACTATTGAATGGGTCTTTTTTGGGTTCCGGATCACGACTAACTTCAAGTACTTCTATCTACTTCGGCCCTATTGCAGCCAAGACGAACGCAGTCTTTTCACTCGGATCAACATCTTTATGTCACTCGAAATCTTGAACTGGAATCTAATTCAACGGGTCCTCGAGGACATCAATCATCTCACGGTGCACGCCAATATTTCATCGAGAGACTTGGGAAGACAAGGACATATATATTTGTGTATAGAATGTGTTCAAGTGGCCACTTGAACAGCAAAACAGCCAAGAAGACTCATCCCCCAGAGCCGGACGGAGTGTTGAACCCGCTCGCCGAGAGATGAGGAAGGAAAAGGTCATAACCTAGGCATTCTTACGGGCTCCCGGGAGGTTAGGCACACATCTCTGTCAGACACATGGCCCGTACCGGCAGCATGGGCAATCCAGCTCGCTGTTTCTTTCATTACAACAGGAACCGTTAGCTATGGGACGTGCCATAAGAGTCTGCACCCGAAATGTCACTTACTTAGTTTCGGCGGGCAAGCTTGGCAAGGAAGCGAAGGTGGTCCTCATCCTCATCGCAGTGGAAAGATTGCTTCGCGCCCGTGGAGCTTCCAGGGCACTGGCTATCGTCCGCGTGGGCGTGGCAAGGAGCTTCGCCCTCGCTCTCGGCGGTCATGGTGTCCCACAGCTCGTCAGTAGTGGTGGGGCTGGGAGGGCAGCAGAAGAAGCAGTCGTCAGTGCCCCTGGTGCAACCGTGACCGGGGAACAGGCTCTGGATGTCGCTCCAGAGAGCATCACAGAACGGGTCGCTCTGCCTGGGCTGGACTCGAACGGCAAGTGCCGTGGCCTGAGATGCCAGGAAAGCGAGGACGAGACCGCAGGTGGAGGGAAGCATGGTGAACTAAGGGAGTTGCTGATATTGCAGAGATTTGCTAGTGGAAGATGATGAGGATGTGCACCAAAGAATAGCTCCCCTTTTCTTGAGAATCTGGTCTGGGATGATTCCTTTTATATTCTCTTCCATCTTCATCTAACTGCATGCATTATCTTCACGCTCCCTAGAAGCCCGTCATTATCTTCATGCGATCCCACTCCTTGCCCTCACTCTGCATCATTCTCAGTGCGCTCGAAACACCTGGATGGCTCTTACCTTTGCCATCTGAAGATGTTGAAGCATTGGTGGTGTCTTGAGAAACCCATGGATGCTACCAAGAGCGGCATGTAGATCCTTTCGCTAGTTAAGATGAAAAGTTCGAATTCCGCTCCTTTTGGGCTGTCATGTCCCCAAAATTTGCATTCCCCCTCACACCGCGATGCGTTCATCCCACCCTTGGGTTACATCAGTCTGGCCGAGAGAGGAAGCTCAGGCTTCCAGCTCCATAACCCCTTTGGCGTCCATCCTCACGGTTTGTCGAAAGTGTGACAGAATAAACTTGGGAAGCTGGGAGGCTTGTGCCTACTTGTATTCACCCCCACGATTTATTCTGTCCCGGCATGCATAGAAAAACTTTTTTCTTTTTTTCATTTTCTCATCCTTCGGGATGGGCTTGTTGCCATTTTTGGAACACTGCTGTCAAGATTTCGTGGGGCATTGTCACCCCACGCTACCATTTCGGCGAGCACCCGGATGTCCACAGAGTCGGGAGAGGTTGAAGCATCGCACCCATCTTCTCGAATGGGATGGCATGCTAGTGGCCGGAGCCATGCTGCTTTCGGGTCCTCTTCCCCAAACTCGGCCGCCTCGCTCGTGTTCTGCGTGAAGGACCCGGATGGCTTACAGCCTTGGCAGCTGGGATCCCGGGACCGCGTTCCCAATGAGCGAAGCGATATTGCACCCGATAGCATGCACATAATCGATAGTTTGCTGGACCAAGGGGTGCATCCCACTTCGATATCACTTTGCATGAGGTTTTTCGTCGTTGGGATGTGTGGGGCCGAGCCTTGTTTAGACGTCATTTCCCATGCGGTTGGCTCGCGATGCGTGTGGTGGCGAGCATCAAGGTTCCAGGCCCGCCTCTCTTGGTGGAAAATCACGCTTTCACCGGTGTCTCCATCAGCCATTGAGTGAAGGTTAGAAAAAGTATAAAGCTCGCGGTTGTCATGATGCAGAACGGAAATGATTTGACTCGCTCAAGCGGAAACGTCCTCTCCTCCAGCAACGTGCGGCTCCTACCTTGCTCCTACTGACGGTTTTGGCCAGTCATTCATACCCGCAGAGCAGAATGTTGAGAGCATCCATCGCCTCCCTTCTCCTGGTGCCCATCCAGTCATGGATGGCACTCGGCTTGCCGCAGGATGACCCAATCATCACCCAAGCACCCGCCGTGAGCACTTGCTTGTAAGTTGCCCCCATTTGGAACTGTTCAGATTGGCCAGCATGCTAACATTACCCGCCTACCGCGCGGTCTTCCAGCCCGAGCACACGGACAATCTACCGGATTGACGCCAGCATCACGCCCTACATCCCGTGGAGGTCGTCCATGAATTCCAAGTACTCGACCGAGGGCGTGACCTGGTCCGGCTATTCCGTCGCGTACTTCTCCACCACCACCATCTTGGCGGGACGGACCATCGTCGCGACTCAGTACTATGACTCGAATGCCATTACGTCCGAGGGTTACAACATCCTTACCGAGTTTGTGCCCACCACCAGCTGCGTGGTGACAACCACCCCAACGCTCCCGCCCTCGCCTTCGGGGTCGATCTGCAGCCCGCACGGCGACCACTGTAAGTCTCCAAAATTGCAGAACCCCCATTTGTGCCGCCAAGGCAATAGAAGCTGACCAAGACTCCATCACCTTAGGGCACTGTGAGCCCTCCCCTACCGTGACCGTCTCGCAAGACCCTACCCAGTCTAGCTCCGTCACCGAGGCCACATGCAGCCCCCACGGGGACCACTGGCATTGCCCGCCCGGCGTGCCAGAGCCCACGACTCCTCCCGCTCAGTCGACGGCGTCGTCCTCGTCTGCCGTAGAGACCTGCAGTCCTCACGGTGACCACTGGCACTGCCCGCCCGGCGTGTCTGAGCCGACTACCCCTCCTCCCCAGCCGCCAGTGTCGTCGTCCTCGTCCGTGGTGGAGACATGCAGCCCTCATGGCGATCACTGGCACTGTCCCCCGGGTGTACCTGAGCCTACCACGCCGCCTTCCCAATCCTCGGCGTCCTCGTCCACTTCCGCGTCTGTTACGGAGACGTGCAGTCCCCACGGGGATCACTGGCACTGCCCCCTGGCGTGTCTGAGCCGACTACCCTCCCCCAGCCGCCAGTGTCGTCGTCCTCTTCCGTGGTGGAGACGTGTAGCCCTCATGGTGATCACTGGCATTGCCCGCCCGGTGTGTCGGAACCCACCACGCCCCCGTCCCAGTCGTCGGCTTCCTCGTCCACCTCCGCGCCTGTTACGGAGACATGCAGCCCTCATGGAGATCACTGGCACTGTCCCCCAGGAGTCCCTGAGCCTACCACGCCCCCTCCCCAGTCATCGGCCCCGTCCTCTTCAGCAGTAGAGACCTGCAGCCCTCACGGAGACCACTGGCACTGTCCCCCGGGGTGCCTGAGCCTACTACTCCTCCACCGTCGGAGACGTCTACCCCGTCTTCCTCTGACGTAGCGACCTGCTCTCCTCACGGTGATCACTGGCATTGCCCGCCCGGCGTGCCCGAGCCCACTACCCCTCCTCCCCAGTCATCCGCGCCGTCCTCGTCCGCTGTCGAAACATGCAGCCCTCACGGAGATCACTGGCACTGTCCCCCGGTGTCCCCGAACCTACCACACCCCCACCTCAGTCATCGGCCCCTTCCTCGTCGGCAGCAGCGACGTGCAGCCCTCACGGGGACCACTGGCACTGCCCCCGGGCGTGCCTGAACCGACCACGCCCCCGCCGTCGGAAACCTCGAACCCCTCTTCGTCTGATGCGGCGACCTGCTCCCCTCACGGAGATCACTGGCATTGCCCCCTGGAGTCCCTGAGCCAACCACACCTCCCCTCAGTCATCGGCACCCTCCTCGTCCGCTGTAGAGACATGCAGCCCCCACGGAGACCACTGGCATTGTCCTCCGGGTGTCCCTGAACCTACCACGCCCCCTCCCGCAGAATCCTCCGGTCCCTCGCCTACCGGCGGGGCTACATGCTCTCCCCACGGAGACCACTGGCACTGCCCACCCGGCGTCCCTGAACCCACGGACCCGCCGTCCTCACCATCGCCGTCCCCCACGGCGACCTGTTCGGCCCACGGTGACCACTGGCACTGCCCCCTGGAGTCCCTGAGCCGACGAGCCCTCCTGGTGACTCGCCCACCGACCCTGGTGACGATGATGAGCCCGGTGACGACGACGACGGCGAGTGCGTTGCCCACGGCGATCACTGGCACTGTCCTCCTGGAGTCCCTGAGCCGACGAGCCCTCCTGGTGACTCGCCCACCGACCCTGGTGATGATGATGAGCCCGGTGACGACGGCGGCGAGTGCGTTGCTCATGGCGACCACTGGCACTGTCCCCCGGGAGTCCCTGAGCCGACGAACCCTCCTGGTGACTCGCCAACCAACCCCGGCGATGACGACGAGCCCGGCGACGACGACGAGTGCGTTGCCCACGGTGATCACTGGCACTGTCCTCCTGGAGTCCCTGAGCCCAGCTCTCCGCCCGGCTCAACTCCAGAGGATCCAGACGATGATGGTGATGACAGTGGTGAGTGTGTCGCCCACGGTGACCACTGGCACTGCCCGCCGGGCGTGGCCGAACCCGACGACGGTCCATCAACTTTCACAACAGCCACCAGGTCCGCCGGCACCGCTGCGCCATCAAATGTGGTGGTCGCTGCCGGCAATTCTAGATATGGATCGGCCTTGGTGGGGCTCTACCCCTTGCTCGCCCTCCTGATTTGGGCTTAATTTTCTTCTCGCGTCGTAGTTTCCGAGAACGAGGACTCGTGCCTCGATTTTCACCGCGAACTTGACGATTTATATATGCACTACTTTCGATTCTAACACTTACATATTTTAATTGATTTTTTTTAACTCTGCCATGTGATCGTGCATAAGATCAAGGTCAAGCGTATAAGCAGTCTCTACCAAGGCATGTAAGCAGTGCTGCCACATAATTGGCTACTTCGATAGATGCTATATTGGTGGAGTCGGCATGTCCACTGTCGGTGAAGACGTTGATCGATGACGAAAGGTTAATCTTGAGATTTCAGGGGTTTCTCGTGGCAAGCATTGTGACACTTGCGCCCAGCCAAGCCTGGGAAGAAAGCGCCAAAAGCTTATCAGAGAGATGATGATCTCCCCTCCATTCCCAGATTTCTTGTTTAGTCAAAGGCTGTTTCCATGCTTGATTGGTGAGCAGCAGCTGGCTGCTCTCGCCCAATCCCAGCTTTTGCCCTGCACTAGCCATGCACCCCTTTTGTGATCATCCACATCCACGTGAAAGATGGAGGGGGGCTTTGAGGGTCAAAGCCGAAGAACGCTGATCCATTCGCGCGCGTTGCTCCAGTGGATCGGGCCAAGCGTCGCCAACCAACGGCGCGTTCCAACACCCTCCGCTACCTTCGTAAGCCGGAATGTTTCGACGTCCGTTACTAGAACTGATGAGGGAACGATATACCCGCCGATCTCGAGGGCGTGCAGACAGAGCCACAAACGAATGCTCGAGCTAGTTATTGTGATCGCTTGGATGTGGAGTAAAGATGGGCCTTGGTGGGCACACTCTTTTCCAACGACCAAGGAAGTAATCCGCAGCTCATGGGTATAAGTATTCGGCCCTGGGAAGGTCGAATCAAATCTTTGCCACGGCTGGTTTATCTACCAAAAACTCAACTCTTTGATTTTCTTTTGAAATCGTCCATTCTTTGAAGGGAACTAGGTCGTCATCACCCTAACCCATTCGTTTACGCCCTCGCAAAGACGCAACCATCACAATGAAGCTTACCGCTACCCTTGCCTTTGCAGGCGCCGCCACGGCCTCTGTTCCTTTGATCGCCGGTCATCGTGAGGCCCTCATGGCTCTAGAAGGCGTCTTGAACCGCCGCGCGGATATCTGTATTCCGGTCCCTGAGCCCGCCACGTGCGAAAAGTCTTGCGGCCCCGGCAACATCCCTTGCATCGGCTTCCCCACCTGCTACAACCCCAGCCAGGGAGAAAGCTGCTGCTCCGACGGAAGTATGTGCTCCCTAGTCATCGATTCCGCCCTCTTGCTTGCACGAGACTAACTTTCATACCTAGCCTACTGCCCCGCCGGCACTCGCTGCACGGATGCCGGCTGCTGCCCCAATGACCGCGACCTTGCAGACTGCGGCGCTTCCATTACCCTCAGCGTCATCCCTCCTCCCGCAACAGGTACTCCTGAAGAGCCTACCGATGGCGGCTCCGAGGAGACTTCATACCCCGAGGAGACCCCCACCGAGGCCCCGGAGGAACCCTCCAACCCCACCGAGCCTTGTCACGAGGAAACTCCTACACCCACCACCACCGAAGTCCCCGAGGAGCCTTGTGGATGTGAAGAGGAAACACCCGTTCCTCCTATAAGCGAGGGCGAGGAGCCCACCGGCGAACCCACCGGTCCTGAGCCCAGTGACGAGCCCACCATCCCAGAACCCACCGTGCCCGAGCCTACACTCCCTGAGCCCACGGTCCCTGAACCTACCATCCCCGAACCCTCTATTCCGGAGCCCACCCTCCCAGGGCCCAGTGGCAACTCCACCCCTCCTATTCCAACCGCCGCCGCTAATCATCATGCGCCAATGGGTATTATGGCGTTCTTCGGCGCCCTTCTCATTGCAGTGTAATGGATTAATATCTTAATATGAGATGAAACGCTTCATCGCCAAGATGCTGCGAAAATGAACTCTGTAGCAAGCTGCATAAATATAAGTTTCGCGTAGGTGACTGAACGGATAATTCTCTACCTTCTGTGATTAAAAGGCCCCTAGCTCGACGGGGAAGTGTATAATGGCATGATTGCTTGATGTACGGTATTGATACGATACCTTTGCAATTTCTCCCCTCTTGCAAGCCCTCGAACTATTCACCAGTCTGATCAAAAGGCTTCAAGGCCCGCGGATTTTCTTCAAACAGAATGATCCCTTCAGCTTCCATGTGGCCCGTACGTGCAGAACCTACGCCACATCCTCCTTGCGATCAGCGAGTGCAGTGTATTAATTACCTAAGATAGACTAATAAGTGGGCGTTGCGGAGCGCTCCGCCACTGCCTTGGTCAATACATCACGAGCTTTTCCCACAACACATTCTTTTGTATTTCCGTCACACCAGGGCTATCGCAACATGGGTGATCTCATATGATTCTAGCCCTCTTCTTGGCTTTACCAGCTCGGTCGAAGCTCCTGAGCGTCAGGCCGGAAACCGAGGATGGGGGTTTGAGAGCGGGGGCGAATAGCTTGAGGATTGTGCAGGGGTGGGTGGCGTGAGGAGGGCCATATGGTGACTTATAGGCGGTTGGCGGACACATATCAAGGCTCTGGCAAACGGCAGGGGAGTTGAGCTTCCCAGAGAGTTCACCAAGGTCGAATAGTTGATTGCCGATAGGTCTGTTGGCTTTGCTGGCCAGTGTATGCCAAGAACCCTCAAGTGTTTGATCAGGGCTCCAAGGAGCAAGGAGTTGCAGGCAAACGTACAGTTACCTTTGCCTTGGAGCCAATGGTTGGCGGCGCTATATACAGCGTTTATAACCTGGTTAATCATAGATGCTTTGCGAGTTTCGATCTCGGCTAGGTACCTGTTAGCGTTCACTAGCGGCACCTTCTTCGAAGCTCCGAACATTCAACAAGACAAAGGAAAAGGGGAGAGGAAAAATTACCAATGATATCATGGCGGATTGGAAGGCCAAGATTGTCTAGTTGTCCGTTGCTAGTCAACATGATGCTCCGAGTGGTAGCCAGGAAGATGGAGTCCAGAGAAAACACCTGGGAGACGAGAAGCCACAAGATCAGGTCCCGGCCAAAAGGTAGTGTCTCATCATATTTTGTGGTTCGTAACCAAACATCGACCATTGTCTCCATGGCTTCAGCACACTGAAGGTCATCCACAATGACGGCGATTTTTGCGAGCTCATCCAAGGAGATGGTCTTAGGTACGCAACGGTTTCGTCCATGGATAGTGTTCATTACTATGACAAAGGCCGTGGGATCAAAGAAATCGCCCGTTTCCCACAGATGAAGGCCGTCAGACTGCTTAGTCGATTCTAACCACGGACCAGAAAACATGCTGTTGAGCCGTGGCGAGGCTAACGTCAAGTGCTTCAAAGAGAGTTTGACATGGGAAAAATTGGGTTCTATAAAAGGAACGTGTGTTATTGACCAAGTATTCTCGGCGCTCGCTGGATCAATAAACCATACCCCGTTTCGATGCCCGCTTTTTCCCTTTCCCACCGACTTTAGCAGTTCGGCTTGGCCATGGCGCAAACGGGCCCTCAGATTCTTCAAGAACGGCCAAAACGTCTCCAGAGGGATCAATATCAACCTCGGTCGTACCCATTCGAAGGACTCGTATGGGCGAGGCGGGGGTTGAGACTGGGTGGCCGAGCGGGGAAGGGGGTGGAAGACAAATCAAAAAGAATAATTCCAGGCAAGCGGAACTTGATGGATTGGTGTTGTCCCGGGAAGCTCTTCAAGCACGAGGCAAGGTCAAGTTCTCCAACGATAGTGGGGAGGCGAGTGCGTGGAAGGTGGCTGCTGAAGTGTTGAGATTGAGGTTCATCCACGTTTCCATCCAAGCGCGAACGAGCCTGCGCACAAGCACTAACCCAAGAAAACCCCGAGCTGAACTCAACGACAGGCACGTGACCAAACTTTGATTCAATCATGACGACGGCGAGCAGACTAAGATCATAGCTGGCCAAAGATGTTAGTAAATGTAGGGTCCCGATGCTGAGGCAGCCGACCAATTAATTGGAATTCTACTTGCGAGTAAGCGAGTGGAAAGAGAGCTGGAGGTTGGCATGGCCCTACCCGCGACTTATTAGCCTAGAAGTCTGTCTGCCATACTGGCTGTTGTGGACCGACCCAAATGAAATTGATGAATAAGCCAGGTAGCCCACTGGGCCGGGAGCACTCACAGGCTGTCCTCACAATGGATGTCACGACATGTCAAGATAGGAGGGAAAACGAGCAGCAATGCTAATAGTACAGTATCATTAAGAGGTGTGACACCATTTTCTATCGAGCTTTTATAGTCTCCCGTTCCATCTCTACGAGTCGCAAGTGCCCCACAAGGGATTGCAGTTCGCGCCGCAGTGACCGGCTGTGTCACCGCAGTATCCCCACTGGCTACAACACGGGCCTCTCTCGTCGCATACGTACTCGTTCTCGCCGCCGCACGTCCCATGTACGGTATCCACACCGCCGATAGGGGTGGAAGGTGGAACATAACCGTCGCGGGGACCCCTGTACCAGTTGGCCTCCGGGTCGCCGAGACATTCTCCGACGGTAACGGCTAGATGAGAAGAACCGTATGTTAGCTACTGCGGAAACAGAAAATCCACCTCGTGCAAGAACGGCGGAACCGCCCGGCCCCGCTCTACGGGGTGGGTTTTCTCGCTTTTCCCTTGCTGCCCCTGGGGTTAAACACATCAACATACCTCGAAGGTTTCGACGGTGGAGGCTCGCGAGCATGGCGGGGACGAGATTCTCGGCGGTATACTTGTGGACGTCGTGGGCGAGAACGATGGAGCCTCCTCGATCGAGGCCGTCCTCGAAATACTCAATACTGTTGCGAATCAGGCAGGTGTTTTGGTTGTTGTAATCAAAGGTGTCGATGTTGGCGTGGATGACGTGGTACCCGAGGGCCCCCATGATACTCAGAGTTGCGGTGTTGTAGCTGAAGAAGGGGGACGCATATACGTGGGGAATTTGCCAATAATCGGAATCAGGGCGACCTCGAGCTTGGTCATCTCGAGAAGAACGGCGTCGGCGGTAAGAGTCGCGAGATCCTGGTGAGACCAACTAAACGATAGTGTTCTCCATGTAAGTAATATATTCTCCCGTATATCCCAAAGTGCCCGCCCGCCCACCCCACAGGCGCAACACGCATCTGCACAAACGACGAAAACCGGACCCGGGCCGCTACGGAAGGTAGTCATCTCCACGAGACTTACGTATGGTGTCCGATCTGGTGACCTTCAGCCAACATTCGCTGGACGGTGGGTTTGTAATCCAACATAGAGCCCCAGTTGTGGCCGTTGAGGAAAAAGGTGGCCTTGGCGTTGTACTTTGCAAACTCGTCCAGAATGCCGCTGGTGAACTGGTAGGGTCCGTCGTCGAACGTCAGGGCGACCATGTCGGGCTTGGTGCAGGCATAGATGACAGCGCCGGGCGGCGGCATCGCTCGGGGTTGAGCGGATCGGCCGGCGGACGCGGCCGCCGCACCCAAAAGAAGGGCGGAGAGGAAATAGCGAGCGGACATGGCTGAAAGAGTGAAAGCCACAAGAAAAGAAAAGAAACAACACACACACACAACACGTTAGTTTAAACGAATGTAAGCGGTTTGACCTGAAGCAACGGAAAACCAAAAAGGAAGGAAAAGAAAAAAGAAGGAGAAGGGGAGGAGACGAGGTCGTCGAGTGCCAGACTAAGCAGTGTGTATATAGCATACGCCAAGATTGGCCCTTCGCGCCCACCCCTTGCCCTTTCACGGTTGTCTCCCTTCATGCTCCCTCGCCCTCTTTCACGCTGTCACCGTCATGCTGCCTGGCCTAGCCCACACTTTTCCCACGGCGGCGGGACTTGGCAAGTACTGGTGTTTGGTCGCTCGTGGTTCGTCGAGAGAACGGAAACCCGATCCACCCCCTACCCTACCCGGCGGAGAGGATTCCCCTGCATCTCGACGTCTACTCTGCCCACAAAGGGTTGGTTAGCGGGACAAACAGCTGCCGTGTGCTGGTGAAGGGCTGGACGTAGCGTCGTTGGCTTAGCCCTCTCTCTCTTCTCTCCCATGTACTTAGCGGACGTAGTATTGCCCAGCCAGTCATTTTCGACAACGGAGCAGACCACCCACCGCCTGGAACCACCCATCCCGAGCCAAGAACGCAAACACGCCAGGTACAAGTGAATTTGTTGGAGCTAACATCAACTTTTCAGGTTGCACAAGTACTTGGCGCCCTCGACTAACTTTGACTAAAAGGAGGCCCCGCTCCAGGTCGTCGATAACGAATGCAGCTACAAGTGCCATGCGGTTGAGCGGGGCGCGGCTCACTGACCCTTTCCCAGAAAGGTCTAAGCAGCATCACAGCCCCTGTGTGCCAAAAATCCCGGCCCTGATCATTGGGCGAGACTTTTCTCGACGGGTCGACCAGGGGAAATTGCATCTCCTGCTGCTGGGCTGGGCGGGAGGGGCGAGGGACAGAATTTCTTCTCAAGAGATGGAAAATGGCGGCGCTGGCCCCAGCACACTTCCCGTCTCCGGAACGAGCCAGGCCCTTCTGCAACCCCTGGTCCGCCCTTTCTCTCCCCCACGTCATTCTCATCGGGTCTCATTTGTGTGGCGAAAGGGTTGTAGGCACCAGCGTCAACCGACCCAGAGAGCAGACGGCATCGGCTCATGACTGGGCGACTCACCTGGGCCCTATGATGTCGTCGAAGCCCAGCCCTGTATTGATTAATCACATCGCGGAGTGCTACCATCTGAGTGGGGTGGGCGAGAAGAAAAAGGGGGAAAGGAACGAGAGCCGTTCTTTTGTGTTTGCGCCGGCATCGATGGCGGCGACACGTGCTTTCCTCTGGCAGATACTTCGCAGCCCGACCTGAAGCAGTAGTTGACCCAGGTGGCGTCTGTCGAAATTCCCGGAATATTCGTGGTGGCTTTTCGAAGGGTTCTTTTCTTGTATATTATCTTTTTTTCTTCTTCTTCATCCCAGGGAGTAACAATATTTCCTCGACCGTCTCCTGCGCGCCATCAAGGGCCGTCCCTAAGTCATGAAATTGCAGGTCCTGCCTCGGACTATTATTTCGAAGGGAGAAAGAAAAAGAAAAGCGAAAACGAAAAGCCACAGGAGTCCCAAAGGGGAGAAAACCCTTGGTCGCATGTCCGTCCATTCCCTCGCGTTTCCCTTTTCCTCGGCACCCTCCACCCGCAGCCGCCAAGGTACTAGCCCGTAGCGCTGTTGGTCTGGGCTGGCAGGGGTTGCGGTCGAAGAAATGTCTCCTTGGCCATTGAACAATTTCTTCTTAGTCTTCCTCATTTCGCCCAGTCGCATTCCCTCGTTGGCTGTGGCGGATGGGGAAGCGGGTTTTTCCCCTGTGATGAGAAGCTTGGGGGCATTCTTTGCAGATGCCGTCAAACAGTCTATGAGGAAGTGATCAGCACACTTTCATCGGTTGGAGCCGGATGTGCAAATTTGAGTCCATCGACTTGCGTCTAAACGACGTGATATAGACCAGCCCGGATCCATGCAGCTCCACGTTAATATTCACCGTTCATTATCGGGGGTTTTTTTCTTTTCTTTTTCGCTGGCCCACGTCCATTCGCAACATGAGACTCGAATTGAACGCGGCGACCGACCGAGCTGACTCCCGCTACCTCAGCCCTACGCCTCCAGCGAATGTCACTGGTGACGATTCTCCAATAGATTCATTGGCCCGTGGTGAATGGATGTCTCAGATCGAGAATCTTCTCGTGTCCTATTCCCAGCATGCTCGTCGGATTGGATAATACTCCATTTCGCTGCGAACTCTCTGTCCAAGGTCTCTGGCCAATGCTGCATCCCTCCCTTGTATGTGTCCCTTTGGTCGCGATTACGATTATTTTTAGCCCCAAAAGGAAGGAAAAGGGGGATAGGGAAAAAAAAAAAAAAAAGGGCACGAAAACAAAGACTTGGGGCAAGTGAATCCTCGAAATCCAGACTTGGCTAGTGTCATCTTATTTTCCCCTCAAAGACGACATGGAAAGAACGATCACACCTCAGTCTAGGCAGGAAGCTCGGGAGGGTGGCAGGTTGGTTACACGAGTTAAATTACCCCCACCCGAAAACCGGGGAGGGCAGTGTTGCCTGTCGTCATGTTGGGTCTTGGTCAACATTCATCATCAGTTCAGAACATCTCAGATGGGTGGTGAGAGGAATCACCGCGAATTCGGTGCCCAAGGACCCCCTGTAAAGAGCGTGGAAAGGCAGTTTTTATCGGGTATTCGCATCCAAGCCAATCCAATGCAATCCAAGCCAATCCTAGCCCCTTGGCGAGAGGTACAAGTCGTAATAAACTCTAGTTGTAGATTTTGAAGGATGTCCATCGGCGCATTGACAGGAATCCTTCGCGTGACCCTGTCTTGGGAGTCAAGCGGCGCCGAGGAAGATCCGCTCAAAATCTTCAAAAGCATCGGTGTCCTACTCCCATATATCTCTGTCCGGATCCTGCGATATTCTCTGCCTTATTCTCCCCTGTCACCTACCTCGCATCCTGAGTAACTCGCGGTTTGGAGGTTCTGTCCTGTGAACCCCTCTGGACGGGTACCCGGGTACCCACGGTAACTGACAAGTACTCCAAATCGCATGTTGGTTCACACTAGTACCTTGGCTCATTCCCACGGCAAGCACCGCCTTCTTTGACCAGATTCGCTTAAAATGAAGCATACCAGATTGCGGAGCTTGGCAGAAAATCTTACAAGGGGGGCAGCTCGTTATGACAGCGGCAGGTTTTGCTTGTCGTGTAACAACAGGCCATTAATCTTTCGGGACAGACATGGCGGACCAACTCCAGTATCAAGGCTGAGGGAACCCCCGGTCTAACTCTGGACGCCCTCCAAGCTTGGCTTCAACGGCAACTTCTCCTACATGTAGGCGATGGATTTCGCTTACCTCCGTGGGTCAACAATCCATTCCCTCCGAGAATATTCACAGTCGCAGTTGGTCGAAACTACCAAGTCGAGAACATCCCTCGCAGATATCGGAGTTTGATGCCTGTGATTACATATACGGCTTGGGCCCTCTTCTAATCCATGCCGCGGACCAACGGGCGAGGGTGTCGTTCGGAATCTTCGCATCTTCGTATAGCCCGGGCTGGTCGAATCTACCCTATCCTCGTTTTACGAGATAAATACAGAACGGTAAGAAAGGGCTGTAACGAGAATACGAAACTTGGTTTTCCCCAAGATCCGTGATACTGAGTAATCCTTTTCCCATGGTCTGCCAGGAACCTTATCCTCACGTTAAACCCGAAGTGTCCACCAGCCCTCAACGCATTTCTAACGCGAAATGCATGCATCTCAGGAAGTTACGTGGGTAGTTCCCAAGCTGATGTAGTGTAGAATTTACTGGCCCAGCGCTTCTGCCGTTGAAACCACCCCATGCTATCTTGAGAAATATACCTACGAGGGTTTTTGCTCTTGTGGAAGAACAGCCCATGAAACCTCGTATAGTCTCGCTCGCCCAGTAAATCTGCCTCCTCTTCCAAACTGCACAGCTTAAGGAACTTTCCCCAGCTCGCTTCCATTATTGATGTTCCTTAAAAAGGCAGCACATTACAGATTGCGAAAATGTTCTGTTCCCTTTTATAGCGGCACCGGACATACACCTTGACTACCTCTGAATTTCCCCGTTTTAGCAACCTCGAAACCCTCAGATCCCGGTTGGATCTGACAAGTATTGGCTATCAGAGTACCAGCATAAAGAACTGAGACGAATTCAGTGGAAAGTTGCAAGATCGATATTTCTTTTCGGACATGACACGGCTTACAAGGCTAAGAGCCTATGGTGATTTATGCTTCTTCTTATATATGGGTTTCTACGACTGAGAGAACCTATCTTTGGTTGAAGGCACTAGGTAGCATTTCCAGCCCGAATCTCGAGTGTAAAGACAGGCTGATGCAACATCTAAGCGCTTGCGTCAGGATGGTTTAGATTCTACTAAAAGAAATCCAAATGATATATCTCGTGCCAGTCACTCGCTCTACCAACGTCTCCCGGCACTGCCAGCCATGCCTAGCTTGCTCTTGGATTTTTTCCTTTTTGATATTTATAATTCTTCAAAGAGATGGGCGGGGAGAGCACATCCCCAACCGCCGCCATCTAAAGGGTCCTTGACACTAAGCCATTTTGGCGAACCTACGACGAGGAATCTGCAGACAAAGGTACGTTCTTCGGCTTTAAATTGGTTAGCTGGCCCTAGCTTCTCCTGTCTTAACCTTTTGTCCAAGGGGCCTATTACGACCCTTTCAATTCTCGTTTCGTTTTTATTTCATATGTTATTTCCGAAAGGCGTGAAACACCCTCGATCACGATGTCAATCCACAAAATATCACTATCGCTCGTTGCCTCCCCACACATTCGTTCTTATCGCCAGTAATCGATCGCCAAAGCTCGGTGCTGTTGTTGATCCGTCCCTCCCCTCCCGTCGGCGATATGTCCCACCTCGTCGGCCCCACGTGACCAGCTGTACGTACCTCGGTAGCATCTGCTCGAATGATTCTTGGCGCAACAGCGCGTCTTCAAAGGATCCCTCCCCACTTTATCGATGAAGTCACCCTGAGTCGACGGAACAGGAAGGAAGAAAAGAAAGAAAGGGACCAAAAAAATAGGAGACACTGTCTTTCACTCCTGCACAACCACGCAGCATTCCTCTCTTTTTCTCTTGAAGCTCCATCTCACGCAACAAAGATGGCATCCCGTCTTACCGCCACAGCGGCCCTCCTGGGCCTCTCCGCCCTTGGCTACACCTCCATCATCGGCCTGACGGCGCGCAACGGCTGGGGCGAGCGGTTCAACGAGTATAACGAGCGCGCGGTCGCGGTCCTCCCCGACACCGAGATCCCCGCCCGCACGCACTTTACCGGCGTCCCCGGCGTCGACCACATCTTCGTGCAGGCCGTCAAGTTCTTCTACCCTTGCGTCGTGGGCCAGCTGCCCGCTCTCCCGCTCTTCTCCCTCTACTTCGCCGGGCAGGTCATTGCGCTGCATAGCTTGCTCGTGCTGGAGGGCTTGCGCCTGGGCAACAAGGGCACTATTTTCGCGTAGTAAGTACCCCATCAGCTATGCAAGACGAGTGTGGATCTTCGAGTAGGACAATGCCGCTGACAATACACTTCGAAACACCTACAGCACTGCCATTTGGGGATCACTCTACCAGTGCGTTCCCTTTGGAATCACGATCCCCATCTACTGCGCTCTATACCTATGGCTCTCGCCCCTCGCGAAATACTCCAAGGGCCCGAAGCGCATCGAATCCCTCTCCATCGAGTCCGTCCAGGCGTTCGCGACCCTCCCCGCCATCATCCTCGGCTTCGTCGTCCCCTCGGCCCTGCCGGCCCTCCCGTCGCCCCGCATCGTCTCCCTCGAGCAGAAGCAGCTTTTCCTCATCGTGTGGCAGTTCTTCCCCATTCTCGTGAGCATCTCGCACCGCATCTTCACCGTCTTGGCGCCGAAAGTAGGCCTCGTGAAGGCGAGCACGACCTTGGCCGGCAAGTACGACGACGCCAAGGAGGTCTACCGCCAGGTCATCTACATGGCGCAAATCTCCCACATCGCCGTCATGACGTTCGTCTTCATCCCCCAGGCGGTCCAGGCGGTGTTCAAAATCTCCGACATCAGCTCCATCAACCCCTTCACCGTCTTCCTCCCCATGTCCATCGTGTCCCCTCGCCAGGTTACTTCCATGGCGGAGGGCGCCTTGTCGCTGCTCCAGTACGATTTCTACTGCGGGTCCGCCGCCCTGCTCGGATTGGTCTCGTATCTTTCCGGCTCAGCATACGGGTTCACCGCCGGTGTGTGGACCGCCACCAAGATCCTTCTCAAGAGTCTGCTTGTTGGACCTGGGGCGGCTCTCCTGTGGGCCTTCTGGGATAGGGATGAGGAGGCCTTGCGCGATGCCGGGGTGGAGAAGTCGGAGAAGAAGGACCAGTGATCTTGTCCATGGAGAGAGACCATTTATACCATCTTTAATCGCGGCTAGCACACGCCCAACCAGGGCGTAACTTCCTGCCTCATGATTTAATCTAATACGTGTAACCCTAGTCCAAAATCACATAACTTTTCCCTTTGTATCGTAAAGCGGCGTCAGCTAGGCATGACACATCTCTCTCGTGATATCACATATGGCGTATGATAAGTGCATGTCTTGGAATTGCTACCTATAAGTCTATCTGATGTATGGATTACAATGGTAAATTTGGCTCTTAATTTTCGTGGCTCGCGTGCTTGGCCTCTTTTCAAGACCCGATTCGTCATAAATGGCATCAATCGTACGCATCTGCGCAATGCTGTCCTCTGGGCTTACCCAATGCACTGGGTCTTTTCCAGACACCTTGTCGACAAAAGCCTCGAGTTGGTATCTAGGAGAGAGTATCCGTCAGCAAAATTCTTCCAACGATATCCACCATGAAGTCTCCTCCGCCTCTGCATACCTGTAGGTGCTCCACCAAGGCTCAGACCTGGGACCCCAAAGAGGGCCGAAGGAATAGTGCTTTTGCGTGCTCTTCTGTCCGGTGCGCTTATCTGTAATTTGGATGTAGTGGTAGATGTGCGGCATCATGAAGCTGCGTAGAGCGTTAGCGCTACTATTACTTTCTCTCATGGCTCAGTTGTTATGTCAAGACACGTATCGAGGAACTCACTTATAGTAGTAGATGGTGGCGTGCTCGAGTTCGATTCGAATGGAGGGCAACTGCCAAACCTTGGGGACCACGTGGCCTACAAAGGCTTGGTTCATGTCCGTCTTGATCGTGCTTTGCACCGGCCCGCCCTCCGTCTCAAACATCATCCCCGCCTCCATGGCTTCGTCGATGCGCGAGTCATCCTTGAGGGTCCGCGCTTTGGCGAACTCGATGGAACTGGGAGTCCCCGCGCCAAGGAAGAAGCGCGTGGCGGATACTGTGTAAGTCATGTCCATGAGACTGCCCCCGGCGAGGTCCCACTGCCACCGAATGTCACCCTTGGGTATGGTCCCCGCGGGCGAGGTCATGCGAGCCTGTGTAGCTAGGACGCGGCCATAACGGCCACTATCGACAAGGGACTTGACGACATGGGCGGCGGGGTGGAAGCGCCAGTGAAAGGCTTCCATACCGATGCAGTTGTGCTGCTTTGCAGACTCGAAGATGGAAACAGCCTCGTCGCCGTTCGCAGAAACGGGCTTTTCGATAAGAGCGTGTTTCCCCGCGGCAAACGTCTTTTTCGCCCATTCTGAATCAAGACCATTAGTACACTGGTTTCCACCCTCGTATTGTAGGTTTGCTGCTTAATGCTTGGAATATTCTTACCCCCATGCAGGCCATTGGGGACCGAGATGTACACAGCATCAATGTTTGGATCGGCAAGGAGTTCCTCGTAGGATCCGTACGCCTTTTCGATATGGTACTTCTTCGCGGAGTCTTGTGCAGATTTGAGATCACGAGAGGCGATGGCTGTGATGATGGCGTCGGGGTGAGTTTCGACCGGGTGGATGATCCCCGCGGGGTTGATCATTGCGGTTGAAAGAATGCCGAATCGAATCGGGTTGGGGTTTTTGTATCCCGACTTTGCGCTGGGTCGTGACTCCAGCCATTGCTGGACAAATGTGGTGATCTATCTACAGTGAGCACGACGCCTTCACTTCATCTCATGAGGGATACGCCTGCGGCACCTACCTGCAGTGCCATAGCCATTTTGGGCAGTTAGATTGTCGTCTCAGTTCTAAAATCAAGTCTCAAGGGAAATAGGAGTTGGAAGAACATTGGTATTCGGTTAAAAGCTGCACCGGAGGAACTGCAAGGCCCAACGTCCTTAAGGGCTCAACGTTGGCCCACATATCTCAATCCCTTCGTCCATGCGATGATCAATCATCAGGAATAACATTCGCGTTGGGCTGACGAGCAAGTGACATCTTTGGATGGGTTTCTGCAAATACCATCCATGTACGTATTACGAGCGAAAGCGGCGTCGCTGCCCCGCTAAGGAATTCTGATGATGCGGTGTTGATGTCTTGCCCGAATAAATCAACCCGGTGAGTCGGTGGTGGGGAGCTCATGACGTCAAAACCTGAGCAGATCTCGGGCCTCCTTGCTGATGGGTCCCCGACGTTCAATCGGTCTGTGTTTCCCGAGGAAATGGTTTACGAGCTTTCCTTTAATTTTGGGGCTAATTTCTAATTTTTGTAGGGGAAGAATTTGGAAGACTTTGAAGGAATAGATCCGCGTTATTGAGAATTGGGTAACAGCGGATGGTTTCTCCGTCTCGGGCAACCTCGATCTGGGAGGTGGGATTTCGTAGCTAACCGAAGTTGCAAGGGAGCTAGTAGCAATACAACGATAGATGAATTGACGGGGCGACACGCATTACACATAACGGAATAGAGTGGTCGCGTCGCACTTTCCCTCCTAAGGGTAGCTGCCTTGCACCCGGCCTTCTTCACTGTTTGATGCGAGCCTTTGCCTTTCGTTTGCCTTACCACTTGACCACTGCACATCGGGAAGAGACGAGAAGGAGGTGAGTATTACGCTTCTAGTACACGGCATTGAGAGATCTAAATCACAACCTAAGAGCCTTGACGCCAAGGAGGGTTCTAGCCCGAAATGGAGAAGTAAAATGGATGCCACGGAGATTTGACCAGCATGGCTTGGGAGCCGCAAGGCAAAGACAATTTGGGCTGTCTCGAACACCCCGCGTCTAGTTTGGTTTTCGAAGCCCTCGCATCTTCATCCATTACCGACGTGATTCGACCACGCTGTGTCGGCCCAAAGCGGCGGAAACGGCATAGCCGGTCTCGGACTTTATTGCACGGCTTGGCTCCGCTCCGTAGCCTAGTTTTGCGCTTGTTCGTACTCCTTGTCAGCTGCCACTCTAATACCTAGAGTACCCTTCGGGCCACCAGAAGTAGCCCGAAGGATTAAAGGGCGAAGCGGGCGGGGAGAATGATACGTCTACAACATTGACCTGCAACAAAGCAGTGAAAGAGGATGACCGAGGTCGGCTGAGGCAGAATATGAACCTGCGTCTCCCCATGTATAGTGGCCGCCCTGGCCTCGTTAGCCATGAGATCGTGATCGTTGTCTATAGTGTCTAGGTTTAGGTGGTGAGATCAACTGCATCAATCACTAGGCGTAGCTAACTTTAAGCTATTCGGAATCGTCTTTGGGAATCTCGAAGGTTACGCGCTTCACAGTGTCCACGTCGTGTAAAGGGTCCAGGGTACTCTCAAGCAATCTCGAGCGCGTTGACGAAGCTTGCACTCAGTCTTAGGCTGGTCGGAACTTGAAGCGTCTAGAACAACCTCAGCGGTGACTGCTCCAGTCAGCCCTCCCGCCAAAACTTCCCATCGCGATATAGGGAAGGACCTGCTCGCCACGATAGGGGAAGGTGCGACCTGCCTACTGCACAAACCGAGAGATGTATTTATTTCTATAGGGTATATGCGTTGACATTCGAGACGAGCGCACTAGCAACAACAGCAAAAACTTGGCCCACCGAGAATTGAAGATCCTTAACCCATCAAATACCCAAGTCATCAACATCAGCTTCCATTGATCATTTGTGTCAATCTAGTACACCCATATGCAATACGGTTCCTCCGCTCGACTTGAATCAGGCACTTGGTGAGACCATTTTCCGTCGATATGACCGCCGCCAAGAGTGTCGGGTCTTAGCTAACATCCTATCGCTCTCTCCAGCAACGTTGAAGTCTCTCCTCCTCTAGCCACCATTGTGCCAAGCAAGCAGAGCTCGTGCCCAATGTAATGAACGAGCCAAACATCATCCTCCGCCGTAAGGAGGACTGGTTCCAATGGAACCATCTCACGCGACTCCAAATCGGCAACAAAGACGTATTTGGAGAAATTTTTGAAGGAAGGAAAGGAAGAGAAGAAGAAGCCAGTGGAACCGTACGTCTGGCGCTATGTTAACGATTTCCCGCGCACGCCACCCAAGAGTATGGATCCCGTTGATGGGAACACGAAGCTGACCCTTGGGCAAGGATGGCCGTTGATGAGCCTTGGGCAAGGATTGCCGTTGATGAGCAACGAGGGCTTTGAGTTGTATAAGATGGATTTGGACGAGTACAAAACAGAAATGATGGTCTACGGGGAGATAGCCCTGCCTAGAGCCAAGGCAAGGGAGCTATTTCTGACCACAGTCTCGTCTCACCTACAGACATGCTACTGCTCACCGCAGCAGGGAATTTCCCAGTGGTATGCTAGCCTCCGCGAAGCCATGGAAATTGAGTTACCGGAACTCACCGCCCGCTGTGAACACCGCAAGCCCACCGGCGGAGACATGGGAGGACTGGATCAGCCAATGGGAGATGGTTACGGCCAAGGCCGCTGCATATGAGGTGCCAGAGGTTCTGCAACCTGCCCTCTGGGTGTCGGACCTCAAGGACTTGTTCCAAGGGGACCTGGCCTTTGTGTCACAGTGTGTCGATGACGCATATAAGGACCAAATCCTAGATGGGACGCTTCGTTACAGCGCGGTGGCCGGTTTCCTGCGATCGGCATTGCGCTGGAGAAATGAGCCGCCTCAACTCGCCAGGCTTGGGTCAGTCCGGGTACAGTTAAGCAGCTCGAGCAGTTCGGACACAAGCGAGGCCGAGGATTAGGGACGCAAGAGAAGGTAAACGAGAGGCGAACACATACTGGGCTCTTGAGTTATTTGATGGGCGTGGCTTATGCTATTCGCTAGCAATCACCATTTCGCCTGGTACATATATCACTGATGGAAGATCACGATTGGGGACTCTAGTTGATCCAAGGAGCTTCTACCGACGTCATCATTTAACAGCTTCGATTGCTTGATGAGGTTCTGGGCTCCATTGCCATGTGATGTAATTTTCTTCTTCTTCTTCAAAAAAGGCTCGAGTAGTCCCTAGAAGTTAGTCCTAATAGTGGTCCAGTCTCCCCACCTTCCCATATTCTCTCATTGACTGTGTTTTCTTTCGTGAGAAGTCGGAGTCTCGCAGAACGTCAGGTCCACTGGATGTAGGCACCTACGCGAAGCAAAAACCACGGACTCGTTACACTTGTGCCTGTCGAGTTTCAGCCGGCCGTTACGGTAGTTTGAGCAACTTCATCTTCAATTCTCTCCAATGTTGCAATTAGCAGCAATGGGCCTACGGAAACCCACGTCTTTGGCGCTACCCCTTTTGCCGTTCGATGTTGAGTCTGGTTCCTATCCAGCGTTCTTCATGTCAACATGATCGGACGGCTAGCGTTGAAACAGGGCTGTTGGAAGAGATATTCTGTTATTCTCATAAAGTAGTAGCAACTTTCAATCATTCACCCCGTCCCAACATTGAATCCTGAAGAGGAATAGTAGCGCCCCACCCCCACAGAAACCGTGCAGACCTTAGTGTCTGTCTCCTTTATCGTGCGTAGGAGATGGACGTGCTCATAGAAACAGAAAAGAAGTGCTATTTCTAGCAGGTCGAGCTGAAAAAGGGAATTTTCTGTCCTGTCAAAGTGGGTGGCTGATCGCACATTGGATTCTTTGTTGGAGCAGAAATTTCTGGCATCATGTCAAAGAGTGTTGGCACTTTGGATATCTGGTCCGGGGAATATTACCTTCAACTCCCGGCAAGGGATGCCCTGTCGGGCAAACATCCGGCCTCGCCATTGGTTCGCCAAAAGCTCGTTGGTCAGGGATCAAGCCCGTTCCTGCATCGAACGAAGACACCTCTCAATCTCGCCAAACGCACTGAAGAATAATACGCGGACACACTATTAAGAGCCACCAACAGCTCGCGGACGCGCACGGCTCGGTGACATTTGGTTCAGGGCGCGCCCTGGCGGCAGGGACTGCGCGGTAAAATTTTCTTTTGTGGTTGCACGCCGAGGTTCATTGACGGTGAGTAAGATTGCTGGGGGCTTGGAAGCAAGCAGAGGCAGAGAACGGCGCGCTCTTGCTTGGACCGCGCCGTCTCGTTCGATGGCTGCGCTACCTCTGTACAACCGCGCGGGCCACAAGTACCTGACGGCAGCATCGCGACTGAGACCTGAGGCGCACGAAATGGCCACCGGCTTTCGGGGACGGGAGCACTCGACGAATGAGGGAAGCCAACCGCCAGGTGCTCGCATGCTGTCTCTGAGAAAACGCCGTTGGGGTGCAGCTTTTCCTCTCTTTTCTTCTTTTGGCTCAAATGCTGTTATTGGGTATTCCCTCTTTTTTTTTTCTTTTTAAATCTCCCCTCGTGCATGTCTGACCACCCTGATCATGGAAGATTCCTCGCCTCAGTCCAGCGATTGAGGCACGGGTTTAGGCTTTGATGACCAACAGGTGATGGATGCGAGATTGGTCGGGAGATTGGCCCGGAGGGGAAGAAGGGTATTCTCGGGGCGACATCCGAAGTGGACGGCGATGCGAGGTCCTGCTCGTCGACGGATTCTTCTCAATTGCAGACGTCTGGAGCGTTATGCGGCACCTTGCAAGAGAGGGGCAACTTGCCTAGACGCCAAGTTTTTAATCATCTTAGATGTCGTTCTTATTCTTGCGTGTCACCATTTGTCCGGCTAGGCGGCCTGGAAGAACTTCTTCATTGCTCACTTGTGCCGCAATAACCGTGTAACACAAGCATGCGTAATCGCGTCCGCATCGAGACTTCCGTCAGCATGCGGATGTTGCAGGCCTGCGTGCGGCCATCCGAGTATTATTCACTGTTCAGAACGATGATGGGTGGTGGCTGGCGGGAAAAGAAAAACATGGACCGATTGAATGAAATGGTTCGGGCCACAAAAAAAAAAATTAGAAAAGAAAGGAGAAGTGCTCAGCAGTCACTATCCATCTGGGGCGTCAGCTATCCCTGTCCGATCAGCATGGGGAATCCAGGATTCGACTTCAGCTTCCACATTTCCACACCACTTGGGCATCTTTTCGTGCCTTTCTAGCGCCGCAGGGCCCTAAAAATACACCCATGTTCAATGACTCTGACAAGTCAGGTCGATGGATGAGCAGAAAACGGAGGGGGATTATTGGAATACCACAAAAAATGGTAGTGAGCACAAGAGGTATTGCGATCCCGTGCGAGGTAGCAGCGCATGGCTTGGTTGTCTCGATTATTGTCTTGGCCCGCCTGCTTCGTGCGTCAAGCCACGGGAGTCCGGGGCGCCAGGAACCAAAAAACTACCGTGACAACATTAGTGTCCATGTATTATACCCTGGACGACTGGTTACTTCAAATATTACCGGGACGGCTCCCTTCCTTCGACTCCTTCTCATTAATGGTCGAGGGTGATATTAGCGAGCGGGTAGGCTTCTCGAACTCTTGAATCTTCTCCAAGATCTATACGCTCATTTTTCTTACTCTCTTTTGGCCCTTTTTCTTTGCTTTTTCTTCATTAATTATCTATTTAATTTCACTGCCCCTCTTCTCCTTCACTCTTTGAAGAAGAGGCGATACGCAAACCCACATCGAAAGGCCTTGCATCAAACAGGTTCTACTCAAAATGAAGCTTTCCGCGATAATACTGGCTGCCGTGGCGGGGTTGCTGCCGCGGTGGAAGACAGCTATGACTACGTAAGTGGTGCCCTCTCAAGTTTAGGTCGTGAAGAATGAATGGTCTGCTCGGTGAGAGGCAAGGGCGCGGGACGATTGCCAACCTCCCGTTCTCCACATCTTCCAACCGATCGCAATACCACTACCACCAGAAGCTAACGTCCGGATAGGTCATTGTTGGCGGTGGCACCGCCGGTCTTGCTCTGGCCACCCGTCTTAGCCAGGGCCTTCCCGATGCCTCCATCCTCGTCATCGAGGCGGGATCATCCGCCCTGGACGAGATCCGCATCAACGCCCCCGGCATGCGCGGATCCGCCCTCAACACCGTCTACGACTGGAACTTCACCACCGTGCCCCAGGAAGCCCTCGGAGGCCGCAGGGTCGACGTCAACCGCGGCCACGTCCTCGGCGGTTCCTCCGCCATCAACTACCTCTGCTACGACCGCGCCTCCGAGGCCGAGTACGACTCCTGGACCGAGCTGGGGAACCCCGGCTGGGGCTGGGACGTCATGTTGGACGCCATGGTCAAGTCGGAAAACTTTACCGCGCCGTCGCTGGACATCCACGGCGACGCGGGTCCCATCCGCGGCACCTACGCGCGCAAGTTCCCCGAGGCCCTCCACTCGTGGCTGCCCACCCTCGAGAGCGTCGGCGTCGAGACTAACGAGCGCTCCTGAGCGGGAACCCCATCGGCGGCTCGATCCAGCCCACCAACGTCGACGTCACGAAGTATACCCGGTCCTACGCCGCCAACAGCTACCTCCCTCCGCGGGCGACAACCTCGAGGTCGTCACCGACACGCGCGTCCTCCACGTCGACTTCGCCGACAAGAAGTGCAAGGGCCAGCTCCACGCAACCGGCGTCACCCTCGACGACGGCACCAAGATCAAGGCGAAGCGCGAGGTTATCCTCTCCGCCGGTTCCATCGGCAGCCCCGGCCTCTTGGAGAACTCGGGCATCGGCCAGACCAAGGTGCTCGAGGCCGCCGGTGTCGAGACCCTCCTCGACCTGCCCGGCGTGGGCGAAAACTACCAGGACCACATCCGCACCTCCAACGTGTACCGCCTCGTCGACGGCTTCGACTCGTTCGACGCCATGATTTACGACGCCGGGAGCGAGTTCGCCGCCGAGCAGGTCGGTCTCTGGCTCGCCGGCATGCCCAGCTGGCTCGACTACACCACGTCGACCTACGCCTTTGCGGATTGGTCCAGGGTCGTGGACGATGCGGCTGCCGTAGCCGACCTGATCGCGCTCGCCGAGGAGGCCGCCGGCCCGAACCCCCACGCCATCGACCGCAAGAAGATCCAGCTCCTCAAGGATTCTTCCGTCCCTCAGCTCGAGCTCATCTTCGAGAACAACTACCTCGGCGTCAAGCCTTACCCCGGCGGCAAGTTCATCACCATCTTCTCCACGGTGATGCACCCCATGTCCCGCGGAAACGTCCACATCGACCCGACCGACCCCCACGGCAAGCCTCTTATTGATCCCCGCTACCTTTCCAACGAGCACGATATCCAAGCCATCATCGCCGGAGCCAAATTTGCGCGCAAGGTCGCCAACGCGCTCCCCATGGCCGAGACCTGGGACAAGGAGTTTGAGCCCGGTGAGGAGATTCAGAGCGAGGAGGACTGGAGGAATTTCGCAAAGGACGCCACTCTGAGCTTCTTCCACCCTACGAGTACTTGCTCCATGCTTCCCCTCGAGGAGGGTGGCGTGGTGAGCGAGAAGCTCATCGTCCACGGCACATCCAACCTTCGAATCGTGGATGCTAGCATCATTCCCCTTGTTCTCTCCGCGCACACGCAAACCGCTGTGTACGGCATCGCGGAGCTCGCGGCCGACTTCATCATTGCCGAGGCGTAATTCGTACAGTTTTGACGAGGACCGCTCTGTTAGCTGTCATGAACGCGCCCGTTTTCTCCTTTGCTTCCTCTGAGCGATCTGTAGCTCAAATTGATTAGATTGTATATATCATGCTCTGGCAGTTCTCTGTCCAAGGCTTCCCCAATAATTAGCGTAGTTGTTCTATTCTAGGGTGGCGTTTTTGTTTTCCTTCTTCGTTTAGGCTACATCTATGGATCTATTGTATATTATGAGTGTGACTGAACTGTACAGACGTGACCCGATCGGACTCTACATGCAAGCACGGTTTCTGTTGACTGCAGCGCCACGGTTGGTGGTGGCCCCGATCAGTTCGGGGCTCTCACACATAATTTAGTTTGGAAACGGTTCCCCTTCTGGGAACCATTTTCTCCCATCACTATCGATAGATCTATCACCTTTACATCGCTCATTTTCCCACAGTTACACTTTCAGCCATCCAAGGCGGCCTGATTCCTCGTCCCACACACAGCCATGGTCCGTTCCGTATGACGGCGGGACAGATTCCACGCATGTATCGACCCCGTCAACCTCCTTTAGTTTGGGTAACTGCTCCCCCATTTTGTCCAAGACCTCCCTAACATGGCTGTCTATATCTGGCTGTGCCCCTTTTTATATCCGTATAAACAAAGATATTCCAGGTTGGGCGGGAGCATGTCGATGAGGCGGAAAGCAGGAGGTGGGTCGAGTGTTGTGGAGTCAAACCAGAGTTCTCCAAGCATTGCTCGGATGCTGATACTTAGTCGAGTTAGTGCCTTGTAATCGTGAAGGCTGCCGATCTTTTGATCATATGATTGATGATCTATGATATCTCGCGGATAGAGAGGTCCTTCACTAGTAGATTCATCCATACGGAAATACCGATCACAATGGCTCTCGTATTCTTCCCTGATGAGCTCCTCATCCTCACATTCCCCAGGCACGTGAGTGAAAGCAGAGCCCAAATTAAGGTCTAACGCGCGTAACGTATCCTTATGCTGGCGGAGACATTTGCCTAGCAAGGCAAGGTCGATATGGGCCTCACCCCTTCCAAATGATCCAAATCACCATACGATAGGGAGAGTTCTTCTAGTGCAACGGGAATGCGGACCATGGTAGCTAGCATCTCGCTTGATATATCCGAAGACCCTAGGTGAAGTTTCTTTAGACTAGACGAGGTCCTAGGCGGGAAAAGCGTCCGATCTGGTTGGTAATCGCAAACGCTATCCATGGAGATACTTGTAATCTGTGGTAGGCGGTGGAAATGTCTGAAAATCCCGAGGAATTCGACTGCAGCATACATCCTGTCGTCGTAGAGGGATCTTCAAATCCATGATGCCGTAATTGTCGCAGCTTCTGGAGGGCAGGCCGAGCACACAGACCATAGTTTGACTGGAGGAGGTACTCGGACAACGGGCCTTTGGGAGGTGATTTGCCTATATAAAAGGTCTTGATCTTTGGGCAGAGGGAGAGCAGAAGGGCTGCGGAAGTAGATACGTATTTGGGGAAAAACCGTTCTAGGTCGTATGGGTTGCTACTAGGCGTCTCCTCATCCTCAGTGGTGCCGGGCTGGCGCTGCATCCGGCTTCTCCACCAATCCAAACCATTTAGCATGTCCTGAGTTGTCGAGGCACCTAGCCCAAGGCTACGGGCGTGGCTCCTGACGCTCTGATGGTCGTCATCGGTTATCGCCGAATATGGAATGTCCTCGTCCGTCGTGTTCGGGCGGACCACCCGGGAGCCCAGCGCATAGGGTATATGCATGCCTGGGGATCCGTGAAAAATTCCTCAACTGATAAGGCAAGTGTCGGATTTTTATGTATGCCAATGGCGAGGCCGGATGATAGTAAGGAGTCAACGTGATAATATTTACGACATGGATTAGAAGTATGCAATTTCCCCTAAATATTGTCTATGGAGCATGTCCAGCGGTGGGCATTATCTGAGAAGGTTCGTTCTTTTCGTCTCAAAACACTGCCACTGGTTTCGCTCATAAATCATGCCGGCCCGACCACATAAGCGCAACGTATCCACTGCCAGCGGCACGGGCGCAGCCGCGGCGCGATCGAAGAGGTCAAGCCAGGGCCCGAGCCCGAGCCCGAGCCCGAAGCCGAACCCTCGGCCACCACAGACCCACCGAGTGGTGCCGCCGGTTGCGACGATAGCAGTGATGGCTCCGCAAGCGGAAATGACGACTCCGATTCTCCACCGCTGCCGCGACGGGCTCGCTGGGCCAAAGTATCCGGTTCGGGAAACCTAGACGACTGGTACCGCAAAAAGTACCGTAACCCGCAACGCGCGCGCAAGTTCATCTGCTTATGCAAACCCTCCGGCGAGGACGACGACGATGACTGGGAGGATGAGGACGAATCGGACGAAGGTGAGGAAAGCGGCGACGACGACATCCCCGTGGTCGAAGTAGCTCCTCGCAGGCGATGCGATGGCGGCAAGACATGCCTCTGCTACAAGCCTGCCAAAAAGCACCCGGAGCACTCGTGGATCATGACCAAGGCTGGAAACGAGCTTGCTGGCCAGTCCATCATCCACCTCCAACTGCGCAGCCCAGATAACTTCGATTCGTACACTTTCAACGACCACGAAGCATTCGGCGCGTTAGAGATCATACAGAACCTTTTGCGCGATTTCGAGGAGGCCGCTGGGGAGCCATGGGTCAGGCAGTGGGCGATTTGCGAGGCTCTGGCGCAGATTCTGGTGTCATATGACCATTTTCAGCCCCTGTTCATGTAAGTCTCCGGATGTAGATATGACAACCCTCTAAGGGCATCTAAAGTTGGCAAGAGTCGTTACTAACCGATATTCTAGGATTGACCATACTATTCTAGGGGATATGGCTGACATGATTGGGCGTATGTTCCTTACCCAGCTTGCGACTCTTGAGAACGAGGGACTACTCGGCCCGAACTCCGAGGTCATGAACCTCGCGCTGGTGATGGGTCTGTACCTCCAAATGGCGTCGATGCTGACGGCGATGGGTGTCTTGGATTCCGATGATGATGAAGATGAAGACGAAGAGCCAAGCGGCAAGGAGAAGACTACCGCTAAAGGGAAGAAGGCCGCCAAGGCCAGTGCCTTCAAATACAGCGAGAGCTGCTGGGACCTATACATTTACATGTACGCCCAGAAGCACAGTATCGTCCTCAACACTCTCACCAGCTCCCACACCAAAACCCTGCTCACTCGCCTTTCAGAAAAACCCTCACCCTCCCAGAATCCGGAACAGACCCCTACGGATGGAAACCCGCGTTGGTTCACTATGTGAAGGAATGCTTTGTGCCAAGCTTTGGGGTCACGCGTCTCACTACCGGCGATTCGCTGGATCTTACGGCGTGGACGAGCGCAGAGCGCAAGAGGGTTAATTTTGGTAAAAGGATCCTCTCGGTCCTCGGGAGCGAAAGGCGATCAAGGATGGGGAGATCATGTCGCTGGGTTAAGAGTCTTGATTTTGATTACATCGTCCGTCATACTTGGTTCCGGGGTGTTATCTTCGCCTTGTGCTAGAACGGGTATTTAGATTTGTCTCCAGAGACCCCTAATAGAAGTATAGAAGTCAGCATCAGAGCGCATTTTGTCATAATCGGCGCAATGTTCACTATTGAGCCAGGTCTGCGGTGCACTCCGCCGCAGGAGAGGACATCGGGTGCGGGGCTTACCGGAGTTCGGCTAGTTCTGAGCACCCGGGATCGGCTCCATGAGACAAGAAATCATCTGGCATCCATTGCAGACATCAAGAACAAGGATCTAAGAATAAGACGCTCTAATGGAAGTCCCCTCGTCATTGTCAGATCTTGATGGCTTATGTGCGTAGTCTAGACCAAGAGCTGACCAATCTAGGAAAGCTCCTCGAGGAGGAATTGGGAGATGGTGATGCTTCTGCTAGCCACTTAGAGCCATGAGTCGGCAAAAATATACTTCATGCACAAAACTAATATCCAAGGGCATTCGTCCAAGTGTCAGCCAGCGGGAAACCCCCGCGGTAAGGCGTCTCCGAGATCGACCCTGTGGCATGCCACTGCCAAGCCTGCTGACTTCTTGGAAAGTGCCGCAAAGTTGAATTATTTTGGGAATGGAGCCCTTGAGATGATCTAGATTGGAAAAGAAGAGATGCGACGAGCCATTTTTCACACTTCTTGCCGGATCGGCGTGATGCTTGTTATTGGATTGGGGTCGGAGAAGGGCTGTGGCGAAGCACACGTCAAAATAGCACAAGCTTGTTTCAAGCCGTCCTCGAGTTTAGGCGAATTGGCCATTCCATTGGGCAAAGCTCTCCCCTCACTACCGGGGCCTCCCCGCGATTTGACGCGCAGAAGCGGATAATGGCTGCTAAAAGTGTTCTTCACCACGCCATACACGCCCGTTGGTGTACCGGGGGAGCCGCGGAAGCGGTACCGAGATCGCGATCCTGAGTGGACTTTGTCGGCGTAAGATTCGAGCCGACGACGGCTACTGGGGAATGAGAAGCGTTGAGCTGGCTCGTCTTGGCGCCATGCGCGCGTGTGTGGGGAGTTTTTTTTTAATTTGTCTTGCGGCTGTGTACCTCGGTACGCCGCCCCGTGAAAGTAATCAAGCCCAAGGTGGCAGGTTTCAGCCGCGACGGACCCCGTTCATTGGCTAGCCGTCGGTGAAGTCATCCGTAAGATCGGAGGAACCCTTTGCGGATCCGCACCGACTCGATGTTCGGAACCGGATTACTATTCATGTCGACCAAACAAGAGCCGTCTTCTTTCTAGAAGCGGGCCTGGTCGTGCCATGCGTGGAGCCATTGCTAGACCATTCTTGAACCAAGCTCTAAAAATACTGCCCAATTTGGAGCACTAGGAGAGGGCCACTTTGGAGGCTCACTCCCAATATCGCGATGGACTAACAGCGTGAATCACCACCACGGGACCAGCCTCGTTGGGCATCGCGAGGAGTAAAAGTCAACGTCTTAAGAAATGGATGAAAGACTAGATTTCTATGAAGATTCGAAAATATAAAAGGAGTGCTTTTCTCCCCAAATGGACAGTTCTTTTTCTCTCATCATCATCAGCAACATCATCAACACTCAACAGCCTCTCTCACAACAACAACAACAAAATCCACTCTCCTCTACCTCCAGCACTTCTAGCTACCGCTTCATCTTCTTCCCCTACCATCTTTCAAGAAAACCATCCCCATCCCCCTCATCCAAAATGCAGTTCTCCAAGGCCATCCTCTCCGCCGCCCTCATTGCCTTCCCCATGACCGCCATGGCTGCTCCCGCCGCGGACTCCGTCTCCGCTGTCGAGGCCCGCGCCCCTTCCGACATCGACGCTCTCGTTGCCGAGCTCGTCGCCCTCACCGACAGCAACGAGCCTGCCGACATCGAGGCCCGCAGCCTCGAGCTTGAGGCTCGCGGTGGCTGGACCTGCTCCTTCCTCGCTGGCAACAAGGGATGCCAGGTCAAGGTACGCCAAACCATCCCCGCTAACATAATCCTGGCCAAGTGTGCTAACATGACAAACAGTGCTTCCTCCTCAAGGGCAGTGGCGGCTACTGCAACAAGAAGAAGTAAGTGACAATCCCGCGACCCCGAAACGCCTCCTTCGTCTAAAAATGGTCTTCTAACACACTTCCTTTCCAGCATCTGCACTTGCCACTAAGCAGTCTACTTCTCCTACTGCGACAAGCAATGCATCGAAGCATCTCAGAAACATCAAAAGGCGTCATCTTCCTGGTGCACGGTTTCTTTGGCGGGTCACGGGTTGGTAGGGATCATGGAGCTCGGAAAGGTTGCTTATTAGTTCGGATGGTTGGTTTTCAATTGGTCGCTCATTTCAGCTAGCTAGCTTTTGTTTTTGATTCAATGGGAGTTTTGTTTTGCCTTCAACTTGAAATATCTCGACCTTTCTCTTTTGCTGTGCTCTCTCCAGCGTCTGGCCAGTACTGAACTTCCTTTAGCAGCACAGTGAAAACAGTGGATTTTCAACTGCCTTCTCCAACGCGAGGTGAAAGAAAAAGTGAAGATTCAATGTGGTCCACAGGCACAACCTGACTCTGATCTATACATCCCTCTAGCTGCTCTACTGTCTTCGCGTGAACTTGACCCTGAGTCCTTCTTGAGGTGTAAACCACCAGTTTTTAAACTTGTACTGCGAGTCAGCCGCCATCTCCAAATCATATCGTAACAACAACGTGGGGATGAGTTTGGTGATTTCCATGATGCTGATATGCTTTCCACTGCACGTGTGAGCGCCGTGACCGAAGGAGAAGAATGACCGATTCATCCGTCTCAGGTGCTCCTCGTCCGCACACGCTTCGCCTAGAATCCACCGTTCGGGCTTGAACTGATCCGGGTTGGGGTATACAGCAGGGTCTCGATGCAAGACCCAGGGGGACATGCCAACCTCGGTACCACCACCGACATGGTACCCTCCAATAGTGGCGCCGCCGGCAGGAACGATTCGCCCGAGGATTTGGCCCACAGACGGATGCATACGCATCGCCTCCTGAATCACCGCTTTTAGGTAAGGGAGCTGGAAAGCGGCCTGAAACTTCACTGGCAGCTCGAGCCTCTCCCGAACCTCGGCGCACAGTCTAGCATAAACATCCTCGTCCTTGAGGATATAGTAGATGACCGCTCTCAGAGCAATGGCGGTCGTATCAGCACCGGCAGCCACGTTGTTGAAGGCGTGCGTGATGATTTCCCTGTCTGTGATGGTTTTCGGGTTGGCGGTCTGGTTCAGTGCGAGGCGGCTGAGAAAGGTCATGGCATCTCCTTCTGCCGGAGGATTGCCGGAACCGCTGAAGTTCTTGAGTTGTGATCTTGACCATGGCCGTAGCTGACGTATCACCGCGGGTCATGAATTTGGCAACCCACGGATTGCCGAGAAGGAAGGGATGAAGCCAAGTAACATTGCCAAGCTAGAGAAATAGTGGTTAGCATCTTAGTCGGTCGTTTGCTTTGCTTTCCCCACTTTCCTTCACAGTGAAAGGGGAGGGACATCACGTACCAAAGACATATAGTTATTGATCAAGTCCATAGTATTGAAGAATCCAAGCTCGTCTCCTTTCTCCAGATAGCCAAAATCGGTTCCAAAGGTTAGGTTGCAGACAGCATCCATTGCAAAATCTTTCAAACGATCTCCGAGATTGCAAATTTTATTCTCGTATGCATATTCGTCCAGGTGGTGGATGAAGCGCGACAAGACGGGTTCGACCCATGGCTCGAACTGGATCAGGCCATTTAGACTGTAAGCGTTCGCGGCGTTGCGCTTCATACGAGAATGCAGCGCCTTGTCCTTGCGGAGCACAAATGGATCAGGGACTAGCCCTTCCTCGTCGTAGGTAGAGGCCAAGTCGTAAAAGGGAGACTTGACGAATTTTGTTGTTATGCCATAGAGCTGGTTGATCTCGCTGGTGTCCGCTATGGATACGAGGTTAGGGCCCACTCGTACGACCTTGCCATACTTGGCGTGGAGTTGGAGGTCATCGAGGTGATGGTGGCCCCGATACACGGACCATATCCGCGGGAGAGTGGAAAGAGAATTGAGGAACGGGCCCGGAACTTGGCGTAAGCCTTTCTGATACCGGTTAGAGAATAGGTATAGAATCAACAGTGCGGGGATGGCAAAGGGCCAGTAGGCAAGCACTAGGCCTGTGACGGAGGCAGAAGCGGCCATAATAAGATTGTATCATCAACGTGGTTGACATATGTGATGCATTATCTCGAGAAAACATATAAGGCTAGAGCAATAGCAGCGAGGGTGGGGACAGGGCTCCGACTGGCTTCTTATAATACAGCCCACGGGATTCGCTATCGCAAACAGACCCGGAAAATTATGGTTTATCTCGAGCCCTTGCGCTAGTCGCCTGTCGACTATCTTCCCGCACTCTAGTCTAAGGGATTGAATCAACCTAGGACCAAAATAGCTTAAACGATGCTTTGGAGACGAGATGCCGGAAAAATAAGACCAATCATGAGCCTGTGCGCAGTCACCGAGCCACCGAGCCACGGAGTTCGGGGAACAATCCTATCGCTCGTCGATTGCTGAATAAACCTCTGAGAGTTGCGATTATACTCCAAGGAGAAGAGGTAAAATGACAAAGGAAGAGAGTAGAAGGGAGATGGGACTGGAGGTACTAGGCTTCGTCCTTCTTCTTACCCGACATCATAAGTTAAGGGAGCCTACATGTAATCCGAAGACCTTTTGATTGATCCATGGCTGGCCGAGGTTTTTATTGCTCTCACCGGACTCATCAGCGAAGGAAACTTGTCTGTCGTTCGTCGTTGCAGAGACACGTATCGCACACCTTTGTCATCTCCAAGGCACTCTTGAATGGGGGTAGGTCCGAGGGAAGGAGGAAAGTTGAAGTCGCGCTTGCTAAGATAAGCAGAGGCGAGAGTGTTTGAGGGAACCATACCTCGGTATGTCAATGACCAAAGTTAGAATGCGCGATAGTTCCTGGGACTTGGAGCATCATCGGCAATAGCTATTCATAAAGAATTCAGCGTTCTTTTGCTCATTTGGCTGCGATTTTCAATCCCCAACGAATACTAATCCACAAGCGCGCATGGTATTACTTCGTATTTGGAATATCTTCTAGCGCCAGGTGAGCCGAATGGCTCCGCCACTGATTTCGCAGCAATGATTTACAAGGTCCCACTCGATTTCTATCATAGATATTTGAGGATACCGGTAGGGTTCAATTGATCCATGGATGTCGATCACGGTCATACATCCATGTCCACCCAGGGCCAACAGCTAAAATCAATCTGGCGCAGTTGCTTGCAGTCCTCCAGTACGCCTGGGCTTGGCAGAGGTTTCGACTTGCAAGGACAATGGCGGGTTGATTCAAGGTTGGCTAGGCAGAAGAATACAAAAGTTCTTCGGCCAGCGGTACATTGATGTCGTTCATGCGAACTTTTGTGCCCCTTTGTTGTGGTGGACCAGGGCCTTCTGAGGGCCTTCTGTGACGTGCGAGCGAGGCAGCAAAAGGCCCCTTTGCCCTCGACGTACTTTTTAATGCATGTCAGGCTCACCATGTAAAGATTCAGTGATTGCAACAGCGGATTGCGCCACTACAACCGCTCCCGCCATCGCGCTCCCCACAGAGAAAGCGACGCCCAAGCCGCAACAGGCAGTTCCGCCAAAGCTCGTCAATTCGACGTGCCACGCGCGCAACCCCAACGTTCCCGCGCCTTCTTTTTCAGGATCGTTCCTCGGGGTTTCTTGGAAAATGGTGGTCCACCCCTCCTTGGAAGTTCTTGGCTGGTAGGGTTGCATAGACGAATCATCTGCCGAACTGACCTTCCTGTTTGGGTGGGGTCGGGACAATGCTCGGACGGCGGGATTGGCAGGCTCCCTCGGCGGCACGAACGCTGGTTGTCTATTCTGCCGACATGTTGCGTGCGCGAAGTGAAGATCGACACGCGCTACATCAACATTGGGTGTTGGACAACTCCCCTTCGAGGCGTGCGGTTCGACAACGGTCGCATGCGCCTCGCGAACTTCCGTATCTTGGGGGTTAGTTGGTATTTTTGGGGGAGATAACGGCCCTGGCCCTTTGTAGAGTCGGATCCGGAAGCTCGGGCGCTGCTAAAAATTACGAGTTACCTTCCTTGGAGGCTCGGCTCGCGGAGGGAGGGGCCTTGGTCGTCGATGGCGACAAAAAGACCAAAGCGGCGCTGTAACCTCGTGGTTGTGGAGAGAGGTGCAATGACCCTCTTGGTTAGGAAGGACGACTGCGCCGGATTGGCTTCCCCAGCAAGATCTTCGAGAATCTCAAGTTGGAAGTTTGTTCGGATACACGGATGTCGCTGGTCCCTTGCACAAGCTTGGGTTGCAAAAGTGCATTCGGCGATTGACGACGCAAGAATATAAAAGGGATTTGCTTCTCGCTCAACAAGGTGGAAAGTTTGGTCAACCGTGTTGATGCTGTCTGTGTTCCTTCAGCTCGCCGTGGGACCAAATCGCTCAAATCGTCGCATACCCTGTTTGAATCGTGATCATGGTTCACCTCCACCCTATCCTCGCCCTTTGTGCGACCCTTCTACTTCCGGGTACTGCTGTTGCTCAGGAGAAAGAGGTCAGGCCGAATCTGGCTCTCGAGCAGTATGAATCGGGCGCAGTGCACGAGTGGCTGATGTCCAAGAAGAAGGTGAGACGATATCTTTCTTGCAGTTCTTTCAAGGATAATTGTTTCAGAGGGATGTTTGTTCTGCGAACACTTACACTGACTCCTCTTTGCAACAGAAATCGTGGGACAGGCAGCGGGATGCGGGTCTGCTGGAAAGCAGCCAATACCCGGCGCTTGGCTATACCGCTTGCAAGAATGGTATTGCCGAGGCCATCCCCGGAGACAAGAGCAACACCTTCAGGTGCAACAATGTAAGAAATCCCTTTGTATTATACTTTGTCGGTGCGCTAACTCTTAGAAACCCTAGGCCGACTTGTATTCCTTCCTATCCCACTCAGACCTTGGTAGCAAAGATGGCGAGGGCTCTTCCTCGTGGGGTTGGACGTCCGACGACGGAAGGGAATTCGTCGCCGTAGGCCAGGCTGATGGTACTGCCTTTGTCGAGATCACCGCTGAGGGCCAGTTGGTGTATCTCGGCCGGCTCCTCAGTACTCCGTCCCGTCCATCTGGCGCGAGATCAGGGTGTTTAAGAACTACGCCATCATCGGCTCCGAGGCCGTGGGCCACGGCATCCAGATCTTTGACTTGACGAAACTTCTCGACATTGACCCCGCAAGCCCCGTTGTGTTCGACGCGAAGAAGGACCTCACCGGCCACTTCTCCGACCTCCCCGTTGGTCGTACCCACAACGTGGTGGTCAACGAGGAGCGCAACTACGTCGTCAGCGTCGGAGCGGCGCCGCGAGACTCGGCGTGCCGTTCGGGACTCATCTTCATCGACCTGACGGATCCGTCCGACCCTTGGTCTCCCGGGTGCGCTCCGGGCGACGGTTACGTGCACGACGCGCAATGTCTCGTCTACAGGGGCCCCGACAAGAGGTACGAGGGCCGCGAGATCTGCTACGGCTACAACGAGGACACCCTCACCATCTACGACGTCGAGGACAAGAACAGCACCAACATCATCTCGCGCACCTCGTACGCAGGCGCTAGCTACACGCATCAAGGATGGGTACTGGACGTCAACAATCAGGAGTTCCTCGTGCTCGACGACGAGCTTGACGAGGCGAACGCGGTCGGTCCCGGTGCTGACGGGTATCCGGTCACCTACATTTGGGATATCCGCGACCTGAAGAAGCCGAAGCAGACGGGTATTTACAAGGCCAAGACCAAGTCCATCGACCACAACCACTACGTAGTCGACGGTCTTATTTACCAATCGCACTACGGAGCGGGCCTGCGCGTCCTTGATGCCACGTCGATTCCCCGAGACCCTACGGGCGCCAGCATCTGCGAGGTGGCCCACTTTGATATCTACCCCGAAGATGATGGCGAGGTTGGTGGTGGAATAGTAGAGTTTGTTGGCTCGTGGTCGTCGTACGCCTTTTTAAGTCGGGCTACGTCTTCATCAACACCATTGAGCGCGGTGTCTGGGTTGTGAAATTGACGAAATCGAGCTGCAGTTGAGCGCGGCGCTTCAGGCTTAGTTAGAGAGGATGAAGGATTTCCACAATACAATGTACGGACAAGATGACGAATTTCTTTGTTTGTAGGCCATTAGCTTCCCAGGAATTATTCTATTTTTCCAATCAAAAACTGAGAATGATTTGATCAAAATGTTGATATGGCTACTCGGTGCCTCATATCCAAGGCGGAACAACCCTGAAAGACCAAATTCAGGGGCACGAACCAACTATTTGTTTGCAGACACGACACATCTCGGATTTGGTGATATCGTAAGCTAATCCACCACAAGGAACACGACGGCAGGGCTCGGGTTGACCACGGAACCGGCGCATGAGCTAAACGGGGGTATCTTTTGGTGCCTGTAGACCTTGTGAGACGAGAAGAAGACCCCGGCTACCACCAGCCGTTCCGCCATCGCGATGATTGGGACGCGAGAATTGCTGCTAGCGGCCCTCGTCGTCCTCTCGGCGCTCTATCTAAACAACACCCTGAGCATGGCCACGGCGCGCCTCGGGACTATCACACACAAGCGCGTCACCCTCCTCATCGCGCACCCGGACGATGAAGCCATGTTCTTCGCGCCGACGGTGATGGCTCTGACGCGCCCCGAGGCCCGCAACCACGTCACCATCCTGTGCTTGAGCAGCGGAAACGCCGAGGGACTAGGAGAAATCCGCAAAAGGAGCTCGTGCAGAGCGCGCTCGTTCTCGGCCTGCGGAGCGAGGATGATGTTGCGGTCGTGGACAATCCTACGTAAGTTTTGAACCCTTTGATCGCTTGAGATCGTCACCGGCATGAAAGAAATACTCAACTTGGCTTTAGCGATTTTCCCGACTCTATGACAGCGGTCTGGTCCGCAGAAAAAGTCGCAACTCTCCTGCGTGAGACGTTTGCGACCGCTCCCGGCCAGAGACACACGCTCGATGTTCTCATCACGTTTGACTCCCAGGGCGTGTCCTCTCATCCCAACCACATCTCGCTCTATCACGGCGCCAAGACATTTGTCGCGTCGCTCGTCGAGAAGCCACTGAGTGGGAATGGGCTTCCCGTTGATCTTTACACGCTTACTACCGTCGGCTTCCTACGAAAGTATGCCGGTGTACTCGACGCTGTGTTCAAGGTGGCGGTAGACCGCGTAGCTGGTGCCGGAGGCACTCGTGGCGAACTCGGCAAGTCCGACGGGTTGCCCGCGTCGTCGACAGGCCTGACGTTTACTCACGGCTGTGGAAGAAAGGGCTGGGGCACGGCGCGGGAGGCAATGACGGCGGCCCACGTTAGCCAGATGAAGTGGTTTCGTTATGGCTGGATCGTCTTGAGTCGGTACATGTACATAAACGAGCTTCAGCTAGAAAACTAAGATTACCAACCAAAGAAATATCATTCATACTGGATTCAGACAATCGGCCAGTCCTCAAAGGCTCAGCCGTCTATCTGCCGCGGGCGGAGTGACCCCGTGTTGTCGAAGAAGGTCCGCCATCGACTCGAGCCCCTCATCCACCGCCACCTTGAGGACATCCGACCGACGTCGGCGAGACGCGATGTCTTTATCTAGCAGAAGCTCCACCATTACTGTATCCTCCCGGACCACGGCCACGCGGAGCGTCTCCGCCGTCTCGTAGTACACGTCTGCGTCGTAATCCAGCAATGTCTGCACAACGGCCAGGCTCCCGCGGCGACCGCCACGCCGAGGGGCGTCGACCCCTTCTTATCCTTGCAGTCAATTTCGGCGCCTTCCGCTAAAAGAATCTCTACGACATCCTTGTGACCTTCTCTTGCTGCCTGCATCAACGCCGGGCCAGATGAATCGGAGTACTCGACATCCACGCCAATGCTCAGGAGGTGTTCCACCATACGCGCGTGGCCCCATCTGGCCTGCCGAAGCAGATCTAGTGAAGGATCTAGGTCGGCACCACAGTATATGCCATCCTTCTTGGGCCACTTCGCAAAGAAGGAGTTGAGAAAGTCCCATGTCTCCGGGGTCGCGGCGGCCCTCTTCGCCGCGTAAAGGTCTAGCCCCGGCCCATCCACGACAACGAAGCCACGCGACATGCCGGCATAAAGGTGGACGTGTCCGGACAGGAAGCGTTTGTGCGAGATGGGGGATACACGGCGAGTTGAACAAGCTCGAGATTCCCTCGACGAGCCGCGGCTAGGGGAGCCGGGCCCGACCTTTCCGCGCCAAAAGCAGCGCGTACAGTCGTGGCCGTAGATATCTAGGTCGGGCAGGCGCTCTTGGATCCGTTCGAGAATGTGAGCATGCCCTCCCCACGCTGCGGCGTACATGGCGGATGGGAAGATCTCAGTATCCTTGGTAGGCCAGTGGCCTGCGTCGAGGAGCTTCTCCACGAGGTCGAGGCACCCCACGTACGCGGCCGCGGACATGAGATTCAGGTCATTATCGTCAAAACTGAGCCTTAGCATCTGGAGCCGTATGTGGCGCTCGACCGTTAGGCGGGAAATAGCCTCGTTGATCTCGTCAAAGTCTCGTCCCGTGTGGCTCGTTAGCCTCGAAACGATGGCTCGCAGGTGTTCCACGTCGCGAGAGGCTTCACAGGACCGGGTGCGAATTTGATAGGCGAAATACGACTGCCATAGCTTCCGCCCGGGGTGTCCGTCTTGGGTGTCGTCCATGTATCGTACCCATTCCTTGAACTTGGCGTCCAGGAGCTTCGATTTGAACAGCGGGACGTCGACATTTTCGGCGAATCGTCCTTGAACTGAGGATTAGCGGCGGGCTTCATGATCTCCGGCCCGGGGTGGTGGAGATGGGGATGATGCGGGTAAAGAGCTCACGGCAGACGAGTTTCAATCGCAGGCCTCGTTTGACCCCGCGAGTGACGATGCAGTGGTATAGCACATCCTGAAGTACTTCCGTGGGTAGGTCAAGGCCGCCCACTTTCTTTTTTGCTCGTCTTTGACCTTTTATCATGTTTGGGTTGAATTGTCTTTTGCTGGCTTGGGCGGAGAGCACGGTGACGAGGATAGGCAACAGGAATGCAAAGTGAGGGGCTCAAAATCTGCGACACTTGGGAGCACAGATCGAACTGGAAGGATTTGCAAATGCGCAGCACATGTTTACAGCAGACATGAAGAGATGACAATAATCCGTCCAGTAAGCTTTGTCCAGTTCAATTTGTGTCACCAGACATCAACAGGTTAGTGCACGGGTTTCACAGACCTTGGCTGGCATCCTCCATCACCACGTCAAGATTATACTGACGCAAAAAGCTGCCGCCATATACTATTTGTAAATAAGCGATGATTGACTCTCTTACGCAAGGTATTCATCGAGCTTACTGGAAAAAAACCCATCGATTTTGAAGTTTGGGAGAAACGCGGCAGGACCTGAATATTCATAACACCGGCGGTAACGAGGTCTCTAGCCCATTACTTTCCATATGCCGGAAGGGGCCAGCTACCCGCGACCTAGAAAATAAGGGCATGCCATGCCATACACGAACCAATGGCGGAAACTTGGACGTCTAGAATTTTCCAGAAAATTCCCATACCCTTCCCTCAACCAGGTCCCTACTTTGAACGCTCGGAGCCGTGGCAGGCCTGGGGCGGAAGAGATGCCCGGTGCCGGATTACCAGAGGAGAAGGAGGAGAAGACGGATCCATGGATCCAGAGCTTCACCCCGCAAAACGAGGAGTGAGGCTTGGCAGGGCATCGATGGAGAGTGGCCAGCTCCACATGACGAACCTTTTCATATCGAGGTCCATGGAGGTTTCCCGGATTCACCTTTATGCGAGACGGCAAATTGATGAGGTTCATGTTGCCCAATGCCACCCTCAACACCTTGATGCTGCACATCGCGGATGAGATGCCGAGATGGTGTTGCATGGCACACAGGCTCCAAGCGAAGACGCAGAGGGGATGGCCGTAGTGACGTCGATCCGTCCCCACTATCGCCCTCAATTCCAGGGAGACGCAATCAACGACCTAGATCTACTGCTTTATGCCGCCCGCTCGCCAATTGCGAGCGGCGCGCACACCCGTTCAGGGCCAAGAGAGAGGGAGCGGGTCCGCTGGGCCCCGGGACCAGACGATCCGAATTTATCCCCGTACGACAGGCCACGCGCGGACAGTTGGTCCAAGGCCCAATGAGTATAAATGAACTGCTCAATGCGGACGGCCAATCACCGGGCCGGTATTACTGTTCTTAGATTAACGGCCTCAATATAGCCGTGGGCCGCAGAGTGCTCTCGTTTCGAAAAAGGCAACGAGCTCTTTTTCTCTTTGCTGCGCAAATTGATCTCGGACAATTTTGCGGGGAAAGACGACGGGAAAAGAGCTAGTTTTCCTTGGTGCTCAGTCCATGGGCTTTTGCCCACGGCACAATGGGGTTGAGCAGTTATTTAAAAGGGAGGTGAGGCCCCTCCTTCCAGCCGCCTTCGCGGTCGTAACCCGGATGGTGAAGTTGTAAAAAGGGAAAGACAGCGCCTGCGAATCTTACCTCTCGTGCACTTTGTATCTTGCGTGCACTGCTTCTAGTTTTCTTGATTCGCCGCAATGAAGTCCCTCACGCCGCTTCTCTTGGCGATCGCGCCGCGTAAGTTTTCCCGTTGCAGCGATTGACGTCCCCGTTCGCGTCAATTGCGCAGAAGAAGAAGAATCGGGGAGCCATTGATCACGCAGTCATGCTAATTGAAGTTGCAGTGGCGCTTGCCCAGGACCCCGTGCCTTGGACGGATGCGGAGAGTGGCATTAGCTTCAATACGTGGGCTGCGCCAAGCATGACCTACGGTATGGCCCTCCCAGCGGACGCGCTCGAGACGGACGCGACTGAGTACATTGGCCTCTTGGTAAGTCTTTTATTGTCAAAACTGGGACATTTGGAAGCAGGAAGAACGCGGAGGAGTGCCAGCAACAGACGTAAGCCGATTGTTGATGACGGAACTAATCTTTCTTCTCCTGGCAGACCTGCGCTTCCACTGAAGGTGCCAACACGGGATGGTGCGGCATTTCTTTCGGCGGCGGCATGACCAACAGCCTCCTCATGCTTGCTTACCCTCACAACGACCAAGTCCTCACCTCGTTCCGTTGGGCGGAATCCTACGGCCCCACCACCCCCTACACGGGCGACGCACGCCTCACCCAGATCTCCTCCGTCGTCAACGAGACCAGCTTCTCCGTCATCTACCGCTGCGAGGGCTGCCTGAAGTGGAGCCACAACGGCGTCGACGGAGCCGTTGCCACGAGCGCTGGCCTCGCCGTGACCGGCTGGGCGCACGCTACCGCCAACGTCAACAACCCCGACTGCGCGGACTCGGCCGGTACCAGCCAACATGCCACGCAAGGCATCCTGCCTGCGCGCTTCAACTCCGAGGCTGCCACGCGGTCGTATGAGGCCTGGGCTCAATTGGCCGTTAGCGAGGTCAAGGGTAGCTGCGGAGGAGCTACTGAGCCGAAACCGGAGCCCCAGCCTGAGCCTGAGCCTGAGCCCGAGCCTGAGCCCGAGCCCGAGCCGGAACCTGAGCCTGAGCCAGAGCCGGAACCCCCTGCTGCCAAGTGCTCCCAGGAATACGTCGTGCCTCAAGGCTCGTTCTGCTACGCCATCGCCATGCTACACAACATCACACTTGAAGCTTTCCTCGCGCTCAACGAGGGCTTGGCTTGCAATACGTTGCAGCCCGGCGACGTGGTTTGCGTGAAGGGATAATGCGTCCACCGAAAGGGCGTAGAGATAGATTGAGAGGATTGATCAAACCTTGTACATACCACTACACTTTACATTGACGCATGAATATATCAATTACATGTATAAAGAACAAACAGAGAAGGGGCCTTTTTCGATGGTATCGTATGTGAGCTTCCATTGATTGCTTCTCTTGAAAAACGTCAGACTAGGCTACTCGCTATGCACATAAACTCAAACATGTTTGAAGAATCGGTCTTCTCGGTGGCACACGCCAATATGAGGTTTCCAGCCTAAACACGCTACTCGCAAATTACTTCATTCGTTCCACTAGTATATCGTATCCATTATATGTATTTTAGCACCACAATTAGGCCCTCTTCTCTTCGGCAACCTCGGCGACCTCGGCGTGGGAGGACGAGTCTCGAGAAACCCTCTTCTCATCGTCGACATTGTCATCCCCAAGCTTCTCCTCGTCTACACGTCGGGAAGCAGAAGGACCCTCAAAGATCTCGGCAATCTCCTCCAAAGTTCGGCCCTTGGTCTCGGGGAAAAGGAAGTAAATGACGAAGAAGAGGACAAAGAGAATACAGCAGAAGACGATGTAGTACTTCCAGCCAAGCTTGGACATGGCAATGGGGTTGACGAACTGGCCAATGATGAGACCGATAAAGGTGGTACCGTAGGTGACGGAAACACCACGGGCGCGGAGGGTGAACTGGAAGATCTCGACAGGGTACGCCATGAGGAGGGGGACCAGGCAATGTCGTAGAAGAAGTAGTAGATAAAGATGAAGGCGACAACGGCGTGGCCGGCGTGCTGGTCGAGGGTGCGCGTGAAGTGGCTGGTGAGGGCCGTCCAAATGACGTAGGCCATGCACATGCCGGCGGTGGAGATGAGGAAGAGCTTGCGGCGGCCGATGCGGTCGACCATGAGGGCGCCGGCGAGGACGGCGGCGAGCCAGTTGAAGACCTGGAGGAGACCGTTGATCAAGGCCTGGTCGCGGGTCTTGGTGATGCCGATAGTGTTGAGGACGAGCGTGATGTAGTACGACACGACGCCGGCACCGTTCCACTGGGCGAAGAAACCGACGATGGCGGCGATGAGTGTACGCTTGCGGTTGGCGGGTGTGCGGACGAGATCGAAGTAGGACGTCTCGGAGAGGGCCTCGGACTCGGCCTTGAGGTTCTCCTCGATCTGCTTCATCTCGTAGTTGACGAGGGCGGAATTCTCGTCGCCGCCGGCGTGGTACTTGACGAAGATGGCACGAGCCTCGGCGTTCCTTCCGTGGGCAATGAGCCACCTGTTTCGCGTCGCGTTAGTTTCGACAATTCGTACAGCTTTTGGCCTTTTTGTGGGCTGGGGATAAGAAGAAAGAATCGTACCTAGGAGACTCGGGGACGAGCCAGAAGAAAGCAAACTGGATGAAGGGGATCGCGCCCTGGAGAATGGAGGGGATCCTCCAGCTCCAGGTGGAGGGCAGACGGAAGGTTCCGTAGGTTGACCACGCGGCAAAGATGGCACCAAAGTACTGGTTAGAAGAAATGGATGAGTTAGTCGCACCATTCTTTTCCTAGTTGTACCTTGAGACTGCATGGGTCGAAACTTACAAAGAAGGTCTGGTAAAGAGCGGAGATCTTGCCACGGTGCGTGGGGTACGCCAACTCAGTGACCAAGATAGGCGCGGGCTGCGCGATAAAGGCGGTGGCGGCGCCGAGAAGGCAGCGCGAGCAGATGAACATGGCGGTGTTGATGCTGCCACCCTGAACGCCGGCTCCCAAGACGAGAAGGACGAAGCCGATCCACATGGAAGATTTGCGGCCATACTTGTCGGAGAGCCAGGCGGCGGGGAAGATGCCGACAATCTTGCCGATGGGGTAGATGGCGTTCATGACACCGAGGATGGAGGGCTTGGGGTGGTTGAAGTAGCCGCGCCATTGCTCAACCGTCTGCAGACCGTTCATCATAGCGCCGTCGAAGCCAATGGTGGCGGAAGAAAGAGAGGGGACGAGAAGCATCAGGTTGAGGAGGAGCAGATGCCTCACCGTCCACCACGAACCGCTATGCTGCGGGAGGACCTGTCGCGTTGCAAAATCGCACCGTTAGTAAGACTGACAAGGCTTTCACCGGGGGACATCTCGGGCAGGATAGGGGTTGGATAAGAAATGAAGAGAGAGAGCGCGTCGACTTACAGCTCGCAGCTCTGGGCTGATGGTGGCATCCTCCTTCTCCTTCTCCGTTCTCTTGAAAAAACCCATGGTTTTGTTCTGTTCTTTCTGACCAAGCTGACGGGAGCAAGCGTGAAACTTTGAACCAAGTTCCTCAAGTCAAGTTTTCCACCGAGATGTTGGAGATGTGTTGCCTGCGTGGGTGATGATCGACAACCAAGGATCCAAAAGGGGAGGGAAGAACAAAATATATATTCTTCTCCACGAGCTCCTGAACCGAGCGAATGGCGATTGCGGAGCCCCGGACCCCAGGATCTGGGGCAACAGAAACAACTGCGGAGGTGTGGAGTGCCGAAGGAGGGGGAGGAGGGGAGATGAGCGAGGTTGCGTTCCGGAACCACACAGCCTGGAGTGAAGCTCGGAAGAGACAAGAGTGTGGGAGAGGAGGGAGGGAGTTGACGAAAAAGAGAAATCAATGGCAAAGAAAAAAGCTGAAGTTGGCTAGAGGCAATGAAGCAGATGACAGGGGGCGTGGTGGGAGGGCGAAATGGAGATGCACCCCACAGGTACTTTTCGAGCTAGTCTTCCCAGCACTACGGCAAATGGGGTGTACGAAATGCGTCTAGCGCAATGGCATGTTCACGAGGAGCTAGGGGTGTGGTTCTGGTTTGGCCGAGCTGACGGGGAGTAGCGGGAAATTTGCTCGCCCTCACCGAGGCCTCGGGAAGGGAGCTCTTTTGCTTCTAGGGAGGCCGTGTTGAGGCCCTGCAGCGACGAGATCAAGGACATTCTTTGGATCTTCATCTATAGATGGAGAATGATCGACCATGCGGTGGAAAACAGGATGAATCGAGGGTTCCACGGCATGGCTTCAACGATGAATATTGTGGATGATTCATGACATTCCTTTCTTCTCGACTACTCCTTTGACCAACTCTTTGCCTAAAGGGGAAAAGACTGTGGACGGGGGACACATGGTGAGTGGCGACAAGGACACGCTAGCGCGCTAGTGTCATTTGGGCCAGTCCCGAACGCTTCCGGGACTGCGAGGAACAGAGGGAAGTTCCCAGTTCATCGAATGATGAACGGGGGCGTCCTTGATCAGTGCCCTCTGAGAGTGGGTTCTATCTACTCGTAGTACGAGAATGAGGTGGAGCAGAGCATATTTTATGCGCACCCTTCTAACGCCGTGGCCCGGCTGGAGATGAATGGCCGTGAGCTGAGCTAGCGGTGGGATAGCTAAGCAATTGCATGTGGGCAAACACAGAACTAACTTGGGCAAACGTAAGTCGATGGAGAAGAATTGAATCTACAGCATCGAACGACACAAGGGCCGTCGCCTCCTCCCCGTAATCGCTTGAGATGTTGCCGAACATCACGGCAATATTAAATGGGAAATGCATGGAAGAAAGAACTGCCGGAGGAAGAGGCGTCACGGCAATCTTTTTATTCATCCCATTCGTCTTTTCCCTTCGCAGCTGGCTTCTCAACATGGTTAGCGCCCGCGACAGGGCATGAAAATCTCATTGCACAAGCGTCGTTGTTCCGCGCGCCTGGTTCCGGTTCCGACTTCCGACCCCACCCCACGTCCCGAGGGGTCTAGACAGGGGGGGAGCGCCGATGATACTAGTCACAACATTGAACCTCCAAAGGCGCCTGGAACCCACAGACGTTTGCTTCCGGGTCCATAGATGCTTGAAGCCCCACTGGTATCGATCCGGTGAAAAAAAAAAAACGAATCGGATCATATTGATTACGGAGGGGAGGGCATTTGCCTGAGTCGTGTTCTAATAAGTACATGCGTGCAATTGATCAAGAACACGCCTATTAAACTCGGAACTGACGGTGATTATCATGGGCCTGTTCCATCATACTCAAAAGAGGCCTGGTTTTGATCCGATGACCAGCTCTTGGGCTCCGGGGCCGTGACCGAACCGATCTGGCTGATCCCGTGGGGGTATGCCTCCAGCCAGCTGCAGGTTGCAGTGAATAACTAGGCACGAGCACGTGGGACGCCATTTGGTCTAGCTGTTGATCCGCCATTGACTGGCTTGGCGGCTGTTAGTCTTATGCCTGAGAGCCAAGAATGATGAGAGGGTACACAAGAAACAGGGATGTTGACAGTCAACTCGGAGATGATAGGGGTTAGATGAACGCCATACCGGACAGACCCCTGTTTTTCGATAGTCGCGCATGCGCATGCACACCTTCAGGATGTACGAAGTAGGTGCTATGGAAGGGTCTAGGTGTCGGAGTCTAACCTCGGAAGGCCCGCTATCATGTCCCCAAGTTCCTCAATCTAGACAGGGCTGGGGGCCCCTCCTCTACGCTACTGCACTTACGGCGCCATGTTCTTCAGGCTGAATGCGTGGAAAATACCCAATTAGCCTCTGGCCTGTAGTGGCCCGCTGTGGATAGACGGAAGTTATCGTCTCGGTGTGTGTGTGATATCGCCGATAGGAACGACATCCACAAGATTCAGCGTGGCGATATGGAGAACTTCGTGATGGCGATCTCTTCCGAATTCCGAGCTGAAGTCGGACTGGTGGACATAGATGATATCTAGGGCCGAGGCATACAGCTAGGCCAAGTTGGCGTCTGCTTCCGTGAGAACAGATGGAGTTGGCCAAGTATTGCCAATGGTTTCACAGACTATGGAGCCTAGCCCGGAGGAAAATGGAGCAGAGAGAGAAGCAGAAGAGAAGAGAGGCGGGCTTCGAAAGCTTGGTAAACAATGGTAAAGATGGCGGGACAAGAAATAATCATAATCATTCGCTCGGTAGCACATACGTATCTATCTATCTAAAGGAAAATTCATGGGGCATATACAAGTTTCTCGAGATCAATCTCCACCTCCTGGACCACTTCGGCCGCCGACTTGGCCAGTGATACCTTGTACTTGCCGGCATCGACGACCCATTGGCCGGCAGCCTCGTCGTAGTATCCGAGGTCTCGGGTGGCAAAAGTCAGCTCTACCGTCGTCTTCTCGCCCGGCTGCAACCTGACCTTGCGGAAGGCGACCAGAGCCTTGACGGGATGGTCCTCTCTTTGCTCCACCTTGCCACCATAAACCTGAGCGACGGTACCGCCCTCGAGGTTTCCGGTATTCGTGACATTGAGGGTGACCGTGTAGACATCGTCCGATGACTTGGCCACCGTGAGGTTGCCCAAGTCGAACGAAGTGTAGGAGAGACCGTGGCCAAAGGCAAAGTTGAGCTTCTCCTTGGGGAGGCGGTCGTAGTGGCGGTACCCTACGAAGACGCCCTCGGCATACTTGACCTTGAGCTTGCCGTCCACGTACTCTCCGGGGAAGTTGCCGTGCGCGGGGGCATCCTCGACGCGCTTGGGGAAGGAGGCGGGAAGGTGACCCTCGGGGTTGACGGCGCCAGTAAGAACGTCGGCGATGGAGTTGCCGCACTCTTGGCCGGGGAACCAGGTTTGCGTGAGGGCGGAGATCTGGTCAAGCCAAGGCATGGCAACGGCGACGCCGGTCGAGTTGACGACGATTGTGTTCTTGTTGACCCCCGCGACGGCGGATACGAGGGCGTCCTGGCTGCCGCTGCGGGGCAGGTTGAAGGACTCTTGGTCACGGCCCTCGGTCTCCCACTGGGGGTCGTGCCCGGTGAAGACGATGGCGTAGTCAGCATCCTGAGCGACGCGCGTGGCCTCGCCGAGGAGGTCCGCGTCGTACACGGAGGCGAGGCCGAAGCCCATGCGCATGCCGGTGCGGCCCTCAAGAATCTTGAGGCCAACGTTGGAGGGCGGGTGGCTCTGAATGCGGATGCGGTAGGTCTTGCCCGCGTCGAAATCATAGCGGAACTCCTCCTCGGTCTGGGCGTTGAACAGGACACCCATGGGGTCCGAGTAGTTGCCCTGCTGCTCGAAGACGGGCTTGTCGTCGATGAAGACGAGGGTGGACCCGATACCCGAGGCGGCGATGATGTGGCTGCCGGATTCGGAGGGGTGAAGTCGCCGACGATCTCGAGCACCTTCCAAATGGATTCCTGGGAGCCGAGGGGCGAGTAGGCCGACTTTTCGAGGCCGTGCTGCGTGGATACGGGCGTCGAGAGGTCGGAGGGCTCGAAGAAGGAGAGAGAGAAGCCCGTTTGGCCGTCGAGGCCAACGACGGTGCCGACGCTGGCGTCGTCTTTGGAGATGGCGGGGAGGAGGCGCTCCCTGTGGAAACCCTTGGCGTAGGTGAGCTCCACGGCGTCGCCCAACGCGGTGCGCAGCGCGTCATAGGGCGCGACCTTGTAGTGGGCGTTGACGCCCGCCGAGCCGCCGCCGTGGGCGAGGGCGTCCTTGGCCAAGCCGATGAGGGCAATCTTCTTACCCTGGACCTTGGCAGGCGAAAGCGGGAGGATGTCGCCCTCGTTCTTGAGCAAGACGATGCCGCGGGCACCGGCGTCGCGAATAAGCTTACGGTGCTCGGGCCTATCAATGGCGCGCTCCGTCGTCGGGGTAGCGCCCTCAAAGGCGCGAAGCCTCTCGAGAAATACGAGGATATTGCGCACGCGCTCGTCAATCGCGGCCTCTGTCACGCGGCCCTCACGCACGGCCTCGAGCACGGCATCGGTCTTACGCACGCGCGCGGGGCCGGGCATCTCGATCTCGAGGCCGTGGTTGATGGAGTCGTCGACCGAGTTGGTGCCGCCCCAGTCGCTGATGACGAGGCCCTTCCACCCCCACTGGCCGCGGAGGACGTCGGCGAGGAGGAACTTGTGGCCGTCGCAGTGCTCGCCGTTGACCTTGTTGTACGCGCTCATGACGGCCCACGGCGCGGCTTCCTTGATGGCGATCTCGAAGGGTCGGAGGTAGAGCTCGCGCAAGGCGCGCTCGCTAATCTCCTCGTCGACCGTCATGCGGTCCGTCTCCTGCTCGTTGGCGACGAAGTGCTTGATGGTGGCGGCGACGCCCAAGCTCTGCACGCCCGAGATCATTTGCGCGGCGAGCTTGCCGGCCACGAGGGGTCTTCGCTGTAGCTCTCAAAGTTGCGTCCGCCGAGAGGGTGGCGGTGCAGGCACACGGTCGGGGCGAGCAGGCAGCTGGCGCCCTTGGAGCGGGCTTCCTCGGCCAGGGCGCGGCCGACGGAGCGGGCAATGTCCGTGTCGAAGGTGGCTGCGATGCTGGAGGCCGCGGGGAAGCAGGCCGCGCGGGTGCTGCCCTCGAAGTCTACGCCGCGAACGCCATTGGGTCCGTCGGTGGTCTAGCGGAGCTGTGTTAGAGCGATTCTCAAAACCGCGCATCCATGGCAGATAACCCAAGCATTGGGGTTTATAAGCTGTTCATGCTTACCTTGATAGAGGGCACGCCCTTTTCAGGGATGGCTTGCGTTTCCCAAAAGTTCCACCAGAGAGAAGAGAGATCTAGGCAAGCACTGTTAGCTTCACATGCGATTCTGTCTTTGTGACAAGGAAAGATTGATTCACCTTCTCCTCAAGGGTGAGCGATTTCAAAATCGCCTCAAGGTCTACTGCTGGAGCCATTGTTTTCGGTCGTGAATTAATTCCAAGCTGTTGTCCAGGCTCTTCCACGTATCCCTCAAAAAGTTTTGTAAGTTCTCCACGATGGCGATGGTCGGCCATTTTATTCAAGTCTGACGCGAGCACTGCCAGCAGCTCTCATAGGACCCCACCTAGGCCCCACGGGCCCCGGAAGGCGGGGACGTTCTTGGGGGTTTTCGCTTCCAGTGCCAAGGGTCTAGCGCCGTCTTCCGGAACAGAAGGATGCTATAGGGAGCGACAACCAGATGCTCGGGGAGGAGAAGGTGGGGTAGGATGGGCTAGCTTGCTGGGTGGCCACCCCGAGCCCCTAGAAAGAATAGTTGCACCTAGAAATGACGCCACGCAAAAAGACTTCGAGTCGTGATATGGGGCCTGCGAGGCCTCAACCCCATCGCACCTTCTCCACGAACTACCGATTAGCCGTTGTTTTTCCTGTAGAAAGTTCGCCGAAATCTCCGAGGATTTCACAGAGAGACGCCGCTTCTTTAGTTTCTTTTCTTAGAATTCGGCCTTTGCACATGAAGAATGTGGGGGAGCGGACAAGGGCGGAACAAGTCACTAGTACAGTTGATTTGCCGGAGACGTCTCCGCGACGGTTGCGGGCACAAAGCGTGTCAACCCTTCCGAACCAGACACACCGCGGAGCCGCGACATGCTGCTCCCCAGACGCAGAGAGGTCGACCTGATGAAGATGATGCTAGTATATAGGCATTTTCCCCCTCCCCGCGTCCATGTCTCAACCTTGATGGCACGCCGTTGCCGTTGGACTTGACTCGCCGTGTCAATCAGTACCCTACCCTACCTCTCAAACGCCCCTCCCCCAGCAACAGAAAGGATGCCTGCGCCGTACTCTGGACAGTGCCTCTGCGGAGGCGTTGCCCTCACAGTCAAGTCTGAGCCCGTCACGGTTCTGTCGTGCTTCTGTGTCCACTGCAGCAAGGGCGCCGGAGGCTGCAACCAGTTGGTACGTAGTGTGCAATATTTCTCCCCTATCTAGCTCCTGTGTCGTCTCCGGTTATGATTTGAACCCAGCGCTTACAGCCTCGTAGATTGCCAAGTTTGCAACCAAGGACGTCGAGATCCAGGCAGAGCCCGGCCAGATTTCGGAATACACGTTTACCGACACATCAAGCGGCTCGCCCAAGGAGAAGGCATTCTGCAAGACCTGTGGTGTTCCCCTCTGACCGTGCCCGGCTCGGCCAAGGGCGTCAACCTGCTCATCCGCACAAGTCTCTTGGGTAGTGGGTAAGTTTTCCCGTCAAGAAACACGACTACAGTTGAATTTCATTATTTGTATTGCTTCTTTCTATAAACCACGGTGGCGGGTTCGTAGAGAAAATCCACGCCGGAACCGAGAATATGTATTGGAAAGGACTAACACGGCGCCTGGTGCAGACTCGCCGAACTCAAACCCAAGTCGGAAATCTTCGTCAAGAACCGTCCAGAGTGGGTAGCTTCGGTGGATGGGGTTGCCCAGTTTGAGGAAATGCGGAAGTAGAAGGGACAAGAGCATTGAAGGGTAAACGGCATTTGTAACCTTAACTTTTTTCTTTGGTCTAATTCCACAGAGTTAGCTCAGGCGGGAATTAATACACATTTCCACCATGAAATTTTCTCCCACGCTCCGCCAGGTCCTTTTCACACTCAGCTCGGATTGATATACTGGTCTGGTCCATGTCTGTCCCTGTTCTCGGACCACCCTCTTGTCGAACCCGGGTTCCCTTCTCCTCCCAAGCTCCAGCTCCCGTGCACGATTCCTGCCTATTCCCTCCAACGACGAGTTCGACAGCTAGCTTCCGCCAGCCCCCGACGTTGCGAGTGCTTCCGCGACTCCCCGACACACCCTCCTCTTAGCGCGGAACAAATCCCCACTCCACCCCCTTTTCCCTCGGAAGCACAAGCTCGGAAGTCGGAGCTCTCGGATGAAAAATATAGCACAAAGCAAATTACCAAGCAACGTCCACCGGGTGTAACGCATAAGCTTGCTTCCACGCCCACTTTTCTTTCTCTTCCGCTCCTCTTCCGCCGCGCATCCGAATTGCAGCGCCGCTCCATCACCTCGCTCTCCCGCTTTACTCCCGCTCCATCGATCATTTCGGATACAGGAAGCATTATCCACTCAGGACTGATACCACCCGACTGCAGCCGTAAGGCAAACGCTTGGCCTCCGCCCTTTTTCCTTACTGCTTTCAGCTCTCTCCCGGTATTCCTCGACATGCCGGATTCCACCCAATCCCCGATCCGAGAGCCCCGGCCCAAACGGCAGAAGATTGATATTGCCTGTGACACCTGCCGGGCTCGCAAAGTCAAGTGCAACGGGGTTCGACCAGGTAAGCCTTTTCCAAGATCCGCCACTTGCTTCCAGCTGCTCTTACTGCACCCATCCTCCGTCTTCTTCGACGACATGGTGCTCGGTATAGCTGTTATCCCACCAGTCTCGTTGGGTTGGCATCCCGGGATTGTGTTCCTTCAAGCCATGATCACCCGCAAAGTGGATAGTTGTGGTCTGACCCTAGTGAATAGCATGCGGGAACTGTCTGAAGCGATCCGATCTCGTCTGCCATTACAGCGAAGGCCCTCCGGATCGCTCCTCATCCAAACAGAGCCCTTCCGTGAACGGGCCCCGGTCACTTCCCAGGCGACATGACTCCCCTCACATGTCCCTCGTCACAAGTCCGAGGCCTCTTCCCGCCCCTCCCGTCCCTCCCGGCCCTCACCACCATCATACCCCTTCTGTTCACACCAAGTCCATCCCGAGCCCAATATTGCGGAGACCCGATACAAAGCCCCCACCTGGCCCGTCTCCGGCTTCCATAGCGGGTGATAGTACCGCCGCTTCCGTGCCTAGCTCAGCTGCCCAGCCGAGCCCTTCCGTCATCGACTCCATGACAATCGTCCTGGAGGACGGAGAGAGCACGCAGCAGTACTTTGGAAGTAGCAGCGCTGGCTCGTTCACGCGGCAGATCAAGGCCGCCATTGACGCGCGACTAGGCGTGCCAACCCAGCAGCCGCCGCCAAGGAGCAGCAGCCTCCTATCACAAGGAGCGGGCTATGATGTCCCCGATGCGAAGGGGTCGGATGGACCACTGGACTACGTGCTTCCTCCACGCCGGCAGGCTGATCATCTCACTGGCGTGTACTGGTTCTACGTAGACCCGCTGTATCCCTTCTTGGACAAGGCGAAATGGGATCGTGCCTACGAAGGTCTCTTCACTGGCGGTCCTATTGACGTCAATGAGCGCATCTTTGTCACGACCCTAAACGTCATCTTCGCCTTGGCCACGCAGTTGGTCGAGTCTCTCCACCCGGAACAGCGGGATGACTCGAGCAACATATACTTCCGACGGGCCCAGGACCTGCTGCGGCTTAACCTCTGGGACGCGGGCTCTTTTGAGGTGGTGCAATGCCTGCTCTTGATGAGCCAGTACCTCCAGAGCACCAATAACCCCCATCAGACGTGGATGGTTGTTGGGTCCGCGATTAGAACGGCGCAAAGCCTGGGCTTGCACCTTCCCGAAACGACTGCTGATATGACGGACCTCGAGCAGAGGGAGATGCTGAGACGGATATGGTACGGCTGTGTGTTGATGGATAGGTAAGTTTGTCCCGTGTAAAAGGAGCCGTTAAACCAAAGGTGTACTGTACTAATCATGGCTTAGAATGGTATCCGTTACTCATGGCCGCCCAGCAATGATTTCGGAGCGTCTGGCCTCGGATGTACCTCTTCCTCTCTACTCGCACAACGCGGTTTCCCACAACGGCGCCGACCGGGGAACTCGGGCGACTTTTCCAAAATTGCCTTCTTCACCAAATCCGTCGAGCTCTACGAGATCATCAACTCCATCACCCAAGCCTTCTACTCGGACCATCACGCGCCTCGATCGCGGACAGCCAGTCGCAAGTCTTCCAAGCAAGACATGCACCAGGGAACCAGCACCCCATCGCATGATAGCATGGAAGAGGATCTGGGCACGGTGATGAAATTGGACGAGGCTCTCACCCAATGGGAACACACGCTCCCGGATCACATTCGGATCAAGGTGATCAAGGAATCTGATAGCGAAATTTTCATGCGCCAAGCTGTGATTCTACGCATACGGTAAGACTGCCGCTTGGAGAGAGGAAGAAAAAGAAAAATCTCTGTTAGCATCCCAAGATGAACTAACTAACATTTCCTCCAGATCTCTGCAAGCCCGCCTGCTCCTCTTACGGCCCACCCTCTCCCGTTTCTGCCTACAGCCTGCCCCTTCCACCTCCTCCCGCGGCTGCGACAACCTGCGCAACCGCGTGGTCAAGGAATGCGCCTCGTTTTGCGTCGCCACCGCCCAGCGCCTCCTATCCCTCATGACGCAGTACCAGACCGACGACGGCACCGTCGGCCTCCTCCCCGCCTGGTGGTACCGCGTCTACTACATTTACTCGGCCGCCACCATCCTGATCGCCACCAAGCTCAGGCCGGATTTCTTCCCCGGCCGAGATTCGCCGCTCCTGGGACGAAGCCATGGCCTGTCTGCACGCTCACGAGAAATTCGGCCAGTCTGCCCGGCGGTGCATCGCGGCGCTGACGATCCTGTCCTCGAAAATTATGCAGGAGGCCGCAGCTGCGGGAGCGGGGCCGGTCGAGGGCGCGGGCGTCAACGGGGGCCGATGGATGCGGAGGGTGCTGGCGTGGCGGCGGATGCCGAATTGCAGGCGGCGCAGCAGCAAATGTTTGAGGAGTTTGGGGAATACCCGAATATGAATCTTGGCGGGCTGTCGTTTGACGCGGGGATTTGTCGTTTTTAAATGTTCATGCCTGGGAATTATTGAACCATCAAGCGCGAGGGTTTAGCTAGTGTATGTAATATTAGGATTGTATTTTATGAGATGACCGGGCGGGTAGGGTATAATATGCTTGATGGGAATTATCATGACACATATAGCGTGAGGTGTTTCGGCCTCGGGTCCTTTTTGCCTTCTTTTTTCCATGGCGTGTGAGATACGCGTGCAAAACTTGTGGCGAATTGATAATGCACGAGATAGTGACTGTACATGTAGTGATAGACAGGTGCGTCGAGAGCGATTGTCAATCTCATCCAATTGATGCCGTCATAGATGCGTGAATGGGTAGCGGAACAGAGTCAATGGTTCAAGCATGGAGCTATGGGTAAGGGTATACGGTGAATGGAACAATTGTAATTCATAAAACTTTTCAAGTTGTCGTATCTATTCATCTATGGTGTATCGTAGCAAAAATATATATCCCTTAAAACGCCATCTTGTTCTTGGTGCTGCCAAGCTCGCTTATCCTGACCTCGACAACATCACCGTCGTTGAGGTACTTGGGCTCCTTCATGCCCATGGCGACACCAGAGGAGTGCCGGTGAGGATAATGGTACCAGCCTGAAGGGTGGTACCCTGGGAAACGAAGCTGACAATCTCCTTGACGCCGAAGAGGAGGTCACCGGTGGTGCTGTTCTGCCTCTCCTCGCCGTTGACAAAGGTCTGGAGGAGGAGGTCGCTGGCGTCGCCGACGAGGGCGGGGAGACAATCATGGGGGAGAGGGGGCGAACTTGTCAAAGCCCTTGGAGAAGCACCACTGGGGAACGCCGCCAGCCTTGGCGGGGTCGCGCTGCCACGCACGGGCGGAGACGTCGTTGGACGCGAGGTAGCCGAGGACGTGGTCCAGGGCGTTCTCCTTGGTGATGTCCTTGCCGGTCTTGCCGATGACGACGGCGAGCTCGCCCTCGTAGTCAACGGTGCCGTCCTGGGCAATTTTGGGGATGGGGATGTCCTCCTTGAAGCCCGCAACGCAGGCCGAGGGCTTGATGAAGACGGAGGGGAACGGGGAGGCTTCCTTCCGCCCTCCTGGACTGTTGTGGTGTTACGTGGTTAGCAAAAAAAAGAAAAGAGACTTGCTGTTGCGCGTAAAGGGTGTGTGTGTGTGTGTGTGTGTGTCACTTACTGTGCTTGATGTAGTTGAGGCCGATGCACTTGACGATGGGCACCTCGGAGGGCTTGAGGATATCCTTCAGCTCCTTGACGTGGACCTTGGCACCCTGCTGGGTGGCGGTGGTGGGGTCCTGGCCGGCATACTCGACGGCGTAGAGCTCGCCCTTCTCCAGGAGCTCGTTGAGCTGGTCGTACTTGTCGATGCAAGGCTCGCCAAACGTCTCCTTGCCGTTGTCATCGACAAACCTGATAAGACGGGACCAAGCCATTGTGAATGTGGAGGGGCGGGTGTGCAGTGATGCGGATGAAGAAAACGGGTATAGTCTGCGGCGGAGAGGAAGATGGTATGATGTCTGAGGGAATCCTGTGGATTGTGTAGGGAAAGGGCGTATAAGTCGTACGGCACTCTTTCCGAAAATGCTCATGATATAACAGAAGAATGTTCGGAGACCCCTGCCTGTCCGAGCAAATGGACGTCAAGTTATACAAGATTGATTTTCTTTTTGCAGCACCTGGTTGGCGACCCGCCTAATCCCCTTTCCTCCCCTTTGCCGTTGCCGGCACCCGCGCGAAGGAAGGTTTGTTCCATTCCTTCAGGGCAGCGTGGGCGCTAGTTGCGCAATTTTACCCAGTTCCGAGGGAGTGGCGTTGGCGTCTTCCGAGGGTTGTTCCGAGCCCTTGTGAAGAGAACTTGCGGGGGCCGGAACCCGGAAGAGCCACGGAGGGGCCGCGGCGGCAACAGCACAGCAGTTCTGACCCTCCCCGCAAAAAGAATTCAATGTTGGCCCACTTTGTCCAGCAGAAGATAACGAACGAGAGTCTTTCCAAGGAATGGAAACTGGAAGCCCCTGCCTTGCTTTTCTCGGCCTGTTCTCGCTTTTTCGCCCCCTGCGGAGAAGAAAAGGCCGAGGCCGTCTTACGATCCGCTCTGCTGCGATTGCTGGTCCCCACCCTGGATGCAGCGGACGCTTATAGAATATCCGGGGCCCCAGACATCTTCTTTGAGCCCCCAAACCCGGAACCAGAGGAAAACAACGCACAAGACACAAGATACCCCATCCCCTTCTCCGTCTCCAAAAGGAACAATATCACCTGCTCTGCTTCCCAAGGCACCTTTTCTTGGGATTTTGAAAACAAATAGCCTCATCATCAACATACCACATACGTTTTTGAAAGGGGAATTATTCAAAACATCAGAGAGATCACCATGATTGACAACGGAGCGAACGCGAGGGTGGCGGAGACTAACGGCGTCAACGGCCACAGCCAGACCAACGGAACAAACGGCCATGTCGTACCCGTCGCCCAAAAGGTGAACGGCGAGGTCAAGGCTGACGGCACCGCGATGGACGGCGAGGTTCTCGCACAGCAGCACCTCGAGCCCCTCTGGCTAAAGATGGATGCCATGGTGCCCCCTACCCCCAACCCTGTCGCCGCTCCTCACATCTGGAAATACCAGGAGACCCTGCCTTACCTTCTTGAGGCTGGCCGCGTTGTTCCCGCGGAGGCGGCGGAGCGACGAGTGCTCATGCTCGTTAACCCTAAGATGGGCAAGTACCCAAGTACCTTGCATGACGACATCCGTCTTCACGAGATCATGTCAACGAGGCAAGAAGGTGCGTGACGCTAACTCCTAGTTTTCAGAGTCTCCCTACACCACCGACTCCATCTATGGTGGCCTCCAGCTCGTCAACCCCGGCGAGACTGCGCCTGCCCACCGCCACATCGCCTTCGCTATCCGCTTCATCATCGATGGAGAAGGCTTCACTGCTGTGGAGGGTAAGAAGATTCCCCTCAAGAGGGGCGATGTTATTGTTACTCCCACCTGGCACTGGCACGACCACGGCAATGAGAGCGACAAGCCCGTCATTTGGCTCGATGCCCTCAACCTGCCTTTGTTCAGGTTCGCCCGCGTGCATATCGCCGAGGGTTACGAGGAGAGCAGGTATCCCAGCACGTAAGTATCACCAATGGAAAATCTGGCCCCCGACCAATGTTTTGGTTTGCGCATTCATTGCTAACAAAACTCGCTTCTTAGTCTATCCACCCCCTGCGAGTGGAGCCACCCCTGGGAGCACGTCGAGGCATCCCTTCTCGCCCAGGAAGGTCCCCATACTATTCACCACTACACCACCAAGGGCGACCAGCCCCTCTCCACCACTCTCGGCGTGCAGGCCGAACGCATCGAAGCCGGCCACATCACGCAGGAGTCTCGCGACGTAGCGTCCTTCCTCGTCCACTGCTATACCGGCGACGGCCTTACCATCGTCGAGCCTCCCAACGGCCCCAAGAAGGTCATCGAGTGGACGACGAGGGACACCTTCGTCATCCCCGCCTACTCCAAGGTCACCCATGTCAACAAGGGAACGGAACCTGCCTACCTTGTGCTTGTGCATGACAAGCCTCTGCTCAAGAACCTCGGACTGAACAAGCCCGACTTTGTGTAAATATTTAATTACTTGACGTGTGTAATGATCATAGCGACGATGAATTTTTAGTATAGAGTAAAGTAAATGCATATCGATTTTTTCCTTCTTATTCCACATTGGTTGACATTGTGCCACCCACAGTCATGGGGCTTGTGATCGAATGCTTTGCTTCTGTTGGTGGTGCACGCAAGGTCAGGTCCCTTGCATCGCCTCTGCTTGGTGTGGGAGGGAGACAGTGGGGGTGGCGATGAGGGCGCAACTGGAAATCGTAGCGGTGTTACTAGTGTCAAGGAAACATAGGAAAGATCAATCCGATATGGCTTGTCTTGAGGCGAAGTTGTGTGAAGAGATCTTGGGGCCAACCCTGTCTGTCAACAGACAGTCATTGATGTGGTAATTCCATATTGATACCGGAGTTTACAATGCGGGAAGAGGGGAAGAAGAAAAAGAGGATGGCTTGGCTATGCGAGTCACATTCGCCTTTATCATGTCCCATCTGGGTTAAGAAGAACACATATCGAAGACACCAACGATTGAATTGACCCATCTTCGGCGACCTCAGCGAGCCCTGTGCGAGAAAGCGGAGCAAGACTGTGACGCCAGCAGTTCGACGTGCAGGATCACCGTACCGTACCATCCCCACCCCAGACCTTCCTAGACTCTCTCAGGAGCAGCGAGCTTATCTGGACCTCTAGCGATGTGGAAGAAGTTGTTGAAATCGAGAATTGTCGAGCAGGGGGTCAATACACATTGATTCCGGCAGAGACTAAGCGGCCGTGATAGGCTCAAAGCCGTCAATTAAAGATCAAGGAGGCTTTTTCCAAGTGTTCTTGGCAGGGCTTTGCATTCCCCATCCGATCCGTCAGGTTATGCCTCCCATGTCCTGCATCTCCGGTAACCAGAGGATGTGGTGAGACTCCGACTTCGACGGAAACAGCCCGTGATTGGGGAGGCAATGAGGATACCCCCAGTGCAAGCACTTAGGATTGTTTCTTAGAGACAGTGAGGTATTACGGCACAGGCAGTGAGGGGATTTGTCGATTTTTCTTTTTCAACAGGCTACTGCAAGATAAGACACCCACGATACCATTTTGGCTTCGTTCTAGTGAGTGTTCCGCGGCCAAATTCCGCCTAGATCGATGCTCGCTCATGCAGCTCAGCCCCAGCCAGCCCGGTCCCATGCTTGGATAGGCCGGTGGGAATAGGTCACGACATGTATACTTCCATATCGGCGCCTCCCTCTCCATCGTACACTGGGGAGAGCACGATCGCACAGGCGTGCAAGCCCATATGCAAGCTTCTTAGGAACGGCGACGAGTATCTAGAAATCCACGGAGATTCCATTTTCCTTCCCCGCGGAGAAAGCTACGAGAAAGCAGGGACGCTAGAAATAGCGCAGCGGTCCGTCTCGAGGCGCAGCGGCCACACTTCACGACACCAGACCCTTGTCTGTCGCGTTTGAGACAAATGCTCAGCGCCAGATTCTGCGGTGAACAGATACCTTGGAGGGGAAAAAGAACCCCGCACAGAACTGAATCGTGATCAAGTCTTTGGTTCCCCGCCACCGCCCCCTTGCCCCTGCTCCCACATTCCGGTGAGATACTGTGTGTTCTGTAGCATGGCGCTGGCTGCCTACGCCCTGGCACCCTGAGGGTGAGCTCTACGTTGAGTTCATGATTGATTTCTGCCCGTGAACGATGAGATGCCATGACTCCTCCCTCACACCTTTTTATTGGATGCGCTGCCCCTTCCAACCCATCCACGGGGAGGACGCTCTACGCCAGACTCGTGCTTGAATTTGCGACATGAGCATACATTCCCATTCGAATCGAACAAAGGCAGATTCTCAGCTCTTGGTGGTAGAGTCGCTGAAAAATGTCTACGGTTCATCAACAAACACCTAGCAGTTTAACGCGCTCACAGATTGCGCCGCCCATTTCGCCTCCCATGTACAGCACCCGCCTCAACAGTCGCTCAATGCGACTGATCAAGCTTTGCCGGTACTCATCAGCAACCCAAACGAGATCCATCTGGAGCTTATTGAATTTGCCATTGCCTCTGCGCCGGCATATTTGGCGCTCTCTTACACCTGGGGCCCGTCGAGCGCGAACGTGGGTAATGTTGATCGGGATTGTGTATTTATAGGGGCATCCCTTGGGCGGTGTCCGCGAATCTCTTCAGCGCACTCGTGCATCTACGTGAAACGTTTTCCAGCGCGTATTTGTGGATTGACGCTCTCTGCATCAATCAAGACGATGTAATTGAGCGCCAGGCGCAGGTCCCAATTATGGACAAGATCTACCGAAAGGCAGACCAGGTCATCATATGGCTGGGTCCGTCGACAGATACAAGCGAAGAAGTACTGCGGCTCGTGAGACAAGTTGCGAACCTGGGTAGTAAGGTTATTGAACAGTTCGGTGCTGACTTGCACGCCGACTGCCTCTGCCATCACCAGCTCCCGCACCCTACAGCAGACATATGGCACAGGTATCTTGAATTCTATGACCAGAGGTGGTTCCACCGCTCCTGGATCATCCAGGAGGCCGTTCTCGCCCAGCCCGGTCGTAGCATAGTCCACTGGGGCCCCTGGACCATGCCGTGGTCCGAAGTGCTTGCCGGGTCGCAGATCTTCCTCCCCGACCGACTGCGCAAGGCCATCTTCTCCCGCACCGATCCTCACACCCTCCACAGCTCTCCGGTGGGGCGAAACGCCCTGCGGATCGGCCTGATCGCGGCCGCCTGTGACCCCGACGCGCAGATACAAACCCCCATCGTCGACCTATCCACCGGCCTGAGGGGCTGCACTCCGCCGAACACATCCTGCTCCACCTGATGCGCATGGCCCGGGACTTCCACTGCACCGATCCCAGGGATAGGGTCTACTCGCTCCTAGGGCTGGTCAACTACGTATGCGAGAGGAAAGGGCTAGCGCCATCTCACATCAAGGCGAATTACAGCCCACAGTGTACGTTGGCCATGGTTCTTACACTGGTGGCCACGTCAATCATCACAAGCACCAATTACCTTGGCATCATCTCCCACGTTAGCGACCTGGCGTACCGCAAGACCAAAAGTTGCCGGGATGGGTCCCTGATTTCATCCTCTCGCCAAACTACGCCATGGGCAGGGATCCCGTATTCGATGCCTCAAATTTCCACTCCTTCGGGCAGCGCGGGTTCTCGATAAGTGGGAACTCTCTTTTGTGCATGCGACTCGCCTTGGAAGGATCCACCACTCGAGTCCGGCCAGTTGCGCTGGGCCAGCCAGCGATCTCATTGCCATCCTCAAGCTAGTCGCCGGAACCAGTCTTGACAGCAGCTCAGACCCCGTAGAAGTTCTATGGAGGACTATGATTTGGGATGTATACGGACATGGGCATACCGTTGACGAGCACCCTGCGCCAGCTTCTCTCGAAGATGCGTTCCTGACATCACTCATACCCGTACTGCAAGACGGCCCCGCCGAACAAGTAGCAGAGGCCAAAGTCATTATCACCTCTTTACTGCAACGACTTTCCAGTTCAAGGCCACTATCGACCACACGAAAACTGCATCAAGTCATATGTTACGCCTCTACGAGGACTGATCATGAGTGGTACAAGGCGCACAACGGAGCCGACTACGCACCACCCGAAGCTGACAAGTACTCCAGCTATGCCAGCGGTGTCACCTGGAGCCAGCGTTTATTTGCGTTGGATAACGGGCTCTTAGCCATGGGGCCGCAGTCTGGTGTGGCCGGTGACGAGGCCTGGATCATCTCAGGCTGCCCGTTCCCCATGATACTCCGGCCGAGCGGCCCGCAAGGCGAATATAGAGTACTGGGCCGTTCTTATATTCACGGTTTCATGCACGGGGAGGGCGCCCCCGACGACGACCATGCTTGGAGGTGGGTGTGTTTGGTGTAAGATTCGAGAACGTTGTATTTTCTTTTTTTGTCGCCCTTCTTTGCTACCTGATTGTTTGTCCATACCCATTTTGTTAGAACTGCCAAGATAGCCAATGCTTTCCAGAGTTAGCCTCCCGCTACGTAATCCATAATGTAATTTTCAATAATTCCATTTGCCCCTCTCAGCCATCAAGACGGCCTAGTATACCTCGCTTTGTCGCTTACCACGGTAAACATAGATCGCATACGTCGCCCATCCCGCATACATCGATGCGAGCGTGATGAACATGGGCCACTGAAACTCTTCGGGCTTGTAGTAGACGATTGTCGAAACATACGAAAGCATTTCGAATAGATTCTGGCTGGACGCCTCCGCCGTCGAAAAGGCGCCTCGGCTCTCCTCTTCCACCTCGTCCTGCACGATGATCTGCGTGGTGAGATCCACCCCCACAGGCCGAGCCGGCTAAAGATGACCCCCACCACGAGCCCACCGGCACCGATGAGCGCCCCGATATCGGTGGTCCGCAACACCGCGTCCCAGTCGATCACGAAGCAGGCTGCACCCAGCGAAAGGGTCAGTACCTGCCAGGTGATGCTGTAAAAGCCGGTCATGACGTTTCCAAACCTCCCGATGAGCTTCGGGGTCGTCCAGGTGGCGCTCAGCTCAACGATGGTGCACACCGTGCGGGCGATGCCGACTGTGAGGGAGCTGTAGCCGATGCTGAGCAAAAAGACGATCATGCGGCCGGAGAAGGAAAGTACGGTGAGGTGGAGGAATACGTAGGCCAGAGAAGGCAAGAAGGCGCGGTGGTGCGCATAGAATTTGAGGGAGGCGAGGGGGAAGATGGTGGTGAGGAGAGATTGACGCCTTGGGGCTGTTGGGTTCGCTCCCGGTGTCCGATCTCCGATTAGAGGCTCTTCTTCATCGCTTTCACCTGACCCCGTCGAGCGAGAGGCGGCCTGTGCTTGGCGGCCTCGAGGTTTCGCCAAACCTGGCACAGAGTAGTAAGTCTACAAGAGAAGATGGGCCTTTAGTCTTGGTACACCTCGGGGTTTGTCTCGAAAGATGGGAAGAGTAGGTACTTACCTGTGCTATAAATTTGTATTCGGGGCCGACTGAAAGCAGCGTCAAGATCATGGTTGTCCATATCGCCACAATTGTCGAATAATCATCAATAGAGGCAACTACAAAAGGCCCCAGGAGCTTGCAGACGAGATCTATGCGTCGAATGCGGGCATTGAGAACTGACCACCTCAGTTAGTAGACGAGTTGATAGGTGTGGTCTTGAATAACCGCTTACTTTTCCTCACATGCTCATTTTCCTCAGTCATTACAACGATCTATAGAGAAACAAGTTGGGTTAGTGTCGAGAGAACTCTTTCATGGGGCATGGACTCTTGAGGCATGGACGAGTGTTTGATTTACCCAATCTTTGGTCACAGAGACCGAGTTCATGACCGAGCAAAGCTTTTCGACGCCTGCCAATAACACAATGATGGCAAACAGGCCGCGGGTGGAATGAGCGCCCCAGTCCCGCCAGCGCGCCAGAAGATACAATATCAAACAGGATATCGCCACAGATACGCGTTGGCCAATGATGGATGCTTGAACAACGAACAGCCGGTCGGATTTGTCTATCCATCGCCCGACGGCGGGGGCAAAGACCATGGCAAACCCGGCCCTGGCCAACGCGTACACGGACGTCGGAACGAGGGTGTGCGGGTAAATGGAGGCAAGGAAAAGGGTAGAGCCAAACTCGAAGAATCGAGAGTTCCAGGCCGAGAGGAAATGCGAGACGTAGAGACGTCTCACAGCACTCGTGGAAAGGGCATCAACCCCGTCGTCGCGGGGCCTAGGCGCGGCCGACTCCATGTCGGATGCTTCAAGTGTAGAGCTTTGCATGAAGGCAAACAAGGAAGGGTATAAGGTATGAGAAGAAAGTGTGAGTTAGCGGACCTGGTTCAAGGACGCAGGGCAGAAGCATTGAGCGAGCGTGAGGGTTGATATAAATGAGTGAATGGGGTGTTTCAGCATTGCTTTGCGCGACTTCTAGCACGCCAATCCCCAGCCCGCATTGTCGTCGGGCTCCAGGAATTGGTGCTGCGAGCGATGTTTTTAGTTGGATGCTGCGATGCTGCCGGGCGGTGTGTGATGCGGGAAGAACTTGCAAAGTCGAAAAATGGCTTGTCGCGCACGCATTGAGCTAAAAGACGATGTTTTGGCACTAATCTCTTGGCGTGCGTTCTTGTGATTGGGGGCGGAGAGGTACCTAGCAGGCAGTTTGGTTTGTTCCGCCCACAGCCTGCCGACGTTGCAGGCATCAAAGCTCTGACTTCACCTCAGACTGGCGCATCGGAACGGATCCGCGGTTCCATCGATTGATAAGGTCTTAGGTCGAGATTGTTCGAAGTATTCTTTTTCTTCATTTTTTCTTTTCCTCGCCGAGTCGAGTAGTTCAATTTCTCCATAGCCTGTCTCTCCATCCGTCACTTCAGCCCGACGCGGCACTTGTCGTTAACCCGACTGGTCCCACGGGCAGGCAACCGCCCCGCTTGGAGCTCGAGCGTGGCAGTGCCAGTGCCGCATTGTGCTAAATTCCATTGAGGCACAGATGAGCATCTCCGGGGACTCTCAGGGTATCCAGATGATGGTCACATAATCTTCCTCACATAATCGTTTCTCTAAATGAAGGCGTCGATAGCGCGAGCTGGGATGGGGCGGTGTGCCAGCACATGTCCTTGATTCGCAACGAGCTCATGATTATAGATGCGATTCCCTTCACCGAGATATGGCAGTTGACGTCCTAGGGATTTCATTGGAATAAGCCGTGCTGTTACAATTTACAACACAGTCTTGCCCAAAGCGGGGGCAATGGCTTCCACACATGCTTTCTATCCTATTGACTGAGTCGGATGTTCGGATGTTGGCGGCAACACAGCTACACTTACAGGACAAGCTAGTTTTGACTGTCATTTTCGAAGTGTCTTCACCCATCTAACTAACGGGTTTGTTGGCCTTCATCTAATGCATAAATACATGTGCGGTCACTGCCACAATCCCAGCTTAACCAACCGAGCGATGCCAAGGTAATAGACTCAGGCCCAACTTTTTACATTATACGGCCAAAGCCCGCAGGAAGGCGGGTGATTCGTTCCCTTCAACCACCTTGGCAATCGGACGCACGGAGTTCCCCCTCGAGTTCAGCCAGCGAACGTATCCCTGGGCAAGCATCAGCCACGATGCCTTCTCCGCTTTGCTAGCCCGACGGCCTTCCCACACCCAGATGTCGCGTCCGGTGTCCAGAAGGAAAACATCTGAGCCATCCAGGTCGGATCTTCCGATGGACGACCCGCTGTTGGCCAAATCAAAGGTCAGAGACCCGGACGAATCGCTGATGCGGAACAGCTTTCTGCTGGCCGCGCTAGGTGCTGACGAAGCGCTCGCCGCCCCGGACCTAAAGCCAGGGCGAGGGGCGCTGAACGAGGTTTCCGTGACATCGTCACCCCCAAAAGAGACACGACGCGCCGCGACCTGGACTCCTCTTGAGATAGGACCTCGACCGGAACGTGCTTGGCCAGGGTCATGTCGTGCACGACCTGAGCCGCCTTGGCTTTCTCCATGGGGCTGCACTTTCGGCCCTGCCACACCCAGATCTTGTCGCCGAGGTCGAGGATGAAGACGTCCGTGTCGTCGAGGCTGCGCCACGACGGGGCCACCTCGTGCACCACTGTCGAACTGACACCACCAGAGGACGCCTTGAACACGCGGAGGAGCGTGATGATGTCCTCCTTCACCTCTTCCTCAACGTGGCGGAAGCCGGTGCTGATACCGCCGGCGAGGATGGTCAATCTCGGGAATAGCCGCAAGAAATCCTCCGAGGGCTCGGCCTCGACCTCGCGGTGTTGGACGGCGACCCCGCGCAGGAACTCATCCAGCTCCACCGTCTTGTACGCGGCGGTGCCGGCCTCGTCTTGCGTGGTCTCGCTGCCGAGCCAGAAAAAGATGTCGTGGAACAGCTTCTCCGGGTCTTCCGACTGCTCCGACGCTTTCACGGTGTGCAGCACAATGTAGCTGTCTCCCGTGTGGAACTTGCCATACTTCTCTCGTGGCCAGGGGATGACCTCGAACTTCTCGATGCGCCAGACAAAGAGACCGGGGACGAAGCCTACCTTGCCGTCATTCCAGGCGGGCTCGGTAGTAGCCGAATTGTACTTGACCTGATGGTCGATATCCGAGCCAATAAGTTCGACGTTGGAGTCCTCAATGTCGTACTCTTTCAGGTGGACGAGGCCTTGGTTGGGTGCCATTTTGACGGATTTTTGGGTCTAGACGATTTAACTCTTTGTTCGTCTAACGACGGCTTCCTAGCTAATAGTATGATGATCCGAAGGGTACATGAAACAGGGACGATGGAGCCAATTCAGGGGCGATGACGACCCCTTCTCGATGAAGAGGGGAAGCGCCACGTGATCATCCACCAATTGATGTCAACGGTGTTCTCCAATTCAGGATGTGGACTCTCTCGACGACGGTTAGTGGAAGGAGCGCAGGATCGACGGCGTTCGCAAGCAGATCTCCACATTTAGACCCCTACCCGCGTGTTCTTCGGGCCAACGACGCCCCTGATGCCGCTCTGCCGTGATCTCTCCCGTTATTAGTTTACAACCCCATCTAGAGCCAGGTCATTTATTTAGGACCACATAAGCCACATTTGACTTGAAAAGAGCTTGTTCTTTTTCTTTCGCTACTATGCTTACGCCTAAATGGATATGCTGTGAAGATAGGATCTAACTATGCGGTGAATCCACTCCAACGAAAGAAATTCAAGAAATACCTAGCTTAGGGTAAGTATCGTCCACATTTAGAGTAACCACAGCCTGCCTCTCCATATAACTGCCGTCCATGGAATACCCTAGCACGTTTTCATCCATACCCGCTGGACCACTTCGGTCCGCGCCCCGTGGATGAATAGGCCGCCGCCACGCGTCCACGCCGCGGATGCTATCGAAAGCGCCCTCGGCACTCGGCCCGCTCGTTTGGTTGGGCCGCGGCGGAAGCGGCGGCGGCACCATGCTAAGCAACCTCGGATCGGCCCCGTGGAGGAGAGGCGTCGGGGGTGGCTCGAGCCCCGTCACCGCCTTGAACGTCGCGACGTTGAGGATCTGGAAGTTGACAATCTTGGAGTTGGCCATGTCCCATAGTCGTCGATCCGACGTGTCCTCTGCGATTTCGTGAGCAATGGTGCCTCCGGCACCGATTCCGAGGATCTTGGGTTCGTCGGGTTTGAGGTGCACGTAGACGATTTGTTCTTGGTATTTATCGAGCGAGTCTGTGTCCGTCCGTAGATGAACGATCAGAATCAATTTGAAATCCCTAGGCTGGGGAAGGGCGGGTTCGAAGGGAAGGGGTGAAGTGGGAATCTTACCAGTATCCTCCAGTAGAAGCCCTTTGTATGTCACGGCAATGCGCTCGACGTCGATGGACGTTCTTTTGAAGACTTCCTGCTTGATTGTGAGCGCAGTCAAGCCTGCGTACGTGGACAGCCCGAGGCCAAAGTTCTGGCCTAGGCCCCTGACATAGATCTGCACGCCTCCACCGCGAAGCTTCAACACCATCAACACCTCGGCATCCTATTGACATGTTAATGAACAGCAAGAACAAGACGAGCCGTTGGGGAATCCCACCTGGCCAATATTGTAATCGGCTATAGTTCGCTCTAAACACACATTTTCACGTTAGCACCAAACCACTTTCTCATCGTGCCTCGGAGAATAATTCCCCATGTGCGGTGCTTACCATCCTCTAGCTGCCACCTCTTGAAGATCAGTCGCATCATCTTTGGCTCGAGGCCTTCCTTATCCTGGATACGCCCCTTGATAACACTAATCGTGTCGGAACGCTCAACAAACACGGAAATGACCTTGCCCGTCAAAGACTTGACCTTGACGCTATACCCACGCGCCACGAGCTCAAGCATGGGGACCGAGTATGGGTTCCGGCCCGTGCCTACGGCAAAAACCTTTTCCAATGGACTGGCCTCCCCGCCCCTGCCTCCGACCCCGCGACCAAAGATTTTGACGCCCGCGCCGTGGGTGGGCTCGAGCTCTTGGCAAAAGTCGCCGATGGTGGCGTCGTCGGCGACGGCGTATATCTTGGCCCGATTGTAAGATCCTTCAGGAGGTGGTTGGTAGGAGACGAGGCCGCAAAGACGAATCGACGCGTTTCCTGGCCAATAGGGCATCTACCGCCTAGTTAATACGTATGATCTTGGCCTTTGCATGAGGGTTACAGTGAACAAAGAAATATACTAACAAGCACGAAGTCGAGCTCCGCAATAACAACCCTCCAGAGATGCTCCGTCCCAATCGGAGTATCAGGTCGTTGCGCCCGAGCGTGCATCTTGATTTCATCCCAGCTCCGCGCGGGGCCAGGAGATCGGGAAGGTTCTCTGCAGCAGAGTAGATGTATAGAAATTGATCCGGCGCGTCGAGTTCCTCCGCAGAGCCACGACAATATCTTGCACATCATCCTTGGTGTAAAACTTGGCAAACGTGTGAGGACCGAGCCGTCGTATGGGAATCTAACGAGAAAAGTACGTACCTTGAATCCTGTCGGATCGCGCGAGTCCATCCTCCTCACGTTCAGCAACATCTCCTGACCAAGGTTGCTGTGCACCTCGAGATGGAGAATCTCGGGGGATTCGGCGTTTGCGGGCTGCGCCAGAAGTAGGTCCTTGATGGTCTTTTTCCTTTGCCCGAGCGTTTTGCTCAACTCCTTGACATGGATCACGGCATTTTCATCCAGTCCCAGTTCCCGCGGGGTCTTGAAGACGTCGTATCGTATAGCTTCGGGGTTCTGAGTTTGTTCTGCTGGCGGTTCGTCTGTGCCCGGCAGGGGAAGAATCACCTTTTCGACATTTGCAGCATGCATGTTCCTGATATTCATTCGGGGGATGATTTGGAGCTGGATACCTCCGATCGAGTCTTTGCCCGTCATTTGCCATTCGACCGTCCCGCCTAGGTTTGGTGGTGGCAGGTCGGGAATGGATAGCGGGGATCAGGCGGGCCGTAATTTCCTTGGTCCGTTATGCCCTCGTCGCTTGGGGGTTGAACAGAGGATGCGGTGGCAACAAACTGCTTCATTAGACCGGGCACCACGGCGAGTCCATGAAGCTGCTCTTGTTCCGGGATAACAACATAATCTTGCTTCCAGTCATCCGGCCCCGCCTTCCCTTTGTGCCCGCTATCAAACATGGAAGCGCCTGATATAGCATTGATGCCACCGAGGTACGGTCGGACGGCGTAGTTGGCGCTAGGCATGGTGTCGAACGCAAAGCACATGGCCTCCACATCTTCACCCCGCGGATAAAATAGCATGATTAGCTTCGTCTGCCGCGGATAGCATAGGGCGAAGGCATTCACTCACCGTGCATCGCTACAAAAACCCCGCCCTTGGCGACCATAGAAACAGGCAAATCACCGCTAAAGGACCTCACGTCATAAATAGGCAGAGTCCCGAGACCCTGCGGTATATCATAATGCAGTCCGTCTTCTGGCACCCTCGGCGTCCTCAAGAGAGAAACCTGGCCATCGTGCACACCGCGCTGCCCAAAGGTAACGGCGTACGACGGAACCTCTTGCGAGCCTCGGGCCATGGCGTTCTTCCGGAGATGCACCTCGACCGGGTTCGGGAAGGCTTTACTGAAAAACGAGGCTATGGTTTGATCGCGGTTGATCTTGTAGCCAAAGATGGGGTCATAGCTAGCGTGCCCGGATGTGACCCTAGCCTCGGCTGTCACGATATCAACCCAGCTAGAGGTCAGGGCGTACTGCTCGCCTGGGAATTTGATATAATCAAATCCCGGGAGTGCATCTAGCGGCGGTCAGCACTCAGTAACACGAGGTCATTGCGGTCACTGAGAGACCAGCAGGAGAGCGGCGGTGGCAAGCCATACCTGATTCCGATTCTTGAATAACGGCAGCAAGTCCCTCAACTAGTGTGTCCGCGCGGAGCTGCAAGTCCGTGGAGAACTGCCTGGAACCTTTGGTATGTGCTGATAACTTCCGCGTAAGGCCGCTGACGCGGACGAAAACCATAATCGGCTGTTCGTCCTCGGGGACGGGCTTCGGGCGGCTCCTTACCGGGACTGTGGGAGCCCAAGGGTCTACCTGTTTCGGGTCCTGGTGCCATCCACCCTTAACTACAGAGCTCTAAGAAAAACTACAATAACAGGGTGAGGTGCATTACTTACCGTGGGTGAGTTCCGTCGCCTAACCAGCGAGGAAGCCGTCGCATTTGGCGGGAGTGCTGTCGGTTTCCGTGGGATGACTTCTTTGATGGCTTGTTCGACAAGCATATAGATCTGATTCCTATTATTAGGGTACCGGCAAATGCTTCGATGATGAGCATTTACGGGAAACACCATTTCGTTTGGCAAGTTCATCCGGGCAGAATACTCGGGCACCACCTAGGCCGGCAAGTCAGGCTTTTAGCAAACAACTAAACAGGGAGACGAAAACAGGAAAGTAGTATCCCCTACCAGGGTGGTGAGCGGCCGCTCTATCTCCATTTCGATAAAGGACATGATTTTCAGCGCGGCCGAGCGGGCTACAAACGCGCTCGAGATGTTGGCAAGGATTTCCGAGCCGATCTTGAGACTGTCGATCAAATCGGTTCGCAGCGCCTGGCCGACAAAGGCAACGTTGACAATATTGGCCACCGTCAATGCCCAAGGCACCAGTTCGGAGCCTTGATGCGGCGTGCCCATGAAGATGATGCTGACGGTAGAGGTCAAGATGTTTCCGTAAAAGACTGGTGCTTCGCCAGCTAAGACCAGAGCCTGATACGCTTCCGCGGTCGCATTAGTGGATCAATTTCCATCGAGCAGGATGATGATGGGGAACGCAACCTTTTTCACGACGATGCCTCCAAGACTGTGTGCCACAAACAGGAGCGGCCGGTTCTTGGCCTATCCAAAAGAGTTAGCCAGGGAACGAGTCGGGGCGCGGTAAAGGGTGAAGGTGGTACCTCTTCAGAGCTTCTCATAAGCCTCAGCCGGTTTAGCAAGTCCTGGGCAAAATTATCAATGCCCGCCTTAGACCGACTAAACGCCAAGCTCGAGTCGTAGCCATATGTCATGACCCGGGCTCTTGGCAAGGTCAGTGGGAGAAAGTCTTCCAACCAGAGTTTGCCTGAAGTCGGGTCGCGCCAAGTCTTCCGGGCTGTCCCGTTCAATCCATGAACAGCAACAATGCTAATAGTAATTTCTGAGTCAGCGCTGCTTCGGTCTTGGATTGTGATTTTTGATTCTCTTTGTAGGAGGAGTGGAAATAGACCAAGGGAATGCATCATACTCGACTTCGGCTCCATCATCACGTCGGACTACCTCTGGCGGAGGGTGGAGAAGGAATAGGCCATGAGCCTCAGGTTCATAATGATGCGGTGTCCCCTTCTTTGGGGAAAAGATGGAGCCAAGAGCCGGCTTTAGGGAGATGCGCGACGGCTGTCTTGGCGGAAGTGGCGGCGGTGGAACTTCACTTAGACCGGGCGGCAACGGGTTCGGCGGGGCTTGTCCATGCTCGTCCATCCCGCGAGGGCCCCGGAAAAACCTACTCAACCTGTTCAATTTTGCCATGCGCCTTTAACGCTCTCCGGAGTCTTGGCTAGTGTAGTGTGCCTTCTTGTGAAGAAAGGGTGAGAGAGACGGCTTTTTGACGAAAAAGGGGCTGGGGCTGCTGCGGCTGAAGGGGGCCGCAACGCATCAGCGTTTCGTTTCTGGTATCGCCACCACACAAGCTGGAACTCGCAGGCGGACAATGCGGTATAGCCGACAATGAACCGTCACTGGGGAGTTCGAACGCTGCATGGCTCTGAGCCTGCCTGAACGGGAGGGAAACATCAATAATGGTGTCAATAAATTACATCCAGCAATGATAGATCACCTACCGCCGCTAGTACCATTGAAGGTCGACAGAGTCCGGGTATAGACATCTAAGCTAACCAGATTCGGGAAAGCTCTGGAACAAACGAAGCTTCATTGCAGACCACGCAGTGTAACACCAGGACACGACCAGGATATCGACTCAAACCCCAAAGCCGTAGAAAGACCCGACAGAGGACTTGGTACGTCGGTGGTCAATTCTTCAAAAAACAAATCCCTTGGTCCCAGAGAAGATTCATGCTCGACAATGGTGAGCGTTTAAATCCCACAAACTGCCAAAGCTGCATCGGATCCCTAGCGGGTAAACAACCAAAGCCATTGAGACATGGCAAAGAAATGAGCCTCTTTACCAGCCCAACCAGCAACTGCCGCAGAAATTCGTATCATACAGTCTTCAGTCTTGCATTTGTCTATCTTAACCACCTTAGCCTTTTTAATCGCCCCGATAACAGCATGGCCACGCGTTCGAAATTTAGCGATCCTTGTCTGGTATGCAAGCTTGGCGTGCACTTGTAAGAGGTCTTTCACACATAGTATGTTGAGCTTCAATTGCCACAGCCAAAGTAATACCGGGTCTCGAAGGGGATGTTGAAGTGTTTTGGTCCGTTACCTGGCGGGAGGTCACGTCGAAGCAGAAATGGTGTGCAAAGGATAGCGTAAAAGATCAAGTGACTTCGGCCCTTGGTCTTCTCCCGCGTATCACTGAGTTTGATTACCATGAAAAGGATGTTGAGTGTTGTTCATGGCGTAAACTGGCCTGCTACTCTACATGGAGGATTCTGCCTATATCATTAGCCGTGTGGCTAGTACTGTGGCGGGCGGGGTGTTGCGCTGGCGGAAATTGATGCCCGGTCCGGACCGGGTCTCGATAAATCCTGCGGACTTTTCGATGTAGGTTCCGCCATGTTTCAATGTTTCATCGTAGTCATCCTCCACATCCTCCACATCCTCCCCATCCACCCTCAACAACACATATATCAGCAAGATCACATTGCACTCGACTGGCTCGCTCTTTAACCATTATGGCCTACTCTCTTGCTCAAACGAATGCAGCGGTGGCGGGAAGGTTCCTACGGCTCGTGCGTGCGCCTGCGGATTTCCGCCCAAGTAGATTTTACCGCATCTTGAAGAAGTCGCCTCCATTTCGTTGCCACGGGAAGGGGAACCTAAACAAATTTGGTTCTCAAGAACACGGTGTGGAGATGGCAGGATCCCCTCTCCCCGTGCTCTTGTCTCATTCGACGAGTACGATGCATAGGTCTCCTGGCATGAGGACACAGTGTAGTATTAGATGGCATCGAACATTGAAATTCCAAGACGGTCTTAAAGACGGCATACCTGGTAGCTAGAGACGTGCAATGCTTGCTGCGGCATCCTTGGTTAAGCCGCGAGATATCACGGCCGTGAAAAATGAACGAACTTATATAATTGTTTGATACTGCGCCTATCTAAACTCCTGTGATCGGCAGGATTACTCTATTCATCTACGGATGGTTGCGGGTACTATGAATTCGGCGATCTCATATCCTGAGGATGCCACTGAGCTGGCTGCTTTGCATGGAAGGTTCGCGGCGCAGCTGGATGAACCACTAATACTACAGTGTGGATGCACTAGCTGGGTGGCCACTTCAAGTTATCAATCACACTCAAAAGCCTTGACTTGTATGGCATAAGCCGGGAGGCCTATTTATGGAGCTGTCAGTGTCATACACTAACCAACATCAATCCATCATCTTCATACCGTTAAACCACGCAACGTTATGGGCCATGGGTTGGGAACTTGACACCGCATGCACTTCCCAAGAGACAGCCACAGTTTCCATATCCCCCAGCTAGGATGCCTCTCATATATACAGCTAAGCCTGTATGCCACACAACAGCTGCCCCGCCGTAACTGCTCTACGGATCCGAACCTACACCTCAATGCTTCTAGCTCGTGAGAAGGGCGGGAACCTTGTGTGTCATTGGCTGATGTTGGCCCCCATGTGGCGATAGAGATGGACTACATTAGCGTTGCCGGTGTAAACGGCAGATGAGAGTGGCATTTCTACTATAGCCCCGGCTCTCTACCGAGTCGGCGGATTCTGATCCCAAACCCACCAGCATGCAGCAAACCAACTTGGCACCACCACTTCACCCAGTCAGGGAGTGTCAAAAGGGACGGAACAAGCATATACTGCGAGGGTGATATTGGCCCCCGAGCCATTTACGCCACTCGAATCATGTGCAGAATGGACTCATTCCCGGGAAAGTCGTTTGGCACCACCACTAGACTCTTGTTCTACAGCAAGACGACAGATTAGACAGTGCGACCGTTGGCGGGGTTGATATGTGCTGAGACGGCACGGGTCCTATTAGCCCGGAATGGGGCCTCCGCGGGCAAGCCAAGCTGAAGGGCGAAAGTCGAGTGCAAGGTGTTCAAGCTTGCTATTTCGCGTTCCCTTGAGCTGATAAACGTTACTCTTCGCTTTTTCTTCAGTAGTTTGTTTAGATATCCATATCAATTGATGATTCAGGCTTTGCATTCTCGAGGCTAATGTTGCCGCGAGAAGAGCGACAGGCGAAGAGTCTATCAAACGATTCTCGTCCGTCGATCAATTAATCCCTCCATCCATTGGTCCACGTCGAACTAAGCTACAGCTGCATGCGTGTATTGATAGCAAGATGGCTTCCTCGGGAAAAGCTTCCGGTATTTATATAAAGTTTAGGCGAACTAGAAGACTTGATCGCGCTTCTCTGCTTTTTTGTGCATGTAGGGACTGGTCTTGACAGTTCGCGAACCAGACAGTTTTGTATGCGTGCATTTCGTTCAAGGTCGAGTGTGCCACCCGGAAAATCCTCCTTCGTTTAGCACAAACTGGAAGGATTCGCGTTTACACGAACCCCGCTCGTCCCGACATTGTTAATTAGTATTGTTCCACTGTGCTCCGTCCCGCATATATATATTTTCCAGTCTTTGGCCACGGCGTCTTGGTTCTGAGATGCAAGGCGATAAACAACCGCCCATTCTTTACGTCGCCAGCAGGTCGTAGTCGGAGCTCCTTCGGCGAAAAATCAACTTCCCCATACTCGCCCGCAAAAGCAGGATCAGAGGTTGCATCACACGGCTTGTGCAGATCGCTTACATTTACAGTGATAGCGTTGACATGTAAGGGCATTTTATATATATCCATCAATCCATGGATGTATATATATCCCACTTGGGGATAGCGTTGGGTTCTATCCGCCTTGTCCTCAGTCCCGCGCAAGCGTTCTACAAACCCAAGCAACGACCAGCAAGAACGTCAGATATCTCAGCATCGGCACCGTCCCATACAACTCGGGCAAGATGGTAAACTTGGGGGAAGCAGCTGACCCCATCGTCACTCGCTTGGTCGAGGAAGACAAGGTGCCATGGTACAAGAAGCCCAACCTCCGCTACATGTACATCTGGCTCTTTTGCTGCTGTATGGGCGTTGAGATGACCTCTGGGTTTGACTCACAGCTCATCAACACCCTGCAATACTCACAAGTTTTCCAGAAATGTATGCTTCCCTCCTGCCTTTACACATCTAAGTCTTAGTAGTGTTAATGCCCTGTATAGACTTTGGCGGGGGCCGGATGAACGATGCGGGCGACTACGCCATCGAACCGGGCCTGCTTGGCTTCATGAACTCTTGCTACAACCTCGGTACCGTTTTCGCCGTCCCCATCGCTCCATGGTTTGCTCAGAAGTTTGGTCGACGGTGGTCAATCATGTTCGGCTCTTTGGTCATGGTTGTAGGTGCTATTCTTCAAGGTTTCTCTCAACATGGTAGGACAACCCACTTGCCCCAATAAAATGATCACGTCGGTGCAGCTACTGATAGCCCCGTTTCATAGTTGCCATGTATATTGTGTCACGCATGATACTCGGCGCAGGCGTCCTCTTCCCTATCATTTCTGGCGCCGCGTTAATCGGAGAGCTTGGTCACCCTAAAGAACGACCTGTGTTGACTTCGCTGTTCAACTCGTCGTACTTTATTGGCCAGATTGTTGCGGCAGCCATTGCCTTCGGCACGAACAAGATAACCTCGGATTGGGCTTGGCGTCTGCCCAGCATTCTCCAAATTTGCCCATCTCTGCTACAGATTGCTACCGTATTGTGAGTCCCACCTCGACATCATCGCATTCTAGTGGGCGAGATATTAACGAAAGTCGCGTAGTCTGCTCCCCGAATCGCCGCGTTATCTGATCTCCCGTGATCGAGACGATGAGGCTGCCGAGATCCTCACAAAATACCACGCCGAAGGTGATAGTGAATCCCTTCTCGTCAAGGCTGAAATTGCACAGATCAGGGAGACCATCAAGATAGAGATGGAGGTTTCAAAGCAATCCTGGCTACAACTTTTCACCTCTCCTGGGATGCGTCGCCGAGTGTTGGTCACCATTTTCCTCGGCCTCTTCACTCAGTTTTCCGGAAACACAATGATCAGCTACTATTCCAACGTCCTGTTTAATATGATGGGTTTTACTGACGCAACAACCAAATCCCAAATCAACGTGGCTAACGCTTGCTGGAGCCTTATAAACGCGACCCTCATCGCCCTCTTCGTCACGCGCTTCAAGCGCAGGCGGATGTTCATGCTTTCTGCTACCTTGATGTTACTGGTTTTCATCGCCTTTACGATCTCGCTTGAGCGGCTAGAGGTTGCCGAGAAAACGGGAGTGAAGAATGGCAAGGCGGCTATTTCTGCCCTATTTTGGTACTATGCCTACTCTCCCTGTTACAACATCGGAAACAACGCTCTCACATATAGTAAGTCACCCTTCCAGAGGAAATCACATATGATAGACGTGCTAAAACATGAGCAGCCTACCTGATTGAGCTTTGGCCGTACTCCCAGCGAAGCCGTGGTATCGGTGTCCAGCAAATATTCGGCAAGATTGCTAGCTTCATCTCGAACAACGTTAACCCTGTCGCCTTGAGTGCTGTCGGATGGAAATTCCTCATCTTCTATTGTTGCTGGATTGCCTTTGAATTTTGCATTGTCTTCACCCTCTACCCAGAGACCAGCGGCCACACCCTCGAGGAGCTGGCTTTCCGTAAGTTCATTTTCCATCTTCTTCGTTGTGACCTAAGAAACGTCAATGCTAACATGGTTGTAGTGTTCGAGGACAAGTCACTAAACGACAGAACCGCCGCTGCCATCGAGAAGAATATTTGAAGTGTGTCCGATATTTAACTCTCTTGGGCATCATCGCAAACGCTCAGATAATAGCCTCGAGGTTAAAGGGTTTCGCCATGTTGGTAGTTGAGCATTTGAGATGATGCGCGGATAGCGATATACCAGCATTAGATCGCATTCGTGCCTGACCTAAATATTGAGACGAGATGTAGTCACGAGCATTGAAAATATTCAGTCGGTGGACAGGGAGTGGAGGTCAAGATACGGCATTGTCCAGGTGTCTCCCGTTGTCTGATGCGTGGCAAGGATCCTAAAAGACACCATCTTTCACCCTTTTCGGGAAGATATGTGTAGGAGGAAACTCTTCTCAGTTTTCAATATGAAGAATGACTCTCAAGTTTCATATTTACGCTCAACATATCGATTGCGTCCTCAGATACCTTGGACTGAGACTTCATAACTTTATATATGCCGATTAAAGTACACTCAGAATTTGTCTTATAATTTCTATATTACAATGACCGCAATACGAGTCGTCTGACAGCACGGTTGTTCCAATCAAAGTTGTCTATCCGTTAACGATAGTTCCACCGTTTACATGAATCGTCTGTCCGCTGATGAATGAACTGTCCGTCGACGCTAAGAATACCGCGCAAGTAGCTACCTCTGACGGCTGACCCGGTCTTCCCATGGGGCTTGTGAACTGTTCTTGATTCTTTTTGTCATTGTAGCCGGGATTAGGGGTGTCCAGATGGGTCCTGGGGCTAAAGCATTGACTCGAATGTTCTTGCTCACAAGCTGGTTGCTCAAACCCCGCGTGAAGGCGACGATCGCACCCTTGGTAGATGTATAATCGAGGAGATCAGAGCGGCCAATGTAAGGATTGATGCTAGCGTTGTTTATTATAGACGCGCCAGACTTGAGATGCGGGAGCGCGTATTTGGCGAGGTAGAAGAATGGGTGAATATTGGTGTCGAAAGTGCGGATCCATTGCTCCCTACACAGGCAGGCCATTAGCACAGGTCCCTAGCTTAGCCGAAGAGTACAAAAGTCCCTGGTAACTTACTCGGATAAGTCGGCGATGGAGTCTACCTGCATCTGGTAGGCGGCGTTGTTGGAAAGAATATCAAGGCCCCCGAGGTTCTTGACGGCCTCATCCACCGCTTTCTTGCAATTCTGGCGGTCCCGTAGATCCGCAGACATGAGGTAGCACTTTTGCCCCTGCTTCTCAACCAGTTTCTTAGTCTCCTGCGCATCCGACTCCTCTTCCGGAAGGTAGACGATGAAGGAGTCCGCTCCCTCCATAGCGAAGAGGATCGCCGTCGCACGGCCAATCCCGGAGTCGCCGCCCGTGATGAGAGCTTTCCGGCCCTTGAGCTTACCGGCGGCCTGGTAAGTCTTGTACCCCTGATCCTCGGTCGGCACTCTCTCGGACTCGGGATGCGGCTTAGGCAAGTCCGACTGGAGGCCGGGATGCTTCAGATCGCTGGTGGGGATATTATGCCCTACGCAAGAAATACTGTCAAGCCCTATACAGTAGTGATTCGACGCAGGTGATGAAACATACCCGTTTTAAACTGTTGGTCAGACATGATGAGGTTCAATTAATATGGTGTGGCTTTCAAGATGTTGTTCGTTATGAGAAAGGGAAGGCCGGATGAGCGAGCATTTAAGGACTAAAAAGGGCAAGAGATAACTGCCATCATTTTTATTCTCACAAGCTACCAATTGACCTTTCCGACGACACCACACCGTCATATCCACACTGATGTAGTGATGATTCCGCGCGTTGATAGCGACGACCCGACCGTGACCGGTCGTGACGTCACTGCCCCTGTTACGCTACACTTCTCGCTCTCAATAGCCAAGTCGGTCAGGAGAGGCTCAGGAAAGCGATAAATTAAGAGACTTGCCAAGCTGAAAATAATGGTTATTGTATTGTTCTTGTTTTTTTTTTTACTTGTGAGAAAGCGGGTTGGGGTTATATGACCACAGCGGAGGCACCGTGTAAGCCACCGTTCAAACATCTTCCCTCCAGGCGCTCGACTGGTCATCAATCTTGCTCCTCCCTGTTTTATACATGAGTTCCAAGCCATTCTTTCCCGCAGGTCCACCCCGTAGCAGAAGACCAATCTCCCCAGGGTGGAACCAGTTCATCCAACCGAGGACGAGGATCATGAGTGTAGCGTCGAAGACGTAGACGAACGCTTCACTCCTCATTAGAGACCCTCCATTGCCCTGGAAGTATTCGATGACTCGGAACAAGCACCGTACCCATATCGCGATGCTCGTGACATACAATGTGATTAGGTACCTCTCCCAGCGAATCTCCGGTTCACAGGCCTTTGCCGTTGGGTTCTGCCTCATCTTCTTGTGAAAGAGGCCGGCGACAACGAGGAAGAATCAAAAATCGCAAGCTGGACGAACAAACCAATTTTGATGATTGTCTCCCCATCTTTATCAAATCCGGCTCAGCCTTTGCCAGCATACTGGCACCTGTCAATTAAACCGTCAGCACCGTGTTATCCATTCATGCACCCGTAGATGCCGCCGCCTAAAAGGGTGCATGGAGGAGAAGCGTACCTGAAGATTGCAGCAGGAGAGAGAGCACGTCGCCAGCTACAAAGGTCATTGTGAGCCATTTCTTCCGTATCATGGCATGTCTCTCTCCGTCTGTTAATAGGATAATCCGGCCAAGTATCATGTAAATCGAGGCCGCCATGAAGGCGGGAGCAATAAGAATCAAGGTTGTCTCGATGATATATGGCCCCAGCTGCCAACATCCTTCTTCCTCCATCGCACTGGATGCCCGCGCTGCGTATCCGATGGTCTCGCCTAACGTCAGAAAAGAAAATTGTTAGCCACGAGGATTTAAACCCCACAGAAAGACTCTTGATGAACCCACAGATAGCTCAATCGCCAAGGCTGTCATGTACCATGTTCTTGTCCTGACAAGCTGAACGGTGTGGAGAACAGTGGATATGAGGAAGAGAACAACGAAAACGACCGCGGCAGCAACAGACGGCTTATAGCGGTAAAACGCAAACGCTGCATCCTTATAATTTGGGTTGCACTCCAGCTCCATCGTGATAGAAGACCAAATATCTCGTTATTGATGGCGGAAGCTAGGCTGTGACGGCAACCTGTGAAGATAGCGAGCCTTGCCTCTAGGCACAATACAAGCGAGAGGCAGTAACTAGGCCAAGTGCGTTGAGGTAGGTCTAGTGACTTTAGTGAACAGTCGACAGATGTACGAATCGAAGATTCCTTTGTTTGGCTGGCAGGTCTAGCAGGGCACATGTGAATGCCGTGGAACCAGAGAGCGGCCCCCGTTTATATGTTGGGCATAAACTCGTCGCAGAGCTCATTTTAAGGCCTCCTATAGAATAACACCAAAAGGTTTTTGATGTGAAATATCGATTCCTAGCAACATCGATTGCGCGTCTTCGCGTGGCTTATGCACCCGAGACGTCGGATTTGGCGCCGGGGACTCTTTGTTTAAACCCCTTTCTTGAACTCAATGCCTACCACAGGCCTCACACCCAATCAAGTTCAAGCATAGGGAGATTAAGCAGAACCAAACCCTTGAGCGGAATTCCATTGACAAGCATGAGAAAGCGATGGGTTTTCACTAGGAGAGGCTCAGCCTCCATTCATTGTGCTTGGCAGGGGAAAACAACAGCGGGTCATGCCGTTGGCAGCCCAATGGAGATAGGCCTCATAGAGCTTGTGCGCAGGGTTTCCGTCCTCGTGGTGCTCGCACCGCATGGCCCTGTCCTCGGGTGCTCGTAGCGACGCGTCAACCAGATTGCTCCTGGCTCCACCCTCGGATAGAACCCGAGCAACCTCACCTCCGGTACGAGGTTGACAGACAGGGGTCAGCCCTAGTAAGCAAAGAAAAAAGCATCGCGGGTGATGAGAAATAGGCCATAGATCTATCGATATTTGAGAAGAGAAAAAAAAAGGAAGAAAAAAATAGCAGGTGAGAGTAGAATCTCGCACAAAATTAAACATGCAATCCCGTTGTTATCAAAACTGGCTCATCGTCTCGACTCTTTTCGGCACGAATAAATGGAGATAATAGGCCTTAAGCTATTCTTAGCCAACTGTATCCATAATACTGTTTTATGGCAAGTGGCTTAACCCTGGCCCCGGGGCCGACATCCGCACGGCCTCGGGATTTTCCTACACTCCGAGAGACCCACCGAGAGGAAGCTTCTCACTCCCCGGAAGCTACATAACACAGAAACTCAACTGGAAGGTTCCCAGGTCCCCCAGTTGAACACGTGCACTATGCAATGTTAATCAAGCCACAAAGCATTCCCGCAACACCCTTCAACTTCAATGTCTAGTCTCGCAACCACCTTGGCTGTGGCGTACTCCAGCACATCGCCGTCGGTGGCTTCCAAGGGCTCATCAAGCTTCCAAACTTCGATGTAGGCCCCAGGGGCATCCGTCAGGATAGCGTGTTCGTCACTCCACGGCGCCGCAGTGACGGAGCTCGAAATGGTGTTGCTGGTACCAGTCTCGAGAGTAAACATCTTGCTCACGACTGATCCGTGCTCATCGAGCAAGAAGCACGATATGAGTCCAGAGGTGCCAGCGCGGCCGCGGGTGGTGAACCACAGGTAGCGCTTGTTGACGGAAAGACTAACACCCGCCGACCAGTAGTTCGCGTTACTCGTGCCTATTCGGAAAAGCGTTAACAAGGAGATGCGCCAAAGCCTAGTCAAGAATCTCTACCGTACCCTCTTCGAGCACCTGAAATTGCGACGACTCCCCGCCCTCATCAACCAGCCCCGCTTCATCGAGTTTGAGCGCCAGAAGACTATTCGTAGCTTCGAGCGTCACATACGCATAAGTTCCTTGCGGGTGGATAATAAGGTGTCGGGGCTTCAGGCCGGCGCCCTCCAGCTCCGCTCGCTGAAGTTCCTCGACGTTACCTGACTTGTCAATCGCATGGACCCAAATAACATTAGCACCCATATCGGCCGTGTATAGCAACTCGGTCCCGTTAACCTCCTGAATAGCAAGCCCGTGGGCGCTTGAGACAGCTTCATATCGCCATGATTGGCTCATGTCGTCGAAGGATCCGTTGTCGGTCACTGCAATAGACATGGCACACCCGTTGCGTGAACCATAGGAGCCCGAGATGACGTAGTAGGGTTCGGTACGCGTCGCCACGTTAAAGGCCGAATTCTGCCCAAGGCAAGCCCCGGAGGTTTGCACGATTCCCGTCAGCTCCAAGGTGGCGGCGTCGTAGCTAGACAGGCGGCCATTGTCCATCGACGAGCCATAGATTTCACTCTTGTCGTGCTGCGATGGATTACGTCAACGGCCTGCACCGAGTTGTGGATTGATCACATACGTTTAATGAGATCCACACATGGCTATTATTGGAGTCGATAGTTTTCACAAGAGTGAGCTCGTTCGTCTCATCATCGAAAGCGACGGAATGAAACTTAGGTGGGGTGTATCTGTTTGCGGAGGCGATACGGTGGATAGCAGCCAATGTCCGCCCAGCCCCGGCCAATGCAAGTGCCAGGCGGATCGTATTTCTCTCGATGTACATGCTTTGTATCCAAATCTTTCGAGTCTTCAGCTGATATGTCTAGGACCGAGTGGAATTGGCTCGCGCGTAAAACACAGGAGAGGGTTTCCAAGATATATATATATATATATATATAAAGAAGGCAAGTCGCTATTGGCCATTCATCTATATTTCGGGCGTGAAGTTGTTTATCCGCAAATGACGCTGCTATCAGGAGAGACAAGCGACGTCGCGCACTGGTGCTGCAAGAGCTCGGATAATTGCCGTGACGCTATAGGGGATGAAGAGCAACAGCCATCAATTGATCTTCGACCAAGACAGGATAAATTTGATCCCGTCGCTCAGCCACAGACGTCCCCCTACCTCGATGTAGAGAGGGGTTCAGCATCACCATCTCGCACAATCCCAATTTGAACATCACCGATCCTCTTGGCGAGAATACCCAGAGGAGTTCTCAGGCAAGGTCTACAAGTTTCATACTTGCCCTGTTGCCTTTACTGCTCAGATATAGCCTGGCACATTTTGTCCTTGGCTGACAATAAGCCGTCTTTTTCGTCCTCGATACTTCCACAGCAGGGTATGTGATGGAATTTTCTAGAGCTCAGCGTTGTCTCCTCAAGCGCGACTGATTTTTACCTGGCCTAAACTCCCCAAGTCAAACAATGGCTGCTTTGGAGATATCTATCAATATATGTAAGATATAGTCCCGGACGTCGCGGCGCCGTCGAGACCCACTCTCGAGTCTCGGATCGCTGGCTGCACTATTTCCGCTTTAGGAGTACCGTCCCAGGACAGCGGGGTCGCAGACAGCTCTGGATGACATCACAATGCAACACGTGACCCACTGAACTGAACGCTGCAATTGACCAATGCGATTTGCCGACGAATCCCGCGCGCCTCGGCTTCGGCTGGTTTAGTTGCTCTCCTGGATCCCAAGCTCGTCAACGAGCAGCTCCGCATGCTTATCCAAAGAAGGTCGCCCATCATGCGTCGAAACATTGTGAATCTGAAAAGGCGGCCTGCTTTTGGTCAGAACAAAGCAGCCATATATCCGTCCTTCCGCCTATTTTCCACATCCCCGACTAGCCTCGGTTCCTCCGCGGCCGGGGACGGGGTTGGCAGCAAGGGCCCCGGAGCTGAAGAAGGGGCGAACCCACGGTGGTTGTCGACTCTGAGAAAGAGGCTCCAAACTTTGAAGGATGCAGGATTGACAACGGAACAGGAGGCGGCGAGGGAGGAGCTTGTGGAGGTCGTGCGGGGAGGTGGCTCTCACTTCTCGCTGGCCCGCTGGGCTACGATACACGCAAGGAGTGGAGAGGGATTGATTCGCAAGACGTTGCGTGGGGCGAGATGGTAGGTTGTGCTGGAGCCATTTGAACCTGATCCCCATGTCTTTTAGAGATAAGAAATAAAGCTAACGGTAATAACTCCTTGCGCCATGATCCAGGACAGTATGGTACGTGTTCAAAATCGATGATTGTTTCCATTATCGTTTAAAGCTAACGGTTGCACCTAGGGTATAAGACTTTTCCGAGCTTTCGACACGGCCCTTTCGTCTGGCTCTGTGCATTATTGACTTCAAGTTAGGGCACGTAAACAACGTAATGTATAACCGATACGCAGAATCCTCGAGGGTAAACTGGTTCAGGCACCACGGCCGCCACGCGCCGCCCGAGGAGAAACAGAAATGGGACAACCTCGTCACCCCACGAGGCATCGGTCTCATTCTCAGAAGCATCACGACAAACTACAAGCTGGTACGTTCAACGCGCTCCTTCTTGTAGGTAGGACGCCTATGGCTGACGCGTATTCTCCACCTTGTAGCCATTAACTTTCCCGGACAAAGTCATTGTGCTCCATAAGCTGGCTGAAAAGCCTACGCTCATGTCTGACCACCTCAAGCTCGAGGCTCTAATCATCTCCAAAAACCACATGCGCATAGCAGCCACATGTTGGGAGGATAACGTCATATACGACTACCGCCTCGGTGCGCGGGCGCACTTGGAACGCGATATGGCTGAGAGGCTGGCGGGGGCTTGGGACTACCAAGAAAGTAAGAGGGCTCATCACCTTGAGCAGGTATCTGCTATCGATAAGGCTTGTAAGGAGTTGGAGAGAGAAGTGGGAATACAGGGTTAGATAGATGAGGGGCCGAGCTCAAACTCAACGTCTTCGTGTAAAGGCGATTATATTCATATTAAAGTATACTTACTCTTACCTCCGAGCCGCTTGGGAAAGCAAGGTTCGCTGTCCTAATGGGCTACTGTCTCATTTACCCAGCACCAAACTCCCAACGAAGCATGCCTGAAGGATTCAGCAGGCCTATCCTTAAATCTAAGCTCTTTTAAAGGTATTACCTTGGTTTACCGGGGTGATTGGCGTAAGACCTGACGCGCGGGCCCATCAACGTCCAGAGCGAATGAGCAATGGGGCTGTGGACGGCGAACATAGTGGCGAGACGCGTGGACAATAGCGCAGGTTCTCGATCCTTAAAATAACTCTCAATTCCAAGGAAGGAATAAACCTATTCCTCTTTGGAGGCAAGACGACGGCTTCGGCTTTAGATAATCTAGCACTGCATACCGAGGTAGAATCTCGAGTGTTATCAATCTCTCTCTATGATTTAGGGTTGGCTCGCTAGCTTGATCTCCTGGCTCAGGTCACGCTGTAGCCATGCAAAGGGGAGAGACGGACAAGATCAATCGATGGTAGGGAGTGCCCTTTCTAACTATCAATTCTGGTGCATCTGCAGGTATGAATGTTTCTTCTTTTTTTTTTTTTTGAACGCGTGATTGGGGTTAAGGGAAGCCCAAGTCTACCCGAATACCTTAACTCGCGATGAGTTGTGCTTCTCGATGGCATCGTGGAGATATTTCCGGCAGTACGGCAAAAGCCACGCAACCAGGGAAAACCCGAAAACGCCGGCGGTTAAGGTGGTGAGGCATGCACGTACGGTAATGGGAAGGGAGCACCCGGAACGCGCGGCATCAAGATAAAAGAAACGAAATTAAGGAAAACGCTGTGAGTGGCGCGCAAGTTGAGGCTTTTCGGTTTTCGGGGCTGACATGACGGATTCACCTCTCCCAACTAGCAAAGCTTCAATCTGAGTGATTCCGAAGAATTTCCCCGTGTTCCATCAAGTCCAGTTTTCGCCGATGTATCCCTGGCCCTGTACTCAATCTTTGGCTGGTTCATCGGAGTAAACAATTGATTCTGTCTTCGAGATCGGAGCTAAGGCCCCAGAACGGCAGTCGGTGGTAGAGGGCAGTGTAAGGGCGCGAGTCCAGATCGGGCCAGTTGACGTATGCAAGGTGCCGTCTTTTCCAGATGAGCCCGCTTTTTTGTTGTTTCCCTCCCGGCTGGGCTCGCGGCTGGGTGGCCGGAATAATACACTGCGAAGCTCCACTTGTGGCATACGCGGCGAACACACATGACCCGTCGATATCGGAAGAGGGCAATATCGAGATGCTGTCCGTTGGAGCACCGAGGAAGTGGTGATAAATACCATGTGGTTGCTCCCGATTTCATCGAAACTCTACGATAATACTCAACCAACGTTCGCATTCAGCCCTCTTCCAGCTTTGAGTTAGTCGAACCTTTCGCCATTCTTCTGCCTATTACATGTGCACACCAAGCATGCGCCAGTCAAGGCGAATCCTTGCCATCGTGGCAGCCGCCACGGCGAACGCAGCATCCATCTCGGATCTATGCACCACCGATAACGTACAAAATGTTTTGCCTTCCAACGGCACCCTCCTCGGCATCGATCTGATCCCGTCCTCCGTCACGGCCAGCGTCGTATACAACGCGACAACCGGGGAGGCGGCATGGGCGGGGGCGCAGGAAACGCCGGCGCCAATGCCAAGACATACACGTACTGCAACGTGACGGTGTCTTACGCGCATACGGGCAAGGCGGATAAGGTCTCGCTCAAGTACGCCTTCCCCGGCCCCGACGATTTCGAGAACCGGTTTTACGTAGGCGGCGGGGAGGCTTCGCCCTTTCCTCGAGCGCCACGGGGGTCTATCCTACGGCGCGGCCAGCGGCGCCACCGACGCCGGCTACGACGCCTTTTCCACAAACTACGACGCCGTGGCCCTCTCCGGGAACGGCACCGTCAACTGGGACGCCACGCACATGTTTTCGTACCAGGCCTTGGGGAGATGACCATCGTAGGCAAGGCCCTCGCCCGGGCCTCTACGACTTGGGCGCGGATGCCAAGGTGTACACCTACTTCGAAGGCTGCTCCGACGGGGGCCGGCAAGCCATGAGCCAAGTCCAGCGGTTCGGCGAAGAGTACGACGGTGTGGTCGCCGGCGCGCCCGCATATCGGTTCGCCCAGCAGCAGGTGCTGCACCTACACCCCAACGTCGTCGAGGTGACGCTCGGCTACTACCCGCCGCCGTGCGAGCTAGCCAAGATCGTCAACGCCACCATCGAGGCGTGCGACCCTCTCGACGGGCGCACCGACGGTGTGGTCTCCCGGTCGGACCTGTGCAAGCTCAACTTTAACCTCACGTCCGTCATCGGCGAGCCCTACTACTGCGCCGAGCGGAACAGCACCTCGCGCGGTTTCGGATTCGACAAGCGCCAGATGCCCGGCGCGAGCACATCCTACCAGCCCGCGCAAGAGGGCACCGTGTCTGCCGAGGCCGTCGCGGTGGCGCAGGCCATACTCGACGGGCCCGTCAACTCCGAGGGCGAGCAGGTCTACCTGTCTTGGCAGATTGCGTCCGACTTCGCCGACGCCGCGACCAAGTACAATACTGAGACGGGTGAGTGGGAGCTGAGCATCGTGTCTATGGGCGGCGAGTACGTGGCGCGCTTCATCCAGCTCTTGCAGCTTGACAACCTGGCCAACCTCGACAACGTCACCGCCGACACGCTGGCGGAGTGGATGCAGATTGGCATGGTACGCTACGGCGACACGCTGCAGACGACGATCCCCGACTTGACGCCCTTCCAGTCGTCCGGGGGCAAACTTCTCCACTACCACGGAGAGTCCGACTCCTCGATCCCGGCGGGCTCGTCGGTGCACTACTGGCAGTCGGTGCGGTCCATCATGTACGCGGATGCGTCCGATGAGGAGGCGCTCGCCGCCCTCCAGGATTGGTACCAGTTCTACCTCGTCCCCGGGGCGGGCCATTGCGGGACCAACAGCCTGCAGCCGGGGCCGTTCCCGAAGAACAACATGAACATCATGATTGACTGGGTGGAAAACGGCAACGCGCCTGAACGCCTGAACGCGACCGTGGCGTCTGGCCCCAACGCCGGGGAGACGCAGATGCTGTGCCAGTGGCCTAGCAGACCACTTTGGCGGGGAACGGTACTGATTTCGACTGTGTGGAGGATGCCGAGTCTATTGAGAGTTGGAAATATACTTTTGATGCCTTTAAGCTTCCAGTTTACTAATAATGGGTCACTTTGAAGGGGTGATAGAATTCATCGTTCAGGCCTTGACCTCAGATTCTTTTCACTATTCATGTTATCCAGTGTAACCATTTTCCTTTTTGTCTTTGATCGTAAGTGTTTGCAACTTATAGACATATCATCATCCATGGCTACCGCACTTCCAATACTACGAAGGGGATAAAAGCTCCTTCTCATAGCGCCCCAACTATCCCTTGTATTCGATATACACGGAGCTCTTGTTTGCCAAGACGGACGTGAGTTTACAGGCGAGATGAATACGTGACAATCGCTTCCACAGGAAAACATTGTCCTGGTAATATCCAGGTTGTTATACAAAACGGAGGGATACAACTCACCGGTCCCAAGGGAGTTGCATGAACATCGCCGCGTAAACAGGCCCGTACCACCTCAACGGCTAGCGTGACAAAGCGATGGAGGCAGCAACTGAGGAGAGAGGTGGAGGGAATGGTCCGAGAAGAGGCTCCACGCAACACAACCAACGACGAATCTATGTGTCTCGCTTGAGAAAAAGAGGTCAAGTATTTCCTCACAAAGCGGTCTGCTGATATCTCGGGCTCTGCGGACTTCACACTCTACAGATCTCGGTTAATATAATCATACAATCCGCGGTATTGACAGGCAGGCAATACAGGGAAGGTTCCTGCTGTGAGATGGATATCAATCAGTAGGATTGATGAGCTTGGATGTGAAAAAGCGTCCCTGGAGTGTCTTGGCGTTAGCGTTTCAATTGTGAAGAAGCACGACCCAGCTTTTTCCCCTCCGACGTCGGCATCCATCTGCTGGTCGTGCAAACGGCACATGGCAGGATATGTGGACATGGTTAATTTCATTACGGGTATTCTTCGAGGCAACAGTACGAATTTGGTTGCGAGCGACATTCGACCAGACACATTCGCCGCCTCATCAAGAGCCGTAAAAAGATCAAAAATTCTTCAAAAATAGTGAGACAAGCAGTACATGGGGCAGGCTCAAGCGCACTCATCCCCCACACCCCCTTCGTTTATACACCCGACCCAACCGTGCCGGCTCAGCAGGTCATCACAGCATGTGCTGGGTTCAATGGCCAAACCCAAGGGTGTCAGGGGATACAGGCCCTTCTCCTGCAAGCGAGATGCTACGTGTAGCCTCGTGTGTGAGCTCTATTGGGCGCGACGAGGACAGACTCGCGGCCTTGGTCTCAGCATCGAACGTGCACATATCTCGGTTGCAGATTGATAACTAATAACGTAGAATTTCGATGGATAGGATTGGGCGCTGTCCGGGCTTACGGATGACAAGCCACGCTTCTTCCCCCAGGCTGCAAGCCACTAATAACCTTTGTCTCATATCCGCATCAGAAGCTGGGGGAAAGGACTGTTGGCGGGGAGAGAAGGAGGGGACGGCGTCAAATCAGGTGCGATGCTCTCTTTTCGACAAGTACTTGGAGTCACTTTGCTACAAGTATGGGCAGTAGGCTCTCATTTTCTTGACCGGGGGTGCATGGGGCTTTTGTCTGCTCGGGGGATGCTGGGCGAGAAGGGTGAAGCGGTCAGTGGTAAGGTAAGTGGGGGTGAGGGAATGGCCTTTCCAACAGCCCATCCCGTGTCCTTCCCGGAGGGAAACAGCTGCGATGGAAAGAAAGGTTTTACGAGAAAGGCAAGGGCAAGAGGAATATGTTGGGATGGGATAATTGCTTGCACATGTACCATAGGAGTACATGTATTCATGGAGGGCAAAGCAAGGCAATATAATTTGGAGATAGGTGGTGACCCTCCGGCGAAAACAAAAGGGGACAGAAAATTCGAAATAGACTGAAAAGAGAGGCCCCTCCCAAAAGAGATGGGCAAGACGGGATGGAAAGAAGCACGACATGGGAGCTCGCGGACGAAAGGGGAAGTGATGGGCCAAGAATGCCAGAAATCGTTGCCCCTCTGAGAATGGGCTTGTCGTGGGGATCTTCACATTCGGCCAACCCTCGGAGGATCGGTGGATGTTGGCACTGCGGGCCCCATCTCTATTTCTTTTTCTTTCCTTTCCTTTTCCTGAACCAGCACTTGTGAAGCCGCGTCATGAGGTCGAAGATGCAGGCGGGGACCACTTGCTTCATTCGTCCGTGTTCTTTTTGAGCTTTTGGGCTGCAGCCACATCGACACCCTTCCCAATACCTCCCCTACCTCCCTACGTCCCCACCGGGTGGGTGCGAAAGGTGGCCATGCCAGAGGAAACCACCTGTGGTCCAAAACGGACAAAGGCAGCCATTTGATGGACTGACGATTGCTTCTAATAATACTTGTGCAAATATTGGACCGCCTACCTGTCCGAGAACGATGCATGTCGTGGGGAGAGGGTTAGCGTGTGCGCACAGGCAGGCTGCCCATTCTTCTCCATGGCTTGATCAAGCCGTTCCATGTTCTCCAGGCTAGTATTAGAATTTGCTCCAATTTCATTAGTCAAGACCCATGAAGCCACCACCAGCCAACTCTCCTTAACCCTTGCCACAAAGCTTGTCTTCCTGCAGGTTGAGGTTCTCTGATGCGACAGAGACTAGACTCGCTCATTGGGGGGCATCGCCGAGCCTAGCCTTCCCGAAGCCATATGTTGTAGGTCTCTCATGGAGAGGCTCGCAGGAGGAGAGTGTTGGGGGCCTATTCACTGAACCGTCACTCAATAAACACCGAGGCTTTACGGTCGGATTCTTTCAGGGCCCCCTATCTGGCCCTGGGATTTGCCTCTATGGACAGGCAGGTATTGCAGCTATCCCCGGGGGTCATGATATCCCGTGCTTGTTTGGGGAGGCCCTATCCTTCTGGAAGGCAAGTAATAAGTGGTGCTTGTTTGAGTGAGCGTAATATTTTGGAGGCACGGGACAACCCACTCAGAGATCAACCCCTCAGACGCCGCCCAGATGAGGAAATAAGATGACCCCTGTCTGATGCAGCCAAACAAATTGCTGTCGCCCTGCTGCTTCTTTTTCTTTTCTTCACTTTTTACAGGGTACTATCCTGTCCACGACTTGCTTACTTGTCTGAGCGATGAGCTCTAGGATTAAATGGCCGAGGTGGGGTACTTGAGACTAGTGAGGCGTTTCGTGCATGGGTTGTACCAGAGACAAGCAACAGCCGGGCGTGGGCAACGGGACTTTTGCCCTAAGAGGGTTTCTTGGTGCGGGAACCATCTTGGTGTACGCGTAACTTGGCTTGCGGGACGACGGGGAGGGGAATGTGGGCGGGACTGAAGGGGGCATATGAATGGTGGAATGTCGCGGGAGGTGGGGGCCTGCCTTTTTTGGTGAAGTGTAGCAGCGAAATCCTAAGTGGTTGTATATGAAAAGTGACGCGGGCAAAGGACAAAGGAACAGAGGGAGCATTGAGGAGAGTGGAGGGAGGGTGGAGGGAGGGTGGAGAGCTTGAGGGGCTCGACAAGAAAAAGGGAGGAAGGGGTCCCGTTCTGGTCCCTTGTTGATGAAGGAGGGTCAGTACGACAGTGCTTGGTAGCAAGGCCAGCAAGGAAAGGAAATTTCTTGGGCGAATTGCCGGCGCTAGACCTGTGCGCGAAATGCCGGTGGGTTCTAAAACAGAACCGATGAGAGCTCGGCCAAAAAGCTTGGTGGGATTGAGCAAACGACCAGGCTCGACTTTTTCTGCTGTCTCTTTTTCTCTTCTGCACTTCTTTTGGGCCCTCCCTTGCTCGCCCCTCCTCCTTGTGCCCCTCCACCATCACAAGACGTTCCATGGATGGAGCTCGGCGAAGGGTCGTCGTCTGCAGCTACCCCTGGTTCGCGAATGATCCAGGCTGGGGGTCGAAATAGACTTGTACTGCTACCTCTGTGCCTCACGGACTTGCATGCCTCTTTCGTTCAAGGCGACATGGGAATATGGCGATATTGCGACAGGGTCGAGGAGGACATATCTCGACTTTTGACTCCGGCAGTACCGCAGGCCATATCGACAAGACGAGACTGAAATGAATTGATAGCTGTCCCACAGCACAGTACATGAATGTAGGCACGCAGGCACGCGGCCACACCCTCACCCATCCTCAAGCTCGCACATATAACTTGGAGAGACAGCGCTCGACGTCGTTCAAGACCCAATGACAGCATTTGAACTTCTCTGCCGGGCATCGACCACTCAACTAGGGCCAGGAAGAACGGACGGTATGTGAGGATTAAACCTGGCGAAAGTGCTCGGGATTTTGCACGACCTTCTCATCTCCAGATAATGGCGCACCCCACCGGGGCAATTGTTTTTTCTCTCCTCAATCCTACTGGCATGTCAGGGTCGTAGCGCAACCAAAGTGATCCATTCCATCAGTCCTGGGTCCGTTGAACCCATTAGATTATCAATCGCCATTTCTACCTACGAAGTATGTCCTTACTCTGCCAAACGCGTCAGTGCCACTCTCAGTGGCGACGTGCTATGGTCCCCTTGACTTGTACATCTACGCAGGGGTTATCAATCAACCTGCCGTCTAGTCTTGCTGGTCTAGCGGTTCGCCGCGAAACAAACGGATGATGTGGTGGGGACGGGAATTGTTTTTCATAGACTTGGAGCTTTAAGCATTGATCCTAAACGGATGACCTCGGATTTGCCCCCTGACATCGTCAACCTAATTTGGACCTCCACACCCGCCCGCCTCCCCTTTTGCACCACCCATCTCCGAAGATGCAGCAAGTCGACATTTTGCTGTCGTCGCAAGGCATCTCGTCGCTCCGCTATCCATTTCCGTCTGCCCTTTTCATACCGTGTGGCCTGTCGGTGTCCCAACTCGATGCTTCACGATGATTTCGTCTATGGATGTCTAGAGATAGCATCCACGCAGCATGGGCAGCGCTGATCTGGGCCTCAATGTAAAGTATGTGGCTTTTCGGTCGCCCTCCCCAGTCTCCGAAAAGCACCGGAGCTGGAGGCGTCCGAGATGGGGTTCATGACGACTTGTTCACTGCCGATCCTTGCATGCCATCCACTCCGTCTCCATCTTTTTCTCGCCCCTCGTCCTCTAGCCCTCAACAGAAACTCTTGTTCAAGTTTTTCCTTCCGTTTTATCCCATTGAGTGACCTCGTTCCCCCCCAATGTTCCTTGCTTCTTTCGCTCTGTGAATGTCCCTTCATTGGTTGAAGCTGCTGTCTGGGAAACCTTGTTTGTCGTCACCCATCAGCGGGGCATCCGGTCAAGCAGGGGTTGGGGGCCATCAAAGCTTCCAGTCCATCACTTCCATTTCAAGGTCTGCCCGAGCCCGGATCGGCATTGACGTGAAGTTTTTCTTCTTCTTCATCTGCTCCTGTCTCGCCCTTGTTTATTCCCACGGGATAATATACTTTCAAGCACAGGACATGCGCCGCGTTACCTACCCCAACCCTGCTTCTCGGGCCAATGTCATGCTAAGCGAAGTGCTACAGCACATGTACTTGAATCCTCTCCTGCTTGGCGCAATGTGCACGCCCAAGAAACAATCACCGAAGATCATCTAGATAATCTTATCAGATTGGAAGATCTAAGGGACCTTTGGCGGGGCACCGGATTTTCTCTCCTCGTTCCCTGGTTCTTTGTTTCTGTATGGCTCTTTCATCTACATCTATCCAAGGCGGGTGGGTATCGGCGGCGGCTTTTGCCCCCATCTCGGTAGAACTAGCGGCTCCGCGCCCTGATCTCCGGACTTGCATCAATGAACCTTTCCTTTGTCCAGCTTTGCTACGCCCTACTGATGCCGATAGTGACCCTTGCCATGTACCGAGAGCAATGATGAAACTCCGGCTGCCCCATTTGGCAGCATCTTTTGTCTACGTTTTTTTTTGTCGTCCTTCTTCCCGCCTTCTGCCACTGCCACCTTGACTCTGCACCTTGTTGAAGATCTCTGACCCACGTCACCTTGGCTCGCACATCATGCCCCCGTCACAGTCACTGTTACTCCACCCTCTTTCGAATCCATCCTAGTCGTTTTTAGGTAATTGCAAGAGTAAAAGAAGCATCACCGTCCACCCCTCCTCCCAAGGGCCGTGTGTTCCCCTCTCCCTCTATCGTTTTCTCTCTCTCTATTGCTCGCAATAAAACTCGGGCTTCCGAGAGCGGACCCTCCCGATACTTGCAAGGGGACCCCATCGCTTCGGTTGGAGAAGGCTCGGACATGTTGGATGCCAAGCTGCCCGCATACCTTGGAGTGGTGGGGGAAGACGGCGTGTTGCTTGGGGAGAGGGCTGCAGAAGGAGGGGAGCTGTTGTGCAACCCGAAGCGGCGCTGTTGACGACATATATATGGTGTCGGTTCGCCGCCCTGTTTTAAACCACCTCACGCTACCCTTCTTGTTGTTTGAGGCTCGTCTGTAAACGGAAAAAAGTGATTTGCAAATAGAGGGATCCATTCCCCCTCAAGTCTCTAGTTGATAACATCGTGGTAGTAAGCTGCCTTTTGTAGCTCTCCTCTCCACCCTTCCTTCTCACCCGCCCTTCCTCCCTCACCCCTCCCCTCCGGATACCTACCCTCCCACAGAAACACCCCACACTCGTAGGCTCAACATGGCGAGCATTTCCACGGAGCAACAGCCGAAACCTCAAGGCACGACGCTCACCGAGCTCGCGGCCAAGGTCACCGAGCTCACCCAAACCTTTACCACCTATCTCCAGGAGAACAACATTCCCGAGCCCACGTTTTCCGCCGACAGCCCCACCAACTATGCCACCCTATCCCCCGAGATGTTCATGGTCCGGCAACACCTGACCGATGCCCTCAACGATATGTGGTATCTGACCCAGGGCCCCAGCGAGAGCATCTTCAACTACGTTCACAGTGTAAGTGGCTGGAGTCTACGGACGCGCGCGCGCACAAATCGCTAACTCGAAAAACCTCTCCCTCGCAGGTAATGCCCGATGCCGCGGCGTTGAACGTCCTCAATTACTTTGATTTCTGGTCCGCCGTGCCCCTCGACGGCACCGCTTCCTACGCCGACTTCGCCGCCCACACCCACCTCCCGCACGAGGTCGTCTACCGCGTGCTCCAGCACGCTGTCACCCTCCGCCTCTTCGAGGAAGTCGAGCCCGGCCGATCTTCCTCCCGCCTAAGACACACGTCCCGCTCCGCCGCCTTGGTGCGCAACCCGGGCCTCAAGGCTCTCGTGTCCACCATCCTCGACGACGCGGGCGCCCCGCTCATGGTGCTGAACGAGGCCCTCGCGCGCTACAGCAAGAGCAAGCCCGAGCTCACACAGGAGGTCACCGAGTCCGCGTTTGCCCTTTTCCACAAGAGCGGCATCTACGGAAACTTTGACACCTCGTGGGAGCTGATCGAGAATGATGGCGAGGGCGAGCGCAAGGGCTGGCGGCAGAGGAATTTTGTCGAGTTTATGAAGTACGTCAAGGAGATCTTCCGCCTGGAAGAGACCGTGTCCGATAGCTTCGATTGGGCCGGTGCCGGAGATGCCATGGTCGTTGATGTAAGTTCACCTACGCGTACGCCTGCTTGAGCGGGTGACGAACCCGCCATTTTTCCAGGGAGGCAGACGAGAAAAGAATTTCACCGTAGCGCGCGCTGTACCACGTACTAACTTTCTCTTCTTTCCTCCAGGTTGGTGGCTCCGCCGGAAACGACGCCTTTGTGCTCGCCAAAAGTTCCCCAACCTCCGCTTCACCGTCGAGGACCTTCCCGAGGTCCAGCCCGTCTTCAACGCCGCCCTCCCCGCCGAGCTCGCCGACCGCGTGTCCTTCATTCCCCACAACTTCTTCGACGACCAGCCCGTGCAGGGCGACATCTACATGTTCAAGATGATCTTCCACGACTGGCCCGACCACGAAGTAGGCCGCATCCTGCGCGCCCTCAAGCCCTCCCTGAAGCCCGGCGCCCAAATCATCCTGCTCGAGTACATTGGCAACCAGGGCGAGACCGACGAGCCGGACGCGTCGCGACCCCAGCTGCCCCGCTCCTACCTCAACATGGGCACCGCGACGGACCTGCGGCTCATGGCGCTCTTTAACGGCAAGGAGAGGGCCGTGAGCGAGTGGGAAAAGGTCATTCGTGACGCGGATCCCGGATTCCGCGTCTCGGCCGTGAACCCGGACGCGCAGAGCTTCTTCACCGTGATTCGCGCCGTGTGGGAGCCGGTGGAGGAGGTCGTGGGTCAAGTCGCCGAGGCGGAAACGCAAGCGGCCGTCGTGGACCCCGCGCCCGCTAAGGAGGCTGTCGCTACCGAGGCCGTCGCGACCGAGGTTGCCCCTATTGAGGCCACCCCGTGGACGTGGTGCCGGCCGAGGCGAAGCCTATCGAAGCGACTTTGACGCAAGGTACTCCAGCTGAGACTACCCCGGCAGAGGCTGCCCCATTGGAGGTTGCACCAGCAGAGCCGGCTCCCGTGGAAGTTGCTCCCGTAGAGGCCACACCGGTAGAGCCTGCTCCGGCCGAGATCCCCGTCGCTGATGCTCCTTTGGTTGAGGCTGCCCCGGCTGAGCCCCAGCCTGCTGATCCTACCTCGATTGCCGCTTTGAGCGTGGAAGATCCTCCCCTTAGCGTCCCCTCGCCTTCCCTAGCTGCGCCCGCCTCGGAGCAAGTTGCCATTGCTCCGGAAACTTTTGTGCCTGTCCTTGATACACCCGCGCCCGAGGCCCGAAAGGACTCCGTCGCTTCAGACACCGCGTCGGACACCTCGGTGCGCACACCCACCGAGCAGGAGAACGTTGTTCCTCCCGCGAGCGAGGATGCCAAGGTGGGTAATGCTAGCAACGTGCACGCTGCTGCTGAAGCTGGTGCGGAGCCGGTTGTGCTAGCCCAGGTCAGCTCGCAGTAGCACCCAGGACGGATTCTTTTGAGTGTGTTCTTTTTTTTTTTTTTTCGCATGTACGTATAGGCGGAATGGTGAGATTGTGACGGAGAAAAAGGAATGAATCGGGACACGAATATCTATGGCATAGTTATCTTATAGCGTAAATCGAAATGAAATGTATCTTCTTTTTCAACAAAATTACCGTCCATTGAGAGCTGTTTTTAGTACAGTAGTCTCTGATGCAATGTTAGTATGCTGGCTGCATCCATAAATCTCGAGCGGGAGTGTTCTGCCCAAACGGCAATATTATAGCTCGTAGCAGATAGCATTCAACTTTCTATATCATTATATCTGACTAAATGGACGAGCCCCCTCTAGGAACCTGTCCTATCATTTACTTTATCCATTTCTCTATCTGGTTACACGGCATCAAATACCAACATGTCCGCAACCACAAGATAGGCGGTCCGCGAGTCGGAATTTACGCAGAGCAGTAGCTAAAGGATTTCAGTGAAAGCTTCATATAGACGCTTTAAGCTTGTGCGAGATATCTCAAACCGCAACATCATGCCATATACGATGTTGATTCAGCTCCGCCATCCTTGCTATGCTATGTTCTCTTATATGGCAGGGGAGAAGCAAGGGAGTAGGGCCGGAGTAGCAAATGGAGGCTATAGTATTTTGCTCCTATAGGTGAATTGCGCAAGCGTCGACGCTAGTCAGGGCGCTGAAGGGCCAGGCCCGCACGAATCATGCGCGCCGATCCGGGAGTTCGGAAACTATTCCCCCTAGTCGCGGCCTTGCAGAACTCATAATTGCTACCGGGACTCCTTTGTTTTCAGCCGCTAAGTGCGATGAAACCCGCAATCGCACCTGAGCTGGGGGATCGGCCTGGGCGGTCTTCAGCTCAGGGCTTCGTACGCTTCTTCATCGTCGGAAATGCGGGGTCGCGGTCGATTCGCGCCGCTTTAAGATCAAGGTTACGCTAAACGGGGACAAGATGCGCCCGAGTGGCGTCAGGTCCCTTGCTGCTAGTGACGTTGGCAGCGTTGTGGTAGCATATATGTTCGATAGAGAGGTGGCCCCTAAGAGTGTTGCATTCAAGACGATCACAAACCTGGCGACTCGATCAACACTTCGACGCATCGACGCAGCGAGGAATCCATCGGCTTGTCTATGAATCCCCGCTGGCCACATCCACTACAGCGCAAACTCCCATAAACGATTGGGCCTTTTCGTGGTAGTATTCGGTCTGTTAATCGCCTGCGCAAGACGCCTCATCTTCGAGCGAGATTCTGGCTCCTGAGAATATCTTCTTTTACAACCAAAGTTTCTTCATCAAGAGCTACACTATTGAATTCACCCCCGACTATACAAACTGCACTCGCGAGCTAAGAAAGTGGAGGAGTATTTGGTTGCAAAAGCATCTACGTGGATGCACAATCCAGTTGTGCTTTTATGCGGTGCGGTGTGCGGGCACAGCTCATTTCCCAGATTCCGGCTTCTTGGGAAAAATGCCAATAAACGGTGGTGCGTGCGTCCCGAGACCTCGGCCTTGGGTCGTAGCAGCGAGGAAGAAGCACATTGACAACACAAAAAAGTGGCGTCGCCCTTGTTTGGACGTTCTTTCATCGTCATCTCCCTCCCGTGGTCCAGTGGTTGTTCTTATCGCAACGGTCGGGACAATAGGTATAAGGGAGGACAAGCGACCTACTCAGTTGACGCAATGGATGCATCCATGGATGTACGCGTTGCGATGCTCTCAAGAGAATACTTTCTTTCGTCAGGGGGTGGTCAGGTCCTGCTTGCACTCACGCGACGACGAACCGCGTCTGGCTCGCTGGCCAGTCATCGCCGACGTGTACCATCGGACAAGCCAGAAGGAGACTGTGAGAATATTACAGGCTGCTCCGTATCGCTTTGAGGAAGGGACCAAGGACGAAGTAATGGAGGGGAACAACAAAATCAAGCGAAAAGAAAAACAAGCAAAGGAGAGACATAGCCGTCCTGGTATGTGTGTGTGTGTGTGGATGTGTCTGAAATTGCTTTCCCTCCTCAGTCGCGGAAGAGGGGGCCGGTCGCAGGGATAAGCCGCCACAGCGCCCCCAAGTTAGGCGAAAAAGAGCCTTAGGGTGGCCCGGTTTTTCGCGGGATCACCCATTTTCAAAAGCGAGAGCGAGAGAGCGGCGCATGAGATCAGTCAGGGGAAAGAGGTCTTAGCAGGGATTAGCCTTCTGCCAAGCCTGCCTGTTGTTGTAGCTCCTCGCTTGGGCTGCTTTGGGTGCAGCAACCCTTTTTCTCGTTTCGATCCTTCCCCTCCGTCCCAGCCTCTTTTTCCCCTCATGTGTCTTCAGCTGGGATTTTTCACAAACACATGGAACGTTGAATGATGTTGATGAGGATTGTCGGGGGCGGCACGCACAACTTCAAGGGGGAAGGCAAGGGGCAGGGAGTCAAAGGGAGCTGCAGGATTTCTGTTGCATTTCTTGTGGGTTGTGCTCCCCCTCCTCACTTTGCGATTGATCAATCTCTCTCGTTATTTCCGATTCATCCCCATTCTCGAGCTATTATCTCCCAGTCTGATTCAATGATCAATGCTTTAAACTGTACCCAGACTCTCGGGTCAGCACAGGCCAGCTCCTGCTCCCTCTCTCGCACGCACGCCACGAACCCCAACCCAAGCTCCCCCATCCTCTCTCCACAAACATAATTCCTTACCCACCCGCATCCTCCCCTCTCCACCAGATTATCCTCCCGCCCCTTAAAATTTCCTACGCCTTGATTACATCGAAGCTGCGCATGAGTGGAACGAGGAAAAGAGAGGGCCGTTAAACGCACCAACGAACCAGCAGCAAAGAATTCCCCAAGCCAACAAACACAATGCCGGGGAATCCTCGACACCGTCGTCTTCGTCGGTGATGCCTAAACATCTCCCAATCGAGGTAGATCCAGACATAATAGCCGCGGCCTCCGACTACGACGGCTCCTCCGCTGCCTCGAGCTTCACCAGCTCGGCATCCCTACGGAGCAGCATCTTGCGTTACCGCGTCGAGAACGGCCGCACCTACCACGCCTACAAAGACGGCTCGTACCTAGGTCCCAACGACGACCCCGAAAAGGAGCGCCTCGAGCTGCAGCACACGCTCTGCGTCCTCACCTTTGACGAGCTGTACCTATGTCCCGCGGGCAAGGTCGCCGGCCAACCACCCTGCGCAGGATTCTCGATCTCGGCACGGGCACCGGGTGTTGGGCCCTCGAGGTCGCGCACCAGTTCCCCGAGGCGCGCGTCGTCGGCGTGGACCTCAGCCCGATCCAGCCCCCTACGTGCCCGCCAACGTCGAGTTTGGCATCGACGACCTCGAGGACCCCTGGACCTACTCGGACCGCTTCAGCCTCATCTACGCGCGCTTCCTCACGGCGTCCGTTGCCGATTGGCCGCGTCTGTTCAAGCAGTGCTACGACAACTTGGAGCCTGGCGGGTGGCTCGAGGTCGTCGATATCCTCCCCATCACGAGCGACGACGGCACGTTGGCTGCTGACACGCCGCTGGCGAGGTGGGCCGCGCTCATCCTCGAGGGTACGCGGAGGTTCGGTCGCCCGCTCGATGCGCCTCTGGCGTATCGGAAGGGATCGAAGATGCGGGATTCAGGGATGTGGTAGAGGAGCGTTTCATCTGGCCGCAAAATAGGTGGCCTAAAGATTCCAAGCTAAAGGAGTTAGGTAAGTTGGAAAGAAACTAGACAAGAGATGATGAGGACCGCCGAATCCCAAGGTGGCCATCAGGGAACTGAGCTAACAGTGCGAGGTGTGGATCGCAGGCCAGTGGTGCTTTGAAAACATCGACACGGGGCTCGAAGCAATCAGCAACGCCATCTTCACACGATTCCTCGGATGGACAAAGGAGGATTTGGACGCATTTCTTGCCGAGGTTCGCGAGGACATGAAGAATCACGACATACATTCATACTGGCCCATGTAAGAGGCTTTTTCTTTTCTCTTCGAGCTGCGTCTATTATCGCCCGTGCTAATTCTTGATTCGTTGTAGTGTCGTCTATTACGCTCAGAAGCCTTTGGAAGATGGGTCAAAACCTCACACCAACGGGAATGGTGCATGACAGAAAGCGGGAGCATGCATACATGGAGTGCATGGTGAAGGCAGAAGCGAAGAAGCATTAGTAGCATGGCTTGCGTGATGTACATACATACCCCTGGCGTTTATCCCCTCTCCCCTCTCTCCCTTTCATGCAATCTCTTTTTCTCCTTTTCTTCCTCTTTCCCGTTCTTCCCCCTCTTGGGCTGGATACTGCTTTTCCTTTGGCACCAAAAGGCGTTGCTGTTCTACACTGTACATATGCCGTCTCACTATTGTTCGCATCTGTCCGTGAGCTACGCTTGGTGTGGACACGCCGTTGCAAGGTTCAACATGAATTTAAACAAATACACATTACTATTCGTATATGTAGCTGAACGTGAGCAGTCAACAATTCGCTTCTGGCTTCATCAAATCTATGCCGTGCTCCAACCCAATGCAGCCAAGAAATCTAACCCGGTTTCCCCGTTCCGTCCCAATGCTCTGTATTTCATGTTCAAGGCCCAAGAGTGCTCTCTCCTTTCCTTCTTTTAGACATTATCTGCACATACTGCGTATCCCCAGGCCGCAATCTACACCGCCAAGACATAAAAAAGCCATGTCCAAATCTACAGTAGCTTTTTCAGATCGTGCTCCTAGATTGGCCAGATTAGTAACACGGTTACCCAAAGTTGGACGTGTGGTAGCAAGCGTTGAACTTACCGGCTTATGACTAGTCTCATAGTCAATATGAACGTAGGCCCGCTCGACACAAGGAAGTTTCTCGAGCTTAATTTGCAAATCCTCGGCGACGTCGTGCGCGATCTCGAGCCGCTCGTTGCGGTCAATGACGATGTCGACCTCGATGAGTAGGCGGGGTCCGCTGTGGTAGGCGCGGACGGTGTCGATGCGCTCGACGAGGGGCGAGTGGGTCATGGAGATGTAGGTGATGAGCTGCAGCGTCTCCTTGTCGGCCGTGACACCGATGAGGAGCTGGAACTCTTCCCAGGCGGTGTGCAGCCAGAGACCGCCGATGAGCACGGACAGGAGGATGGCGCCCATGGGGTCGATCCACCAGCGGAGCTTGCTACCGCCGACGGAGGTGAGGATACCGAAGCCATTGATGGACAGGTCGTTGCGGTGGTCGCGCCACAGGATATCGACCTGAGAATATATGTCCTTGACAGTCCAGCAGAGGAAAAAGAGGAAGAGCTTGGTGCCGAAGGCGATGGCGACGGCGATGACGGAGGGCAGGTTAAACGTCTTGGTCTCGTCCTCGGAGCCAGAAGCGAGGTCGCGGGCCGACATGACGATCAGGACGAGCGAGACGGAAAACATGATGAAGGAGAAGACGATGTTGCCGGCGGTGGAAATGCGAGCGCGACCCGAGGGTACTTGCGCTCGTCGACTTTATCCACGGCGCGGTGGGACATGTAGAGCATCAGCCCGGACAAGGGGTCGAAGACGGAGTCGGCCATGGTGGTGAAGAGGGACAGGGAACCGGACGAGATGGCGGCGTAAAGCTGCAGACCGGACAGGACGACGTTGGCGGCGAGGGAGCCCTTGACGCACACGTGGTACATGAAGTTATTCTTGCCGCGCTCGTCCTTGACCTCTTGCTCGTGCTCGTCCACCGACTTGAGCATGGACCGGATGCTCTCGTTTTGGTGCTCGTAAAACTTTTGCACCTCGCCGCGGTTGCTCCACAGCGGCCGGCGGTCGCGCCGCCGCGAGCTGTTGGCCTTGATCTCGGCGTCGTCCTTGATGCGCGAGGCGAGGTTGAGCGGGTCCCGTACGCTGTGCTGGAACTCGACGTCGCGGCCGGCGGGGGCGGGATGGACGCGCGGTGGAAGTGGCGGTTGCCTGTGCGCGCGAGGGCGCTGAGGGAAACGTCGTCGCCGGGCGCCGGGGAGGACGGCGATCGGGAAAGGCTCCGCGCCATGGTGGCGGGAGAAGAGAGAAAGGATGAGGGAAGGGCGGGCGAGCGGGTTCACTGCGAGTGAGAACCCAAGGGTTTGTCCCGCCGCTACCGAGGGGCCTAGATGCGCTGTAGCTTCGTGATCGAGAGCTGGTTTCCGCCACCCTCTTTGTCGCTCAGGGGGACGCGCTGTGTCAATTTCGACTAGGATTGCGAGATTGCGTGGCCCGATTATTCGTGTCTTTTAACGGCGTAAGGCAAAGGTTGAAGAGGGAAGAAGAGAAGAGGTGGCTCAATTTTTGGCCCAAGGAGCTAGCTCTCTGTCCCTTTTTTCTTCTTTTTCCTTGTTTCGTCTTAAGATCGTCGGGGAGCTTGGGACAGTCTGAGCGCACGCCAAGGTCCCCCGCAGTAGGTGGCAATCTTTACAAAGCATGGTGCCAAGCTGAAAAGGCAACTCACCTAAGCCTACTATGACACAACTCTGAGAGCTGGTGAACTGCCGGGTGCCAAGGTCACAGAGATAATCTCTCTCGCACCGCTGATTGCCTAGAATGGAATAGCGCTGAAAACGTTTTCCGGGATGCGAGTTTTCCGGGCAAGTCGAGACGACCACGTGCACGCAGTCCACGGCACCAGCGGATGTTTTCTTCGGGGCAAACTCCGATGAGTCAGCCGAAGAGATTACACTCCAGTGCTTGTAGGGCCCTTCAGCATCCATCGCGCTGATGAGATCACTGATAAGAGCCTGCCTTGCCCCATAGGTCCCCACAAATTGGCCGCTTATCCACCAAACCGACCCGCTGAAGACCCCATTCAGCACCACGAAAAGGTTCCGATCCGCTGGATCATTATTGAGGCAAGTCTTACCGAGTCGAGTCTGAGAACCCCCAGAGCAGAGGAGAGGGCTACCCAGGATTTCATGATGCTGTCATAGGTTTGTTTCGAAATTCAGCTGGTATGGCAGAAACCGGGTTGGTTGATCGAATGTGAATTTTGGCAAGCGGAGGTGCGTTCAAAGACTCACGAAGACAACAAGCGAAGATAAAAGTAGAGCATCAAATAGAAATATCGTTGGTATCTGTATTAATAAAAGTTTGGCTTGCTTTCTGCTTGCTCGATTGTTTGATTGCGTACTCTTCTTCTCGAGCGATTCAGCTCGTCTCGCAAAGAGGACGATCACGCCCCTAGAAACGCCAACTCCGCCAGCAGCCCCACGACCCATAGCCCCGGAATCACCGCCGAGCGGATTCCCTTGCCCGTCACCGCCACCGCCGGGGCTCCGCCTTTATTCGGGGGCCCGCTGTCCGGAAGAGTGTCCTGCATGCTGTTGAGGGCTTTCCTGTCTCCGAAGCACATGATGCCATCTAACCCGGCGTTCTCGCGGCCAAGTTCCGCCGTCTTAGTCTCGTAGCACTCGTAAAACGCCTCGCGTCGGTTCTGGAGGTCTGCGTAGCCCTCCGTCGCGCCCAGCCCACAGTAACCCCAGCATAGCGGGTTCTCCGAATGCTCCGTGTCGGAGAGCGTGACCAGATCCTGCGACGTATCGGTCATATTGCAGCACGTCTTGAATATGTCGAGGTTGCCCTTGAAAGGGGTTGTCCGCACGTCATTTGGTCTTGCGGCAGTTCCGTAAGCCATAGGCCGTACGGCATCGTTCGGTTCTGTGGGCACTGTCCGTCCACTAGCCCGTAGAGGTTTATTATCGGCTTCGCGTAAATCATCTGACCGGTGCCATTCCCCGGAATCGTCCCGTTGGTGAGTGTGCCGTTGGACGCCATTCTGTCTGTGTTTCCGTTTTCCTTTATCTTTCTTTCGCCGTAGATCACATACGCAGCCTAAAGCAGGCCTGGGTGCCTTTTGTAGAGAGTGTTTGTAGAATTATCTTGGAGTCGGAAGTGAATAGGTTCTGGTTGGCTTTATGACTGGATGGCGATGGTCGGTCTTCGGTGGTAGCTGCGTTGTTGTCGCAACACCTATGCCTACTGACAGATCGAATCAGAGGAGGAAGAGGCAAAGTTGAGGCGGTCCGCTATTAAAAAGAGAGCACCCTGGTGCGATGAGCTGACGGACGGATAAAGTTCAGGAGAACTTCTGAAAGAATGTCGAAGGGGTTTGGAAGCACCAATAGAAGGATCTGACAAGCACTTGATGGGGGAGATTCTAGCCTTTTGTGGAAGGTGCTTTTTCCATGATGTTTTCAATCTTCCTGATGGGCTTCTCGAAAAGCCAAAACAACATGCAAGGCGAGTGTCGAGATCTCCTCGCAGGAAGCAAAAGACTGGAACCGCTTGTTTCAGCCACGGCCTCACCTGCCCCTTGCGGGTGCCCTGTTCCTTCATGCGAGAATTCCAAAAGAAATTCCCCTTCAATCCCTTGCCCAATTCGCCAATCGCAAATGATCTGGGGAAGGTTATTCCCTGCACTCCCGTCTCATACCTGTTGGTTGTGTCGGCCGACTCGGCAGAAGGGGAGAAAGGGGTGGGGAGAGGATCTCGCAAATCTACCAAGGTGGTGTTTCGACCGAGTCGAACCAACGTCAAGCCCAGATTCCCTTTTGTTCGGGTCGCTTGTGCGCCCAGGCGCCTTGCCAGGAAACGCGAAATGAGCTCCAAGGAATTGAATTTCAAGCGACCGTCTGCGCAGCGAAATGGACGCTGCATCACCCCGGTTCTCCCCTCCTGTCCCTTCAAGTACGGTTCGTGCAACCTGCTAAGCCGCGAGTAGATTGAGAAGCGGCATAGCGTTGTAGGCGAAGCGTTCCGGGGCGTTCGTCCTAGACCACACCAACCGGGAGTCTATTGATCCTTGAGCGCAACCCTTGCCGCACATCTCGTTTTGGCCGCTTTTCTCCGTCTGCGCTGGCTTCTCTCTTGATGGAACGACACCGCCGAAGAAGTGCCCGTGGGACGAATTTGGACTCATCTTTCAATTGCTCATTCATGGGTTGAGAATCTTGAGTGTACCATGAATTACATTTCATTGGAAGGACTCATTCCGAAATTTGTGCTCCAAAATGATGGAAGCGTTCTGAAGAAATCGCATCGCCTAGATGACATGGAACGTTGCCTACATGTAGCGTTCGCATCGTCGGCGAACTAGCTACAGTAAATTCTTTCTTCACGCGCGCATTGATTCTGAATTCTCTTCAGACTCGGAGGGGAATTTATGCAGTAGAAGCGAATGAAGGAGCTCTTGGCCTCTATGGCGCACAGCGCACAAAATATTGAAAGAATAGAAGGAAGCCAAGTCAGTTAGCTCGACTGCTTGGGTCACATCGGAAAATCACTAATCACACGATTTTGGCATGGTAATACACCCTACAAGGCATTCCCTTGCCCGAACCGAACCATACGCTCAGACGTCGGTGGCTCAAGCTATTGAAAAAGAAGAGAGAGAACTCAGAACGCTCTCCCTTGTAGAAAATCGCCAATCGGGGAGCTCGGAAAGCGTGATCCCTTCCCGCCCAGCCCTCGGCACCGCCCGTGGCGAAGCCATGGAAGAAGCCCAAGCTCATTCGAGCTATCCACGGTCACGCATCTGCGCGACAATCCCCCGTTGAGCCCAATCATTGTTGCTTTCATTTCCTGCATGTGCATAACATGTTGATATTTGAGCGCCCGCGATAGAATTTCTTTTCTCACGAAGGAGCAAATCACCAAGGGAGCTCGTGGTGTTTAACGTGTTTGAAAGCCTGCCCACACAGCATCACGAACCAACAGGTCCAGACCGGGGCTTCGTTTCATGACATTAATGCCTTACCTACAAGACGCCTACTGCCTCACGAACTATATCGATTGATCCCTGCTCTTTGGGACCTAACGCACCACGGGCCAATTGTGACCCCAATGATTCCCCGAGGTCAGGGGAATGCTTTTTCACTACTAGTCCACCTTAGTCTCCTTGGTCGATAGATACTTCCATGTCCACTGAAGCTCCTGGTTTCCCCAAACATGTACTGATTAACGACTAGCCGATTAGGAAAGTCAAGTATTTTCCCATCGGCAAAATCGTGGCGTGAAGGGCCTGGACAGTGTCCACATGATATGCCATCTCAATAGGAATGGATGGGATAGGAAGCCACCTGCTCCTTGTCAGTTTGTTCCGACAGATCATATAGAAGCATTGACAGGTGACGTTCCTAGCATCCAATTTCCACGATGCGCGGCAAATGATGTGGCATCCCAAACGGCAGCATTTAAAAACAAAGCATGATATCTGGAGACCAGAAATGGAACAAGTAAACATTTGGGAATCTAATAATCTTCTACATAACGGTATCAAACAGTAAGCCGCCCCAAAGCCATGGAGAAAAGAAAACACAACTGCGAAGACATAATCTATAGGGTAGTGTCAAACTCTGGGTTGACCCAGGTCGGCTGTGGCGTCTTCTCGCGGAGCTTGCCACCAAAGAGTTGGAGGCCGCCATAGAGGATCAAGCCACCAAAGAACACGATGATGCCCTGTCCGGCAAAGGTCATGGTCCAGCCTGACGACTCTTGCCACACGGCGATGAAGAACTAAACAAGGGGTTAGAAAATAAAATCGAAACCACTAGCTCGATTGGCAGCAATGTCGGATGAGGGAAACTTACAGGGTTGATGAAGGCGCTGAGGTTAATGAAGACGGCATAAAAGGTAATGACGCTCATAGACTGGAGTGGGTAGCTGTCGACGATGTAACTGCTCGTCACGGTGTTGCCCATTTGAATGCCGGCAGCGACTGTGAGACGAAGGATTAGTCAGTAACGTGTGTCTTGTGCCGACATGGAGATACAAATGGAATCTCCGATGAGGTAATCATAAAAGGGTAACTACGACTTACAGAGGAAGAAAGCAACCTGGCCAACCATCCAGTGGTAGCCCTTGTCGATGCTGATGCCCCAGACAATCAAGCCCACAGCCGTGATGACCAGGGCAGGATAGGCAAGCCACAACCGCATCTCGGGAATTCGGCTGCCGCCATTCTTCTTTGCGAGCCGGGCCACGATCCAGTCGGAGAGCCTTCCGGAGCAGAAGATTTCGGAGAAGACAGTGCCGAGCAAGAGGCCGATGAAGAGTAGACCCTGGATGAGAGGGGTGTACTGCGCGTAGGCGGCGGGCGCCATGGTGACGACGGACAGCACCCACCAGTACCAGATGAAGGAGTAGCCCAGGACGGCGAGGGCAACGACGGGCTGCTTGAAGGTGAGGGCGAAGCGGATAATGGTATCCCACGGCTTGGGGTGTCGGAGACCAGGGACGGGCTTGAAGTTGAGGAAAGGGAGGGCGGTGGTACGGGGCAGCTCGATGTCGCTGGGCGGGGCGGGAACCGGGTCGCTCTTCTCGTTGTCGGTGAGGTCGGGGGATTCGGGGCTCGGGGGCATGCGGGAAAGCATGAGGTTGCGGGGGTAGAGGGTCTCGGGCATGAAGAGGAGTTCGAGGACGAGCAGGACGCCGAAGAGGATGGCGTTGAACCAGTTGATCCAAGCAGCGCTGGCGAGGTTGAGGAAGCCGCCGACTAGGAACACCCGGTTAGTTCATCCAACTTGTAGGGTGGAATGGAGTTCACGGAGCCGACTTACAGATGGGACCGACCAAGAGACCGGTGTCGAGGGCGAGAACCCAGAGGCCGAGCTTTTGACCACGCTCATATTCGAAGAACAAGTCACCGACTAAAAAGAACGCACGTATAAGTCAGAAGGAGGTGTCTCAAGATTGTTTTGCAGTGTGCACGCGGGCCGTGGGTTTTGTGTCTTACCAACTGCCATTCCGACGGTTGCCGCCGGGCTGACGCCGAGACCTTGGAAGAAGCGGGCCGCCATGTATCCCCGTACGTAGGGGCGGCAGCGGCACCGCAGGTCGCAGCTAGAGAGATGACGGATCCGACGATGAAAATGATGCGTCGGCCGTAGATGTCGCTCAGGGAGGACCATAGTAGAGGACCGACGGCGAGACCGAGTGCGGGGATGGCGACGGTCCAGTTGACCTCGGAGAAGGAGATGCCGAACTGGTCTTGGATGTCGGGGAAGGAAGGGACGGTGGTTGTCGTGAGATAGGTGAATAGGAAGTATCTATAAAAGAGGGAAAGTCGTGTAAGCAGGCTTATCACCTCAATGTATGGTGTATCAAAAGACTCGGAATGCTTTTGCTTACTTGAACATGACAATGGCCAAGATGGTATTTTTCCTCAACTTGGTCCAGTTGAGGGGGTCGAGAGGATCAGTGGTAGGCTGGGGATGCAGTTTGAGGCCATCTGGTGTCGTAGCCGCCTCGATGTCTATTTGGCCGGTTTCTTTTGCCCAACTCGATCCCGGACTCGGGGGCATGCTTTTCTTTTCGCCTTCCATCTTGGGTGGCGTAGTTGTCCGATCGATGGACCACCTTGGAGCGGCTCTTTTGTTCACAATGGGGTAGGGTCTGGATGTCGAAGATGGTGGATGGGTGGTCACTGGAGTCCGCAAGCAAGTGAAAGATGCTATCAAAAAGAACTCGTCCTGGAAAAGAAACCTATTCAAGTGGATATTCTAATTCTGGTGATGGTATAACTGAATGCGACGATGTAGGACATGATGCACAATGAATACCCAGGACGTGCTGCAGTATATATGCCTTGGTCCTCTTGCATACATCTCCTGCAGGCCTCAACGTTGATCTTCGGAATACCCCATGATAACGCCCGATCCTATCTTTCCTCCCTCTGCTCAGCCTTATCTCTCCACGTTAGAGAGGTGGCCCCCCTTCCTTTGATAGACAAGGGTGGGAGGAATCTGGCCAAGGGTGTTTCCGGGACGTCGGGCTCTACGAGGAAAAGTGGACCGCCTAAGTCCCCGGGGCCTCTAGAACATCTCACTAGCCACGCTGCACTTGATATGGTGGATGGGTTGGTCAAGAGACTCGCTGCAGTTCTCGAGGGTTCGCTTTTGCACAATCATCTCGCCTCAACTACTGCCGTGCATCGCATGAGTGCTCATCGGATAAATATTATTTTTTTGGGCTTCATTCTCGGTTGAAAAATACAACTATGGGGTTTGGGCCTCGCCCTCTCTGGAGGCCAGGGCCCAATAAAATGTAGATAGGGAGGAGGAGGAGGATGAAGAGGAAGCGAAGCTGACCACCTTGGCCACCATCGCTTTCAAAGTCATATCAGAGAGACAGACGTGGACCACGGCTCCCTCTCCGGGTTTGAAAGAGGCTAGTCTAAAGCATTACTTCTTCATCGAGAAACATCGGAATATTGTCGGCGACTGTGTATACGACGACCTCCCCGCGTAGAGGTGGGCCAAAAACAGGCCAGGCCCATATATGATAACGACTCCGACTATTGATACATTCGGAATGTCATGCCACCCGCGATGAACAAAGTACGCATCGTCGAACAACAAGCGATCAATTCCCTTCCACGGGGGCTCTGCGGAGGAATATATGATCCAACTGCATGCTGGCCATGTGGGAATAGATCATCTTGCGGGGTGGCTCGAGAACATCCCGCGCTCTTGGAAATCCGCGGCCGCCGAACCCTACAGTTGGGAACGGCAGATGGAGTCGCGGGAAAGAAAAAAAAAGGGAAGCGAGATGTGTGACATTCGCTAGACTCGAGCCAGGGGCAAACATTTTCGAGCCCTGACAGCACGAGGGTGCGTTATCTCCAGAGACAGATGGGCCAATGGTGTGGGCTCCTTGCATGCAAGACAGACCCTCCCCTCGTGGTGCATCGAGATAAGGAAATTTCCACTTATCAGTACCTCCCTTGGCCTCCGAGGTTTTAGGTGGAGCCCGTCTCCGAGTCGAGGTGGGCCCCTGCGCTGCAGAGATAAGCAACCCTAACCCGAACAGCCGATGACAGTCGAGTCTGGGGAACCACCTTTGTCCGAGGTGGCGGAACCTGCAAAATAGTTGTTGCAAGCCGGTCACGAAAAGAGAAAGAAGAAAAAAAGAAGAAAGAAACCCCTCCCGGTTTCCCCGTTCCGATTATCGGATGCGCTACTGTTACAATTCTTGACTGTCGGACATTTCCGGCCTTCGCCGACTAGGTGAACTAGTCGTGACTCGGGATTCGCGGGCCCCGGAGTGCTTACAAGTCTGCGCGCGTAATAGGAAGAAAAAAACCTTGCCAAGATATGGGCCTTTGCCCATCAGAGGTTAGCAAAGAACGGGATGAGAAAAATGAATCTTCACGCTTGAGTGTTATCTGCGGCGTTTCTAACTGGCCGGAGGATGAGGCCTAGTACTGCACACATCTTAGACGCCGTATCAGGAGTCTAGTGGTCGTTGGCAGCGAACGCCCTGCGTCATGTAAGAGTGTGAGGGTAACCCACATTGAGCCATTGAAGATTGCAGACCACTAGCCTCCTCGATCAATAAGATGCTCACGGATCTCCTTGGAGATCTTAAAAGAATTCCGTACATGTAGTCCTTGATTCACGATTCCCCTGCCTTTGACCGGGTCCCTAATACCATACATCACTGCTCAAAGATCAACATGGGACAAGACACTCCACGGGCTGTCGCTGGCAGCGTTACAACACCGCCTGACGAATACACGTCTCTACTGACAGGCCAGCCCCAAGGGAGCGTGTACAGCCAAAATGAAGAGGACCAAATCACCGTCCTCGACGAGGACAAGCCGACGAAAAAGCTCATCCTGGAAGAAGTCAAGGTCCTTCTCAAGGGATCCGTTCCCGTCGTCCTCGCTTATACTCTCCAAAACAGTCTACAAACAGTCTCCGTCTTGATCGTAGGCCGTTCGTCGCCCGAGAACTTGGCCACGGCGGCCTTCTCGTACATGTTTGCCATGTGCACGGCGTGGCTGATCGGTCTCGGAGGCACAACGGCACTCGACACACTCGCATCCTCGACTTTTACCGGCAGTTCCAACAAGCACGATCTCGGTATACTCCTACAGCGGGCCTTTATTGTGCTGGGTCTGTTTTACATCCCCGTGGCCACGCTCTGGGCGTTTTCGGAGCCGGTCTTCCGGAGCTTGGGACAGGATCCTCAACTGTCGCGCGATAGCGCTCGATTCTTGACATGCCTTATCCCTGGTGGACTTGGATATATATACTTTGAAGCTATGAAGAAGTATCTTCAGGCGCAGGGTAAGCTCTGCCCCTTTTTATGTCTTAAGGCACGTTCTTTTGCATGCAATCATACTAACAACTTGTATCAAAGGTATTGCACGACCCGGTACTTATGTATTATTCATAACATCCCCTTTCAGCGCTGCCCTCAACTATCTCTTCGTTTACAAGCTCGACATGGGCCTACTAGGCGCTCCTATTGCCACCGGCATCGCGTATTGGCTTTCCTTTGGCCTTCTGCTTCTCTACGCCCGGTTCGTCGCCGGTTCCGAATGCTGGGGCGGATGGACACGCCAATCCCTCGAGAACATGGGCCTATTTGCGCGCCTCGCCTCCATGGGCATCATCCACGTCGGTACCGAATGGTGGGCCTTTGAAGTCGTTGCCCTCGCCGCCGGCAGGCTGGGCACTATCCTCTCGCCGCGCAGAGCGTCATCATGACGGCGGACCAGGTGCTCAACACCATCCCCTTTGGCCTCGGCGTCGCGGCTTCCGTGCGCGTAGGCAACCTCCTCGGCGCGAGAGATCCCAAAGGTGCGGCTCGGGCGGCGCACTGCGCGGCTTGCTTGAGCGTGTTCCTGGGCCTCGTCGTGCTGGTGGTTCTCATGGCCACGCGCAACAACTTTGCCAAGATTTTCAACGATGACGAGCAAGTCGTGCGCCTCACGGCCGAGGTTCTCCCCTACGTGGCCCTTTTCCAGATTGCCGATGGTCTCAACGGTAGCTGTGGTGGCAGCTTGAGGGGTATGGGCTTGCAACACATTGGCGCGGCGGTTAACCTCGTCAGCTACTACTGCGGCGCCCTCCCGCTGGGAATCTATCTCGCTTTCCATGGCTGGGGCCTGAAGGGCTTGTGGGTGGGCCAATGCATTGCGCTGTACCTGGTCGGCACGTTGGAATGGATCATTGTCGGGTTGAGCAACTGGGAGAGAGAGGTGGAGAAGGCGTTTTTGAGGATGGACAAGGCAGATCAGGTGGAGGCGGGAGGACTACTTCACTAGACATAGAGATTTCATTTTCGGCAACAAACCTAGAAAAGAAAAAGAATGTCACGTTTTACGGAATTTAACGGCGATTAGGCAGGTCATGACACAGCTAGGGATGGTGATGATGGGACAGGCAAGAAAACAATGCTCTCTTTTCGCTACAAATAAAGCTAAGTTCCCAAGTATTTTGGATATTCTTTTTCTATTTATGCAGTTAAACTAGAAAGCACCAAATTATCAACCTTCCTTACGGCATTAGATCTTGCTATCATCAAGGTAAGCTGCGAGGCCAGTAGAACGGAATTATAGCCGACTAGATCACATTTCTTTCTTCATGATCGAGTGAGTGTGGGGAAAATGGGCATGGCTGGCCGGCCAAATGGGGTGTTGTGTGGCACCGGTCCACCCACCTCCACTCTGCCATGCGTTTTTGCGATTGTGATGAGTAAATACAGAATGTCACTGGCAAACAGACTGTGGGGGACTAGTGAGAGACTTGGCAGGGCCCGGTAGGCTTGACGACAATATCTCGGAACCCGTATGCCAACCATCGAGTGACGGAGAACGAGGGAGCTGCCGACTTCAAAACTCGTTGTTTTCTTGATGCTTCAAAGGTTCAATTGTCGATTGCCATTTCTTGGTCCTGATAGTGCCCCAATTGATCCTTGAGGATCTCAAAGACAGGCCAATTCCCAGGGTGCTTGATAGCAGGCGCAGTGGTGACGGATGACGGCATGCGCGATTCCGAACTAGTCCTGAAGGAACTATCTTGCCCCACTGGCCCGACGCGGTGGAACTCGACCAAGCAACCCGAAGCTAAAGGACCAAATCACCCAACGAGAACGCTCCGATAGCTTTCCGCCTTGGCTAGCTCCGACCTCTCCTCCCCAATCCCAACACGGCGCCCGCAGGCTAGAACTATTTTTCTTCTCTTTTGGTCTGCCCCCTCTCGTCCTTCCTCTTCGACGGACGGAGCACTCCGGCGCTGATAAGGCACGTCCTCTTATCAGCACCAGCTAGATCCCCACTCACGCGTTCGCCTCTCCCCAGCCGAACCCTGGTTGCCTTTTCAGTTTGTCAAGGATTCCCATGCAAGCGCTATCGAGCTCCAACGCAGCCCTAGGGTTCCATTCGCCGTGCCGGGCCAGACACCGCTCGGTGGATCTCTGCTTTTCTCCCCGCCTCTAACAGGCTAGAGGGACGCTGGACTCTCGGATTGCCCAATGGCATACCGCAGCCTGATCTCGCAGTCCTCGCGTTGCGCTCCTGGAAGGACCCGTCTCGGGGGCCGAGGGGCGCGGAGTGCGAGCTTGGATGGTTCCGAAAACGGCCGCATGGCAATGGTCTGGAGAATAGTACGGCAAAGTGTTAGTGACGTCGGAGATGCTCATGGAGCTCTCGAGTAGCTTTTTTTTCTTTTAAAACAGCTCTTGCAGCTCGTCTCCCTATCTCTCTTGTTCTAGCCATACCATCCCGTGTCACTTGTTGCATCCTTTCCTATAGGTTTTGACAAGACCAGCCGCCAACATGATCTCTTCCCTCACCTCTAGCATTCTCCTCTTCGCCGCTGGCGCCCTCGCCCACGCTGGCCATGACCAGACTCCCATGATTGCCGGTCCTCTCCAGGGTCTCTGGTACAACTCCCTTCCCGGTGATGGCGGTACTCAGGTATGATTGGCCCTCTTCTTCCCACCTGTCGCCTACCTTTCCCTACACCTCGCGTACCCAAGTCATACTCGTGACTAGATGGCTAACATGTACGGTACAGGCCGATGCCGTCTACTCCGGTATCGCCACCTTTGCCCGCCTTCCTTATTACCCTTGCTTGTCGAGCGAGACCGAGCGCTTCGACATCGCCTTCCTAGGTTTGTCAATCCCAAGATGTTCCAAGCGTTTACCGTGTTCCTAACACGCCCTTTTAGGTGCTCCCTTTGACACTGGCACGTCGTACCGCCCTGGTGCTAGGTTCGGCCCCAGTGGTATCAGACAAGGTTCGCGCAGGCTAAACCTATAGTATGTTGTGCTCCGCCGTTTGCGTGCTTACAATCTTCGTCTTCTCGAACACAGGCTCACGTAGGGTTGGTTTCAGCGGTGGTTACAATGTTCCCCTCGGCGCGAATCCTTTCACCAGCGAGTTGAGGATCTTGGACTGCGGTGACATTCCCGTTACCTCGTATGTGTTTCCCTGTACAACTCGCAGTCATCATGCGGGCGCCCCTCCCTTGGTCAAAATGCCCAGCTAACTTGCGTTTTTTGCAGATACGACAACACCTGGGCCATTCGCCAGATTGAGCGCGGCCACAACAGCCTGCTCATGCGCAAGCCCTTCACCAACTCCGACAAGCCTGGCCAGTCCAAGGCCGGCCACACTCTCCCCGTATCATCACCCTCGGTGGTGACCACACCATCACCCTGCCCCTGCTGAGGAGCATCAACAAGGCCTACGGCCCTGTGACCGTCATCCACTTCGACAGCCATCTGTAAGTGTCCTGCACCCTCGACCCCAATTCTCCTAGTTTAAGTGGAAATGCAAGGACCTAACAATACATCCAGCGACACCTGGAAGCCCAAGGTCTTTGGTGGCGAGCCCAGCGACGTTGCCGCCATCAACCACGGAACTTACTTCTACCACGCCGCCATGGAGGGTCTCCTCAAGAACGACACCAACATCCACGCCGGTATCCGCACCACCCTTTCCGGCCCCTCTGACTACGAAAACGACGGCTACTGCGGCTTCGAGATCGTCGAGGCCCGCGAGATTGACACCATCGGCACCGAGGGCATCATCAAGAAGATCCGCGAGAGGGTCGGCACCACCAACCCCGTCTACCTCTCCATGGATATCGATACCATTGACCCTGCTTGTAAGTTCAGAAAACTTCCGCCCTCTCCAAATAATTAGATGCGCGGCATCCTGTGACAAGACACTTGGACTAACGAGACCCAAAGTCGCCCCTGCTACCGGTACCCCCGAGACTGGCGGCTGGAGCACCCGCGAGTTCCGCACCATCATCCGCGGTCTCGAGGGCATCAACATCATCGGCGCTGACATTGTCGAGGTCGCCCCTGCCTACGATACCAACGCTGAGCTCACCACCATGGCCGCTGCCGACGTCCTCTACGAGGTCATGACCCTCATGGTCAAGGCTGGCCCCCTCAGCGTGCCCGGCTCGACCTCCGAGGAGTTGTAAGCAGCGAGGAATTTTTGTTCCTTCTCTTGATGGAAGGAAAATTTCTCTTTGGAACAAGAAGAAATAATCAATGGTGTCGAGAAGACGAAAGGCGCACGTGGGGTTGCGAAAATGAACCATTTTACGAATGAGTATTGCACGGGTGGCGTACATTGCTGGTGTGGGTTGAATTCTTGTTATAATAGACAACTGAACCACAAGGTTTCATAGTTGATTTAAGTTTGCAATAAAGCGGTTAAGTGATATCCTAAACAGACGTCTGCATCCTACATTATCACACCACAAACCTGAGCCTCATCCTTATCCTCATCAATCATCACTCCTCGTGTATCAATAGCTGGAAAAGTCTACATGGTAGCCCTACCACTTTCCTACGGGAGCTCGCACTCAATCAAGCTCTCTACGCCCTTCCCACCGCTCCAAATCTTGACAATCTTGAGGCCGGCTTGCTTCTCGAGCAGGTTATACCAGTCCGTCTCAGTACGCTCGGTAGAGCAGAAGAGAGTCAGCATGACCATGTCAAGGGCCGACGTCTCCCAGTAAGCGCCGGTAGACGGGATGACGTTCTCGTTGATGAGCAGCTTGCTGTACCCAGGCTTCATGGCGGCCTTGATGCGGGCGAGGATGCTGCCGCAGACATCATCGGGCCAGTCATGGAGGCAAGAGTGCATGTAGTACGCACGGGCACCTAGAAGTGGGGGAACAAGAATAGGTTAGCTGATGCCGTTTTTGAGTTCGGGGAAATGGTATGCTTCGTTTTCTTACCTTCAACGGGCTGCGCAGTGTGGAAGTCGTACTCCATCGTGGTAATGGCAGGATTCAATTCCTTGATCTGACCAATAACGACGGGGAGATCCTGGAGGATGAGCTTGCCAGGGGCATCGGGGTGATGGCGGCGGAACTCATCGAGATCGTGGCCAACACTGCCGCCAATATCAACCAGGAAGGCAGCTTCGGGATCGGTGTCGGCACCCTCGATGAGGCGCTCCTTGACTGGGTAGAAGTTGGGGCCCATCCACGGGGGCGGCCCTGGCGGTAGCCGCCCATGTGGTGGTTGAAGTGCATGCCGTAGCCGAGGGACTGCTGCCAGGCAAACATGTCCATTTCGGTCTGGTAGCCGTACATCATGGACGTATCCTTGGCATCGGTCGGGTTCTTGAATCCCCGCTTGCGCGAGTACTCGTGGAACTTGATGGGGCCTTGGCTGGTGCATGAAATCCTACATTTGGAAGAAAAGGGCCAAGGTTAGCATTGTACACGTTACTTTCTATTCCTATGACAAGACGAAACCGGGGGTTCAAGCGAGACGACCACGGAGGAAACGCATCGGCTCCGAGATCCCTGGCCGAGCCAGTAAAGAAACGAGAGGAAACTTACATGGCGAGGTAACCATCGCCGATGATGGGAATGCTCATGGCCTTGGAGTAGTTGGTAGGCTTGTACTCATCGGTGCCAGTTTCGATAATGTAACCCATGGCACCAAGGTGGCGCATGAGACGGCCTGGGAAAAGGGTCAGAGATGATCAATGCAACCCGTGGGTGACGGAAAGGAAGGGACCACGACCATGGTGCATGGTTCGGCATGCGCATCAACTTACTCAAAAGCAGGGGCTCAACGCCGAGTGGCTCGGCCAGCTCAGCAACAGTTTGCGGCCTGTCGCCGTTCTTGGCCATGAGTTTCCACAAGCCGGAATCGACGCCGAAGCAAAGGCCGGCCATGGCACCAGTCTGTCAGGATCCATATCAGCGTATGGGCTGGTTAGGAGGATGGGAAGTGGTAGTTCTATCCCTTACCTGGGCCCAGCAGTGCTTCACCATGGTCTCGCGGGGAGTCTCGAGGGACTGCACAAGGGTGCGTGCCTTGATGAGAAGGTCATGACGAGCCTCATCGCCACCCGTCTCGAGAGCGCTCACGCCGGCAGTGATCTGCTTGAGGAGGTCGGGGACGGCCTCGGCGTTGTTGGGCTGGATGGCGATGGCCACGTCAACGGCGGGGTGGTCGCCGTTGATTCCGTTGGTTCCGTCGTTCGCCATGACTGGGCTGGACTTTGTGATGTAGGGGAAGGATTTCTGTTCCTGGTATCCTGTTCGCTGTTCCTTTACAGTGCTCGGTCTTTTGAAACTTGCAGAGTTACGTCGGGAATCTGCACTGCAGGTCGACGCACAAGAGAAGAAGGCAGAACGAAATAAAATGTGGGATGTGATACGCAATGCTTTTGTTTGCAGGATCGTACAAGGAGGAGATGATGCGAGAAAGAAAAATGCGGGAAATCTGGTTTTCTGGGGAACACGAGGGCAAGGGAATCTCTTTGTTTGTTGACTAAAGGGAGGGCGGACGAGGAATGGATATCTGAACAGCTGGAGAGGGGTAATCGAGAGAGAAGACAATCCAAGCTCATCTAGCCCCTTTCCGAACAGCATCGGCAGGGGCCTCTAAGAGATCCCTAGGCGACGGGAGGAGCGAACTATTCCCTATTCTCCGTCACCTCATCATGAGGTCGCTATTAGGGGGCGCCTCAAGTTTCAACAGCCCTTCTCGGCCTGGGGTGGGCTCTACTTCGCTGGACATTAGACTTGTCAATCTTGTCAAGAGGCGAATGGACCGGGGTTCCTGCAGGCAAAGGGAGAATCCCTCACTAGTGTGTTGGATAGATCAGATATCCCGCTCGACCAAGCAGGCCTTTTCTCAAGAAACGCCCCCTTGTAAGGGCGCAACAGTGGGAGCAAGCTCCATAAATGTTCGACGTTGAGAGGCTCCACTCGGCCATACCAAGGCTGGACAAGAAGCCTTGTTTACCAGGGGGCGAGAACTGGAAATCGACACACCATGGCTGCAGGAGGAGTACGCCACGTCGTGGTGTGCATAACCTCACAAACAATCGTGGGGAGACCAAAGGAGAGAAGGAGGGAAGCGTGGAGGAAGGAATTGTAAAAGGGACAAAAGCAAGTAAGGCGACCTCGGGCCAACCTCTGCGCCGGCCGTGGCGTTTTTGAATAGGAGATGGGCAACAAAGGGAAACACGAAGGGGGAAGCATCTGGGCTAGTGCAAACGGCCACTTTGCCAAAAGCAAAATAGCTGTGATTTCGAAGTCAAGGGGGTACCCGGGGCGAAGAGAAAAGCAAGTATACGTGGGATGCTTGAAATAACAACAACGCTGTTGGTTGACGAAAGCTGTGAGAAAGACGACACGATGGCCAGTGCGACGGTGATTGACATCAAACGTAACATGAGATGGAGAAGTGTTCCGCAACAAGATTACGCGGTGCGATCAATGGCGAGGGTTGCTTTCCAAGGGGAGGTTCTATCACAATTCAGATTCCGCTTTTCTTGCCCCGAATAGGAACAACTATTGGGTTTGTGAAGGATGCTGTGCGAGCATTCCGCGCTGAGCCGGGGGCTAGGCAGGCAATTCTACCTGGCAAACGGGTACTTTCTCCGGGGTTGGAGGAGCAAAAGGACTGTTGCAACCCGTCAAAGCCGTCATTGATGAGAGGGCGAGTCTTGACGATGATCTTCACTTAAGCAAAGTGGGTCTTTTCCCCTGACTTGCTGCTTGAGGGGTATCACTGGTGGGGGACCGGAGGGAGGAGGGGAGCTCTTGGGAGACCAGAAATTGGGGCTCGATGAAGATGAGATGTGATGCAGTCGGGAATCGAGAGTTCATCGCACCTACATGGATCAACTTGCGCCGCCTCATTTCGCTTTTCCCTTATCAAGTTTTCGCTCCAAGTGTGAGCCCCTCTCGCCTAGCCTATCGATAGTTCAAGCTCTCCTCCTGCATCCCAAAAATCGCCCGAGGTGTGGCTCAGTGCGCGGCGGCTCCGAGCCCAGACGGACGGAATAGGATTGTGCGGCAGGCTCCCGGGTCCGTGGGCCAGCCAAAGTGGCTTGAACGACACCAGCCGCCACCGAGCGACTGGGACAATAATAAACTTGGATGGCATCGGCCTAAACGCTTGAGGCGCCTTTACGACTGAAAGGAGAAAGGAACAGAGAGGGCGGAGTTAACGGGGCGGATGGAACAACGGGCGGGCGGGAGCTCCCCTTAGTGGTACGCCCGTTGTGCCAACATCTCAGCGCCCCTCACCTTTATTCATGTTCCTTCTATTTTTCCTTCCCGCTCCCGCTTCGCTGTGAACAGCCATGGACCCATGGTGGCCTGGTCTCCGCCACTATATTGTTTTTCTCTTCGTTTTTGATTTTATTTTTTTATCCAATAAGCCAGGTATCGAGTGGAGGAGAAAATTCTCAAAGGATTGGAACCCTCGTCGAGAAGCACACCCTGGGAACGACCTTTCCCAGTCGGGGAACTCTTGCCAAGCCAACAGTGGCATCGAAGTGGCTTTGGTAAGGAGACCAGAGGCCACCAAGGAAACGATTGGCGTCTCCCGTCATTGCAAGAGGCGAAAGCTTCCGCGCGCTCAAGGGCATGCCGAGGAGGTGGGCCCGTGGTGGGTGGGTGGTGCAAGACCCCTGTGGCGGAAGTCGTTCCCCGTCCGGGATTCCTGCAGGGATTTACTAGAGATTCAAGAACTTCTCATATTTCTCATGGATACGAGCAAAGTAATGTGAGAGAGCCAGCGCGCAGAGGGTGTGGTTGAAGGAGAAAAGAGTGGGAGCCCTAAACTAGGATCAAGTTCAGAGCCAACATCATGACTCGTTTCTTCTTACTTGTATTCACCCTTTTCTCCTCGTAGAAATATTTATCAATGTCCAATCTGTGACGTGTACTAACGCCGACCGTCAGCTCACTAGCATTTTGAGGCAGGAGAAGCTTATTGGAAATAAAAGTTGCGGGCGAGCTAAAGTAGTCGTTGTTGGGGCCAAAAATGATCCGGCCGTTAGCTGTTACTGACTTATGAACAAGGGTCCCCTGCAGTATCCTCTCTTCTATCTGTAACTACTTGTAACATCCATGCTTAACAAAATTGCTACTTGTGACGAGCAGCGCCGTTTTCTGAACTTGCTTTTTCCTCTTCCTGAGGATGCAAAGGGGCTCTTTTGTCACGATACTGCGATCTCGAACGCAACGTAAAAAAGCAAAATGGAGGAAGAAGGAATTGAACATTCACCCACCTTAGATGCGATTGGCGATCGAGGTTGTTTTCTTAAACGAAAGGAATATCAGCCTCTAGCCAACGAAGAGGCGAAAGATGCAATGCAGTTTCCAGGCCCAAACATGGTCTGATTTTTCTTCGGCTTCTCTGCGGGTTTCTCGATTTCCCTCATTATTTTTGGACCTCAAGAGGCCAAACAAGCTGGACTTTGGCCAGGACTTCCCTGGTCGCTCGGTGGGGGTGGGTGAGGGTGAGGGGGCAGGGAGGATCGCTAGTTGCATCTCCACTATGAAATCTCGAGCTCCAGTGATAGGCAGGACAGCAAGGTCGTCCCGGCCCCACGCCAAGCATGGATAGCATGGTCCAAGCGAGGAGGTGCCCGCATTTCTATGCTGTTTCTTGAACCACCAACGAACACTGCGGTTGGCTGTTTTCCAAATCTCCGGAGGCGCATGAGACGGAATAGCGTTTATGGTCGGCCCTCGACAAGTTGTGAGCTTGCTCAGGAGAGGGCATGGCTGGCTCGAAGAACACGAGCTGCAAACTAGCCAATGCCAGCACTCGCAACAGGCATTTTGCGCATTCCTATCCGCTTGGTTGCACCACTGCGATGGGTATAGCAAAATGGACCAAAACCGTTACAACATACAGAAAACAACGGGGCGGAGGCCAAGAAACAGGCGAAAACCTGAGGTGTTCATCCTGGCGGGCGCCAGGTGTCTCGGGGGCCGTCATGATGTCCGTGGTGTAAACAGCAGCATCCTCCAGACCCACGGTGGCGGGACTTGGGAGAGACCGGAAGGAAAGGAGCCGTCTGCCCCCTACCACAGAGCGCGGAACCTACCTCGCCCCTGCCTGTATTCACAACAGCCGGCAGGTTGCCTACGTGTGACCTGTACATCAGGAGACTTTTCAATTTCTGTTTCTTTTACGAATACACATTAATCGGTAATACGGTAAAAGGGGCAGCTAGTCCCGAGGCGCTGGACCCGGCGTTCGTTTCAGAGACGGGAGGGAGCAGTCGAATTATGATCATATTGTCGCACAAAATATACAATGGGTGGACTGGCGTCGTGGGTACCCTCGCCCTTCCCCAAGATGCACGTTTGAAGCTCGATCCAGTACATGGCTGTATCTAGAGCACTCCCTATCCACATAACTGCATTCTTCGCACCCTTTTAGTCCCGCATTCTTCAATTCTTGAGCCATCCTCCCCACAGTAGAACAAGCAAACCCAGGAGTAGCCAAAGTTGAAAAAGAAGAAAAGCAACCGTTTGGAAATCGAAACATCAGTCTTGTTCTGTAGATGATCAGCGTTCAACCCACCTCCACGTTGAAGCAAAAGCGGGCGAGGGCTTTGGGGCGTTCCTTACCGTCCCTATGGTTGTGTGGCTTGCAACTGGGCCGCTCTTCGTAACAGAGGAGAAGGATATTACAAAAAGACTCGCTTGTTCCAGACCCTTGCCTAACCCCCGTCTACATGCGTGCCTCTCGCCTCCCACTCACATCAAACCACTCGCCAAGTCTAGTCTCTTCGGTCGACCAGAGCGGCCCACCCCCTTGGTAGAAGCATCGATGATTCGGCCCGGAAGAAAGAGGAAAGATTGGCGTCAACGGGCAGGCATATTCCACCCGGGTTGCCATCCGCGCAAGTTTCGCCCGTCCCCGTTCCTCGGCTCTTCTCAGCCCCAGGCAAAATCACACCCCCTATTAGTGGCGACAAAAGAGAAAAGACGCGCTGGAATCGTGAGGCATGATATATTGTAACCCTACCTCTGGACGCTTTTACTTCCCCGTGTTGCGTCTTTTCCAGCTCGCGGCTCCACACCCTCTCTTGACATCCTGTCAAGGCCCCCTTATCACAAGTGTTCAGGACACTCACCTCCCAAGGCAACTCTGGATGCCATCCACCCCCATCCTCCTCTTATTCGCGTCATGTAATGATCGGCACTTTACTTTTTTATCCCTTCCCTCGTCCATCCCTTACCCTTGAATCCCGTCTCTCCCCACGCCCGAGCCAGACACTTGAGAGCCAAGGAAGCCCCCGAAACCCTCTCTTTGCGCCACCCGCAGAGACTCCGTCGCCAAAATACCAGAATCTCCGTATCCAGCCTCGATACAGCGGGGAGGCAGGAGAGAGGTGAGAGAGACAAGAGAGAAAAGTGATAGCTCAATACCGGAACCGCAGCCCCGGTATATGTGATATAACAGGCATGCTTTCGGAATATCACTACCGTCAAAATCATCACGACTAGGGCATCTCTGGATGACAGGAGAGGAGCCAACGAAAAGAAAACCCTCTTGCTCCACTTTATAAGACTAGACTTGGCTCCCTCGTCAAGGTTCTTGTCCTTCATCTTGTCCTCTTTATCTTGTGGGCAGGAAACGGGTCGTTTCTCATCCAAATTCCATTCTTTTCGCCAACTACCAGTGCAGTTCTGTTCTCTGCCTTCTTATTTCATCATACAAGCCATGGCTGGACCTGTGGAGGGATCCCCGGAATGGGCAGCCCAAGATAAGGGGCCCTACACAATCGGCATCTGCTGGGCCATTACGTCGCTTAGCACCCTCTTCGTTATTGCTCGCCTTTACGTCCGCGGCAAGATCATGGGCAAGCTGCAGAGTGATGACTGGTTCACGGTCTCTGCACAGGTAAGCAAGCGTCCTTTCCAACCCGCGCTCGCATCATCCGTGCCCTCTTCGTTTCGTTAGCTTGCGTTGCCCACTACATATATCCCGAGTTGTCGGAGCCAATACCCCATGTCCACTCGCATCCCCATGAAATATGGCGAAATTCAAGTCTAAAGCCGGGATAACTAATTCATTCCTCGCCATGGTTACAGGTATGCAGTTGGATCTCGACCGCGCTGTCCACCATGGCCGTCGCATCGGGTAACGGGAAGCACTTCGCCCTCCTCACCGTCGAGCAAAAGCAGAGCGCCATCCTATGGACCACGGCTGCCTTCTGCCCCGGCGTCATGTCCTTCGGCCTGCCCAAGATGGCCGTCGTCGTTCTTCTCCAGCGTCTCCTCAACCCGACGCGCTACCACCGCTGGTTCCTATGGTGGATGGGAATATGGTGCCAACTTACGCTGTTCGCGACCGTGGGCGTTCTCCTGGGCCGGTGCATGCCCGCGCGATCTCTCTGGGACTTTTCCGTGGAGGGCAAGTGCTTCGATCCTGAGATTCTCGTCGCATACTGCATCTACGCTGGTTGTAAGTATCTCTTAACAAAAGTCAGGTTATCGATTGTGCACTCATCTAACTAACGCTGTTCCAGCTTTCTCCGCATTCGTCGACATCTACCTTGCCGTATATCCTACCGTCGTTCTCTTCCAACTTCAACTTTCGCTTCGAAAGAAGATTGCTCTTTGCGTCGCGCTGGGCATCGGTTCCATGTAAGAGAGGCAACCATTTCCCCGTTATCGGTTTCGGTAACCAAACTAACCAATACGACTGCATCAACAGTTCTGGTGTTGTGGCAATTTACAAGACGACTCGTATCCCATCTCTCAAGAGCCCCGACTTTTCTTACGATACCTCGGACTTGGTCATCTGGACTGTGTACGTGTTTCCTTCTTCAAAACCCGAATGCCCCTTGCTAACAACTCCCCCACAGCATCGAAGGTAGCACAATCATCATCGCCTCATCCATTCCTATTCTTCAGCCCCTGATGGATCTCATCATGCGCCGCAACCCCTTCAGCTCCAACAAGTCCAATAAAAACACCCCACGATATTTTGAGGACTACAGCACCGGCAGCAAGGCCGGCTACGAGCTCGGCCAGCGCAAGCCTAAATCAAAAACCGCGACGACCTCGGCCTCACAATCGTCAAGGACGACGAAAGCCAAGAAGACATACTGAGCGGCAACGAGCACAACCACCAACATTACATCGGCCACAATGACAATCCCTCGAGGCAGTCGAGGCCCAAGGACGGCGTCATTGTTCGGACCGACATAGTCACGGTGCAGTATTCTCAGCAGATCCCGGACACGGAGCAGGATGACAGGTGGAGGTCTGTATAGAATAGATAGCCCACCCTATAGGGCTTGGATACACCAACGGCTGAGCCCGAAATTTCGAGTGGCAGGAACGATTATGGCTGCATTTCTTTGTACTTTAACTCTTTTACTTTGGCGCTTCTCTTCATGGACGAGGACAGCATCTCAAGCTGGATCCTCACGCAGTGTTTTGGAAACAAGGTTTCAACATAAATGATATATATCATATTCGCCTCTTTGACTACAATTATTGCCACACCGTCCACGTTATCCGCAAACAGCTGAAGGTGTAAAAGCCTACTTGGCAACCATAGGTCGCTTCTGGCCCGAGCCGCGTGAAACCCAGCGAATTGATAGCTCTGGTGGAAGTGTGGTCTGATGTGTAGACCCGACGACTCCTTGCTTCGTCTTCAATATTCCCCGTAGCGTTGGCCTAGCAGGTCGTGTTTAGGATTTTCGATGCATTTACAGTATCTATCACCTTCAAGAACAGAGGCTACATCTATGGATGCATGTAGTCGCAGACCAAGTATGCCGTTGCCTAAAACATTATTACACCACAAGTCACTTCCCCAGCCTTCCCGCAACCCCTGTTGGCACTCTCTTTGATAGGCAATTAATCGCCGATGGTTTTTGATAAAAGGGTGCTTGGATCGCTCCGGGCAACTTTGTCGCAACAATCCGGGTGCTTGGTGGGCTTTGCGCGCACTCGGAATCCTATCCTCGAGTATCTACTGACGTAGAAGTTTGGTTCCGGGGCTTGTTTCTGGGTTTCCGAGTGGCCGGCATACTCCCAGGTTATTTTTGACGGCGATGGAGATATGAGCCGAAAGCTTCTCGTTAACCCGAAGTCGCGGAGCTTTCCTGGGACGTGTGACGCGGCCCGCCATGCCCCGATAGTCTACACGTCAACTGGTATCGCGCTTCGTCCAATCCAATACCGGTAATCAATCATCTGGTGGCGCCAAGTACATCTGCCCAAAGAAAAAGAATTAATCAAGCAATAGGAAACAAAAAGCCCAGGATTCCACAAGGGATGGCGACTCGACCGGGGCAGCCGCTGTCCCTTCAAAGGTGTTTCAACCTATGGCGGCGGCATTCGTCAATCCCGGACGCGATGACGTGCGAGCACCACATCGCGCGCCTGATTACCAACCGTGACTCGGAATCCATACCGAGACATCCAACCCAGAGATGGCGTTTGTTTCAGCAGCTGATACAATATCATGTGCTTGTGGAATATCCGCCCGATTCCCGTACCTCCTGGTTGCCGCCCGGTGCGAACCCAAGAGATGAGCAGCTCGAACCATTATCGATAGAGCGCCAACCCGCCCACCGACTGCCAGCGCGAGAACGACGAGTACGGAACCAAACTATAACATAAACGAGACAAGAGAAGAGAAAACAGAAATCATGGCGCGACACATTGTCAGCGATGCCGCTGACCTAGGCGAGACGCGCCCGTTGCTCCAGGACCCAGACGACGTGCGTAGCACACCGGCACCGTATGATGCCACCAAATCCTCGACTTCATCCACCACCGACGAAGAGGTCGGCTCAATATCCGACATCCACCCTTCGCGAGCTACCGAGGACGATGTGCTCCCGAAACGTCGCCCCTAGGCCGCACCGTAACCTGGGGCAGCGCCTACATCATCGTCATCTCCCGCGTCATCGGCAGCGGCATCTTCGCCACGCCGGGCACCATCCTCCGGACCGTCGGAAGCCCCGGTCTCGCCCTCTCGCTCTGGATCGTGGGCGCCCTCATCGCCGCGTGCGGGCTCAGTGTGTCGTTGGAGTACGGATGCATGCTGCCCCGATCGGGCGGCTCCAAGGTCTACCTCGAGTTCACCTACCGCCACCCCAAATTCCTCGCGTCGACCCTGGTGGCCGCGCACATTATTCTTCTTGGGTTTTCGGCGAGCAACTGCGTCATCTTTAGCCGCTACGTCCTGTTTGCCCTGGGTGCCGACGCCGAGGCTAGCGATTTCCTGCGCAAGGCCATCGGCGCCGCCCTGCTGGTGGTCGTAACATTTATCCATGGCGTGTTCCCGAGGGCGGGCGTCCGCATCCAGAATTGGCTGGGATATATCAAGGTCGGCATCATCATCTTCATGATTCTCTCCGGAGTCTACGTGGTGGCCTTCCGAGGTGCTTCGGAATTCCGGGAGACCAGTACAGGCCCTCGCTGGAAGGGGTCTGGGAGGGAAGCATCTGGAACTGGGGCGTGATTGCTGTAGCATTCTTCCAAGTCAGCTACTCTTATGCAGGGCTCGACAACGTCAACAACATCCTTAACGAGGTCAAGGACCCCGTGCGGACCCTTCCGTCCGTGGCTTCCACCGCGCTAGTGACAGCCGGATTTCTTTACACGCTGGTCAACGTCGCCTACTTCCTTGTCGTCCCGATCCAGGAGATCAAGGATAGCGGCGAGATGATTGCCGCCCTGTTTTTGAACGACTCTTTGGATCGCATCTCGGTAGAATCGTTCTTCCGCTGGCAATCGCCCTGTCGGCGGTGGGCAACGTCATGGTAGTGGTTTTTGCTCAGGTAAGAGTCCCCTTTCCGAACAAGCGGGCAAACAAAAACACCAACGGGGCCGCTTCTAACGTGGGAAACAATGCAGGCTCGCCTTAAGCAAGAGATTGCCCGCCAGGGTCTCCTTCCTTTCTCGGATATCCTTTCGTCCACGCGACCCTTCAATTCGCCGCTCGGAGGTCTCCTCGTTCACTTCATACCCTCCCTCCTTGTCATCATCCTCCCACCCTCCACCGAGGTCTATTCCTTCATCCTCTCCGTCGAAGGGTATCCGGGCCAGTTTATGTCCCTTGCCGTGGGCGTTGGCCTGGTGTTACTGCGATTTAAGCGACCCGACCTGCAGCGTCCCTTCAAGGCCTGGCCTCCCGCGGTTGCCTTGGTCCTGACATTGAACGTTTCCCTGCTTGCGGCGCCTTTTTCGCCCCCGGCGGATTCCCTACCTACGCTATTGTAGGAATAAGCATGTAAGCTAGTCCCAGCCCAATTCATTTGGCATTGCTACCCTCCGCTCTACCGCATCTCACTAATTATTTTATTAGTATATTGTTTGCTATTGCTTATTGGTACACCTGGACGGTGTTGCTACCGAGACTGGGAGGGTATCGACTTTTGGAAGAGACGGATGTGCTAAAAGATGGCACAACCATTACTCGATTAGTACATGGCCCTAGAGAATAAATTGACACGTGAAGATGTTTTTGACCTGCTACATGGATTTCCTGATATCAAGCCTGAACTGTGCATTGTACTACCAAATTATTGACCCCCAAGACTGAGACTAGTATTGTTTTTGCAGATCAAAATGGTAGAATTCGCGAATGACCATGTCCATCGTGTCCCATGTATTCTCCTGCCCCTTTTGACAAAAGGAAACCAAAGCAAAGGAGAACAAAACTATTGTCGTCCAAAAATGACGTGAGCCTGTGCCGCTGGATCGAGTGCTTCACGATATGCGGAGTACCGCCAGCGCAGACATCATCATACGACGCTAGCAGGTATGTGTTTGTAAGAACTCGGACGAATCACTTGCCTTGATTTCTAATCCCCATAAGCTTCGCGTGGTTGCATGGGCTATCGTGGGCACGGCCACACGGGGTAAATGGCATCCTCCTTTGAAAGTGCTTTGCGTTGTCCTGCCCGGCTTTCTTGGGGGAAGATGGATTATCAATCCTTGCTTGACGGCTTGACGGGATTATGGCGACATGATGGCGTGCTTGCGGGGAGCCGGAGGAGCCGCAGCCATCGGCCCCGACTCTCCGTCTATATATCAATACCCCGAGCCGGCATTCGTCGGCAACATTAATTGCAAGAGCTCCAGGCCAAGATCACTGTTTGTATAGTGTAAATATTCCTGCTGATTTCCCTCCTCTGAGCAAACGCAACTTTTTTTTTTCCTCTCCACGTTCGCGTTGAATAGCCCAACATGACGGCTGCTGTAGCTCAAATCCCGACCACCGACGTTTTCAAGGCGGTCTCGTCGGCTCCCCGCATCAGCTCTCGCGACCAGGAGGCATCTCCCAAGCCCAGGGACATTCACACCGAGCTCCATTTCTACAAGGACCCGGAGGACGGTGGTCCGCCACATCCCACCTACGTAGACCGCCCCGAGACCTACGAGCGGCCGCACGAGACTCACCCAGTTGTCATCCGCGACGTGCGGGGCCGAGAGGCCGAGTACACTCTTGACCGGAATGGGTTCGAGTTTATTCGCCGTCCCGCGCTTGAGAAGGATTTCTTGGATGACGAGCAGGTCAAGGCGATTTACTATCCGGAAGTTGAGCAGCTACTCAAGGACGCGTAAGTGCTGCTGTCCGACAGCATCGAAGCCCTGGTCTTGAACCTTTGCGCTAGAAACAGGAGCTAACGAGGAACGCACGCCTAAAACAGGACCGGCGCTACTAAAATCTTCATCTTTGACCACACCATCCGTCGACAGCCCGCCAAGTCGTCGAGCCGTAGCCCAGCCCTCCGCGGCCCGGTTCAGCGCGTACACATTGACCAGTCCTACGACGCTGCTCTGTCGCGCGTCCCGCACCACCTCCCCGAAGAGGCCGAGGAGCTGGTCAAGGGCCGTGTGCAAATCATAAACGTGTGGCGGCCGATCAAGACCATTCTCCGGGACCCGCTTGCCGTGGCCGAGGCCGACTCTGTCTCGGAGTCGGACCTTGTCATCGTGCCCTCATCTACCCGACCCGCAAGGGCGAGACGTACTCGGTGAGGCACAACTCGTCCCACAGGTGGTTCTACAAGTCGGCTCTGGCGCCGGAGGAGGCGCTTCTCATAAAGTGCTTTGATAGCAAGAAGGACGGTCGGGCTAGGAGGGTGCCTCATACTGCTTTCGTTGACCCCGAGACCGGTGATGATGTGCCTACTCGAGAGTATCGAAGTGCGGGCTCTTGTATTCCATCCCGATGACCGGGACTAGGAGGGCAGGGACGATATGTAAGATGTGGGGTTATCTTGTATAGTGAATGAACTTGTTGAATTGTAAGCTTCGACTTGGATGACCCAGTGAGAACAGCAGCCTTGAACCTGCTGCAACAATGTTGCCCGAGCCATCTATTACACCGGTATAGCCTGCAATCCGCGGCTACAGTGCTTTCACATATTTAAAGGAGAGTTATTTGATGATAAACGGGTATCTCTTAAGAGCTAGCTCAAACTACTACATAGACTGACCCTAGCACAACGTGGCGGCTTCGAACCTCTCTTCCTGCCTTGCCCGAATGAATTATTACAACTGCCACTTGATGTAGCACAAAGAAAGTAAAGATGGCGCGCGCGCTCAATCAAAGGAACCGGGTCGCAAAAGCGTCGGCACTTTGTGTTTAAAAAAAAAAAAGGTATGAAAAAGGGAGAGCATGATGGAAGAGTTAGAAAAGGGGGAATCTTCGAAGCCATGGGGTATTTTGGTACGTGATCGACTAGGAGTCGTCTGAGAAGAAGAAGAGAGGGAAGAGGGGAGCGAGCCTGTTCATAAAGCCAACGGCAGTGTCGGTTTATACGAATAGGAGCAAGTTTTGCAAGCCAAGTGAGTGGCTTTAGAAGACAGCACCCTTGGTCTGCTTGCCCTTCTCCTCCTCGAGCTTCCTGACGTTGGTGTTCTTGAACATGATGATGCAGATGACCATGAGGGGGACGAGGGCGGAACCGGCGATAACCATCTTCCTCTGGACATCGGCGTAGGCGCGGATGATGGCGTCTCGGATGGGGTCGCCGACGGGCCACTGCTGCTGGATGACGAGAGAGCTGAAGATCTCGGACCAGAGATCCTTGCTGCCCTCGGGAAGCTCGCGTATGAGAGCGGCGGGGAGGATGTTGACCCAGAGGGCACCGGCGATGGCGTAACCGAGAGCAGCGCCGATGGAGCCGAAGAGACCGAAGAGGGCGAGGCAGATGGCGATCTGCTGGTGGTCGACGCTGGCCATGATACCGAGCTGGGCGCACGAGGCCCAGATACCGGTGCCGATACCGTTGAAGACTTGGCACATGACGAGGAGGGCGACGCTGGTCTCGGGCTTACGGAAGTGGATGAGGAGCGCGGTGCCGAGGGTCACGAAGGGGATACCACCGTACGAGAAGTACTTGTAGTCACCGGTGTATCGGATAACACTACGCACGAAAGGTTAGTCGGGCATCATTGCAGGGGAAAATGAGGGTAGATGGGAACCACTATAGGGGACTTACACTCCGATGAAGGGGAAAGAATGGCGGAGGCGAGGGAGAAGGAGTTGAGGACGTAGCCGGCGGTGCTGATATCCAAGTCGTGGGCTACCTGAAGGTACGAGTAGTAGTAGGAGTCCCAGCAGAAAATGGAGCAGAACATGATTCCGTAGAGCAAGCAGGCACCGATGATGGTCCTATCCTTGAGGTAGCGGAAGGGAAGCATCTGAATGGGAGCAAAGTACTTTTCCCAGACAACCCAGGCGACGAGGGTGAAGAAACCGATAATCTCCATGGCAATCATGCTGGCGTTCTTCCAGCCCTTGCCGGCGCTGGAGGCGAGGTTGAAGGGGAGGAGGAGGAGGGCCCAGCCGACCATGCAGAGCAGCAGACCCAAGGCATCGAGCTGAATGGTGTAGTACCAGACGGACTGGTACCAGGTCCTGCCGGAGGACTCCTTGACGAGGAGACCCTGCTTGTAGGCCTTGCGCCTGTGCCAGAGGAGGACCATGATGACGGGAATGCAAAAGGCGACGAGGATGATGATGAAGGCGCCGAAAGCCCAGCGGAAGTTGACGCGCTCGTAGAAGAGCTCGGCAATCTTGGGACCGGCAAAGGTGGTGGCGATGAGCGGGGTGCCGTTGAGGCCGTAGATGATGATACGGTTGCGGAGGGTGGTCATGTCGGCGAGCATGATGTCGATGACGTAGAGCAGACCAATGTGGCCGGCCCAGTAGATGGTGTGGCCGGCGGCGTAGGCGAACATGTTTTGGCAGGTGCACTTGATGATGTTGCCGAGGACGTTGATGAAGATGAGGACGATGAAGCCCTCGACACGACCCCAGACGTCGAGGATCTTGGCGATGGGCATCTGGAGCACACCGCTGAGAATGGTGGCGGCGATGCTGACGGTGGGGGTGAGGCCATGCTCCTCGAAGGAGGAGGTGATGTAGGGGTTCAAGTTGCTCTGGATGGACATGAGCAGCTTGTCGGAGAAGGAGACCAGGTACAGGCTATCCGGTGTTTCACAACGTTAGTCCATGTTTCCCCTCCCCGCCTGTGAAAGAAAATAATCACAGAAATCTCGTTCCCGGCACTTACAGACAAAACATCAGCCAGAGAGTCTTGTAGTCCCACACGCTGGTGGTGGCCTCGATGCCCTTGACACCATTCTGCTTGAAGGTGGTGCCATCGGACTCCTCGTCCTTTTCTTGAGGCTCGTTGGAAGGGCTCTTTTCGATGTCGATGCCGTGAGTCGCGATGTTCTTTTCGCTAATCTCAGGCTCGTGCGACGAGGTGACGGTGGTGGCCATGGCGGCGGCGCGTAGTCCCGTGTGTGTGTAAGCGGGTGACTACTGCTTGTGTGTTGTGGTAAAGGGGAAAAAAGAAGAAGGGAAAAAAGAGGGAAGAGGTAAGTGAGGGGTGTGGAGGACAAAAGTTCTTTGGGGGTAGATGTCAAGTGCAACGGGCTATGTATGCAAGAACCACGTCTCTGGTAAGAGGTGAAAGCGGGCTGGACCTGATTGATAAGATCGAAGCGACAAAAGATCAGAAGGAAGAAGGTCCCAAGAGGGAAAGAAAGTTTTTGGAGGTGCGTTTCCTTGGTTCCCGGGCCAGAAAAAGAAAGGACGTGAGGAAAATCTGGAATGGGGATGCGCTCGATATTAAAAAGACGGGAACCCGGGCGGGGAGGAGGAGGGAGGGGGCCACATCGCAGAGCAAGGGGACGAGAGAGAAAAAAATCAATCAATACAAGGTACAGATCGATGATCAACAACTCGCCTACTCCATGTAGACGTATACACGAGGCCGGCTCGCAGGCAAAGGTTGCAATATGAAAGGGGGCCCGTGGAACAAGAAAAAAAGAAAAAGAAAAGAAAAGAAAAGGCTGCAGCAGGGATTCGGGACACCCGCATAGAACTCCACTGCACGTCCGGATCGATTCCAGCACATTGGCTTGGTCTCTCGGGTATGCCTCCCCATGTGGATATCGCCTGTCGCGTTTTTCTTTCTTTCTTTCTCACTCCCTCTCTTGTACGCTATTCATCAGATTGCTAATAGTCATCGCCGCCGTCCCTCCTTATGGGGCCTGCCTCACGGACTACCCACTCGCGCGGTACATGGCGTGCCACTTGCACGGAATCGCCTGTCACCAGTCGTTGGCCGATTCTTCTTCTTCGCTCTCCTAGCAGATCCTGCTCCTTCAGGTAGCTCCCACCACCTATCCACATGAAGCGGGGTGGGATGCCAAAAGGAACAAGGTTGCATCGATTCGAGGCAAGGGAAGTGAGAAAAGAAAAAGAGTGAGAGCGAAACCAACAGGGTGAAGAGGTGAAAGAAGAGGTGGAACGAATCCCTCCCGCGCAAACTAGGGGACCTGCCATCATGCGAGATGATTGACACCCTTTTCCTCCCCACCCCCACCGGCCGGCGAGCCCTCCCCATGGATCGATGGATCAATGGATCAATGGAGCCCATCAAAGGGTGATGGTGGGGGTGGAATCACTCATCCTCGCTAGGCTGGGTTTAAGTACGGATAGGGCGTTGGGTTTTGGCTGGCATTAGTCCTTTTTTTCTTATTCTTTTATTCTTTCCACCGGCGGATTGATGTTTTTGCTCGTCTGCCGCAACGGGGTGGACACGGGCTTGGCTCGGGAGCTCGATCCGGCAGAAGGCCACGGCCAAGATGATCAAAAACACAGGCTAGGGGAAGGGCCAAAGAAAAGAACGAAAGCCTCCGCCCACTGCCGTGGCGCCAAGCAATATCGACCCCGGCCACTGACCCCTCTGAAAGCTCATATTCTGACAAGTGAAATTCCTCTTTGGGCAAAGAGCTTGGACAGAGGGGGTGGAAGCGAGGGCAGCAGAAAAACCAGGGTCCAATCTTAATTCTTACGAAAGCACTCGAGCGCGCACACGCACACACGCAAACGCAACACATCCACGGATCAAGTCACCACCCAAACCAAACCCAGCAAGCCCCCTCCACGTCCACCCCCGGCTCCTCTGTCAGTCACACTGCTAATTGCCATATGTACCCACCCATCTCGAAGCCAAGCTCCCAAGCCAAGCTCGGTCGATGTCTAATACTGGCACGTCCATAATCCTAGACCGGGGATGAAAAAAGTAAAGAGGGGACTGGCCAACGCAACAGAGGCAACATTGAAAGGAAGGGATGGCCTGGTCTGGTCTGGGTCAGAACGGGCAGACAGATGTGGAACATGCGGGCATGCGATGCAACGCTTTGATCAAATCAGTGGCTGTCTCTGGTCTTGTCTCGATGTCTCGCCCCTCCCTTTCACTTCCACTTCCCTCCCCAGGGCCGATATCGACCGCTGATCCTCGCCCCCTGTGATGGGTTGTCGTCCATTGTTTGGCCAAATGAGATGGGAGATTGATAGCAGTCCACGGATCTATGCGCGCGTGTTCCTCTCGAGCTAACGGCCCCACCCATCCTTTATTTTCTTTTCTTGTCTTTTCGCCGGCCCAGCATGCTGCGTAATAACACTCAACCAGCGCTTCAGAAGAATTCAAAGAAAAATGAAAATGAAAAGATTGCCGAGTCGGACGGACAGTGGCCCTAACCCAGAACTCTATCGCGTCCCCGCCAGGCCGTGGAATCCTTCCATCGCTCTTCACTTGCGGCGGTTTTACCCGCTTTGGAGAGAATTTCGGACGCCTTTGCGCTCGTAACAGCGACAAATCGGCGCATTTTCGTCGCCTGAAAAGATTTTTTGTACAAGAATTGTTCGAAGGAGCTGCCCATCGACTCTTTTTCTTTTTCTTTTCTTTTCTTCTTTTTCCGGTTCTTCTTTCGCAGACACAAAGATACATTCATGACCCAGCATTCGTATCACAAGAACTGACCAAAACGGGTAAACAAAAAGCCGAAAGAGGCCAGGCCAAGACAAGAGAAAACGGGAAACCGAAGAACAAAAAAAAGATTGATGCACAAAGAAGCTTGGGAGGCAAAATGGGGCCACATGAGGCCGGCGGGCGTCCCCTGTACTAACTTCGGCGTTAGGCAAAGCCAACCATTGAACCAGGGGTGTTCAGCGTCAACGTCTGGCTCGAGGCAGAGAAGCAGGTCACGAGAAGCAATATCATGCTATTTCTGGTGTTTTCCTTTTTCTTCGTCTTTTTATTCTTTCATAGCTCCAGCCCCTAGGACTAACACAGACAACAAGGGGGCACGCCGCCCGCCCAACCTTTGACCTCCCCTCATTTCCCCAGAGAGGAGAGGAAGGCGACTGGTGCTCGAGAAGCTATCCTTGTCAGGCTTCTCCAATAACATGGCCCTGCTACTTGTATTACCCTGGGATCAAGCAAGATGCCTCCAAGTAAGGCTGGGCTGCTGTGCCTTTGTGGCGGTTTGCCCGCATCAGAGCGCTGTCTTGGATTGGCCGCGTGCCTACGAAGTCGTGGGAAGAATGGTCACGGCCTGGCCAGTCCCAGCCAGAGAAGGAAGGGGGTCCAAGTCTGGTTTGCGCAGACGGGGTTCGATGGAGGGGGAAGACCAGAGCAAGGGCCAGAGGTGGTGGGCACGAATGATGCGTGCAGGAAGAAAGCTCATCGATCGCGCGGCCGGTCAAGAGGTGAGGGACATTAGCGTGGGGTGGCGTTGGGGTTTCAACCCACTGTGTGTGTTTTTATGACGGCCTAGGATTGGAACATCCGGTGTCGGTGGATCTGCACGGCCGTTTAACTCGTCATTCAGTGCCAAGTACATCTACCATCTTCCCCCTGTCTCGACTAGGTCCGGCAGTGGAGGAGAAGGGCGGATTTGTATTGAAAATTTTCGAAAGAAGAAAACAAAGGACTTGCAAGTAGTAGCATGTACTTTGTATCTTCCGAAGAAAGGTGTTTCTATCCTAGTCCGCATTATTACAGGGTATTCACAAAGACAACTTTCGATGACAAGGGAGGAGGGGGTGGGGGGCCGAGAGAAGACGCGAGAGGGCGGCGACGGAGCGAGGGTGAGGGCGAGGAAAATATGTAGCCATTTGTCATTTTTCCAAAGAAACGCCGTGGGCCAAGGGCCGCCGTCTGTTTAGAGTGCAGTAACCTCGGGAGGCTATCCTCAACTAGTGCGGCACTAGGAACCAAGGCGGAAGGAGAAGGGACAAAGGCAAAAAGGGAAGAGAATACAGTATAAAAGTGTTTCCAAGTGATGGAGAATGCAGGCTATACATCGTCTTGGTGGTGGGACATGCGTGCTATGTCCGCCCACCGGAAGAGGGGGTTTGCTGTCGATGGCCTCAACGCAACGCAACCGGCAGGCAAAACAAGATTAGAAAGGACTGTCGAGAGCCCGCTAGAGGCTGGCTGTAGTGTAGACAGATGCCAGCGAGATTGGCGAGGAGGGGACATGGCAGCGAGCAGCGCTGTAAGCGAGAGAGCGCCAGTGACAATGTCGGCTCCGATGATTCGTGACCAACCGATGGCCCATCACAAGACAGGCCAAACTACCAGTGACGACTCGAGATCGAAGTGGGGAAATTTTTGGGGAAAATTGTTAGAGGCAACATTGAACATGACATTGAACATGAAAGAGGCAGCTCGCCGTCCTCAGTTCAATGACACGAACCACCACAGCATGAGCAGAGCAAGCAGAAAGAGTATCAGATCAAGAATAATCCTACCGAAAACGGGATTCAGAACGAGTCTGAGAACCAACCAATCATCAATTCCCACTTTCTCATCTCCTCACGTTGACGGCTCTGCAAGCATCTCCACTCTCAGACCTTCCTCTCCAGGCGACCTGAACTAGAATCACCTGCAGCAGCCCGAGTCCCATGGGGCGCAAAAGTCTGCATGGCCCGCGAGGCTAGTGTAGCTCCTCTTTTAGGACGTCCAAATACACGCTTAAATTCAGAAAAAAATAAACGCCAGAAACAAAAGTGAAAAATAAAAAATCGACAACTTGCCTCCTCTTTCCCCGACGCCACCAATACCCTTCATCTCGGCAGGCGTAGCCTGGTCTCTATTATTACCCAAATCCAAGGAGGGGCCTGGCCCAGTCAATGTCCGAGGAGAATAAATGAAAAAAAGGCCCTCCTCGCTTGCATCAACTTCGTTGTCCTGGTACTTGCTCACCCATCTGCTTCTCTACTGCCGGCACCACGCCAGATTCGGCTGCATATGTGTCCCAATAAGGTATTCTCGCCGCTGGGGAGGCGTCGTGGAGGGCGCGACCCTGGCCGAACGCGGGCTAGCCAAAGAAAAGAAAAAAAAAAAGTGAAGGGGTTATTATTGGATCTTGGCCGATGTCACGTAGCGGCATCGCAAGCTCACAAAGCAACGCAAGCACACG